TATGGTCATCTTCAGAATCAGAATCCTACCTATATTCCATCCCCCAGTCCAGAATTTTCACTTCCCAAAGATCGAGATCAGCTTATGCCGCTATACTCGAATTCCCCTAGAAATTCCGAATCTTGTTATGTTTCCCAGCCTCGAGACTACATGTATAAACTTTACGGATCTAATATTATTGGAGATCAATCGTATGAGCCCTGGTTCCCTGAGAAAGTCTCGGTATTTGCAGGAAAGAAGTATAAGCCCGTCGCGTTGAAAACAAAACCGGTGCTTGCTACACTACCTGATAAATTCCGTATCATTCGCCGTATTTATGGGGATCCCTTGGCTAATATTCCGACTCTATCACCTACCCCACCACCTTATACTCCTACCGAACGTTATACCCCAGAAAGAAAAGAATATATCGACTCTATCCATAATGAAGGATTTCTTTGGCCAGAAGAGATGAAGTTATTACATCACTTCATGTCAGTACAGGATAAAGCCTTTGCTTGGGAAGACTCAGAACGAGGAAGTTTTAGACAAGATTTCTTCCCTCCAGTTGATATTCCCGTCATAGAACATACCCCTTGGGTACTACGGAATATTCCAATACCACCAGGAATCTATGCCGAAGTCTGTCGTATTATCAAAACCAAGATAGACGCAGGTGTATATGAACCTTCCAATTCCTCATACCGCTCGAGATGGTTCACAGTATTAAAGAAGGACGGCAAAAGTCTTCGTATAGTTCACAGTCTAGAGCCACTTAACGAAGTCACCATTGCTCATTCCGGATTACCACCAGCTACAGATCCTCTCACAGAACATTTCGCAGGATGCGCATGTGGAGCTACTCTAGATTTATTCGTTGGATATGACGAACGTCTACTAGCAGAATCCTCTCGCGACCTTACTACTTTCCAAACTCCTTACGGCGCCCTAAGACTTGTAATGTTACCTATGGGTTGGACCAATTCCGTGCCCATCTTCCACGATGATGTCACCTTTATTCTTCAACCAGAAATTCCTGAATGTCACTATTCCATACATCGACGATGTTCCAATTCGAGGACCAGAAACTCGATACGAGCTTGAAAGAGGCTACGAGACCATTCCCTTAAACAACGGCATTAGACGTTTTGTTTGGGAGCATTTCCAGAACTTAAACCGAGTAGTCCAACGCATGAAATATTGTGGAGGAACATTCTCTGGAAAGAAAGCCTACCTTTGTTGCCCCAAAATTACAGTGCTAGGTCATAGATGCACTTATGCCGGTCGCCTACCCTTAGAAAGTATTGCCTCTATGGTATTACGTTGGGGACCGTGCATTAATCTCTCGGACGCTCGTGCTTTTATTGGTACGGTTGGAGTACTACGGATTTTCATCGAAAACTTCGCAACCCGAGCTTTACCTATTACCAAATTATTCCGCAAGGGCGTAGAGTTCAAGTTCGAGGAAGAAGAAATTGCCGCACAAGAAGATCTTAAAATTGCCATGAAGGACAGCCCAGCATTAAGGCCCCTTAATTATAATTCAACAGGAGCTGTCATACTTGCCGTAGATACAGGGCCTGCTGCGGTCGGCTATTATCTTGCTCAATGCGACCCTGTCGATCCGTCGATCCGGTATTTTGCCAGATTTGGATCAATCACGCTCAATGAACACGAGTGCGGATATTCTCAAGCAAAGAAAGAGATATTTGGCCTCTATAGAGCGTTAGGAGATTGCAAAATCTATTTAATCGGTCTTCCTACCTTTGTTGTAGAAGTGGACGCCAGTGCCATCAAGGGTATGCTCAAAAACCCTGATATTGCACCTTCAGCTGCAGTAAACCGTTGGATTATCGGGATCCTCTCATTTCACTTCGTTCTAGTCCACGTACCTGGTACCAAGCATGGTCCAGATGGATTATCCCGACGCCCACCCCAACTAGGAGATCCTCCACCTGCCCTGAAGATGGGATGGAAGACTTCTTACACACTCATTATGGGCTGATGCATTTCATAAATTCGACTTCCCCTACCATTAATCCGCCCACGACATTAGTACAATGCCTGTTACAAGATTCTGAAGTCACGGCATTAGAAGAAACTCAGACGTTACCTTATTCAGCAGTACCCCGCACGGCAAAACAAAATCGTCTAGATGAACGGCTTAATCATTTAATACCGTGGTTCATCAGTTTGAAAAGACCGCCTGGCTACGACGATATTGCCTATGAGAAATTCATGAAATATGCTGTTCGATTCTTTGAAAGAGATGGTAGACTTTGGCGTAAAAATCCGCAGGGGAAACACCAGTTCGTAGTATTCCCTCGAAGACGCATGTTTGTGATGACGTCTTGTCACGATGATGTCGCACATAAAGGATTTTATGCGACCCACGCCTTAGCCAAAGAACGCTATTGGTGGCCGGATATGAAGTATGACCTTGCGTGGTTCGTACGGCACCTGTCATCTTTGTCAAGTACGGCAAACCCGCCAAATCCTTATTCCCCCAACTGTTGCAATTCCAGCTCCGCTATTTTCAAAGATGTACATGGACACTATGATAATGCCGACCTCCGGACAGTTCAGATATATCGTCCAAGGCCGGTGTTCGCTCAGCCACTATCCCGAATTCCAGCTGTCCTTAGAAAGGAAACCGCTCGTACTATAGGAGAATGGATCTTTGAGGATATCTTATGCCGTTGGGGATCCCTAGTCGAGATCGTTACAGACAATGGGAAAGCCTTCGTCGCGGCATTAAACTATCTTCAAAAGAAATATCATATCAACCATATTCGCATTTCCGGATATAATTCCAGAGCCAATGGGATTGCGGAAAGGCCACACTTCGACGTCCGTCAAGGCTTATTTAAGGCCTCTGATGGGGATCAAAAGAAGTGGAGTCAAAATGCCTATTCCGTATTCTGGGCAGATCGCATCACTATCAGGAAGCGCATGGGTTGTTCCCCATATTTTGCCGCCACCGGAACGGAACCCCTTCTCCCCATGGATATTGTCGAGTCAACTTGGCTAATGCCGCCACCTGATAATATCATCAGTACCACTTCTTTAATAGCACGTCGTGCAGTCAGTCTTCAAAAGCGTTCAAAAGATCTCGAACGTTTAAGGTCTAAAGTCTATGAGGCTAGGCGTAATGCCTGCCATTAAATTCGAGAGGGATCACGAGCATACTATCCGTGATTTCAACTTCCAAAAAGGAGACTTAGTCTTGATGCGGAATACGCAAATAGAGAAAGCCTTGAATAGGAAAATGCGCGCCCGGTATTTAGGTCCTTTAGTGATCTTAGGACGGAATAAAGGCGGTGCATACCTTCTTTGCGAATTAGACGGCTCTACCTTCGCCAGACCTGTTGCAGCATTTCGGTTAATTCCGTACTTTGCCAGACAGAAGATTGATCTTCCCGATATTGCAACTATTGTCGATATTCCACCTGCACGTATCACCGAGCTCTTTGAATCAAATGACGATGGCACCCTCGATGATCTTCCAGACCAAGAGGAGGATCACAATGAGGCAGAATTGGCTTAAGTCACTCAAAGAATTGGTGTTGAAACCAAAATATTTATTTATTTGGGGCCCTTTTGGCCACCCATACACACTCATTTTAAAATAATATACAACCGCTGGTTGAACAGCGGTACTATGACACTCCTTCAAAAATAACAATGCTGCGATGAAAATACGTTGAAAAGAAAAATCCGCCTGCCAAAACTAGTTAGGCCAAGAGCCACGGTTATTGGACCGACCACTGTTCTTGTTGGACCAATTACCTTTACCGTCGTTAGGCCAACTTCCTTCGTCGTCATTGTCCCAACCTTTGCCCCATCCATCGTCGCGTTGCTTACCATGGTTGCCCTTCTTCTGACCATTGCGACGCTTCCTGCGACTTTTTCCGCCAGTTGAGGAGGAAGCAACCTTAGAAGCGGTTGAAGCCTCGGCGTACTCAGCCTCGCGTTTGGCCTTGAGCTTGGCTTTGATAAGGCGGTAGTGCATCACGAGCACCTGGCGAGTTTTCAGGAGCAAGAAGAGCTCGCGGGTGTTGGTCTCGAGACGCTGGTAAAAGGCATCGGAGGTAGCCACCAAGGAAGGAATGGACTCCTCGCCGGTAAAGGCAAATTGAGAGAAATTGGTACCGACATAAGCCTTCACGGAATCGACAATTTCGTCAGTGGTCTTGTCCTTGATGGGATCATGAGGGTCAACTGGAAAATCAGGGTATTAGTCAATAGAAACCCTGAAAATCGGAGATAAAACGTACCCGGACCAAAAGGATGGAGCTCGAGAAGATCATCGATAATGGACAAAGTTTGCTCGTCATCCTGAAAATCCGGCTCGTTGAAAGGAAAGAGCAGGATTTGGCGATCGGGGATACCGCCTTGGCAGTACCGGCCCCAATTCTTAGTGCAACCTGTGCAACGGTCTCCAAGGCCAGCCCAGTAACAGGTCTCGCCGGCCTCACGGCATGGATAGCATGGGCGCACAGCCTATACGGAATATTAGTTCAGTAAATTCTGTCACGGAAATTAAGAAACATACCATGGTAGTCCTAGCAGGGCAAGCGTGAGCCGGATGATGAGGCGTGCCAGAACAGTAGGCGCAGAAGGCCTCCCCAATCTTCATCTCGTCCTTCTTAAAGGAAGCACGGTAAATATCCGTGATCTTGTTGCCGATATCAATCGCGTCCTGAAGAGTGCCTTCGTTCTCGGCGCGAACCTCCACGAACGAGGAAGAAGAATGAGCACTGTTCTTCGATGACTAATATTGCCAGAATCAGTCAATCATCTGGCGATATTGATACCAAGAACATACCGATTCCAAATCCGGAGAAACAATTTCCCCAATGTTAGGAGACGCGGCAAAAGAAGCCGGAAGAGAAGCAGTGGTCGCGTTGGAAGACCAAGACGCAGACTCTGCAACCTCCTTGGCAGGCAGAACGGGCGAGATTGGAACAGAAGTCATATGAATGTCCTCGTCAATGAAGGAACGAGGAAGCACAGTCAAACTACCGAATGGCGGATTTCTCAGGAGGAGAGTCTTTGCCGGCGACAGAAGGGATGACAATAGGAGAAGAGTCCGGCATAGTAGCAGATGACTCTGCAGCAGCGCTGGACTGACTAGTCTCAACACCAAGCATGATACTCCAGAACGGTTGGAAGTTCAAGAGCGAAATGCCGGCCTGAACAGTATCCTCGAATTCCGTATAAAAACTTTCTTTAACGAGGCGAGGATAATGAGTCAAGAGAGCAGTCTAAGAAATTATCAATATTCCGGAGGCAATATATAATGGAATTATACCCTACCTGAGTCTTTGCTGCATCGTCGAACCAGGCGACACGAACGGAGAACGGGGATTCCTTCGTCAAAGGATTTTTAACAAGCGAGTCCGCACACTGGATGAGGGAGAGGAGAGTAGGAATCTCTTTGACAAAAGGAGCAGACATTGTTTGCGATGGAGATACTAGGACAAGACACCCACCTTTTATACGACAAAGGGAGGGAGTATCACCTCAGCACGATGATGTTACAATTCCATCGGACTTGGAATTGAAACTTCGACGAGACACGAGTTGAAGAAAATACCGTGTGCTAGCTCAAAACTGTACTCAGCGGCATTATTTTCACATCGGCGAAGCTTGCGTACTTCGATATAAATCTTTCAGGCTTTTGCCGTTAAAGATTTAAAAGGTCTAGGGGGGAGAGACATGGTCCCCATGTGTTCCTACGGCAAAAACATTCCTCTCATTTCAACATATTATTTTCGCGCAATCAGTAACGAATTCATGAAAGAAACGACCTCACAATTCACGAAAAACCGCACGGACTCATTATGAAAATCACTTCAGAATTATAAATATCCCACCTATTTGACTATATAACACGGGGATATCACAACTCACGGTAAAAACGCCATCCACCTTACGAGTCGATAATCCGAAGCACGAATCTTTATCTATGCGATCTACGGCATTTACATGCCATCTCCATTCACACTCCTTTCATATTTCCATTCCATGGCATTTGGACTTAGGGATATTTTCAATCAAAGTGCTCTCGAGGTCACGTCAAAACCATACACGTGATCTCCAGTCACTAAAAATCCTTTAAGTTCGAAAATCCGCTAAAATTTCACCAATATTCACTCACTTTCACACAAATCTATACAAGAAAAGACTATTTATTTTGTTTAACATCCTTGGGACGGTACATGCAAGTCTGATATAATTTTGCCCCAAGGGCGCGCGATATTCAACTCCTTCAAAAATAATACGGAGCCTAGCTCCCAAGAGATCCTACGCCAAGGCCGACTCAGAAATGGAAGAGTGGCGAAAACCCTGTACTTCTACTCACGGACTTAATCAACTTGTGATCAAGTAGTAGAAGGGCCCGCCCCGTCCTCATCCACCTCCTCATCGACAACAGCCTCCATATCCTCAATTCCCTCATCCTCAGCCATGACCTCGGCCAGAGCCTCCGCACCCCATAGCGAATTGACGCAATCCCGAAGTCCATCGACATGTTCTTGCAAATTTGAGGCGTGGAAAATGTCGCTAATAATCCGAGCAATTGCGTCCATATGCTGGGCAATCAAGTTGCGAGCACCGACAATAGCATCGTATTGGACTAGAACAAGTAGTCAACGAAAAGAAAAAGGTCAAAACTAGTTGAAGACTTACCAGGATCCGGACGATATGGAATACGAGGGCAAAGTAACTTCTTGCCGTTGAAGGTGCAAGCGCTTTTAGTATAGACACATCTTGCACAGACGCAGCCTGATCGCTGCAGGGCACGACAATGAGTCCCAGCCTTCTTGCACCGGTCACACGAGTAGGAATACTATAAACGTACAGTCAGGAAACAAACGACGGCAGAAAAAGACAAAAGAACTTACAGCTTCTAAGACGAAGGGAGCGATATCAGCAGCCCAAAGTCGTCCATCCACCTCGACATGCAAACCAAAATCCTTGGAGAGCATGAGAACGCCCATTGAAGTACGGGGCTTCGAGACCTCTGTCATGCCTTTGGGAACTGGCTCTCCAAAACCTCCTCCAGAAATCCCTCGAGTAGGAGGCGGAGGTTCGTTCTTGGCTCGTCCACGCGTACGCTTGGCATCAGGAAACTGTGGTGCTAAAAAGAAGGAATTAATAAAATCAGCAAAAAGGCAGAAGAGAGACTTACTCTGGGTATCCTCGTCTTCCGCGATGGCAGAAACCTTGCGTTTCTTTGAAGAAGGAACTTGGACTTCTATGGCCTTACCCTTTCCTTTAGACGATGTCTTCTTGATAACCCTGGATCCAGGCTTAATAACCGCGTGCTTTGTACGGTTGCGAAACGTTCGAGGGGAAGGAATGACGACGGTGTCATCGTTATCAGGGATAGAGTCTTCGAAAATCGGATTGGGCGCAGGCTTTGAAGTCTTAGCAATGCGACGAGTTGGAGGAGGAGAGTCGACGTCCATAGTTTCGTCCTCTGGAAGGGGCGGCGGAGTTTTGGCATTGTTCATAGTCGTATCCTGTTCGTCGTCGGTGCCAGGATAAAACAAAGGTGTACGATCTCGTACCTCGACTTCGTCAGGCTGAGAGGCCACAGGAGACGGAACACGACGAAGGGGCGGCACTTTGAGAGTGATCAAGTCCGCTAACAGTAGCCATAAGCAAGACTACAAGATCTAAGAAAACAGTACTTACAGACTTGGACACCAGTGGACAAACTCGGTTCCTTCGTGACTGAGGCCTTGGAGTCTTTGAAGGAAGACAAAGCTTCCTCCACAAAAGAGGGCCTGGTAGGACGACGAAGAGGCAAATCTTGCGGCAAATGGAAATCGAACATTGAAGGCAAAGCAGAATTTTGACTACCAAAAGGGGAGTTTAGTTGTGAAAGCGGCGGAGACCAGGCAGAAGTTCCCCACCCAGCCAGCGTAGAGAAAAGAGAAGGACCAGCTGAACCAGGACGAACGTCATTGGCAGCAGGCGGACCTGATTGGTCTACGCCTTGGTCTTTGGCTCCATGAGCAGCAGGAGGTGTTGGCGCATCGAAAAGATCTTGAGCAGATATCGACTGCTTATCCAGTACAGGTGGTACTGGCGACGCCTTTCTCGATGTTGAAAAGAGGGGGGGAGTAGGTTTGAACACCGGCGAGACTGGAGTTTTCTCCTTTGAAGGAGAACGACGAGGCGTTGGAGGTCTTGAAGCTGGAGGTACAGGCGTCTTTTCTGTTACTGGAGAAGGCACGGGAGTCGGTTCCCTGGGCTTTTCATGGAGAGTAGCCGTCCCCTTGGGAGAAGGAGGAATTGAAGTCGTGTGTCTTGATTGCGCCGGTACAACTTCCTGCTGAATAATAGAAGTCGACGCGCCAGTATTCGATGGAGGAGCAGGCGTTGATTTGTCTTGAAGACGTTCGCGTCGAGGTGTTTGACTAAGCCCGCTGACCGAGAGCCATCGAAGGTGCACGCGACTGACGAGACACGGCCGGACGAAGTACGAGAGGACTAACAGTGATGTTATACTTGTCCTAAAAGGAAGAAGTCAGTCAAACGAACGAAAGAAGAAAATAGTCAACGCACTGAAGAACACCAGCATTGCATTAAACTCTGCTCGCGCCTGAGACACGAGTTTCCGAGGAAAATGTTGAAGGCACGATAGTGCAGCGAATTCGAGTTCAGACCAGTCATCTTCATCGACATCCTCCACCGCACTCCACGTCGTATCGCAAGTAACCCAGTTGGAGTGGGCATTGAGCAACCATGCATCGACCTCAGCGGAATCCCAAGTGTTTGTTGGAGGGTTAGCGCCGAGCTCCATTAACTTTTGAGCAGAGTCATGATAGCTTGGACCAAAGTCTTGTTCAGCCATGGCGGAAATGAACGTCGATGCACGCTGGCGAACGAAAGCACTGAAAGTTCCTTCAGTAAAACTACAGGCTACCGTCAAAATGGAAAACTTACCTCAAGAGGAGGAAGAGCGTCTTTGTGAGGCTCTAATGCACAGAAATACGCGTCGAAGTCAAGGCAGACAACGAGCAAAGAGCACAGAGGACAGTACCCACTAGTACGCGGTGGGGAGCGTAAAGAGAAGTCCAACTAGCGCGAAATTTCTCTAAGTTCACCTGGCCACGCGGCACAGAAGCCATGTGTGCCTTTCACCTTTCACCGTGAAGGTACTATGTGGAACTTAGAAGAAATACGAGACCGAGCCCGTATGGAATACCGCTTCTTCGGGATCTATTTATAGATCACCGACACGTCTTTGGCATTACCGTAGCCATTAACAGTCTTATCACACAGCCACATCTTATCTCTTGACGACAAGTACCCTATACCCTGACTTCTCATGGGAATATCGATAATATCACCAGCAACAAATGTTACGGAGTAACATAATAAAAGTCTAGGGGGGATGATGAGCCTCAAGGCTCTGTACGCTCAGAATTCGCGGATTTTAGCATTATAATAAATGCCTTGTCCACTTAGCGGACTTTCACTAAGTCAACGATTGCAATCACGGCAATACCCACTCTTACCTGCCAACTATCCTTCCCAGCTCGTATTCCGTATCAATATGCGCCACTTCATTAATGCCACCAGGCACCTGATTGCAGATCTCATGGATTTAGGACCATCATTGATCGCCCAGCACAGCCATCACTGACATCAGCATCAAGCATCACTTAATAGAATGCCGCAGCCAAAATACCTATTCCACGGCAAAAGACTTGATACCGTGACCTTTCCACCAGCTTTACTAAGGCTGTTACAATGCCAAGATAATGCCGCATGCATCTACTTCAGTGTACTACCTTCAGTGTACTTTGCCACAGCAACACAGCAGCCCAAGAGTCCGTATGTTGGGGGAATTCTTTCTGATCACTAAGTCTATACGCGGTAAAACCGTGTGGGTGCTGTTACTTTAGAACTCTGGGAGCACGCGTTTTGTATCATTTCTTACCAATCGATGTACTAAGGACTTACTAAGGACTCGTTTCAAGTATTCTAATTTTATTCTGGACTTGTAGTATAAAAGCTAGTGTAGTAGTAGTTGCTAGACACAAGTTACTGGACACTAGCCATCATCCACGTTATCGACCACCGTTATCGCTTGTACTCGCTAGGAGATAGACAATAACAACATAGTCACTCCAAGTTATACTCTCTGTCACGGCTTTTCTTCTAACGGTATTGGTGTACGCTCATATTGCGCCAATACACGGAATTTGGTGTCCACAACTCGCTTTTATCTTTTAATCCGCCAGCATCGTTTCACTTTCACCAGCCAGCATCGTTTTCATCAGTTTTCACCTTCTACGTCGCCATCGTTTTACCCAGTTCAGTTCAGGATCGTTACGTCCCCAGTGTGGACTCAGATTAGGATCGTTATTGCCGCCAGCAGCATCTGTCACGGAATTTCGGTCAACAGCTTCAGTATAGGATCATCAGTCACGGTATTTGGTATCTTGCCATCAGTTTCAGTATAGGATAGTCTCCGTGTAGACTCAGGATTAGTATCAGTTTCGTTTTGCCGTCGTTAACCTCAGTATAGTTTCAGTCTCAGTCCAGCCCAGTCCCAGCCATCGTTTTGCCGTCACTAGTTCCCCCTCATATCATCGCCAGTCGTCTTATCTTCGTTTTACCGCCAGTTTCTCGTTTCTCGACTACAGTCTTCGTCTCTTGCCGTCACGGTATTTGTTATCTTGCCAACGGTATTGCTCTTTGACGGCATTTTCTCTAATTCCGTCAACATCGCCCACGGCTTTTACTAGTTAAATTGCCGTCACTTCGTTCACGGTTTGCCGGTATTCCCAGTTATACCGGATTCCGTTCCTTCTCGTCTATCGAGACCCTTCCCGGCTTACAGCCAACGTTTTCTAGTACTCGATTGTTAAGGGTACTACTTCGCTGACTGAAAAGTCACAGTGTATACTTGCATTCTTGAGGAATTCATCGCACGGAGGTGCACCGAAACACTCGCACAACAACAAAGCCTTTATTGCCGCTACACGCCATTTGCCGTGAACTCCTCTAGAGTTTTGGTTTTTGCCGTTGCCACAGAAGTTTAGGCTCATCACCGAAAACCCCAGAAGCTGAACCGACGACAAGCCCGATGGGTGACGGAACTGGTGGAATACCAGTTCACGTTACACCACAAGCCTGGGGCCCAAAATTGTAAAGCAGATCTGCTGTCCCGGCGGGTGGACCATGACCAAGGCAAAGAGGATAACAAGGATGTAACCATCCTGAAGGTGGAACACTTCCAGGCCCTGGTAATGCCCACCTTGGAAGAGCTCCACGAGAGGATCAAACTGGCCACCCACGATGTACGCAAGTGGGATAAGGGCATCTCTGATTCCCTTAATCACGAAAAGGGGGTCTCTCAAGACCAAGGATTACTCTGGTACGACGGATGCATTTATATTCCTATGAGCCGACGATTACAGGGGGAGATCATAGCGCTACGACATGATCATGTAACAGCAGGACACCCCAGGATAGAGAAAACCAAAGAGCTCGTTTTACGGGACTATTGGTGGCCTCGAATGCGTCGGGGAGTGGAAACATACATAAAGGGATGTGAGGTCTGTCAACGAACCAAGGCGGATCGTCACCCAAAGAAGGCACCTCTCCACCCTAATGAAGTACTGACCAGGCCATGGACTCATATTTCCGTCGACATGATCACCAAACCTCCCGATTCAAAAGGGTACGATTCTATCCTCGTAATAGTCGACCGCTTCTCCAAAACTATCATCCCAATCGCATGCACTGAGGAACTTACGTCCCTTGGTTTTGCCAAAATCTTGCGAGACTACGTCTACGTGCCATACGGAGTGATGCCGGAAAAAGTCATCTCGGACAGGGGGGCTATCTTTGTATCCAAATTCATGAAGGAGTTCTACGGCCTTATTCAAGTCACTGGCAATCCCTCTACCGCCTATCATCCTCAGACCGACGGACAGACAGAGCACATTAATCAGGAGATTGAAAAGTACCTCAAGATGTTCGTAAACTATCGTCAAGATGACTGGAGTGAATGGCTACCGCTGGCTGCGTTCACACACAATAATCGAAGTCATTCGGCGACGGGTTTTTCTCCCTACAAAGTGGTCTTCGGAAGAGACGGGCAGGTCATTAAGACTGCCCAACGACCCGACGTTGTCCCCGCCGCCTCGAAGCTGGTTCAGGGCATTAAAGAAGTACAGGACAAAACAAGGGAGTCCTTAGAGAGAGCGGCCGAATCCATGAAAAGGGCCTATGACAAGCACAAGAATCAAGCAGTGGAGTACCAAGCTGGCGATAAAGTGTGGCTGGACTCTACTAACCTGAACCTTCCTCGACCCACAAAAAAACTCGGAGATTGACGTGTAGGACCCTTCACCGTCGTGGCCAAGAAAGGTGCCTCCGCTTATGAGCTCAAACTTCCAACGAGTTGGAAGATTCACAATCGCTTCAATGAGTCCCTGTTAACCCCGTACCACGGCCCAGAATTTCCCAACCAACCCCGACCTGAAAGACCGCCTCCAGAACTTATTGATGATGAAGAAGAATATGAGATTGAAGAGATAGTGGAACAGCGAGACAAGGTTACTGGGCGTGGACGAACCCGCCGCACCGTAACCGAATACCTAGTGAAGTGGAAAGGGTACCCCTCCGAAGAAAATTCCTGGGTAAAAAGATCCAACATGGCTAACGCAGAAGAACTAGTAAACGAGTACGAAGCCTGCCTCCAAAGGATTCAATGGGAAATCGATAGGAGAGGGAGGGCAATCGGCATCGACAACAAGATACCGGCAAATAACGTTGCCACGTATCACGAACCGGACACTCCTTGTGTTGATGAGCCTCAAGGCTCTGTACACTCAGAATTCGCGGATTTTAGCATTATAATAAATGCCTTGTCCACTTAGCGGACTTTCACTAAGTCAACGATTGCAATCACGGCAATACCCACTCTTACCGCCAACTATCCTTCCCAGCTCGTATTCCGTATCAATCTGCGCCACTTCATTAATGCCACCAGGCACCTGATTGCAGATCTCACGGATTTAGGACCATCATTGATCGCCCAGCACAGCCATCGATGACATCAGCATCAAGCATCATTTAGAAGAATGCCACAGTCAAAGTACCAACTCCACGGCAAAAGACCTAATACCGTGACCTTTCCACTCACTTTACTAAGGCTGTTACAACGCCAAGATAATGCCACACACATCTACTTCAGTGCACTACCTTCAGTGTACTTTGCCACAGCAACACAGCAGCCCAAGAGTCCATATGTCGGGGGAATTCTTTCTGATCACTAAGTCTATACGCGGTAAAACCGTGTGGGTGCTGTTACTTTAGAACTCTGGGAGCACGCGTTTTGTATCATTTCTTACCAATCGATGTACTAAGGACTTACTAAGGACTCGTTTCAAGTATTCTAATTTTATTCCGGACTTGTAGTATAAAAGCTAGTGTAGTAGTAGTTGCTAGACACAAGTTACTGGACACTAGCCATCCTCCACGTTATCGACCACCGTTATCAGCTTGTACTCGCTAGGAGATAGACAATAACAACATAGTCACTCCAAGTTATACTCTCTGTCACGGCTTTTCTTCTAACGGTATTGGTGTACGCTCATATTGCGCCAATACACGGAATTTCATGTCCACAACTCGCTTTTATCTTTTAATCTGCCAGCATCGTTTCACTTTCACCAGCCAGGATCGTTTTCATCAGTTTTCACCTTCTACGTTGCCATCGTTTCACCCCAGTTCAGCTCAGTACAGTTACGTCCCCATGTGGACACAGATTAGGATCGTTATCGCCGCCAGCAGTGTCTGTCACGGAATTTTGGTCAACAGTTTCAGTATAGGACCTTCAGTCACGGTATTTGTTATCTTGCTGTCAGTTTCAGCATAGGATCACCCGCCTCGGTATTTGTTATCTTGCCATCAGCTTCAGTATAGGATAGTCTCCGTGTAGACTCAGGATCAGTATCAGTTTCGTTTTACCGCAGTTAACCTCAGTCCAGTTTTAGTTTCATCATCGCTCAGTTCCGTTCATCGTTTGCCGCCACTAGTTCCCCCTCATATCATCGCCAGCCAGTCTTATCTTCGTTTTACTGCCAGTTTCTCGTTTCTCGACTACAGTCTTCGTCTCTTGCCATCACGGTATTTGTTATCTTGCCAATGGTATTCCTCTTCGACGGCATTTTCTCTAATTCCGTCAACATCGCCCACAGCTTTTACTAGTTAAATTGCCGTCACTTCGTTCACGGTTTGCCGGTATTCCCAGTTATACCGGATTCCATTCCTTCTCGTCTATCGAGATCCTTCCCAGCTTACTCAGCCAACGCTTTCTAGTACTCGATTGTTAAGGGTACTACTTCGCTGACTGAAAAGTCGCAGTGTATACTTGCGTTCTTGAGGAATTCATCGCACAGAGGTGCACCGAAACACTCGCACAACAACAAAGCCTTTATTGCCGCTACACGCCATTTGCCGTGAACTCCTCTAGAGTTTTGGTTTTTGCTGTTGCCATGGAAGTTTAGGCTCATCAGCATCACCGAAATAGAAACAGTCTACTCGTCCCAATGCTCTAACCCAAGACATTCAGATACCCAACAAGACTCTTATCCCTCTTTCTCATCTCCGCCATCTGTCGACTTAGCAGCTCAAAATTGGCATCCGGCATTCAACCCTGAACTAGAACCAGACTTCTTGCGAAATAAATGGCCTATAGTCACTACGGACGAAGCCGACGGAATTCCAGTGGTAGAGGAGGATGACACAGAAGAAGAGGTAAACCTTCAAAACCTCCAAAGAATTCATGAAAACTGGAATGCAGGCGAAGAAGATGATGACGATGATGTACCATCTTTCTACTCTGAATCTAGACATTCTACATCGGACGGCGACGAATGGGAGTCTGAGGACTCATTTGGGATGAACGAGTCTTAAAGGGGGGGTAATGTTACGATTTATTCATTTTTCTTCGTTTTACTCAGCCTGATTACTCATATGCGATCACCACGGACAGTTTCTCACATACTATTATTAGCATACCCAAAGTGTATTTAAGTAGAGCCTCAGCTGGTCTAAACCCCAGCTTCGGCTAAGGTTTAATCTACCCAATATCGAACTCCTTGTTTCGCGTCTATCTCGTCCGCAGTTAACTTGATCCGTCGCCTTTGACTTGCTAGAGTATCGTCTACCGAAGTGCGAATAGCGATCCTAGTTCGATCTAAGTCGATTCGAGTTGGTTGCTAACAATTGAGGCAAGACCCAAGCCTGAACACAATCTTGAGGGCGGGTGAATCAATGATGGTATCGATAACACAGCAAAAGGAAGGCCATGGCAATCAACATCATCAATATCATTCCCATTTTGGAAACAGCTCGCCGGTAACTATGAAAGCCGATTCCCTTTGCTATTGTCGCATGATGATGCCGTCCTCCATCCACACATCTCCAAAACAACATTCCGACACACCCTGCATCTATATTATTGTATTTCTCAAACAACATGTTAGCCGAGAACCTCGTGGACCACAAGGAGAGCACTTACCCTATCACCTCGTCTCCCGACTTTTTGTCTTTCATATTTCAAACATCTGCCGTTCTCCAACAGCAATAGGAAACTGGAATACAACCAGTCCTGTTCATACTCCTGGCAAAGGGTTTTACGACATTTGTAAGGGAAGCCAAAGGATGAAACGATGACCACACACCACATGAAAGAGTTGGCGTATTAGGACAGTGCGTAATCCGCAACAACTTGCTATCCACATTAAGGCGCAGATGTTTCCAAATGCCACCTCCGAAGAGTTCAGCACCGCCTCCGAACATGAACTCATCACGACCTTCTTCAATTGCCTTCCCAGCCTCACTTTCAATCTTGCAGATAAGGAACTTGGAGAAATTGCGGCCCTTCGAGTTTTGCATAAAGTCCAGAATTCCCGAATCCCATCGGTTCTTCCTGTGCTACAGGATCCTATAACTGGGCTCACGGACTGGCAGCAGCGTCTCCAAAGGATTTGGTGCTCATCTCCATTGGAATTCCTTTGTCAGCTTATTCCGGACTCAATCAGTCTCTCTAGGCTTTCAGTTTACCCCCACCTGACAATGATAGAAGAAGTTGTGATGATCAAACAAGATCCAAAACGACTACTTACAGATCATCCACAAGGTGTCGCATTCAATATAGTGTCATTGAAGCTAGAGACAACTGAATATGATCAATTAAATTGGAATGTTCAGCTCAGCACTAGTTCAAATGACGTACCCTGCTCCATTCTTATTATGCCTATTACAGTCTTTCCCGTTATTCCTTCCGGAAACACAGAAACCAGCATACTCGGGTGTTCAACAGACCTAGCACCGACTTCGCCAATATCAGAGATTCATGCAAGTATCGTTGGGCTCAAACAATGTAGTATCGATGCATCAGGAGGCCATTCTGAAGGGATAAGCAGGAAAGTCAAAGTCTCGGCCAATAGTGACTGACACCGTCAGGAAAGAAGCCAGTACACTAGACCCTTGAGTAGAGAGATCATGGATATTCAAGGGAAGTTCACGATCAAGCTCAGTATTGTCATTAACAGTAGAACAGAACGAAACTCAGATACACTTGGAGAGGAACTAGGATCACGTGCAATAGCCAGTGCAAGCCAAATGACACTGGGAACGATGCGATGGTGAAACGAAGTTCACGATCAATATGATCATCATCAATATCATTCCTGTTTTGGAAACAACTCACCGGCAGCTCCGAAGGCCGATTCCCTTGGCTATCGCCGCATGGTCGAGCCGTCCTTGTCTCCTAAACGACATTCTGGAACATTGTGCATTTATATTATCCTATTTCTCGAACAACAAGTCAGCTGAGAAACTTGTTCGCAGCAAGATTATGACTCACCCTGTCATTTAATCTCCCGACTCTTTGTCCTTGATACTTTGAACATCTACAGTTCTCTGGAAGCAGTAGGAAACTGGAAAATAACTAGTTATGCTCGTGTTCCATGCAAAAGGTTTTACGACATTCGTAGGGGAAGCGAAAAGATGAGACAACGACCGCGCACCACTCGAAAGAGTGAGTTTATCAAAACGTTGCCCGATGTTGCGACTGCAGCCTATTTACACATGTAATTTTGCAATCTAGAGTGTTTTACACGCATACTGAGAAATAGTGAGCGAGCAGACTAAAACTACGCGTCGACACTAATGCTACGCGGTGCAATGATATGGAATATAACTTATGGCATAAGAAGCAACGGGATTCTAAACAGGACTTAGTCACAGCACTGTACCTGATGGGCATGCGTGATGAGAAGGCCAAACCCTATACCCAATGCCTTAGGCTCTAACTTACAAGCACACTCGCGGGAGCTAGATAAAACCTTGAAGATTGCACTGGCACTGAGAACACTTAGCGCGCTCGCTAACTGTGACGTGCCGTACCTGAAAATCCGGGGAAATCCTTAAGCGAGCTGACAGCTATCACCGGCACGAGCTTGGGCAATGGGCTTCGGCCGAAGTCCGCGAGCCCATGTTCCATTGTTCTGAGTCCCATTGTTCGAAGACTCACTTGTTGCCATGTCTACGAGAAGCCTCTGTGAATCCAAGAAAGAAGTCCTGAACGACATATGCCAGAACTGATAGTTCCGTGTGCCTAGACCTGTCGGTCGCTAGAGAATGAGCCCGTGGGTGTCGGGAGAGCACCTCTTGGCATGTGTTTAGCGAGCTCACTATAGAAATGAGACTAAAACTGGGAAGTCCGACTCGGATGCTCAGTAAGGTGGCGGTGGCAATGTGCTACGCATGTAGGAGTCTGGGTACTGCGCGATGTTTGTAATTCTAATTCCCCTGTAGTATAAGTAGGCTGGTTACAGTAGATAGAGGCCAAGTTTTGAGCCCCCGAGTTCCTGTGCACGCATTGAAGGCGGTACTGTAACAAAGGATCAGTTTGTGACTTTGAGCTGTGCATAGAATTAGCAAGCTCACTCAGAGAAATATGAGATACCCTTTTGATAAGACTTTTGAGAACTTAGTCAGAGTGAATACGAATCAGTGACGCTGTTTCTGTTCTGTTAAGTGTGATAAGTCGGTTCGGAGAATGTGTTGAAGTGGAAATCTGAGATCTGTCCTGTTCTGTTCTGTTCTGTTCTGTTTCAGTCTGTTCCATGTCAGTTCTGTTCGAAGTTCCGTTTCTGAATCTGTTTTCTGAGCACTTCTGAAGTGTTCTTGAGTCGAGATAACCTGCTGGAGTTAGTTGGAGAACCCCTACATACAGTTGTGTAGTGAGCGGGCTAAGTCAGTGCTTGCCTGTGGTGTTCTTTTAGCGAGCTCACTAAAGTTTCAGTGTGTATTGCCTCTGTTTCTGTTGGGATCAGTGTCCCTTGTGTATTATAACCCAAATCTGCCTTGAAGGTTGCGTCGTGCCAGTGAACGACCTTCCTGTAAAAAGTTCCTAGACTTAGGAATTCATTAGAGAAAGCTTAGCTTTGCTAAGAGCGCTGAGAATAAGAGAAACTCCTCGAGATATTGAAGTATAGTTGGATCGCATTAGAAATAATCGCTCCCCCTAGAACTTACGAGGGTGATTGTAGTTTGTGTAGTTGTGTGAGTGTGTGTGTGGGTTTTTGAGGTTCGCCTTTTAGCCCGCTCACTATTCCACAGGTGCCCACAGCCAGCCTCATCACCGATCTGCATCGACTCGTTATCAGAATCAAGGCACGAACAATTCAAAATGCCACCTCCGAAAGGTTTGGCATCACCTTTGAGTCCAGATGCAAATTCGTCCTGACTTTCTCCCATTACCTTCCCAGCTTCATTTTCGCTCTGACTGGCAAGGGGCTTGTAATATTCCTGGTGCATCGAGCCTTGCATGAATTCAGGAATTCGCAATTTCCAGCAATTCCTATGGTGTTATGGGGCCTCACATCTAGGTCCAGGGATCAACAGCGGCATCTCCAAAGGATTCGGCGCGTACCTCGATTGGAATTCTTTACAGAAGTCCCCGTGACTAAGAAAGAGTCAAAACGACTGCTCTCTTACGCTCTGCCAGTTTCTGCATTCAATATAGTGTCATTGGAACGCAATCTTCCTGAGAAAACAGAACACAATCAGAGTGTTCGACTCATCACTAGTTCAAAGAGCATACCTGGCCACATTTTTATCATCCATTTTACAGTATCTCATATCCTCCTGTTCGGAAATACCCAAACGAGCCTTCTAGCGCATTCAACGGACCTGGCATGGACTGCACAACTATCAGAGGGTGATGCAGGAGTTATCGAGCATAAGCGACATTGTATGCATGCATCAAGAGATGAAGTGAACGATGCTCATACCTTGAGGCGAGGCAGGAAGCTGGATGCAATCTCAACGGCGAACAAACTAATTGTGGAATCGATAACACGACGAAAGGGAGTCAAGATCGCGATCATCGATATCATTCCCATTTTGGAAACAGCGCGGGCATCAGCACAAGGTGATTTCCCTTGCCATCATATAGTGGAGCCTCACGCATCTCCTGAACGACGTTTCGAGACAACCAGTCACAGACAAAATATTGGGCCTGTTATAAAGGATGAGCTGGGGCACTTGTCCCCCTGCACACTCTCCATTCCTATTACTCAAGTTCTGCGTGGCATTCCGAGTTGGTTCTATTCCCGTATGCGATGGATAATCATAGATTTTGCCTCTCCATACATACAGAGTGTGGACTAAATATTTCCTCCAGTCTGGTTGAAGTTACGGACATCAATGGCAGGCAGGAGCAGCCCTGCAGAGCAAGTAAACTCCATAAGACTTTGTGATCCTTTTCATTTATTCGTTCTTCACCTCGCTCATGCATATGTGGACTGGGGGGGCTATGTTATGGATATCGGGGTCTTTTCCGAACTAAGCACGAGTCAACATATGCCTGCCCTCGGCCTACTGGTATTTTCTCTTATTTTCTCTATTCTTCTTGCTGATACTAGAATACTACAGAACATTGTAGAATTATAATGACTCAATGCCTTACTAGTAGCATATAAATATTGTCTTTACTGTTGTATTAGAATCTTACACTAATTTTACTCATCTTCGAAGTCCACTTAATTGTGTGAACTAAGCATCTCTGATCGGTTACGCCAAGCGCTTGTCAATCAATTGCTTTCTGACTACGCCTAGCGCTTTTCGGAGACCCAGTCAGTTACGCCTAGTGCTTGCTGACGCCCTCATTAACTATGCCTAGCGCTTGTTAGCACCCTTACGGATCCCTCTTGGTGGTTGGAACTCGGCTTACGGACATCCTCACTCACAACTTGGGTTTTACTCAAGTACTCATTAACTCGTGTATTAGCTCAAATACCCTGATTCTTAACAGGAAGCAAATAAGGACGCCGCACAGGAGCCATACACAACCTTATCCAATCTTCCCAATTTCATCGGCTTTCGCAAATGTTTTCCTAATATCACCCGAATCTTCCTAGAAATCATGTATCGCATCCGAGACAGAGGGTTCCTTTTAATACTATCTCAACACTAAATTGTTCGGACTCGAATCTCCATAGCACTTGACGAGGCGATGACACAACTTAGTGTCCTACCTGTGGAGTGGGAGATCACTGCTTACAACCCGGCACCCGATTATATCTATGGCCGAATTGCCGACACCAATTGGAGACTGTTTCTGGAGGATGTCACTTATTCTATGGCCCCCAGAACGTTGTCTGAATGCGTCAGAGCAATCTCGTTCAGGGACACGATATTGTGTTCGACGTATCTGAATTGCGTCCGGCAGTTTTCTGGTCATGGTGTCCTTACGGAGACGAAGGGTGATGTGCGAGGCATGAATCGCCACTTCGGAAAGGCAATCCGAAGACCATTCGGTGAGAATGGTCTTCCTTCCATTGACGAAAGGACTCATTTTTATCAAGGTTTATGGACGTTCCTTACAGAAGCGTATGAATATATCACATGGATGGATGATACTGTGCATGAACAAGGGGGGGTTGGAAATAAAATCCCTGACATGACCTACATTTTCATGTTTAAGGCCGAGGGGACCCCCCCCTCCCTCCCCCTCCTACCATATAGGGTAGTAATATATCCATAATAGGTATGATTTGTAATGCTCTCATAATCATTTCAACCACGTGAATCTCTCAGGGACTTGGGTGGTGACACATCATAATTTTTGTAAGGTGAAAAACAGACTACAAATGTATGTGTGATGCTAAATATCTTCATTTTAGATGTAGATGCTATTATTTCATGCCAATGTCACCCATCAGACCCTCCAAAATGCCTATATATGGTAGGTGAGGTTTCGTGTTTAAGATTGCTACCCCTCCCCCCCTCCCCCCCTACCCCCTGTCTGGGATTTTATTTCCAACCCCCCCTTGTGCACGAACGCTCAAATTGGCAGGTCATTGCTTCACCATGAACATACTGGGTCGAAAAAGTTGTAAGATTTTGTCTAGTCTGGCACCGCATCTTGTATGTATCTCCTTTTGACTACTTTATCTCTTTAAATGACATCGTAGGTCACCTCCTTCAGGATTCGTCCTGCTCAAGAACGCGTCAATAGCAGTCATGTCAAGCTGCTGCGTGGCAAGGGAGGTGTGGTGTAAGTGCTTACCTTCCATTTGAGGGCTTGTTCAGAAGAAGGGCAGTTACTTTGGATGACATCGTGTGTTTCCTAGGTGTCAGCTCTACCGCAACTCGTCATAGCCTGCTATATGTCATGTACACATTCTTTTGCTTCAATTTCTAAATCACTTCATCAAAACGGTCCCTTGACATCCGTGTTACTGCATATAAACATGGCTAGTCGCATTGACCATCTGTCATGTATAGCATGGAGTCTCTCAGAATACACACCTGCAGAAGGATAACTAATGCTCATTCACCTGGTAAATCGGCCATATTGCCTGTCGATCAATGCTAATGATTGTCCGTTAAATGCGCAGCTACTGGGTCTCAACTTTGTGATATTATCTGTTGCTTCTTTGTCCATATCACTGGCATTGACAACTCAGGAGGGACGTATTCGCGTTTTACTGCCACCAATGGAAAGATATACGATAGAGTTTGGAATATCTATGCTATACGACGTCGTGTTGTACATCCGTCTCAGTTGCCAGATGATTTTCTTTTATTTTTGCGGCCCAGCTCCTGGCTGCTTCAAGCTCCTCCTGCGACTCGTCTGTGCCTCCATCCGTCAATGATGCGATGAACATATTGAAACTTCCTTAAATTGCCCTGACGGTCCACTCTTTTTCCTGCAAACCGATAATGACCTGCTTGAGGATGATGAGAGTCACCCCTTCTTCCCTTGACTCCGCTTTCAACGTGGCAACATCATGACTCGCCCTTTGAAATAACCTTGACAGACGCCCATCAGACAAGCCAGATTCTGATATTCATAAGTAAAGCACGTACTCCAATACTGCCTGACGGCAGACCCAACGAGCAGTCTCCACTGCCAACCCATCCGTCACTATGCATGACATTCTGGTGTCCCTAAGGTACATCTCTAAGGCGGCGAGTCTTTCTTCGATAATCTTTATAGGCATCAGAAATCAGTGAGAGCTTCTGAGAGGAGAGCATACTTCTTTGATAGCCGCAATGAGGGATCCAGACACCACTTTCAATAGTTCCGCGACTGGGTCCCTATAAATCCTCTGGTTGCCACAAGGTCAGGTAATCGAGTCGAAGAAGCTGGTGGATTCACTGTGACTCACTTTGGCAAAGCCAACGCCTGATTTCGAAATTTTATCTATTGCTGTTCGTATCATTTTGAAGACAGGCGATATTGATGGTATGTAGTGGGAGAAAGGAAGAGGAAGAACGAGCAAAATTAAACTTGATACCAGCATGACATCATGATCTGCAGTCTGACATGACCCACGTGACATGTGACCACATAAAATGTTGTCGACCGACGATGCTCCATCACCTGCGATTTTACATGAAGGGAATTTGTGGAATCTTGGAATAGGAAAAATGTCAAGTTTCGAAATTTGTCTCTATATACTTCTGATACAAACAGTTGGCGACAGCCTGATTTTGGCAGCAGCAACCAACTTCGAGCAGACGGTGTCCACACACCCTCTTTTCTCGAAAGAACCACGCATACCTAGTTCTGATACAATACGGATTGAAAACAAAAATCTGCTCACTGACCAATAATGCATTGATATCATATCAAGCAGTCAAGAATCGATGTGTATCTGGCAATGGAAAAGGTCCAAATAACATTCCCTTGTGTTGGGATTTCGCCGGAAAGTTCTAGAAGGAGCAATCCGGCATCATGCCGAGAGTAGCTGAGTAAGCATGAGACTAGTAGAACAGTGTAGTACATTCTAGATTACAGTGCGAAGTAGTATAAATACAGGCTCTGTAGGAGCCTAGTGTTGGAAAATGGGGTATCGGTTCGTTCCCAGTGTCACATGTGCGGTAGCAAGCCAATAGTATTGCGCTTGGCTGAGCTCTGCAAACGCATGAGGATCTACGCTACAGTACCTACTTTTATACTAAATGTACTTTTACTAGAACTTTCCATGCTTTTCCTAAGACTTCTACCTTAATAAGCAAACTCGGCATGATGCTGGATTGCCAAATCCCAACACCTAGGAATAATAAGTTCATATCAACAAGTTGGCCTTACCAGCCAGGAGTCTACCCTACGCAACACCGAGGATTCCAACACCTTGCAATAGCTTTGTGTGTACAAGCAGCTCCATATCGAAACTAGTGGAGAGTTTCTTCAGGACATATTGCTAGGAATATGTCGAAATCCGGATATGCGAGCACGAGGCGAGAAGTGGTGATCGAAGCGAAGTAGGATTAATTAGAAATGATATAGGTCATTAGGGAATACAGAATGGATTCCGGCGAGGGTTCGTGAGGAGACCTGAATGGTCCGGTTTGCGAACTTGGGAGATCAGTAAGCGCGAAGCTATTACAGGCTGTAGGTGAAGACAAGTGCTAAGCGTATTCAACGAGTTGTTGAGCAAGCGCTAAGCACTGAAGGTGTGTTGAAAGTGATAGATTGGCTAAAGATTCTTTTACAATGGTATGTACATTGTTTATAAACAGTGGAAAGGTTCGAGTCATTAGGATTCTACAATGTTCCACTGTAGTATCAGTAAGAAAAATAGAGAAGGTAAGAAAAAGTAACGAGTGAAGACCGAGAAGGCCGAGTGAAGGCATGTGTTGACTCTTTTGCATGCTGGCGGAGACCGATATCCATAATACATACTGTCCTTGAAGAGGGACTCCACACCATACCTATTCCCAGTTATCAAAGGTATAGGAGACTGCACACGCCTGTATTCCCAACGGTGGAAGAGGCTAGTGAGGCACCTCAACGCTAGAGCTGAGGGATGTTAGACTCATCCGATGGAAGTAGCTCTAATCACGCACTGTGTCGCTTATGATATTTGGAAGCCATCCACAAGCGCTTATTAATATTCCTCGGGTCGTAGTCTTCAAGTTTTCTCTCAGCTATATACGTGGTTTGACCGATGTGCCGGACACCATCGGTTACGAACATATCATACGGTCCCGGGGATGCTATGATCCCAAAGAGGAATTCAGGGACACCGATGTCGCGCAATTCCCACAACGTATCAGACCAGATCGAGTCGGGTATGGCCGCTGAAGGATCTGGGTCTGTCATGACAATGTATACGTCCATTTGTGTCTTCCAGCGTGGGCAGTCAGGAGAGCAGGCATTAGACAGGTATCGGTCGTAACGGGCGCGAATGGGAATACCACGGAGAAACTGTAAACGTGAATCCGGCCCAATGCCGATCCAAGTGAGCTGGAAAGATATGTATGGAATATGCGGAAAGAGAGCATCGAAACCACGAATGTTGGGTAGCCCAAAGAGATAACGATACACCTTTTTCACCGCTGTTTCCCTTTCGTCTTCTCGGAGATCGATGAAGCAGGTAATAGTGCGAGTAAGCTGGGGGATGAAGTTGTGGTAGATGATGGATTTTTGGCGATGTGCTATGGCACATAGATAGTCCAGAAATGCGAGGTTGGTGATGTACATGTCCCGAGAAGCGATAGGAGCATAGACGGCTTTCCACATCCGGTTAATTCGGGGGCAAGTAGTCATGAACGATTTCCGGATGTAAGACGGCATATCAGAGTACCATATTTCATGTACGATTATATCTACGAGCTCTGGAGGAAGCGTAGTCATGGTGAAAGGGCAAGGATCTGTCTCACAAAGATTCGCACGAAGTCGGGGATACGGGCCGTAATGCCGATCTGAACCCTTTATGTCATCTGGCAATTCAACACCACTTGCCGCGTTCTTTATCGTAGCTATTCTTCGACGCCGTCGGTTCTAGTGAGAAATGGCAATATTAGGACGGCCATTATTCCTTGTAAGTCGCCCATACTAACTTTTTTATTGGTGACACTGAATTCAAATTAATCTGTGATAGCAACTTGATCTCCTTTTTTTCCCTGGGCCGAACAAATCGAACAACTACATTATGTTCGAGAAAGGCGACGAACTTGCGGCTAAGCTCCAAGAGATGCGATATGCACACCTGCCAAATGTTCGCCGACATTGTACTCATCCTTGCACTATCACTAACAATGCCAATGCCAAGGTCAACAAAAATCTTTCCATCGACGAATTCAAGCTGACAAGTGCCCCATTCTTAGTCTTTGACTCTTCAACCTCTCATCGGCACTGCCGACGATGGTCTTTATATGCGTCGATCTGATGCTGAGAAGCTCGGACTCGAGTTTACTGGCCGAGAAATTGACACTCGCCAAGGGAAGTGCAAAGTGTACGTACCGTTTTTAATCTACTGTAGACAACTTGTAATTTTCAGCATCTCTTGCAGGTACAAGGGTGCTTCATATCGCTTCCAAAATGACTACAACGGCGGCGCAGTTACTTATCATGCTCCACACGTCTTAGTGCTGGAATCGTGGGTGACCAAAACACTTCATGCCAATGCTAGTACCAACGCCAAGAAGGAGGGTATTGTAGGGGTACCTCAACTTGATAGACACCTCGTTTTCTTCCATCACGGCGACGTGCACATGATTGACCTATCAGTCCTCCCTCCTCTGGCGGAGTATTTCACCAACCTCACACCTTTGGCGAACTTGATCCCTGCGGTAGATCGGGGAAACACCGAGGACGAAACCCCTCAGGGAACGCAGAGTATGACTGAAGAACCACCCGTGGACTTTGCTACTTGTCTTTCTATCGCACAACGATTTCGAGCAAAGAAGTTCGACGTATTCCGCCATGTCCCACAGGATTATGTGGTAAACGTCATTGAACAGTGCCGGACTTGCAAAAAGAACGAAGATAGGAAGACACGCTGCAAGTTGTCGATGTGTACGCTTTGCAAGGAGGAGAACAGATCACGTCGAGCATTGTATTGCAGCCAAGAATGTCAAACAATGGACTGGAAGGCACGACACAAAGAGGAACATTCGGGCGCTAGACCATGGGAGGATGAAAGTACACTTTGATATTCGGAAGTAGTCTTCTATTGCACGATAAGTTTGACATTTATACCTGTTGTATGGTCTCACTAGATTTTGTGTTTGTATCGTCTAGCTTAAGTGCTCGCCCACCATGATGTAGTTTCGCGTTCGTGGTAGAGTATCCGCTGAAAGAACCTCTGTATTCTGACTCCCGATTGTCGACGCTAATTCAGGGTTTTCAAAGGCGTGACGGAAGAGTGTATTGCTATATTTCTGGGTCTGAAACACAAACACTCAGGTCGCCATGAAGCTAGCAACGGCTAATATCAGGACTCCCCAAAATAGGTTGGGAAGCCATGCCGCCATCCGGACGAAATTTACGAGTCAAAAAGGGTTATGTCGTGTTTTATCCGGACATCAGCACTCAAAATAAGACGATGCATGTCACAGTCCGAACGTTTTGAACGGGACTCGATGCATAAATTCAGCGAGGAACACTTCTTAGGATACCCCAGCAGCCAAATATAGATTTGGGGCCAATTTCAGAGCTAACAGACCTCAAACAAGGCAGGCAAACCGTGTCTGTCACGCGCAATCATCCGGACAAAAGTAAGGAAATTGGGGAAGGCTGGATTTTATCCGGACGAAATCGACTGATTTTCCGTTTTCCTGTCCGAATTTTTTGGGCCTGATTTCGAGCTTCGTGACACGGCCTTCTCACCTATTTTGGGGGGTCCTCTAATATCTATATTCGCGTGTGCGTGAAGCCACCACGCGATCGAACAATCAATCTCATCATTACCCGACACGGTACCTTCATCAATCATGATGATACTGTACTATGTCGACCGGTAATTCACATAACGCGTAACAGTCGCCTGTGAAGTGAATCTCCCGGTATATCGTAATGCATAACAAAGGGTAATGAAGTTAGCAGTCTACAGGTATCAAAGACACGATTTTTACGCCTCCAAAATACTTTTTCGGCGCCACTACATTACTGTAGTGTTTTTATGCCCCGTCTCACACATCAGCGCTGTATCCTTCCACGATTTCCTTGCGAGATCCAGTCTGAAGGGCTATAGGTGCTCATTGTTGGTGAGGGTCGGCTGAGACCAGCAGGGCGTTCCCTCCGCAAATGATGTGATTGTACAACTAGGTGAAATTCTTTTCATGATCTTATCTGATATGCTGGTGGCGCTTGCTCGGATGCTGCGAAGCTAATTTCCTAAACGTAATGCATAACATTGAGCTCTGAACAAGCTCTGAACCTCTAGTCAATTCACCATATACCATAACGCGTAACACCCAATGAAGCTACGGTCGAAATAGTACAGTATATGATACCATGCCTCATGGTGATGATGACCCGCGGTGATGTAATTGCCTCAGACCGCTTTTGATCACTCAAATCCATATATGGATTCTAAATAAAAAAGGAAAGCCCAAAGGCTAAACGACTTTGCGCTAAATTTAAACACAGTTTTACAGGTCCTTCTACAATCGACGCTTGCTCATTGAATAGAGGGACCGCGTTTCAGGTCTAGCATCGCCGATGCGCTCGTAAGAATCTCGGGACCTTTGAGGTGAGCATGTGAGCATGTGGACTGATCTAGCACTGTAATGAAAGGAGCCCCCGAAGACGCCCATTATGCTTGCATTTAAAGAGCCCGCTTGGCCCCCTTTTCGCCTTCGTCTCGCAAGGTTCGACTCTGATTTTAAAAATGCGTCTCATACCTCTTGAAGAATGCTCGTCTTGGTCATACGATTATGTCGTGGTCGGTCAGTGGCGTATCGTTTGAGTGTTCCTAGGCTCATCTATGCGAATCATATAATTACAGGCGGCGGAGTACGATTTCTCACATCGTAAATCCCAGCAACCATCTCATCGTGCGATATACAGACAGCGGGTTTGACTCTCGCAAGCCGACTTTCCGAAGATCCTTCTGTGTCCGTCCTTGTCCTCGAAGCCGGAGGTTTCGATCCTGACGATCAACTGATATGTGAGTTTCGAAGACCATGCCACAACTAAGTAGCTTATTATCCAGTGCGTCCTGCACAATACGGTGCGCATTTTGGTCAAGATGAATACGTTTGGCAGTTTAAAACGGTAAGTGATAGCATTCATTGATACAACGTGAAGCTACGGCCTCAATGCTTCGATCCAGGTTCCCCAGGAAAATGTTGCAGGAAGGCAGATTGGATGGGAGCGGTAAGAGAAAATATTTGTTTCCTCCTCATCTACATCATTTACCTGGCATTCTTAGAGGCAAAGTTCTTGGAGGTAGTTCCGCGGTCAACTTCTTAGCATGGACAAAACCTGCCAAGGGGGATATAGACGGTATTCTGGGCACTTTCTGACCGATTTCACACATCTGATTCCACACAGATTAGGAAAGGCTCGGAAATGTTGGTTGGAACTGGGAAAGCTTTAGCGAAACCGTTTCCAAGACAATCTCGTACGTTCTCTTTTTTTGTCATACTCGTTTGCTCATTGATACATACCTAAAGCGTTACTCCTCCAGAAACCTCAGCAGCAGAACCCGGGCGAGCCAACAATTTGGAAAGTTGGAAGTTAACGAAGAACGGTATTGTGTTTTTGTTATCTGTGACATAAATGTGGTATCAAAAGTGGATAATATTCTCAAGGACCTCTGCAACTATCTTTTCCGCGCACTTTACTGGATGTAGACATCCGTTTTCACGAAGTCCGTATAGGATTTTGGTAGAAATAACCACCATGCTAACTAGTCGGTACCAGGCTTTGGTCAATTCGGGTATTCAGAAAGCTCCACAGCCGGTCAGCGTCTCTCTCTGACCATGAAGTCTCTTTACTGACATGCGGATATCTTAGCTCGACGGAGATGTTCGTACATAATACAATACATGGGCCGCACCTTGCTCATTACTGTAAACTTCATAGCCCCACGGCACATTCTTCACTTTGAACACGTTGGATCCGTCATCGAATAATCGCTCTTACTCGACGGTATATCTCACTTCTTTTACAAACGAGCGTAAACTCAACTTACCCAACGACAGAGCTTTTTCCTTCGAAACTCGGCGCGTCCAAATCTTTCCATTCTTCTAAACGCATACGCTACGAAACTGGAAATTCCTAGCTCTGAAGGGGATTTGACGGCAACAGGAGTCGAGTTCATCCACCGGGACAAATCCTGTGTTGCGCGTGCAGATAAGGAAGTGATTCTTTGTGCCGGGTGGGTTGTCTTTGCATGATTCCAAGCCGCTATTGAAATTGTGTCAAAGAGCCTTGAAAACTCCTCAGATTCTGGAACTTTCTGGGATTGGACGCCCCAACGTATTGAAGCAAGTCGGTATTACTCCGTGTCTTGATCTCCCTGTGGGTGAAAATGTGCAAGAGCATGTATTTGTTTCACTGACCTATGGTCTGTCATCGATCCCGTTTCATGACTTCGATTATTCTTACTTTCTTCCAGAATTGAAAGACGGTGTACCAGATGAAACTCTCGATGTCCTCAACAATGAAATCCAACGGCAGCAGCATATTGATCTTCAGTATGTTTTTACCCGGCGTGTAAATTCCATCGTTCTCATAAATTTCAGTGCTCGCGGTCAAGGAGTTTTCACCATGGGCATCGTCCATTTCGCTTTCCTACCACTTAGTGACTTGTCTTCACGCTCTAGTTCTATCTATTCAGACACCATTGAATCTCTCAAAGCAAAAATAGATCAAGGAAGATACCCTCCAGGAGCTACGGAGACTCTCAGAATGCAAATACAAAAGGTTGAAAATCGGACTTACCTGGATTGCGAGATTGCAACGTTACCCGCCTTCTTTTCAGGCCCCAGTAAGAATTTCACGTTAAATGCATGTTTTCATCGACGAACCTCTTTGCAGACCCTCACAGGCCAGGCAAGAAACATTTCACGGTCTTCTGCTTCAATAACAGCTTATTCTCGAGGGGAACGGCGGTATGTTTCTTTGTTTATTGACGAAAATCTAATCTGAAAATGAGCTAGCATATAACCTCAAGTGATCCTTCTGCGCATCTGGCATACGATCCCCACTATTTCGAAGATAAAGCAGGTGAGAAGTGTAGCCATTGGTTGAATCAATGTTAAGTTCACCGCTTCCTTAGATATCGAGGCACTAGTTGAAACAGTGAAATTCGCTAGAAAAGTGTGCCGAACTGCTCCCTTCAAGGATGTCCTCGGTGTGTCAATCTTTCAATGTTGTCATCGGCCATCATCTCATGGTTCGAAACAGACGAGGAACCGATAGAAGTTAATCCGGGTCTCGAGGTCCAGAATGACGAGGAGATTTCGGGCATGCAATATTATAATTGTTCTGATTGCTTGTTCATGACGTTGCATTAGCTTGGATCAAACAGATCCTTTCCTCAACTTACCGTACGTGTTAATCTCGTCTGTAACACACACGTTTTCACTTCATGTAGACACGGTCGGAACTGCCTCGATGCTTCCAAGGGACAAGGGCGGGGTGGTAGACTCAAAACTCAAGGTAATCTCTGCTGCCGCTTCATCTACGTCGCTGGACTGAGTAACCGGTAGGTGTATGGCACCACCAATATTCGCGTCGCGGACCTGTCCATCGCGCCCATGCAAGTTTCCTCGCATACACAATGTCAGCCGTCCTTGTTTTATATTTTCGCATCTTGCATTGCTAACTTGATGGATGCAGCACTTGCCTACGGAATTGCTGAGAAAGGTCAGTATTTTCTAGTATAATCATGTCAACTCTTTTCACAACTTTTCGATAGCGGCGATAATCATTCGAGGCCAGACTTAAGTGTTGAGGTCAAGATAGATCGTCATAATGAGTTGCCCTATGTAATAAGGACCTCGTGAACAGAATAGCAATGTTTTGTGTATCAAGGAGCTTCAGCAAGCGCGACGGCAACTTTGAAGTAAGAACTAGGAAGGCTGAACGATCGCTCAACATATGGCTACGTGTTCATATTGGAGCAGTCTTGCACTGTGCTCAGAGGCTTGCGACCTGATCTTCGTTCAGCACGGGAGAGGTATTTTCGAAGAAGAGTATGATCTCATGATAGAGTAGTACAAGCCGATACTGTAAGGAGACTAGTGGATCTGTTAACGGTGTAAGGTAACAAAAAGCAATAATGATAAACCCAAGATCAAGCAGAATTAGCGGCGCGATGCTTTTGGCGGTCGACATATCCTTCTATCATATTCATCATGTTACCCAAACCCCGCTCTTCAGGTAGCCATTCGCCGTTGTTGACACAAAGAACTTTCATACGCTTGTGGTACTGCAGGTCGGCAAGAAGCTTCGGCGTGATGAGAAAGTATTGTCCACTCTCTTCTTTGCAAGTCGTTTCAACCATGTTGTTGTGTACTGCTCGTTCGGCCCGCTGGTCCATACCCTGATTAATCTCATCCACAAGTGAGAATGGCGCACGTGCTTGTTCCGTCAGACTCATCAGATATAGGATTGTTGTCAGTGAACGCTCCTAAACAATATGGGATTATCAAGTCTTGCTGATTATTCAAAAGATGACGCACCCCTCCAGACTGTCGCTGACTGGTAAGAAGTTGTAACTTTTCGTCATCACGGAACTTGACTAGAATGTCAATGGTCCACTTGTCATAGTCCTCGTGCTGACCGATGCGTATTTCTCCAGCGCAGCCAATACCTAACGAATCCCGTCTTTTAAGTACAGAAGATATGGGTAAATGGACGGACATACGATCGAAGGCCGCCGAGAATTTCTCCCCGATCCTTGCAACGAGTTGCTCGAGAGCAGGTTCCCAATTGTCCTGCAGAGAAAATGTGTTCGCGAGGATCACCAGAACCGAAGGACAATGCTTACCCTGGCCTTCTTGATTTTCTGCTCTACCCGCTGGGCATTTGACTGCTTTTGTTCGACAGTTCTCTCCAACGCTTCGATCTGAGCACGAATAGTCAGTCATGCAGTAAGGTGAACGAAATGGAGATGACTAACATCTCTCTTCCGTTTCTCATACTCCTCAATAACGCCAGGATTAGTGTTCAACATGATCTCCAGTTGGGCTTTCTGGGCGTCGAATTCGGCCTCGAGGTCCTGTGTACTCCGTAGATCAATGCCTTGGTCCGATGGAGGCGCCGTCCCAGCAGCTTCGGCCTCCTCGAGCTTCTGGTCATATTGAAAACGAGCATTTTGTATTTCTTCATAGAGTTTGTTGGTGTCAGGATCACAGTTGTCGATAGCGTTTCGACTGTCGAGCAATAATTGCTTTGATTCTGCTTTGATTGCTTTGAAAGCCTCGTCCGCTTTGCCGACGTCAGTTCATGCTACGATGCACGACGACAGAACGAACCTCTATTGAACTCGGCCAGAGCGACATTGTATCTTTCATCCTTCCTGTTACAAAGCTCTTTTAGAGCAGCATGATTGGCACCTGACTTGAAGAAATTCCAGGCCAAGACGCGTCGCCCTGCTTTGCTCCTCGATGATGGATTTGGCATATTCCTATGACCAGATGAGTCCCCCCAAGCAGCGCCAGGTGCGGAGGTAACACACCTTGTATTCCTTGACTATTGCAATGCGCTGCTTCGATATCTTATAGATGCCTTTCTTGATCTGAGCACGCTCTTGCTCTACAGAGGGCGCGTTCAGTAACACCCGGAGGGCTCCCTCATCCCGTTCTGCGAGGCATTTCGGTTAGTAGTATGTCGTGAACTTGGAATATATCTTCATTACTTTGCCTGGTCGTCAGAGTAGTGCGTCTTTGTACTTCCCTCTGGATAGCTTCTCTGCGAGCGTTGATGTCGTTCTTGACAAGCCATCAGAAGAGGTTAAGGAACAAACGAGACAACACTCACAGCCCGCTGTTGGAATTTGGAGTCTTCCGCTTCGACAGCCGACAATTTGTAACGAAGGTCGTCGTGTTCTTCCTTGAGCATGTCAAGCCTTTGTTTGTGCTCAGCAATTTCCCCATCAATTCGGTTTTTGAGCTCAGGATCAACTGAAGCCAGTTTAGCAAGAATCAACGAGAATACGGATAACTATACCTGACGCAGCGACGAAACTCTTTGCTTCTCCAATATCCCGAGTCATGTTTTGTGCCAATTTCTTACCATATCTGGAGCGTGTGACGATGTTGTAGGTCGTTCCAGCGATGAAGTTCGCTGGACCGGTCCGTGATTGACAGACTGTATCCATTGCACGATTGACGTCGACGTTGTGGCTTCCAACGGCCTGTGGTAATGTACGTCAGGCCTATCGAATACCTAACTGAACGAAGTGGCACTTACAATCCTGTGTAGATTCAGTTCAACTTGCAAGAACCACTCCAAACCCTGCGGACAAGTGACGTAGTCAAGCAAATATCCAGAAAAGCCAAGTCTGGCCAGCTATAAACATCAACGTCAGAAGCTTGTCATACAAATAAGTTATCGCATACCTCGTCACGTTCCATAGGCTGCGGAACGAAAAGCCGGTCTATGCGGGCCCTGTACCAGGTAGTTACCCAAACCTTTCTACCAAGGACTTGGTTGTCATTAAGATTACGATTCAAAGTATCATAGTCCTCTTGACACTGAGCGACAAAGGTCTGAATCATAAACATCAATGACGGGCCGAAGACAGCTTGAGCGGTGTACCCACTTTCATATTGTTGGCACTAAAAGCCATCTCAACTGCGCTGGCGAAAGCGCGATCTGGAACATTCACAGAAAGATAGGGAGGCTCAAAAACCTCCATCTTGAACTTGTCCTTGTTATTACGATACCACGTAACCGCATCGGCCGTGTCCCTATCCCAACGAGACAGCATCTGAAGTTTGCGCACCTCGACATTGTCGAGCCTTCGAAGCCTGATAAAGGTAAGCTACGCCCTGAATGACTGATGTAGAGATACCCACTCTTCCTGCGACTGTTGTAATTGACTCTTGGAACGATACTCTTGATCAAGGTTGGTTTTCATCTCTGCTTCAAGCAATCGCTTGCGCCCAATAACGTTCTGTCTCTCATGTCGCACTTCATTCTGAGGACAGCATCGGAACGTGTTTCGTAGATGATCTATGAGTGAAGCATACCATCTCGCGGGCTAGGTCTTCTTCCTTCTCAAGTTTGACTTCCTTCGCCAGTTCCTCGCGAATGCTATCGATGTTAGCCCGGATCCTTTTGATCTTCGCTGAACGGTCCTTCTCCTCCGATTCAAGGGTTTCAAGTTTTAAGTTGAGATCTTCCACGTCGTTTTCCTGGGGGTACGTTTAACGAAGAGTCGAGAAAATAATGCACGATGCATACCAATTTCTCGTCTTCGTTCCACCTCTCATTAATCTTTTTAAATTTGCTCTGAGTAGATCTCTTCGAATCTTCTCGATCCTTCTCAAGTTTCTTGTGTTGCAAAGCAAATCGCCTTGGGAAGTATTAACCAACAGCAGTCAAACCATATGAACCACATACTTTAGCAGATCGTGAGCAGGTGCGTTCTTATCCTTCAATGCAACGACCTTGTTGTGGCACCGACGTTGCTCTGCTTTAACAATCTGATACTTTTCTCGTGCCTCCCGGTACCTTTGAACAGGAACAAGTACTTCGAGCAGGGCGATCTTCATTACGTGAGTCCTTGTAAGTAGTCTTAAGAGATAAAACAATACCTCTTGTTCGATCTTTTGGCGCTCTAGACACCGCTGAACATCCCGTTCAATGGCCTCATTCCGCTCCCGCATCTGCTTCAATTGATCCGTCTCGCTTTTGATGAGCTGTATTGGAGAGGCATCAGTATATGAACGAATGGTACAAAACGGTCCCCACGTCGTTAATCTTCTTCATATCAGCACCCGCCTCAATAAGAGTCGTATGCCACGCTGTTAAATTCTGGTCACCGGCCGCGCGTTGTGTCTCCTTCAGAAGGTCTTGAGGACTCATCGCGGCAAACTCTGACACCTTGTCTTGAGGTAAGAACGTACTGGTAACCGAACATTGGTAAGTAGTTCTCTAAGAAATCATACTAGATCGACCCTACCAGAGGTTGCCAATTTGGACGTTCAGAGCAGCCATTTGCGACGAGATCTCTCTCCCAGTGGCGGCTGCGCCATTCAAGGTGAAAGTGGAGGTTTTGGAAGTAGACGTCAGGTTGCGACGAATAACCAAGTTCGGCTTGCCCTCGGGGCCTTTCAGTTCTATCTCGATGTGTCCCGATGTCTTGCCTTGTTTGACAAACGAGTTGATTTCATTAGCACGACCGAGGATCTACAAGAAGAATACTATATTGAGATCAGTTTGCCTGATATATAGATAGAGAGACGAACCTGCGGCGACCACCCAAGACCAAGGCAGATAGCACACGCGATACTGCTCTTTCCAGTTCCATTAGGACCGATGATCATGTTGAGATAAGGACCCGGCCGGAATTCAACCCAGTCATAAGTAACGAAACTTTGCAGCTGAATGCGAACGATAGAGCCGGGAATAAACCTTTGGAAAACATGAGCGGCAAATTTAGGGGGGAATGCACTTTGGGACTTACCCATCCGTGTCTCTAGGTAATGTCGCGACGCGTTCGTGTTCTATAACGTCATCATCGTCATCCGCAGGATGCGAGTCACCATTGGTGTTCAGACGCGTCCGCTTACGACCCTTGGGAGAGCCACTGGCGCCTTCCTCATCCAAATCATCTCCATTTCCATCAGCATCACCTCCCATGCTCTCGTCGCGTCTTTCGTCATCCTCTTCTTCGTCACGAACACGCCTTTTCCCTTTGTTCTGCTTCGCGTCTTCGGCCTTGACCTTGGATACCTTCTCCGCCTTTACCGGTTTCTCGGCCTTGACTTTCATCGTTTCCCTGGTATCTTTCGTGCTAGCGTTATCGGATGACGCGTTAGGTTGACGCGCCATGTTCTGGCTGAGATGAGGGTTGAAAGAAAGGAGAAGCGCGCAGGCTCAGTAAGAAAAGATTGCGCACGTGCATCGGTGTTATGAATGAACACCGATGTGGCATCTCTTGAAATTAAATTGAGATTTCGAAAGCATCACCAAAAAAGACCCAAGTAATCATAATAATATACACGTATAGTATAGTTGTTTCGGAGCTAATGTTTGACTCTACCACTCGCAATGTCCTGGAGAAATCCGACTGTCTCTGTACGATATGTATCAGGAATCACTTGAGTTTGGTGATTAACGAATACAAGGTTCTGCGGATTCCTAACGTCATATGTTGGCCAGAAAATCGATGCTAGAGAGGTATGTCAGTATCAAAGTGGTACCTCGATATCGAAACCTATCTAACCATTATCGTCATTCGGATCGAGATCATGAACAAAATTAATCCAGTAGGTCTGCCTAAAGGAATTATCAATGATCAGAAGTATTAAACCAGAGACGAGAGAACTGCGGACATCATTTTAGAAGTTTCTAAGTCTCCCGGTCGGTTACCAAGTGGCGTTCGTTGTGTTCGTTCCAAAACACCATATATCTGGGAACATGGTGTATCAGATAGAGCTGGAAATATTCTGGTTGAAGCCTCACATATGGAAGTTCCTGAAAATGACCCACACCAGCCTCCATGGTCCCATTTTGAGGAATCTGGTGGAACCTGTAACTCCAGGTAGGCGATCTCAAAGAGTTTCGGGAAAGTAGATGTCGCGTTCCAGCAACAACGCTATCAGTCCAGATGGCGTAGGACCTCTTGTCCATGATACCAGAAGATAATACACCTTCCCCTGTATCGTAAGGACATCCTTCCGATGGGATATTAGGATAAAGTGCTAGTATTTTGTCGATGGTGGCATTGCTGGGATTCAAGTCCGAGAAGCCATCTATAAATCGATCAGTCCTGTTTGCGTTTCTCTTCTTTGATGATCCTTACGGGTTATGCCTTGCCTGAGTGTATCCTCGTCGTTCACACCAAGTGGAGGGTTGAAGCCAACTAGCATTGATACCGTTAGAAGGAAGGTCATGAAAGGTGTCGCCACTTACACGTCGCTTCGTCTTTATTATTGCCGGCTATCACTGGAACGCTGAAGAAATTTCCATCCTGCAGTGCCTTGTACGGAAGCTCCTGGATGAAATCACCATCCGGGACCTCGAGTGGCCAGTAGGTTACGTTCAAGGTGGCAGCATACAGATCATCAAATGGCACGGAGCGAAGGCATGAAATTTTGTCGGATGAGTTATTACAGCCGGCGGTTTTCAGCACTGAGGATCTTCAGTCAAAACCAAAGTCAAATCCGCCATACGACTTACGAGAGTTCCAAAGACCGTCTTGGGAAGAAAGTGACGCGTTCCTTATGGCAAAAACACCTGAATCCACTATGGCTCCCCGAAATAGACCTTCGTTTTTACCGCCATAAGCGGCCATATGTATAGTGGCGCTGATTCCACCGACAGACTCTCCCCAAATAGTAACTTTCTTAGGTGATCCGCCAAACTACAAGCTTGATATTGAGATCCAGGGAGAAAAGAGAGGAGAACCGTAGCTTACAGCAGATATATTATCTTGTAGCCATTGTAGAGCCAGTCGCTGTCACAGTGAAGTATCAGAAGACATGAAAGGCGAAAACTTGAAGTCTAGTAGGCACCTACTTGATCTCGAATACCCAGGTTGAGTATACTGGCATCTGCAGACTCTTCTCCTAGGGGGAACCCGAAAACAGATAGACGATAATTGACGGACACAAAGATCTAAGGCGAATAACGCGTCAGAAACGATGCGAATTGAGAATCGCTACGCACAATAGGCTTTCCAAGCTCAACAGAACGCTGTACAATATAACTTCCGTTGAAGCGGGGATCCGTTGCAGATCCTACATACCAGTTTCCGCCGTATCTGCCAAATCATCATCTAATCAACTCGTCATTCTTGAAACCAGGCTACTTACATCCACAAGAGGACAGGCAGTTCAGTCCCATCAGATACACCTTCCGGTCGGATGATGTTGATTCGCAGGCAGTCTTCTTCGACACCAAAGAATTGCGCATTAGTCCCTCCTGGACACGCCTTGCCCCATGAAGTCGCATTTAGAGGGGCTTCCCAAGACGTGTTCAGAGGTTTAGAGACCATGAGACGCTAGTAATTGCATAGTCAATGCGACACAGTGTAACGAGATATGAAACAGATGCGTGCACACGTTTTCATCGGCGACGGACTGGGCGTAGGGTATGTTAAGAAAAGCTTCTTGTCCCATGCTCGGGATGGAGAGACCGTGCACGGTACCATTGGAAATCGTGACCGCAGGACTGTAGCATGTAACTTGAAGAATGAGAAGGCTGAGAAAGACAGCCAGACGAAACATAAGGGTCGGCGTTTCAGGATAGTTCAGCTGGTTTCCAATAGCGCCTCTTATATCTTGAGGTTTATGGTCCGCCAGGAGCACTACATCGGTGCCTGTAGGACGTCCAATGGCACGAAACGTATTTATGGTGGCGTCCTAGTAAAAGCTCTGCAATTGAAGGTAAGAACGGCTGTAGCGCGGCATGAATAGCATTATACATCAGAAGTGCCAAAAGATCTCACCCACCATTTCTCCAGTTAGACAGAGAACGGGACGATGTGGATGGTAGTGGTGGTGTTACCGGTGTGCGCGCCCGGTAAGCCCGGAAACGCTGCAACAATTAAATTCTTCAGATACGTTCAGAGGTCCTCCGGCGTGTTCAAGCATCTTTTCACGGGGAAGAGTGCAGGTCCGCCCGCTAAATCAGCTCAAATGCCCAAGTTCGCGATAGTCGCAACGTGTGTAAGTGTGAAAAAGAAATGTTCTATTTTTAACTGTTCCGCCAATAATTTACCGACAGAATCACAGGATGACTAAATTCGAAAGGCGCTTTGAATGCGAAAGCAAATCCAGGTACACAATAACTTAATGTAGATAAATACAGTTACAATATCCGCAAGCCTCCAGGTAAGAAAGAAATCCGCGCCCCAAAAGAACCTTATACCGTAAACACGACGTCCAAAGCTTTGAAAGCCGTATTTCCTGGCCATACCTTAACAGGCACCTCACACTCGACAGTCTCGACCTTGACGTCTTTCCAGCCATCACGACCACCGCCAAAATCGACCCCAACCCCCACTCCGCCACCAGGATCAGCTTTTATACCATCGATCACTTCGACATCTTCTTCATCCCCATCGTGATACTCACTCTCCCCTGTTCCTAGGATAGATGCAGCTAAATACGCCGCCCATCCTTGCGGCTGTGGAGGGCGCGCAGGTACGACGGGTTTCTCCATGGGCGCAATGCTTTTTGTAGCCCACCATGAGGCACCCCATTCACCTTCAGGCCCATCCCGAACAAGACTCTTCATCCTCACACCCTCGGTACCCGCGTGCGACGACTCTGCGGCAATTGAAACCAATAAGCATAACCGAACTTTCCACTCTAACCCGCCTGGCTTGGTGGAAGAATCGTCTCCAATGGATATTTGGAAAGCCGGGCTGCCATCAGATGGTATGTCAAGGGAGAAAGTGGTGCGTAATGTGGACAGAGTGAAGGAGGAATGGTGTTCAGCGTGAACCCGCCGCAAGTGTCTGGAATTGGACGGACTAGATATCGACGAAGGAAGGTGTTCCTGTGTTTCAAGCATCGCAGACATCTGTAGGACTCTTGATCGGCTTGTCCGTTCATTCAACTCGACAACGCCCTGGATAGTTTCCCCCAATCGGTAAGCAGACTTCGTAAACGTGAGAACAGCAACCTTAACGCTGTCTTTGGTGACATCGTAAGAGGCTAGAGGAAACAAAGGGCTTTTAATGGTGCCTGGCGACAGTATTAGAGCGTGCCAACCTTTCTTTGGAATTCGCGTTAAGATTTCCACAGCTTCTCTGCACCCTGTTAGCCCTCCCGAGTCCTCCTCTGAATGTGAATAGTGCCGACGCCATTCTCTCCCTTCGCCAACTGTTTCAGGGGGGATCTTGATTCTGGCGCCGTTGGTATTTTGGTCAGGTATTGATAGCAGGAGATGTCGCGCATAGCTCTTGACTTCTTCAAGGGATCCTGTACCTGTCCTCACCTTTTTCTGCTGTTGCGTGTCTTCCACGACAGATCCCCTGATATCCACCCGAGACTTAACTGGCCACAATAGGTCATATGGACGCGGCGTACGACCAACTTTCGTCCGTTGAGTGTGTTTCATATAAAAGATGATTCACAGAGTGACTTACCCTGAACGTTGTTGTACATCCTGATCGGCACTTTCATTACCCGACTAATACTGTTTGAACTCGTGCTTCCCGCGCGGCATGTACCTACCGCTAGCTCGTATGAGAATTTGAATGACCGACCTCGGAATGTCGGCGGTAAGTTGGAAGGTAGTGAAACAGTGTACGTATCTGTTATTACGGTCAGAAATAGTAACAGAGCCGAACAAGGGGAGGCATACAGGTTCTTGATTCGCCGGGCAACAAGGACAGGTCCACAGCTAACATCACAGGTTGTATTTCAATGATGGGGAGGGGTGCATCAGGATCGATGTCTTCGATCGGACCGAATCCCATCCATGACGAAGAAGGGGAAAATGACGAGGAGGTTGAAGGTGTCCGTACGTGTGGACTTCCAGATGAGCCTGGAGTCGAGGGAAAGTGAGGGGCCGACAGAGAAGGAGAAAGGAGAGAAAGTATCCCTGAAGATATAGACGATGAGCGACTATGCGAGCGCCGGCTACGGGGACGTAAGTTTTGTGAAGAAGTAATGTCCATACTTCCTCCGCCAACGACAGGGCGCCTAAGAAGAGAGGATCGTAAGGAATTGAGGGTCTGTGTTTGCTCCAACGAGGTAGGTGTCGTTGTGATTATCAGTGAACCCGTCAGCTGGACATATGAATAAAGTATTAATTCGGTGTTCGTCTGTGGAAAGGTGGATGAAAATGCAGTTCGGGGCGGAATACGGAGTCTACTGTCCGGTGGAGGCTGACCCAGTCCTATTTGGGCGGGACGTCGCGAGGGACGGTAGGACGATGGATACGCGTGGACGGCATTTGAAGGGAAATGTGAAGACGACGTTTCTATTCGTGGGGACGAAACGGACGGTACGGGAGGGTAAGGCGTGCTCGTTGATTCTATTATTGGATCAAGGACCAGGGAAAATGTTGATGTGGAAGAAGTTGGTGTGTACGGAGAAGACATGCTTGTCGGAGACGTCATTTCACGAAGAGACAATTGCCCATCAAGCAACGAATCTTTCCGTGCATGGGGATGGTTCGCAGCAAGGGGAAGTGTATCTGACCGCGAAAGAGGTGAGGAAACGTTCGGAGTCGTAGGATCTAGGAAGTTGTAAGGAACAACAGGCTAGGAAACCGAGACCACGACATACTTATATAAGACCCTTCATCGAATCCACGCTGGAGAAATGATGCGGATCTGGGAATGTCGGCAAGTTCGTCTTCAAGTTCGTGGGGAGCGATGGCAACAGACAATGACTTTGCGAGCAATCGTTTTCGCCGTTGCTCGATCAAGTCCGGGAGTGTATCAGATCCACGAGGACCAATGTTCTGTCCAATGAGACCTTTTCTCGAAGGAAGGACATCTCCCCTGCGTGTCCGTTTAGGAACGAATGGGTTTGGTGTACGGGTACCAGGCGATGTCGGTGGTCGAGAAATGGGTGCAGAGCTTATTGAATGGGCTCCTCTCTTGTGTGTATGAGAAGCTGATCTGGGCTGCACTGGTGCCTCAGGAGAGTGCGTATTGGTGAAGGTTATCGTGACCGCGAACGGCTCTCCAGCGAAATACGATGATTGAGAAGGTGTAACGGTGATTCGCAAGGCCGCGTCGAGCTCGTTGGATGACGTTGTCATATCTGGTAATACCACGATACTGGAAATATTGCAACGTTAGGTATTGTATTGAAAAAATCTATTCTTGACACGCACGAAGATATTTCCTGTCTAGTAATAGTGCCACGTATACCAGCAAATGCATTTCAGCCCAGCATGTCCTTGGCCATAAAATAGGTGTGCCTTGTAAGTGCGGTGTTCAATGGTGGTGTCCGGAAGGAAGAGGACGCTAACAGGCGTTGCAAGCCGAAGACTTGCAATTCGGGAGGCAAGCTGTACAGTTAGTTGACCAGGCCTGTCCGCTCCAAACAAACCCGGACCGGGATCAACCGGCGCGTAGTCGGTGCATCTCCGAGTCATCATCCCCTGTTCATCTTCTTGTTGCGTCAATATGGGTCACCTTATCACACTTGCAACGTAAGTATCCTTACAAAACTTTCTGCCTACTCTCATCCTCTCGCAGATGGTTAGTTAAATTGCTGTGATCTTTAGCTCCGTCTGATGTTCACTTCCTCCAGTTCACTCAACCAATGGGCTCTTGACTTTCAAGTAACGTCTGCAATAGTTGGCCGGATCTCTTACCATTATCTAATTGGGCGCACCAGGGAAACTTTGAGCGAATCTTATCCAGCATCGCTATCGCCAAGAGTAGAGGCGCAACATTGAGAGTGGGTCCAGAGCTGGAGATACCGTGAGCATAGTCAGCTGTGACGATGAAGCATTGACTGTTTTCAGTGGATATGGGTGCCTAGATCACTTTCTCGAAGGTATGATTTCATCATCTACCGTGTTACACTGGTTTATCTTCCGCAGGGGACACGGTTCTTCATTCTTGGGAAGTCTTGGCAAAGATTTTGGCATCTGAAGAGGCCATGGGAATCGTGTGCGACTTAGGAATGTAAGCCATATCATAATCAAGTTCCCTGTTCAGCTCTCAACCGAACTCAGGCCGGTCGTACACAAGAACGTTATCTATAACTGTAGGGTGATCATCCATGACAGGAAGATTCTTTTGATTAGGCCGAAAATGTGGATGGCTAACAATGGAAACTACCGTGAACTCAGATATTTTACGCCATGGATGAAACATAGGCAATGGGAGAACCATTTCTTACCGAGGATCATCCAGGCCGTCACTCAGCAGGTATCTCAGTTTTTTTTTGCCTGTTCCGTGACTGATAGCAACTGAGGTTACCGTGCCTTTTGGGGATGCTGTTGTCAGTACTGCGGATACTTGCTTTGGGGTAGAATTGTGTGAAGAATTGTTTACTCCTGCTAGGTCCGTTCACTTCCACCCAGCTGTTTGTCTCTCTAAAGTTGGTAATATTAGCCCCCATATTCTCATGGGCTTAGATGGTGTTGAAATTTTCACCAATGCGAGCGGTAGTCATCACGAGCTCCGGAAGCTCTATACTCGTGTTGAGTTAATAAAGGAGGCTACATTAAAGGTTCTCTTCAATTGCATGGAAGGGTGACATTCACTGACGGCTGCTCAGTTGGGAGGCGTTTATTTGTACGCAAACCAACAAGGATGCGATGGTGATCGACTGTATTACGACGGATGCGCTATGATTGCTGTCAACGGAAGGATTGTAGCTCAGGGATCCCAGTTCTCTTTGAATGATGTCGAAGTTATAACTGCAACAATCGATATTGAGGATGTCCGCAGCCACCGTGCAATCAGCAGCCGAAGCATGCAGGCGGCCTCCGCGGAAAGATATCATCGTATCGAAGTTTCCTTCTCGTTATCAGCGGGAAAATTTGAGGAGGTGAGGGACGAAGATATGGTGGGATTTTTATCGTCCCGCCCTTACGAAGTGAAGTACCACCGACCCGAGGAGGAGATCGCGTGAGTATTGTTTCACTGAAACCATCCTAAGGCTCAAGTTTCCAAAGTTTGGGTCCTGCGTGTTGGCTTTGGGACTACCTACGCCGCTCGCGCACGCAAGGGTATTTCGTACCATTGAGCGGTGGTATCGACAGTTGTGCGACTGCAGTCATCGTGTTCTCTATGTGTAGACTCGTTGCAGAAGCTGCGCGCAGAGCAGGTCGGTGATATCGCGCAGTTCAGCTCTCTCCTACTTAAATGTCAGCGTAGATAAGCAAGTGATCGCGGATGCCCGGCGCATCGTCGGAGAACCCGCTGACTCTGGGTATATTCCTTCGGATCCACGCGAATTTTGCAGTAGAATCTTCCATACTTGCTACATGGGCACTGAGAACTCGAGTACAGAGACTCGTAAACGAGCGAAGGATTTGTCTGAGGCTATCGGAAGGTGCTGGTTCTACTGACCCAAATGTTCATCGAGATCTTAACCTTTTTCTAGCTATCACATCGACTTGAATATGGATTCTCTCGTTACAGCTGTTCGAAATTTGTTTGGTTTCGTTACTGGTGTAAAGCCTCAGTTCCGCGCTCAGGGTGGTAGCAGTGCAGAGAATTTAGCATTGCAAAATATTCAAGTGAGAAGAACCCTACTTCTATCACATTATTATCTAATAACCATCTACCAGGCCAGACTCCGAATGGTAATTGCGTATCTTTTCGCTCAGCTCCTTCCATGGGTTCGGGGACGTGTTGGCGGATTACTAGTCCTTGGAAGCGCCAATGTGGATGAAAGGTACTGTGACACACTCATTCTCTGTAAAAGCTCTAATGACTAGCGCTATCTATGCAGTCTGCGTGGCTACCTTACGAAGTACGACTGCTCTTCAGGTGTGCAGCTTCTCAGTAGTGACTCTTACACAACCTCATGAACTGTTTTAGCCGATATTAATCCCATTGGAGGCATCAGTAAGACCGACCTAAAGAAATTCATAGCTTACGCCCGAGATTCCTTTGACTTGCCGATTTTGGACAAGTACAATGCCTCCCTCTCAAACCTTGGTTCTGTACTAATCGTCGACTAGATTCTTGGATGCAGTTCCTACCGCTGAGCTAGAACCGATTACTGAAAATTATGTGCAGGCTGATGAGGTACGTTGATTATTACATATGGCTACTCTAAACTGACACATCTGTTAGGCCGACATGGGTATGACCTACGACGAGCTATCTGTCTTTGGTAGACTTCGCAAGGTGGAAAAATGTGGTCCCTATAGCATGTTCACGAAACTGGTGCATGAATGGGGATCGTTCTTGTCCCCAGTGCAGGTCCGAATGATCAGGATCAAGGGATTGGGAATGTAGTCTGACAAATAACCTCCTTTAGATTGCGGAAAAAGTCAAACTTTTCTTCTTTGAACACGCCCGTAACCGTCACAAGATGACTACATTGACGCCGTCTTATCATGCAGTACGTTCACTCCATCGCAGGCGAAAGTTTAGCTCATAGTCTCTCTAGGAATCATACAGTCCCGACGATAACAGTGAGCCCATTTCAAATTCCGAAAAAGTTGCGATTGATTGTGTTCATTAGGGTTCGATCTGCGCCCCTTCTTGTACCCTTCTCGATTCCCCTGGCAGTTCAAAAAGATAGATGATGTCGCTGCCGTCTTGCCAGATAGATCTCATTCTGCGGATAAGGCGAAGACGGATTGAAGCACTGGCTTATAGATATAATGCAAATGTTAAAGTGTAAGTGTGTAATGGCGTGTAACAAGTCTCTTCATCGTGTGCCTAATGTCCGAAGGTCGGAAATACGTTCGTACATACATTGAGACAGGTGCGTCGTCCAGAGATATCCCTTTAAAATAGGGTCGCAAGGCACAGAATGCGGGAGAGTTCCTATTCCTGAACCTGTGCAGATGGTGTTAAGAAACGGAACTCGGTACAGTTACGATGACAGGAGGCACAAAAACATGCGTTGGCCCAAGGTCAGGTCTCAAATCGGAAGACTGAATGTTTCAACGACGAGACCAGCAGAAGATATCTTCGAGACATGTGGTGATTTTCGCGAGATATGTTTCTGAAAATGATAGTCCCAAGGGTACTTGTCAGACATGTATGCATGAATCTCAGACTGGGGCCAACGTCCTGGCTGCTTCCTTTTTTCTAGATGATTCCTCCGGCGAAGTTCTATTCACGTAATCCTGGCGCGCGCATCTGAAAATAGCATTTCCTCAGACGTCTTGGCTGACCTCCACCGTATAAAGTGCAATGCTCGGCTTGTCAGGATACGCCTTTCGCCATGCTGTTACGATCCCTTGCTATCTGTGCTGCGATTTCTGTTACTTTGGGCTGCGGCGACGATGATGGGCATGTCCATAGGCGCAGTAAGAGAGCGAATCCGTCGTCTCCATTAACTCCACCATCTCGACCTTTGGAGTGGGGGGACATCAATATCATCCATACGACGGACACTCACGGATGGCTACTTGGTCACCAAAAGGAGTCCTTCCCGGAGCCAAACTACAGGTAAGCAGCAACGCAGTGTACACTCAAGCTGGGATCTCAGAGAGCATCGCGCCCAGTGGCGATCTAGGTGACTTGTCGTCGTTTGTGGCACGTATGAAGGAAATAGCGATCGTGAGTCTGTGACATGGTCCGCCTTTTCGCTAACGGCGTGTATGTTACTTAGGAAAAAGATGTGGACCTTTTGCTCGTCGACTCCGGAGACATACACGATGGTGAGTATGGAGAGAATTTTCCATGATTGATGTATCTCAACATGTATTGTTTAGGCACAGGTCTATCTGATGGTTACCCACCTGGCGGTGTCGACGGTCGTGAGGTCAGCTTGATCTGTCTCCCCTCGAGCTCAAATGCGAATACAACATACTTTATAGACCACTCAATTCTTAGCCCAACTCCCTTATGATGTTATGGCCATTGGAAAGTAAGTACTTGCCCGACTGTATTCTCAGCCTTCTGACCGTCGAATTCCAGCCATGAACTCTATGTATATGCTGATACCCTCGACATGTCCGTCTGCCCAATTGAATCCGATTGTCTACCACAATTAACTTCTGGAATATTCAGGTATCAGAATTTGGCACCGAAGCTCAATGGGCGATATCTTTCATCGAACGTCAATATCACCGTTGCCGATCAGAACAACAATACAATCGACGTACCCGTAGGTAGTAAGTATTACGTTCTTTGAGCGAGGGTGATAAGAGTATTGACACTTGCAACTCTAAGATCGGTTCGCCAAGTTCAAGACACGAAAGTCAGTCCTCCCTAAAGAGATTCACGGAATATTCAGCTAAAGTGTCGTGATGCCAGAGGTCGATCAGTCACAGCTTTGGGAGTTATATTCGACTTCACTGGGAACTATCACAACACTACTGTTCAGAAGGTCGAGGATATGGTGAACGAGCCTTGGGTAATTTTTTTCGTACTTGCTTCAGAAACAATACACTTAAGAGATACTAAAGTTTTTAGAAGCTATTCAGGAAGAACCGGACTTCTTCTTGTTGGCTGGGTAGGTCCATTTCCCTATTTCGTAGAAAACCGCTGTGTTGATTCTCATAATAGGCACATGCCTGTTGCTCGCGACAAATGTTAGTACTATTCGATTTCACTACCCGGTCCAGATTGATGTCTCGGTCATAGGGCCTTTCGTGTTTGATGCTGTACGTGCTGTTCATCCAACTACACCCATCATTATACTTGGCGGTAAGAGTTGCCTTATGTTAGATTGTCCGAACCTAGAAGCTAATACACACGATGCCAGGTCATACTCATATTCGGGACTGCCGTCAGTCCTTCTTGTTTTTGTTAAATGTGCTTGTAACGCTCACAGACACGCTTTATCAGTCCAACTCGACGGACGATCTATGTCATTGGAGAGTGGGCGTTATATGGAAACTATTGGCTGGATGAGTACGTCAATCGTGATGAGTCACACTAGAATATCTTATATCTTCCCGTCTAGGTCTTAAGCTCGACGAAGAGAATGAATTCGAAAACTTAACTTTCAGTCGGCGCTATCTGGATAATAATCGTGTCACTTATGAGGTCAGTCCTGCCTGTTATGATTAGTATCTCTCCTAAATCGCTTGTCAGTATCACACTAGACAAGACATGTCTTCATTCGACACGACAAAAGGCCAAGAAATTACCGCAGGATTGAATCAATTGTTTGTTGATTTCGACCTCGGGCTCACATATGGAACAGCTCCACAGGATTATACGTTAACCCAGTACGTATTCTTTATATCTAATCGCTCAGTGAAAGCATTCCAGTATACTTACAACTACTGTGACATAGAGTTCCCTACCCTTCCAACAGTTCCCTGCTATCCCTTTTTGCTGAATTAGTACGAGTTCTCCCTTATGCAACGTTCAACATTCTGAATAAATATTTATAGGCCACACCGTACGCGTTATCTCTTAACAACACTCGTGCCGATATTCCAAACTACGTGGTCATAAACTCCGGTTCACAGCGTTTCGATATTTACTCCGGAACATTCAACAAGAATGACCGGCTCACTGCCACTCCATTCACAGATACCTTCTTTTACATCCCTGGGGTACTACGCTCTGCCGCACTAGAAACCGTTCAAGCTCTAAACCAGAATGGTGCAGCCAATCGGCGGAGTTTGGAGAAAGAGGAGGAGTTGTATGCATCGGGCGACGTGCGAGCGAGGTACATGGAGTGGCTAAGCGAGATGGACCGAAGGTACCATCAACTAGAAAGACGCAATGACTATGTTACAGATGATTTGAACTTGGGATATGTTACGACGGACGTAAGTTCTACAGTATACTCTCTGCCTCTCATCATACTCATATTCTCTCAGTCTTGCCCGGGTGTCGGTGACGATACACTTCATATCCCACTTCCATACTACGATGTTCCCGACTTCATTGCCTCGAATCCGCCTAACGTGTCAAACGACACGCTTATTGACTTTGTCTTTGTCGATTTTATAGAAACTCAGCTGTTGGAGACCTTGAATACCGTTCAAACGGAAAAGGTGTACACAACAGCTGATGTGTCGATGTATAGCACTGTGGAATTGAATGAAATTATGGGCCTATACGCGCAATATGCGTGGAACCAGTGATACCGAGCGCTCTGATTTTGTACTATGGACATTTTGTATAATTGCATTTTATTCTCTGACAATGGCTGGCGTCCATAAGATGCGGATAAGTTCCGTTGACTCATTTTTTACTTCAACTATTGTCAAACGGATAGCTTGATGACCGCACCATGCCTTGTTATGCTAGTGTGTTATATCGGCTAGAACGCATTAAAACAGTGTACACGCTGTCAGAGATGTACAGCAGCTTCGTTTGTTGTTTCCATTCGACTGGGATAGCAAAATGAAAAATACGGCACTCGGTCCGACTGTCCAATGTTCCTTCAAGCGGCACTTTGCGAGACACGTCCTTGCCCTTTCACCATGACTACGCTTCCTCCAGAGCTCGTAGAGATAATCGTACATAAAGTCTGGTACTCTGAAATGCCGTCCTACATCCGGAAATCCTTCATGACTACTTGCCCCATCATTGACCGAACCTGGAAAGCCGCATATGCCCCTATCGCTTCTCAGGATATGTACATCACCAACCTCGCTTTCCTGGACTACCTATGTGACACAGCACTCTGCCAAAAATCCATTATCTATCATGACTTTATCCCCCAGCTGGCACGTAGCATTACCTGCTTCGTCGACCTCCGAGAAGATAAAAAGGAAAGAGCGGCAAAAGCAGTGTACCGTTACCTCGTTGCGCTACGCAACACACTTGGTTTCCAAGTTCTGTTCAAACATGTCCGTTATATATCCTTCCAGCTCGTTTGGATTAGCATTGACGGGGGTGTAATTCGCTATTTACCGTCGGCCCTTGGTCTCACCATCAGCGCGCGTTACGATCGGTTCCTGTCTAATGTCCCCCCGCTTCACTCCAGACCCTGCGCTAGGAAGTCAGGAATGCATATATACTTTTCCATGATAAACTTGAGCTCCTGGCGGCAACTCCCGACAAGATTCTGGGCACATGTGTTTGCCGGCTTGCGTACAATCGGGTTCCCTGGTGAATTATTCAACACTAAAATATGGCCGGAGCCGCATGAGGTGTCCGTAGTCGGTGGGGTCCGACACTTCCGTCAATTCACGTACATATATGAGAGGCGGCTCGGATCGTGGGATCCAAGGAATATCAATCAGCGTCTGTGGATGGCCTTAAGGGACGGCACAGTACGTGATTAAAGACACTTCCATCTACATCCATCTGGTTTGTCTGACGTCTTTACCTCTAGGGTTCAGGTGTCTTGCCAGTCTATTCTATCATTGGCAATTTAAACGCATGGAATCATCTTTATCCACCTCGTGCTATTTCTATAGGAATGATGTTAAGAGACTGATGTGAAGAAAAGCTATGCTTCCATCCAACGACACCCGCTATGGTTTTCGGCGGTCAGTGTTATCTTTTGCCATATTGTCTGAACCTAGAAGCTAATGTACACAATGCTAGGCCACACTCATATACCGGACTGCCATCAGTGCTTATTTTCATCGACCGTTGATCGCAACAATAGACAGTATGCCTTATCAGTCCAACTCGATGGATGATTTATGTCACGGGTGAGTACGTTAGTCATGACGCATCATCTCAGAGTATCTAATGTTTTGCTGTCTTGGTCTCAAGCTCGACGGCCTTTGGATAATAAACGTGTCATTTATGAGGTCAGTCTCTCCTGTTATGATTAGTATTTCTGCTGAATTGTGTCTCAGTAGAATACTAGAAGAAACGTCTTCGTTCGATACGAGAAAAGACAATTAAATAAATCACCTCAGAATTAAGTCAACTTTTTTTTGGCTTCGACCTCGGAACAGCAATAAACCAGACCCGATTTTGGATTTTTTACTCCGTACGTTTCTTATAACCTGACATGAGCGGCTATTCAATCGTTAACATGTCGGACGGAATTGTGATATTCAACGCACCCGATAGCGGGCGGCCCGCTGCTGGGGCTTAACACAGTGGCACCAGCAAGTTCCACTCATAAAGCCTATCTACCAGACTAACCATCTCTGTTGTTCATCTGACGCTCCCCCAACCCCTTGCGCCAACCTCTTCTCTAATTTCCGAAACACTCGGCGCCGTGGTTCGCCAAGTTTGCACCAAGTGCTGAATTTTACCAAAATTACATTGATCTCGTGCATCATTACAGCTGTAGTGATGCAAATTTGCCAACTTTTATGTAACTATAATAGCTCGAGCGCCTTCAAGGCAGTGACCTCTGCTCATCCAAATGCTGTTAAGCGGACTGACTACCACCTCCAGTTTATGGGTATAAAAGGAATGCTTGTTTTCAGAGTTCCTCATCATGGCGGGACTCGCTTTCCTACTCAAACAACTTGGTTGCATACTCTTGCTCTGTGTGTCGTTGACTGGCGCGCACAAGTGTCGAACAGTTCCTGGAGACCCCAACTTTCCATCTGGTGAAGAATGGAATAATCTGAATTCTTCTATCTCTGGCAGGCTTGTCAAAGTAGTCCCATCAGCCCAGTTTTGCGATATGCATGGCGGCTGCACTGACGCGGAATGGACCAGCGCGATTTTCCGTGCAGACATACCTGGAGCCATGGATCAGGTGTGACAGTCATCTACCGTCAAACTAACATGCTAAGCATTTTATTGCTTTGGCAGGTCAATTGGGAGCAAGTGAGCTTTCCAAACACGTTAAAGGAATACATAATAACTTCGTCTTCCTTCAGGATTATGAATCTATCCCTCCGTCTCTATGCCAGAGGAATTCGACAGATTGTGGACAGGGCAACGTTCCACTGTACGCTATTTTAGCAGAGTCTGTCGAGGACGTGCAGGTAATTGAATCATTTTTGCCATCGTTGAGCGACCCACACGAAATGATATGAATTAAGACTGGTGTCGCCTTTTCAAGCACTCACAACCTCCGACTGGCGGTCAAGGCATCTGGCCACGACTATCTGGGCCGTTCGACTGCACGTAATTCGCTTCTTATTTCTACGCACAAGTTTCAAAATATTACCTTTACTGAGAACTTTACTGTCAGCGAGCGTAACGAAGGATCGGCTGTCACTGTTGGTAGTGGAGTGCCCTTGAACACCTTGTATCGGGCAGCCAAGGAACAAGGCAAGATCATCGTCGGTGGTACTGCGGCGACTATCGTTGCTGCCGGCGGCTACGTTCAAGGAGGCGGCCATTCAGCGCTCTCTCCCCTGCTGGGCCTAGCTGCAGATAACGTCCTCGGTATGCCCGACTCTTCACTATGATTCAGTCATTCTAACAAGAATAGCAGAGTTCGAAATCGTGACTGCTAACTCAGCGTATTTGAAAGTGAACGAAAAGGAAAATGCCGATTGTCAGTGAACCGGTTTCTTCTGGTCTTGGAAGTGATCTGATATATTTCCGTTCCTACCAGTGTTCTGGGCATTACGAGGCGGTGGCGCAGGATCGTGGGGTGTTGCCGTGTCGGCTACATTCCGTACCTTCCCCACGTTCAATGCTACATATTCACTCGTAGTGATGGCTGCTAACAACACCGCGGCAATTGGCTTAATCATGGCGTCGCACGCCAAGCACATCTTTGATTGGGACGATCTACATATGAGCCAATATCTTTACGCCTACAAAAATGCAACACTCGGCTTCATGTCCTATTTCCCCAGAATATCCTCGGATGAAGCTGCTGCTGCTCTAAAGCCATTCCTAGATGACGCTCAGGAGTTTGGTCAGATTATTTTGCAACAATTCGACGAAAGCAATATAAACGACCTGGTAACGGTAGCCGACGATGTGGTTGGCTCGAACCTAGTGTTGGGTTCAAGACTTATCCCAGCAAGTATGTATCGCGATGATCCTGATACGGTCGGACATGTATATACCCAGCTTTTTGATGTTGGGGCTCCTGCGTGAGTTTCTTTTTTAGGTTCTCTTGATAATGCTGTTCTGATAAATATCATGGTGAACATAGCGTCCTTGGTTGCCTAGTCGCGGGAGGTAGGAGTCTCATAGCTGCAAAAGACTTTCTTTGTACTCACCTGACAATACATGACAGGCATGGTATCAGAAAATGCATGGATTGACTCTGCCATTCATCCTGCATGGCGAACAGCAAAGAATCACGTACAAACATTTGTCTGTATTTCGAACCAGACTTAATTTTTTTCAGGTTGTCCTTGGTACCATTTGGGAAGACTCTACGTCGCTGTCAAATGTCTCCTCGATTCAGAACGCATTCAAGGACATCCAACTGCCTATCCTTGAACAAATCGCTGGAACATCTGGTGCTGCGTACTCCAATGAGGCCGATCCTTTAGAAGAGGACTTCAGAACTACGTTCTTCGGACCCCATTATCCGCGTCTCAAAGATATCAAGAGGAGGTATGATCCAAAGGACCTATTTATTGTGGCGGCGGGAATTGGCAGTGATAAGTGGGACAAAGATGGACTTTGCAGGATAGACTGTACCATACTCTCATTAATATTGTCTCTAAAACCCTCACTCAGGTAATCTCTACAGTGTAATACTACAGAATGTTATCTTCCTCTTAGGCTTCCTGATGACACGATGCTCATGCAAAGTATTGTCTCTGTTGACAGGAATAGTGGTGATAACTCTTAGAGGTGGAGGGACCGATTACAGATTTGATAGAGGCAGGGAATTTGTTTCGGAAAGTTGAAGCAATGAAATCATAAATTCTTATATAAAAATCAGCAGAAACGAAGGGAAAGAACATATGTTTATACCAAAGAGATGATCAGAGAGAAAAACACGGGTTTACGCGTTGCTAACGGGAGCGCACGGCAAGTACCGAGTTACCTGATATAGATTCATTTCAAACTCAGTTAGAACTCTGGTCGGTGTCTCGAGTACGTCCATCTCAAATATCCTCCTATAATGGCGAATATCATTCGTTCTGCCAAGTCTAGCAACGATTGGACGTCGAACGACTTGGTAGCATATAACATCGCAGTCCACCGCCAATCCGCGGACGCCTTCTTCGGCTACACACCCAACACAATACCTGACGGAATCGATCCTGCTTTCCTGACCGCTACTGTCCCTCCCCACGAAAATCTGTCGGATCACACCTATCGACTCCTTCAATACCTACATATTGCCACTCATGCCAGCTCTAACCAGGAATCAGCAATCAACGATTTTGCCAAAGAGCTGCTTCACTTGCTTGGTTTTGAAGAACGAGGAACTGTTTTGCGATCGCGCTATTCCATTCCTTTTATGATATGCGGTGACAATGGGCATGTAGCACAGACTAACCTATGCTTAGTTCAAGGCAACACGACAATTCTCCTTGTTATTCAATGAAGCCATTGCTGCTTTCCAATACAACAACGTAGCTCGTGATCGCAACGGCCTAGATCCGCTTGATTCCATGACAATCCCTGCCATTATTATGATCGGCACTCGTCCCGTTTTCTACAAAATACCGGTCACTCAGCAGCTGAGCGATGCCATTGCTATGGCTCAGTACCCTGTCTCGAAAACAGATGTTTTCAAGTGTGTAGTTGCGCCACACTCCCGTCGTCTGAGCGAAGGAATGGAGGTTCCTGAGTTTAGGCGAGAGATTTTGCAACATTATGAGGCTTTCAGAAGAACGTCGAAGGAATGCTGGAGTTGTTTCACTAATCTTACTGTGGTCAGACTTGTAAGTCGTGTCTTTTGAAGTTTCCCACCGTAACGAACTTTCATAGGTAACCTGACCGTTTTCCATGCCCCTTCCTCTGCCCCTTTGCTCATGAATAGCATATTATGGACCCGTTTTGATGATCGTGTACATTAGATTCGAGCATACAAATAACTTGAGTCTCTTGGTTGTTCTTAAAGAGGTCCCGCCCTTCAGCTTGAACAACATGAGGTTTCTTCCGAGGGAAAGAATCGGGGACGCGGCAACTGCCACTACTGAATCGTGTTCCTTGCGCTACTATGTGAGACCCAAGTCTTACCCTTTCACCATGACTACGCTTCCTCCAGAGCTCGTAGAGATAATCGTACATCAAGTCTGGTACTCTGAAATGCCATCCTACATCCGGAAATCCTTCATGACTACTTGCCCCAGCATTAACCGAACCTGGAAAGCTGTATATGCCCCTATCGCTTCTCAGGATATGTACATCACCAACCTTGCTTTCCTGGACTACCTATGCGACATAGTACTCTGCCAAAAATCCATTATCTATCATGACTTTATCCCTCGGCTTACCCGTACCATTACCTGCTTCGTCGACCTCCGAGAAGACAAAAAGGAAAGAGCGGCAAAAGCAGTGTACCGTTATCTCGTTGCGCTACCCAACACACTTGGTTTCCGAGCTCTGTTCATACATGTCCATTATATATCCTTCCAGCTCGTTTGGATTGGTATTGACGTGGATGTACGTTGCTATCTACCGTCGCTTCGTGGCTTCACCATCAGCGCGCGTTACGACCGGTTCCTGTCTAATGTCCCCCCGCTTCACTCCCGACCCTGCGCTAGAATGCATATATACTTCTCCATGATAAACCTGAGCTCCTGGGTGCAACTTCCGATATCTTGGTCTTTTACGTTTGCCGACTTGCATGCAGTTGGGTTCCCTGATAAATTCTTCAACACTGATAGAGTCCGACATTTCCGTCAATCCACGTACATATATGAGAGGCGGCTCGGATCCTGGGATTCAAGAAATATCATTCAGCGTTTGTGGATGGCTTCTAAGGGACAGCACAGTACGTGATTAAAAACATTTCCGTCTGATTAGTCTGACCTCCACCTCTAGTAGGGTTGAGGTGTCTTGCCAGTCTGTTCTACCATTGGGAATTTAAACGCGTGCAGTCATATTTATCCGCACCGTGCTATCTTAATGGGAATGACGTGGCGACCCTTCTTGAGAGGAAGAGGCTGATGTAATGCTTCTATTCAATGACACTCGCTATGGTTGTCGGTGGTCAGTGTTATCTTTTGACAAGGGCGGTGTTGAAGATCTTGACGGCCTGTCTTTGGGTCTTCCGCATGTTATTCGAAGAGCCTGACTGCCGGTCGGTGTGATATGTTGCGACGTCGCAGACAGAGGTCCGAATTAGCACATTAAAGTTTTAATCTGGGGAAAACTTACGAATTCAAGAAGACACCCACTTTAGTGCCGCGCATGACAGCATACCAGCGGTCGGACGTCGTCATCAATAAGAGTAAGAGGCCCAGGGATATACGAGTACTGGACCCCAACCCACCAGATGGCCTCATGGGAGGCGGACTAGCTTGCAAACACGGTGGATCTAGAGGGCCTAAATGTCAGAAAAAAAAGTATTCGAAGTGACAACTACTTACAAGTCTCCAGCGGGGAAACAGGGAACATGTCCAATCCACGAGGTGGCTCAGAGAATGTATACCTGCCATCACTAATGGGGAACCCAGCGCTTGTAACAGCAGGGCAATGACTACGGCCATTAGTGAGGGAACAGCGACAAAGAAAAAAACCTTGCAACATTGCCTTCCTTATCCATTAGACCGAGCTTGGTGAGTGCAGCCTCAATCAGTATGTTTAGCTGATTAAGAACCTCCAAAGGATTACTGTACACATTTGGTTGTCGTTGAGCGAGTCCTGAGGCGTGTCCAACGTTCAGAAGTGACATGATGGCTGGGAACCAAGGAGAAAATTTGAAGAAAATAGGCTTATATAGAGAAAAAATGAGTCTCTGCATGTAAAGCTATACAGTAGCAGACTTACAATGCAACATAGCTGCAAGGAAAGGCGCTAGGAAGGAATCTGGATTGCCGCGTAGCTGTGGTCAAGAAAAACTAATCTTGGTAAGCACAAACAGGACCTTGCCTCAGATAAAAAGTTCGCACAAATCACACATACCGTGGGCCGGAAGAGTCGATTACGAAAAGAGGATCGGAAGAATGATAAGGGGTGGGCAGAGGGTGGGAGGGAAACCATCTTAATCAAGCACGTTCCATCCTTCCTTGCTGCATGGGAGGCAGGGTCGGTCACTGCTGAAGATTCTCAAAGAATCCCGTTTCTATATCCACTGGTCCTGGACGGACGATATAGAACCAGCCCAGCCTTTACCACCCTTCAACCCAAGCACATCAGCAGTAGAAGAAAATTTGACACCTGAGGAGGAGACGAAAAAGCGGGAGCGTATACATTTCTTGAATAAGGTATGACAAGAAAGTTCTCATTGCGATGTTAACTAAATACACTCCCAAGAGAATTATACGCTGGCGCGTAAACGGTACTCGAAGATGCGTCAGGCCGACATAAACGATCCATTCAGTCCTACTCGCACAGTTGTCTGGCATAACGAAGCCGCCGAAGGCTCGCCAAGCATTCCAGGAATGGATGCATGAAAACTATTGGGTTGGCGCAGGCATAGGATACGTGGTCGAGAAGGAATGGAAAGTGAAGATGGAGGCCGAATTCACGCCCACACGCAAATGTAACGCGAATTTCCGCAGTGGCGTTGCTCGTCGAATGTTCAATGAACTTCCAAAGGAGGTGCGGGATGAATGGGCGAAGGAGGCTAAAAGTTCGGCGGTTGCGGCGAAGAAGGAATACGAGTCCGCCTTGAAGATGCCGCCATCGGATAATCCAATCGTACGTCAACAATGCTTGAATAACGTTGGGGCCTTCCTAGGACCCATTCTGGAGGGCGTTCGGCGGGCAACAGGATGCCATGTCATCGCAATTGTTGGAGGTCCCATGACCATATATGACGGGGAAATATCTACGATGAAGTGAGTTTGCTGTCATGTGTGCTAAGTAGTGAAGGGTTTCTTACCTATATTGCAAGTGTAACTGCCGGGAGGAATCTGGACCCTACTCCAATCCCATTTCCGTCGTGGAAGCCGAAGAAATTTGCCGATTTTATGGACTTCATGACTGAGTACCTAGAAACCGCGTATACGGAGAAAGATAAGATTGCTGCCGGAATACCTGCTGTACATCCGCCGGAGTGGGATACGCTATCCGTGATGCGCAAGAAGCAGAACTTCGACAGCGAATCATCGGAATCGGAGTCTTCTGACGAGTCCGATGAACTGTCTTCGAGCAGTGATAGTGAGGAAGAGACTGGAAAGAAACGGCGTCGTCGAAAGAGCAGCGGTGGCAGGGCACGAAAAAGGGTGACATGTGCAAATGAGGATCGCGCGAAGGGCCCCCCAAACAGAGATGTTGACAAGAGGAAGGCGGCGAGGAAGGCAAGGAAGGGTCCAACGGAGGAGGACGACGGGAAAAGAGAGGCATCAGAGGAAACGGCAAATCAAAAATCCGCAATTGCCGAGGATACGAGTTCGGAGGATGACGAAATCCCCAGCGGACCGAGACTCAGCGAGTACGAGCACCAGAGGAACGCCAACATCAAGGCCATTGCTGAAGATCCACAAATGATAGAGATCCAGAACGCTATGAAGCAATTCGCGGATGAACGAGCGAGGGAGAGAAAGACGAATGTAACACCACGACCTCGTCCTCATAAGCAAAAAGGTCAGACAGAACCTTCCCGACACTCCCAGAGGTTAGAGGGGAGAAAGGAAGGAAGTGCGGGGGGAACAATGAGTGCTTTGAAGGACGACGACATGATAGTGGACGAGGTAGCCCCGGGGAAAAGGATGGTCGTTGGCATGGGGGTACCTAGTAACTCAGACGCAGCTGCCGGCGTAGAAGGGCCTGCTACACCTTGTCAAGATGGGAATGAAGCGTGTTCTCCTGGCCCCGGCGTTCCTCAACCGACTCCGTCCTCAGAAACAGACCCAGATACGGCCGCATCCACAGAGATCCCTTGCAATGTGGCACCTCCGACGGATCCCACTGCCCCCGAATGGTTGAAGACCGCACTGAGCGAGTTGACGGCGATGAATCTGGGAGCACAGTTCGTCAAAATTCTGTATACGTGGGCGAACGTCGAGCGCCTTTGGGGATATGAGAACGTACGGGTAGGGCCACATGTGAAGACAAGACCCCTGGAGCTAGGCAAATGGGTGTCGGTTGGTCGAATCCGCTCTAAAGAGCCCCAGATAAATGCGAAGGACTTGGACCAGTTCAAAAGGACTTGGGTTGTGTGGTGGAGAACGATGCAGCCCGAATGGAGGGCGTTGAAGGAAACAGATAATATTGGCGCCTGGACGAGGGAGTTTTATGGTTCTGACTGGTCGAGCTTGAAGTTTCCGGACCAAAATGGACTTTTGGGGGTGTTGGCAACGTTGTCATGGTGGGACATCACCGCAAGAAGCATGGGTGATGACGTACGTGGTGATGCAGGAATGGTTGGATGTCGACTGGGTGATGGCTGGGCTTTCACATGCACAAGCGGGAGGCGCGGGCGAGAGTAGACAGACGGCGATAGCAGACCGGAAGGCGCAAGGTGAAAATTTTTGAGATTTTTGCGTGGTAAGCCCGAATCTAATAATAGTATCGTCAAGAGCACAGGCTTACCCGTCGCTTTTGCCTTTGCCAGGACGCGTGTCCCCTTGCCGCGCCATGGAAAAACACCCCCCGGAAAACAAACGTACGACTGCGCGCCGTGCAAGGTCCACATGCAAACGTTTTCAATAACGAAAATGTGTCCTGATTACTGCTGTTGCGACGAATAAAAGGAGAAGGAAGGATAGTCGTCACAACGCTTGTCGGAGATTGTGCAAACGCCCTTTTTTGGCTTATTATGTCGACTCTCTGATTTTACTACCTTATAAGGTCATTTAAGGTCTTAAAAGGGTCAAAATGTGACACGTGACATTGTATTGTAGATTAACAAGATTCTCAACCATAAGGGCTATCAACATAATTTTTACGGTAGCTAAGCGAGCATACTTAGAAGATAATTCTGAGAAAAAATTAGAGCCCTAAGAAAACGCCTAACCCACTATAATTTATTGCAAAGGTGGAAAAGAACAGAGTGACATAATAAGGCTAAAAAAGGCTAATGCAAAATCTCCGACACTAGAGGAATAGGGAAGGATGCCAAGAGAAACGATAATATCAGGGACAGTGGGTGCGGGAGGCTGTGCAGCACCTGTGGCTGAATTGCAGGCAGATGCTGTAATAGGGGCATATCGGCATGAGCTGCTGCTGAGATGAGGATGAATCAAGTTTTCCTGGCTAGGTCTAAAATGACCGCTCCAGTTTGTGGTTATAAAAGGGATACTTGTTTTCAAGTTCCTCATCATGGCGGTACTCACTTCTCTACTCAAACAACTCGGTTGCACGTCTGTCATACTCTTGCTCTGTGTGCCGTTCACTGGTGCCCGCTATTGTCGAACAGTTCCTGGAGACCCCAACTTTCCATCTGGTGAAGAATGGAATAATCTGAATTCTTCTATCTCTGGCAGGCTTGTCAAGGCAGTCCCATCAGCTCAGTTTTGCGATATGCACGGTGGCTGCACTGACGTGGAATGGACCAGCTCGGTTTTTCGTGCCAACATACCTGGAGCCATGAATCAGGTGCGACAGTTATCCACCGTCAAACTACCATGCTAAGCATTCAATTAATGCTTTGGCAGGTCAATTTGGAGCAAGTGAGCTTTCCATGACGCGTTAAAGGAATACATAATAACTTCGTTTTCCTTCAGGATTACGAATCTATCCCTCCCTCTCTATGCCAGAGGAATTCGACAGATTGTGGTCAGGGCAACGTTCCTCTGTACGCTATTTTAGCAGAGTCTGTCGAGGACGTACAGGTAACTGAATCACCTTTGTCGTTGAGCGACCCGCATGAAATGATGTAAATGAAGATTGGCATCGCTTTTTCAAGCACTCACAACCTCCGACTGGCGGTCAAGGCGTCTGGCCATGACTATCTGGGACGCTCGACTGCGCGTAATTCGCTTCTTATTTCTACGCACAAGTTTCAAAATATTACCTTTACTGAGAACTTTACTGTCAGCGAGCGTAACGAAGGATCGGCTGTCACTGTTGGTAGTGGAGTGCCCTTGAACACTTTGTATCAGGCAGCCAAAGAACAAGGCAAGATCGTCGTCGGTGGAGATGCGGCGACTGTCGTTGCTGCCGGCGGCTACGTTCAAGGAGGCGGCCATTCAGCGCTCTCTCCCCTGCTGGGCCTAGCTGCAGATAACGTCCTCGGTATGCACGGCTCTTCACTATGATCCAGTCATTCTAACAAGAATAACAGAGTTTGAAATCGTGACTGCTAACTCAGCATATTTGAAAGTGAATGAAAAGGAAAATGCCGATTGTCAGTGAACCGGTTTCTTCTGGTCTTGGAAGTGTTCTGATATATTTCCGTTCCTACCAGTGTTCTGGGCATTACGAGGCGGCGGCGCAGGATCGTGGGGTGTTGTCGTGTCGGCTACATTCCGTACCTTCCCCACGTTCAATGCTACATATTCACTCGTAGTGATGACCGCTAACGACACCGTGGCAATTGGCTCAATCATGGCGTCGCACGCCAAGCACATCTTTGATTGGGACGATCTACATATGAGCCAATATGTTAACGTCTACGAAAACGTAACACTCGTTTTCAGGTCCTATTTCCCCAGAATATCCTCGGATGAAGCTGCTGCTGCTATGAAGCCATTCCTAGATGACGCTCAGGAGTTTGGTCAGATTATTTTGCAGCAATTCGACGAAGACAATATAAACGACGTGGTAACGGTAGCCGACGATGTGGTTGGCTCGAACCTAGCGTTTGGTTCAAGACTTATCCCAGCAAGTATGTATCGCGATGATCCTGATACGGTCGGACATGTATATACCCAGCTTTTGGATGTTGGGGCTCTTGTGTGAGTTTCATTTTCAGGTTCTCTTGATAATGCTGTTCTGATAAATATCATGGTGAACATAGCGTCCTCAGTCGCCTAGTCGCGGGAGGTAGGAGTCTCATAGCTGCAAAAGACTTTCTTTGTACTCACCTGACAATACATGACAGGCATGGTATCAGAAAATGCATGGATTGACTCTGCCATTCATCCTGCATGGCGAACAGCAAAGAATCAAGTACAAACATTTGTCTGTGTTTTCAAACCAGAGCTAATCTCTTTTCAGATTGACCTTATTAACATTTGGGAAGACTCTACGTCACTGTCGAATGTCTCCTTGATTCAGAACACATTCAAGGATATCCAACTGCCTATCCTTGAACAGATCGCTGGAACACCTGGTGCCTCGTACTCCAATGAGGCCGATCCTTTGGAAGAGGACTTCAGAACTACGTTCTTCGGACCCCATTATCCGCGCCTCGAAGATATCAAGAAGAAGTATGATCCAGAGGACCTATTTATTGTGGCGGCGGGAGTTGGGAGTGATAAGTGGGACAAAGATGGACTTTGCAGGGTAGACTGAATCGTGCTCTCATTAATATCGAGTCTCTAAAACCCTCACTCGGGTAATCCTTACAGTGCACGGAATGTTATCTTTCTCTTAGGCTTCCTGATGACACGACGCTCATGCAAAGTATTGTCTCCATTGGGAGGAATAGTGGTGATAACTCTTAGAGGTGGGGGACCGATAACTAAGTAAGGCTGGCAAGCGGCAAAGCCCGCTACTTTGACCGTACATGACACGGATTTTCCTGACTTAACAGAGTTCAGACTTACTCGACGGAATCAAAAATTGTGCATTCTGAATGGCATGCATGAATCTATTGCATATACAGCACCGGCTGGTTGCGGGGAAAAGTACTCAGGCAGCTACACAGACCAAGAGACAAGGTAAATAGTGGGCCTATTATCAACCGAGCTCCCGACAAATAGACAGGCCAACCCGCTGTTTAGGCCATTGTCTGAACAAATGCTGAACCGCTGACATTTAGCAGCAAGAACAACTTACCCTTGTGCAGATGCAACGGTGACTCGATCAGCGCGGACACGGTACTTTGCTACACGTCGTAAATTCGAGTTGGTGACAATTAAGACTCAGTGCCGCAATTTTCCTCCTGCGTCGATGAGACATGCATCTCACCTCAATTTCCTCACCACGACTACATTTGCTCCGTTGCTTGTAGAGATAATGGTTTGGCACTCTAAAATCCCATCCAAACATCCGGACATCCTTCGCGACTACCTTCCCCGAGCAGGAGAGTTTGGATCATCCTGTATTCTGACGTTGTATATAAAGTCACGAATGCGGAGATCTTTCAGTCGACGATGAGAAGGATCATTGGAAACGCTCAACTTCCTACGGAATTCTTGATGCACCAATAACACCAAACTATAGACTTCTACAGCTAATTCCATGCAAACTGCGCGTAAATGCCCAGGACTTCGCTTGTCTCGAGCGTGCTATATTTCCCCACGTCGCCCGACGTAAATTCCTTGTTTGATTGTACAATATTCAAAGTCTCCACCACCTGATCCACCACAAAGTCGACGAAGACAAAGTCGATGAGCGTGTCGTTTGAGACGTCCGGTGGGGTGGACCCAATGAAATCGGGTATAAAGTAAAATGGGAGTGGCGTGTGAATGATATCGTCGCCAACACCCGGGCAGGACTGGAATGAGGATGAGAAAGGTGTTCGCATGAGGATAAGGGAGTCTTACATCGGTGGTAACATAACCCAAGGTCAGATTATTCGCGGCACGTATTCCCAGCTCAATAGCTCTTTGCTCCATGTCGCTCAGCCAATCCATGTACCTTGCTCGGACATCTCCTCGTCTGTAAAGCTGCTCCTCTCGCTCCAGGCTTCTCTTCCGGTTTTCTGAACCGTTCTCGTTCATCGTCTTCAGAGTATCCAATGCCACAGAAAGCGGCACCTCAGGAATATAGAAGAATATATCCGAGAATGGAGAAGCAGTGAGCTGATCGTTCTTGGTGAACGTTCCGGCATAGATGTCGAATCGCTGCGAACCGGAGTTGACGAGTATGTAGTTGGGGATATCGGCGCGACTGTTGCTGATAGACAATGCATACGGCGTAGCCTAGAAGTATTTGCATGCTACGCTGGATGTTGGATATGAAAACAACATACCAACTCAGCGAACAGGGATAATTGTGAGTCGTTGGAAGGATATTGAACCCTGTCGCAGCCTAAGCGTGAGTGATTTCTCATAAGTTACACAAAATGCGCACTGGGTAATCGTAAAATCGTGCGGTGCCGTTCCGTATGTGAAGTTTAGATCAAAGTCAACAGCGAGTTGATTCAATCCTGCAGTGATCGCTTGTCCTTTCTCGGTATCAAAGGAAGACTGGCTTTGTCGGGTGTGATACTGATAGCCAAGTCAATAAGGACGTCAATGAGAATAAAGGGTGTAACCTCGTAAGTGACGCGATTGGGATCCAAGTAACGCCGACTGAAAGTAAGGTTCTTGGATCCCCTCTGGCCATCAAGCTTGAGACCTGGATGGGAATACATATATCAATCCAGGCCAACACAACGTGACTGACGTACTCATCCAGCCAACAGTTTCCATATATCGCCCGCTTTCCAGTGACATAGATCGTCCATCAAGCTGAACTAATAATGTATTCAATACATTAACCTCATGAGCGGCTCATGAGCATGATTGGAAAATGATGATCACTCACTGCAGTCCCGAATGTGAGTGTGACCTGGCGCCTATAAATAAGCTTGGAAGTATTGGTTATCCGAAGAAAGTTTACCAACCACCGAGAATGAGAATGGGCGTTGTAGCATGAACAGCACGAACGGCATTGAAAACCAAGGGCCCTGTAAGCCATGCCTAGAATCAGTACGGATACTCTTTCCACGAAACAATGCATTAAGAGGCACCAACAATTATCACGAGAAACCGGCATGTGTCTATGTCATTCATACACATCAGCATCTTTCGCAGGTGGGATATTGCGACTGACCCGGCCAGTAGGAAGAAGTCAGGTTCATCCTTAATAGCTTCCAAGAACTATGAAAAGCACGTAAGCATGTGTTCTCTCCGATGATGGGAATCTGATGTACCCAAGACTCTTTGACCATATCCTCGACTTTCTGGACAGTAGTGTTCTGATCATTTCCAGTGAAGTCGAAGATAACTCCAAGTGCAGTGACACTTCGGCCTCTAATATCGAATTATAAAACGTTAAATATTATTTTCGTACAAATGTAGGACTTACTTCCGCGTCTTGAACTTGGCAAATCGACCTGAGGACGAGAGAGGCTAAATCGTATTGCACCTGATCATGATAGCAATGATACGTACTACCCACAGGAACATCAACAGTGTTGTTGTTCTGATCTGCCAATGTAATATTGACATTGGACGAAAGATATCGACCATTCAGCTTCGGTGCCAGATTTTGATGCCTAGGTACATACAAGACATTAGCTCACGAAACGCCATATTCAACCGGGAAGACCGACATGTCGAGAGTGTTTGCGTAAACGTATAGCTCGTGACTGTATTCAAACATCAGATAATTTATGCAGTCATTCATGAGCCACGTACTTTCCAATAGCCATGACATCGTAAGGAAGTTCGGCGAGGAATTTGGTAGACTGAAGAGATGAGAAGTCATTGTCTGAGTGAGGCCATGACAACGATCGAACAAACTTCGTGACCGTCGACGCCGCCGGGAGGGTAACCGTCCGACAGACCGGTACCTGTTCATTTGAGGTTGGTGGACATAATCCTGATGTGATCAGTTTTGTACTTACCATCGTGCAGGTCTCCAGAGTCTACGAGCAGGAGGTCCACGTCTTTCCTCTAGCATACACGGGAGTCATGATCAGCTAAAAGAGGAATAGGCGGGGTGCATCCTCACGACTGCTATTTCCTTCATATGTGCCACGAACGACGCAAAGTCACCTAGGTCACCACTGATACAGTCTGTATGAGATACCAATACAGAAGTCCTGCGTATACCGACCACTTACCTGTAATTGGGCTCCGGGAATGAGGCCTTTTGGTGACCGAGGAGCCATCCATGGCTGTCCGTGGTATGAATGATGTTGATATCTCCCCATTCCAACGGGCGAGTTGGCGGGGTTAACGGAGACGAAGGATTTGCTCTCCTAGGATGCTCATGGACGTGTCCATCGCCGTCAGCGCAAGCCCAAGTGAGGGAAATTGCAGCAACGACAACCAGGAGTCGCACCAGCATGATGGAAGTCGCTGTAAAGGCGCCGAGCATTGTTGAAAGTGTCTTACATCATGGAGCGTCATGTCCCTGACACATTCCAAAGGAAAAGACAATGTTAGATAGGCACTTGCGTGCACATGTGCTGGCCACATGTGCGTGGGGTCACTTATCAAGGTGGCCGAGGGCTACCCTGGTTTGCTGCACCTGTTTGGCACTGAAGTACTGATCCTTTGGAATATCTCGCGTGAATAATGGCGCTTGAATGACTCTGCGGGCTATTAGTATTGTCAGTCTATATAGATTGAAAAAACAGGTCATAGTCTACACCAATGTACTGAACTTTGGTATCCGTTCCAGTTCCCGCACAATAATTGTCCGCCAAGTAGCCAAGGTCTCCTTGCATTCGCCGCAGCGTGTCTGTAGATAGTCTTCGCTCGGACCAAAGACTTCATCAAGCTTGAGGAGAAGATGAGGTTTCGCACCCAGTTTATGCGTGATCATGGCATAACTATGTGTCCATGCTTCACACGGAATGTCACACTCGCGTGTCGAATTATTCCAATGCATAACCGTGGGCGGATAGCGGACATATTCGGCATTCAAGGCATCCAGCCAATGCTTATGATATTGCAACTAGGGAGAGACGCGATTGATATCAACGAAGCAGATAAGAGGCTATACGGGATTCACCCAAGGAGCTAGTATTGGCGGAGAGATGGCCTCGCAGATATCATCTGTAGGTAAGGAAACAGAGTGTTGGGCAGCCTGGTCAATGATCTTGTTATGTTTATGCTTCACCGCCCACGTTAGGACCTCAAAGGAATGTTCAGGAATAGCGTCACTGCAAGAAACGGCAAGTTAATTACACATGAAGCTAAAGGATGCTCCGCACCACATGGACCGCTTGCATGCATCAATAGCAAAATACACCCTGTATTTCTCAGCAGCCTCGGCAAGATCTGCAACTCGACTGAATTCAATTTCTGAGAGGTCAGGTGGTGGTTGCCGATACATATATTGCAGTAGTAAATCGAGGGTCGAGGCTGTTTCTGTGAGAGATACGACCTCGGAAATGGCATTTGGTGTCGAGGATGATATGTCCTCAGCGTCGGCAAAGATGTCGGAGTGCATCTTGAGGTTAATGCGGTGAACCTTGAAGTGAACATTGTCGCGTGAAGCCAGAGTAATATCTGAATCTGCCGCATTGACTACGGGGCGCTTGAGCGATACTTCGGGACTAAAAGACAGAACTGACATCGTTCTGAAAATTTCGGGTCTTGAGAAACAGTGGTCATCGCTGTGCTCGGCATTGATGACGGTAGTGGTATGTAGGAGAGAACGAGGCTGTGGCAGTGTTTTGTACCCTTTCAATTACCACCATCATCACCGGACTTTGTTTTATCAATGCTGCGCTACGTTTATATTCCTAGGCCGTTCTTTATTTTCTTTTCGAAGTTCGAATACCACCAGAACAATTGATCCATCCGTTCGTTCGCATATGCACTAGGCGATCAGCAGTACGAACGTTTTTCGTTGAGTTCGCCATCCGTGTCCCTTCCGAGCTTCTCTATCTCTCGGACCCGTCTTCCGGTGTATAAACGTCGTATGGCAATGATATTGGTTCACCCATGAACCATGATATTCTCGTTCATTGTTTTCACCGTGTCTCTCGTCTGCGTTTCGGTCGCGTTCAACCCGCTACACCATTCTGGACCCGCGTCGCCGTATTTTGACGCGCCATCGCAGTTTGGCATCTCAAAGGAAACGCCTGATGGATGTGTCGTTGACCAGGCCGCATATATCCTTCGGCACGGCTCGTACGTACAAATTCAGACTTGTTACTCGAGACTGACGTGTAGAATAGTCGGTATCCAGAACCTGGCTCTTACACAGGCTGGCAGAACCTCTACAACAAGTTCCAGAACCATACTTATTCTGCGCGTGGACCCCTCAAATTCATCTCGTCTTGGGTGCCACCGATTGACGACGTAGACCATCAGCCTTTGTATTTGTCGAGTACCGGCGCCGGTGAAGCGTTCGCCCTTGGCGTGGATCTGCGAAAACGATACAACTTTACGCCAGGCGGGGAGAATTTCACTGCTTGGTATGTTGCAGACCGTCATGTTGCCGATAATATCCTGACGGTTTACCGTGTAGGTCTGCTGGTCAACAACGATGTGTAGATACAACTACCTATTTCTTGCGAGGATATCTGTCTCAAGGAAACTACATAAACGACACAAACTCCAATCGAGGACACATTGTTACCCTTCCGGACTCTCTGAACGATACATATGCTGACTCGTTGACCACGTCTGCATCATGTCCTGCGTATGCTGAGGCAAACAATGGGTCTGTCATCAGTAGCGCATATAGGGCTCTGTATCAGGGCGCCATGGCAGACAGATTGAATCAGTTCCTGGAAGGAGACTTGGTCCTAGACGACACTGATGTTGGGGTAATGGGTGACCTCTGTGGCTTTCTCTATGAAGTTAGCGGTGATCGTAGATTTTGCGATGTATTTGAGGGTACGACTATCTCCTCCTGCATTCGATATGTTTATTGACACGTACCTAAGAATCGGAATGGCTGGACTACGAATACGCTCACGACTTGAATTATTATTATGGGTTTGTCATTTACTCTGGGCATGCAACCGCTAGCCAATACTTTCTCTCAAAGGTCCGGGCCAGGGAATGCGTTATCGGCTACTGTTGGTTATTCTTGGGTGAAGGCTATTTCTGACCTGTTCGAAGTCGGCCCCAACAACACAGTAGAAGGTGGCACTGTGATCCCGCCTCCACTCATTATGGGTTTCACGGTATGATCAGTTTATCCGTATCTCACTACAGCCGTAACAGTCGTTTTCAGCACGATAACAACCTTGCTCCCATCATATCCGCCTTGGGCCTGTGGAATACGTCGGACTCTGGCATTTACCCTCTATCCAAGACTCAACGGCGACCAGACCGGACGTTCCGCTCTTCATATCTTGTTGCGTTCCGCGGATATGTTGCTCTTGAAAGATTGATATGCTCGGCTTGGAACAGCAGTGACAGCGTGTACCATGTCGCCAACCAGACGGCGGCTACGTCGGTAGGTGATGGGAGTATGTATGTGCGAGTGAGAGTGAATAGTGCACCTGTTCCGATTCCTGGATGCGCTTATGGTCCCGGATCGACGTGTCCTTTGAATCATTTCGTGTCCTATGTGAATGAGGATATGAAAGCCGTAGCAGGTAACTTTGGCGAAAGGTGTGGGCTGAAGGAATCTGTCGATACTTTACAATTCTTAACACAGGATAGCGAAAGCTATGGTCATCAGATCGTGTCGATATAGCAGCGTATATACAAAACAGCGCAACAGTAGTTCAGCGAGGACAATGAGAGTGTGTCATGACTGTTGCCGTACAAAGTGCGCTGCTGGGCCGTGATTTATTTTCATGCTTCCAATATTTGCTAAGATGAAGTTAGTACAACGACCGCGCTAAAAACAAGAGAAGAAACGTACCGGCCCTCCTCTCCCAACCGCCCACACGCTTGTCAGTCTTCCTCAAAGACAGACTGCGGTCGAGAAACTTGCGAATTTTTGCTGTAGGGACCATTGAGGGTGTACCAGAAGGTGGCTTATTGGGATCGGGTAAGGCTCTGATGATACGAGACCTAAGTGCCTAACGGTTACCACTGTCCTAAGGATATACAAGAGAATACGCACCCAAGCACGCGGTCCTTGGCCTTATTAGACGTGGATTTCTTCCGTTTCCTGGTCTTCTCAGCCTCTTTCAGTGATTTTGTCTTGGTTTTCTTCTCGGTAGAGGGTACAGATGCAGCTGCTGAGGCGAAGAGGTGGTCGGGAAGGTGATTAGATTTTCGCGGTGCGTCAAAGCCATGAAATTCTTCCTCCTCCTCGTCGCTTTCATCTGCTTCTTCGTCTTCGTCTTCTTCGACATGCATCTCGACGTCGTCATCCATGTCCTCGTCACTCTCCTCCTCAGCGTCCTTCATTGCTCGTCGCATCCGGGCAATAGCATCATTATCACCTTCATCACCAGAGTTTCCTTCATCCTCATCCTCATCCTCATCCTCCTCAACCGCCTCCTTCCCCTTCCCCTTCTTCCGTCCCTGAGCTTGTTCCTTCAACTTGCGGTCCCGTTCACGGTTCTTCGCTCGTTTTTTCTCTTTTTGAGCATTTTCGAATTTCCGGATAGAGGAATTCTGCTGTTGGATGAGTTTCTTTGACTGGGAAAGCGAGACGGCCTCTGGTGCGTCATCGTCTTCGTCTGAACTGTGAGGATTCATGGTGGTAAAAATTTGGCCAACGGGAAGCCGGACCGGATGGGAACCTGCTTACTCAGCTCGGGTTTTTTTTAAAACTTCGATGAGAACCTCGAGTCAGAGAACAGTGACCAGCGACTTTGGCTTACTACTGTTATGTGACCTCACGACAGGCCTTTCGTTCAAAGTAATTAAAACGGCGCAATAAGTACGTATTTTTGGTCAGTCCTACAAGCTTGGTGGACTTAATGGATCAGAATGTCCTATGATTTTTGGACCCAGCCACGAGTTACTCAAGAAAACACTGACAAGATTTTGCTCGCCAGAAATAGCAGTGAAGGCAAGGAAAGTGATCACACCTTTGGAGTCGTTCTTCTATGGATAAAATTAAATATATCTACGACAAACACGCATGCCTAGACATAAGATCTACTCAGACGTCATTTCCGAACTTTAAACATTAATTCTAGTGCATCATGGGTCCACAGACCGTATTCCTGCCAAAAAACTATCAGGTCATGCAGAACAAAACTTCCTAGCCACATACCTTGTACGATTTATCAAACTGGATTGGATCAAACCCTGACTTGAGTTCTATATCGAATTTGTGGATGATCGAAGAGACCAAGATCCTTGAATGCTGGAAGTCAAACCACTGGGCGGTGAATAGTGGCAAGTACGCACTTGATGTTTTGTAGTGCAAGATGCTTTCCAACGCAGGAACCGTACCCGGAACTGAATGGCATGAATGCGTCATGATTGCACGGAGACAGAAGAGGGTTCTTTTGATTCTCAGATTCGATCCATCTTTCGGGAATAAAGTAGTTAGCGAGAGGGCCGAAGTGTGCGGGGTCGCGATGCATGGTGAAAACTGGGACATGAACAGTCGTATTAGGAGCGATCCGTTTACCCAGTATGTATGCTCCCTCTGGACCGGTTGTCCTAGCAGGACCTTATCGCTTGTGAGTGCAAGTACTTACAGAGCTTGAAGTCACACTCACCGAAGGGACCGGGTGGAATGATACGCAACGACTCCTGAATACAGGCATCAAGGTACGGAAGTGCGAACAATGCTTGGTAGTCGTAAGCGCCATCATCACCGACAAACACAGAGCTGATCTCTCTTTGCAGTCGGCAGGTCCGTCCAGGATCGACGCTGAGGTATCGGAATAAGGTGGTGACGACTTGAACGCCAGTATCAGTTGCAGCAACAACAAGCAGAGAAGCGTCCGCGGCTGCTTCATCTGCAGTAAGAGACACGGAGCTCTCGTTCATCTAAGCGGTAGAATTCTCGCTGAATGCAAGATGCCAGAGGATCAACAGACTTACAATGATCCCGAGAATATTCTGCCTCTGTACTTTGGAATTCTTTATTTCGTCAACTTTGGCTCGGGTAAACTGGGAAAACTTATACTTCAATTCCTTTCATACCCGAAGTGAATGACTTACCTTCTGGAAAGACTCTATAGGTCCATTACGAGGAAGATACTTAAACAGATTGCGTAACCACGGAACCTGTCCCATTGCTATCGATATGGTTTTTAGAATGTCTTAAGAACCGGCTCGGAGGGAGAACGCACAGCTGGCAAATATGACTCCTATATTCAACTGACAAACAGCGTCAAGAGAAGGCGAAGATAGGGAAAGGGACGACGCACAGTCTTAATCCATTCGTCTCCGTCCTTCCCTGCTGCCATCGTTTCGAATCCCCCAGAAAATCCCATGTCGCCCATAACATCGCTGCAAATTTATGTATTGAATGCAGAGGATACGCAACATATATGAAATACACACATGAAAAACAGGTTTATCCAGTGGTCTAGATTGATAATTTCTTTTTGGTTAGAAATGTGCTGAAAAATGGACAACAGCTGAGAGGTACGAGTCTTTGTCGAAGTATTAATAAGAGTTGTGAGTTGATGTAAATATGATGATTCACCTCAAGTATTGGAATGTAAGACCGCATAGCGTCGCTTGTCACTGCTTTATTCCACGCCTTCATACAAATGATGTTAAAGTGAGGAAAGCAGGAACACGAACGACTCACCTGACGACGGCGTGCATGAACCTTACGATTAATAACATTGATAAGGCTATCGGCAGGCGCAGGAACACCTTGTCAAAAGATGTGTTAATTTATTTTAGTATCTTAACTTGTACGACCCACCTTGGTAGAAAGGCGCTCTGCCCAGCTGGCTGTATATTGGCCGTACCGCCGCTGGTATATTGATTGATAATTCATTGGGACCTGAAGTCAGCATTATCCAAGACATGGTTCTGTGTATACACAATACCAGCCACGTACCGACACGAACCCAAGGTCCGTACTCTGCGTGTAGCCTGTTCAAACGGGTGTGAGTGAAACGCGCTCATGTCACTAAAGAAGAAGCTACTCTTGAATTTTGGTGTGGCGTCCGCCTTTCATCAAAATCCGATGAACCATCCACCATTTCGTTGTTACGGCAGCTTTGGGGCCCGGAAATGTGGCTAGAGGATGAATGTACGAGTGACGATACGCGATGATTGAAAGAGAGAGAGATAGGCAATATGCCAAGATAGACGCTACAAGCTTAATAATAGCATTGTAGAGATCGGCAGAGTCTCCAGAACTGAAATAATATGGGACGGCGGTGAAAAAGCCGACGAATACAGCTCCGAGAATGACGCGAGATACACTCGGCTCGGCATTCTTGAAGCGATAATGGGATATCTGAGGTATGTGAGTTTCGTGACGGAATAGAGTCAAAGAGCGGTGGAGATATACCAACGAGCAGATAACTGGGAGGATAGTAGTTTGCGAAGAAAACATTTTGGATGGTTAAAAGTCCATCGAAATGAGCGATCGCTTATATGTTAGTACGCGCCTTCTCAATCCCTTGGAAAACTGTCCTCCCGACGTTTGAATACGGAACATGTCCGGATGAGTGGCATTCCTAGTTCAAGTTTCAAGGAGAGCATATCCGAATGGATGAGCTGAAGCACCAGAGTTCATCGGAAGCTCCGACTCACGAAACCTACAGTGATTATCGCCTTTAGATGAATGCAGGCCACGTACTGACACACCTTCAACTTGACGCAGTAAAGATCGAGATAACGATCTTCTGGTTACGGACCCGACTCTAGTGAAGATCCGTGAAGATGGTTTGATTGATCGTGTAGATGCAGGAAGTGACCCTGTTTTATGTAAGTTGCTGATGCCAAATCAAACCGGAGGATCTTACGTACAAATCCCATCTCATCTCATCATTACACGGCACGGTACCTCATGATAAGAATTTGCACTGTGACCCGTACTTGTAGCAAATAGTTGTTTCAAGTTATCTTTTTCCTTGGAAGCTTCAATCATACCTATCTCATATGACTCTATCGTTATTCCCCGAGTCCCCATCCGTTCGACGTTCGTACTATAACGAGTAACTACTTGGCGAGAACTTCGCTACCATCCTTCCGGCATCCGAAATATTCTGCTCAGTATCGCGCAAAATAGGCCTATCAAATTCTCACTTGCTGTTCAGCAATGGATTTTTCGAGGATCGATTTTCTGTGCTGCGAATTAAATTTAGAGCGAAATAGATAACTGCAACGATTCCTGCCTCCGAGATAATCACTACTGACCAGGCTCGAACCATAAGTATGGTATCGGGCCGCACAGTGTACCAATATTGTATCAGCAACGAATGGCAAAAACGGACTTGAGACAGTCGCACTTTACCTTGCCAATACTGGCAACGTACACTGGTCCTAAGACACATTTTTATTGGCTGAACAGAGCCCTTGATGGACCAGATGGTGCGGATTGATCATAGGAAATGGCAAGAAGTGTGGGAGCGGCCAGTACTAAGTCTGATGTGCAGATAATCACCCCGATTTCGCCGGCTATTTAGAGCTACCTATGCAGTACTAATGCTGTCGGATCACTCGGTCCGTATGCCATCGTCCTCTGTCCACGATGTCCCCGGAACCCCTTGCTGGATAGATATGCTTCATACATGCGAATCAGGATGGCTTGACTTTCGGATTCCGTTGAACCCAGTCGATATACACTGGACTTTGGCCCCCAAAATGCCTACGATTATGCGGCAGATGCACTTAATAACACAACCGTCCATAATTTATTAATAGTGTTCAGAAAACTGTTTTTCTATTATTCACGCATTAGATCACCTATTCAGCCAATATACTATGAATAATAGCTAGACTAGTCGTACTAATTGGTAGGCATATGTGACTGCTATCATTCTGCTTTATCGTACCGTGTTTTGCGATGGTTTATTAGCTAGCTATCTATCTCATTTAGCTGTGTTCGGAAGGCAACATGTCCAGACCAGCAGTGGCCATATATAGTCTGTACTACTAAAAAATAAGATGCTATAAATTATAATCTAAAAGTTGGGCCGTTTTCTAAGAGAAACACGTCCATAAGGATCCGGAACGCATGTGGACGCAATCCAGGTATTACGCGGCCGTTCCTTTCCTTGTGACAATTTGATGTCATAGGTAAGTACAAGGTGAGCAAGCATGATTTTGAGCTCGCTAGCTGCGAAATATCGTCCGGGGCAAGCGTTCTTTCCATGTCCAAAGGATAAGAACCACGGGCTGGTCGTGACCATTGAAGTCCCGTTACTAGTCTTGTCTGAGAAACGGAACCCATCAAATCCTAAGGCATTTTCATATCGTTTGTTGTCGTGATGGATTGGTGTAGTGGCCACGGAAACGAAGGTGCCCGCAGGAATGGTCGTCCCGTCCGAAAAAGAGAACGGTTTCAAGGCCTTTCGGATCATCAATACTACATCCCTTGTCATGAGAACATACATGAAAGCTTGGGTGTAGTTCACTTACAGCCCCCTAGTGGGTTGAGTCTCTGAGATTCCTTGAGAAAACTGTCAAGCCGTTTCATACGTTTCATGGCGGTATACGTCCATCCCTCCTCAGCCACTACGGATTCAATTTCTTCCCGGAGTGGCTGGAGGTATGCCGGCTTCTCGGCTAAATGATAGAGGGCATGGACGAAGGTCTATAATATACTTGTATTAACATTTGTTGCAAGCCCAGGGATCTGATCGCTTACAAGGGAGGTAGTATGAATTGCGGCAAAGTTGATGGTGAGAATTCGCCTGGCCAAGTTTTGTAAAGAACGCTCATCACCTTGGGCTTCTTCGAGGATCCAGCCCAGGACGTCAGGCTAGGTGAGTTACGAGCGTCAGATACGTTTTGTCACGATACAGCTTCAGACTTACAGGATTGCCGAAGTCGAGACTGTCGACAGCACTTCTCCGCTCTGTGATTACAGGCTCCAGAAGTTGTGCAGCCTTTTTCAAGGATTTCTGGATGTTAGGAAATAATCGTGCCACGTATCTGCCAGGATATATCACTCAGAAAGAATAAAGTAACACAAGAATCGGCTTACGGTCTGATCAACGAAGGACATAGTCCAATCACGGTCGCCGCCCAGGCTACATCAACAGTGAAATGGGTATTAAGGTGCAAAAACTCTTCATTTCGGCCTTAGATAACACCGCGTTAGCTTATACTTACAAGTGTGATTGAATACTCACAGAGAGGCAGCCCTACGAACAAGCGATTACTGACTCGAGCTACAATCCGCATGACTGATTCCATAGCAGGAAATGAGACCCATTCTGCTACCACATGAGAAACGGGACTGAAGACCGGTTACCAGAGACGTACCACCGGAATCAAAATTAAAAATGTCACTGCAAGCAGCTGCTACTTCGTCATGAATCTCTGGAAACATAGACGCCAAGGTCTTGGTGATGTGATTCCGTACGATGGGTGTATGATACGGATTTCGGGAAATAGCTTCACCCACAGTGAAAGGGATTTGGAGGACCTGCACGGAGATTCAGTGACGATATGCACTGTAATAGAAAGACTCACTTCACTCACGCCTTCCTGGAACGACAAGACGTCTTCCGGTGCTCTCCGTAAGTCTTCAATGAGCTCAGGCGATGCCACTACCACCATCCAGCGGTTCAGATGTGCAATTTTGAATACTCTGTTTGAAAACTTGGAACAGTCAGTAGTTCGTCAATGGACGGTGAGCCGAAAGAGCGGTACTTTATTGTAGCCATATTGGAGAACACCGGTAGCATCAAAGAAAAACCACAGAGAGCCGAGGTAGGACAAGAGAGGCGTACTCGGTCCACATGTTGGAATGTGTCTGAGCTACAAAATATAGACGTTAGTGTCTAACAGTTCTTCGGCCCAAACACGCCTACCTGATTTAGTCCAAGAGCATGTCTAAGGGCTAGAATAATAACTAGCGCAGTCGCTACTATGTAACCTTCGGACAGCATCTTCGGTTCTGGCGAAGAAGCCGAGAAGTTGAGGTGATATATGAGCTGTGACTCTCGCCATCGGAAAACGAAACACCTGATAGCTGGTCAAAGGAGTTTAGCTCTGCAACGAGTTACACGCTTCCTATTGTGCGAGGAAACCCATCCACAGAAAGTATCCTTAAAGCGGTGTGTTTGACGTCCTGGCGACAAAAGATACCACCGCAGCTAGATCATCACGGACCACACTCATGGTGGTTCACAGGTACCAAATGGCGGTTCAGAAACGAGAGTTGACACCATCGGGTCCCCATCTATAGCTGATCCCGATCAAATACTCCTAGAATGCAGACATAGATAAAAGTATATTAGACACCATATGGAGGTCTGGAAGAAAAGTAACACGAGAACAAACAAAGACCAAGGCTATTGAGTCCTTATGATGTGTAGCCTATACCAAGGATTTTAGTTCCACCATGAGATCGCCATGAACCCATGAACCCAGAGATTATGTTCCTGTGCTGAATTAGCTGGTATCAGAAGAAAAGGCGCAGCTGTCGTACCTTGTAAGAAGCATCAAAGTTGTTCACGTCAAAGATATCCGGGAAGCTAAGGTCAAAAGACCTGATTAGGTGGCAGTCAACAATCTGTTATCATATGCCTTAGTACACACATCGTTGGAAGCATGGAACGAACGTACTTCATATTGTACAGCGCGACAGGCTTGCCAAGGCAAACGCCCGGACCATAGCAGAATGGAACATAAGCATCGGTATTATGACGTCCTCCGATACCTCCATTCAGCCAACCCTCGAGACGGAAGGAATCAGGGTCAGCCAAGTTGCGAGCTAGATAGACTTGGCACTATCCAAGCTTTTTGGAGGTAGACTCACGGTCATGATGCATGGCGAAGACGGGACGAACTGCCGAAGTACACGGAGGAATACACTAGTCCAAAATCTGGGTAGGCTTATCTCCATTCCATCGTGGCGGTCCTACAGAAAGGACGTCAGAATCGAGACTACTCCATCAGTGCAGCGAAGAGGCTTAACCTGCAACAACTGGTGGAATCACATGAAGTGTCTCTTGAACACAAGCATCCAGATAAGGCAGCTTTGACAGGGTGAAATCATCCATATCTTCGAAAGGACCGTCAAATGTGTTGGTCAGTTCCATTCGTAAAGTCTTCTGAATTTCACGGTGGCCAGTCAGGTATCGCATCAATGCAACCAAAGCTTCACTGACGGTGTCAGATGCTGCCAAAACTATGAAGGATGCATCTGCCGCAGCTTGGAATTTTGAGAGTTTAGGGCCGCCTGAACTTTCATCTTGCTGGTAGCGAATGATATCAATGAAGAAACCACGACAGGTGAGGACCCTTACAATTATGCTCAAAATATCTTGACGCATTCCAGCATTCTTGCGGCTAGTTTCTTCAACCTTTTTACCGGCAAACTAGAAATGGTTGAGTAAGAACCGTAGCCGAAGACGCAGAAGCAATAGTTTACCTGCTGGAAAGTGAGAATGGGACCTGGGGAAGGCGCTAAGGCAAGGATGTCTCGCATCCAGGGCACCTGGCCAAGCACTACAACCGTTGTCGTGATAAGTATGTCAAGGTCCTCCGTGTCAAACTCAACGTACCTCCAATGAAGAGCGTGCCCATGTGTAACTATACGCATACCTTCAGCGAGGACTGGAAGTGAGTTATAAAAAAAGACTTACCACTTCCGTCCAGCCTTCAGTATCCTTTCTAGCCGACATAGTCTCAAAGCCGCCAGAGAAAGACATGTCCCCCATTACGTCACTAGAACAACTATTAGCGCCATGCACACAACTTACATTCCCCACAAAGATATCCAGTGGGAAAGAGGTAAAGCCGTTTTGTCTTTGGACGTCACCTTGAGAATGTCCAACAATTGGGCTGTACGAACCTGGAAAGAATTTAACTTGTGAAAAGGTAGCCTGAATAGTTGCAGTACCTTGGCTTGAGCGCGGTAATTTTTCAGGTTCTCGGTCGAAAAGGCTTTATTCCATGCCTGTCAAGACGATGAGACCTGAAGTAACAATCAACCGAGGAACGCCCACAATAAGTCTGCTAGCATGTTCCGCTGGGTCGTTTGTAGTGATCAACGCGTCTGCATCCTGAGGTACTCCTACAGATACCACATATTTAGAGAGGAACTCATTCAATCACTACAGAGAATGTACCTTGGTAGAACCGAGATCGGAAGATTTGGCTGTAAAGAGGTCGCATCGCAGCTGGATTGTCAATAGAAAGCTCATTGGGTCCTAGATTTTTCTGAGTGAGTGCATGGATGTAGAGATACATCAACTTACCAATTCGTAGCCAAGGCCCATATGTCTCGTGCAATCTTCCAGGTGATGATACGTGTAGGTGCAGCACTTTATGTTCGAAGACTTACTCTTGAAGTTTCAGGTGTCGATTTCCTTTCGCGATCCAATAGCTCATATACCATTTCGTGATTTTGGCAAGACGAGGTCCAGGGTATTTTGCGAGGGGATGTCAGGGGGACAGTCGATAAACAACGATCGACGCAGTAAGACCTGTCAAAAATGTATTTACTACAACTGTGGCAGCAATACCAGCGTCCGCAAGGTGCCCGGTTTTGGAAAGAAAGGCAGCGAAAACAGAGATAAAACCTGCAGCCTGGAGGGCGAGAAATTGGAGAACCTTAGGCACCTGTCGCTTGAACAACGCGTGAGAGCTCTGTATAGCGATGCGTGAGCGCAAAACAAGAAACAACCCCCACAAAGACCGACAACCCACAATGCTAAGGGTTGCAGAAAGCAGAGCAATCTGCTGAACTGGTATCATCACAGAACTAGATGACTTGTGGAGGACGAATGGAAAGCAAGGAAAACGTAACGCGAGCTATCTCACTGTCAGTTTCTGAGGCCTTCCTGCCTTCTAAGCGCCTTGTGATGATCATCGGTGATAGAAGCGAAATGCGGCACAGCCCAGTTCATTTTCTGTATATCCCATGGTTGCCTCACAGCAGTTTTCTTGATGTAAATCTGTGCTTTGACGAAAAGATATCGTGATACAAGTACTGTGGGCTTTAGGAAGATTTGCGAAACCATCTCGACGGCAATTACCGATAACTAAGGTAGGACTCAGGTGAGAACAGTGAAATTGCAGCTAGATACGTGTACACTGACCCGCCAGCTTTTCGTAAAGAAACATACCTTCAACTCGAGTAAAGTAAAGTAAGAACGGAAAAGGCGGACAAGAACGGAGACCGTGACATCACGCGAAATGTGACATTGAGGGGTCAGGAACTCGGCCACACACGGCACTCGGTCACTCCTAATTTACAGTTCAATTTCATGCTTCCCCTGCAAATATTGTATGCTACATTAACATTGTATACTGTGGCTACTACAAGTAATTTTAGTGCGCGGAATACAGTATTGAATGAAGTATGAGCTCAACAAAGTGATCTGATGCCGAAATGATCAGATTTGGTAAGCTTCTCGGCCCTACTGATGACGAAACCGCTGTCGCAGCTCTTGTCCCCATCCTTCACGGTGCTGCAACTTTGTGCAGAGTACTCTCTTTCCTCTAGACTGCCATTTCCAATTATATTTCTACCCCTGCATCCTTCATTAAATTGTTTTGGGCATCTCCATCTCTCGTGACCAAGATCAAAGCCTTGAAAGAATCTCATCTTGACTACCGCACCATGCCATGCCATTGCTTCGCTGAACCGTAATAACAATGATATGTTATTCTCTACATATCAATGCATTGTTTCATGACCTGATAGGAATTTTAAGACTTTATTACAATGATAAGATGATTTAGATCAGTAACTTTCCCACGTGTGGCCGAGTACACCATAAGTGGCCGATTTCAGCATGCCTGTAGAAATAAATTCGCACTCGATCCCAGACTCATTTTCTTCACTTTCAAACTATACATGCCAATTTTTACGAGGTATGCGCATCTCGCTGTATAATTTATATGAGGTAAAGTGCTATGTAAATCAACGTATTTTAACAGAAAGTTGGAATGGCCGAGTTGCCGGTCGGACACAGTACCGTACCGTACCCAGCGGCCTGCCCTTGGCCTGGCCTACATTGAGTAACAGGGCAGGCATTTATGACGTGTCCGGCTGTATGTTCCACGCGTTTCCAGGGGCCTTGTCCTCATGAACACACGGTGGGGAGACTGGTTCGAGTTTACCGAGACAACGTAGCTTCGATCCGAAAATGATGTTCGAGGCCAAATATTCCCAGTGCTCACTGCTCTGAGTTCCGTCACCTTTGACCCCTTTGGCACAGACTTCCTTACGTTCCGATGCGTGGCCTGTGGTAAGTGTTACTCGGGGATCCGAAGAGCCACCATCAATCCTACACTCGTGAACGAATGAAGCTTTCGCAGTGTGCGGCCCTTAGCGTGATCGTTCAAGTTTTTGATCAGCCTAAAATCGCCACTAAACATCACATAGGAGCGGGCCGATATCATCGCACAAGTGGCAAAGAGATATTGCTTTCTCTATTGCGCTTTTGTGAATACAGACGAACCCAAAGGAGGCAAAGGCGAAACTCCTTGGAACCTGTGTCTGTAACATGCGGTCAGATTCGAAGAGAGACGATGGTCAATCGCTCATCAAACTTTTTTGTTTCGTCTCCTGTCACGTTTACATGTGAGTCGGACAAACTTTGTTGTTAATATCCACTACGCGTTCCGAGGTCTCCGTTATTCCTCATGGCCCCTGGATGGACTGTGTGTTATTAGTTTTGAGGATCGGATCCTGCTAATTCCAACGTCCGGTGTCTACGAAGCAAAGGCCTTGTTTGATTATGCTCGGGAGAGCATAAATACGTCTCTTCTTCTGTTCGAGGAGTCAACCACTTTTGAGCTCGAAGACTGTCTGCTGTCACCCAAGATGCACTCCTTGAATCCATTAAAAATCTCACTGTGACCAGGGTAGGGGCAAACTCCTCCTTCGCACGTTAATATTGATACTCACTGTGTCATCCTAGTACACCTATGGTATAAAATATATCCGAGTCGATTGCTATGGACTTTAATTAATACTAAGCGCCCTTCAATCTCAGCCGTGACCATTCTACTGTGGAATATATTAGTGACCTTCGACGACGAGGTAATCTCATATAGTAAGGACTATCTCTCATCAGACTGATCTCCGCACAGGTAAAGCAAGTGTGGTTCCCAGAAAGTCCATTGGAAAATGCTTGTTCTTATTCGTGCGTATATGAACGTGAAGCTAAGAGGTCTCTCATTAAGTCCCCATGGTACCGATATATAGCTCCAATCCTTTTTACCTTCGACCTTTATTGTGCACGTATCTTGCATCCAGGTATAGACATTCACACTTGGAACTGCCGAATGTGAGCCGTACGCATGAGACTCGTATTCAACTTCTCGGCTTGATCATTAATTTAGCTGTCCTTGTGCTTCAAACTCACACCTTGTGTCAAAATTACTGTATTTTGGGTCTCCTCACTTTTCTCTGCATCGTCAGTGTCAACTGTCTGCAGCATTTGACCTTCGTTTACCCTATATGTAATTATAGTCCGTCACTGCTACGATGATAACCACCACCGTATACTTGTATCAGAACCTAATCACAGTGTGTACGTTCAATTTGATTTGATTCTCATTCCAATACTCACACTTCTGCAGTTGAACCCGATCACAGTCCGGTAATCCTAGTCCGGTGCCCTACTGTCGTCCGCTGCCTACCGCCTTTTGGATCCCTTTCTTCGTCTGCGAAACACGTACGTCACACCTATATCCATATTCTTTCTTCAAGATTCTGATTCTCCTTTCGTGATCTTTATTCTCATCGCCTATCAGTTTCTGCGCCTCTGTGAGCGTTCTCTCATTCGTTCGGTCTTCGTGTTATTGACTTGATCGCTAAAGTACCGATCAAAACTCACGTCGTTGTTTTCAGAGATGGTGTGACATTCTCACGACCTCCTCATCTTGTCTCCTCAGTGACTTACCAGTTTAACTAGGATTCATCTTTTGTATGAGTCAGGTAGGCAGGGGCCTTCACTATAGAAATAACACACGTCCAATTGTTCTTGCCTTCTCGAGTGGGTACCTCTTTTCTTACTCTTGAGTATAAAAAATATGTTCAGGATGATGGAAGACCTAGCTATCTCAGTGGCGAATCTGGTGGTGTGGATTGCTGCCCCGATACCGCTATCCTATGTTGCCACAAGGTAAAGAGAATTGTATCTGAAATTCATGCTTTTCATCAAAGGGTACAGACGATCGGGCTAGACTAATATATTTCTAGTTCCATGCAAACTGCGCATATACCCCCAGTACTTCGTCTGTCAGAAGCGTGCTGTACGTCTCCACGTCGCCCGACGTATATTCCTTGTCCGATTGTACAATATTCAAAGTCTCCACTACCTGATCCACCACAAAGTCGACAAAGACAAAGTCGATGAGCGTGTCGTTCGACACGTCCGGTGGGATGGACCCAACAAAGTCGGGTATAGAGTAGAATGGAAGTGGTGTGTGAATGATATCATCGCCAACACCCGGGCAGGACTGGAATGATAATGAGAAAGGTGTTCGCATGAGGATAAGAGAGTCTTACATCGGTGGTAACATATCCCAAGGTCAGATTATCCGTATCACGTCTTTCCAGCTCCACATATCTTTGGTTCATCTCGCTCAGCCAATCCAAATACCTAGCCCGCACATCTCCTCGGCTGTACATCTCCTGCTTCAGACTCCTCTTCCGATCCTGTTCGCCATTCTCCGCCATTGTCTGCAGGGTATCCAGTGCCACAGAAAGTGGCACCTCAGGGACAGTAGAAGAACGTATTGGTGTATGGAGCTGACGGTGAAGTTGATCATTCTTGGTGAATGGTCCGGCGTATATGTCGAAACGCTGTCCACCGGAGTTGATGAAGTATGTAGTTGGGGATGTCGGCGCGACTGTTGTTAACGGACAATGCATACGGTGTAGCCTAGAAGTATTTGTGTCCGATGATAGATGCTGGACATGAAGACCACATACCAGTTCAGCAAAGAGGGATAATTGAGAGTCGTTGGAAGGATATGGATACCTATCATAGCCTAAGCGTGAGTGCTTTCCCAGGGAAATTGCACGGAACGCGTACCGGGTGATTGCATAGTCATGCGGGGCCGTTCCGAACGTATAGTTTAGATCAAAGTCAAGGGCGAGCTGATTTAGTCCAGCCGTGATAGACTGGCCCTTCTCGGTATCGAAGGTCGACTGGCTTTCTCGGGTGTGATACTGAGAGTCAGGTCAGTAAATAAATGACTACGGAATAAAATTTGTACTTCATAAGTGACGCGATTAGGGTCCAAATAGCGTCGGCTAAAGGTAAGGTTGTTCGACTGCACTCTGAGTGTCAAGCTTGACACCTGAATGGGGAAACATGAGTTATTCCAGGACCAACACAGCGTAGCTGACGTACTCATCCAACCCACAGTCTCCATGTAACGCCCGCTTTCCAGTGACATAGATCGTCCATCAAGCTGGAACTAGTAATGTATTCAATACATTAACCTCATGAGTATGATCAGAAGAACGATGATCGCTCACCGCAGTCTCGAATGTGAGTGTGACCTGGCATCATAATAAATAAGTTCGTAAGTATTGACCATTCGGAGAAAGTTTACCGACCACCGAGAATGAGAATGGGCGTTGTAGCATGAACAGCACGAACGGCATTGAAAACCAAAGGCCCTGTAAAGCGTGCCTAGCTTCAATACAGAAACTCTTTCCGCGAAACACGCATCGAGAGGCACCAACAATTATCACGAGAAACCGGCATGTGTCTATATCATTGATATATCAGCATCTTTCGCAGAGTGAGATGTCTCGACTGACCCAGCCAGTAGGAAGAAATCAGGTTCATCCTTGATAGCGTCCAAGAACTATATAACGCACGTAAGCATGCATTCTCTCCGGTGATGGAATCAGACGTACCCAAGACTCTTTGACCATATCCTCGACCTTCTGGACAGTAGTATTTTGATCATTCCCAGTGAAGTCAAAGATAACTCCAAGCGCAGTAACGCTTCGGCCTCTGTCATCAAATTGCGAAACGTCAAAAATTATTTTCGCATGAAAAAATGCGACTTACTTCCGTGTCTTGAACTTGGCAAATCGACCTGAGGACGAGAGAGGCTAAATCGTATTGCACCTCATCATAATAGCAATGATACGCACTACCCACAGGAACATCAACAGTGTTGTTGTTCTGATCTGCCAATGTAATATTGACATTGGACGAAAGATATCGACCATTCAGCTTCGGCGCCAGATTTTGATGCCTGGGTGTATACAAGACATTAGCTCGCGTGAAAGACCATATTCAACCGGGAAGACCGACATGTCGAGGGTGTCTGCGTAAACGTATAGTTCGTGACTACGTTGAAACATCAGACAATTTATGTAGTAATTCATGAGCGACATACTTTCCAATAGCCATAACATCGTAAGGAAGTTCGGCAAGGAACTTGGTAGACTGAGGGGATGAGAAGTCATTGTCTGAGTGAGGCCATGACAACGATCGAACAAACTTCGTGACCGTCAACGCCGCCGGGAGGGTAACCGTCCGATAAACCGGTACCTGTTCATTTGAGGTTGCTGGACATAATCCTGATGTGATCAGTTTTGTACTTACCATCGTGCAGGTCTCCAGAGTCTACGAGAAGAAGGTCCACGTCTTTCCTCTAGCATACACGGGAGTCATGATCAGCTAAAAGAGGTATAGGCGGGGTGCATCCTCACGACTGCTATTTCCTTCATATGTGCCACGAACGACGCAAAGTCACCTAAGGTCACCACTGATACATGTCCTGTATGAGATGCCATACATAGAGTTCCTGCATATACCTGACCACTTACCTGTAATTTGGCTCCGGGAACGAGGCCTTTTGGTGACCGAGGAGCCATCCATGACTGTCCGTGGTGTGGATGATGTTGATATCTCCCCATTCCAATGGTCGAGTCGGCGGGGTTAACGGAGACGACGGATTTGCTCTCCGAGAATGCTCATGGACATGTCCATCGCAGGCCCAAGCGAGAGAAATGGCAGCAGCAACAACCAGGAGTCGTGTCGACATGACAAAAGTCCACTGTAAAGGCGCCGAGCATTGTTGAAACGTTTTATATCAAGAGCTTCAGACGTTCCAAAGGGGAAAACCAATTTTAGCTACGGGCACATACGTGTGGGACCGTTGGGGTTCAACATCGCTTACGACCAAGGCGGCCGCGGAATATGTTGACCCAGGGTACTTTTTGTTGATTGTGATCTCACACACGCAACACAGCCGCGCTGTCTTTGTAGTGTATCGCACATCCCATTTTATCTGGTGCGTCGTTAGGATCTTCGAGATGCACTTCACAACCAGATGGCCACTGATGGCCATTATCGAAGGGAATAAGAAGAGTGACTTTCTAAGATCCGTGAAAGCGCTGTCCAGGAGAGAATTATGCGGTCGTCCGGCCTCGTGCCAGCAAAAAAAACTTGCAGAACTTGAAGAAGTGACATGCGCTCCACAGTCATGTATCATTGATGTGTGCGTTGGATATCCGATGGTGAGCAAATATTCCATTGTAAAAGCAGTGGCCCTATGGGAATTGAAAGAGGGTACAATGGACATGGACTTGAAATTTACCAGATACATTACCTCGTCGTCGTAGGCATTGTCGGTCTGCTTCTTCTTTCCTTTCCCCCTTCTCCCGCTTCTTCCTCATCAGCTCTGGCGCGGTATCCTGCATTATTCGTCATTCGTTTCGTTCGCCTCCAATTCGTTCGATTCAGCGCGTATCTCCCTTTTATCGACCTCCGGTAATCTTCATCTTTAGGTTGCAGCTTGAAGCAAATACATTGTATGATGTTTTCAAGGCCACAATCTATTTACTCAACGACAGCGCAGTCTATCTAGGTGGGTAAGAAACGTATTGAAACTATGTATAAGGAATCTTACTTTTGCCATCGGTTCTGGGTAAGGTAGAGATTCGAGAGCCGATAGCTTGCTGAGCTGGGAAGTATATACTACTCAAGTCAGATCCGTCTTCGTCTTCATAGCCTTCGTAGTCCAAACGCGGACCATGCTTGTAGCCTGGGCAGAGCGACATGCTGGTACAAGTTCAAGGGGGGTGCCAAGATAGGCAAGTCTAGGTCACCGGTTTAGTTACCGTCTGTTGCTTCATGGATTTGACCCCAGGGAGATATATACCATTCTCGACTCTCGAGGCTACGGGTACTGTTCGTTCGGTCTGCTTGATGCCAATGCAGGCGATGAAGATCCACGCCACGGCTGGCGAACCTTTGAGCCTATCGAGTACGGCCTCAGCATTACACCCATTGTAGTTAGGAGGCAATGGCCAGCCAGGGGCGGAAGAAATTTTAGGAATTGTCTCACCTCTCGACTTCTCACTTCATCATGTCCGCCTCCGCCGATATTTCCAACTTTGAATTCAAACCAACCGATGGCGTACCCGCTACATGGACACCCGCCCACGCCATCTTGGTGTACAAATCATTGAAAGCGGATCCTATCCGACACGACACGGACGGGTGGGGACGCGCCCACATACGGTGGGTTACCAAGGCAATTTGGTTCTGCGTAAGTCCTTTGCCTGACCTTGTTATAATAACTTACATCCCCTTTTTCATTAGGATAAAATCAGACGCCTCTCCAAGGTGACGGGCACCCCCTACCATGTGTTGGCAAACCAGCGGGTGAACGTCATTCACCACCTCCGCCCCTTGTTGGCTCGGCATGGTACGCCGAGTCTCCAGTACTTTGCCAAGCGCAGCCCCAGCTTTCGCAAGCAGCTGTACGGAATGATAGGCGTCGGTAAGCTCCTTCTAACAATCTTCACTGTTCCCTCACCTCATCACCATCTTCACAGAGTGGAAAGGGTTAGCGGATCCACCCTCCTCCTCTGATGAGACCAGCGAGGAAGAGGAGGAGGAGGAGGAGGAGGGTTTGAGCGGGAAGTCTGGCGAGGATTCGGGCGACTGGGGTTCTGACGATGATGGAGATGATCATGAGGAAGACGAGAGTGAGGTTCAAGAGGACTTGATGGATGTTGACGGAGAGGATAGCGGGTCTGCTGCTGGGAATATGAATGTAGCCAGGGCCGCCCCGGTGGTGATCAAAGGTGAGTTTCCGCTCGTAAGTGTGACTTGGCACTAATAATTTTCTAGCCAAAAGGTATACGAAGACTGGCTGGCCGGTCTCCCTCAACCAAAGGTTGAGGCAAGGTAAGACACAACCATCTATGCGCCAGAACATGGAGGAGTTAGAAGAGGAAGGACATTTGGAGGCAGGTAATGTTTCCTTTATCCGTTATTTTCCATACTCAATCAGTGCCAAGGAGTCTGAATGGAAGTGCGACCGCTACCGGGGAGTGGGCGGTCGCCTATGTCGTGTTCCCAAAGATTCCAACAATGGGCACCCTGCTTGTGCAGAGTGTCTTATCAGCAGCCACAGTGGTGGCAGTTAGCCCACCCGCTCTAACTCGACCCGCCCGTGTGGCTAAGGGAAAACAACCGGCATTTTCCACCCGTCCGAGCAGGAGGCGGGTTGTCGTTGAGGTTCCCCGGAGAGTGGCTAGGAGTCATGATGCTGAAGCGGGTCCATCATCCGCTCTTACCGTCGGTGATTTGGAGGCGGATTTCAATGTGTACCGTGGTGCGCGCAGGGTTCCAAGGCGCCCGGCTGGTAACGGTAAGCTTCTTTGACTTCCCCTCCTTGTTAACTTGCTAACAGTCTTCCTTAGATCCTACAACAGATTTCGCTTTCAGGCTTGTTGAGCGCCGGGGACACTCAAGAGATATGGCCTGGGACCGCATCGTCGCTCTCAGTGAGCAATTTGTTTCCATCCATCGAGCGTTACAGTACGAGCTCGACAACTATGGGCCATTTTCTGAGGCGGAGGTAGCGCGTCTCCTGGAGATCCGCAGACGCATATCTTCACGAGGAATATCTTTTTCGTGAATAAATGACACGACACTTAATTTCATTCATTTAATTATTGTGCAGTGGGGATCCAATTCGAACTTGGCACATTTCCCCGAAAACATTCTGTATGATTCTCGTAATAAAATAAGCACAGGCACAACGACGCGATACAAGGAGGGCGATATGTGCTACAAACATCCCAAGTATTTCAGTAAGCCTTTCGATTTCGTATCTACACATATCACAATGTTTTTGGTTTCTCTTCATAATGATACGATTCACTCAGTCGCGATTCCCTCCATAATGCGATGGCAGCAAAAGCTGCACCGGGCCCAAAAACCACAGAGCCGACCACAATCCATGCTACCAGTCCAAGCAACTGCGATACGCTCTGAGCGAACCACAGAGAGCCGAGAAGGCAGCTCCCAGATCCCACAGCGAAATCCCATTGGAAGATATTGGCCGTATGGCGCAACACTACCTCAGTCGGCGCTACTGCATACATTGCTGGGAAAAAGAATGCGAGGGCGTCGTCCAGAGACCTGAACTTGAAAACGGTGGACAGATGGATGGACGATGCCACGAGAAAGGCGCCGATATATGCTGCTTGGACGGTACGGAAACCTGACTGCGAGTGTACAGTAGGCGGACGGAAGAGGAGGTGTATGCTCCCTGCAATAAAGCCGATAATTGGAGCAAACTGCCAGAGTCCTGTAATCCCAGGATCCGCCATGGCGACCATCGCCACCGAAGGGATGACCCATCCAATAAAAAGACCAAAAACCGCCGCCTCTGCATGCGCCTGTGTCACCTTCCCAGTCCGCCTCTTCGTGCGACCCGAAAGGATCTCACATATCCAGTAGAACGGCATCACAGCTGCGAATGTGACCAACTGTCCGAGGGTGCCGAACAAGAGGGCTGAATGGCTGGTAGTGAAACGACGCCTTTTCCTTGCAGATTCGAAGGACTGAAACAGGACAGCGACTGGAGCGAGGGTTCCGATGAAGTAGACCAGGAAAGGCGTGAGTTCTGGTTTCATGGCGACGTGGAACACTGAGACCAAACCGCAGAGGCGAGTGTCGAAGAGATCATTGTTGGTGTGAGGGATGAAATGAGGCGACCCTGGTTTGCAACTCGATCGGATTTCGGGGCCAAGGAACTGGATACTGGGCAAAATGTTTGTCACTTCGAGCACCGTGAGGGCAGGAAAGAGGAGAAGAGGGAGAATAATGTCGGTGAGCATTGGTCCCAGCCACGTCCTCGAAATTTTTGGTTGACAGACGTTATGCTAGCACTGAAAATATTTATATAGCTGTGGTCACCGGCGTTCGGTTACATTAGTGCCGCGAACGACCACGTGCGCTGGCCGGGGTATCGCGTCTGCTTAATACCTTTCCATCCCTCGTCCATGTCCAAAATAATCAATCTTCACTTGAGTACAGATGGTGCTCCGGTACAAGCGCTCGCCGTTCCTGCTGAAGACATGAGGCGATTGTTGTATCATCCTCTGAAATGGCTTCGATATGTCTCATTCGCAATCTTTGGTGCAGCTGGACAACTGTCCCTGATGGCAAATGGTCCTGTCATCGACAACGAGAATACACCTCTAGAAAAACTCGTCACAGATTACTATTACGTTCCCAATTGTGAAGCATGTCTTTCTGCTTGATGTCGCTGTCGTCTGATCAGTGCTTTCCTATCGTTCAAGGCGAACTGCACCTGGTTGATCCTCATGCTCTGAATGATCGTGTCTCATCCTCTCATCAAACGGAGCGCAACCGTGATTTCCGTTCCATGATAATGGAACGTGACGGAAATCGTTGTCTTCACAGACTACCCCTCGGTGGCTTGCCAGGCTGCACACTTAATTCCCGGAAGCAAAGATCATGAGGTATGTTGAGATCTATCCCAGGCATCGGTTCACAACCCACTTCTAGTACATTCGAGCAGTTTACGAGCAACGCATTCATCTATATCCCTTTTCAGAAATGGAAATCACCGACAAAGGTTCCATTGACTGTGCCCAGAACGGGATTTTTTTGAATGCTGCGTTGCATTTGTTCTTGGGAGACGGTAGTATGGTCCTACTAAGAGTACGGCAAGTTTGCGACATGTCTTTGAACTTCTTCCGAAGCATACGCATACAGACACCTAATTTCGCTCTACAACCCGAGGACGTTCCCAGAGTGGAGACAGGTCCTATGCTACCAACCCGTCTCACTCTTCAGTACCTAAAGTCGATGGATGAATACCCAGTACCACCACAAAAGGATGCTCGTGTAACCAACAGCCACATTCCACCTCCTTCTCCGTTCATTCTTGACTACATTTATGGAGCTGCCGTGTATCGACGTTGGGCTAAAAACAGTTCTGACATTGAGACAATGATGCAGGCTCGTTCTAAACAGTTCTATAGCCTTTCTCGTCCCCCGCCCTCCCCCCACTCCAGCGACAATGACATGCCGGATGATGATCCCAACGATCCTGATTATGAACCTGGGCAAGGCACAATGGCAAGCCGTAGCAACAAACGCCAGAAGCATGACCACACATCCCATGAAATGCTTGATGCTATGGATGCTATCTTTGTTTTGTCTAAGCTTGTCAGAGGATCCACTCCCCCAGAAATAGCTGAGGAACGTGAACAACGGATGAAAGAAGCGGAGTTGCGAGAGCAGGAAGCTAATCGAGTGAATGTTAATCAGTGGTTGCATGGGCGTCCAATTCAATGAACTTAGCCTCGTGAGGATATTTTATTCGGACTACGATGAGGACTGTTGCACTGTCATTCTTATTCTTAACAAATATTTTACTCTTAGATGTTCACTATGATCCTCGCCGTAAATTACACGTGTTCATAGGTCAGTTAATATCAAAGATACGACAGGCCGAAGCTCTGGGGCCGTGTCGCCACCCGGACTAGATTGTGAAGGCAGAAATGCCTATCCCAGGTTTTATCCAGACAAAATTTGAACAATCGCGTGGAGGCTTGTGGTTTTTATCCGGACGTCTGACCAAGTATAAAACGATGCCGTGTCCCGTCCGGAATGAATGGGCTGATTGAAGATGTCTTTCCCGGTTCGTCTGCGATGTAGAAGGACATCATTGCTGGCGAATTTTCTCAAAGTACCAGTATAGCAGACTGTCTTTTACACACTGACGAAATTTAGACAAGGACAGATCGCCTATACAAGTTGCGCGTGCTTAACTGCCCAAGGGTGCCGAATAAGAGGGCTGAATGGCTGGTGGTGACACGACGCCCTTTTCTTGCAGATTCGAAGGACGCGACTGGAGCGAGGGTTCCGATGAAGTAGACCAGGAAAGGCGTGAGTTCTGGTTTCATGGCGACGTGGAACACTGAGACCAAACCGCAGAGGCGAGTGTCGAAGAGATCATTGTTGGTGTGAGGGATGAAATGAGGTGACCCTGGTTTGCAACTAGATCGGATTTCTGGGCCAAGGAACTGGATACTGGGCAAAATGTTTGTCACTTCGAGCACTGTGAGGGCTGGAAAGAGGAGAATAGGGAGAATAATGTCGGTGAGCATTGTCCCAACCACGTCCTACGTTATGCTAGTACTGAAAACATTAACATACTTAGTGGTGGTGTCACCGACGCCCGGTTACAAGTACATTCCTCAATCGTTTTGCAATCATTCCTCAAGAAGTTGTGTCTGCCCACTTCATCTGTTCATCGAAACTTATCCACAATATAAAGACCAAGCAATGGATTTCACTGTATGAATAAATCTTGGCTGTGGAATCAACAATAATCATGACCATCTAACCAGTCGGCACGTCGGAAAGTTGAAGCACCGAATGGCCCTACACCAAAATCGTGCAAGTACTTGCAATCATCAGAACGTGCTAGAGCCAGTCTCTCGACTTTTTGGGAGTCTATCAGAAGCTAGAAGCATCGAAGACAAGGGAAGCGAATCAAGGGAAAGGGAAAGGATAAGGGCTGCGACATCATAGTCGACTCTTGAATTTTCTGATGTTGCTATTCACCTTCTCGACTCTCACACTCAACTGCGATCTAGTCCGGCGCAAGACGAAAAGAACAGCATGACAAATACATTCAAGAGTTCACGCAGGCAAACTTGAAGTCGCAGTGACTGAAAGTCATTACGATCCGGGCCGTGCTCTTCGTCTTACCATATGGTCTATCATCAAGGCAGCGAAGCGAAATGCGTGTCGGAGAAGTAGTCCCGAATGAGCACAAGACTCCCACATAAAAGGTAACCGATAACAAGGACGCGGGGAAAAGACGTACAGTTTGACCGTCAGCTCGCCGTCAGATGAACGGCCTTATGCATAGAAACGTTGCAGGGCCATACAGCAAGGCGAGCGGAGGGTTGTGCGTGCTCAGTTTCTGTGACTCCATTATAGTAATGGTATAACTCCGATGGACGTAAGGCATGTGGACAGCAAGGCAAGAAGGCAGACGATAACGGCCTCGAAACATGAGCCGAAGAAAGTGAGAGTAATTGCCTTCTCAGACGGTCTCTGTCGATTGCCCTTGCAGAAGGAATGCAAGTTTGCGTGACGGGTGATGTAGGTGAAGATGTGAGATGAGAGAGATATAAACCTCGTGTTTGCGTTCAATGCTAAATCATACAGTGTTCTATATTCAAATGATACATATTAAAACCACGACCGACCTGTACAGAACCATGAGGAATACCACACGGTCCACAATGAGTCAAATACGCACCCAAGTCCCAAGATAAAAGAAGTTAAAATTCTGGCTTTGCCCAATGCGTAGGTTAATATTGCTCGTAGGGTTCGTGCATGGGGAGCCTCAACGTCGGTGTAGAAGCATGAGGATAACTGTATAGCGATGCGGCTGGCTTTCGTTTCTTTGATACAAGGCGAGCGAACCATCGAGTAGGAGATACGCTAGCAAAAAAAAAAATGAGATAGTAAACGACTCTAGTTGGTGAGCACTCACCAGATGGACCTTCTCCTATGTCTAGGTTTCGAAAGCTCGCCTGGCAGACGGATACGCCTAGGCGTGAGGACGATGTACGAGAGACTGAGCATGTAGAAGAGGACGGATGAGGATCCTGAGGATCTGTCGCCTCCCTTTATAGTATTCCCTTCACCTTCGAGAACATTTGGAGGTGACATGGCTCATGGCCGCACTGTTGGCCCATTGTTCACAGAAGACATGTCGAGAACAAAGTGATAGGCGGTGCGGTTGCTAGGCTGCACAATGGTCGTCGAGGCGAAAAGACAAGTGATAGGCGTCAAGGATTAGGATCCACCCACCTTGTTTCCGCTTTCGGAGAAATGATCACGTAACAGACGACGTCATCAAAACGATCCTCCATATGAGAATGATAGAATTACAGTATCGGAATTACAACAAAGTGAAATGATGCAATGATAATGTTTTTATATAAATAAGTCATTAGTAGTCGTTTTCGTATCTGCGCGGGGCAAAAGCATGCGCGATACGGTCTCTGTCAAATGGATCGTCAATTCGCAAGGTGGACTAGATGACAATATGGACTCACAAAGCAGCCCGCTCTTGGGATACATCAGGCGACGTACTTGGAAGTTCAGTCGTAACATTAAGATCTAAGGCGCGGCTTGAAATATTGCAACACAAGGAAGGGCAAAGGCTCACTTTGAAAGGACGACGCAGCCGTCTTGCTCGAACGAGCATTTTCCACTGGAAGAGGGATTTCTATTGTCTGGATAGATGTTAGCAGAAGCCCAACATCGTGAGCATTCACGACGCTCACCGGTACAGTGCTGTAGGGGGGCATGATGAAGGGGAGGTAAGGGGGAGATTCCAAAGCCTGAATCAAGGATTGGAGCACGACCTAGCTTTATAGCCACTAAAAATGGTGACCGCGCCACATTCAATCTCCTGGAAGAATACGAAAATCGGCCGTGGAGTACGGTAGAACATGTGAAATTCATCCTCGGAAGCAAACACCAACACCATTCAGTTCTTGGAATATTCATCCAACATTTCAACGGGAGGCGCTGGCCGTCCCTGCAATGAGACGTGCACGGGACAATTTCACATGCTATGATGTCTCACCGATCATCCTATTGCATTAGATCAAACATTTCAGAGAATATCAACCAATCCTCGCCGCGAAGAAATAATCCCGACCACTTTGGCTTCAAAGTCAAGCAAAGAACCCGACCTCGTAGCCACCAAATCACTAGCATCGTCCTCGACACCGAGGAGGGTTTCGATGTTAGCTGATCCCAAGGCCAACACTTCAGACTTCGACAACGCCGCAGGCGTCTCCAGAGCCGCCTGTTTATCGATCAGATACAAGTTCCTTAGACAGAAGCAAAAGCCACTCACCCAAGCAACGTCAAACCGCGCGTTCCTCACCGACCAAGTACCACTGCTTCCGATACCAACAGTTACATTATGTGCTTTTAAAACACCAATGACATTATTCTCGGTTAAAGGAGGTCCAGGAAGACTACAATTGACCTTAGACATCATCTGATTCCACAATTTTCATTTGGACTCACATTCTCCGAAGTTCCCAGCTTGCTGGGAACGGCCGCGAGGGTACCAAAATGACACCAATGCCAGCATTTCCAATTTCGGCTGCAAGCAGGTGAGCTTCCGTGGCACCTGCGAACGTCATCCGTAATGGAATACTGGTAGTCCTTTCGACGTCGGACTTGAGTTGTATCAACGAGGTCATAATGTCAGCATTTTCGACATCAACAACGAGTGGGATTTTGCCCTATCGGAAAAAAGGGATGAGAATCCGTGCACACAACTATTCTGCCGATGTCACGTACAGCTACGACACGCTCGAACTGAGTCCCGAGATCACCACTTCCGCCCCCTAATAATAGACGGCGCAGTGTAGCGATCTGAGTACTGACGCTAATCGGAGAATTGAGGGAAAGGATGACATGCAAAGCAGTCGCGTCCTGAACCACAGCCCCCTTCTGTAACTTGTGGGCAGAACCCGTAGAGAATGCCACTGTCAGCCCGGATATCAAGCCGGGAGCTACGGGTGCTACGATGGCCGTAGTTACGCCGCTCCGGTAAGCGAGCCTGCGTTCCATATCAACCGAAGTCATTGAAACAAGGGAAGTGAACCCACAAACTATCTCTTGAGGCGAATTGAAGCCCATCCGAGGCTCGAATGATTGCATCGTCTCCACCTAGAATGCTTGGAACCTTAGCTAACAGCGGCCCTATTACTGGGCCGTCATTGGTGCTTGCTTCACCGGAGATATGGCTCAGACCCAGTGCACTGCCAAAAGATACAAATCCTGGGCTGCGGGGGAAAAGATCAGTAAAAATCCGAAGCAACGGAGGGCCGCGAACGTACGCCACAGAACCTCCCACAAGGTCTACCACGACAGCGTCATGATAGGCGTTTCCCGCCAGACAAGTCGCCTTGACACCTGAGCAGACGATTTTTCCAGCCTCGACCACTAAAACACCCGCTTCTTTTGAATTTTGAGCAGAGAACCCGTGCTTCACAGTTTGATGATCTCGTATGTAGATGTCGGAAACATTAACGAAAACAACAGTTTTAGACGTAGTCTGCTTCGTCTTCAATGGTGGTAGACCGTCATGCTTGAGCGTTTCTGCAGCCTCTTTATCGAAGTTAGGCGTCTTCGGTGGACTTTGTAGTACGGTTGGTTTGGGATTGGAATACGGTTTTTCGAGTTGCGCGATTCCATCAATATAGACTTGTTTCGGGGTCGCACCAATAGCAAGAGGGTGACTATCCCAGACGACGATATCTAGGAGCAAGGTAAAATTGCTGTGCTGTACTTCATTTAGAGATTGGTACCTGCATCGTATCCTTCTTTGACAAAACCTATCCTGTGGTCATGTCCCATCACAGTTGCTGGCGTTGTTGTCACAGACGATAGAGCTAGATTATCTCCCAATCCATAGTAATGCGCTTGTTGAGCTTCGTGAAGAAGGTATCGTGAACTCAAGATTGGGTGGTCACTCTGTACAGAGATTATATAAGTAGGTGAATCGGTTAACATTGGAGTATCTCACCTTCATGACAACATTGAGCCCATTATCTGCTAAAATACGTGGCGCAAACTCTGATCCACGATACGCCTCGCGTTTATATCTAGCATTGGTGGCAAAAAGAGCAATCGCGGGCGGCTTGCCTAAAAGAACAGTCAGCATCAAACGCATGGTATAATGTATCGCTGACCATAAGCTTTCTTTAGTAAGTCGGGAACCAGGTACGTTTCATGTGCATGATGGAAAGCAGCAAGGGAGAACTTGAATTCATTGGTGAGCTGATGGTCTTGTTAATACAGTCCTCTCGTCAATGTGCAGGACCGATCTCACGCGGACAATTCCATCCAAATCTACGGCTTCATAGCAATGGTTTTGAACCTAGATCGAGGTGAGGACAAGGAATTTTCAATCAAAGAAACCACTAACCTTAACCCTGCCTCTCAACACATCGACGAGGGCCTCCCACTGTAGTTCCTCCGGGAATGCACCTAAGCCTTGCCAATTACCGGTAAGTGCTTTCACACAATAGTCATCTTGTTCTTCCTTAATCTGACGAGCCTTTTCATATCTAGAGACGTTCATGAAGCTCGACTATGAATAGACGTATAGCAAGGACCGGCATACCCGTCCCGAAGAGCCCATATAGTGTCCATGCGTGTGCCAGAATAGACCCGACCTAAGCAAGATTAGTTGTTTTCAAGGAAATTTCGAGTAGGACATACTGGGGTTCTCTCCTACAATGCAATTATATATGTTATTATTCCTTCTCGCAAGCTCACTCTAGCGGTACATACCGCAGGCATGCTTCATTTGCCGCCACCGAGGTGGTATCGATGGGTCTACTTCAGTGCCGTTGATAGAGAAAGGTGGTTCCAACAGCAAAGACGATGGCGACCGCTCAGCTGTGGGACGCAGCTTGATAACGAACCCTTGTCCACCAATGCCATTTGCAGAACCCGGCAGAACCAGAGCTGTAGTAACACCACCAGAGATGGAGAGACGATATGAGTCGTCGTGACTATTGAGTCCATCAAGACTGCGAAGCCAAGGTTGAACGATCCCGTGGCGGGAGTTTGTATCGCTTGCCCCTGCCAGGTGGGGTGAACTACCGACTCCAATGTGGGAATGAAGGTCGACAATTCTGAGATGACATGAGCAAAGAACATGTTGTCGATTGATTTCGTACCCTGGAGAAATCCATGCCCCACCAACGTCGTAAGTGACAAGATCCTGCACCGTATGCGCAGCCAAAGCATCGTATTCAACGACTCCGACTGCTTTGATGATACCTTTGTCCAGTAAAATGTCTCCTCTGACAACTTCAAGTCCATTTACGCGTCCAGTCCAGATCGTCGCGTTCTTGAGTAACGTAGCCTTCGTGCCAGGTACGAAGCGATCCGATTCCGTCCGCGAGTGGAAATCTGGCGGAGGTCCCGGTAGCACATCAAGAAGTTTGCATTTCTGCAACGTTTCTGCTGCATGAAGGGGAATACGTGCAGTTTTCTCCTTGGCCCAGTGAAGCCGTAGGGCCTGCGAAGCGAATAACAAAAAGCAAACAGAGATTCCGGCAAAGAGTCGGGTGAATATCGAAGATTTCTTTCCTCCGTTCGACCGCTGGAGCGCATAAGGCGCTATCAAGACCTTTTCAGACATGGTGGTCAGCCTCGACGATGGGAAAAGGACGACATGATGAGTATGACAATGATAAATATGCGGTCACGAGGAGGAGATAAGATAGGCCGCCGGCACTTAGTTCTTAGTCCACGGACCGGCACACGAAATTAGCCGGATGATCTACACTTTGTAACTTGACCAACAGTTCTCAAAAAAGAGATCGAGCTCTCACTGGTATCAAAAACACTACTCTTCATGACAGTTTAATTTTTTGTGTTCAGATATATCATATCCCAGGATATGCCGGGCCTCAAATTTCGGACTCAAAGATTTGAGGTCATACCAGTGAGCGATGGTGTTATCTGGCGAATCCCTTCTTTTCCCCTTTCGACTCGCAGATTAGATCATAAAACGTTCTGTCCAGTGAACCAGTCGTCATTCATGACAACAAAGGTTGAGTACGTCTTGTTTACACAAATCAACTCACGCTAGCATTAGTCGTATCAAACGCGAATCAGGCTACATTTGATCTCATTTGATCCCACAGCTCAGAACGCTCAAATCACAACAGATGAAAGAACTACATACGCTCTTGCAACGGGTCCCTGAGGTAAGAAACTTATCCAGGGAGGAGTCCTGAGTCCATCACGGGCCGCCTGTATCAGTGTGGAATTTATGAATTCCATATCCCGTTTTATATCAATAATATGTGGTACGCCCTCAGAGGTACTGGGGACTGTAAGCTTCTTCGTCAGAGGTTTCTAACCCGTGCATCTTACCCTCATTTCTAAGTTATGTCGATATTTCGCGTCTTGTTCACCTTCGTCTCCATTGGATGGTTGGGTCGTCTTGGAGATGTATGGGGCCGAAAACCCATCTTGCTTCTAGTTGGCTGCTTTCATTTTGTTCTGTAAGTTCTAAAGTTGTATATAAGTCTTTGACTTTGAATGTTTCCTCTAGAGATGCGTGTTTAATTTGCATTGATGGAAACAAGTGTGCAAATGTTCCAGTTCTCTTGGCACTATCGGTGTTTCAAGGCCTATTTGGCGGATATGCACTGTTCTCTGGAATCATATATGCGTACGTAGGCTGCCTCGGTAGTCCGTGAATTATTGTAATCCGGTAAACAGTTACGTTGTCGACTGTACCTCGCTGTCGTCCAGGCGAGTGCAGTCTGTATGCCGCCCACTTCTATCATGATTTGGAAAATTCAACGCACTATTTACCGTCGCAAATGCCAGTCATTGTAACGATTACGGTACGTCTGACTCTATTCTCGTTCTCTTAGGCGGAAAGGCAACTGATGTATAGATCGGTGACCTTAACACTTGGGGCGGCAAGATGTGTCCCGAAAATTCTTCCCCGTTCGTGGCGAGCATACTTATCCTTGTTATGAACTTGCTCTGGATTGCGATAATGCTTCCGGAAACCCTCCAAACAATAGGCCGCCATGAACGTCGTAGAAACGTGATGTCTGAATTCAGTGCCGAATTCTCATTCATTTATGGCCACACCTCCCTAACGCCAGTCATTCTTAATCCTAAGTTTTTCGGTTTTTATTTATTCTTTGACATCGGTAATACCTCTTTCGTTTGAGTGTGATCGCGGTGTTGATTTGTTTCGGTAGGATTTTCTGTACCTCACATTTGCTTATGAACATCTGTGGCAATTATGATCATTTTAGTGATTTCGTGAGTCTCCTACGACTGGCGAAGATGAATTTCTAAAGCGCAACAGGCGTTCTTCTACGCGCTGTATATTTTTGTAGCGACCGTGGTTGCTCTTGTGTACCTATATCCTGGTAAGTCTTGCCCTAATTTCTATTTCCACGTGAAGCATCTACTTGAGTTTAGGTTTGCACCGCTTGCTGAAGTATATCTATGGCAAAGAGTTGCAATCCTTGTTGTATATCACCAAGCGGTTGGTTCAGTATAGTGTCTCCCTAGACGCTTTTCTGGCCCCGTTGGTCATTACTATACCTACCACCGAACCAGCGCGACTGGTTCACTTCTTCTTCACTTCTTTATCGTATCTGTTCGCCGGCGTCATTCCTGCCTTGTTCTGTTTCGCTTCCCTTCGTGACGAACAGGTCGGACACACATCCAGGCTTGCCGTTATGTTTGGAACTCTTGCCGCCATTCAGGAAATAGGAAGAATTATTTCGGTACGCCATTCATGAGTGTATGACCATGACCAATTGTTGACTGTTGGCCAAGACAAGTTTCGTCCGAGGTATCTTGTTCAGATCTCCTAGTAGCGGACAGCTAAAGATTATGTACATGATCATGGCTGTATTACTAATTTTGACCTCGGTGCTCCTTGAGTTGGAAAAGTTCCAAACTAATACAGCCACCGAGGATAGCGACGATCGCCGTACAAACGATACAGTATAGACGTAGACTGCAGAAGTGAATGTCCTATAAACATATAAACATATGTAATTGTCCTTTATGCGCCTGGAGTGAGATCTTGAGACATAGCAGAGAATGGTAGAGAGCACGCTGAAATCCTGTTTTACACGAGGCCTCTGAGAGAGAAGGGAGCTACATCACAGCTTTATGTCAAGGACAACTTATCAAGTAATTAGTAACTACCCACTTTCTTCAAAGAAGACCCCGAATCGTCGAGCGCGACGAATTTCTCTGCTGCTTCTTCTTTTGGGCATCGAGATGGAGACAAAGGTGAAGCCGGGAGGCACAAATGAAAACCGCCCCGACTGCCTCGCGCGGTTTGGCCTACTGAAGCACTTCCATAACAACACAAACCACCTCTTCAAGGATGTCCGTTGGCGCCGATGGTGAGGTTGAGGGAGGGGGGCGTCTCCTCCATCTGGAGTGGAATGTTCTTGCGGTGGGAGATGTGGGCGTGGACTGGAAAATCAAAGGAAGGTACATAAGGGGAGAGAAAATAATGCGTAAGGGGTGTGCCACTCACGCGGATTTGAAGAACTTCTTAGAACGACGGGGGAGAGGGCTGGCAAGGCGCTGGCGAAATGAAAGGCTGCGTGGCATAATTTAAACAGAGGAAGGACAGTGGGTGTTGAACGAGTGTGATGAATTGGCTAAGCGTTAGAGTAATGTGTATCGTTCGCCTGGAACGATGGAGCAAGGAGAGTGTCGCGACCGAGAGAACGCGGTTTATTAAGTGGAGCGGAGCTCGAAGCCACCCATAGCAAAGGAATTTGTTGAACAATGGTAGTCATCACGATCAAGCATCAATTATCCCAAGAAGTCCGAGTCACTGTTGAAGAACAAAGGTATCATAAATCAGGTAATGGCAAAGGCATTAATATGGCACAAAGGCATGGTCAAGGCGTGGTAACAAAAAGGCAAGTAAAGTGCAAGCAGGCATTACCAATGAATTACTAGCTATAGTTATTGGTGGCAGTTCAAGTTACAGGCATACATCGGGAGAAGAGATTATCATCGGTGGCATGTGTGGCCCTCTATGACAACGTGTCGATTTTAGCAAGGATAACAGACACAGGCCGAACCTGAAGCTAAATGCACCAAGAAAGGGTAGAAAGTGGCAACAACTTGATCGTAGCAGGCACTACTGTCCCCCAAATGTTTCCGCACAAAGGAAATCAGACGGAAGTAGTTCGCCGAACTGAAAAAGTTTCCTGAGATAGATTTCCGTCGCTGGAAATGTGTGTTTGGCAGGGGGAATCATGTTTCTGGCTTGACGGAAACTGTATCCGGAAACTTTTTCAGTGCCACTGTATGTTTCCTTTGTGCGGAAACTTAGGCATGACAGGAGTGAGGGTGTAGCTGAGACGGGATCTGCCGGAAAAACTATTTTGGTTACTTTTTATAACTCCGACAAAAATTTTGGCTTCACTTGATCTTTTCTCTTGTTAATCCCTAACCACCATCTTCCCTCATCTCTCCCCCTTCCCCCCTTCCTCTGTCCGCTACGATGACTGTGAGCTCTTTATCTAACCTGATGTGCGCGTCACCGGTGTCTAATACTTCATCTAGTCCAGTTTCGTGCAGGGTCTACTTGCCCTGCTCACGCAGACACTTTCCAACGACACAGCACAACTGAAAGCTGTGAGACCCATTTAGTCCTGTTTCTTTACTTTTTATGCTCAGATACATCTTCTTGATCGTAGGCGACTGCTCAGTTGAAGCAAGGATATTACAAGAATCCGGAATGTATCCCTGCCCTCGCGAATATCATCGCCAATTCGGAAGAACAAGCTGTACGTGCCGCTCGCCTTGTCAACTCGTGGAAAGACGTATAAATTCGGCCGTGTATCAGATCCGCCAACTTGCGGCTGTAGAGTTGAGAAAACGCATCGATTACGATAGTGGAAAGCTGTGGATGCTCGTTCCCCAAACGGAGCGTGAACAGCTGAAGGCCAACTTTCCTGAGCTCATCTTAAAAGAACAAAGGTATGTTCTGCCATCCTTTCGGCGTTACTTGTCCTAATCTCAGATTGGCTGTAGTACCCTTGTCAGGCATTCTGCCGCACGCGTCTTGGCCGCTATCTCATCCATTGAAGTCCCTGCAGGCACCTGGCCACAGCTTCTACCCTTCCTCCACCAAGCCTGCACCTCTCCCGTGGTTTCCCATCGCGAAGTTGGTACCTTCATGCTATATTCCGTACTCGAGAACATCTGTGAAGGTTTCCAAACTCACCTTGTGGAGCTCTTCAAGCTCTTCGGACAAACTATCAATGATCCGGAATCCATCGAAGTTCGCATCACTACAGTCAGGTTTGTACAAGCCATTGACCCGTCGTGACGTCAAGCTGATCCAGTATACAGAGCACTGGGTGTTATCGCACAGTATATCGATACTGACGACAAGCAGGAGCTCGTATGTGATCATTCAATTTAGCTTTAAATTACCTCTGACGACATTCTAGGCCATGTATCAAGCCCTCCTTCCTGCCATAATCCAAGTCATTGGCCAGACGGTTGAGACCGGCAATGATGGGGGAGCGCGTCATTTGTTTGACGTTCTGGAGACTCTGCTCATCCTTGTAAGTAACGTTCAGTTTTCGGTATTGACGTTGTCATAATGACAATATCAACAGGAAGTTCCTATCCTTAGCAAAAACATACCCGACCTTGTCAACTTCCTTCTCCAATGTGGAGGTAATCGCAACTTCGAGGCTGACCTGAGAGTTCTAGCTCTTAATGCATTGAACTGGACCGTTCAGTAGTAAGTATCAAGAACTCTGCAGCCTCGAATTGTGCTAAATCGGTGTCCTCCGAATCAGCAAGAAATCCAAGGTCCAGAGTGCTGGTCTCGCTCCCGTAATGTTGGAGCATCTCATGCCCATTACCACTGAAGAAGAGCCCGAGGATGTAGACGACGAGGCGCCTTCTCGGGTGAGTGGTGATGTATATTCTCTCTATATTTGCATTGATAACACATTTTAGTCCGCTCTTCGCATCATCGATGGTCTTTCATCCAACTTGCCACCGACTCAAGTCTTCCCATTTCTGCGAAGCCTCATTGTGCAATATTTCTCATCGGCTGACCCTGCCCAGAGGCGAGGTGCCATGTTGGCTCTCGGCGTTGCCGTCGAAGGTTGCAGTGAATTCATGGGATCCCAGATGGCTCAAGTTTGGCCCATGATTGAAGTAGGTTTGCAAGATAATGATGCTGGTGTCAGGAAAGCCACCTGTGCCGCTGTTAGCTGTCTCTGCGAGTGGCTTGAGGACGAGTGCGTTGCCAAACACGCCATGCTTGTTCCAGTAAGTGCCGTATCTGTATAAAGGGTATTTTCATCTAAAGTTTGTGATTTGCAGGCCATAATGAATCTCATCAACGATGAGCCCACTCAGCGTGCTGCTTGTGGAGCTCTTGACACTCTCCTTGAGATCTTGCACGACGTGATCGATCAATATCTTCATCTTATCATGGAACGCCTTGCGGGTCTTCTGGAAACAGCGCCTCTTCCTGTTAAAGCTGTCGTCACTGGTGCCATCGGGAGTGCAGCCCATGCGTCCAGGGAACGTTTCCTTCCGTACTTTGAGCACACCATGTCACGTCTTCAACACTTCCTTGTTCTCACTGGCGAGGGAGAGGAGACCGAACTTCGAGGCATCACCATGGATGCTATCGGAACGTTTGCCGAAGCCGTTGGCAAGGATCTTTTCCGACCCTACTTCCCTGACATGATGAAGCAGGCTTTCCAAGGGATTGAGATGGAGAGTGCTCGTTTGAGAGAATGCAGTTTCTTGTTCTTTGGCGTTATGGCTAGGGTCTTCGGCGAAGAATTTGCTCCTTATCTGCCCAACGTTGTCCCTCCGTTACTGCAGAGCTGCAAACAGGACGAAGGTGGAGCCGAGTGTATGCGTCTTGTATTATTATCTTTTCGTACTATTGACGATTTCCTTTTCTAGTTTCCGTCTCTGACGCCGTCGCAGCCTTTGACTCCGGCTCTTCTCCTTCCAATGCTATTGCAATCTCTGATGACGATGGGCATGGTGCCGATGGTGTTGAGTTGGACGATCTCGATCTCAACAAGATGATGGACGTCAACAGCGCAATTGCTGTTGAAAAAGAGATTGCTGCTGACACCATTGGCACTCTCTTCGCTTCCACCAAGCATCATTTCTTCCCTTATGTTGAGTCCTGCTCCTTGGAGCTCACTGAGCTCCTTAACCACTACTATGAGGGCATCAGGAAGAGTGCGATGGACTCTTTGCTTGAGATTGTCAGAACCTTCTATGATTTGAGCGATCACCAAGATTGGGTCGCCGGCAAAGTTGTGGTGCGTCGCAAGTGTCAGTTCGGAATTATCGATAGTGCCTAACGGAGTCTCTAGCAAGTGCCTGTCCAAAGCACCGTGAGGGACCTCATTAACCACGTCGTCCCAAATTTATTGGATATGTACCAGACCGAAGACAACAAGTAAGTGTCAAACCCGTTTTCATGTTGGCCCTAGCGCTGCGTGATGAAAATTTTAACTCAGCTCACTTCGACGCAAATGCGCATGAGACTATTTTTATTTATAATCCTGATCCCATACATTAACCGTCTTCTTTGGAACTCTGAACTAATTGCCTTTTATCTCATAGGTCTGTTGTCTCTTCTCTGTGCGTTGGCTTCGCCGAAACTTTGAACAAGATTGGTCCCGCGTTCGTCGACGGCTGTGTGTTATTTCCGAATTTTCCCTCGTGAATCCCCCTTATGAGTTGACAGACCTCGACCGCGTTTCTGAGATCGCCGTTCAAATCCTCGGACAAAAGGCGTTCTGTCAACAAGATCCTGACCAGGATGAAGCTGAAGAGGCCCCCGAAGATCAGGCTGAATATGACTCCGTCCTGATTTCTTCCGCTGGAGACCTTGTGTCCGCCTTGGCCAATATCTTGGGTGCTGATTTTGCTCCAGCATTCGGCACGTATTTCCCTCTCATCTCCAAGTTCTACGTAAGCATATTTTGTTTACTTGCGTGTCCTAGCAAAGGGCTTACTCTCTTCCAGAAAAAAGGCCGTTCCCTTAGCGATCGCTCGTCTGCCATTGGCTGCTTGGCTGAAATCATTGCTGCATGAAGGAGTCAGTTACACCGTCCTCAGAACCCCTTCTGAGCTCTTCTACCGCGCTTTAAGCGACGAAGAGCCCGAGGTTCTCAGCAATGCAGCATTTGGTATTGGATTGCTCGTCGAACATTCTCAGATGGACTTATCACCACAATATCTTCACGTACTCGCTGCCCTCCAACCTCTCTTCGTCGTCCTGCCGACAGTCCAGCTTCCCGCCTCAATGCCAAGGATAATGCGGCTGGTGCTGTTGCACGCCTCATCGTGCGCAATACTGCTGCTCTTCCCCTTGACCAAGTTCTTCCTGTATGGCTCGGTGCGTTACCTTTGAAGAATGACTTCCTCGAGAACCGCCCCGTGTTCCGCGCCATTTTCCACCTATTCCGGACCAACTCCAATGTCCTCCTCCCTCATCTTGATACACTCTTACAAGAATTTGCCGTAGTCCTTGACCCGAGTAAGCCTGACCAAGTTGGGGATGAGGTTCGAGCAGAGTTGATTCAACTCATCGCTATGCTGAACCAAGAGGACCCGACGAAGATTCAAGCAGCGGGGTTAGCTGTGTTCGTACCGGGTGCTTGAGATAAATGAATTGCTTCAAATGTATTCTCATTTTATATTTCTTCACGACATTTACTACTTGTTACGGATCCATCTACTTACGACGCATGTTCTTGCTTTCTTTCATCATTTTTTAGAGTAGCATGTTATATTGTTGGTACTAGTGTTAAGACCTTCGGCGGCCTATTTGCTACGCGTGACGAAAATGGACGCGTTGTTGGTGTGTGTTGATCAGTCTCTTCCTGAAATCCGCCATCATCGTCGCGAACAGTGAGCTCGCTGGGCGACTCGTCAAGCAAAATGGCGTGCTCGCTCTTCTCCATCTCTACAGTATCCTTTCTTTTGCTCTCTCTGATTTCAGCGTTACCCGTTCTGGCGTCCGGCGTGTTCGTCTCGGTTGAACTAGCAGCACAACTCCCACTTGTCGCACGCATCGGCGAGACCTACTTGTGGACCATTTCGAACAATACATTTGGCGGCTGCAGCGATGTGCTGACTTTCTCGACGTCGAGCTTGCCTCCCTGGTTATCTTTCGACCGTGACTCGACCACATTCTACGGGAAACCGACGGCGGACGACGGAAACAGTTCGGACATTGACATCACAGTGACTGCTCGAGGCTGCGGTTCCTCTGCTTCTTCATCTTTCACCCTTTTTCTTACATCCAACCCGGCGCCTACTCTTAACACTCCAGTAGCATCACAGTTTCGCACGCCTAATCCTTCGCTATCATCCGTATTTGAAATTAACGCGACTTCTGCACTAGCGACTCAGAATCCTGCCCTACGGATCCCGCCAAGATGGTCTTTCAGCATCGGTTTTCAGGGAAACACATTCACTTCCTCAAACCGCCTGTACTACGCGTTGTTGCAAGCCGACGGCTCGCCTATCCCTTCTTGGATGCGCTATAGCTCCCAGGAATTTACTCTCGGAGGCGTTACTCCGGTAAGGGAATCTGTGCCTATACCTTCGACATACAGTCTGGTCCTGCATGCATCAGATGAAGAAGGGACAACAGCACTGCAGCAACCATTCGATATTGTCTTGGCTGATCACGACGTCTCTTTATCTCGTTCAGTTCTCCCCACCATCAATGTCACTGCCGGCTCACCTTTCAGCCTAGCTCTAAACTCGTCGCTTGATTTTTCGGGTGTTTTAGTAGATGGTGAACCATTCCAACCCGAATACCTCTCCGACTTGCTGGTCGATACGTCTTGCTGTGCATGGTTATCGTATGACCAGAAGACGAGGCATCTGTCTGGAAATTCGGCTTCGGACTCTCTGAGCCGCGAACCAGTTCTTCTCGTCAAGCTCGTCACCATCTTCAACGAAACAATCCAGACGAACGTTTCCATGGCACTAGTTCCTTCTTATTTTTCTACAGACACAATACCGCCTATCGTGGTCGGTGGAGATGGACACTTGCAATTCGATCTAAAGCCTTATATCTCTAACACCAGCGAATCGAATGACGTCGATTTGAGCGCTTCCTATGATCCCAGTGAGGCCGGTAACACAATGTACTTCGATGGTCAAACTGTTATGCTGAATGGTACCATTCCGAGCACTTTTTCCAAGAAGCCCATTAACGTCACCTTCGCCGCGTATTCCCGTACTACACATTCGACTTCGCACACGAGTGTTTCCATCACTCTGGCTCCTTCTGGTCACAAATCGGAGGACTTTGATGGCTCAGGTCGCCATGGCAGTCTCTCTGGTCCAGCTCACGCTAAGCTTGTACTGGGATTGAGCATAGCGTTCGGGGTAGTTGGTGGGATGCTTGGCCTCGGAATCCTTCTAGCGTTATTCAGGCGCTGCGCGCGAGTTGAAGATACTGCTTTGGGAGGCCAAGTAGGTCAGCAAGCCTGGTCTGAAAAGGACCGTAAGTGGTACGGCGTCGAAGAAGGAAAAGGATACGGATATTCGGAGAAAGTAAGTTTCCACTATCTTAAGTCATTCCAAATCATTGACTGATGTATCACTAGTCACCAGAGCATACTCGAAGCCCTCTCAACTACGGGAATCTTGGTCTGCATCGTGTGTTGGAAAGAAGTCACTCTGATCTGCCGTCCACTTCCACCAGCGCTGGCACACAGAGTCCCGGAGTAATGAGCAAACGAGAATTTATCACGAGGATTCGCGAAACCGTACGAACCGTCAGTGACAAATACGCTCGATCATGGCGAGCCCCTCAAGCCATCAGTCTGAACCGGCCAGTCATTGGAAAACCGATATTGATCACTCCGGCTCCAGTTACTGGTTCCCCTCCTGATCCTTTCAGCGACCTCAACTCTGGTCCTGGGAGCAGTTTCTTGACAAGAACGTCGTCGTCGTCTGATGATGGCTCTATTCCACAACGAAGAACTGATTGTTTGACTCGTCCTCCGCCTGTTGTTCATTTTGAGGATAGTCGAAACGAATCCAGGGAATCCATCTCATCGGTTGTCGCGCATGCAGCCGAAGCTGTTGTGCAGACGGCGTCCAGGGCCAGCATACGAAGCGCCATGTCTATATCTTCCGACCACCACGAACATTTCCCGTCTCCCGCCGCTGTTCGACCTCGTCTTGTACCCTTCACTAGCGCGACTCGCGTCCCAGTTCCCAGTATGTCCGTGACATCTCCCGATTCTCCAGAAAGCATCTTTGAAGGCCCTCAGCGAGTCGTGAGCCAGAAGGCACTGGTGGAGAAGCAGGCACGGACAGCAGGGGTGAAGAAGAGCGGAAGCGTAGACGAACTCGCCATTGGTATTCACTATGTGCAAGCGCTTGGCGCGGAAAATCCTGTAAACACTGCTGGGTCAACGCTGACGGTTTCGACGAATGTCCGATCCTCATTTTCTTCTCTAGAGTCTTCTCATCATGGGCATCAAACGGGCGAAGTGGAGACGGTCAAAATGGTAGCGAGAGTTGGAGAGCGGTTCAAATTCCGCATTGCTCTTGAAGCGACTTCTCCAGGATCGTACGGTGGATCCCGCAGATTGCAAGCGAGACTGATATCTGGGAAGTCCTTGCCGAAGTTCTTGCATGTTGACCTTAATGGGAGACGAGGATTGGCCGCCGTAGCATTTTATGGTGTGCCCAGCACTGCGGACATCGGAGAGTTCGATACGGGCGTGTATGACGGGAATGTTTGTGTAGGTCGACTGTACTTGGAGGTCATTGGTCGGGGATGAGATCTCTTTTCACACTCTTTTTCTTCTCTATGTTCTCGCGGACTATAACATGTATCAACGTCTCCACTGTATCTAGTACTAGTACTCAGTAACTCCTTTCTATTTGTATCGTACATACTATTTTCTATACCCTTATTTACATACCACTAGACATCACTTTTATTCAGTGCAAGTTAATCGCACGTTTTCTCCATCAGGGTGGGATTTAAAATCAGTCCAAATCGCCCTGTGCTTTGATCATCGCCTGGTAGAGACCATGTTGTTCACCTAATCCATAAGTCAATGTCATGCGCTCCAAGATATCGATGCCGCTTGTAGCCGCAGTCTCGAGCTAGTAGATAGAGCGGATCAGTCAATGGCTATGCAAAATAGAATGACGCTCACTAAAGATATGACATCCTCCAGGAGATGTGCCTGCCCCACAGCCATACCAAATCCCGGTAGTTCATAACTTGCGTTGGCGATGTGAACATGGAAATGATCTGCCTGAGAGTGGGAAAAATCTAGGCCAAAGAAGACCAAGGATACGAACAGTAACTGGGCTGATAATGGATCCACATTCTAAGCGAACCGGTTGGTAAGCCCCATTTCTCTTGAACGACCCGATAGGCCTCTTTCCGAATGGACTTCAAGAGAGGAACGTGCCCTATAGAAGATAAGTATCAGACCGGCCGCAGTTCCGATACTCAATGTCTGCATGCTCTTACCGAGACGCAAATCACGAAGACTGCGAAGGGCGGGATCTCGCGCGATCGCGACCAGGTACAAGCTCCCAATGGTGTGTAGGTCCCATTTCATGTCAGGCAGCAAAATAAATTCAGGAGAAGAGAACAACATGGTCCCTTGCTCAGCTTCCCCAGAAAGGATCTTTGTCACCCTGAAAATCATCATTAATGAAGGCGACAACTACGCAATACTAATAATTAAGGGCGTGCGTACCAACGCGTCCGAGCAGGAGGAAAGGCGTCGATATACGGCCTTACTATGCTGGTATACAGTTCTGGCGTCTCACGCACGAGGGTAGATTTCTGTGGGGAATACTGTTACATTTTGTGAGTATCTAGATCGTCCTCCAGGGGTGTGCACGCGTGATACCTTCCGAATATGATCATCTGTGGCAGGGCATATAATGTCAATTTTAACGTCCCCTTGGGGTTGCTGTTCCTCTGAGGATGATAGCCAACCCGCGAGCCACGAGTACTATACCAGGATATCAATTCAAAGACGGGTATCGACCGTGGGAGTTGCTACCCACGATGTCGGTTGATTGGATTAGCTTCACGCTGGAGACGATCGTCGGCTGTTCAGAATCAGAGTGGAAGAAACGTTCGGCAAGCTCTGGAGCGAAAGCGGTCTTTTCGATGCGAATGATAGCTCTCAGGCGTTCCGATGTATATTCAATTCCACGGGTCTCGGTACCGTCTGGATGGCCTAGCGACCAGGAGGCGGGAAATGACCCAAGCAGGGCAATCCGTTTCTTGTCGGGCTCTAAATCCGAAATGATTAGTTCCAGTGAGTCAGGGAGCGGGTGCAAGGGTACCTTCATTCAGAGTCCTATCAAATTTGAACGATTTGAGTGTGGCCAGGGCATCCATGATCAAAGTTCGGAGTAAAGACCTTACAAAGAAGTAAATTTGACATGAGTTGTATTGGTGCAGTATTATATAGCATGTCCCCAGGGATCGAGTCACATATGTACACACGAAAGCAACAACATGAACAGACAAGAAAACAGAATATGTACCGTCGACTACTAAACGGATAGCTAGCGTAGGTCTGCAATGTTCGTTCTACCACTCCAATTACACAGCGATAAACCCCCCTCACCGCCGCACCACCCCGGAGTGCCACCACATCGCACGACTGGCTCTTTATGACTTCCAGATGAGGATAGCGAGCGAGCCAACGTAGAAATAGATGAAATGTTTGGTTTCTGGGACAAAGAAGTAGATGAGCAGGCTGAGTGGGACGCGTCGAGGGCGCCAAGTCCCATCGAACAAGGGCAGAGGCACTCACCATGTGTAACATAGCTCCCAAAGTTCTTCCCAACGACGACGTGCCATGTAGGACCGTGTCTTCTATCAAACTCTTTCTTGATCTGGGCGGCAATATCTTTCTCGATGTTGTACTTCTCGAGTGCCGCCGACGCGATGTCCACACTCTCCTGCTGCATCTCCTCGCTCATGTCCACATTCTTGATGATTGCCTTTGGTGCCGAGGCTCCGTCAGTGGCACGGGGGCCCGAGCCGGCGTCAGTGGAGGAAGAGGTGGGCGCGTCTGTTTTCTCTGCCATCATGGTTGTGAACACAGGGGATCTGAGCGATAGGGTAAAATGAGGAAGCTTTTATACGGGAGAAGGAGTACCCTTTTGTGATCTGCAGGTGAGGTGAAATGGAGGTCGTCGTGGAACGAGCCGGTCGTAGGTAAGAACCAGGGCTGAAAATTGGGGCACGTGGTCTGGGCTTTTATGACTTGGGCACGGACACTGGCAGGCAGTAAAAGTACCATGCACATGGTACCCATCCCCAACGGCTGCGGTCGTCCTCTTTTCGGGTTTTCGGGCGATTCATTTACCAGCAGTTGGCCATCTGTCTGGTTCGTTTTCCGTTCGTTGGTTTGCCTACCAGACTCGAACTTTCTGGCAGCACATGCTTCCGTCTCACGGGTCTGTACTACTACTACTCCCATGTCCGAACTGGTTCTCAACTAGTCGACTTTCTCCCCCACTCAGAGGGAAGCCGTCGCCGTGGCGTAGTGAGATAAAAATTTATATAATAATTCTCGTGATTCGCTTCCCCCTCTTTCCTCCATCTTCGCAGAACACTCGCCCATATGCGCTCGTCGAAAAATTTGCTCGCCCTCGGTCTGACTGCATGATCTCTGTCGTGGCGTGCAACCATACGACACCGTGCCTGCCTGTGGTTCTCACCCTCGACTATCATCGTACCTGGTCTTTGCTAAGACGTTCTCGCCTTGCCAATAATGCGAGTTTGCCGCCTCGTATTCATAATACTATCAGGGATGTTTCATCATCGGCCTGTTCTCGTGTTCTCCTGACTCAATGCTGCTCCTTCTGCTCCATATGCTTACTGGTATCCCGCGATATCAATCTATTGGCCTCTTCACGTACACATAAATACCCGAGAAGCCACCTCACTCCTCATGTTGACCATCATTTGAGCACCAATTCATGTGGACCGGCATCGTATTTTACGCTTGATTCAATGCACTGGCCACATGTTCGCGTTTGCTATACTTGTCTCATTCAATGTTGTCGACCTCAAGCGGTTATTTTACCTTCGACTCGCTTGTTCCACGTGCTCTTTAGACACTATCGTGTTAATCCGCAGTTTCCGGACGGTATCTCTTGGTCATCGTAGATGATGCGTCATGAAGAACGTGTATCTTCTATGACGATCTATCATACGGCGGTTCCTAACAGTGTCGGAATGCATACGGAAACTCAACGCAAAGCTGGTTTTAGCCGCTGATGTGGAGGACGCTCTTGGCAATCTGTGTGGATATCGATGAAGTCTCTGGCACGAGTACTTGCTGATATGCTTAGGATTACCACGATTAGCATGTCTATGGCCACCATGTTTCCCGACATCCTTCTTTTTCACAAGTCGTGACATACCCTTCGGGTAGGTCTGATTTCATCAAAATCATTCACGATCAATAACGATTCGCACATGCAGACTGGTGCACCGTATGAGTCCGGGCGATCCATACAAGCGTCGCCGATTTCCTGTGAGAATTTACGTGCTGCGAGAAGTGGAGACGCAAGATGTTACATGCAATTTTCCCGATGCCCAGATGTGAGTGGCTCCTTACATTCCGCTCAACCGTTGATGCGATCTCACTTGCGCGTGTGAAGCAATGCTCTAGAACGAAATCAGGACGCATCACCATGTGTGGTCTACTTACGAGTCCGATGCGCCCCGCCGCCTTGCATAATACAGACGTTTTCGCTATATCATGTGCCCGGTACTTCACTAAGGTCGTCCACGAAATGCCGCCTTCGTGAGAACAAGTAGCCAAGTGGTCTCGTAAGTAGTTTCGTGAGGGTTGTGAATCCGTTCTAGATATGTAGGCTCAAAATTTCTTCTGTTCTCTTCCATCTGAAATGCAATCTGACCGAGGTGAGCCGATTCGTGTTGGGCCGCGGAGCTTTCTACTAAATCAGAGCGGGCCGCCGGGATGTTTTGGTTCCGTTTCCGCGTTGGGGAGGGTTGGTAGCAGCATTTACTCTGGTACACCGGAAGAGGACGAAGATTTACACTACGAACACAGATGTCAGTGAAGCATCAATAACTATAACTGGGGATATAATCTGTCATCGGGATTGTACGGTACTCTGAAATCGCGGCATTGCGCGAAGAAAGGACTCGGAGAGCATCATCGGTAAATTAATCATTGACGCTCATACTAGGATATAGGAAAATAAATATATCAAGAGGCGTCCAATGATTGCCTTCATCACGAATTGTTGCCGGACCTAAGGGTGGCGACCTTGAGTATTGCACTGACATCGGGATTTGCTATCAGTGCTTTCATTGTGTGGTGGATATCCGCATCGCACGGAGTCTGAATGGCGCCGAAGCTACCACGACCTAGTGCGATTACTTCCTTGTGTTGCTATCGAAGTTCAGTGCTACGTTAATGTTAACTGTTCTTATTCTACATCGTTCAAGAGTTGGAGCTGCCATCACGGTTTATCTACGTGCTATCATTGCTGTGCTACGTGATAGACTTGTAACAATCAATCTCGGATATCATTCGACTGGAACCAGAGTCTAAGGAAAACCAACGATAAGGTAGACTGTTCTCCCCAATCGACGCGAGGACACCCCTAGGAATCGGATAGGCCGATACATTTGGGGTGCCACTGCGTCGACACAGGCCGGTAATCATCCCCAGAAGAAGGCGGATCGAATGCCAGGGAACGAGTTTATTTACTGCCGTAAAAAGACACATACCAATATTGACCAGTCTAGACTATACATTTTTCTACCTTTTTTTCTTCTCGGAGGGCATCACTAGTAGTATCATCGACTCCGACGAGGTAGACTCCGTGGATGCCTAAGTGTACTGGGAAAGGCTTGTGAACCGAAAGGACTTTATAGTGGGACGGATGAGGTAAGCAGCGAGATTTTTGGGGCGCTTCCGATCAGTTATTGACCCCAGTAAAACCCGAGGTGACCTGCTTTTCCTTCATTACTTCCACTGCAGTCCGCTTTTTTAACGACCAGTTCGACCTTTCTCGTCGTTCTGCACGTCCAGCACCCACTCTTGAACCGCTATGTCGGCCTACGAGCATTCCAGAGTGCAGCATTTCATCGGTATGCAGTTATTTTCTTCGTGCTTTTCATGTGGGGCTAACGTGTATTTCTCAAAGGCGGCAACTCTTTGGACGTCGCGCCATTGAGTAGCATGCTCGATTTCGTCAAGGAGCACGGAGGGCATACTGTGATTACTAAAGTACGTAGAAATACAAATTTCAGCCGCCGGAGGCAGCTCATCATCATCATCGTCATAGGTTCTCATCGCGAACAACGGCATTGCTGCCGTGAAGGAAATTCGTTCCATACGCCAATGGAGCTACGAGACGTTCGGACGGGAGCGTGAGGTGGAGTTCACCGTCATGGCGACTCCAGAAGACTTGAAAGTCAACGCCGAGTACATTCGTATGGCCGACAGGTATGTCGAGGTACCGGGAGGCTCGAATAACAACAACTACGCCAATGTCGACCTCATTGTCGATATCGCTGAACGTGCAGGAGTGCACGCCGTATGGGCTGGATGGGGACATGCCTCTGAGAACCCGCGTTTGCCGGAGAGCTTGGCGGCGAGTAAAAACAAGATTGTGTTCATTGGTCCCCCGGGAACTGCGATGAGGAGTTTGGGAGACAAGATCTCGAGTACCTATCGTCGCTCAGCACGCTGAAGGTTCCTACCATGCCGTGGTCTGGGACTGGCATCTCAGACACTGTCCTCTCGAAGGAGGGTTATGTCACCGTTCCTGACAAAGCATATATGGATGCTTGTGTCACTTCGGTTGAAGGAAGGTTTGAAGAGGTCGGAGGAGATAGGGTACCCTATCATGATCAAGGCTAGTGAAGGTGGAGGAGGAAAGGGTATTCGAAAGGTAGAGAGTCCTGAAGGATTCAAGAACGCGTTCCACGCTGTCGCCGGAGAAATTCCTGGTGCGTTCCCAACTCGGTCGTTTGTTCTGCTTTGCTAATCGCGAGGCAGGATCTCCAATTTTCATTATGAAGCTCGCCGGACAGGCACGTCACCTGGAGGTTCAGCTCCTTGCTGATCAATATGGAAATGCAATCTCTCTCTTTGGACGTGATTGTTCCGTCCAGCGACGTCACCAGAAGATCATTGAAGAAGCGCCCGTGACGATTGCGCCCGAGAATACCTTTGAACAGATGGAGAGGGCTGCTGTTCGTCTGGCAAAGTTGGTGGGATACGTCAGTGCAGGGACTGTCGAATGTTCGTGTTACCGTTCTCTTCCTTATTTTACCGTTTCATTTACACGTCTCTTTAGACCTATACAGTCACTCTGAGGACTACTTTTACTTCCTTGAACTGAACCCACGTCTTCAAGTCGAGCATCCAACTACCGAGATGGTCTCTGGCGTCAACTTACCCGCTGCACAACTCCAAGTTGCTATGGGAATTCCCCTTCACCGTATTCGGCATATCCGCCAACTCTATGGTGTCGCGCCAAACGCGTCTTCCGAGATTGACTTTGACATGATCAAGCCTGATGCCAATCAGCTTCAGCGCAAGCCCCGCCCCAAAGGACACGTCGTCGCTGTTCGTATCACCGCCGAGAATCCCGACGCTGGATTCAAGCCGTCCTCCGGTTCTCTGCAAGAACTGAACTTCCGCTCCAGCACGAATGTTTGGGGCTACTTTTCCGTTAGCACCGCTGGTGGATTGCACGAGTTCGCCGACTCGCAGTTCGGTCACATCTTTGCTTATGGCGAGGACAGAAGCGAGAGTCGAAAGAACATGATCATTGCTTTGAAGGAGATCAGCATTCGTGGAGAGTTCCGGACGACTGTCGAGTATCTGATCAAGTTGTTGGAATTGGAGGCATTCAAGAACAACACCATCACTACTGGATGGCTCGACTCCCTTATCAGCAATAGGCTTACCGCAGAGCGCCCTGATGCAACTTTGGCTGTTATTTCTGGTGCCGTTACCAAGGCGTACCTAGCTTCTGAGGCCTGCTGGACCGAGTACAAGCGTATTTTGGACAAGGGCCAAGTTCCTTCTCGGGATACCTTGAAGACGATTTTCAGCATCGATTTCATCTATGAAAACGTCCGGTACTCCTTCACTGCCGCGCGTTCTTCTATGACCGTGTGGACTCTCTACCTCAATGGTGGACGGACCATGGTTGGCGCACGTCCTCTGGCTGATGGTGGATTACTCGTCTTATTGGACGGAAAAAGTCACTCTCTGTACTGGCAGGAGGAGGTTGGTGCGTTGAGGTTGATGGTTGATGCCAAGACCTGCTTGATCGAGCAAGAGAATGATCCTACGCAACTGAGGAGTCCAAGTCCCGGAAAGCTCATCCGGTACTTTGTCGACAGTGGCGACCATATAAATGCTGGTGAACAGTATGCTGAGATTGAGGTGAGAGCTTTATGCGTTGGTTATCATCGGTTATACTGAATTCCTGTCTCCACAGGTCATGAAAATGTACATGCCACTCGTCGCCTCCGAAGACGGTATTGTACAGTTGATCAAGCAGCCTGGTGTCAGTCTCGAGCCTGGAGACATTGTCGGTATCCTCACGCTGGATGACCCGGCTCGTGTGAAGCACGCTAAGCCTTTCGAAGGCCTTCTTCCCTCAATGGGCACACCTGGTGTCGTCGGGAACAAGACTCACCAGCGCCTGGTCTATTGTCTGACCGTCCTCAACGATATCTTGGACGGCTTCGATAATCAGGCAATCATGGCATCCACCGTCAGAGACTTAATTGAAGTTCTCCACGACCACGATTTACCTTACTCGAAAGTCAGCGCCATCCTCTCGGCTCTTTCGGGCCGCATGCCATCAAAGTTGGAGGACAGCATACGCGCTGCCCTTGATGCAGCCAAGGCTAAGGGAGATACCCAAGAGTTCCCTGCCGTTAGAATCAAGAAACTTCTTGAGCATTATGTTCAGGATCATGTTCTTCCTCAAGATAGGGCCATGTTCCGCACTCAGCTTGGTGATCTCTTTGACGTCGTCGAACGGTTTATGAGTGGCCTGAAGGGACATGAGACCGAGACGATCACGAATCTTTTGGCGCGCTATGAGGCGACTGAGAAGCTCTTTGGTGGAAGCATTGAAGCTCGTGTTTTGGCTCTTCGTGATCAACACAAGGACGACTTGGACAAGGTCGTCGCCCTTGTTTTGAGTCATATCAAGGTCCAGAGCAAGGCAAAGCTTGTCATGACTCTCCTTGATCATGTCAAGACTGGCGGACTCGCTGTATCGGACCCGGAGAGCCGACTCTACCAGGTTCTGCAAGGTCTCGCTGCTCTTGAGGCGAAGTACGTTTTCACATGCTCACTTTTGTACCGACCCTGATCTTTTCCTATGTAGATCCTCGACGTCTGTGTCTCTGAAGGCTCGTGAAGTGTTGATCTTTGGTCAGATGCCATCATATGAGGAACGCATGGCGCAGATGGAGTCTGTCCTCAAGAACTCAGTCACCAATCAGTACTATGGTGAGCAAGGCCGGGGTCGAAGGTGCGACGTTTTGGATTGATGTTGTGGGACGAGTCTGACGCTTAATATAGGACTCCTTCCGCTGAAGTGTTGAAGGAGCTTAGTGACTCTCAATTCACCGTATACGATGTGCTTCCGACGTTCTTCAACCACCCTGACCCTATGGTCACTCTTGGTACGTTGTTTGCACCATACTCTGTTCGATGCTCTTCTGACCCATCATCAGCCGCGTTCGAGGTATACGTCCGCCGCGCGTATCGAGCATACAGCGTGCTTTCGATTGACTATGAAGAGGGTGATACCTTAGACGATGGCGAGATTCCTAGCGTCCTGACATGGCGGTTCAATATCGGACAATCTCATTCTCCTCCGTCAACACCGCGTATCGCATTTGGGTGAGTAAACTTATGTTACGCAATTATGATTTTCTCACTTACAAGCTGTTACAGTGAAACCCGTCGCTCTGCTTCAGTCAGCGACCTGACATATATGATCTCCAAGAACCAGGCCCAACCCATCCGCACGGGTGCTATTGCTTCCTTCCCCGACTTCGCTGCCCTTGTCCGCGGTTTCGGGAAAGTTGCATCCATGTTGCCGCTGTTCGATGCTGAGGAACACAAGCAGCGTCATGGAAAGGATGACCAGCCGCCTAACGTCATCAACATTGCTTTACGTCTATTCAATAAAGAGGACGATATGTCCGAGGATGACTGGTTCGCTAAGATCACACCATTCATCAATGAACAGCGTGAAACTCTGGCTCGTCGCGGCGTCCGCCGTGTATCCATTCTCCTTTGTCGACAAGGACAATACCCTGTTTACGTTACCCTTCGCGAGGTCGACGGTGTGTGGGGTGAGGAGCAAGCTATTCGTAACATCGAGCCCGCTCTCGCTTTCCAGATCGAACTCAGCCGTCTCAAGAACTACATCTTGAAGCCCGTGTTTGTCGAGAGCAAGCAAATTCACATGTACCATGCTGTTGCGAGGGAGAATCAGTTGGACAACAGGTTCTTCATCCGCGCGTTGGTGCGGCCTGGTCGTCTTCGTGGCACCATGAGCACAGCCGAGTACCTCATTTCGGAGACCGATCGACTGGTGACGTCTGTTTTAGATGGGCTCGAGTTTGTTTCCGCCCAGTACCGCAATGCCGACTGCAACAACATCTTCATCAACTTCGTCTACACACTCGCTGTGACCTACGAGGATGTTCTAGCTGCCATCTCTGGTTTCATCGAGCGCCATGGCAAGCGGTTGTGGCGTTTGCATGTCACTGGTTCTGAGATTAGGATTGCTCTGGAGGATGATGAAGGCAATGTCACCCCCATTCGTTGTGTCATCGAGAATGTATCCGGCTTCATTGTCAACTACCACGCCTATCAGGAGATCACGACGGACAAGGGTACTACCATTCTCAAATCGATTGGTGAGAAGGGACCTCTTCACCTGCAACCCGTCCATCAAGCATATCCTACAAAGGAGTCCTTGCAACCCAAGCGGTACCAAGCTCATCTGATTGGTACCACTTACGTCTACGACTTCCCCGACCTTTTCTCGAAGGCATTGCAAAATGTTTGGGCTAAGGCGCGCAAGAGTGACATGTCTCTTGTGCCGCCGAAGTCGTTCTTAGAATCCAAGGAGCTTGTTCTTGATGAGCACGACCAGATCACTGAGGTAGACCGTGCACCGGGCAACAATACTTTCGGAATGGTTGCTTGGGTATTCACTATGAAAACTCCAGAGTACCCCAACGGACGAAGAGTGGTTGCAATTGCCAACGATATCACCTTCAAGGTCGGTTCGTTCGGGCCTCTTGAAGATCAGTTCTTCTTCCTCGTCACTCAATATGCTCGGGACCATGGTATTCCTCGCATCTACCTGTCTGCCAACTCGGGTGCCCGAATTGGTGTTGCTGATGAAGTCGTCCCGCTACTCTCTGCTGCATGGAACGATGACGCACAACCGGAGAAGGGCGTCGACTATCTCTATCTAACACATGAGAACTTCCTCAAATTGCAAGAGAAAGGCCCCTCTGTAAAGACGGTCGAGGTCCATGAGAAGGGCGAACGCCGACACAAGATCACCGACGTTATTGGCTTGCAGGATGGTTTGGGTGTAGAGTCGTTAAAGGGCTCTGGTCTCATTGCTGGAGAGACGTCGCGGGCATATGATGATATCTTCACGATCACTCTGGTTACCGCCCGTTCCGTTGGTATTGGTGCCTACCTTGTTCGTCTTGGAGAGCGTGTCGTCCAAGTCGAGGGTCAGCCTATCATTCTCACTGGTGCCGGAGCCCTCAACAAAGTGCTCGGCCGAGAGGTTTATACCTCTAACTTGCAACTTGGTGGCACCCAGATCATGTTCAAGAATGGTGTTTCGCACCTTACAGCCAGCAGCGATCTCCAGGGTGCTACCCATATTTTGGAGTGGATGTCCTACGTTCCGGATGTCAAGGACGGCGCCATTCCGGTTCGTGAAACCCCCGACAGCTGGGACCGTGACATTGGCTATACACCGCCGAAGGGCCCATATGATCCCCGTTGGTTCATCGAAGGAAAAGAGGATGAGACTTCGTCAGAGTGGCTGAGTGGATTCTTCGACAAAGGTACCTTCCAAGAGACGTTGAGTGGTTGGGGTCAAACAGTTGTCGTCGGTAGGGCCCGTCTCGGCGGCATTCCTATGGGTGTGATTGCCGTCGAGACTCGCACCATCGAGCGCATAGTCCCTGCTGATCCTGCCAACCCGGCGTCATTCGAGCAGCACATCATGGAAGCCGGTCAAGTATGGTACCCCAATTCCGCCTACAAGACTGCCCAGGCAATATTCGACTTCAACCGGGAGGGTCTTCCTCTCATTATCTTCGCCAACTGGCGTGGTTTCTCTGGAGGACAACAGGACATGTACGATGAAGTCTTGAAGCAAGGTTCAAAGATTGTGGACGGTCTCTCAAGCTACAAGCAACCTGTCTTCGTCTACATCGTTCCTAATGGGGAGCTTCGTGGTGGTGCTTGGGTTGTCCTAGATCCTTCTATCAACAAGGAGCAAATGGAGATGTATGCTGATGTTGATGCTCGTGCCGGTGTGTTGGAAGCTGAGGGTATCGTCGAGATCAAGATGCGTCGCGACAAGCTGCTTGGACTGATGGAGAGACTTGATGAGACCTATGCTTCCCTCAAGCGTGACAGCAAAGATGCCAGCAAGACACCCGAAGAGCGTGCTGCTGCCAATGCTGCCTTGTCGAGCCGCGAAAAGCTGCTCGCACCAACGTACAAGCAGATCGCCCTTCTGTTTGCCGATCTCCACGAGTACGTACAGTCTTCATTTGATAGCATTGCAGTTCATTTATTTATTTCTCTCTAGCCGTGCTGGTCGTATGGAGGCCAAGGGCTGCGCTAAACCAGCTGTGTGGAAAGACGCGCGTCGACACTTCTACTGGGCCGTGCGCGCGCGCGTCGCAAAGTCTGCTGCTCTTCGCGAACTCGCCGATGCTAGCCCTGGAGCTACGTACGAGTACCGTGCCAGGCTCCTCGATACCCTTGCCTCGCTCGAGCCAACCACGCCTTACCGCCAGATGGCCGAAAATCTTGAGGATTTGGACCTCACACCTACAATCGCCCAATTACGCGCTGACTATCTCCTGCGGCGCCTGTTAGAGCTTGCCAAGGAAGATCGCAAAGCGACGATGAATAGCATCATGCGTCTAGCGGACAGTATGTCTGAAGATGAGAAAACGTCGCTGATTGGTGTTCTACAAACCTCCTCTCGCTCACCAGGTTAGCTATGTTCAACTTCTTCCGTGTTCACTATCGCTGAGAGTCCTTTATCCAGGACCTCCGTCGTACGCTCACTCCTCGTAAAATGTGTAACCAGCACGCGCATGTTAGTTGTAATTATATCATTTTTTCTCTTCCACTCGATACGTTTACCCTCATCTGCTGTATAACCACTTCAACATACATAGACGTACTTTATTTGCCCCCGCATTGCTTTACATGACCGGATATAAATGATGATGTCCGCTTTCCATCAGTACTGAGTAGTTCTGCTTTATTGCCCGTAGACAGCCCTGAAAGAATTTAGAACGTTGCCTTTGCTGATATGAGGAATAATAAACATTCTCTTCTTCCTCTCTCCATGAAAGATAGGTAAATCTGTGGAAGGGTAAATGTGAACGCCATTCCATCTTACAGCCGCTTTCACACTGTATCAAAAAACGAGAATCGAAGGATATATAATTATTGAAGAGACATGCATGTCCCCGCCCATCGAAGAGAGGATGCTCGGCCTAACCCCCCTGCTGTGGCCACTGCCTCGGGACACAAAGGTAGCCCGGTCGATATCGATCTTGCCGCAGGGGGGAGACGGTGCAAGTTGTCCCCGCAGTCCGCCATAAGTACCTCCGGTACAGTTACCTACCTCGACCCAGTCGAAGGGAGCCCGCCCACCAACATCCGAGAAATGCACGCCTCCAAAGGAAGGATACAAGAGATATCATATTTGTTTCTGCGCCGACCAATTGTCCCAGCGATGAGTAATATTTAAATAAGTAAATCGTCCATTCTGCGAGAACCCAAAAACAAAAAATTGAACATGTCCATGCTACCACCCAACCATCGTATCGAAGCGGTGCGATTGCAGATCTTCAACTTGATGCGGGTGGTCTAGAAAACAAAGAGAGTGAAGAAAATGGAAAAGAAAACGAGAGAAGACGCTTAGCTCTGAAACTCCGGGGGAATCTTTCGTCTTGCGAAAGGAAGAATCAGAGACTGCAGTCTCCCTTGCACCACGAGCGTGGCGGATATCTTGGCGCGACTCCGAAGGGAGAAGAATGACGCGGTAAAGGCGGAGGACCCATTGGATGTCCTTGGCCCGGGAATGTATATGGAACCCGACTGGGTTTGACGGCGGCAGATGGAGGCGGCCCAATTGCAATATGACAAGGAGGAACTCGGAGAGGTAACGGCGGCGAAGAGTTCATTGCAAGTCCACCATTCTGCATGAGGACATTTGAAGCTCGAACAGGGATCGATGACGGAAGGTTAGAGGCGGAGGCTGCAATACCACGAGGAGACGGTCTAGGCGGCAGCGGTGGCGGAGAACCCTTGGACGACTCTGATCCTGGACAACTATTCGCTGCGATCCCTTTGGGAGTTGGGCGAGGTGGTGACGGTGGCGGAGGTCCTCTTCGGTGTTCCTGACCCACGACGGCTCCATTTGAAGCTCGGACGGAATTCCGTGAAGGCGAGGGGAGGTTGACCAGAAGCGATGACTATACGGCTTCCAGGTGAGGAACAGACAGACGATCTCGAAGATGAAATCGAGTCGATAGTCGACGACGAAAGACATTGGGCTTAGGACATGATCCATAGAGGAAGACGATGCACTAAAGATGAGGGTGAGTAGAAGAACAGAGAAAGGAGGGGTCGACATACTCTTGAGGGTCTTCATATGAATTCCGTTCCACTTCTCTGTTGACTGTCCGCGTCCCGACAGTAGACGTTTCCTCAGTCGGGAAAAACGTATCGAGATTCACGACGAGAGAACGTATGGTCTCTAGCGAATCACGGCTGGAAGGCTCAATGGCAAGCATCCGCTTGAGGATATCTTGAGAACCCGAGGAGATCCACGTATTTATTGACAAAGTAGTTTTCGCTGTTCTCGCAGTAGGCCCGAAATCTAGCGTCCGAAGATCTGGCACGATTCCAGAGACGAAGTCCAGTGACAATGTTGCAGAAGATAATGCCCAAGGACCAGATATCGTAGTGAACACTCGAGTACCGTTCATACACTTCGTACTCGTCGATGACCTCTGCAGAACACCGTCAGTGTCTGTAGATGGCAACAAGGAATAATCGCTTACCCGGACTCATATACTCCGGAGTTCCACACATAAAATCATCGGATATTGCATCCTCCGTCGATAGACCAAAATCGGCTAAAAGAACTTTCAAGCCATCCATCGAGTAGAGAATGTTCTCTGGCTTGAGATCCCGATGGTAGATGCCGAGATCGTGACAGTGGGCGACGGCATCGAGTATCTGAATAAACGTCGAACGTATGGAGTTTCTCGTCGTACATAAATGCTCCTGCCCCGATGACTGTAAGGAGGTCGCCTCCACCGCAGAATTCCATGACCGCGAACAGATGGGGCCCTTGGCGAAAGAGGTGATGAAGGCTAACGATATTGTCGTGTCGAGATACTTTTTGTTGAATAGTGAATTCGAGTGGTGTTTCCGCGGATTCGGGATCGATTCGTACAGCATTTGACCGCGTACATAAGTTTGGGACAGACGGGGGTCAAGACGTCCACCGCGTGATAGACAGTGCCAAAGGAGCCGGCTCCAAGGCACATGCCGAGATGATAACGACCTTCGTCGAGATAGAAATTTCGACATATCTGGGCTGGTGCATGAAGACATCTGAGAGGGCAAGTGAGTCGAAATAAAATATAAAAGGAGGAAATACGCACGTCGTAAACTTGAAGAAAAATGATTAAAAGAGATAAAGAAGACTATCAAAGTCTTGTAGTTGCACAGAAAATTTGGTATAGGAGTAGGACTGTCAAAGTCACAATTGTAAGGATATGGTGGGGGAAGGAGGTGAAGAAGCGAAAAGGAGATTTCCAACTCGATTGGAGCCTTAAAAGCAACCTTGTCGTTCCAGAAGGAAGCCCCATGTCTAAGACACGCTAGCATGTGAAAAAATGAGCGAAAAGTATCTTTGAAAAGAGAACGTCGCGTTCGAAGTGAAAATGGACGGAAGAAAAGCGGGAAGAGACGCGTCGAGGGACATGACGTCATGGAGATTCAGATATCCGGACCGGGGTGGGCGCAGCTATATGCGGTCATGAACGCTTGCGGATACGGGACGAGTGTCCGAGTTTCTACTTGGAAATATAGGAGTCGATATATTCCCTTCGCAGGCAGCGCCATTTATGATATTTCAGAATATTTATGTGGCAAAAACTAACTAGGAAATCATCGCAAAGAGCATTTGTATCCACTATAGTATTCAGAACAGTTCGACAGCCAATCATGAAATTCAGCCCGACGAAAAAATGGATTCGGCCAGCGGAAAAGGCCAGTTTTAACCCAAATTCCTAAATATTCTGGAGACGAAGCCGACAATGTGTGGTGCGAACCTTTAAAAGGTACTAGGTTACGTCAAATTTCAAACGCGATAGATTAGCTCGCACCTGCGTACACCGTTTCTTCTCCTTATATTGGGTGAATATCTTCATGTCAAGACTGATGTTTTCCTTGTCGACCGTTCTCAGAACTGCTCGTCCAAGAAGACAAACGTATCTTCGGTCCGGTGAGTCATCCTGTCTAGGGTCAACTTTGAACCCTAACCCTAAGCATAGCCTGTTCCCTGCTGAACGCCTATTTTCGCTGTGGAAGCGCCCAAACCGCGGGAGACACAGCCATGTGATGTTATCGCGTGATGACAGTACAACTAGGGCTTTCTCTACCACAGTCCACGATGACGACTGTTGACATGGTAATGCCGTCTACTCTACACAGTATTAACGACGACGTGCTTGGTGTTATCTGCGCCATACTTGACAAGGATGAAGTACGTGGTTATCTGTTGTTATGTTCGATATCCTAATCCCCCTACAGTTAAAGCAACTTTCAGCCGTCGATAAACGGCTGAGAGAGGTCTCTTTGCCGCTGCTTCTTCGGCGCGTGTGTATGCGCATTATGCACAAGGAGGGCATGTGGCAATTAGCCACAGACGCCATTGAGAGCATGCTTACTTCAACGGCTTTCGACGTCGTTGCCGGGCACACTAGGTGGGCTTAGAATCTCGTGTGGACTGCCCGTGTCACTGATATCTAAACGTGACAGATTTATTGATATTCGCCTTTCGGATGATAAAGATGAAGATCCACTGCCCTCCGTCTTATCCGGTCGACTTGCCGAATTTCTGTCGGCACCTTTCCGTCAGCTGCATACTCTCGTCTTCACTATTGACGAAAAACAGGCCCAGACTTTTGAGGACAAATTTATCATGCCGCACATCGAGATTCCTACTGTCACTACTCTCATGGTGGGAGCCTATTGCGACTTTATGGTCCGCCTCTGCCCGAACGTTGAACATTTAGCGACCTACGGCTGGATATGGCTCCACTCGCGTCGTGGGTCTATATCCAGGGAACACTCATTTCAGGCTTATTGCCGTCGCGAGTGAGGCTAAGATGCTAAAGCACTTTGAAATGAACGAGTGGTGGTCGGCCAACCTACTGCAGGGTCAGTCAACATGATTCACTTCAGTGCATCCAATTTTATCACGATCTCCAGCTGTATATGATGCGATGCCCTCAATCCAAAATTTAACCTTGGATGGCGGGCCGCTCAGAGGTACTTTACAGGTATGGCCAATACTACCCTATCGTGCAGGCCCAGCGCTTATACTTCCACCTTTTGTCCAGGATCTTGTTCCGATACTAAGTCAGTTCAAGACGCTGAAGAAACTTGGACTGGTGGACGCTTCCTGTCTACACGTCGGATTTAATCCTCCAAGATGCGGAAACGCATATATGGGTCCGAATGGTGCCGAGGTCCGGAGGAAGGTGAATGCACAGGCAGAAGCAGCACGGAGTCGCGTTGCAGACACGGTCTTTAGCGCCTGCATCAATCTTGAAGTTTTAATTCTCGGAAACCGCTCTAAGGCAATTGCTACGCGGTCTCCTGGGGGCAAAATTCGAGACATTAAATGGTCTTTGGAGACACAATCAAAGATCGCGAAGGTCTAGAAGTCCCTTCATTCCGCTGACCCCGTAGATGTATTGGATATGTTTTATGATTTCAGAATATGATCATCATATTACCCGGCACGGTACCGCCTCGGATGCTTGGGGTACCTTGTGTTTGATCTGTGTTCGTAGCAACCGTCCGGCCCGATGTTTCCTACTGATGCTTGGCTGCGGGTAGACCGCGCACTAACTGGCTCAATCTGTTTTGAGTAATAATTCAAGAGACCCATTAAGTAACACCCATAGATAACCCGAAGCAAAGGATACCGACATTTCCGACAGCAGGGCGAGCCGCTCTACCATGAAACCAGGAAATGGGGTTGGTTAAGAAAGGAAGTTGAATACAGCTGCCGATAATCACGTTCACTAGCAGCATAAAGTACTAAACCACAGTTCCCGGTAAATGAATGACTGATGGGTTTCAAGACGCTAGAATGCACTAACAACGTTTGTGGTAAGAGAATCAGTTCATTATCGACGATGAATACTTGGGGTATTTCAAAAGGATAAGTGGAGTTGACACGTACATTGAGATACTGAATACTGAAATCGATGAACAGTAAGTAAGTAGTACAGAAAAGGTACAGTTTTCTAAAATGTACGAATGAGAAATCAATGTACATCAAAGAAAGAAGAAAATAGACCATTTGACTGTTCAACCTTAGAGCCGACCGTATCATCAAATTCGATTGCTTGGAACGCCCGAACGGTAGAACCAAGTATCATCTGTTCCCCCCACAACCGCGCAGGGATCTCATGATCATGTCGTAGGAAGAAATGTATACGCTCCAGCCATTCCTTCAAGAGGGCAAATCTATGTCCCGTTCGGGCACTCTCCTCCATCCACCCCGAACCTCCCTTTTCGATCGCATAGAGTGAAATCTGCGCGAGCCAATAAAATTGTAAGGTGTTGTATACCAAGGACGATTTGTTATAGGCTGGCCCTACGACGTCGCAGCAATGCATCCACGTTTGGAGCCAGTTGTATAAAACGGACTGCAAACGGATGTAATCTTTATTGGCACTGGGAAACGAATAAATGTCTCTGAGGATGGCGTGTATCAGAATGAAATGGGAAAATGGATTTGGCGGGGTTGGGGTCGGAGTAAATGTGTGGCCGACGTGGTGAGAGAGTAAAGGCTCTGATTCCCCAGCTAGAGTGGCAAGCGCCTGGTGCAAACTGACGCCAGACAACGTCGTGGAACCCGTGGAAAAGGATGAAGGTGTCCCCACCAATCCCAGCCATTGGATAGGGTTTGAAGCATTCCATAGTTCGTCATTGCTTGGTAAGTCGACATCGAATTCTGTTGATTTAAAAGAAGCCGGTCTCGAAAAATAGACCGGGTAAGAACAGTCGTGAAAATACGAGAATACCAGCGCGCTGTAGGGTCGTGAGAGTGGGAAAATCAAGTCATTACATACGATATACCGTTTCATAGTTTCATGCATAGCCCATTCACGCCAGGATTGCTCTAGTGAGAATGTGGCATTTAAGTCAGGAACCATCCAGAAGCGAAGACGCGTAACCAAGCTGGTTTGGCGGATCATCTGTAAGGCATGTGAGTTAGAGAATAAGAGGCTGAGATAACGGATATACCATAACCAGCATCTGATGATAAACGCTGGTGGTCACCTGCTGTTCGGCGTTTTGGTGAAAAAGACCGACAGTCTGAAGTAGAACAACGGCCAATATTAGGAAATCTTGATCGATTGTGGGTTTGGAAGCCTGAGTACAAGCATCAATACTTGAAGGATACCAAGTTCCGGGACTTACAAACTCCTGTACGAAGAGGTTACGAGAGGACAGTGTTTCTTCGATGAATGCTGTGGCCTGTCTCGTTTTGACAAAGAGCGCGCCACACGCCTGCATGGCACGAATGAGAACAGAGGGTTTATTGTCTGTAGACCATGTTGCAGGATGCACCAAAGGAAAGTGTTGGCAGAAGTCGGAGAAGAAACACCGCACTAACGAAAGAATCCCTATAAGAAGAAAGATGCATTAGAAACAGGGACTCACTGTATTCCTGATCTTCTGAAGTACTCGCAAGAGTACCCATCACCGGGGAAGGATATTGTGCATAATCATATGATGGAACTTTATTATCATTAGAGTTGAACCATGAGAAATCGAGCTCGTCGTTCGATGGCACGTGTGGGTCTAACCAGTGGTCAACGGGATATAAGATATTGGGGGTCCCATCCCACGCGCGTTGATTTGGACCCTCTTCAATTTGGGGTGATACCGTTTGAGAAACTTCGTCCACTATCCCCCAGTCCAAAGGCGTGGGCGGTGAATAAGGCGTCTCGCCCTCCGATGCGGTATTTGTGGGCGACAAGGAAGAGGGCGGGGAGGGCGAAGTACATGACGACAACAAAGCAAGGGAACCTTTGGAGGTGTCTGTTGCTCCGCCTCCAGGATGCCGGCGAGGCTGTTCACCAGTAAACACGCATTTGCTTCCCCGAGCAACGCATCTCGAGCAGGGCTGTTCAAGCTGTCTATCGCATTTGGTTCTAGACAGAACACAGGCCTGTATATCAGATTGATGATCAGTGCTTTGTCTCTCAAAACCTACCCGTACGTCGCACCTCGCATGCCCTTCTCTTCCTCGGCGTTTGATTGAGTCTGACGACATATTTAGTGAACTCATTATGATCCAAGTGCAGCTAGAGAAACTTACGGTCCTTTGCAAGTCTTCAAGTGTCGCTTCAAAACGTCCCGTCTGGTGAACTGAGTCTCACACTGCTAAAAAAAAAGTGGGTAAAGATGAATTATAATACTGTATCTGTGACCTACGATGCACTGATGTATGTGCTGGTAGGAGTCTGTAGAATATTAGCTATCTGTGCGAGGGATCGTCGACATGGGGTACTCACGAGAGCGTATATGTTTATGTAAATGAGTAGGCCGCGTATATCTAGCAGAGCAAATCGGACATGTCAGGCTCTGAGGCAGCATAGCACCCTTTGCCTTCGTGTCTAGCACTGTCGCCGGCTCAAGAAGCTGAAAAGTCACGTAATAGGCGGGAGAGGATGCTGCCATAGGGAGAGTATATGCAGGGAATTGAATTCAAACGTAGGTTGAGAGAAAGACGCATTTGGCGCTTGTTTTTATATGATTCATTTCCGGCTGTAAGAAGCTAGTATATGCGGGCTAAAGAGGGAGGTTAAACGGTGTGTGGACCAGCTTAATACAGCTCCATCACTGCCGGCGGTTGCTAGATGTGCAGGGGATTCTGACTCTGAGATCCTATCAAGTCGCCGGATAGTAAAATAGCGCCTGTAGGCACCAGTAAGGTGATTGTGACTCCCCAATGTGAACAGAACTAATCACACTCACCTGTCAGTGCAGAACATTCCTTCAGGCAAGGTATGCAACACAAGCGCGGTCGCCAGCTGGCTTGGTAAAGAAGAAGTCTGGTAGAAACCCGGTTTCTGGCTTAGCCGAGCACGAAGTTCCCACCGCCCGTGCTAGTTGTCCGCAGCTCCTCGTTATCTTGGCAATCATCCCCGGTGGAGTATGTTGGGATCGCAGATGCTGGATCAACTCCTGTCAGAATTAATAGCGGTGATTCATGATGCCTTAGGCATTGGAGAAATGGGAAGGCGCGTTACCTTGTGCTGTAGGGGTTTCTGAATAAAAGACAATCAGGTCCATGTCCCGTGCTCCGTGGAAATGAAGTCCTCTGATGTATCGCACATGATGCTAGTGAATAGATTCTATGAGAACTAAGGCATTATGGAAGTGGGATTTGAACACCGCGATAGCGGATAAGCCAGGGTAGGAGATATACATAGTGCCCGTTATTGCACCCATATCAATCTAGGGTCAGCTCAACAGGCTGGATGAATAAAATTTACTGACTCAAATGTCCCTGACACCTTACACAGTGCCTTCCCGAACCAAGTGACCTGTTCAAGGCCCAAAGGTTAGCATGCCTAAAAAGTGTCACGAGAAATTTGAGTGGGACCAGCACAACTATGGCAGCAGGTTGAACATTTCATTACTTACGTAAAAGCTGGCCTGCAACGCAGCTTAAACACGCGAGTGATTCATGAACTCTTGAGAGTTGACTACTTGATCACCAAATGTGATACCCGGTGGGGTGGGATCAAGGTATCGGCGAGCATTGAATAAATTGAATCGCAGTGGCATGGATAAACGGCAAACCCTCTGGTAGTTTAGCTCCGTGTTCATAGGTGATTATATGGGAATCGACATAACTGAAAACGTGCGTCATTCTCCGACCACCGTATTTCCTGAGCCTGTCGGAATTTACTTGTTACTTTCAACAAAGATAATGGAAATGTGTAGCAGCGCCATATATAACACGGAGCCGGCGATCTTGATTCTGAGCGGGTTTCAGCTAGGATAAGAAGTCATAATCTGCTTAAATATGGCACACGAGGAACTTCTGGACGACTATGTCAACAAACCGATACATATCGAAACAGATGATACACACATAACAGCTTTGCTTAGTCTTCCCCGAACAACTGCACGACTTGGATCTCCTCTCCTTCCTCCTGGTCACGATAACGCTGGACTTATCTAAGAGTCAGCGCCTCTGCAGAGGGGTATCTTGGAGATAATATGCAGTGCAACTTACTCCCTTTCCTCCATACCAGTCCTAGTGTCAACAATCGACGATGTACCAAGTACAGACCTCGATGACCTAAAAGGGCTTCAAGAGCTTCAAAAAATGAAGGCCACGCATCTTCTTCACGCTAAAGATGCAGATAGATAAATAGCTGCAACAAGGAAGGTGCCCGCAGTCTTTCACTGGCTAATGACCATTGCCATCGCTAGAACTAGTATACAGAATCTAGCAGGAATCGGAGACGCCGATGAGCAGCACGCAGGACACAACGCAGAACTGTAGTACCAAAGAGACCGAGCATGATGTTGTTGATACCATCGGTACATGCGCCGCCGTGCAAAATCCAGTCGTTGACGTTGCTGATTGAGTACGGACATAGTAGTACGAACCGAGCGGTAGCGGTAGCTTCTATTATGACGCATTTATTTGTCCCTGTTATCTTAGGGAGGTGATCCAAAAATTTGGGCCTTTTCTATTTTTCAGATTTCCTCAATTTCGCATTTCGATGGTTTCTTCAAAATCCAAAACGCTGGGAAAGCGCGAAAAAGGCAAAGACGATGCGCCTCTTGTTATGGTGCCTTCAGATTCTTCGGACTCAAACGACGAAGATTCTGACAATGGAGGTGTCGACGAGGAAGGAATGGAACGTCTCATGAAGGCTCTAGGAGACGAGGGTTTGGATGAATTTGACCAGGCGCAGCTAGGAGCCCTCGGTGGTGAAGAGGAATCAGACAGTGAGGGCGAAGGTGAAAATGGCAGCGACGAAGAAGATGCCGAGAGCATTGGCGGAGAGGACGAAAGTGAAGAGGAGGCTGAAGAACAAGACGAAGACGAAGACGATGCAGAGGAAGATGAAGACGATGCCGAAGAAGAAGTCGCCCTTGAAGATGTTGAGGACGTCGACGACGATGTTGTCCCACGGCAAAAAGTCGAAATTGACAACCATGTATGTGTTTCCTTTTCCCTAGAGAGTATTATCATCCTTATATCTTTCACACAGGCTGCTCTCGCACGCATACGCGAATCCATACAGCTAGATGCCTCACTTCCATGGACAGAAACACTCGTTCTGTCGTATCCAGAAACTATAGATGTCGACGTGAATGACGACCTGAACCGTGAAGTTGCATTGTATGTATTCTCCAGATACTCAAGCCTGTCCTAATATCCTTTGCTCCCAGTTATAAGCAAGCACTGCACGGAGCCAATGCCGGTCGAGCATTGGCGGCAAAACACAAATTCCCGTTCACACGTCCTTCAGATTACTTTGCAGAGATGGTGAAGACGGATGCACATATGGAGCGGATACGACAGCGTCTCTTGGACGAGAGCTCAAGCATCAAAAAGAGTGAGGATAAACGCAAGGAAAGGGAGGGGAAGAAGTTCGGGAAGCAGGTACAGATTGAAAAACTCAAGGAGAGGGAACGCTCGAAGAAGGATATGGAAGAACGATTGAAAGGCCTGAAGCGAAGTACGTTTCTGTCTTTTTTTGTGTATGTCAGGAAACTAAATGATTCCCACAGAACGAAAAGACGTCCTCGACAACCCTAATGCTGATGATGACGCCTTCGACGTCGCTGTTGAGGATGCTATCTCAGACCGTCCTGTGAAGCGTGGCCGTGGTGGGGGCAGTAGGGGACTTTCGCGTCAGAGCCGGGACAAAAAGTTTGGATTTGGTGGTGGAGATCGGCGGTCAAAACAGAATACCCGAGAGTCAACGGATAACTTCGATTCCGGGTCTCGGAAAGGTTCTTTCAGAGGAGGTGCAAGAGGCGGGAGAGGCGGTGGAAGGGGCGGAAGAGGCGGTGGAAGCAGTGGTGGACGCCATAGTTCAAAGAGACTTGGCAAATCCAGACGCATTACTGCTCGCAGTAAGACATGATGATATATCTGGACACGGTGCTTAATACCATCACATTCTTTTTCCCTTCTCCCCCGTGTTGCATGATTGCAGGAAGTTGGTATGCTTTGTAAGAGACTATGAATGAGATACACGATAGATTAGGATGATTACACTGTCCTAGTGTACAACTACTCTCTCACTGTCTTTAGTCATACTACGTCCTTCGCGCTCTTTCAGAAATAGCACGCAAACTCCTGCAATCACGAACACAACAATGCTGGTGTAAACAGGCACCGCCCTATCAATCATTAAAAGCATTCCACCGACCAGAGGAGCTATCATTCCTCCACTAAGATAAAAGTCAGATATACTACACGATGTGAGAAGAAGCCGCTTACATTCGCGACAGTGCAGACGCGATCCCACACGCCGTCCCTCTAACTATGAGCGATATATTTTAGGAAAGGCAGAAGCATATAGGAGAAAGAAAGAAATCTAACCTTTCGTGCCAAATATCTCTGGGGTCCAGCTGATGCCAATTCATCAGTAAACCAGCTTGGACAAAGACAAGACACACACCCATATAACACCGCCCACATCGTTGTCGCACTGAGGCTGATTCCAACAGTACTTGCTCTAACTGCCCATGATGATTCCACCATTACAAACACCACGCAGAAAATAGCTGTCACAAACGTGCTCCCAGCCAACGACCAACGACGGCCGAGACGGGATTCTATCATATATGCACCAATCTGCTCAGAGTATTTAGTTATGAAAGGGTTAGATAACTGAAAAAACTGACAATAGCTCCAGGACAGCCGCCAATAGTAAATATTACCACATCCCATAAACTATCTTCTAGTGACTTTGTAGCCTCCCCAGATGAGTCTTTACCAGTCTCGAGGAGTTTTGGGAGAAAGACGTTGAATAGGGTATAAGCTAAGCATACGAGATAAACATGCGTCTCGGGAAGGAGGGATCTTCTTACCGAGAGACATAGCGCACCAGGCTGCCCACACAAGCAATGTTGTTCTCAACCACTCCGGAGTAAGAACCATCAGAATCCGATCCCACCATGCCCATAGAGGACGTCTCAGCCAACTTGGCAGGAGACTATATAGCTGCTTCTCGTACACAGACGACGTTCGCGTTCGAGATCGGGAGGTAGGGCGTGACGAGACTCGGCGTGGTCGGGCTATCGGTTCGACATCTTCCTTGGGCGAAGGAGGCTCTTGTTGCGGGATCGTCGGAGTCGCGAAAGAATGCGACTCGAGCTGCTGCGCCGGAGATTCTCCCGTCGAGTGATAGTCCACAACTCTGGTGGGAGAATTGGTGCCGTCATCGCCTGTAGGTCGCGCATCCGGAGTCACAGCCGGGGTTTGATCTACACTGCGCCGAATGTCGTCTACATCGTCGAGGTCGAGAGAAAGGGGAGCGCCATTGAATCTTGCTATCATTTGCAGCGACTCGACGGCTTCTTGATGACGCCCAGCATGTACTAGGAAACGAGGCGACTCGTGCAGCCGGAAGAAGACCATTCGGGCCGAGAACATGCTTAGTGTCTGCGAAATGAAACGTTAGTTGATCTAGAAAACGGTGTTCCTTTACGTACAATGAGACCCAATGTAATGAGAAGGTATTTCCATCCCTGATTTTCTACATCGACATCGCATCCAGCCGGCGCCGGTGAACACGAATGGTGAGGTACAATGAGCAGAGCTACGATAGCAGACAGGACGGCACCAAAGGAGAAGAAGACTGACAATGCAGTCACCAGGTATTGCTTCCCTTTTGGCATGTGTTCCAAAAGTAGAGTGCCATCAGTGGGCATTGAACCCTGAATACGCGTCAATCAAAGGGTGGCTTCAATAGTGGACGCGACCTACGCCCACAGCTGTGCCCAGCAAGAAGAGAAGGGTGCATAAAGACGTGTACGACCAGGATAAGGAGGCTAATAGCCCAAAAAGTGAAGTAAAGAACAACGTGGCGTTAAACGCGGTGCTTCGACCCATGAGGTCGGAACCTGAGAAACGGGGGTAAGCTGAGCAATACGATAAAGGCGAGTTCCACATACAGGTCCCCCAACCCACTGCGCCAAACATCATGCCACAGAATAATGAGGAGGACACGGCGCCAATGTAGCTGTCCGGTACTGAAAAACATAGTTGTAGCAAGCAATGCAAAATGCTGGGTAGTACACACCGGCATAGTGAAGCTGCACGCGTGGTAGTATGATAGCCACTGCTTGAATCCACATCTGAACATCCTGTCAAGAAGGAAGAGTTTGGTGCAAATGCATACTGACATTATCGGCCATCCAACCTAAGAAACGTTGTGAGACTCGGCGCTATGACAGGAAATAGCAAGAAAACTCACCGAAACCGCACAGCGACAGAAGCGTCCATTGGTAGCTGCCCATACCAATGCGGTCTATCGTTCTATCCAGCTGTAGGCGAGTAAGAAAAAAGACGTTGTCAACGGCGGATAACGCACCGGAGTTCGCCCATCATCGAGTTCGTCATCACCGTCGATGAGCTGCTGCTGCTCAACGTCGTCATCGTCGACAAAGTAAGAGTCCATTTCGTCTGACCAAAGCAGAGAGGCACGCGGGGTTACACTGCCCATTTTGGAACCCCTCTGTACAGTCAGCAAGCGAGATATCGCAATTCAGTAATCACAAGTCGCAATTGGGTCGTCCTTTCTCCGTTAGAACAGCCGTAGTGGAAGTTTGAGGATATTGGTGTCAGGTCACTAGTGTCCCCGACATCGACGTCAATGGCGAAAAGGTCGTGGGAATCCATCGCTAACGGACCGAAACCCCGTGGCGCGAACAACACTGCCAAGCTCCTCTACACAATATAATTGTGGGCTACGGTGAGATATGTGGCACTCTGTATTGTAACACGAACGCCCATCTAGCTCTGGCAGCTGTCGATATGCTCCCAGCCTGTTCGGGTACCGCGCTCGTGTTCTGCTCGTAATTTCAATGGGACTTGTATGCTTGTTTCGTCGGCTCTCAATATCATTGCGGCTAGCACAGAATGCACCCAAAGTCATTACAACTCATTGACAGGACGCTACTAGATGCTCGCCTTAGCGTAGCGTTACAGAATGGTTCTTTCCAGACGTATTTCCACGGCGTTTCGCTTAATTTCTCTCTTTGCAAGGTGCTTTCGAGCGAGCATCCATAGACTGATCCGTTCAGTTGACAGCACCAGGGCCTAGGACACTTCAAAATGAATGAATGGAACAAATAATCCTCCTTCGAGGTAACCTTAGTACTCTACGCAATCTCATCTCATCTCATCTCATCATTAAAGGAACGTTAACTTGAGGCACGCCACACGCAAGAATACAGGTAATAAATGCACCACGAGACCCAATTCTCGCTACTCTCTAGTCAACCACCAAGTAGCTCACGACCAAACCGTTGTATATATGCGGGAAACGCGAAACCAGTACTTTCCCCACACAAACCAGCCTGGTAGACGGGCAGAATAGAAGGTTTTCAGATCAGAATGTGCTCAGTTGACGACCTATCAATAGCCTTTCGACTTTGGACCACCATTATCGCTTTAGCTGTACACGATAACATGTCCAATATCTCGACACTGACGACGATTGGGTGCCTTTTTGAAGAACCTTTCAGTGTTGTCACGACTTTCTGTTATCGTCTTGGCCTAAACGCATGCAGATATACAAGATTTTGGTCCGACCTTGTCCGAATTCAAGGCGCTCAGGAGGCTACCTAGTATCAAGCACGCAATGCGGCTTGCTCGGGTACATTTACATGGGTCCCCGTGACACAAAGGTACGAGAATTTGTCAACGCGAAGAGAAGTCAAGCTCATAAATGCGTTACTTACGAGCTTCGAGTCCTGCAATCGAGCCAAGCAGTAATAATTGGATCCAGGGCCACGGTAGCCAGGAGAATGAGATGGGGATTCTTGGATATCGTTTAGTCTGCAGAAGACGCAAGAGCAAGAGAAGATGGCGACTTTTCGGTCATAGAGTGCTTATGAGGAACATTTTCCCCTTTGATATAACGTTGTTTCAACGTCATCAAAGGTTGGGCTCGTCCATTGAACAGATTACAAACTCGAAGATGTGTATTGCGTCTTTCCGATAAACCCAGTTCTGCGATGCAGGAGAGAGAGAAGACACAGTACATGATTAACCAACTCATAGGGAGGTAGTGAACAGACAAAACAGACAGCTCTGTTTCACGAGGATCCCATGATCATGCCGCGGGTGCAAAAAGTACGTACTCAACAACTGGGCATGGATTGAGTCCTCCTAAGGATTGCTCCAAACGTGTGTTCACTCGTTGACAGGGCATACGGCATGCACTCCATTTGACGCCGTTTCGAATGGAAATAATGGACGGTTCTGATAGCCAGCTTCCCATAGGGTTAGAAATAAAGAAGTAAAAAAGGCACATTAGTACAAGTAGTAGACTTCCGCAATCTTCTGCTGTTCCTCGACACACCATTGGATGTCTTGAATTCGCCTCCCCTGTCCTCTGGTAACAGTCGCCTTATCGATATTGTCGAGAACCAGGACATCAAGATTGGCGCAAGCGAGAAAGACTGTGTTCGCAATCCACTTGTTCGCCGCATCCACCTGCTCCCGCCTTCTTTTGAGCATTTCGCGGCCGCCAGGTCTCGTGCGTGCATTTGCAATTCTTGGAAAATCAAAACCTACATCCAGGAGGGAAGCAGACACCAGTCCAAGTGTTTTCAATCTCTTGAACTGACTCAGAATAGGAATAAGAGCCTAGTAAATCATCATAAGCGGCGTATTGGCAGTGGTGAGACTACAGACAAACCAGAAGACTATCTATGACGCGAGCGCCATCCAGGGTTAGTGTTCCAATAGAAGGCATTGCGTCGTATACGGCTAAGAACATGGTGAAAACCAGTGGGAGTGGGGGAGAAGAACTTGGTAGCTTACCCTGCAACAGACCGACAGACCACTTTTCATACATCTCAAAGTGCTGCAGCTTTTTTGCCCCGCTAACCGCAGCAATAAGCTTGAACGAATGCTCTCTGGACGTTCTACCACGATTCGAACAGAGCCATACACGGCCAAAAGTTGCCACATGTTCAACATTGGGACAAAGAGGGACCATGAAATCACAGTAAGCGCCAACCATGAGAGAGGTGACGGTGGGGAGGTCGATGCCTGCCTTTCCAAATTCGTCATCAAAGAACTGGGCCTCTGTTTCGTCAATACTGAGGACGAGAGTGCGCAGCTGACGGAAGGGCGCGGACAGAAATTCGGCGAGTCGACTGGGCAAGATGGGGGGCATCGTATATTCATTTTTATTGTTCAAAATGCGAATATCAAGAGATCTATCACGTACGTTTGGATATCAGTGATACCCGAGTTTACCCTAACAACCTCACCTAGTGTGCCCGACAACGGTGTTAAAAACTGTCGAAGCAAGCATGTCTTCAACATCCTCGGTCGCTGACTTCCACACATCTTCACAATATTCAAAGCTAAAACGCACGCGCCGAAAGAGCAACGGTAGAGAAATTTCCCTCAATCGTTTATCGACGAGTACAATTTGCTCTAACTGTAGGGGGTTAGGATATCGAACAGAACGACAGGTAGCCACGTACTTCATCCTTGTCAAGCATGGCGCAGATAACACCAAGTACGTCGTCATTGATACTGTGTGGAGTAGACGGCATTACCTCGTCGACCGTCGGCGTCGTGGATTGTGGTACAGAAAGGGAGCGCAGCCCTGGTTGTACTCGGGATAACATCACATGGCTGTGTCTCCTGCAAAATCTAAAAAGGGAGTTCGGTCATTTGGGCGCTTCCACAGCGAAATATGTGCGTTTACAGGAATCCCGATTCCCAAGTCATATTCCAATGATCGCCTTGAAAGCTTCATAGAATCTATAAATTTCCTTTCTGTTGTCCAACGGCTTCATGCCCTCACTATATCTGCGTGCAGGACGTGGGAGAGGGACAAGGCAACAAGTAACCTGCGTGACCTCTGGAGGATAGGCTCCAGGGCAGATATGATATAGGAAGCTTTTGGAGACAGGGATCTTGTAGAAAGTGGGTATCGTACCCACGATTCCAGGAATGATCTATCGAGATTGAATAAATGAAGACAAAGCAATAGTCCACACACCTTCTCGTCCAACGGAGGCATCCCAATATCCCTTCTGGTTTGATTGTTCTGCGAAAAGGCAGCTACAGCCTCCGCGACAAGCTGAGCTTCAGCTTGAGGAAGCTGGCCATCGATACGTTTGTCTTCTTGAACGAACAGAAGTATATCGTTCTGAGAACGGTCGACAAGGCAAACATTGGTCTTGGCATGACAATATTCACCGCACATGAGGAGAGGAAGGTCTACACGAGTGCATTGCTAGTCTGGCCTTGGTGGTACTTTGGGAGGGCGAGCGTGACACTTCGTCACACATTGTCGCCTTCGTCACCTTCGTCACTACTTGGCAGAATATTTAGAAAATTGGGCTAAAATTCACCCAGAATTTGCGCTTGTCTTCCCGAAGTTTGTTTTTTTTTCGTAACAGTCATATTTGGCTGTCGAACCGTTTTTTGAATACTAAAGTAGATACACATGACACTTACTCCTTGCGATGAGTTTGTAGTTTTTACTACATAAATATTCTGGAATATCATAGATGGCTTCGTTGAAAGGGGACTCGTATTAACTCCTATGTTTCAAAGAGTAGAAACTCAGGCAAAGCGTTCATGACCGCATATAGCTGCTCCCACCCCGGTCCGGATATCTGAATCTCCATGACGTCATGTCCCTCGACGCGTCTCTTCCCGCTTTGCTTCCTTCCATTTTCACTTCGAACGCGACGCTCTCTTTTCAAGGCCAATTTTCCCTCATTTTTTCACATGATAGCGTGTCTTAGACATGGGGCTTCCTTCTGGAACGACGAGGTTGCTTTTAAGGCCCCAATTGAGTTGGAAATCTCCTTTTCGCTTCTTCACCCCCTTCCCCCACCATATCCTTACAATTGTGACTTTGACAGTCCTACTCCTATACCAAAATTTCTCTGCAACTACAAGACTTTGATAGTCTTCTTTATCTCTTTTAATCTTTTTTCTTCAAGTTTACGACGTGCGTATTTCCTCCTTTTATATTTTATTTCGACTCACTTGCCCTCTCAGATGTCTTCATGCACCAGCCCAGATATGTCGAATTCCTATCTCGACAAAGGTCGTTATCATCTCGGCATGTGCCTTGGAGCCGGCTCCTTTGGCACTGTCTATCACGCGGTGGACGTCTTGACCCCTCGTCTGTCCCAAACTTATGTACGCGATCAAATGTGTACGAATCGATCCCGAATCCGCGGAAACACCACTCGAATTCACTATTCAACAAAAAGTATCTAGACACGACAATATCGTTAGCCTTCATCACCTCTTTCGCCAAGGGCCCCATCTGTTCGCCGGTCATGGAAGTTCTGCGGTGGAGGCGACCTCCTTACAGTCATCGGGGCAGGAGCATTTATGTACGACGAGAAACTCATACGTTCGACGTTTACTCAGATACTCGACGCCGTCGCTCATCTGTCACGATCTCGGCGTCTACCATCGGGATCTCAAGCCAGAGAATATTCTCTACTCGATGGATGGCTTGAAAGTTCTTTTAGCCGATTTTGGTCTATCGACAGAGGATGCAATGTCCGACTGATTTTATGTGTGGAACTCCGGAGTATATGAGTCCGGGTAAGCGATTATTCCTTGTTGCCATCTACAGGCGCTGACGGTCTTCTGCAGAGGTCATCGACGAGTACGAAGTGTATGAACGGTACTCGAGTGTTCACTACGATATCTGGTCCTTGGGTGTCATATCTTCTGCAACATTGTCACTGGACTTCGTCCCTGGAATCGTGCCAGATCTTCGGACGCTAGATTTCGGGCCGTACAGCGAGAACAACGAAAACTACTTTGTCGATAAATACGTGATCTCTACGGGTTCTCAAGATATCCTCAACCGGATGCTTGCCATTGAGCCTTCCAGCCGTGATTCGCTAGAGACCATACGTTCTCTCGTCATGAATCTCGATACGTTTTTCCCGGCTGAGGAAACCTCTACTGTCGGGACGCAGACAGTCAACAGAGAAGTGGAACGGAATTCATATGAAGACCCTCAAGAGTATGTCGACCCCTCCTTTCTCTGTTCTTCTACTCACCCTCATCTTTAGTACATTGTCTTCTTCTATGGATCACGTCCTAAGCCCAATGCCTTCGTCGTCGGCTATCGACTCGATTTCATCTTCGAGATCGTCTGTCTGTTCCTTACCTGGAAGCCGTATAGTCATCGCTTCTGGTCAACCTCCCCTCGCCTTCACGAATTCAGTCCGAGCTTCAAATGGAGCCGTCGTGGGTCAGGAACACCGAAGAGGACCTCCGCCACCGTCACCACCTCGCCCAACTCCCAAAGGGATCGCAGCAAATATTGTCCAGGATCAGAGTCGTCCAAGGGGTTCTCCGCCACCATTGCCGCCTAGACCGTCTCCTCGTGGTATTGCAGCCCCGCCTCTAACCTCCGTCATCGATCCTGTTCGAGCCTCAAATGTCCTCATGCGGAATGGTGGACTTGCAACGAATTCTTCGTCGCCGTTACCTCCTCGAGTTCCTCCTTGTCATATTGCAATCGGGCCGCCTCCATCTGCCACCGTCAAACCCAGTCGGGTTCCATATACATTCCCGGGCCAAGGACATCCAATGGGTCCTCCGCCTTTACCGCGTCATTCTTCTCCCTTCGGAGTCGCGCCAAGATATCCGCCACGCTCGTGGTGCAAGGGAGACTGCAGTCTCTGATTCTTCCTTTCGCAAGACGAAAGATTCCCCCGGAGTTTCAGAGCTAAGCGTCTTCTCTCTTGTTTTCATTTCCATTTTCTTCACTCTCTTTGTTTTCTAGACCACCCGCATCAAGTTGAAGATATGCAATCGCACCGCTTCGATACGATGGTTGGGTGGTAGCATGGACATGTTCAATTTTTGCTTTCTTGGGTTCTCGCAGAATGGACGATTTACTTATTTAAATACTACGTATCGCTGGGACAATTAGGTCGGCGCCGAATATGATATCTCTTGTATCCTTCCTTTGGAGGCGTGCATTTCTCGGATGTTGGTGGGCGGGCTCCCCTTCGACTGGGATCGAGGTAGGTAGCTGTACCGGAGGTACTTATGGCGGACTGCTGGGGCAACTTGCTCCGTCTCCCCCCTTGCTGCAAGATCGATATCGACCGGGACTACCGTTGTGTCCCGAGGCAGTGGCCACAGCAGGGGGGTTGGACCTCACATCCTCTCTTCGATGGGCGGGGAGATGCATGTCTCCTCATTAATAATATACAAGCCTCCGTGGTCCTTGACTAGCTTATTTTGTGACGTAATTAAACACACTCTGACTTTCTCGTGATCCATCTTCCAAGTCATCTGTTGAGCCAGGCAGATGGAGACGTACAATCTTCCCACCTTGTGCCTTAGCGACACTGCTTCTTCGAGTTGATTTCTTATAACCCTTGCTTTTTGCTCATATGGCATGAGCACTGCTTCCACAAATGGGAGTGAGCGGATATTGCGTTAGTACCGGTACCCTAAGTTATTGGAGGTTCTCTGGCCACCTTGAGCCCGTTAACAAACTCGCAGTACGGGAATATTTGTGGTGAGCCGATCAGAGTCCTGCTATACACATGTGCACTTTCATAACGCAGTAATGTGTACGACACAGAGAATACCAGACGCCGCAGAAGACAACCGCAATCCACAGGACTCGTGCAGAGGTAAGGTCAGCCGTCTCCAAATCTCGAAGGTAAATGCCGCTCAGACCCATATGCATGTATTCACCTTCTGGAAACCGCACGACGATAAGGATTCCCCTTCTGGCTTCAACATGCGATCTGTCAGCTCTTCTGCACGAAATGGGCTTCTGTCATGGAGCCACTGATTGATGCCGATATGCTCTGCGACCTCGAGACCTTCACGATCAACTGGGCATTTTCGTTGCCCAAACGCTACCGTTCAGGGTGTTGCCATGGCAGATAAGCTGGGTAAACGTACCTGGACACGTCACATCGCAATGGCGCTCCAGCAAAGTCCAGCAACTCCCGAATCGCTTGAAATTCGGGGGACATGACGTCACCAGATCAAATTAACTGCTCCCTTGCGGAAGGTGGCTAGTGAAAGGGCGATGATATGATATTATTACCCCTCGCCTTCGAAGTTCCCACCGCTTTGCTCTTCATCCACGTCACCCTCTCACAACAGCAATTGACACCCTCATGGCAGCAGCTCCTTCAGCGTCTTCCTACCACATTCCGAATCTGTATAACCTTCATGGCCTAGTTGCCGTTGTCACAGGCGGTGGAACGGGGATCGGTAGGGCGTACAGCTGCGATCTGTACATCTTTCAGCTGATCTGTAGCACATAGGACTGATGATCGCGCGCGGTCTGGCTGAGAACGGTGCGAAAGTGTATATCACAGGACGGCGAAAAGAGATCCTTGAAAAAGTAGTCAACAGTGGCACTATCAAGGGTGAAGTCGTTGCGTACGTTTATGCCAGTTCTCTTGTTACAACGCACTGATGGGGAAGGATACTTTAGGCTGCCTATGGATGTGACGAGTAAGCCAAGTATCCTAGAGGCAAAGAAAGTATTGCAAGAGAAGGAAGGCAAGATCCATGTCCTGGTCAACAACGCTGGCCAAGTCGGACCCATATCGTCGTGGTTCAATGACCTCTCTTCGCCTAACCACAAAGATGCAGAGACGCTTGGACAAGCATTATTCGACGAATCAGAGCAAGGCTGGGCTGACCTCTACGCCATCAACGTCTACCCACTCTTCTTCGTGACAATGGCATTCCTCGGATTACTCGATAACGGGCGCCAAAGATCCACAGAAACCCGGGTACACATCAAGTGTAATCAACATTACAAGCATGAGCGCCATGATGAAGCAAGCACAAGAGCATTTCGCGTATAACGCTGCCAAGGCAGCGGCATCGCACTTGACGCGTATGATGGCAACAGAATTTGCTCTCAAGCGAGTCCCAGTGCGGGTGAATGCCATTGCGCCTGGGATGTACGAAAGCGAGATGACCAAAGATGTGATCTCGCCGGAGGAGCTCGATAAAATGGCCAAAGGGGTGGTACCTATTCCTGCGAAGAGGCCTGGAACGTAAGCATGATTACCTTTTTATTCCTTTGAGGACCAGAGACTAACAGTTTCTGATTCATGGCAGTGGTGAAGAGATGGCCGGAACTGTGGTGTACCTTGCCTCACCATCAGGTTGCTACGCAAACGGTCAGGAGATCGTAATCGATGGAGGTTGTCTCGCTGTGAATCCTTGAAGCTGAGTGAAGAAGCTATGAGAAGACGGAATGTACCATGTATTCAATATAGACCCTCCTGCAAGTCATCATTATAGATAACCACACAAATTGAGCATGTAACATATTCCTGAACGTATTTTCGACGTGAATATGAGCTACAGGCTCATGCACATCTTGAAAACAAGCAGTATTATTATCCACGAGTGTAATACTGATATATATCATCATATGGTTGATACCGATCGTCTCCTTCATCTTCAGAGAAAATTTGGAAATCTAGGAGCAAGTTCATTAGCAGATTAGAAAATCAGACACATATTATTGAAGCACCAAGATGAAGTAAGTTTTTGCGATAGAGATTTGGAAGCGCAGTTTGTATTTGGCTGGTGAAATGGGATACAGCCTCGTCCCAATATTCCTCGAGCAGTATGGGGAAGGTAAAGCGCACTCGAACGTGGCAGTCTGTACCGGAAATTGGGTCCAAGATACGCCAGTCCTCATTATTCCCAGAGAAGCCGATCTGGTCACGATATGCTTCGAAGTGGACAGTAAACTCTTCTACGGCATGCGGCCCTCCCTCAATAATTTCCTGCGCAAAGAAGGTTATACAGTTAGAAGGGATGAAAGGGTGCTTGAGCAATTTGATCATCTTCAAATTTCGAAGCGACGGAAAAGATGACAAGGGGCCTCCGAAACTATCAGCTGTGTCATTAATGGGCATGAAGAGAATCACCTACTTGACAAAGCATTTTCGAGGCCTAGATGTATGATCGTGCCTGTCTCTATGCGCTTGAGGATGATCTCGAGCGCACTCACACTTGGTAAAGTAGCAATTTGGGTTCGGTCATACGTGGACAGCACCGTGAGGCTCCGTATTTGGCCGAGATCAAAGGGGGACTTATCATTCACAAGCCACCGTGTAAAGTTTTGTAGAAGGGTAGCGTCCAAATTCAAGTGAAGAGAAATCAGACGAAGGGGCCGGTTACCATTTCGCTTGGCGGGCATAGCATTGTCGAAAGTTTTGATGGTGATTGCCGAAAGACTGAGCTCGCGGACAGCGAGCAGGTCCGACATAAGATGCAGGAAGTTGGAATAGAGATCAAACGTGATCCAAGATAAATGGACACGAGTGAGAGAAGCGGTGCGAAGTGTCGACTTGTACGCGTCTGCGACGGACACCCCAACAATCTGGTCCCACGAATCATCATGTTCAAGTTTGAATGAAAATGCCTTCAAGTTGGTCAACAGGGGGAAAACTTGGGGAGATGCTGTATTCATTTCATGATGCCTCGAGGGGTGTATCCAACCTATCCACCCATCTGGAAAAGCATGCAACTTGATAGTTTTCACAAATGCTCCTAAGTGTGGAGACATGCAAAGAAGATCTCGAAATTTATGAAGGTCGCCACGAATGGATTCAGGCGTGCAAAAGCGCTGCTCGTGGAAAATGTTCTCCTGTGCATGTTCTGTCCAAGCCCGACATACCAAGGAACAAGCACGGAGAGAAGGAATGTCGCCCAAAAGATAGTCGATGATGGCGTTGATTAGCTCTTGAGGTAACTGTGGGAGTTGGCTTGTAGGACTAGAGCTCATCATTTGAGTGAAGATGGCAGTTAACGTTAAGGGTTAAGCCCGTGTCGGCCCGGTTCAGTCTTAACTAGTGTTGCCGCGACTCAGCTAGACTCGGCTCGGCTAGACTTATGCCGACTTTGGTAATTGTCATGAGTCGTCGGCTTGAGTCGGTAATCATTGTGTCGGCTAAGCTAAGCTTCGGCTCAAGTCGGCTTGAGCTCAGACTAATGATCTAAAAAGGAAGTCACTGGGTTAAGACGCACTTTCCAAGGCGAGAGGGCTTGTAAATCCTTTAGAATCAACATCTGGTGATACATAGGAACTCAGCTTGCAGCTATGTAAATATATCTTCAACACAGCTGTAAATTCCAGTCACTTCGCTTTTTTAGGAAGATCTTCGGCTTGACCTCGGCATCTGTAAGGGCATTGATGCTCAAACTTCAGTCCTCCGTTTTATGGTATTAATCAGCATCTTGGATGTGTAGTTGCCTTGATTCATGTTGGAATCTTATAGTACACACCACAGGGCATGATTTTATGTGACCTAGGGGACAATAAAAGTCAAGAAAACACACTGGCCAAATTAGGCATTGTCGTCCGGCTAAAGCGACTCAAGCCCGGCTTTAGCCGGCTCCTATATGGGCTTGAGCTTAGAATGAGTCTGAGCCAATAGAGACTCAGGCTCGGCTTATTAAGGCTCGGCTCACCGGCTCAAGCGACTTTAAGCCGAGCCGCGGCAACACTAGTCTTAACACAATGCCGAGTGTCGGCAGTGACTATTTTCAAACATCGCTCCCGCGCCGATACCATGAAAGTTAGCAACGGTTTCATGCTTAGACTGAATTTGTATATTTTCGTCACTTTTATTCCTTCTGCATATCGACACTCAACTCGCCCGTAACATGATTGGAATTTGGAAGTGATTTTCTAGTGGTAAACCAGATTCAAAATTCGTATAGGTTCGATGGATACTACCTCATCAGTCAAATTCACCATCAAACACATCGAGGCACTGCTGGTTAATGTTCTAGTACTTAATAAACCTCGATCAAGGCGTCTGAGGTCTCTTATATCTTCCTCTCCTAGATGTCTTGTAGCATGCGTACCGGACTCTACTGTGCGTTCTCTTCCTCGACGCATGACAGCGAAATAACACACTTCCTACTAGCAACTATCCTGTCGTTGTCTGTATTGCAGACTGGGGTCGCTTTAACTGGGGCAGTTTTCCATAGGGATACAAATCGGAGGCCATGGGTGACACAGAGTATGTGATTTCCTTTTTTCAATGTAATGGATAGGTTTAAATGACACATTTTCTTGTAGCCATCTTCGAGAGCTTCACGACATTTTTCGCCGTTGTCACGACAGTGTGGACGTGCATTCTGTACGCCCTTTATGGAACTCTTTGGAGTATTCATTGGCAGCAGCTGATGCATTTGCTCAGGCTTTGTAACAACACCAAACCACACTCGAAACACTTATTTGCGCGATTTATAACGCACATCTATTCGCTCGGGATGCTGACGATCATATGGCTCGGTATGTTTCCTTATTTATGTCTACGTATGACTCTTACCACCTTCCAGCGCTGGCATTGATGCTCTCCCCTCAGTTGCCGTATAACTGTGACTACGCCATCATCCCTCCACCACCGGATAGTCCCGAGGACAGATGGTGTTCTCTGAATGCAACATCAATGACGCTAGCATGCATGATATGTGTATTCTGTATGTATTTCGTCTTCCTACGAATGTGTAGCTCGTTGATGATTTTGGATCAAGGTGGTGTAACTGCCTGCCTTGTACTCCGATCATCAAAGAGGATAGCGTCGCTTCACGATAACTTTGTTGCCGTACACGACGCCCAGGATAAAAGGGACAGACCGCGCCGCACACCTCTCCCAAAACCGACGAAAATTCGGGTGCATCTGTATTGTAAGCGCACTGAAAGACCTGTAGATTATCTCTCCATGCTGATTGTACCCGACTAGCGTAGATCCTTGTCGTCGCGTTCATTCAAATGGGATGGGGAATCTTTGCAGCAATATCGAACCGTGGCGTTGGGTTTTACAGTGTCTCAGTGCAAAGTACGTGATATACTCTACTGCTTCTCTGCGACGATGTGCCCATGAATATCTCACTAGCTGTTTTTGGCTCTATTGCCGGGTTCGTTGCCCTTTTCAATTGGATATGGGCTAGTGTCCTGTGCGTCGCTCAAGTTCTTGCCTTTCATCACTTGGTTGTGACTTGCTCGTGTAATAGGCTCTCATACAACTATCGCCCTGACTCAAGACATGCGCTCACAGGGGCTAAAGCTCACCTCGTATCCTATGCCACCCTGACGGTAGTATGGCTAAGTATGCAATTAACTAAATGTAGCTTAATTGCGCGGCTAATCTTCGGTCAACGGTAGTTTTGTCGATATGCCTGACAGAGCAGCTTCCTTACCAGTGCAACTTTGAGATATATTCAGACGGAGACGCGTCTATGTGGTATGTGGCGGACTCACTAGTGGCTGGCATGGGATGGATTTTGATGATCCTTTGTGTGTCTTGATAATGCTACTTCCCTCCTTTGTTTTAACGACGGATACAAATACAGGTTTTGCTACGACGATTGTTATTTACAAGAAGTCGTGCAGAGGTTCGGCTAAGGGCATATCTGTCAACGTCGCGTTGTATGATAAAGGTTATCAAGTAACTGTGTAACGTACCAAGCTTCTCTTCGGTTTTGCAGGCTACGTGATACTGCACTACGAACAAAGTAACACTTGTATTTCACAGCGACTCATTACAACTTTGGTCAAGTATGAGGTAAACCCGACAACTACCGATCCCGAAGTACATTTGGCTATTTATTTACATATAATACAACTGTAGAGCATTCCAAAAACTGGATATGCTTCTGGGTTATGTCCACCATTGTCACCTCGCTTAACATGACTCTCATGCGTAGTCCGTACTGGCGGGTCCTAATATAAGAACTTAAATCAAGCCTTTGATGATATCCGCCGCTATGGAGGAACTCAGTACAAGGACAAACTCAACCCGCAAGAAACTCACCTTGCTCAGGCAATTCCGTATGCGAGCGCTGAATGACCTCAATTAATTATGAAAGTTGATTGAACGACATATTTCTTACATTGGGTGTGTGCGGAGACCTGTAAGGGGGCAATGGAGAGATCCACAACGCGAAGATTGGTGGTACCGTATACCTTTAGGATTTGCACTGTAAATACACCAGCATGCAGAAGGATGGATCGAAGTACCTTGAGTTTGGAATCGACTACTCCTCCCTTGTCCCTCGGAAGCATCGAAGCGGTTCCGACCGTGTCTATAGCAAGTGAAGTTATGTAAGTTTCAGGTTTAAGTTGGTAGGGACTCTGACATACGCCAAGTAGAGGTAAGAACTTGTTTGATCCAAGCTAGAGTAACGCGATGAGAAGATATATGTTTTGTGCAGGATTTGTATTACCGCCAATCTCTTCGTTGGTCTGGACGTTCGGGCCCGGGTTGACTTCCACTGGTTCCTCGTCTGATATGTGCAATGAATGAGATGCTCAAGTGAATTATGCTTAAGAGTGTCGTACCGAGAACATCCTTGAATGGGGAAGTTCGGCAGACCTTGCGCGCGAATTTAACCGTTTCAATTAGAGCTCCGAGATCTGAGAAACCATGAGACAAGCAATCCGGCTCCTGCAAGTGAACTGCTTACCAGCTTTATCTTCAAAGTAACAAGGATCGTACGCAGGATCCACTAAGGGATCACTGGAGGTGAGATGCTATTACATCCTCAGATGCGAGTCAAGAATTCTGCGGGAGAGAGCATACCGCCGTGCCTCTCGAGAACAAACTATTATTCATGCAGAAAATGTTGAAATGCTTCCTTCCTGGCCTAGGGGGATCTGAAGAAGGGTATTGAGCGGAGCACGAGTAACTATGAGAGCGTCCTTACTTGGACCTGAGAGGAATCCTGGCAAAGTTGTGATCTCGCAGTCCAAGGCATTTCTTTCAACCTTCTGAATCTGCATTTTGAGGGTCTCCGTGGCCCCGACAGAGTATCGCCCTTGATCTATCTTCTCCTTAATGGAATTGATGGTCGCCGAATATATGGCATCAGAGTTGGGAGACAGTGTACTTAGAGGCAGGAAGGCGAAGTTGACGATGCCCATACTGAAGACTCCCTCGCCGCGGGCGCTACAGTAGATGGTTAGGCGCGGCAGATGTTAAAGTAATGACATGGACTAACTGAAGATCGATGTGTTTTTGGCGTTCAACTTCATCACCAAGGACGTCGAGAGTGTCGTCTGCCACTCCATCCTTCAATTCTGGAGTGCGATGTCAATGACTTATAGTAATGTGGCATCATCAAAGCCTGACCATAGCTTAGCGATGCGAAAACATGCTCCTGGACATTCTCTCCAACAGGAAGATCAAGCCTCGGGGTGATGCCAGCCTGTTTCAATACATCAGGACGTCCGATTCCGGAGAGCTCCAATAGATGAGGTGTCTTCAGTGCTCTAAATCATGGTCATTTCATAAGTTCTATGATGAATGATGCAACATACCCAACAGATAGAATCACTTCCTTATCTGCGCGTACCACGTAGGATTTTTCTCCATGAATAAATTCAACACCAGGTGGCAATCAAGTCTCCTTCTGCATCGGAAAATACTACTTTAGTGGCATACGCGGAGAGCAGAATGGAAAGATTCGGCCGGTCCGAGTTCCGAAGGTAGAAGTTCTGGCTCGAGTTTGAGTCAACTCCTTTAGGAAAAAAGAGTACCTATACCGTCGAGTAAGAACGCGAATGGGATAAGGGGTCCAATGTATTTGCTGTTAAGAAAGTACCTTGTGGCTGCAAGGAATCATTATAGAGAAAAAGAGGTATAGATATAATGCACTCACGTCTCCGTCAAGCTAAAATATTTGTATATTATCAGTGGCCGGCTTTTCTGTTTCAAAAATCCCACAAACCGGTAACGGGGCCTTCGGCACGCCTAAATTCACCAATGCCTGGAGACCACTCAGTCAGCATACCATTGCATCAACAATGACTGAATGTACCTCGTGAAAGCGAATGTCTACGTCCGGAAGATTACGCGGAAAAGATACTTGAAGGGGACCTTAAACGGTTGGTCGTGATTAGCATCACGCCTGTGCCGTTGCTCAGAAATAAGCTACCGTTCTTTGGCAAGTTCCAAGTTTCCAGACTACCTCGTCGTTCAAGCTGTGCTGGAGAACCAGTTGGTAGAGTGATACTGAAAAACGTATCCGTGAAACAACATCGACTTCATATGGAGGGAGCTTACGAGATTGCTCTCGAGAGATATTTGCTGAAGTTTTCCCAGTTCCAACCCAGTGTTGCCGAGCTTCTCCCAATCTGTACGTTGAGATCAGGCGCGTGACGGTGGTGATAGGAGGCGCATACCATCAATGTCCCCTTTCGCGGGATTCGTCCAAACAGAAAAGTTGATTGCAGAGCTTCCTCCAAGAACTTTGCCTCTAATCAATGGGCGGTAAGTGACAGGAATTGGTTGAAGAAAACATGGTACTTGCCGATCCCATCCAATCTGTCTTCCTGCAACATTCTCCTGAGGGACCTAAACGCGCAAATTGAAGTTGCTAGGATAGCAAGCTGCAACATTACCTACCGTCTTGAAAGTCCAGGCATAAGCATCTTGACCGAGATGAGCGCCAAACTGTACCGGACGTGCTGAAGGGTAAACTTAGCAATAGCTCACGAAGGCAGCCTACAGAACTTACATATCAGCTGGTCCTCTGGGTTGAAGCCACCAGCTTCGAGAACAATGACAGACACCGAAGGATCTTCTGAAAGCCTCGCTGCAAGAGTCAAACCTGCGGTCTGCGCACCATTAGTGAGAAGGACTTGCAATCGAGGAGAGGATGTTCATACCCCGCCGCCTGTGGCCATATAGTAAATAAGGCTTGTATTCCATAGGTAGACACTTAAAAGTACGCACCGACAAGCACATAATTGTAGGATTGAGATACACTATCGTCCACAGAGATGAAAGGCATGGTTTTCAGACTTGAGATCAAATGGTGTGAGGGTGATAGGGAGAGATAGGGATAGCTTCCCACACAACGTGCCGAGCTTATTTAGCACCGCGAAAGTACTTTTGAAGGAGACGGTTGACAACTCTTCACGCGTCACGCGCTCCTTTCGCCCATTCAGTCCACATGCGCAGTCTGGGCATCCCAATTCATGCAAGCGGATCGAACCAAAGGCAACTACATCAAAATGATCCTGAAATAGTGTCAGAAATCAGAAATCAGAAAGAGCGGATGAAGCAAAGGGACGCGAAAATTCAAGTTGGGCCGATCCAGGTTTTTGCCAGTGAGACATAACAGGCAACCTGTCGAGTTTTAATTCATACGATTCAAATTCTCTGCCAAATTTTCATACAGAGAGATAGCCTGCTCATCCGCTGTAATATTTTGATGTTGGATAGAGCGGGAGTTGCAACTCCGGCATCGCCGGAGCGGTGCCAATTTCACACGGACACGCGGCACGCGATCTTCTTTTCTTTCTGAGTCCAACGCGCGTCAAATCCAAATCAAATTCAATCTTCAGTTAACATGGCAATTTGCTCACTTCAAGCTTTGCGCATTCGCTACAAAAGGTGTTTTAGAAGCCTCAAAATATCCAAGAGCCCGGTATGTCCTATTAACATTTTTATTTCCCTACTTAACTGACTAGCGGAATCATCGGGGTTCCATGTTTTTAGATCTACAAAAATACAAACGCCCATATGATTCTATTACGAGAATACATATAGATCAGAAATGGCAGATTTGTCACCTGAATATTGCGTACTTCTTCGGGTGCAAACCGCACACATCCTGACGCCGATAGGGGACTAGCTATCCTTTTGCATCACTCTAACGCCATCTTATTGGTGGGGAATTCAGGATGAACAAATCACTTGCCTTGCTTGCCGAAAGCATGGAATGCATCCCCTCATGATATCTAGCTCATTTGGCATGCTATTGCTGCGATGTGTGCCGCTACTCACCAAAAACAGAGGTCAAAAAGTAGTGTGACCCTGGATGGACCGATGTTTTAAGGTTCAGGTCCCTTTGCTACCAGTCGACATGGAAATTTTTCACCGTAGCCCATGTAGTTCCCCGGTGAGCGGAATGTGACAAGGTATCAGCCATGCTTTAACGAAGTTTTCTTTTTCCAATTACCGCCAGTCTACTCTGTCTCCCCCCACGTAGTGAACATGTCGAATTCCTCTGGCACGATTCCCACTGACGTCGAGGTGTTGTGAGTGCACGACTATTATCTGTTCTTAACACTTGTCACTCATTCCAATTTGACTAGGACCGGTGCCTTGGTAGGCGTCGGAAGTTGTGAGGCTTGTATACGTCGCCTCACCTCATTTTGCAGTTTTTCGGTAATCTGTTCAACTGGGGACTCTTTGGATGTCTGGTGGTCCAAATGCGTGGGTCTTTTAGAGTCTTTGCGCGCGTACCTCTTCTGAGAGTTTGCGTCAGATTTTTACTATTTGAATTACTCCACGGATAGACCTGTGGTTCGGGGTGTTGTCGCGTTCGCGCTTGTTCTTGAAATTATTCAGACAATCTTGGTGACCCATGACGCTTTTATAACGTTCTGCTCACAATGGGGCACACCGAGTGCACTTCTACGGGTCGGTTATATCTGGCTTACTCTACCGATATTTGGGTCTTTGAGTGGGTGGAACTCTACTGCCTCTATATGATACCGATTATTTACCCTCTTTAGTGAGCTTCGTCGCGCAATCATTCTATGCATGGCGACTCTGTCTTTTGACTAAAAAACTTTGGCTTCCTGCAGTTATCATCCTGGTAAGCTGTTTGCGAATGACCTGAGTACCGTTGTGCCTACTGCCCTGTAGATCTCCCTGACACAATTTATCGCTGGTATCATAACAGGAGTTATGGTGACAGGCATAAATGATGTGAGGGAGTGTGCGTGTCGTCAATTCGTTTTATTCGTGTCACTCACTATCCAGTCATTGACAGTGTCTAAGTCATTCAAAGCTGCTTCGGTACGATTTAATAAAGAATCAATAGTCATCAATTCATCACTTAGATTTGTAGGTCTGGCTCGCGGGAACCGCATTATGCGATATCATCATCGCAGGGTGCATGGTGTTCTTCCTATCGAAAGCCAAGACCGGCTTCCACCGGACAGACATGCTCCTTACACGAATCACTGTCATCACCCTCGAAACTGGGCTTGCTTCTGCCGCAGTAGCCACACTGGACATGATATTGTTCCTCAAGTTCCGGGACCAAAACTGGCATCTCTGCACTGCGATGATGTTATCGAAGCTCTACGCAAACAGTTTACTTGTGGTGAGGACATTGATATCTTGACGTCCAATATAATGTCATAGGATTTATTCCCGCAGGTTCTCAACTCGAGGAGACGCATAGTCACCCAAGCATTCAGTGACTCAGAAAACTTGTACTCCATGGGACCTCTGGGATCATCAAGTAGGGCCTGCCAATAGACCACACGCTATCAACATCTCGGTATCTCGAGAAGTTCACGGCGACTCTGGGGCCATCCATGTTCCAATGGGTGATCGTGATATAAAAGATGTCGAAACAGTCAGTTCCTCCAAAGGATAAGCGGGTTTGAACCTCGACGTTAGATATAGAACCATCGCAATATGATCGTATATGGTCATTCGTACACATATATCACCGTTTCCTCCTTATAATATACTCGGAAATGTATATACTATTGAACGACTCCGCATTCTACTTTCACACTATGAATAAGCGTTTTGATGTTGTCCGGTGCATTCTTCCAATCAATAGGTCCTTTAGTCCAGGACGCAGAATCAGCTTCACCACTAGCGTCCCAAATGCCCATCTGCATTCCCATCTTGTGCGTCGGATAATATGTTTGCCCTCCGTTCGTTGAATTCTCTGTGATAGTTTTGTCAAGGCAAGGCATACAAATTGTCGGAAGCTCACTTTTCTGCACGCTCCGCACTTCATCCCCATCTACGGACCAAGATATCCTGTCCTGATTCCAATCGATGACGTACGTATGGGTACTGGAGGCGTCGCTGTCATTATAGCCATGAGTATCCCCGAATTTCCCAAATATAGGTTCTGAACCAGGCGGCGTCGCGAAGAAATTTGTTTGCCAATGATCGATATCACCGCCAAGAATTTCAATGTCAATCTCATCTTGACTATCTAGTCCATAATATTAGATTCGAGGTCCGCCATGGGATGTCTTTGCTTGTGGGACATACCAGAGCCTATGAGAATCATAGCGGAAACAACACCAGCCACTTTTGGGGTCTCCGCTACAAATGTTACTTTGCCATGTCTACTCAACGAAAAAATCAGTTCCATTCCTTGATTCAAAGCCTAGATCTACGCACGACATAGGCTTGGTAGCATTGATCGTGGCTCCGACACCTACTTTATCATTGATGCCATCTTTGGCCGTAACATCGCCATCAGGCTTCTGGAGCTTCAACTCTAAAGCACCGTTCCCCGTAGTGAACGACCCTTTCGGACTAATAGCGATGAAATGCACGTTGCTCGAATCTGCATCAGAATCTACCACCGAACCCGCCGGAAAGTCTGAGTCGAAGGCTTCGCAGTCGTCATCATCCCGGGGAATAATGGGCAGCCCAGTGGAGAGAAGTACCTGCATCAAGAGGAGGAGTGGAGGGAGGACAGCGAGCATATTATTTGAGCGATACCAGATCGTCTTTGGTCTTGGCTTCCTCTGCACCGGGCAGATTCGGCTTCTTAGGTCGTAAAGGTCGTTAAAACGCAATAATAAAAGGAGAGATACACCACGCGCTTAAGAGCCTTGGAGGGCGTAAGGTGCAGATGGTGTACAGCCTTTTCAGGCATACCTACCTTTCAACTGCACTGTCGACTCATCATCTCCTTCCAACGACAAACCATAATTTTGTAGTCCAAAGCGGCGGCCATTGTTGTAATTGCAATGTCGTTGATCTTTACGATACAACTGATGGGAGACGAAGAAAATCTCCTCCATCACTTTTGCTGTGCGGCTGTTGTCCTGGATAGATTATATTAAAGTACACCTTGCTTAAGTTATCTGAAATTACATAGATTTGACCCTTATGGGTCATGGTGCCGCACCCCGTCCGACGAGGACCATCTCATCGAGAATCTCATCTTTCTCAGTTCGTTTATATGTTCTTATAGTCTCCCCATAATCTGAAATTTGGTAAACCCGGAATCGGCGATCAAACCTGCTCAGAATAATTCAGAATACGTTGAAAATCTCAGATGAGATGAATTGGCTGCTTACCCTATCTTTCCGTAACCCGAATATGACCTGAGCCAACGTTAGCACGGCACCATCTAGGACAACGAGTTGAATACTCACCCTCCGCCTCCGAAGCACAGCCAAATACCGTGCACGCGACGGCAATTCTCGGTAACTAGCAAGGTTGAAGATCAGGAACATAGGTAAATGCCCATAGTAAAAGAAATTTGCGCACGATGACAATGGCCATTCGCCACAACTTTGACCTCATGTTCAGTTCCTTTCGAAACATGTTCGCTCTCCAATGAGGCCAGCAATGCTTTCTCAAAGAATCCATCAGTTCCCTTCGCATTTCCTGCTGTCTCCTCTCCATGGATACCAACATCGAGCGGTTGTCCTGTTCGAGGGTCAGTATCCGCTGGTGTATAGGATTCAGGTCTATCACAATATGAGGAAAGCGAACGATCATGAAAAGACAAACAACATACAAAGGAATATGGAAGAACATGAGGGCGTTTGGTTTGGCTAGCTTGGTCGTTATTGGAGTCACTTGGTCCTCTTGTCGCTTGGTCCACGAGTCACCAAAATCTTTGCCCGTATCAGGTGAAAAAGGTCGTTCTATTGGCGATATTGAGCCTGTAGAAATCGTACTGCATTAGCATAATCAGAGGTAGACCGATCGGACAGCATACCTGATTCCTGCAAGAACCAATCGATTTGATCCTGCCGTATCCAGTCGTATGCTGTGGGCATAAACGCTCCCCAGAAGTTGTAGAAACCCATTGGAGTAGGATCCCGAGTCCAAGAAGTATAGAGTCAATAGATGCATCTTGGACCTATGTATCCATGTCAGCTTTGTTCTATCAAGTGTGAAGGAAACTCACGCATCCGCACTCATGACTTTAAGAACGTAATTCCCTACGCCATGTATGTCCTCCGGTCCCCGCTGAACGAGACTATAAGGCAACGCCTTCATTAACTTCATCTGTTCCTCTCTCCCTGCACCAACTTCACTATCGTGGTTTCCAAAGATAGCCGCCCAGGGTATTCCTCTTTCTGTCACAGCTCTAGCAAATTTTGCCAGAACCGACTTGGAATCCCAAGACGTGCTTTGACCATTGAGTTGATCACCACTAAAGACCACAAGGTCTAGGCTTCTCCGCATCAATCACTCTTCCAAGCATCGTGGAGGTTAAGTTATCCGAATTCTGGCATGGGAAGTCAACATCCCGGCATTTGCCTTGGGAGACAGAAAAATGAAGGTCAGCCACTTGCAAGATCTTGAAGTCGCCGGAGTGTGAGAAATGAAGTGGCGGGGCGCGTGGTGGAGGCTTTACACCACGACGGAACGTTAACCATGTATCAACGGTTCGTCCAGTTAGTGGGTAGCGTGGGCGGCTCCAACTTCTCGAATCCGTACCACGGAATATCCTCCCCATACAAAACGTCAAGCTCGGTTATTATTTGACCGCGCTCTTCCGCAGTCATAGCACCTGCAGTCTTTCCCACACGATACCACAGGTACATGGGTGGAACCCCAATAACACCAGCCCGAGCGGAGAGAGAGACCTTATGCCAGCCATCTTCTGAGCTCGGTTCCTCGTCTTTAGGGAGCAAGCGGATATCAGTAATGAGATTTATATCTTGTCGTCGTGTTCGTCTGTAATACAAGCTCTGTGCCGCAGTCAGCCAGGCTAGAATAGTGTATGTAAGATACTGCTTCACCAGATATCCCAGACCAATATCCCGCTTCCACGTTGAGATTCCTCTCTACACGGACCCAATTGCCCCTGATAGCATCCTTTTCCGGAGTTGTGTCAGGCGAACAGAGATCTTCCGCAAACTTGGGGTCAATCATACATCGCGTAAGGGTGATTTCAGACACTAGTTACGTGTAAGCTGAGACTGATTACAATTAAGCAGGCAGCACATACGGCCGGTATCATGAGGCAGTAGCGGTCCCCATACATCCAAAGGGAGACTAGCCGAATCGTAAGTTGCGTCACCTTGAGTGACATTCCACCAATCCACACCGTCTGGAATGTCCTCGTCAGTGCCGGATGTTGGAGCGGTGGTGTTTGCGGCGGAGGCCAAGTCGCTTTCCGACATCGATACAATGTCCCACGACTGCCATCCAAGTCTTTGCTTTATACCAGGTCCAGGCGTCGGTTGATAGAGAATGAAAATATAAGTGAGCATAAGGGAGAAGCATATGATAGCCATTATTGGGGCGCATGCCGACCTCATCCCTCGGAAGAAGCGTTTTAGGGAGAAAGCCATGGCGTCTGGGCCAGCCGGCGAGAATGGCTTGTTCGCACGTCAAGTCTTGGTAGCGAAGATGGAGGTAAGAAAGAAGAAGCTTTAGGACGACTACGCTAGAGGTGATGGGCGTGTCTGTGTATCACGTGGCGAGATTTTCTCTCGACAAGCGATGGTCATCACCGGGTCACGTCGGCAGTGAATTCACCAACACCGTGGTCGACGACAACATGCTAGGGATAGCATTCCGGCGTCTCTACTCAACTGGGGCGGCCGACGTCTGAGACAGGCGTTGCCATTCGGTCTGCGACAGCAACAGCTTCTGCTCCCTCTGGCCCAAAAAAAGTGAAGGTCAAGCGACCGTCGTCGGCTATGCCTGAAGCCGCTCTCATCGCCCGGACAGGCGTCTACTCCCATCGCTGTTCGAGCTCGTCGCGAAAAAAAATCGGGTCGAGTCATCAAGCCAGGCGAAACCGATGCAACAGCCGCTTGGACTCACACCCAGCGACCACGCTCGCTACCTTCGTCGCAAAGCGCAGGGCCTGCTTTCTCACAGGGATGGAGACGAGCCAGAAAAGAAGTGGCATGAGAGACAGAACAAGCAGCGGTCGCGGATTCGTGGTATGAAGACGGTCATTCGGGACGGGAAGCAGGAAGTCGAGATCGTTGGACAGACCATCTACCTTCCAAATGTCATTTTTCGTCTCGTACGGAACAATACGCCTCCAGGGCAGCCTTACAATCCCTACGAAGCTACCTTCCGCATTCCGCCCTCCATCACAAAAACCGACATTCGTTCCTACCTCCTCGCCGTTTACGGCGTGAAGACTACATATATCCGAACCGACATCTACCGCCCCGCCATGCCTCGTCGCGGAGCAACACAAACCAAGACATCTTACAAGCGAGCCGTAGTTGGGCTTGTGGAACCCTTCTACTACCCTCATCGTCTGGAGGAGATGGATGAAAAGGCGAAGGAGGAAAGGGAGAAGAGGCTAGAGGATGCCTTCCAAGTCAGCGAGGGCAAAGAGACGCAGAAACTTATGTTCTTGAAGATGACTCGGGAACTCAGCTCGAACAACAAGATGAAGAATCCAATGGCCATGACACGGGCTGCTATATTAGCACGGGTATCGGAGCGGAGGAAGTTACGAGAGAGCACCGTCGAAAACGTGGTCGTGGACTGGTGGCAAAAACGTGCAGAAGGACAGCCTATCCAGCTAGAGAATCTCAATAAACCCATCTCACCACCAACGACTCCAGCTACTCCTTCATAACGTTTTATTTATTTTTTCTTTTTTTCTTTCTCGGTCACATGACTCGCCGGTAGGCGCGTATTTAAGTTCAAGTTGCTCTCTCTGAGCGCGGTAAAATAATCATGTACGCTCTTTCACTCTACGGTCTTCTTCCCGTTTACGCGTATGTATGGGCGGTCAAAGCGTCCGGCGACTTCAGCTGCAAATCGTTTTACACAACGTTCCCTTCTGGCTCCGTTTCAAATACTGGTTCAGACTCGCTCTTCAAAGCCCTCAGCCCTCAGGAAACCTACGAGACTGGCGATAATGGACTCGTAATGTATTTGCTCAAACCTGAAGGAACCATCAAGACCACTGGCAACGTGAACGACAAACTTGGTAAAGGCGCGACAATCAACTCGACAGAAGTCTTCGTGTGCGTATTTGCATCCTTCCATCGACCCGTCTTTGATCAAACAATTATATTAGGCACGGAAAGGTATCTTTCGAAGTTTCCGCCCCAACCGTTGCGGGCGTGGTCACCGCAGTAATCCTCGTTGGCTCAGGTAAGAACTTGAACTACCTACCCCCTCTAGCGTTTCTCACAGCTACTCGTTAGACTCATTAGACGAGATCGATGTGGAGCTTCTCGGTGGCGACCCGGACCACTGGTCTACCAACGTCTTTGTTTTCCTTCCCGGCGAGACAGAACCGATGTATGGCAAGTACGCTTCTACCGAGCGCGTGTCGGACTCCGGCGGTAGTATTGCTCAAAAGCATACGTATTCCATAGACTACGACCCCGGTAGGATTGTTTGGAGCATCGATGACAGGGTCGTACGAACACTCACGAAAGGTCGATCAAATTTCATGTGCTGCAGTAAGATTAACCGTTGACACGTTTTGCAGAACAAGCGGATGAACGTTATCCCACCCACCGTGTTCGCATTCAGTTCGGTATTTGGGATGCGAGTGGCGAAGAAGGGACGTCTGAGTGGGCGAGAGGACCCATCGATTGGAGTAAGCAGCACGAGAAAATCCCGGCGCACATTCATAGTATGACACTGGAGTGTTGAGTTTGTAGCACGTTCTGCCTTCGGAAATGTTTATTTCACATTGAAGGGTATATTGTAGTATGTCATTTGCGATTGTACTTTAGTTGTACTATTTATTCTCCAGTGTATCCTCATTTCAATTGACCAATATCGAGCTTCATTGTCATCAATGGGTCATGTGTCTTCTGCCCCAACTCTCATAGTAGGATTCACATTTGATGCTGCTGTGTCGTCAAAGCCCCAAGATATCATCAACGTAAGAGTAAACGCAAGCCCGAGCGAGATGATGTCCGAAATCTAATAAAATAATTGAAGAATGATGTGAAAGCAGGAAAGCAGAATACAGCACTATGAAACACTACACAGCTCATGCCGTGGAAAATGACACGAAAGAAAAGACTCCAAAAGTTCATGAAAGTATATCCCCAAATTACGACCCCGAAGAAATATCCGGCGAACCCGCTGAAGAAGCTTCGCCTCCCAATACCGCACCCCCTCCAGCACTACCACCATTAAACATGGCCTTTAACGTTAGATCATTCCGCCTCTGCCTCACCCGTTCCGCCTCTTCTGCTCCTCCCGTCATCCTCAGCTTCTTCCCGCCAACAAAATCCGTCAATTCAGCATGCAGGTCATCCGAACGGCTCTCCAGCTCCTTCGCCCGAATCTTCCGACTTTCCTCAATCGCCTTCAGTCGTTTCTCAGGATCGACAGCCGCACCACGAATTTCCATCATGACCGTGCTCAATCCTCCACGACTTTCCTCTGGCTGGTGGCAGCTGGAATTGGCGTCCTTTAGGTATCCGCTGCGAGCCCATGCTAACCACCTGCTCCAAATGCCCAAAGAGTTCGGCCAATGCCTTGTGATCCTCGAGAAGATCGTTGAGCAACTCTTCGTTGTGAGTCATGAACTGCTGCTCCTCGACAATATTCTGTAGCTCCTCTTGCCATGTCTTCTTCCACATCGGCTTGATAGTCATGATGTGCTCCTTGAGACTCTCAAGCTCAGACGCCGCTGCATCCACGTCCTTCCTGACCGTCTTCATGTACAGTGGCTTGGGTGTTATATGCCGTTTGAGCACGTCAGCTTTCACAGGTGTCAATCGTATCTTGCAGCCTCTCGACTTCGGTCAAGATATTCTGACTCCGAGTGTCCAGACTCTTCTTGCCAGCTTCAATGAACGCCCGGGCACCACCGACGCTCACATTAGCCAGCTGTTTCACTGACTGCGTCTGCGTCCGTAAATTGCCCAAGGACTCTTTCGTCTGCTTCATAAACTCAGTATACAACTGTCGCATAACCCCGAGGTCTCGACGGAGATTTTGCACCTCGTCGAACTGTGTCTTTAAATCGGTCATGAATGCGTGTTGAGTATTCTGAAAATACGGAGCTGCCTGTCATCTGTGGCTGTAGCGATTGTCCAGTGATTTGGGGCATGATGGAAGGCATAGAGGTGGGAGTAAAGGGGGAAGAAGGGAGAGAAGCTGAGCCAACGAATCGAGATAGCCGTCTAGCAACATGCTGAAACTGCTTATCAGTGGGTCGTGGAGGCGCGGGAGTGCTCTCTGCGAGAGGTTGGGCAACAATAGTGGGGAACTGCGCGGATTGTCGATTATTGTTGGCAACAACTGATCGCAGCTCTTTGATATCTTGAGACAAAGTCGAGATCTGGGTATCAATATGCTGCTTGATCTGGTCAAGAGCTACGAGTGAAATGAGTAAAAATATTGAATGCCGTAATAATTCACTCACGTTCGATGTTCAGGGACAGGAGACACTTTTCTTTAACTTCGTCCATATCTTCGAGTTCATATTGAACGCCACTCGAAGGATCGCGAATATATATGGCAGGAAAGTTATCGAGACCGGGATTATATGAAAAGCGATCCACGAACAATACCCTAAGCGATGAAAACGACATGCCAGGTTCTATGATCGCCTTTTTAACTTCCCTGCCAAGCTGCAAGAAAACAGTGAACTTAGATGTCTCTGGTTCTTCCTCAAAAGCAGGTGCCGCTGCCGGCTTCTTCGCCGAGAAAGGAGGCTCAGGTGGTTCCGGTGTCCTAGCAGGTGTTGACGGCAAAGGCGGCATAGGAGGGGTTGTTGCTTGCCGTTCTGAGCCTCGAGAAGGAGAACGAAGAGACACAGATGAACTACCTCCTCGTGTTGGAGGTAGAGACGAAGTCTCTTCGTCATCCACTTCCGTAAGAACGGCCAATTCTCCTGGCGTAAGGGCAGATGAAACTGCCATGGAACGTCGGTTCGCCTGTCCTCGTACGGACCGTTCTCGCGAAGAGGAACCTGTCATTTTGGATATATTATATGTTGAAAACCGCTTTGATGCCCTGCGTTCTAGAGCATCGGTTTGTTTGAGAGCAGCAAGCGAACTCGCCATAGCCGGAGCTTGCGCAGCATCTATAGGCGGAGTTTCTGAGGGCGGGGTCTCTGGCGAGGCAGTCCTTTCATCGGAGGGATGTTCGGGACTTGATGGTTCAACAACAAGACTGGGAGCAGGAGGGGGGGACGTCATGGGTTTATCAACCAAAGAATAACGTTTCACGCTGGATGGGACGGCTCGCTGGGCTGCAGCCGGAGGTGTTGCTGTGGTAGCAGACGATTCATCATCAAAGGAAGTGTCGGGAGGGGACTCATTGGGTGGCGGAATGGGAGCAGGTGCCGGCGGTGCATCATGTGGATTAGGCATCTCTCCGGATATCTCTGGCTCAGGGCCAAGGGGAGGCGACGTGACTTGAGGAGAAAAACCTCCCACGAATGACGAGTTTCCATTGAGTTGCTCGCGAGACGATTGTCCAAGGCTTCTTCTTCCAGATGACGACCCACTTCTTCGATAATCTCCTCCATTTTCTGCAATAGTTCGCGATAGCTGACTTCGATGCGATGGTTCCCGCCGCGTTGTTCGATCGCTACGTGACGACCTACTATCAGTCCTCTCATGGCCAGACTGCTCAGACCTTCGTCGATGGTCAGAGACAATGCGCCGATATATGGACTGCTTCCCCCGCAGACCTTGTAGCAGCTGGGTAATGATTTGCCTGACAGTCGGAAGGTATATCTCGAGATTTTCGGGTGTAGGGTCCTCAGCAAGACATTGTTCTAGGACTGTTCGCAAGTCATCTGGTACAGATAGAAGCTCACTAGACACGATGAATAAACATGAATGGGATTTCCAAAGTAGTACTCACTTCATATCGATATTGAACGCGGCGAACGCTGCCACTGCAGCATTGAAGTCGTTCCCCAACTGAACGTATACATCACTGACATGGGTTTCGTCCACTTCCATGAGACTCCATTGTGTGAGTGCCTCCAGCAGCATCTTGATAGACATCAGCAGACGTGTCACCGCAGACTCGACCGCTGGCTATAGAAATATCAATACGAAAGAAGATTCGTCGATTGCAGCACGCTTACATGTGTCCGTGAACTGCCTGTTCGCTCACTGCGTCCCGAATGGTTGGAGGAAATAGATTGGTTGTCGCGACGCGAGGCATGGCTTTGAGCAACAGAATTTGACGAGTTAGACCGACTTGACGACATTGTGGAAAGGAAGCGTTGGGTGTAAGTGCATGAGGCACGATAAATGAGAACAAGCGGAAAGTGGGTCAAGTTCTGTATTGATCGTGGGAACTATATTCCATTTTTGGATAGAATTTAGTCTCGGCAGCTTGGTCCGACTTCCAACCACGACGTAGAGAATTTTCTCGTGCCTTCAGTTCCAACGGCCATAATACTGGATTTTTCACAGGACTCTGGAATTATTCGTATAACAGCGATATGAACACATCTCAAGCGTACTGGTACGAGCTTAAGCACCTTTCGAGCCCAACAGACGGCGGTTCTTCTCTCGGTAAAGTGGTCAACTAGCCGCCACAACACACGCTAACTGTGCGTCTTTCTGCACTAAAACGCCTCCCCTCCTTTATGTTTTACGTTAGGCTTGGAACCAATGTTTAGGCGCCATGCCTTCCATGGATGCATGTCAGACAAATCAAGTGAAAGAGGCTCCACCCACGTACGGCAATGGGATAGCTTGGATGCTTCCTACAAACACCAATTAATATACTTCAGATCCCCAGTTGATTACAGCTCTGATTTATGTCCGCTTTGGTGAAAGCATACTGCATCGAATATTATCTTCTGTTCGTGCGGGAAAAGAGGCGTAGGATTGTACTCAGTAACGCAGATCTTGTTCAATGTGTAGTCGACACGAAGTAATACATCAGACTTGTTTCTGCGACAGAAACTCGACGAGGAGTCAGGGTCTGTAATGGAGACATTCACCTCCACGCGTATGTGGTATGGGGTTCCGAAAGGTACCGACGGCAGATAACGTCAACGGGAAGACCACGAAGTACCCAAACATCGTTCCAACTGAAGCCGCAAGAGATATATCTGATGTCCGGAAAAAGGAGCCTCGAAGCCAACATAATCAGATGGCTGCACGAGTCTTCCAGGCATCTCTGCCCTCGATGTGCTTCCAGGTATCGAAAACCCAGGTAACGGTGTGGGTAAGCCAGGCGATGAAATCCTAGCAGATAGTGAAATTTTGGAGCCAATAAGTTAGTACAAGGTTGGCGGCGCATACATCCCGGGAAGCGATTAGGCCAAAGACCGCTTTCCACATTCGGTTAACCAAAGGACAAGTAATCATGACCGATTTACGGATGTAGGACGGCATTTCAGAATGGCAGGCCTCATATACGATTATCTCTTCAAGTTCTAGAGGAAGTGTAGCCATGGAGAATCGTAGCACATATGAACTAGTAGCCAGACAAGATCTAGGGCATCAAAAATTAATAGCGAAGCTCGCATAAATTATGATAGACGGCTAACTCACTGGTTTGTCTCCTGGCAGACTAGAAGTCAGTTAGTGGTCAACGTTAACAACGACCTTTTTCCGTTGCATGATGACCATGCCGTTGATTACAGTATGCTCTTCGAATCATGGAAGTGGGACATCGAGGCAGTCTAGCTTCCAGGACGTACGTGCACGCAGGACGCCAGAAACAACACCTGCGCGCAAATTATCGCTAACGCGAGGTTCTAGAGTTCCCCTCCAACAGCGTGTTGATTTCACGACGGTCGATAGACTCCAAGTTCAACTGAGGACGGACGGCGAACGACACGCTATCATCTAAGTCGCCTTGCCTATCAAAGTGAACAGCAACGAACGCGTATGTAAATACCTACAAAGTTAATCCGAGATCTTGCTCTTCTGATTTTTTTCCCAGTCCAGACCTGAGCGTCTTTACTGCGCCTGCGGTTACCGGCTTGCCGGTGTCTGCAGCCCGTGAATAGCTGCCTCGCGTTGCCAGCGTCCTGGAATTGGACTAATGGATCGGAACCGCAAATCCCCCTTGACATACGGACCTTTGTAGATCGTGATCAAGAGCTCGTCGATATGTGACTCGATATATCTACAGACGGAGAAGCACGTTAGGTGTGTGAACTTGTCTAAGGAAATAACATCCAAATACGATTGAAAAGTAATCGCTAATGCCTGCGTCGTTCCCTGGCGGTCCCGATCCTGTCGTGGTGGGAGAATACTCTCCAAGAAACCGTTGCTTAAAGCCCAGGCTCGGAGGATGCCCTTTAGATGTTGCGACGCAACAAGACGGTCTTGGATGGCCCTTGTTGATATGAAATCTAGCAAAAAGAAAAAGAAAAAAAAACAATTAACTGCCTGTGACATCCGACGAGGCGGCTAAGCGCTCTTTGTCGTGAAGAGCCCAGTCATGAAATAAGTAGGTGAGAAGTTGGCGCTATATCGGCGGCCTCGGTTGAAGTAAATGGCGCGTGGATCCCGGGCCTTGGGAGCTCTCTAATCCGGCAGTTTCCGTTGGTAATTGGGTAGTAAAGTTGCACCCATAGTACGAACATTGCGGACGTCCAATGTGGCGCGGGAGTTCATTCAGGACCCACCTTGGCAGCGAGATTCCGGACCTGATCTGCGAAGACGCACATATTCAGCAAAGGAATCAACTAGTAGCTGAAACCGCCTTCCATGAAAGAAGGTTAGAAGGAGCCGGGCCGCTGTCAACTGCTTCAACCCTAAGAGTCGCGTAAGCAGAAACAGAAACAGCACCGAGTGCCTGTACCACTTGTCCTCCGGGAATCAGAACATTCTTCGTGTCGTGGAAGACGGGAGATCTAGCTGACGCACATTGCCCATTAGCATCCTCGTTTTCCACATAATCGACGGTCGCACGCGTGGACGCGAGGCAACCGTTTGACCAATGATTAATGACGCGTAAAATATGTGAAAAAAGCGGAGCCGTCGAGCCTGAATATCAACGGGCGTTTGGCGTATGACACCATCTAATAAACGGGAGATAATCTATCGTAATCAGCAAATCAGCTCGCATGATGTGCCAGGATATGAAACACACCGGGGCTGCTGTGAAAAAAGTTGATGATGGTGTGAAGAGATGCTCTGGAAGAGGCACACACACTGCACTGGGATCGGCGTTTTCCAAACAAATTGCAGGGAGACTATACAGCACTGTGGGAGCCAACAAGAGAAGAGGAAGAACTACCGTAAGATGGTCCAAACAAAGCAAATCCCCGATTGATTCCGCACAAGACCAAACGACGAAATCCGATCCGAGTGTTTGGATCAGAGTAAAGCGGCTATGGGCGAATGTTCAAAGTCGTCCCCAGCAACCATCGGATCCCAGCAGGGTTGAAGGCAGGGTCTCCTCACTTGTTTTGATGGTGGGTGCGAACACTGGATGGATGGATCCAAAACGGAAGTCAAGTTCGGTCGCTGGATATGATAAGGATCTTAGTCTGCGATAACCGGAACAGATATCCGAAATGGAGGTTCTGCACCAAGGTACGCGAGGCATCATTCAATAAAGATAGCTTACGTCTAGCGGACCGGTAGAAGAATGAGCATGTCAAGTGTATAATATCGTATACGGACTAGTACATTGTCTGTGTGTATGAATGTGCGAACGGATGATCAACAGCCTCGTTAATGGAATAAGCGTGAGAGGCGAGAAGCATATGCCATGTTGTACAAAGAAGAGATGGGAATGATGACTGGTAAAAATACATTGCAAGGACGAAGAACGGATGGCAATGAAGCGAAGAGAAGAAAGCGTAAGTCGCTGGGAAGCTATTATGCATATAAAATAAAAGGACAATGTTCGATATGATAGAGTACGGGTGTGAGGGTGAATGTTGGCGATGAAAGCGAATACGAAAGCGAAAGCGTTGTCCGTAAATACGAAGCACGAAAGGCGCCAAAAGGAAGAATGATATGGGGAGGGGATAGGCTCATGACATGGTGATCTCGATGTAGCTCCGCCAACCCCAGCTACTGCTGCTGGTCAAAGATGCTCTGTCCTTCTCGCGGGTACTGTCTTCCCGCTCATTCCGAAGGTCAATGAAGCTCTTGAGATGTAACCAGTCAGATCTACTCCTCCGCGAGCCCCGCGAGTGCTCTGGGACGGAAGGGAATACATCAATGAAGCTCTCATCAGAATCCGAAGACTCGTCGTCGTCATCAGAGAGCTCATCATCGCCTTCGTCGTCAGAAAGACTGATAAAGTTCTTCGATGTCGAGAGCGACTGCGTGCGTTTTCGGTGGCCCTCAAGAGCTGCTAGTGCAGATGTACGGCGGAGGGTACGGTAGCGGGTAGAAACGGTAGAAGTGGAGATACTGCGAGCAACGCGAGGCGAGAGCAGTGGCGCCTTGACCACGGGGGATTTTGGGGGGCGAGATGAAGTAGGCGACGGCACTTTTGGTTTAGTTATTCGGAGAGGTTTAGTAAGGGAGTCTGGGAGAGTGCGAGAGGAAGATGCGACTGGGGAAGGAGTCAGCACTACCGGCAGCTCAGGAAGTGTAATGGACGGCGCGGGCTTTGGTGACGGCATGGCGCGCAGCCGCGGGGAAGCCGAACGAGAAGTGAACGTCGGGGAGTCGGGAAGGGGACTACAGACAGAAATTGGTTAGCCGACGAACAAAAGAAAGGAAGAACAAAGAACATACGGGTGCTGCGCCACTACTTCCGACCAGTGATTATTCGACCCACGTTTTGAACGCTGCGAACGTGTCTCTGCTAGGTCGAGAGATAGAAATGAGCGGAACTCATTGACATCACGTCTAGACTGGAGAGTATAATGATAGGCTGAGGAGCGGTCGGACGACGACGTTGGGAGGCTGCCTCTACGGGGCCCGAGCTCATTAAAGTCGACGGGCGACGTTGGTGAGGCTGGGGAGGACAGCAGTCCGGAAGTGAAGAAAGGCGAGTACGGCGAGCCTGTGCGGAACATCGTCGACGACGAATGAAAGGTGCCAGTACCCTAAGAGGGCGAGTTATATAGCAGCCTCATGGCAGGGCCGATAAAGTTACCGCATCGTTTTTTTCAGAATCTGAAAATTTCGAATTCCCAGGTAGGCAGCCAGATCGGACGTGGCAGATCCCATCTTCGTTGCCTTATTGTCACGGTCACGGTCACACTTGCGGCTTCGCGGATCCTGTTCGTCGTTTGACATCGACAACTTGGCAACATACCGTCGAGTCTCATAAATCGTCGATTCTGCTGCTCCATAGCGAAGATCATGTTCAGCCCAGTATTCACCTCAGTTGGGCCGCTAAGCGAATATTCGTTCAGCTTTACTGGAAGCGTCTTCGGGCGCCACAGGCACCGCAATCTCCACTGGTCTTCCTGCGCCTAATCGTGCCGATATCTATTCCTCCATCCGTACTTACAAAAATACATAACAATAAGGGCATGGTTCATCATATCATTTGTTCGATCCTGGTATACCAACATCCTTTTCTGAGACCGTGTTCATCTTCCAGCATTAGCTTCGATATATTAACATCAGCGTCTGTCGAAGACGTCCTCGATACCCGAGTCAATCGCTGCGAGCACCGCTCCCGCCTTCTAATTCGTTTGTCATCAAGACCGCACTCGGCTTCCATGGCAACGACTACAGCTGTATATGGAACGTGGCACCATGTCCCACCGATCCGAGTCTCCGACATGTGGGTCCAGTCAAATACACCGTCCATCCTCGGTCTGTTTCAGCTTTCAAACATTTTCTGCCTGCTGTTACTGGCGCTGAGGTGTCCGTAATCCCACGGCTTCGCAAGCACATGGTGATTTTCAGACTGCGGCGATGATGGTTCCAAAGGCCTTTATCCTCTCGTCGCCTTTGGCCTGCCTCGTTCCCTTTTACATACTCAATCACTCGCTGTCTATAGATACCTTTCACCATCCACATGTTCCTGCCCTTCTGAACCCTTGTCTATTGATGATTTGCCCCGCTTCTGCAGTCTAGAATACTGATTTCGCATAATGAACGTCAACTCTGGATGTCCTTCGCGAGACGAGAATGACTCCTTCGTTCTCGGGGTTCTCACAGTAGTCCGCATCACGTTCTGGTGCTCTTTTTACCTTTTCTCTTCCCGTATCTATTCTATGCACGCATGATACATTCGATGAACAATGGAAGGGTCGTCCTACCCATCAAGTGGGTCCCATCGTCCTCAATCTGCGGATCAGATCTTATCAAGTCCCCTCTGTGTTAACACTTGAATAATTCACGTCATAGAGAAAAAGGAAAATGTCACTTAGCCGTCATCAGTCTTGACCGACGTACACCTCCTATTGTCCGACGTCATCGTAATTCCTTTCGCGATCCTCAGAAAAGAACTGAAAGAATTCCCGTGCAGTCGGACTGATACGAGTGCCTGACGGTGTATGTATGGCAAGGTCGGGGAGCACTGGGCGGGCAACCCAACACCGATGACTAAGGGCGGGCGGCCAACACACTTGACGCACCGGCGAAGCATTGGAGCGGGATAATACCCCGAGGCGTCATTTTCCGAGGCACCAACGGTCATTGGAGCGGTTAATTGCAGGGTCGGTAAATTATTCATTGTCGGGAGTGTGGGTTCGTGATTTGTATTATACGTAGGTGGATAGGCGGTTGTCTCATTCGGAATACTCCATGACTCGAATTTGTAGCGAATTCGGCACCTTGCGCGCGCAGTCACTTATTGACTGGGATCCCAACGGTTACACTGAGTCTGTGGAGTCACTTTAATCAGCCCTAGGCTAAGCTAAGGGAGTTGCTATGCCATTTCTTACTCGTTGGAGTTGCACTGTCATTGTTCAATGCTTATTGTAAATAATATCTACCCGTGACTGTATACAAATACGTATAATTAGACGCGTAACGCGTATCCATGCCAGTTCTTTCCTTGAAGTACGGGATCTACCAAGCAGTTCATTGTAGTAAGGTAAACTTGAATGCGTAATAATCCCCGTCGCCATACATATTTACATAGACTTGGAGGCGCGACTCGCCAAGCGCCTCTACCATCGGTGGTTATGTCAGATAGATGTGCTAAATTTTCATCATCGAAGCCTACCGAAACGTCGGCCGAAAAAACACGAACTGTCCTCGCTTACTATCCTCGTTGTTATGTCGAGGCGCGGACCACGGCGATCGTACTGAATTCCCCACTTCCCCAGATGACTCCTAAAAATGTTACCGCGGAAGAACTCTTTGGCTACAGCTCTCGAACAGCCTGAACAGCCTAATCTGTTCTTCACTCGCGAGCAAACGCCGTCAAACGGCGGGCGGTTGACGGCGCAGCAGTTATTAGCCAGTTAGACTTTAGCGGCGGCAAGCGTATATGCATGTACCTGACAAAGGTGGCGCTGCGACCATGAATGGTGTTTGAGGCGGGCATTATTGGCGGATGTCTCAAATCGTACGATACGAGACGTCCGGGATGTAGAGAAAATGGGTGGCGCAGTTGTCAGCTGTCCCGGACACGAGGCAGAGAGAACTGTTCGTTCCTATACTGGACGCAAGGCGGGCTTTGTCGTCAACTGATATCGAGTCAGGGTTGTACCTGGATTGGCGGAGAAGAAACGAGGTTAGCATGTGTACCGGGTATTGAAGGGGATGACGGCAAGTACTACTTAGAGGGACGCTTGTGGAGGCCAACGTTCAAATCATCCACGAGGCAGGCCAGAGTAGATAGTGATCTTGAAAGGTGAGGAGGTCTCTGTTCTTGCTTGGCATGTAGGAACGCCGGTATTCCTCCTGAGCCGGAACTAACGTTACGAGATGCATGTTTGCAAGGCTCTCATGATTTCATCTTCCGTTATCACATCGGGTGCAATTTAACTGAAACTACGCAGGTGGCACGATGGTCAGAAACGTGATAAGAACGAGGGAAAGGACGTACTCTGAGTATTCAACTGCAAGCCCTGAGAGAACGTTGCAATCGTTGTGTTGTCAAGCACATAGCTTTAGATGCATCAAATCAGCCACAGGCTCACTTGGGCCATGGTCTGTAGAATTAGAGCGGACAGACCACCGGCTCCGTTAAGACTAGTTCTAAAAATGAGGTCTCGATTTCGACTAGCTGCGCCACCAAGGGTTGCTAGTCTAAGTGATCGATGGGCAGCCCTCGAGGGGAAATAGAGGGAAATAGCAGGTTCATTGGAATTTGGCATAACCGGAAAATCATGTCATGCCAAAGCGAGCCTAGAGAAAGGTAAATTATTGTGGTGAGACATGTCCTTTGTTATCGTAGTGCAAAGCCTTAGCCTGCATACATTTCATCATTGGGCACTAGAGGCCGGCGTTACTACCCGCGAATAGGTCATTTAGCACCATAGGAATGTGGAACAGCACCATCATTCGTGAAGATGGAGGTCTCTATAGGAAAATCTTTGCCGATGACGATGGTGATAGATTTTTGTCAAGCATACAATATTTTTGGGCAGGCCGACGGTGGAGGAGAAGCGGGAATCCGATGAATTGCCGCTGTGGGTGTTTGGCGACCTCTATTATTTTCTGAGGAGAGAGACAAACAGAACGGCAAAGCGGCTGACGCTTTGTTCCGCTTTGGCCATCACAATTCCTTTCCCTCAGGTAGCCATGCCTCTCGCTACGCCCAAAGTCAACTCTTCCATCTCTCTTCCCATGAATATCTCGCAGCCCTTCAACACGTCTCCCGGCAACAACTCCAAGACAGTAGTTCGTCTCGCCAAGGAAAACGCGCGACTCAATGCTCTCCTCAAGACGACACAAACCAAGCTTGATCTACTGGAACGCTTTGTACGATTTCTGGCGGTGTTTGGCATGGATACGGAGATCATGGAGAGGGCCGAACAGGCTATGTGGGATACCTCGACACCGATGGCTCCTCATCGTTCAGGCCCGCAGGCGAGTTCTTCGTGCGATTTGGCAGTGGACCGTCATGGATACAGAGTTAAAGGCAAGGTGCAGGCTCCGGATCATATCTCGAATCGCGACCACCTTACACCAGAACAGCTTCGCGTCGTTGAATCGATTGAAAGACTCTGTGGCCAATTTAGCGGGACAGACTTGGGATCGTTGGAGGGGAGCAACACGAGTGTTGAATCTGCTGCGGTATGCCTTCTCAAACTATGCGCTAGTCTTACCTGACCTTGGGCAGACGTACGAAGCTGATGCGGATAAGACCATGGTCGAGCAGGAGACCCCGAAGAAAATCAAAGCACCGCTTACTTTTGCCCTTCGACCGCCTTCAGCGAAACGCAATCCAACGAAATTCCGGCAGGATCCGGATTATTCCCAGATGCCTGTGAAAACGAGAACGCCTCTAACTCCCCGAGGGACACCCCCATCACGGACAACACCCACACACAAGACCGTTCTAGGGAAATCGTCTATCCAAACAACGCCCGTTCAGCGAATCGGGCGTGGAACCCCAGTCAAGCGACACGCTAGTCCCGGCCATTTTTCATCCAACTCGAGCACTCCAGTTCAGTTGACTCCTCGCGCTACGACCTTGATACCTTTACGTCGACCCAAATCTCCAGCTATACCAGTTCAACGATCGCTATACAAGCCTACCGTGTCCTCCGCAATGAGATCTGTTTCTGCTAGCCAGACTTCGAAGGTGCCTCGTTTGTCGTCTCAGAGAAGGTCCTTACATCCCAGGAAGGAGAAAGAGAATATAAAGAAGAACGTTGTATCTCATTAGAGTAGAGTCTGTATCATGTCACTTTGTTCTCCGTTATGTAAATCGAATGAATTACGACATAAACTAAGCCCAGACTCCGAACGAGACGGCTTTCGATACGCGTTGAAGTACGCGACGTGATCACATGATGACCAGTATTTATGGTCGTATGCCTGCCTTTGCTTTCTTCTTTCTACTTCCATGTACTATCCACGCACAAGATCTATCTCCCCTCCCTCGTCGTCGCCGCCATCATCGCCTGGCCCATGTATAGATTCGTCCCCTCCATCGTCGCCCGGTGTCGTTGACAGTGAGCCTGAGTCGTTCCATCCATCACCCCATCCCTATGCCGGGAGCATCAAAGCAACGAAAAGACCCCCGGAATACGACGCCGAGAAGGGAAAGTACGCGAACAAGAGACCATTCCCCCAGTCGCCTAATGACCAGGTCGCTAAGAGAAGGAGGCAGACGTCGCGGATGGACTTGAAGGAGTTGGACTTTGACGACATAATGACCGATACGGAAGAATCAAATGCAGTATCTGACACCAGTTTTAGTGTTGATGCGTCCTTTGGACTGGATTCGCCAGCTGTCCTGGCACAGAATGAGAAGATATGGGAGGAAGCTGTTAACGAGATCATCGACTTGGGATGCGGTCAGGTTGACTTGGTGTAAGCCGTCTATACTTTTCTAGGTAGTATTTCTCACTTATTTTTCGATAGCGGGAGAGGTCTACAGCTTATCCCGTACACCGCTATCGATGGACTGTCCAAATTCTTTGTTCCGTCCGATCAACAAGAGCGCGAATATGTTTCAGAGTCGCCAACTAGTCCAGTGTTGCAGCAGAAAGTGTTCAAAAGGAACTTTACGGCTCCTGCAACCACAGATGCGTCCAAAGCACGATTCGAGACGCGTCTATCGACGCGTAGTGTTCTGTCGTTGGGCGTACCGCGAGAAGAGATTCATTTGCAGTTGCGGAATAACGCGATTTCTGTACTGCCTATAGATCTCTTCGACCTGCAGAAATTAACGCTTCTTGGACTCCGTACGTCTCTATGTCTTTTATGTGTTGCTCTGGTCATTGATTGGAGCGCGTAGAACAAAACCGCCTGACATACATCCCTCCCGAAATCGCTCATCTGGAGAACCTTCGCGAGCTCAACCTTTCGATGAACAAACTCGAATATCTTCCGTCCGAGATGCTGCGCATGAAGTTCAAAAAACTAGCGCTCATAGGCAACCCATGGAAACAGGCCCCAGATCAATCCCCGCGGCCCGTCTCAGAGACGCGACATCTTCTCCCCCACGTTATTCCCTTCTCCGAACTGTGCCTTCGCCTTCTGTTCTCACCTCCCTCACCTCCCTGTCCCCAGACTGTACTGGAGAAATACTATGATCTCCCTCTCGCTGAGGACAAATACATTCTTCCTGACCGAAAGCTGTGGCCCTCTATAGGCCCACACCTAAAGAGCGTGCTGAATGCATGCGTACCAGGGTCAGTGTACATCGATCCAGACCTTCCATATGCAACGGGGACAGGTGTCTGCGGATGCGGAGGTCTCTTTGTGCAGCATGCAGAGGAGAGGTTTACCTGGGAGAGCATCGTCGCGGGGTTTGACTTGGGGGAAAGAGCCAAGGTACCGGTGAGATGGAGGGGCTGTCAATGGGGGTGTTTGGACCATTTGGAGGGTCCGAAGGGAGAGGAAGAACCTATGACAGAGGTTCTGAGTGACGAGGATGTAGTCAGACCCATTGAGGTCGGACAGGGCGAACTGGATTTCTCGGATGATGAGACGTAGGGTTCGACGACACAATTGTATTATTTGTATTACTAGTTCCTCGGAATAAGCCATATTTATTATCATTGTACTATAATCACAAACGTTCACACAAGAATAACCTGGTGGACTGTACTCCATGACAAGTGACAGACAATCTCGAGGATTTATTGCGGAACTAAAATCAGCAACGAGTAGATTTATATAAACCGATTCGTCTGATTCAAAAGGATCTCTAAAGAAGCATCAGAGCTGGAAGAGACTACTTCTTGCAGATTTCGCTCAGACTGTCCTCATTGAAAGTTATCTTCCCTCCAGACGTTGAGTCCTGTGACCCCGACGAAGTCGATGTTCCGCTATCGTCGTCGTCCGACGCTCGTCTTGAGGACTGGGTTCCATACTGCATCATCACAACCCGCAGATACTGTATCAGAAAGTCGTTCTGTTGCCATGTCAGAAATCGTATATGTCACGAGATGGCAGAATCGCTACGAGCCTCGCGTTGTTTCTCCGCACTCCATGGGGTAAGCACCACGTCAGTCAGTTCTGGCGTAAAGAATGCACCACCGGGGAGATAGTTGGCTTCTCTGTTCAAACGTTCAGGAGGGTGGAACCATCGGTGAAAAGACAAGTCCGTACAACCAAGGTCCTTGGGTAAGTGCATGACCAGCGAGCAGAAGACACTGTTTGACGGCGTTCTTGCATTTGTCCTGATCGTCTTTCGAGTCTGAGATTATCTTGGATATGGGGGGTTTCTCGGGATTCTTGGAGACGTCGGGGAGAACAGTCCACCAGCGGTCTCCTCCGTCCTCGTGGTCCATTTCTAGGGCGCTTTGCTTGATCTGACGGATTGTTACTGATGGAAACTTTCCATACGCGGATACGGTAGCACGCACCTCTTCGAAGAATTCTATTTCCTTCTGCTGTAGAGGACGACCGTTGGTATTAGTGATGAGAATGGCACGGATCGTCTGATTTCCGTCGCTATCCTTCAGTTTCCAGTTTTCTGCAATGTAATACCACCGACTTCCTGTCGTATCCGAATTCATTTGTGTTATGTTTTCATTTTTTGGTCCGTCATCTAGTTGCACTGTCATTGTTGTTTCGATGCTGCTCACATCTGATCGAAAATGCAATGCAGAATCAAATATAGGGCTAGATATAAATTTTGCAAGCCCGTCAAAGATGCAGATATGTTGTGAAGGATGACTTGACACTCACATTGCAGATGTTGATACAGCGAATATCACAAAAATAAACCAGCGTCTGAGATCGGCTAACTTCATCGGCGTGCCAGACGTGATGAAGATGGAGAGAGCCAGCTCTGTTACCCGTCTTCCCATGGTCGGTTCTTTTTTATAGCCAAGTTGCCAGTTGGCACTGCATGCCTGTGAACGGATGCCATCACGACGACGTATTTTGGGAACCGAGGCAGTTCAAAATATTTTGCTTCAGATGACAAACGGAGAGACGCACTGAGACCGGAAGAACTGCCGCAGGAGAGAGCACAGAACAACAAAGTGCACTCGAAGAAAGTCCTTCCGGTCCGTGATTCCGGAGAACATTGGTCCTGGGAAGTGATTTCCAAACTGGGATCCAGCTCCCATGAAATTGTACCAGCATGTCGCTCTGCCCAGGCTACAAGCAGGTCGACGCGTTCGGACCAGATGACGAATATGAAGACGAAGAAGAGGTATCCTACGTCACCCTCGACCTTGGAAGTGTCGAACCGTCTCTGCTTCCCAGTTCAGCAAGCTACCGCCTCATTGGTCTCGATACGCCCACTCCCTTTTTGCAGCTCTCTGGTACGGTCCTGAAGGGACAACATGAATCTTTGCTGGGAACAGAATTGCTGTTTGGTGATGGCAAAGGTAAATTGTCTTACTGTTCCAACGCTCTTCTGTGTCTCACCTAATAGACACATCTGCCGACAGGAGTAAACGGACTGTAGCATATCTTGCAAGTACCAAGCAACGCGTCTGCTTCAAGGAAGTTCGATTGCAGCCTAAGGGCGAAGGAAAGGAAAAAGACAAAGAGCCGCCGGCTGAAGAAGACAACGGGAGGCACGCGCTGGATCGAACGACCGGAAAGCAGGCGCCCCCTCCGCGAAAGAAGCGAACCAAGAAGAAAAAGCGGAAGATGGCGCCGAGGGGGAGGACGCACCAAAGCCAACGAGGAAAAGCGACAGAAAAGGAAAAGGAAAGAAGAAGCAGACTGACAATGCTTACGATGACGACGAGGAGATGATGTAGCTGGTAAGTTTCAAATTCTATCTTCACAGCACCTCCTTTTAATTCCCGTAGGACTTCTGACTAATTTTTTATCGCCGGATTCTACACGGATTCCCTTACAGCAGAATATTGTGAGTATTCCTGCATAAGAGACAGATCTGTACACTGATAAGCTACGACTGACAGATACACAATTCTATCAATGGATGTATCGATAATTTCCGCTTTAGAGCTGGAATATTTAATGTTTGTGCAGAAGGTACAAATCCAATCCACGCTGGCTGGGTTCCTGTCTGAATAAACGTTGAACGACTGACATTTAGCAACGAGAACGTTTATCCTCTTCATTTTTTTCTCTGGTGCAGATGCGGCTGTGTATACTTTACTGCACGCTGTAAACTTAAGTTGGTGACAAGGAAGCTACCTCCATACTCCGACTCTGAAAATCCACCATCTACTACAACTTTATCCCCCGGCTCACCCGCACCATTACTTACGTCGTCGATCTCCGCGAAGATGCGATAGAAACAGCAGTGAAACCAGTGTATCGCTATCTCCTCTTCCTACCCAACGGTATCGACGTCAAAACACTGGTTCTTCAAGTCTCGTATGTATCTTTCGTCCTTACACGGATCGGCGCTGGGTGGAATCACAGCTCCAAAATTCCAATTTGTGTCCGCTACCATCGGTACCTGTCTATGATCGCAGAAGATGCGCAACGCGACGATGGGAAGGGACGGCTGGCCATATATATTTCCCTGATCGACTCTGATCTTCAGGAGCACCTACAACACCTCTTGTTACTCGCAATGGAGATATTGCAAAATCTCCGACTCGATGTCCCTGAGGGCTTGTTGTCTTTCCTGACTCCAATAGAAGACACTCGTTGGATAACGCTTGATGGCGTCCAACATTTCCGTCGAATCGAGCAATGTCCTCAGGAAACGAGGGATGCTGAGGATATCAATTCGACACTTGTGAATGGCTTTCGAAGGGACTCAGCAGTACGTGAGTGTAACCTCTTCCATCTGCTTGGTTCTAACTATCCGTGTATTTAGGGTTGGGACGTCCTACCACTCTCTTCAATTGCTTGGAATACAAATGAATGCAGCGGTCTTTACCTAAAACCTTTGGTAACAAAATTATCTCAGCAATCGGTTTCCAAATAAATATAGTAATATTGACAGTAAACGTTGTGCGCATAATATTATCTAGTTGCTCAAGCATGATTCGATAACGTTGGGAATCCTCTCATCGACTTTGGACAAGATATCAACCAACTCAGCCTGTGTTACAACTCTGTTAGTAAGGGTATATCGAAGGAGGAACCGAAGGCACTGCTCACCCATATCTTCTCCTGTGCTTTCAGGCCCGTTTCGCTCATCGCATAATCACTAGGCTCTACTACCTTTGAAAAAGACACATAACCGCCACGTAGATTCTGATCCTCTGCAACGGCAGCCCATACCAGCTGGCGGCTACCTTCCTCTGCCGTGTAACCGATCAATTTAACCATGGCCCAATCGGCAAGTGCCATATACCAGGTGTCTGTAATGCTCCGGCGCAATTCTGACGCACAGAACCCAGGGTTGATGGAATTGACGATGATCGAGTCTGGTAGACGACTTTGCAGAGAGCGAGCAAAAAATACATTGAGGACTGTACAGAATGATTAGTTTGTTCAGTACACGGAAAGCCATTCTGATATTACGTTTTGTCACATAATAACGTTTGGTCTGCATGTTGCTAATCACGCAAATGAATATAATGTAATTCGTGAGAAAAAACGGGAAGCTACCTTGGTGTACAATACTCCTTGCTCGAGAGTGTGGCTAATATATCGCCATCCGTAACGCTTTTCGGAAGATTCGTGAAATAATGAACATCGCTAGCTACGACGCAGATACGCGGCGTGGTATTGTATTCTTTAGCCGTGTGTAAGATGCGAGGAAGCAGACGTAGTGCAAGCAAAGGGGATGCGATGTCGTTGATTTGCAGCCTGCATGAATGCATGAGGTGAATGTATTAACGGGGTCGCACGAGCGGACATACGCGGATTCCCATCCATCAGGAGTAGTCAGATACTCCTTAGTCGGAATGACGCCGGCATTAAGAACGAGGATATCCAGGCGGCCGCCGTCGGCTTCGAACCTGTTCGCAAAGGCGGTGACAGAGGAGAAGCGACTAAGGTCGACCAACCAGAGTTCAGCTTTCTGGTAACCTGTTTCGTTTTTCAGCCCTAACGGTGAGAAAGTCAGCTGTGCATTTTATACCAGGCTAAAACAACACACTTTCCAAAGCAGCTTGTCCTCGCTCCTCACTCCGGCATGCCATGACAATCCTCCCTGGGTTCATGGTAGCAAAATGTTTGGTGGCTTGAAATCCTAGACCAGTGTTGGCGCCAACTATGATAACAGTCTTCCCAGAGAGATCGACTTTGACGACCGGAGGCATTGCCTTCATTTGATCTTTGAGACCTGAGAGGATTGTTTTTTTTGTCATGGTGAGTCTTGGAAAGTCGAAGTCGAAGTCGAAGTCTCATCGTTGGGCTATCAATTTAAATGGTTTCCTGTAGTGCCGCCGAAAACACAGTCGCGGGTGACGTCAGTACAGCAGATGCCGGACGCACTCGTCATCAGCCAGATCTGAACGGACACATGCGTGATGCAGATGGAATGAATATAATTACGCATGCGAATTGAAGTAAACAGTGTGAGTAACAGCACACAGTCAAGATTAGCACCCCTTAGCGATTACAATCCCTTCTACTCCGCTGGTAAAGAATTAGGACACGACAGGCGATCCGTTTTCGTATACCAGCCAGCAACTACGCTCGTGAAGCATTGACTTGAGACCTCGTAGGAGCTGCGCGGTGACAGTAAACCTCCAGTCTCCGTGAAGAAATACAGTATCTACCGCCGGAAAGCATTCCGTGAATAAAACATGCGCGTGAACCTTCATCCAAGCATTAAGGCTTCGGAGAGGGCCAAATGGACTTGCAAACAAACGAATGCGCTTTATTGAAGCATAATACTTCTTTGCAGCATGTCTTGAGGATTCGTGATTAATAATATGAGCATGGCCAGCCGGAAGAGCCAGTTCCTCGCACTTTGGAAATACGTGGAACAGGATGGACAAGCGCGTTGCTTCCAAGAAAACACCATCCTGTAGTTCCAGCACTGCGACTTGAGGAAACTGTGGAAGTTGTGAAAGATGGCAAAGGCTATGGATGACTGCATTGTCGATGATGACGTGTGTCAAACAAGGGACACGGAAAGGTCGGGGCATGGGACACAGCGGCTCTGAGCTTGGATTAAGCCGTAGATGGTCTACACACGCCACAGGAAAACGGATAATATTTAGCGGCGACAATGGTACTTCGTTTTTATCGAAGAGTTTACCAAGCAGTAGAGTAGACGACGAAGAAAGATGGTTCAAATTCGGAGCGTGGGCAACGATGGACATGAAAGCTGACTCTGAAGCATGGCAGACTTCAGGGCCGCAATCGGGGTGGCTCGACGTCCAATCGACGCGTCTGAGGCAATGAAGTGACGGTGGTTCATAGTCATTGAATCCGCTCCAAAATTTCGGAGAATCGAGGTCTGCCGATGAGAGCTTTGCCAATATTTCGAGTCGAGGACATCGACTGAGTATGTCAATAAGTCTAATAGAACAATTCTCTGTCTCGACTGGCTGCAGTTCGAGACGACGAACCCAATGGCCGAACATATCCAACATTTCCAGGGAAGGTGCGCACGGCCCAATTGTGATCTCCTCGAAGACAAACTCCGTAACAATACTATTCCATGTCTTGCAAACCAAAGATATAGCTGTCTTAACCTGAGAGGGCATTGTTAACGTCTTCGATAGCTGGGAGCGATTACTACTCACCTCCCAATCCTCCTTTCTGGCTCTTATTTGTGTAATTAAGGTGTACTTCCATCCGGAATCTTGGAATGGGACATAAGAGGCTTCCCGACGCGCCCTCTCGAGCGCTCTGGGTGTCCGAGTGGCATACCAGAAAATGATATGAAGCAGCTCAGGTGGAAAATCCGGTAGATATCCATGTGTATTGGAGGAGAGCTGTCGTTTCGGTATGGGGTGCAAGACAATATCAGTGTCCATTAGCATCTGAAAAAGTCCACGAGGGTAGACGACGGTGAAGGGTGAGTTCAAGTTTAGTGTCCCGGGCCGAAACAGAAGTCAAGCCCCTTTAAGCGCGTTGTTTGAAAGCAAGGGTCCAAGGCAACAGGATGCCGGTCTCTGCCGTGAAATTGAAGTGATTTCCATTGTCCCTTACTAGTTTGAAAATACAATAACTAATCTATATTACAAAATTTTAGACTCTACCACTTGCTGAACGAGCTACGCATTCTCATCTGCTCCCCACGGTAGTATATCCATATCGGAAACGGTATCCCTAACACAACCGCCAGTCCTACCCGATACATTAGCTTGCATTCTGAACAAGTAATATTACATACCAGCGAGCAATGTGTTCCCCCCTCCCAGCCCCAGTGCATCAAACATCTGATTGGCAAAGAGAGGAAAAGCGAACCCAAATAATGATCGAAACACCTTTTGACATGGTGATATGTATCAGAAAGTGATCCAAAAATTTTGACACTCACTGCAGCCGCAGCCAGAGCACTGGCGGCATAGGAGAACGAGTCCACAAGATACAGTTGAATCGGGAGACTGTTCTTTCTGGTCAGAGCGATTTTAGAGTCCGGAAGGAGGCACCCACTATGTCGTCATCATCCCTACCGAAACGATCGTAAGTATCAGCAGAAAGACGGGTAGAACGACGATATTTACCGAATCCATATATCCCCGAACCAATGATAGGCATTATCCAATGCGTATGCTCTTGGGCAGACCATCCGTACCACCTAAGAAATTCTGATGTGAGTCCCATATAATAATACTGATAGAAAATCTCCAATACAGTAGTCCGATCGGGACGAATAACGACCCAAAGAAAAGTGCAGGAATTCGCATTTCAGGTGTTCCTTGGCCGCCGTTTTTCTCTGCGAGCTAAATACATGACATTAGGAAAATTAATCGCATGCATGCGTTTGGGACGACGCACGTAGTGATATACTTGATCAGCAAAGCGGGCACCAAAAAGGGTTGCTAAGATAAAACCTCCACCAAGCCCGAGATAGACAAGGCCGCCGATTCCAGGACCAAATCCGTATGCTTCCTTGAAGAAGCCTTACCAGAAAGAAAATAGACGTCAGGCACAGAAAGATCCTGTAATGATGAAATACTCACTTGCAAAGGTCGCAAACATCAAGTAGTAGATTCCTGGACCTCCGATGAGTAACACTCTGTAAAGTCGGCGTACATAGACTGACCATACATACTTCATTAGGACGTCAGAAACTCAGGTCCACGGGAGATGAAGAAGATATTACTCACAACGCCATGTAGAGACTCAATACAAAACAAATGAGGCTCCGCGTAAGTAAAATGATCGGCCTACTCAAGTTGAGCCACAGATATCGCCATTTCGATATTTGCATTACTGGCGCCTGGATTTGAGACATACGCTCTGAGTCGGGGGACATTTTGGCGCGTCGTAACCGGATAACAGGTGCGTACGTTTCACGGAGAAGGGGAAGACCCACGAGACCGGCCAGGCCCGATGCGCCTGTACGTTTTACTTCAATGTTTTCGTCCCGGTTTCCTTAGAACTGATGACTCACCGGCGATAGTTATGAACACGTACTTAACACCGACGGTTTGAGCAATAAAACCACCCGCGATGGGTCCGACCGCCGGTCCCATCAGCGGGCCCAGGGTGTATAACGACATAGCAGAAGCTCGGTCCTTTTCCGAGAACAGGTCACTCACAGATCCACCTCCACACGCTATCGGCGCACTCCCAGCAAATCCGCCTGTAGGGATTGGATTGCCCATCAGTAAGTAAATTTGAAGTGTAAAAACGAAGGCACAGACTAAGGAATCGAAACGCTATCAGCGCTCCTGTATTAGGTGCAAAGGCACAGCCCAAGTTGAATATCAGGGAGAAAATGTTCCCTATGTGTAGAACCTGAAATATGTCGAAAAGGGCCGTCAATCACCAGACTGCCGTGGAGATAGCTGGTAACACAAACCCATGTCCGACCGTACATCTCAGACATCGGAGCTAAGAACAGAGGCTGCAATATATCAGCCATTAGCTCCGGGAAACTAAACAGACGATTGACGTACTCCAACAGCAAACGATACCAAAAACACGCTGAGTATCAAGGCTGTCGTAACTGTGTCCGTGACCCCATATGTAGCGGCGACTAGTACATAAAAATAAACGTCCAGGCATAGTTCGACAGCTCGTGGGCAAACACACTTTCTGGGAGACCTGGCGCCATCATACTTGAGGCTAATGGTGGTATCAAAGTGTAGAAAGAGACCTACAGTGCATATTTCAGATCGCGTATAATCAGAAGGATAATAATAACCTACAATGCACACAGCGGTCCATTTCTTCGAGCTAGGCCAATTTCTAGCATTCACTGGATCGTGTTCCCAATCGTCTTCGAGGTTTTCGATGGGTTGCTCCTTTGTGTCAAGAGGCAACGTAGGTTTTTCGTGTGCATCTTCGAGTGCGACGTCAGTCGGCTGCCAGACGTGAGTTTCGGAGGAAATAAGTGAGTCGGTATGCTGTAGGTGCTGTCCTATAGGGCGCGACAGCGTAGGGTGTAAGTGTAAATCTGCCATTAGTGTAGTGTAGGACAGAATTTCTCTCAGAGAGTTTTATACACAATGGATTGCAGGGTAGAGAAGAAGGATCTCATTGCGGAGTATTTGTATAAAAAAACCTCCGAGGGATGGATGATTCATCAGCCCAGAAGGTTCTCAGTGTGGAGGGTTTGTAAACCCACACGATATTGACACGGTCCGATCTAACTGTCAGGGCCAATGATTTTTCCGTACTGTCAGAGTGCCGACGGGAAGGCAATTGAAAAGCCGATAGGAACGTTTCCATATGTCATTTCATTTAGTCAGTCACTTCATTCCGGTTTTATGCAGTGGTGTCCTTTCCAAATGAGCTGTTATTCTGATAGCGAGAAGTAGGGACTGGAACTACGGAGAATAAACATGAGGAGGGCTCGTGGACACGGTTGTAATAAGAGAGCTTAAAAAGATAATGGAGAGTTTCCTATCGGGATGGATCGATGGAATAAAGAATTTCACTCATTACAGACATCCTAGAAGTGAGAGGTTATTGATAATCAGGATACGGAAAAAGGTAGGAACGCACTATCGACGCGTACTTTGAGTTTACTTGCCACCGGTCGTACCCATTCCCATGGCTGCCTTGAAAGAGTCATAGATCCACCATTGGAAGCCTGGAAGAAACGCGTAAGGATGCGTGTGATCGAGATGAGCGCACTATTTACCAGTCAAAGTACCTAGAATGATGCCGAGGTAAGGACACAGGTGTCAGTCAATATGTAAAAGACACGAACCAATCATGAGGACACGAGTTCCGAGACCCTTAGTGGCCAATGTTCCAAATCCGACTTCGCTGGCGATGGTACCGATTGACTTGCCCTTGTTGGCGGCCTTTCCGAGTTGCGAGACGAGGGAATCAGCAGGGTGTGAGACGACGGCACAAACAACACCAGCGATGTAACCAGAAGCGAAAGTAACACCAAGTTGAGTGGTCTTGCTGTAGGTTTCCTTAGGCTGAGGGAAGACGTGGGTGTAGAACAATTGGACGGTCTTTTCGAAGAAGTAGAACTTGGCCATGGTGTAGGGGATCTAGATATAATAAAGATAAGGAGAAGCCATGGAAAACCTAATCCTGACACGGACCTGACGCGACCAGAGAGGGACAAGGGAACCGAAAGGATAACGGGTTTCGATCTTCTGCTTGCTCATTTCCTTCAAAGCAGCACCGAAAGCGGTAGGGAAAGTGCCGGCGGGACTGGTCTGAATCTTAACTTTGGTCATCTCGAGAGGGCACAGGGCGACATCGGCGAAGGCTTCAGCGGAAGCAGAACCGGCAAGCCAGATAGCACCCTTGTACTTCTCGGAAATCTCCTCACCGGCCAAGTTCATGTAGAAGTCCTTGAAGACTTCATACAAACCGTACTTGAACATGCCCTGGAGCGAGTAGCCGACGAACGTGGGACCAAAGCCTTTCCAGATACCATTGGAACCCTCCTCCTTCAGGAGGAGCTTGAGGCCTGACCCAAGACCGGTGTATTTCGCGGGGCTGACCTTGAAGGTCATGAGGATGAAGCAGTTATCAAGCTTTATGAAAATGTAGTACACACCTGCATGTTACATTTGGTAACATCCAAGGGAGTGATACCGGCGTGCGTGATACCGCAAGCCAGGATACCACCGAGCATACATTTTGAGTAGTACGCGGCGTCATGAGGAACGGGTCCAAGATATCTGTGGGAAACAAATTGTGTGAGGAAGAGAAAAACCAGACCGGGTGAGCCATGCCTAGAATCGGCGGTTGGGTGACATACCTAGCATCCCATTTTGCAGACATTGTGGAGAATTAGAAGGTCGTTACGAATGTAAATCTAAATCTATGGCAGCCTTAGGATTGCCTGTCCCAAGTGCAAGATAGCGTCGGAGCTGGAGAATGCTCGTGAGGGTTGGAAAGGAGCCGGTGAGTTGGCAGACGGGACTGAAAAATGTCCCGTAGCACTCCGTGATATGCCGAGCCAATTGTTACGGCCGCTGATGTAACCAACCGATGCGGCATCCTCCGCGCCGAAACGCACTCAACTAAAGGTCTTTTACTAACGGATAAAGGCCATTCCTTGTAGTTCAATAATTTTCTGCTTGTCTATAAACTAGAGACGGATCTCTGTCTCCGCGCCTTGGTGCTTTCTGCCATCACCAAGGACTTACGTGTCGAAACGGGGTAACAAGTCAAACCTTGATTTCTATCGTGGTGACTAAGTCGGTACTGGAGCTTATCTCGTGTGGCGCACGGTAAGCTTCTAGTTTTAAAATGCTTCTACAAGCTCTTGGATGGATGGATGGATGGATAGATACTCGAAGTCGGATCTCATACTGATAACTGGAGCTCAAGCTTGCATATGTGCAGACTTACTTAGTCCGGGCGCCCGAGGACATTACATGCACAGGCCGGCGAACACGAAGTACCATCATTCATTTTAACTGGATATATGCCAGGGTAACCTTATAAGAATATTCCGCGGTAACATTCAATTTGCCAGACTGTCCGACCGACGCCACCTCGGGCTCCAGGAACTTAACGTCTCTCAAAGCTCATACATGTGTCGACTGAAAGGCGTTAGAAATTTTCGATACAACCAATAGCCTATTCTACAGAACTCTGGATTATTGTCTGAGGGGAAGTGGAGTATAGATTATTAAGTAGGATTAATATTAAAATTGTCCTTGGAGTTCCCTGAGGTGCTGAAGTCTGGGCAAGCCAACATGAATGACGCGGGCTCAGCGGCCACGCATTCACGAGCGATTTGTTGATGTGCGTCACTGCTCCTCCTCGCCTACCCATTGCAAGTCACCGGGAGAATCCCTCACTGTACGGCCGGAACTTGAAGGTCTTTCATCTGGGAAAGCCCTGGAGCGACGCAGTTCCTCCTTATACGCCAATGAAGGTGGAAGTACCACATTCCTGGAAATGGGCCTGTATAAGATCGAATCGTTGGCAGGGGATGTCTGACGCGGAGGCGGTAAAGCTGAAGGCATCGTCCCTCGTTGGCTGCGCGTCCACTCAGGTGTTTCTTCAACGCGCGCTTCATTCACTCTCGGTGGCGAGGCTGGTGGTGGCGGCAGTGGTGACTCAGGCTTGTAGGTTGGAGACCGGGTATTAGCGTCTACCACCCGAAGCCAAGTCATGAACACCAGCATGTCTCGACTCGCCCCTCGATCTTTTCCACGACGCCGCGTTTCCGGGATCCCTGTCTTCCTCATTAATTGACCTTCGTCGCTTTTTTGGCACTGGCATTAGAGTTGGAACAAAAGTCGGACCATTTCGAGGAAGCCAAGTGCCTTCTCCGGGGCGAAGGTCGTCGCGGGAGTTGAGTCCGTACTTGTTCCCGGACATATGAGCGGGAAGCGGTCATGTCAGGTGGGTCAACGGTACCTTCGCCGCCATCTCTGTATCGACGGTGAGTGCGTTCTTCGTAAGGAGAACGTTCGGGTCTCCATGGCCCCTCCCTGATTTGGGGGGAATTTTCGTAGGCCGCACCAGACGTCCGTCTCGGTGGCTCCATAGGAGGAGACCGTGGACGATAATGGCTCTCCGCGTGTGGCGGGTGATGCCAGTCCGGTAATGACTGTCTATAATCTTCCGGCCCCATTGGTTCATGGCGGTGGGCATGCACAGAGTAACCTGTTCTACTTTCAGGCAATGCGTCGGTGAAGTATCTGGTACGTTCAGGCACCGAATCGCGAAGTCCTGGTGAGTGGCATGATTAGGATTGGGGCAGACAAAGGAAGAAATCTACAAACTCGGGGAAAGTGGCCCATAGCTTGTAGCCACATCGTCCCTTTGGCTAGGCAGAAGTCAAGCCGGGTCCAAATCAACGAGTCAGCATCTAAACGTACTCGTATGACAATCTCCTTTCACTGTGACATGGGTGAGATCAAAGAACTGTAAAAAAAAAACATCGTGAAAATGATAGACGTACTGTAGTGGCGCGTAGGAGGCGGGAGGGACATGGTCCTTTACCAGCCGTTCCAGGTACGACAAGCGATCGAGTACAGTGTCAACGAAACGACGCGTCTCCCGTACTTCGTCGATGAGTTTTTGGTGGAATTCTCGCTCAGTGGCGATGAGTGGCGGAGTGTAAGTGCGCGCAGGTGCTCGAGAGGATTGACGGTAATATTCTGCCGGACATTCTGTTTTTTGGATGAAGTAGGAAGTGGCGAAGTTTATAGTGAGATCTGAGTCGATGTGGTTGTAGTAGAAGAGCCACAAGAGACAGGCCGTTTAACAACATTTATAGGGCGTACCAGGTCACAATGTTCCAAACAAAGGAAACAAAGGTAATAGCAAGTGCCTGGTCGAATGGAGAAAAACGTGGCTGTCAAGCTACTGCAGACAAAGGAAGCCCTGGTCATCGTCTAAAACTTATGACCTTGGGCAACATCCACATCCTGAAAGAAAGAATAATAAGCGTATCGGTAGGCGATGAACAAGATCGGACCTTACGATAATTAAATAATGAAGAAAAACAATTAAAATCAGGTACCTGACGGTAGATTCCCACGCCTTGAAGGCGGTTGCAGCAGAACTATCGATACATTACAGGGGACGTTATAAACTCTATAAAAGCATTATAGATGAACGAATAAGATACTTTGATACCAAAGAGCGAGTTGGGAGTATCCATTTCATTTTTAAAACGTTCTTCATTCACGATTCTTCTGCTCACAGACCTTCTGCTTTCTTTCTTGCCTCTGCGAGCATCTCCACGCTGATCATCTTTATTCCCCACTTGTCTGCGAAAGCACGACAATCATCCCGGCGCATCATACTTCCCTCCGGGTTATCGTTTACCAGCTCACACAGCACCCCGGCTTGCGGCAGCCCTGTGAGGAGACAGAGATCTACTCCAGATTCTGTGTGACCTCTACGGGTAAGGACGCCACCCTCGCGAGCGCGCAACGGAACGATGTGACCCGGGAGCAAGAAATCGGCGGGCGTGACCGTGGATGAGGCAAGCGCTCGGGATGTCAGTGCTCTGTCATGGGCAGATATCCCGGTAGTAGTCCCTATATATTCGGATGAACCGAAGGAAAACCACGGGCATAATTCCGTACGTACCATGCCTGTAGTCGGCTGTGATAGTATAGGCTGTCCTATGGCGGTCCTGATTATTGTCAGAGACCATCATGGGAAATTCTAGCTGTGCTACTCGTTCTGGAGTGAGCGCAACACAGATATAACCGCTGCCCAGGTGAGTCCAGTGAGGAACAGACTCATTTATCCCAACCGGAAATGCATACCTTGTATGCTTGATCATCCAGGCCATCTTTTCCGTCGTGACCGCACTACCAGCAATGATCAGGTCTCCTTCGTTTTCTCTGCTCTCATCATCCATGACGACCAGGAACTCTCCGGCCTTGAATGCTGCCAGCGCATCGTCCATCGAGTCAAACGCGAACTCGGATCTTACAGGAGGGTTCCGAACCAGCGTCGGACGCCACGGTTGGGCCTTGGAGTTCACGGGGATGGCGGTCATCGTCTGGGTGCTGTGAGTTGCAACTGGCGCCATAGTAAGTGAGAGGGTAGAGAACTACAGTGAATGTGTCATCCTACAGGCCGCGGATATATATAAATACCAGGAAAAGGAAGGAACTAGATTGCTAATTCATCGCATCACCGGTAATTGTCAGATGACTAACGCGGTCACTTGTTGCCCCGTGAAAATCATCTGGAACTTCGTGTCGGAACTTCGAAGGATGTATTTCCTCTGCCAAGTTATGTACGTCCGAAAATGAAGGAGGCCGTACCGAACTCCAACAGTCAGCTTTCTGTTGCAGTAGTAAGCAGCAGTACCGTCACCGCTCGTCTTCTTACTATACCCTGCAACTTACTCTGTACCACATCAGATAGGTGACAGACCTGTGTCCAGAATCCAGACTTTATGGTACTTTCATCAACAGTATGTGTTGGCAGAGTCGCAGAGGGAAGGGGCCCCACCACAGGTTCCGAATTGATGAGATCCGCATTTCCAAAATCACGAATCGGAAGCGAGAGCATTGGGTGACCCCAGACAAATGGATACGAGGGTGAGTGATAAAATGGGGGAGTGGAGCAAAACATGAGGCCAGTCCAAGCATAATTAAGGCAGGCTGTGTCTTCTAGTCTAAGAAAAGAAAATCGTATTCGCCGGTGAGACGAACGGTAAGTTGGATTACTATTTACACCAATACCCCCAAATTTTTGGCAAGACAAGTAACTGAGTTACCGCGATTTTCAAGTACTGTTAGTGGTGAGGCCAACAGTGGGATAGGTGACCGGGTGAAAGTCCGAATCAGATTTATGTTTTCGAGATTATTTGGCATCTCGGACTACATTACTACACTATGCAGATACCAGCACCTACTTATGATACGTAGGAAACATGGTTATTTATAGGAGCCTGGGAAATATTGAAATCCACATTATAGAGTGCGGGACAGTGATAGAGACACTGCGAAGAAACGATACATACAGGAAATTAGTGAGTAGTATAACCTAGCGGATAGAATGGTATCCAGAAGCAGACCGGTATAAATGTTAAATGGTAGCATAAATAATTAACGAGCACACGATTCTTTCACCGAAGTCCCGACAGAGTCCCCAACCTAAATCAAGTCAGCAGAATCACACGGCAAATGAAAGCGAAAAAAACTTTACCTTCACCAGCGTCTCAAGTGCCTCTTCTGAATTCTTTATAAGATCAGCATCAAACCTGAGAAAGAATCAGTCTTGGCGGACCCAATCAGTAAAAAAATCACATACTCTAATAATCCCCTCTCAAACAACGCCACGATGGTGCTGCCGCCATACTTGAAGCACCCCAATTCCTTCCCCCCTCTTCACCGCAACGGACTTCTTATCATCCGCATCTCCTCCGTACGTCCAGACGACACTGCCCACTAATAACGCGCCAACAGCAATGAAAGCCACTTTCTTCCCAGTTGGCTCATGTGTCATGTATATTATCGACCGGACGTTTGCCGTGAATACGTCAAACGAAGGCTGGTTTACTGCTTGCGGGTTGACTAGAGCAGCAGCATCAGACAAGCAGCATGGGTAAGTCGTGACAAGCCATACCTGTGTAGTATTGTCCCGGAATATTGATGGGCTCTCCATCGATCATGCCATCAATTGGGCAATGGAAGCGATGGTAATCCTGAGGCGCCAGCCGGAATATCGCCATACTCGAACCATCGAAAGTGATAGCCGTGTCGGAGGTGGGGGGAACATCCAACAGCTCGGGAACAGTAAAGTTGCGCCCTTTCACCCAAAACTCCCGGGCTAGGTCGAAGGTCTGATACACGACAAGGCGGCAATCGGCTGCGCTGCATATCCCAAGGGGATCTTGGGCGTTTTGTACCGGACGGGCGTCTGGCTTTAGTTTCCTAGAGAAGAAATCGTTGAAACAGCTGTATTTCTTGATGTCGGGTTCCAACAGCTCTTTGAGCGAAAGCGAGTACGTTTTGACAAAGGAGGGAATGGAAGCCACGGATTGGGGACTGTCGTAGATCTTGCCTTGCTGGTAGACGGCTTAGTGGCTGTGAAAGACGCGGAAATGAGGGCTTTACTTTAATTGATAGTCGTTTCAAGAAGTGTGCAACGGTCTCAGTTCCTAAGAGGAGAATCTGCCCTTTGCCGTAAAACAAAAGATGCATGCCAATTCTACCCGAGCCATCAGTACATCATTTGTAGTAGGATAGCATACACACCTTGCATAAATTGGCATACTTTCAAAAACCCTCTCCCCAGTTGCCCTAATCACCACGTAGTTTCCGATGTGATATTCAGCTGCAAGTTTCTCCAGCTCGGGTATGAGTTTGTGTATCCAGGGGATCCTGAACATATGCACCATATGCATATCCACCCCCTGAGTAACATCGCCTGCATTTGTTGCTGAACTATCGATAAGTGCTTCGAGCGCCAAAGCCAAGTTGTCCTCTGTAGTTGAGAGAAAGCTTTCGGGCTGAATATCCGTCTCTACGGGCTTGCCGGCTATGTCTGCTACAGACAATTCGCGAACGACGACGACGGGAGAGGCTGGAAGGCCATGCGGGATGGATTTGTAGAGTTTATATTTGAGAAAATTAGGAATTGTGGGTGTCGGGACCGCGCAGGAGACCATGGCGGAGGGGAGAAGGGGGAGTTGGGGGATGAATGGAAAGCGCTGCGGATAAAAAGACGCTAGCGTGATTTTGCTGGAATTTTGAAGCATTCAGGGGCACATCATCATGTCGATCAACAATTACGAGAGCAAACGTTCGAATAATTCAGGAGCTTGAAGTGCGGAGGATGTACTCGAAGGTTGGAAGGTATACTTCAACACAACTCCAGAGACACAATATAACTTGAATCTCAACTGGGATTCTCTCAAACTGTGAACCGCTAGCGACGTCTCGACGGCAATAACATGGCCGTGTGGGTAAGATCAGCTGCTGCGTCCATGAGTAAACGGACGGCGAGGTAGCACATCACTTACTTAAGTAACAGAATCATGCCATATGCGTCCAAGATGAGACCTTAGCGCTCAAGCAAAAATATCTTGGTATTGAGGAAGCTCTTTCACATTGTTCCCCGCAGCCTCGATGACGTTGGCTAGGATCAAAGGCTGCGAGCTTGAAGTGAATGATAGCCAGATAATACTGATTGAAGAGACGATCAGGGTAGGAAATGTTTTGAGTACGGTTGTATGCCATCTGTTGACCGGGCGCAGCGCATCCAACGCGTAGGACACGGCTTGGATGAGGCTTTATTACGCCAACAAAGTGACTGCAGCTGCATTTGCACCGTATTGCACATGATGCACCCTTTGATGGTTAGATTCCGAAGTTAGGTAGGCCAATCAGAAGATGGGAAGCTCGAACATGTCATGCCAAGTGAATGCTCTTCAGAACAACATTGACAAGCCTGAAGAGAACCAGCATTAGAACGCAAACGCGACTTCGGCGGCACCTCTCGGTACCTACGTCAATGTCTTCAAGACACGATATCAGACACTCCTGTAGGATTATTATTAGACCAATCCCTGAGTTAAGAAACGTCACATTCATGATGAGGAATGGAACAGTCCGATAAAATATTTGGGCGTCCCGTCGGTGAGAATCAAAGAATATTTCTGGGAGCAGCCGTAAAATTTTCGAACTCAGTCGAAACTAAGGTCACGGCCCGAGATCTCGCTCCTTTTCCTGATGCCCCATTCTCATCAACCAACTAGATAGGGATTAAGATAATCTTTGGACACGAAGCTAATGTTACAGCCTCATTTTGCAAGGATTTTGTGGATCTTTCCCTCCCATGATATGCAATTACAGATTGGTTGGACACGAAAGTCTGTCCAGAGGCCAGTCCGAAGCTTACGATGTTTTGCATCCGATATTTTAAAGCCAGGCTACTAGCGCTCGGCGAATTGACAGTATCAAGCCGTTATAACTATTTAAAGTGTGGGGGAAAGGAACATTCTTTACCTGCTTGTGATCAATGAACAGCAGGGAGTAATAGGTATCACCATTCTTATGCCTCAGAATGCATGGTTTTCCTAATGGTTTCTCTGCGGGTGTTGTCTAAGAATACCACGACGCGAGGCGAGTATCTTGCCGTCGTATCAACGGTGTTATCTGAACAATACAGAAATAAACGCCCCATCATACTTGCAATTGTTTAAGCTGAGCCTGCATCATGCAGTCCCTGGCTGTTCGATGAGACTAACGGTGATATCAGACAAGGAGTGTTTAGGGTGAGATCTGGACATATGGCGATTGCCAATAGATACGCGTTCATTGAATGTTAACGCGATTTGGAGCGCGTTCTGGAATAACAACGCGTGCAGCCTCGCGTTATTCTAGCTTGTCGTAGAAGAGCCCTAGGCAAGGGTCTCGAGGGCACCTGATGGGCAACCTAGGGGAGAGTGAGTTGATGATAGACGCGTCGAGGAAGGTGCTGGGCGCGTCTTCCATCAATACATGTCGGGATTTCGGCATGTACATTCTATGTAAAGTTAATTATGACCCGCTTACTCAGAGACATGCGAATCACCGCACAAGGCGGAGTCGAAGGTGGTGTGGCATCAAAGGGTCGTGTCAGGAATACGAAATGTGGGAGTATTCTGGGCCGTGGCAGTGATTCATTTGGCTTTATCTGATAATCATGCCACTTCTTGGGCCCCGCAAACTACCCAAAATAGGATAATAAGGAACGTTATCTCGCGTTGACAATAAAAAACGAGACGTGACAGACGCGTTTCTGCGATCACGTGCGCGACGTTTTTTATTGGTGTTGTTTGTAGCCGTTCAACGAACTTGGTGTATATAAATCACGCTGTCTGCCTAGCCCTTCTGTCTTCAGTACCACCACCTCCGTTGTTGTCTCCTCTACTCACGAGTTACCCTCGCCTTCTCTGCTATTATGTCTGCTATCACTGTCCCCACTGCGCCTCCTGCTACGCCTAGCAAAAAGGTATACTTTTTGCAGCGCGTCTAATATAACCTTTAACCCGTCTCGCCTAGATGACCGCGGACTTCAATGCCAAGTTCTCACTGGAGTCTCCTACCAAGAAGATTGTTGACGACGAGCGCCGCTCAACCTCGCCTGAGACTGTTGGCGATGCCGAAGAAGAGCTCGAGGCCCTCAGGAAGCAGTATGTCGGTGAAGTTGACCTACCTGAGAGTACGTTGTTTCGTTTGCTTGTATTGTGTTGATGACTAACTTGGCCCTAGGCGAGGAGCCTCTGTTGAAGGAGACCAAGAGTCGCTTTGTGTTGTTCCCTATCCAATATCACGAGGTGCGCGACGCGTTCTTCATCCATACGACAGTGCTGACGGTGTTTTAGATCTGGCAAATGTACAAGAAGCACGAAGCATCTTTCTGGACTGCTGAAGAGATGGACCTGTCTAAGGATCTCCATGACTGGAACAACCGAATGAACGACAACGAGCGTCACTTCATCTCCCACGTCCTCGCCTTCTTCGCTGCTTCGGATGGCATCGTCAATGAGAACCTTGTTGAGCGCTTCTCGAAAGAGGTTCAGGTTGCTGAAGCTCGCTGCTTCTATGGCTTCCAAATCATGATGGAGAACATCCATTCCGAGACCTATTCCCTCCTTATTGACACCTATATTAAAGACCCCGCCCAACGGGAATACCTCTTCGACGCGATCGAGACTATTCCTTGCATCAAACGCAAAGCTGACTGGGCCCTTCGATGGATCTCCGACGAACGTTCCACCTTTGCAGAGCGTCTTGTTGCCTTCGCCGCCGGTAGAGGGCATTTTCTTCTCCGGCTCATTCGCTTCCATCTTTTGGTTGAAGAAGCGTGGCTTGAATGCCTGGTCTTACCTTTTCCAATGAGCTTATCAGTCGTGACGAGGGCATGCACACCGACTTTGGATGTCTTCTCTTCAGTCACTTGAAGCGTCGTCCTCACCCCGAGGTTGTCAAGCACATCATCACCTGATGCTGTTGCTATCGAACAGGAGTTCCTCACTGGTATGTTATCGCTTTTCTCTGTCGCTGCAATGCCTTATAATTCTTGTAGATGCTCTCCCTGTCTCCCTCATTGGCATGAACTCTAAGCTCATGTGCCAGTACATCGAGTTCGTGGCTGATCGTCTACTCGTGGCCCTTGGCAATGACAAGGTGTACAACTCAACAAACCCCTTCGACTTCATGGATATGATCTCGCTGCAGGGCAAGACCAACTTCTTCGAGAAGCGCGTATCGGACTACTCAAAAGCCAATATCAACCACTCTGCGACCAGCAGCACTGTCGACTCGTCGAAGACATTGTGAGTTTTATTGATAATTTGTGTTGTTTCTCGTGCTAACATTTGGCATTTAGTGTTCTCGACGAGGACTTCTAGATCCCCACTCTGGATTTCCTACCCATCTCACCGCTGTGTATTTTTCATTATTCTCATTGCATCTCACCGTTTATACGTGCATTCAACAACATTATTATTGTTTTTATCTATGCTGTCCTCTTTAGATTTGTAAATTGTAACATTGTAGGATATACTTAATGACACGATTAACCAACTCAATCGCACTGCGGGGCTAATTTCGTGGGAGACAAATATATATAACTCAGCTTTATATGTTCCAACGCTTGCACCAGGATAACTCTAGAGCTGCAGCTTGTTGCTTACACTCTTTGAGGTGCTCAGGTACCATTTATCATTCGACTCGAAAGGTTCAAAACTCCATCGGAGATATCTCTTTATTCAATGTAGCAGACGTTGCACCATTATTGACAATACAAAAACCGTATACCAGAAATTAAAAGAAGCTACAAACGGACCCGCCGGCACATTCACAAACGTCTCTGTGGCCTCCGGGGCCTCGTCATTGACGCATAACCTATCCCATATACTTATATAGATACAAAAATAAAAGAGGAAAAACTAAGCACGTCCGGTATCCTTGACCATCCTATAACGGAATGGAGTTCGTATACTGACGGGGTGCTGGTTTGTAGGATGCTGAATAGATTATATATTAGCTCCTCTGTTGCAGACGAACTCGAGCAGGAACTTACGTTCGAGACGCAGGCTCAAAACATCGGAGCGATCCATACCCTCAAAGTATGCATGATCGAGAATTTCACGGGCTGTGTTTCGTTCTCCGGCGACTTCTTTGGTCATCTATGTGAGGTGAGAAGAGTATGGATACAATGCGGAAAAGGGATAGTGATATGACTTGCCGATTGTACCATGTTTGCTGCACGAGCGTCAAAGCGTTCCCAGAGACGAGGAGGAATGCGGAAGCTTCCGAAATCGCGAGTGAAGATATCCTTGTTCTAGATGTGAGGTCAACGTTAGCTTGTATATGTACCTTTCATCACTCAACACTTACGTTTGGACAAGTAAACAGTTCGGCGAAGACGACACCCAAACTGTACACATCTGCGAGGTCTGCCTGGTAGGACGCGACCATGTACTTTGGGACGACTTCAGGAGCCATGTAACCGACAGAACCGCGACCGTCAGAGTCGATGATGCAGCGGCCGCGAGTGGCCAAGCCAAAATCGATGAGCTTGAGGTGACCGCGCGCGTCGATCATGATGTTCTCTGGCTTGATGTCACGGTGGAAGATCATCTTTTCGTGGAGTATGCTGACGGCGGCGATCTGGGGAGTAATTTGTCAGGATAGAATGGGGAGTCTGAGGTTTGGACGTACGAGTTGGGCACAGTAGAGCTTGACGAGTTCGGGGTCGATGGGTTGGTTGGACTCGGAGAGATCGCGGAGACGGGACACGAGTGACTGGGGATAATGTTCCTGCGAGGAATTATAAACCGTAAGGATAAATTGGGCTTAGGAAATGTTCTCACCATGAAGATATAACACCAATGCATGTCCTGGCGATAATCCAGTATTTCAGCATAGAACGGGCACTGGATTTGGCGTATTTCCCTGAGGATAGCGATTTCTTCTCTGATGACTGAGTGCTTGTCGATCATGTTTCGCAATCGGCCATCCTCGATGAGAGGAACGTCGTCAAGGATATAGTTGGACTTGTCGAGGGCTTTGACGACGAGGACGCGGGGCCGTCCTGCGCAGGGGCCTCGATTCGCACGCTAACATGACCTTGGCTGTGGCGCCAGTCTCCGACAGTTTCGATGAAGACATAGGTGATGGGGCCGATTTGGAGTGAACTTGGAAGGGGATGATCGTTTACGGCGGAGTGGGCTAAGACAGAGTTGGAGCGCGCAACAGACACGGTACCGACAAAAGTACCACTGCCAGGAGCGGAAACGACGCGACGGTGCGTGGCAGAACGCGCGTCTTGGCCAGCGGGAGCAGCCTTCTCGAACTGTGCCTCTGCTTCCTGCCCGCAAACTGGTCGAAAAAGGCATTTGAAAACGTTGAATAGTTTGGAAAACATGGGAAAGAGTCGAATAATGGTGGAGCTGCAGTGAAAGGTGGCATTTTTATAGACATTTACATCGGTTCCCGTCCATTGTTGCAAGTCGAAATGCCACCTTCTGCGAGTGTTGCCTTTGTCTGTACCGGTCCGGTATCCACGAACATTGTGCTCACGCCTAGAAAGGCATTGGCTTGCTTTCTGGTGTCAAGTCGGTCGAACAAAGGGTGGCTGGAGCGCGAGCCACTGTCACCCACTGATTCGGGACTGTCACGTGGCCCCGCGTAAGTATGTTGAAGATAAGATCGAAGATGCTCTCGCTCGTCATCTTCATGACATAAGCTTTTCCAGGGAATTTTACCCGTCGTTCGACGTCCCTTCTTCCTTCCACGACGACTGCCACATTGCCCTCCTCTTTCCCCAAGGCAGGGTGGACCCTATACGTCTCATTTTGCTTCCCCTCTAGTCATCCTCCATGTCAGACTACGACTCGTCTCGGGAGTCGTCCCCATGCCGCGACGACAAGCCCTCCCACCATAACTTTTATCTCGGCCTCAGCCAGGGAAGGCAGCCTTCGGACCCATATGATACCCTCATGCCGCCGTGGCGGGCAGCTATCCGAAGAAAGCTCATTCAGACCGTGCACCTCGAGTCCAAGGTGATAGCGTGCATGCAGGTACGTTATCGAGGACCTCTGACTTGCTTTTAGCAGTAGTTAAGGTTCTCTAGGAATACATACGCACGCCCTGGCTAGATGCGTATTTTGTATACACTTCGTCTTTAGGTTGGTATGCGACCGATCATGCGTCAGACATTGTCTAACTCACTGCTGGCGTAGGAACGCATACCTTCTTCATGACTGTGCTCCCGGTGCTGTATTTCTTCGGGTACGAAGACATGGGTCGCGGGTATGTTTTTGCTGCTGTTTTCACAGTCTGACAACCAATTACTCAATTGATAATTAGACTTGTTATCGTTTTGGCGCTGGGCGTGTACTTTTCCTCCTTTGTAAAAGACCTGGTTTGCTCTCCGCGGCCCTTTTCACCTCCTGTAACGCGTCTTAGTGAGTAGTATCTCGGAAAGCAACGAATATTCTGATTTGTTGTCTCAGCCATCGGGACACACCACTTGGAATACGGCTTTCCTTCAACGCATTCTACCAATAGCGTCTCTATCGCGCTGTTTCTTTTCGGACATGTCCATCTCCTTGCGTCTGGTGCACACAACTCTGAGGAATCACCACCGATATCTCCGTTTACCTACAACGTACTCGTCGTTCTGCTCATATTCTACACCTTTTCCATCGTCTTTGGCCGACTGTATACAGCAATGCATTCCTTCATTGACTGCACTGTGGGCGTCATCTTAGGTGCTGGCCTTTGGTGGGCGCATACCAGTTTCCCCGGTATCCCCGTCAAGGTCCCGTATACGTCCGCGACAGTCTACCTCGCGCGCGGACTCGGCGCCGGCAAATGGATGGACGATTGGGTGCAGAGCGGAGGCTGGGAAGTGCCCTTGATACTCATTTCTGTTTGTCTCCTCGCAGTAAACCAGCACCCCCAGCCAGTCGATGACTGTCCGTGTTTCGAGGATGCCATCGCGTTTGGGAGTGTCGTTCTTGGACTTCTAGTCGGGTCATGGGGCGTTTCCTTTACGAGTCTTTCTGAACGCCGTGCAGTAGTTATGCCTGGAAGTGGATGGGTATTTGATCAATCCCTGGCGACGTGGGTAACTGTGGAACGTGGATGGCAGGACGTATGCTTGTGGTGGGGCGTGGCAGCTTTGAAGATGGTGGTGGGAATTCTGGCTATCTTTGCGTGGCGTATCCTAGCCAAGTCAGCATTGCACATCACCCTACCGCCGCTCTACCGGCTGCTTTCCAAGAGCTTCCGGCTGCCAAATCGAAGGTTCTACACGCCTGCGACGGATTACAAAAATGTGCCCAGCGAATTTGCTCACGAAGGCGGTTTGAGGCCAATTCCTAGTGTTATTGATCTACCGGGAAGCGTGGAGATGGAGGTGGGTGAAGGAAGCGCGTTTTCTTACCCCGCATCTGGAACGAGGGCGGTCAAGATGAGGAATGGGAACGAGAAGGTGAGGTTTGCGAATGGCAAGGGCGTCGTTGAGAGGGAACAAGAAAAGGAAGGCGAGGTTAAGCATTATGATGCTGATGGTAAATCCTTCCTATCGTTATTGATACTGTATTGACGTTTTTGCTAGTGCTTACGAAGGTTACGGTGTACGCAGGTATTGCTCTTTTAGCCAGCCAGGCATTACCTGTCATGTTCGACGTTTTGGGCTGGGGCGTGCGGTCATGGCCTGTCGATGCCTGAACGTAATTTGATATTTATACCATTTAACTCCCGCATTACGCTATAGTACATTATCACCATGTAAATTCGGAGGCTTGGATACGCTAATTTATTTCACCTTTGATACATCTGAGACGCGCATCGAATTTTACTGCGCCGGCATCCACACCGTCGTTTCGACTCGCGATACTGCGGAATGCGACGGTGATAGAATGTGAGAAAACCAAGCTGGACCAGTTGCCAGCGGAAAGCGATGCAACTTGTTACATGCCATCTCCGGGAATTTATATCACTGTCTCTGTCGCTGTCGTTGCGCTCTCTTCATGAGTCTCGACCAGAATTTATTCACGCTCGTCGTCACCCCCAACAAGGAGGATTCTAATGTTATCGACCTCGTTGACCCCTCGGGGGTGACCTATTACAGGAAGCAACGGGTCGCTGGTTCTGTGTATACGGTTGAGGTGTACGGTGCGATTCCTACTTCTTTCTGTCATCTTCGTGCTCATGAATGATGTGTAGATTTCATGTCCGAGTCGTTGCTTGTAACAGCGACGGCCCCATCCGCTTCCAGTAAGACCAAGATCCTCAAGCTATACAACCCAACCACGACGGTCGAGCTCAAGTACACCGGTACACTAACCTTTCGATGGAATTTCAAGTGGGAAAAGTGAGTTTTGGGTGTATGTCAGAAACCAGGCTGGATTACTGAGAAAACACCGTACCCCTAGCTTCGACTTTGAATGGAAACGCGAAGAATGCTTCATGCTTCGGAAACCCGACCCGCCGGTTCTCGTCGCTATTACCAAGGAACCCGCTGGACGACTCAAGACGAGCTCGATACAGATTCTGGACTACAACTTGAACCGGTATGGAGGAACGTTGCTCATCACTGGCAAATTGATTGATGTTTATCAGATTCGACATAGACGATAGGAAGGGTCTGGAAATTGTTATTTTGACGGCGCTTCTGACGTTCCAAGATGCGAACGAGAGCTATCATGGTTTGCCTAGGGAATCTGAGGGGCTAGTCAAGGCTAAGTCGATCCCGACGCCTCCTCCTCCGCCACCGCCAAAGCCTCCAGCAAGAACCGGCGTGGATAGGATAGCGGAGATTCAGGCCATACGTGGGGAGATTAATGAGCTTACTGTGGAGGAAGAAGGGGATATCACACATTATGCTCAGTATTGCTCAAACTTGCTCCAGGTGCGTTGCCGTCTTGGCAACTGGGTTTCACTTTTAATATTCCCCCAGGACGAAGCGATGCTATTCGTCACTGTGCGGTCGTCTTCTGCGGCACAAGTTCCAAAGGTGCTTCAGGTAGTGGAAGAGACGAAGCGGATACGGCATAAAGCTGGCTTGGACGACGAGATCTTCCAATATGTCCTCTACGACACCCTTTCCCAACGACCCCGGAGGATAAACCTCAATGACGCCCCCGACAATAAATACGTACCTCCCAACAGCCTCGTCGTCCATTTGAGCAAAATACCCATGCCAGAGCTGCAGCCCTCGGTGACTACCCACGTCTACCCCTACAAGCACGTCACCGGCCAATATCCTTTAACACACACCCCGAGAAGGAGAAGAAATGTATGTTTCTCTTGATCTATTATACGTGCATTTTCGGTCTCATAGGTGCAATACAGCGAAGAAGATAACTCGACGGTCTCGATCTGGCTCCAAGTCGCCGCCGCCCCGCGTCCATTCATACCAGATGCATCCTCATCAACCATCACCAGTCGCCGTCACAGCTGAATAATCCTGGCATATATACTGCGCCTCCACCACCACTCCCGGCGAGGCCTGAGAATAACATGGTCTTGGGTTTGTTTGACATACTGAATTATAGGAAGTAGGATCGAATCGATTATGTTTTCTATTGTTTTTGCTATGAGGAAAGGTGCATGTAGAAGGGACAACCAAGATTACTATACTTTACCATCTTTACTTACTAGTGTATTCCTTCCTGACAATTTTTGTAGGCTCTTCTGTTTACAATGGCAAGGTGATTCATTAATTTCAGTGGACTGGTGCTTCGGAGGCGCCCTCCGAGTCCAAGATCCTTGAGTGCACGCTTTCACCGAAGCTACATGTACCACACACGCAACAGAACTAGAAAAGTTGCATGAACCATCCATCTCTCATGACAAGAAATGCAATTGTCCAAGGATATACGAAAAGGCGCTACGCTACCTTGACAAAAGTACAATCCAGTGCGACGCCCAAGTTGCTGCGATCCTTGATAATTTTGTCCCCAACAACTATCAACCCACACTCATTCCTCTTCTGATCACGAGCGTACAGCGCAATCCTATGGTTTGGCATCTGCTTCGCGATGAACCCATAAGAATGGCCTCTCTCATTTTGAGCATCCTCATACGTCCAGAACGCGAGCACTTCCTTGTCCGAAGGCGTTGAGAGCGAGATGTACTTGTTCACGCTCTTACCATCGAGCTCTGAGAACGTTCCACCTATATACGCCACCTTTCCAGACTTCCAAGTCTTGTCTGTGACGCCTGCCTCGAGCACGAAGTGGAACACTGCACCGGAGTTGCTCTTGCGTGGACTGACGAGTGTGATGCCGCCCATGGAGTATCCTAAGCCTAGGTGGCCAGGACCGAGCTCTGTACCGTCTGCGAAACGGATCTTGTATTTGGAGCCCACACAGAGCTTGGCACCTTGCGAGTCGACAAGATCCTAGAAGCAACAAAAAGTGTGAGTGTCTCTGCAAGTTTGAAAGGGATGTGAAGACACATACACCGCTGGTATCAGTAGGGGGTTGTGCAGGGCCTGTTGTCGATTTATTGGTGCCAGTAGGTACGGACGTTCCCTTTCCAGTTCCTGTTCCCGTACCAGTACCAGTACCTTTATCACCAGGACCAGTGCCCGTTCCAGTACCCGTTCCCGTCCCAGTTCCGGTTCCAGTTCCCTTGCCTGTCCCCGTTCCTCCTTTATCCCCTGTGCCAGTGCCCGTGCCCGCGCCCGTGCCCGTGCCAGTACCAGTACCTATCACAGTCGGCGTGCCGTTTGGTTTGGTTTCAGGTGGACAAGTAGGGGGTTTTGTCGGCGTATCAGGAACCTTGGGGTGGGGTGGAGGATCACAACCTTCTGGTTTTTTTGGTGGTGGTGGATCGATAGGCTTGTGAGGTTCGTCAGGCTTCTTCGGCGGGGGGTTATAGTCGTCCGGCTTCTTCGGTGAAGGATCACAAACTGTTTTCCTTGGGTCGGATGGTTTCGTCTCGTCGTCCTCTGGTTTCTTCGGCGGCGTACACTCGTCTGGCTTCTTTGGCGGTTCAGACGGTTTAGTCTTGTCCTCCTCTGGCTTCTTCGGTGAAGGATCACAGTCTGCTTTCTTTGGATCAGACGGTTTCGTCTTGTCATCCTCTGGTTTCTTCGGTGGCGGACACTCGTCCGGCTTCTTGGGCGGTTCCGATGGTTTCGTCTTGTCGTCCTCTGGTTTCTTCGGCGGAGTGCACTCGTCTGGCTTCTTGGGCGGATCAGAGGGCTTCGTCTTGTCCCCATCCGGTTTCTTTGGTGGTGGATCACACACATCGGAGGGTTTGGGATGCTCCTTCGCCCCATCAGATTTCTTCGGAGGATCAGTCGGTTTGGGAGGTTCTTTCTTGTCTGGCGGACATTCGGGCTCTGGCTTCTTGTCAGGATGCGGGACGACAGGAGGTTTTGGTGTTGGTAGACAATCTGGTTTCGTGATATTTCCTTGATCTCCCTCCGCAGCCGTGTTCTTGAATTGCCAGAGCTGAGCATGCCCGCTATGGGTCTTCAAACGAATCTGAGAGTATCACGAGTCAACTTGTTGTAGGATTGACGACGAGACAAGATCAATTACCCTAGTACCTGGCGTGTTCTTATCGAGGTCGTAGCCAAACTTGGAATTGGGCCATCGTATTCTGTACAAGTTGTTGAGAAAAAGGTGCGTATGAGGGTAAGAACAGGTCGGCGTACTGGAAGATGAGATTTTCCTCGTCTTGAGCTTGTAGGTCCCAGGCGACAGGGAAAGGACTCGTCACAACAGCGACGTTGTCAGCGATAGCTGAATCGACCGTGAGATATGCGCCATCGAATTTACTTCGAATCACGTATCCCGCGCCAAACGCCGTGACTTCCCACTTGATGATGAGTCAGTATAACGTTTCGTGAAAGGTTGAAGCTCGAACCTGCTGGTTCTTGTGGCTATCAATCCTAGTATAACCTGTCACCGAATCGATATTCAGACGATAGACTTCATAGTACGTAGGATAATTTTACCTTGGACATACTTAAGGTCCGCCAGATCTTGGTCAATGACTGTCTTGTGCTCGACGCTAACGATAACATAGGTTCCATCCGATAGTCTGCCAGACTTGAGTTTGGGGGGTGGGGGAATGGAAGAAGCGGCCATGGCAATGCGAAGAGAGCGAGGAGAACCACGCGTTTAAAAACTACGCGCTTAGAAAAATGCGATACTGCGACAGGCAGTTATGCAATTCGAATGAGAAGAAAGGCGTTCATTCTACCTGTCGGTTAGTTTCCAAAAACTATAATTCATCCGTGGCCAATCAATCGCGAACCTTAGGCTTCATTTTCATCACAGAAAGTAGCGCGCAGCGTGTTAATCATTTAGGGCGCTAGTTCTACCATCTGTGTCACTTGCCAAGAGTCAGTCAGGCGACCCTGCCATGACGCCCATTTTTTTTTCGGTTCTGCGACGGCGGCCGATACGACTAGTCATTCGATATTCGTCAATAACAGGTACCGGTGCATCAGTGGAGGTGAAACTGTGCTCACCTTGAGACTGGACGTGATGGAACGCGCTAGATCTGACAGCGAGAATTCAAGATCGAAAGCATCATGTACGTAGGACATCTAAAGAAATGTTAATTATTTAGAAGTGTGACAATCAGAAATGATTTGGGAAACCTACCTTCCGCAAGGAATAGAAAAACACAGAAGATACGTCGGAGGAAAACACGCTTTTCCACCAGTCATACAAACTAGGATACAACACCTTCTCACCCTTCAAACATGTCTCAGAAAGCCGTGAGTTTCTTCACTACTCTCGTCCTCATCGATGTTTCTGAACCCAGATAATAGCACCTTCTCGATTCCGATGGCAAGAACATCGAGAATCAGCACTACTATAAAATCCGCCTCGCCGACGGCAGTGAACTCGGATACGCGCCAAGCGGAATGTCCATCACCAGTGCCAAAGCCATCTGTGCACCCATGCCCTCCAATGCAGGAGCCCTCTTCCGTTTCGTACCCAACGACGATAGCAAAAATGGCGTGCTGTGGACTGTTGGAGATGTTGGAAGCCTAAAAGGATTGCAGAGCAGGGAAGATGGTACAGTGCTCAAATTAGGCTTGAGCTTGTCGTCTCCCCCGACGGGTGGTACCGCGGCTTTGGGTTGGTATGACTCGGCTTCGTGGGGATTCACGGGGAAGCAGCTCCCAGGGAACAGAGTTGCGCTGTATGCTCGGAACAAAGATGCGAAGGATGTTGGGCTGATTGTTGTTGATCTTGGGAGGAACGAGTCGGTACTTGTGGAGGATCGTTCTGGGGACCATATTCCGTTGGACTGTCAGTTTGTGAGGATGGCGCCGGTTACTGCCAAGTTCTGATACATATATCAGTATGTTAGCAGTAATATTTCGATGTAGACTCACAATATGCTACCTTTCGGTGTCGCGATTGTTACTGAGATATGCATATCTTGTCATTTGAGTTTGAGTTGCAGAGAATATATAGACAATGAACGCATGAATCCTTCGAGCTTGAGCATGAACTTGCACCGGTCGTACATCATCTTCATCGGTAACCTGAGTCCTTGTGGGATTCGATATGTTAGTCGGTACATGTAAAGGTGGGTCGATGCCAGCGGCTTGCAACAATGGGAACGGGCCGTCGACCCGGTGATTGCCGCTTCCTTCACCACCACCACCATCAGGTCAACATTAGCTCTGCAATTCGACACAGACCCTACTCATTGTATGTTTGCCATTGAAAAAATGATTCACGCACGGGGATCTTCATTTCATCACCATCGTAGTTTGTAGTTTGCACAAGGCTACTACGACACTCGGACTCATTCTCCTTACAACAAACAAGACACTGGGTTCTTTGATGTGCTACCATTTGATTCAAGACCACCATGAGAGAAGAACTTCCAAGCATATCCTTTGGAGAAATCTCAAACAGTCGGCTGAAAGAGACGACCGAAGTGTGTTTCTCCATCTATTTTTTCGCGTGTTCCAATGTTACTCACCCTTCTTGGCAGACTATTTGTTGTATTGATGACAAGAATACTGGATTCTGCTTCCACATCCTTTCATCTTCCGACTTGTTCGAACTTCGAATCCGACCTTGTGATGTTGGGGCGTTTCTCCATCAACCCTCGGTTCTCCACAACAACTTTGACGGGCGTCAATGCATAGCAGGTTTAAAGCAGCATCCGACGCGTATGACGCCTCGGCGGCCTCGCTAAACCATAAACGTTAACAGTAAACAGTATCCGAATTTTATCCCTATTACTGAGTTCACAGCTCGGCAGAAGGATCCGTCGTTTCATTCGGCGCTAGACAGTCCCTGAAGTTTTTCGGCTGATATCAAGCACCAACTACGTCAATGATTGCTTCGGATTGACTTCGGATTAGCTCAAAAATCAACCAGCGCTGGGTTTGCTGGGTACGGTGTCCAAATTATTTCTGCCATGCCACTCACTCTCAGGTCTTGGTAGTTTATTTTTTTTTTCGATTACATCGCCGTTTTCTCAAATTTGAAACGGCAACATGTAAAGACTTTACGTTCCTGCCTTATCAATTCCCGCTCCACTGAGTTCCCAGAAGGTTTAGAGCCTTTATGTAACATTTGAGAATATTAGTGCGTACGCGATGGGAAAAGGTGCATTGACTTAACATGTCGACATTGTGCTGCAGCTGCTGACCGGACCATCCAGTGCTCATTCGAACACCGTGTCAAATTTTGTTCGAACATTAGGAGATCCGCGAACATTTATCATTTATTGATTTACTTTGGCGTCATCTCAGCGGCTCTTGAACAAACGGATCAGCCAATTTGACCGCGTCTAGGACCCTACATTGACCATTTTTTAGACTGCGATGTCTAGGCCTGATAAAATTGATGTTTTGGCGCCCACGAAGCCTCATCGGGGGCACAAAATCTAAGTGCGTACTGTCTTGATAGTCCTCGTTCACATGCACGAGGCCCCTTCCAGCTGTCAGATTTCATCAAGGTTCCTGTAAGTGGCTTTGCGCGAACCTTTAGTGGGTGATTTTCAAACCCAGTGATTGCAGGGTTGTCAAGATCGCAGTCTGAGTGAAAACAGGCGCCCAAAGGCGTGGGCTCTAGAACGCGTTCACAGCGGCCAACTACTTCCTTTGACATGGTATATTTTCGCTCGTCATCTCCTTGTTTTAATAAATTGAAAATTTTCCTAGGTAGAAATTGTGACCAAGTAAAGGGTGAGAGGCATATGATTATATCGGGCACATTCTGACAGCGTTGGATAGATGGAATACACGCGCCTGGACTACTGAAAACTACAACACAACTGGAAAGCGTTGAGTTTATATTCCGGCAACTCTTGGAATCAAAATCATTGTCATTTCTCGCGATGTTTGGACCTCCACGATTGGGACCACCGGGCTGCGCACCGCCGCCAATGTGCCTGCCATCAGTGCGACCGCCGGTGGTGTGCCCACCCCCGATTGTGTGTCCTCCTCCGCCTGTACGTCCGCCTGTATGCCCGCCTCCTCCGGTGTGTCCACCCCAACCTCTTGCTTGTCTACCTCCGGTTCATCCGTCGCTGCCCGTTGTTGTACCCCCGCCACCTCCACCAGTGGTGATACCGCCGCCACCGCCAGTTGTTCCGCCTCCTAAACCACCCGTTCATCCGCCGCCACCACCGGTCGTACCCCCACCACCCAAACCGCCCCCTCCCATACCTCCGCCTCCGAAGCAGCCGCCTCCGCCAACCAAGCCGCCTCCTACCGCTCCTCCACCAACTAAACCGCCTCCCACCAAACCACCTCCTACTAAGCCTCCACCAACCAAACCACCTCCCGAGTGCCCGCCCCCAAAGCAACCGCCTCCCACCTGTCCTCCGCCGGAAAAACCACCTCCGAAATGCTCGCCGCCTACTGCACCGCCACCGGAAAAACCTCCGCCCACTTGTCCTCTGCCGACTAAACCACCTCCTGAGTGTCCTCCCCCACTTAAGCCACCTCCCGAGTGCCCGCCGCCGACTAAACCTCCGCCAGAATACCCTCCACCAGGAAAACCCAATTGTCCGCCGGAAAAACCTCCTCCCGAGTGTCCTAAACCACCACCAGCATGCCCACCTCCGACTAATCCTTCTCCTCCAGAGTGTCCGCCTCCAGATAAACCGCCTAGCAAAGAGTGCCCACCACCACCGGTCCATCCAGTTCCTGACAAACCCTATCCAACTCAACCAGGATCGCCTCGAAAATGCCCCCCTCCTTGTCTACCTCCCTCTACCTGTCCTCCTGGAACAGATTCCAAGCCCACTGATGGAATGCCAACAACGAAACCAACGTCCAATTCTGTTAATACTTCTCCTCCCGATACGAAGACGAGCAGAACGACTGTGGCTGTTGGTGTCGGCAGTCGGTGCTACCGTTGGAGGGAGCACAAACACCTCAGAAGCGGCGACAGATACAAGTGGAGTACGTCCTTTTTCTTCGTTGCCATATGTATACTTACATTTCCAAGGACCTCGTCGACTCTCTCGGCGTCAAACTCTCCACTGGATGCTTATACAAAATCCGTTTTGCTGATGGCACTGAACTTGGTTTTGGTCACCTCGGGTTGGGTAGCACAATCGGCCATGTTCCGCTCGTCACTCCCTGTAAGAGCAACAGGTGGGGCCATCTTCTCCCTCGGGGGTACATGGAAACCAGGAAGCGTAGGGTATCTAAAAGGGAAGTATTCCGGGTTGGATGGGAAGAGCGTGAGCATGACAATGTCGCCGTCTTCGACTGGGGTGCTTACGTGGTGGAATTATACCGATCTCAAGAAAGAGACGGGGATCTTCGTATGGATTTAAGGCAAGACAAATGCCTAATCGAAGGATCGCGTTGTACGGGTATGATGAAAAACACAAAGAATGCGGATTAGTGGTAGTGGGAGATCAGATCATCAAGGATCCCTAGTAATCTCTGTGTTGCTCTGGACTGCTATTTTGTTAGGGTCACTTAGATGTAGGCATTTGACTATTCATAGGTTCGACATTCAAAGTGATAACATAACAAGATCTAGGATAGTGTATTACAATAGCGTTATCTATTCACCGCTTTCAGTGTTACCAGTACTCGTACCCCGCCGGACTTCCTCCAACACATATCCACTCTCAGACTGACGACACTCTGCCATCGACACTGGATCCTCACCAAACTCATCTATCACGGACAAAACACGGAATTCTATGGGTGGTATCGGATTTGAAGCTGTCCGTCGATCGGTGCCAGTCACCAGTGCAGACTGTTTGTGTTCCCAGGCGCGCAGTCGCAGCAGGAATCGGGCAGTAAGCAGGCCTGAGAGTCTACGCGACATCAGCGCGAGATGATGGATCTCAGTCGGTAAAAGAACTCACGGGAGCGTTAATGCATTGAGTAATCGCCGAAAAAAACCTGCCTGGAAAATGACGGATGAATAACGGCATTTACACTTCAATCATATAGAACATGGTCTACCGGAGCAGCCTGTAAATGTAAGTAGAAGGTAAAGTGCTATGCAGCATGAACTCACGGAGTTCAGCACAAGAGCAGCCGTCGTGAACAATGTGACAACACTGTCTCCCTCTGTCTGAGTCTCGAATGCACGGAATGGAGTATCAGAGCTCACCTAAAGTAAAATATACCTGTGAAGGGCTGCGCGTAAGAGAGGGCCTAATCATCATCTAGAGTATAGAGAATAACCTTGCTCGAATATCAGGTATATAAGCCTCTGGCGTTGCATGACCCAAGGCCCGCCAATCCTGAATGCTTGGATGCTTCGGACTGTCATCAATATTGCAGACGAATACTCAAATACCACCAGCAATATCGAGAGAAGTAGACTCTCTGAGGTAAAGCGTTTAGTATAGTCTTCGGCATCCGCTAGTGAGAACGAATACCACTGAAATAAACGCATAAGCGCTAACAAAAAAGAACATAGAGATAGAGGACGCACAAAGGATCATTTGTTGATCCGACACATCTGAGGTCCGGGACTTGCATCTATCGTTTCTGTGTTAACACATACACCGATACGACGTTATTGAGAGGCGAACAATGTCGAGTATGACGCACGCCAATCCGATGGCAGTGAGGTAAAGCAGGATGATTGTGTTCCTTGCGAAGATGGCATATGTTCGCACGGTGAAGGTCACTAAATGAGCTTTAGTAAATCCACCAACATAAAGCACGCAGATTCGTAGTACGTACCGATGACAGCAGCGCGTCCAATGACACTTAGTGCCGCAATGATTTTGTACCAGGTATCGCAACTAGAAGGAGTTCATGAATTAGCGGTTTTTGGGTAGCACGGCTTGTAATTGAAAAGAGCATGCTGCAAAAAGGAAATGCATGAGAACAAGTCAGCACGAAGAAGGCGGCTGAGAATAATACCCTAGCGCCTAGTCGTCTAGCAATAGCGAGAAGATAGAGAACGTTCGCCACTAGAGCGTAACGACAACAAATATACAGAATAGTCGACAATCTGAACTTTGCGCCCCATATGTACTTGACTTCCATCGGAAAAGTCAGGAAATAGTCATAATAGAGTAGAGCTAGAAAAAAATTCAATGTCAAAGCTTTACAGCAGGAGAGCAAGCTATACCGATGCTGGAATATTGAATCCGGAACTGGAGAAAACTTTGTGCATGTCAAACCCGGTGAAAAAAGAAAACCAAAAAGACGGACTGAGTGGTCACAGATTCCGCATAGGTAGAAGCCATGAAGAGGAGATGAAGAGGCGGGGAAGAGTGTAGAAGACGACGCCTTTTATGCCATTTTCTTTACCGAAGTGGAGCCGGTCCAAGCACGCTGAGCCGCAAGCATGGAAGAGTCAGAATAACAATGTGCAAAGACTAAAGGCCCTGGTAGTGACGAAGTCCAGCTTATGTGAAGGCCCGTAGACCCTTACCCTGGAGGATGATACACCGAGAGCAGGGTCAATTCATGTAGCAGTACGGAAGGAAAGAATTTCATTCTGATCGCTATCTGTAAGAAGTCGGAAACAGAGACGCGTACGTGGGCTACTTGATGCATGACAGTCTTAGTAATACTGGTTTAGACTGGTTTGCACCAAATTTGTAAAACGAACAAAGACCATGGGAACATTTGGCGAGGCAATCGCAGCCTACTTTTCACGTATACACGCGTGTGCTTGTAAAGTTGTCTGCAAGAGTCCGAATAGAATGAGAATATGTTTCGTCTGACTAACTCTCTTGAGGAGAAAGCGTGATACATAGGGACTAGTCCCGACCATGACCTTTTGGAGTGTTCTCGCTCTCATGGAGGCAAACTTAAACCGCAACGTAACTTGACGAGCTTGTTACCTTAGCTTGCATCTAGCCATGCCGGAATCATTCGAGAAATTCTTAGCCTTCGATGGACTATGAACCCCGCTTCAATTTTTCATTCGGTCTTCAGTTCTGAATGGAGAATGATGAGAAAGTTATATTTATATCGATGGAGTGGCATTCCGCCGCGTACAGACCATGTGCGTCATGGCGAAATGTCGCCTAATCGCAAGATGCGCGCATATATTGAAATGTTTGGACGTAGTACCAGCGACAGCCGTAGTCTAGACAGCAGCATGATCTGTCCTGCCAGGATATATTGACGGTTCTTAGGATTAATGGACTCTAGCTCTTCACGGGGTACCCAGAATCTGTTCAGAGCTCAGTTCTTGGCCCTATCGGTGGTTGGCTCAGTGATCCGCCACTCTCCACTAGTAGTACAAGGCCCGAGCAATCTTCCCGTCTGTTGGAAGGAAAGGGTGAGTTATCTAGAAGGGGAATATTCCAAAACGAAAAGAAGGGCGCAAACGATGTCGTCTGTCAGCGTGTTGCCAACATGGTGGAATTACGCCGATCCTAAGAACGAAACAGGGTCTATACTTTGGAAAGATAAGTACAATTACAATAAAAGGAAATAAGTAGAAATTTTTAGCGTAGATTTGTTTCCTAGCTGCGAACTATCTGCTGCTCCCAGTACTCGTCGACATCGTCTGACCCCCAGGAGCCATACCCGACGTGGATGGCGTATTCTCCTGGAACGTCTTTTCTGGTCTCTCCTCCAACGCATACTCGCTTCGACGTCCCGCTGTCGACACCGGATCCTCACCAAACTCATCAATGACTGACAAAGCACGAAACTCCATTGTCTGTGACTGCCTGCGGGGCGATCCCACGATTTTCGCTGATCACTGCAGCGGAATGTTGATGTTCCCAGACGCGGAGGCGGAGGAGGAATCGAGCGGTTAGTAGACCCGAAAGTCTAAGTCAATTCTGTGAGATGAGATGGCTGAGAGGATGACAGGAACGTACGGAAGTGTTAGTGCGTTGAGGAGGCGCTGGAAAAATCCTGCCTGGAAAGCCATGGATCGATTAACGTTGCCGTCAGGAGGGTACTACGTCAGGCTTACCGGCGCGACCTGCGTATTTCGTGAGCATGGCCGTGAAAGCGGCGCATATGGGCAAACTCACCGAGTTCAAAATGACAGCTGCAGTTGTGAACAATGAAACGACACTGTCGATGTGTTTTGCCATCTAAGTCCTGTGCCCCAGTTCATAGTTATAATTAGATTCACCTGAAATAGAAGATGCCTGCAATGAACTGTGCGTAAGAATCACATTGATGGATACCGAGGAACGATAGAAATGACCTTGCTCGAAAATCAGATATATGAAACCCCGCCGCTGTGTCTTCCAGGGCCCACCAACTCTAAACGCTTGGATGCTTCGGATTATCATCAGTATCGCGGATGAATACTCAAATACGACCATCAGTATAGAGAGCAGTAGATTCGCTGCAACGAAAACTTTAGCGGCATCCATTGAAAGCAAAGGGCATCAGTACCACTAAAGATAAATACCACTGTCAGTGAAGGGAAATGGAGAAGGTGCGAGCATGGAACGTACAGAGGATTACTCGAAGAACCAACACATCTGAGTCCTGGAACATGCATCTATCGCTTCCACTTTTAGCATATATATATGGTACCGATAGTAAATTCGACTGACAATGTCGAGTATAACACACGCCAGGCCAATGGCAACAAGGTAAATAAGAATAATTTTGCTCCTAGCGAAGATAGCGTATGTGCGCCCAGTGAAAGTCACTGTAGCATAATTAAACTAAACAAGTTCAATTGCAAGAATTACATCGCATACCAATCACGGCAGCCCGCCCAAGGACGCTAAGCGCCCCGATGATTTTGTACCAGGTGTCACAACTAAAATGTCATGGATCAGATAGGGTGTTGCTTCCTCTCCCAAAGTAGGACTTGCTAAACTTTCGAAAGTGAGAAGAGCAAATGGACGGCAAGAAAAAGACAGTACCCTGGCACCTAATTTCTTGGCTATAGCCAGAAGATAGAGGACGTTCGCGACAAGAGCATAACGACAACAGATATATAGGGCAGTCGACAACCTGAACTTTGAGCCCCACACGTACTTAACCTCCGTTGGGAAGGTCAAAGCGTAGTCATAGTAGAGGAGGGCTGTAGTGCCAATCAATTTGAGGCAAGAAAAGCATGAGAGGTATCGTACCGATACTGGAGTACTGGATCCGAAACTGAAGGAAACTGGGCCAATGTTAATCTGATAGGTGAAATCCGAAGTCAGTGACGTACTGTGTTGCTGCAGCTGCAGCTGCTTTTGTGGCCATGATGAAGAGAAAAGAAGACGAGAAGCGACTTATATACAGCTGGAGCCGGCGTCATTTGAGCGTGAGTAAGGCATCCGTACGGCTGTCAAAGAAACAACCGAAGGCTGAGGCTCAAAGAATCAGTTGCAATGATGAACTCCTACTTCTTTGATTAAGCTCCACAACCCACAGCAACACCGCGATGGAGATCCCACACAACGACGGACATGTCAGTGCAGATAGTAGTGAGGAGGAAAAGATATCATGGGGGACATTGAAACACAGGAATAGAAGGACCCGTCATCTGAAGCCTGGATGAGATTGAACGGCCTAGGAGAAGCCATTTTCTTCTGGGCACCGGCACGGTGCAAGGCGCTTTGGGGTAGGTAAATTCATCAAAATAAATATAGAACTCGAACTCGTGCACATTAACTTTGCACATAAAGCGTCCGTCGGATCAACCATAGCTCCCAGCCTTCACAGACCATGACCAAACAATCTCGTTCTGAGGGACCAGTAGTGTGACAGACGCCGAACTCACCGATAGGACTGATATTACGGGCAAGAAACATATTATGGATCGTGCATGTAAACCAGCAAGTTGGAAAGAATTATTTGGAGTTGATCAAGTCCCACTCGTGTGACGCGCCTACATGAGCGACCATGAGAACGTCTCGGGAGGGATCCCCTATCAATGAAACCTAAGCATGACTTTACCCAGCCTCTATCAAGTTTCAGTATGTGCGGGAAGAAGGTGAAAGAGATACTTAATGCGATCCTCTATTGTATGCTTCCCGGTATTGCCGATCGTAGACTTGAGCCAAGATCACATCATGATAGTCATACAAGGTTCTCCAGCCGCGGGTTGCAATTGACGTTCTATTGCAGTTTCCCGTGGATATTGAAGGTCCAAATACTTAGGCATCGTATGGCGGCGAATGAATCTTAACATGAAACATTCACTGAGTGTCTAGGGTGCGGGAGAGCGATTCGTACCTGATAATTCAATGATGATCTGCCGCGGTACGTACGTCGAATCAATCAGATTGACTGCGCATGACGAAGCTATGCTATCCAACCGCAAAACGCGCGCGTCGAATTGGGGCCGTATGCTTGGATATTCCATGACAGCGATTCTACCAAGGTGCACTGGAATAGTCATAGCCCACTGATGGAATTTACTGATTGTCACAAGGAGTCTCCGAGGGTCTACGATGGCATAATGGAGGTTGGGGTTCTTCAGATAGTATCAGACAGCCTAGGTGATTGTTATGGTTGAGTATGAATGCATAATCCCACACCCGTAGGATCTGAAGCAATATACACCGATAACATCGCCATTCTTTGCGAGCTTGGCGTAGCGTCAACAGCCGAAGGAAAGTCTCCACGTATGAAGTGTATTTCTGTACCGGGCTGCCGTAAAATCAGATAAAAATAATTGGACTGCCTTGCCTTGCGGAATTCATTCAGATTTTCGTGCTCGCGAGTAATAGCATTTATGTCATTATATGGAGGTCTATTCTCTGTCATACACACGTCTACGGCTGGAACAAGTGAGCAGGTTAAAAACTCCAGAAATTTGCACTCACAATATCTAAAGAATGTTTGTCGGACAGTGGCTGCATCCGATAGGCGGTAGGCTATGAATCATACAGGTAAGGGGCTGTCTGGGCAACATAAAAGTTAAAATGAACATACTGAGCTGCTACATCACCATCATCTTGCCAGGTCACCTTTGTCCTACGCATCGACATCCCAGTCCTTCCTTCCCGTGTCCTTCCGCTCAGGCTTCCTAATCAGTGCTGACATGTCTTTCTCTTCAGCGGCGTCCTCTGGGTTTCCTTAGGCTTCGTTCTCTTTCCTGGAGACGATCTTTGCATCCTGTTTGTGCGACCATATTTCCGCCGCAGTCCATTTGCTATCCAGTTGGGTCACTAAGTGGAGCCGGTACCGCCACCAAGATAAAGATGGAGAATTCAAGTCACCTTTCCCATCAGTAAACAGCAGCTGCATGGCTGAGGTTCGTATCGTATCTGACCGCTATGCCAACACCATGATGGTGTACCGGTATTGAGGCCAATAAGCTGGTATGGAGAGAGTCAAAGTTCAGGGTGACATACGAGGCTCGTTCCGGCAGTGGAAGCCAATGGGCCGTTCTGCGGTCGCTACACCGCCACTTACATAACGATGGATTGGAAGTCCGACTCTAGGTCTTCACCTCTAGCTAGCTATGGGAAGTTTTTGGCTCGGCGCTCGCGTGCTACTCTTGGTTCTGGAACCGTGGCTTTTGTAAAGTTTATTGAATGGCATACGAGGTCGTGCAAACTGGGTCTCTTGCGCATTGATGATAAATTCGGGAAAGGTTAGTTTTTACTGTACATTCAGTGTTATTTAATCATGCAAGGACTAGTCGCCGGAATCGAAACCTCACAGGGAAACCAAGTAAGCATCATAATATATATTAATGCCCTCAACGAGTCCCATTTTTCGTGGCTGCCACCCAAGAAGTGCCCGAGCAAGGTAAGGCTTCAGCAGAGCCGTCGTCGCTACAGCACTTTCGAAAGCTGAAAGAAAGTTTCAGTCGAAAGGACGAAGATAAAGTGATATCACTTACGGTTGGCTGGTTCCCTGTACGCGAAACCCTCCTTTACCCCTGCAACCTTCGCAATGGCTGCTAAAACCTCATCAACCGACTCAGTGAAATCGTTCGCAGCATCAAATGCTCTTCCTCCGCAGATTGCGGCTTTCTCTGCCACCCTCACATACAAATCCGCTAAATCGTCGGCATGAATCAGCGCGAACCTCCCTCCAGGTTTTCCCGCGAAGGTCATCTTCCTCCCCTCCTTCTTTGCCTTCTCCGCTTCTCCAAACACAGACGCTAGAATTGACCCGGAACGCCCGTAGAGCATTGAGGGGCGAATAACGATGCCGTTCAGGGTTGACTCTGTAATGACCCGCTGTTCTTGAGCTGGACGCCATTTGACGATCTCCACAGGATTAGTCAGTGGGCTGGTGTCGGTGACAATATCTGTGCGATTGTCTCCATGAACCCAAGTCCCGGACGTATACACGTACGTGAGCTTTGGCGCGCTGGGATCGCGTGAGGACTTGATGGTGTTTATGACAGCCTGCAAAATCTCGTTTGAGAGGGAGGAGATATCAGCGCTCCCGCCGATAGCATCAATGACCACGTCAATCGTGGGGACGAGGTTGAGCCATTTGGGTGAGACTGGTCCAGCGATGACGGGTATGATCTCTTCAGCAGCGAGCTGTTTGGCTTTTTGAGCAGAGCGGGTTTGGCCGTAAACGATGTGGCCTGCGCGCGCGAGTGCTTGGGCGGCAGGGAAGCCGATGAATCCAGAGGCGCTGGACTCTCCGTCAGGCATGAAAACATAGTAATGAGGAAAAACTTACCCTAGAACGAGTACCTTCATTTGATGGAAAGATGCGTTGAGAACTTGAATTTGGTCATAGTTTTATACCGGGCTCAATGAATAGCGTGTGGGTACATGGGTGGATCATCTCTGTCAGCAATCGTTAATGAAAAACCCTGTTTGTAAGATAGGATGGATGGATGTTTTATTATCCGATAATTGCTCCTCAACAGGAGCAGTGCCGATGTGGTACGTGTCCATTCGGTTGCGTTGAAATTCAAATAACTTCCCCTTCAAACCTCTACGAGAATCCACCTAGTTTCCGTTGTAAAATATGACTAGTCAAGTACTATAGCTGAGAAAGTGTAGTTGCCTGACTAATGGACGAAACTTACGAAGTAATGATACAACTTAGTCATTTGACTCCAATGACTAGCGCCGGGTAAAAGGAAAGGCAGCTCGAGATTCAGATTGGAATTGTATTCCCTCAGGGGCAAGAGCGTCGCCCCTAAAATGGTAGAGGTTTTTGTTCCTAATTTAGCTATCACCTCTTGTTCACGTACTGTGATCACGATTGCCGCGACTGGGTAATGGACAGCTCTGTTTTGCCACTCCCTCTCCCGTTGCTGTTGTTAATTCATCTGCACATTCTCGAGTATCCGCACGTCAATGACCCAGAGTACGATATCAATGTCTTCAATTCCCGAACACGCGGTCTGCGAGATCGTACAAGATCCACACAGGACATCTTTTACTTTTTGGTCGGGAAGATCGAAAGATCGAAAGCGCGCGTCCAGAAGGTATCTGAACATTATACCGCGTTATATTAGTGCCTGACCGTACTTTGGTAGATCTTGCCTTCATATCCTTGTCTCAAGCCAGCAGATACCACGAAGTTTCGCAATTCACTAGCCAAGTACCTGGAGAACTTGAGACACCAAGCTACGGCCTCGTCTGCAGACGCGGAAGCTCCAACCGCGAATATGGCTTGGTGGTGGAGAGACGTCGTTGTTAGGAAGTCACTACTAGAACAGTGCGAGGGTGAAAAGTTGGTATACAACGCATTATTACGCGTCTTTCGTTCTGACTGAAATAAATATTTTTAGATTTATACGAATGGTTGTCTGCCTTTCAACTCACGCGTTGTTCGCCGCGGTATCGACTACTGGTCCCATATCGGTACGCTCTTGCTTGAACTGGGCTCATTAACCTTTCTACACGTTCGTTTAGAGCAATATATCACAACTATCTATAGAATACTGCTTCTCGTCTTGGATCCATGAAACATGCCAAGAACGGCTGGGTTCGCATCGCGACTCTCATTCTACAGCGTGGTCGGGATCTTAGCATGTTACGGGTAGACTCTCCACTCATTCGTTTCTCCAAGTTGCTGACCCTATACATAAGGCCAATCTAGTGAAGCAGCCGATCGCTCCGTCAAAATACGGTTCCCTTTCTACATCAAGACTCACCGCCCTCCTCGACTCCAAGAGACGAGATCTCACACATAATTGGACAGATCAAGCACTGGAGTTCTTTCTTGAATTATCAGGACTGAAGATGTCTCCCACACTATCGTTAGCCGCTTTGGATACTATCAGTACCACCACTCTTCGTCCACGAACATCGAACGGACCCCCACAGGTCCTACCTGTAGTCGCGGCTCATCATTTATCCAATCTACGAAAACTCAAGAGGCCCGTACTAGGCACCGAAACACCAGAGTCTACCACTATTGTCAAAGCAAGGATGTTAACACCTCATGTCAGCGCGACTTTGTCAGATTACCACGACGCCGAAGTACGAATGCACCGGAACTTGCAAAGTGCATTGACAATCATCAACCATGGTCATGATCGTTGTGTTTCTCGAACAAGGAAACCAAGGTATCATGGAGCCCCCTCCCTCAATCTGAGGCGGCCTCCTGATTGGAGACTACATGTGGACTTTGAAGCGTGTATCCTTTTCCTTCCTTAGCCTCTTCAATTTCACTAATCCGAAAGTCCAGAGAACGACCGATCTGTCTTTGTTCTCACTGTCTACACCCGACGAGCTTGAATCCTTGGAAGAGCGCATAAACCGCACCAGACACAGGCTTCTTCCCGCTCCCTCGCGATCAGTAGTTGCAACCAATACTCAACGAAAAATTCGGAAGTCGCTAGCCGCCACCCATTTGGAACCCGTTGTAAGTCACTGCCTTTTCTGCCTGCTGCCTTAATCTAGGCTGACCCCTCAGGATATGACATTGCATGTAGACGACAGTTTTTCAGTGCCAACCCGAAAACCTCAATGTATGCGGAGGGAATCGAGATTACTCTCGGGCTTCCCATCCTTGGTAAACTCGTCGATGGTTTTGGAGGATCTCGAGACTGATGATGAAGAGTGATAACATAGTCTGGTATTTATATAGTAGTATAAGACACTGGACAAATTTATAGAGCTAGAGCCGCAGACAACTCCATCTCATGCCTTAGCTGGCCGCAAATTTCGGCGGGAGCATCCTTGGACGTGTAGACTCGAAGACCGAGGAATATCGAATCATCTCCAGACGCACGCTTGATGTCCTTGGCAATCTTTGTCTTTGCCTTGTCTTCATCGCTATCGTCATCAGTCTTGTCCTTGTCGACCTTTTTGTCATTATCTGTGGGGTTGGCTTTGAGGACACTGTCCTCGTCTGCTTTCTTCTCCTCTTTCCGCTCGCCTTTATCTTCATCAGCTGTCTTCTCCTTGTCGAGGCAAGCGGTATCCTTCGTGTCTTCCTTATCAGTGCTTTCCTTTGGCGAAATTTCCGTCTTCTTTCCAGCCTCTTCCTCGACTTTTCTCTCTTCGATGGCCTTCTTCTCCGCAGCTGCTTTCTCCTCCTCCGCCTTCTTGGTCGCTAATGCTTTCTGCTCTAGTTCGGACAAGTCCTGTCCAGCCAAAATATCCAAAGGAATGGGCAGATTCTGCGCTTGTAAACTATTATCAGTGTTCATGAGCCGTCGAATAACGCAGAAGGTGAAAAGATTACTTTGCATTGAAGTCTACAAGAAGAGAACGATCAGTCAGAGACGTGACAAGTGCTATTTTCGTGACTCACTCATAGCAATGGATTGACTCTTAGCGCGCTCAGTGAGTACCCTCGAAAGCAAGCGGGAATTCCAAATCTCGACGCCTTCTTTGATGTATGTCTAGCAGTCATTCTCTGATAAGAAAACATCGCAGAAAGATAAGTTTGTCTTACAGATGGGCGATATACGAAGCGATCTAGACGAACCTGAATTCAAATCAAATCAGAATGATGTCCCGCCCAGAACAATTAGTACGTACATGTACAACATACGAACCCGCCTCTAAATTCAGCTCAACGTTTACGCTCCGCGTAAAGAGCCTAGATGTCGAAGATTGCGCAATAGGATCCTTATCTCCCTTTTTAAACAACACGAAATCAAAGGTCCAGTGCCAGCGCCCTGATATAGGCGCGAAGTAACGACTGTCTAACTCGGACAGGACAATAACCGCCTTGGTAGCAGCAGGCAACGTGATAGTAACTTAGCAGCGATTCAGCGCAGCATGTTATAACAAAGCAGCAAAATAGAACGTACATGATACATCCCCGTACGTCCAGGCTGACGGAAGCGGCTGCACTGTTACATGAAACCACTGAGAGGACATGACCCAGTGCGCATCAAACAAAATAGTTTTGTCAATCTGCTGCCAACATTCCAAGAAGTCCGTGTCTACATCAAGGTCGCAAAGATGAGGGAAACCCGAGAAAGTAAAACAAGGCAAAAACGCACACTCCATGACAAATTGACCATCGTCTCCAAAGGAATGTCCAAGTTGGGGAAGTATCTCAAGCCATTCCGGTGTCCACTGTTTTGATCCATCTGACCATGGGCCAGTCCATTCAGAATCACCCCAAGGATTTCTGATGACAACGAAACGTTTGCCTTTGCATTCAACTGCTCTGAGGACCGAATATGCATGTCGGCTAATCAAACCGCTGACTTTGATAGAATCCTTCCCGCTACGACTGGAGTCAAGATCTTGGAACGAGACTCCAAAAAGGCGATCATGATTGGCCTTGAGCAGCTCTTCTGTCCAAAATAGATCTGGATCAAGGATGTCCTGTAGATAGCGTTAGCTACTGTCGTATAAAAGAAAAGCGTCAGCGGCACATTTGAGGGAATGAAGCACGTTACACCGCTGCGCCTAAATTAGCTCATGTTGGTTAAAGTAAATAAGTCATAGAACGTACCCCGTGAGGTCTTCAACGGCCTCGCAGGACCACCCGCCGCTCAAGGCGCCATAACTCCCATGGAGTTTCGCGTACGCCTTTTCGATCAACGGCACCCACGTTTCTCCATCAGTGCCGGACCTAGCAAAGTAGAGGGTAGCACTCCCCTTGCGCGAGGATTTGTTGTAGAGCGCCTTGTCGTGGTGATATAGTTGCTTTTCCGCGCTACTTAGCTCTTCATATTTGGGGACGGAGGTATAGAGCAGGCTACATAAATTGAGATTACTGCAGAATGAAGAGGAAGCAACTCACTCGTCGACAATCACCTCGACCCATTTATTGTCGCGGAAGAAAATGAATCCGTATACCCCAACCTCTTCGTCGCGCTGGATACTCATGTGAGATGCATATCGTTGACTGTCAAAAGGCATACGTACAGCAACACAGAACTTTTCCACTAATCCTGGGGATGTGCACATTGTTGCCAGTGCGGACACAAACCAGCAATCACCAATAGCGCCCTGAACTATATCATTCGAAGATGCACCATCGACGAAAAACTGAGGCTTGTCGAAGATCTGCGTTACGCGGAGTACATCAGAGGGGTTGTAAATTTCATTGCTTGCAAGTCCGTGAAGACACCGAGATCTGTCATTCTGTAGATCAAATTCATGATCTCTGTGAAATTTCAGAGCTGAACTAGGCTGCGAGGAATAATCGATAACAAACCTAAACTTTCGATTCTTCGCCTTGCATTCCTTTGCAATACGTCCGACTTGTGTCTCGCAATCGGCTAGTGCCTTTTCTAGTTCAGCGGTTACTAGTAGGCCAGCATGGTCTCGTTCTTGAAGGAATGATGTCGTGGTTTTCTCAACAGCCGGTTTCCCTTTAAAGAGATTGAAGAGTGGCATTGGTCCTGGGAAGAGAGTCGGTTCGTTGAGTTCTTATTGTGTGAAGGAGTCGGCAAGTCTGTCGAGTCAAGGGCAGGGTTTTGTATTTGATTTTGGCGCTTAGATAGGCGCTGCATGAAGGAGTACCTTGTAACTTGGTGCAGAGCTTTTCGACAGACTCGGATGATGCTTTAGTAACGCGTCGATTAAAATGTTTTCAAGGCTGCGGAAAACATACCTTTCGACCCCGCGCATCTGGAACGGAAGCTTGAGCGCTGATCTGGCGCTTAGACTTATCAGTGGTCGTAGTCTCGTATTGATCTAGCCCTAGTGTGGGTCTAGGCAAACTATGGCACTGCTTAGTGTGCTCTCACCTGATTAAGTCCTGGGCCAAACTTCCGAGAGAACGTTTGGTGTCACGGTCACCTAATAACTCGCAAAAGCTGCTCGCAAATGGTATGAGCGTCACGTCCTAGCACGTCCCACGCGTCCTCTTTGGATGTTATTCAGAATGGCAAATGATCGTTTCACCTATAATATCCGCAGGGAGAAGCTTTTTGTCCGACTTCTGCAGTGCTGATGAGCCGCCACTGCTTTCCGACAGCATAAGCGCCTGTTGTGAAATCGAGGGTTCGCCGTGAGGCCCCAGACGACGGGACATATCAACTGATTCATTACCTCGATCTGGCTCATAACCTAAGATTGGCCGAGACTCAGCTGCTATCAGTCTTTTCGCAAAGGAGTTTTTGAAGAACCTGGAATGCGATACAGGTCATCGAATTGTCCTGGTCGGGCGCGCTGCTCTTCATCATTTGCGGTACCAAATACAAAGCCTATGCTTATGTTCGCATCCATGCAATTGGCAGAAGCGAGATCCTCCTTTTCGTGCAAGGAGATGAGTCCCGGTGATCATGAACAACAGCTGGTGGCTGAAGCTGTTGCCATCCTCCAGTATAATAACGTTATTCGTGAGAGGAGGCTGCAGTAGGCTGCATCTTCCGACCAGCCGCATCTTCAAAAGTGATTACACCCTTGTACGACACGTTTCCTACCGTGAAGATACCGGTCACCTCCGCCCTTGACGACGCCATCGTTACGAGTGCCTATCCCACCGATGCTACTAGCATCAGTCGTCATGTTCCTAGACTTCTTTGTCGTAACGATGAGGGAGTGAAGCCTCTGGAGCATCGCAAAGTATTTTGACGATACTCCCAGTTGTTCAAGCGCTTTGTTTAACATCTATGCACAGTTCAAGCTTAAACAGTGTAGATTTTAACAGTTGGTCGTCGGTATACACGAAACACCGCTTGGCAGAACGAAATAAGCCAAAATAAGCCATCGAGTAAAAAGTGTGTCCCAGACAAAGCCAAAAGCGGTGGTGGTAGATCGCCCAATTGAATAAACACCAAAATATATCGTCCTCGATTCCAGGGCACGGATACACGGTTAGAAGAGGGGAGTGACAGACAAAGGGTGCAAAACAGTGAGCAAACTCGTCGCCCAGCACGGTACTTGAGGGAGGATCCTTTTCCTCCTCCCATCGGCTGAGTCTGTACGACGAGATATACTGAAGGACTGTTCCTGAACTTATCCAGGCCTAAACATGGCATATGAGGAGGACTCAGAGGAGACGGAAGTGGCAGCGGTGGTTCGGTCGTCCTGATGTATTATCTGCCGAGAAAACTGATTGAGTCAAGGTATCATTGAGAATCAGTGAGTCCACGATACGAACAGGTAGGAGATGGAATACACTCCAGAGCATGAACGCCTCGCTATGAACGCATAAAGGGCTTGGTGGACTCCATAGTTTGTCTCGTCCACGTTTCTAGTTCCTCCGATGGCAATATTTTCCATTCTTCCAAAACCTTTCGAAGGCCGTGAGAATTATAACTGTTTCGAAGTCGTGTCTTGACTCACATCATCCAGTTTCTTAAGCAACCTCAGTGTTTGCTCATCATTTTCATCGGTTCGTTTTGCTGTGTCCTGTAACCGAGCACTCAAGGCATTATTTTCTTGTTCAATCTAGTTCCAAAAGTATTAGAAAAGCAACGATGTCCTGAAAAAATGGTAGTTATTCACCTGAGAGAGAATTTCTCGCAGTCGAGTGTTCTCCTCCTGTAATTTAGGAATTGTTCTGGCAGCGATAGCTGCTCGAGGTTCGAGGTCTTCTTTCCATTCATCGTTGCGCTGTATTCCTGCAGCCTTTCGCTCCTTAGCCTCGTTAATGACTCGATGTAGAATGTCGATATTCTTCTGGACATTGAAACTTCGAAATAGTTTGTCTAGATCTCGCTACTCATGTCGTCAGGGCATATCACAGAATTGGTGCACTACTTACGAACGACTGAGACTCAATGTAGTCCGATATTTGATTGAAAATTGCGGTGGAGCCGTCCTTATCTTCCTTGGTATACGTCGGGAAACATTCTGCAAAATCTTCGTATCTAATCCGTCGATGAGAGTGAGAGCACCAACCAAAGGTGAGAGACGCACGTCCACTTTCTCGCTGAGCGCCGAACGGCGAGTTGAAGCGCAGAGTGAAAATATGACCAGCGTATGCTACCGCCCTGGGAGTTCATCAGTGTTTAGTTGAAGTTGTAGGCGTCGCGTGCACTGGTGCGCGTGGTGGGGCCTGGCGTGGTGTCACTTTTGTGACAATGTAACACTGACGACCCCTGACGACAGTTACGATCGGCTGAGTCGAAACCGAATTGGCGTCCATCCAACCTAGCAATTGGGCGCGAAGAATGTCGAATCATGAATATAGTAACATTATAACAATACTACAATATTTCTGTATTAAAAAGGCCTTCCTTGATTGTGTGCCAGTTGGATGGCGAGAGTCCTGATGACTAAGCACATTGAACTCTGTCTGTAGCCAACGTCGATGGACTCGGACCCGCTTCGCGATGAGGAGGCAGGCGTCCCTCCGCAACAACCGCGACGGCGCTCGTTCTCATCCGCCATTGTTCTCATGGTAATGCTCTTCTTGTTCACCAGCCACAATGGCGACGAATTTCTCGCAAGACACCAGTACCAGAACGCGCTACAATCACTGACGTATCAGCTTTCCAACTTTACTGCCTGGATGAATGGGACGGAGACCAATTTCTCTGTGGTGCGTTCTGTGTCTTTCCATGACGTATGATTTACTCATCTCCAGTAGCCAGATCGAGAGCCGTCTGTCACTTCTCTATTGCATGAATTCATCCCGGTGCATCTGCCTCTGGACCCTCTATACTCCTCATACTACTCCAATGTCACTGGATTTATTCGGGGAAGCTCGGCGTTTTTCAACATCACGCCCTCTTTCTTGTCCACAGTTTCCTACCCTTGGAGGAATGCCGCAGAGTCTTTCATGGCCGAGGTAAACGAAACAGAGGTCCTTGAAAGAGCTGGGACGTGGAACTGGACCGCCTCCCGGAGAATTGCCCTCAGCGTTTCGGAGAAGAAGCATTCACAAACGTCGGCAATATCTGAGGACCTCGTTTTGATTAATGCATGCCTTTTTCCGTCAGTGACTATATCTCACTAATACACGCACAGGGCCGGATAGAATTGACAGACGAAAATTCGAAGGAGGACTTGAAGTTTGATTTCGAAGGAGTGCACTTCATGCCCAATGGCTCAATATACGGGTTTGCGGAACCATCGGGGTGCGTACACAGGTAGATTTCCCTCCAATCCAATTTGACTATTGTCCGTCTAGGAGAAATATAGACATCAGGCTTTTGCCTTCCCTTGTGCCAGAAGATCGGAAAAACCAGACGGCACACTTTGTGGAACCTGAGCTTGCATCAAAACTGAAAAAACTTAAGAATATGATTGACGCAGGCGTCATCGAGCATGAACCGACGCCTCAAGGTAGTGACTTGTCATACCTCGTTTCCTTATCGTATGTCTGAAATGCGCGAACAGATGAAACTTCGACGTGTCCATTCGCTCTATATGCGCAGATAGACCCAGTTAGTATCTCAGAACATGACATGCAACAACTGGAGGAAGAAATGCAGCACCCAAAGGGTCTCCCCACCGTATCTCCCCCAAAACTTTCTGTGTCAGGCATCTTTATCAGCAAGGAATGCGGTATCATGTTTGAAATCCGGGAAACCGAGGGACTGAGGTTTGTATCTCAGCATAACTACCAGACGATATAGTAACGGTGTCTTTTAAGGTCTCGCACGTTCTTTCGCAAGGTTACGACATGTATGTGCTCTCATACTCTCATTTCTTTTTCTCATCTCTTCGTGTAGATGCAGGAAGCGCAACAGTGATCTATTTTATACTTCTTTTTGTCCTAGCGCGGCAAATGGAGCGGAGTCGTACCCCTTCCGGGATATCGCGAGTGTCCCGGTGGACGTTCTTCACACAATCCACTATCGATTCAGTTTCTTTCGCTGGTCATATCACTTTTGCTATTATAGCAGAAGGCCGGCCATCTCTCTCTCTTACAGCACCGGCTTTTTTGGCTTGTACCATGTTTGTTTACGAGGCGGTGAGTTATTCCGTCTATTTTATTTCTTACTTATAACATTCTCTTCTAGCAATTTTCTGTTCTTATACACCAAATTCAGATGCCCGAAGACACCGTTGAATCTGCGCCTGCCCCAACTACCGCTACTATGCCAGAGCGTACTAATAATATTCCACCACCCGCGGCGACTCCTGCGAACCCGGCGGCGACGACGACAGCAGCCCCTAATCTATCCTTTTGGGCATTTGCCATCCAACATCTGAGGTCCGACCCAGGTGCCAGACTTTGTAAGTTTTTCTTCATCATCACCTGGTAGTGTATATCGACGGGGTTTTCGCAGGGATCACAATGTTCATTTTTCTAACGTTCATCGTTCGAGTTATCCTATCGCCCACGCTATCCCTTATGTTCGTTGCTCTCACGTACTCGTCTATCTGGCTGCCTCAGATTATTCGCTCCATCCGCCGGGGTCGCTCAAGTGGATTTTCGAAAGAATACGTAATAACTACGACAGTCTGTAGGCTTTACCTTGCAATGTGTGAGTAATGTCTGGGTATATGCGATGACCTCGACTCATTGCCCGTTAGATTTCCTTGCTTGTCCAAAAAATGTTCTGGACGTTGATCCTCGCTGTGAGTCTCCGACATAACTTCCCTTCAATGGTCGGTCTGACAGCCAACAGCTTGGTCATACTACCTCGCTGCTTTTGTATGCCTCCAGGCCCTCATAGTCGTCCTTCAAGACGAACTCGGCCCAGCTTTCTTCCTTCCCGCAAAGGTACGCCACGATCTTGAAGGAACGAAGGAGCCGAGGTGTACTCATCAGTATGTTACAGTATGCCATTGTGAAGACCTACGATTATCACCCAGTACTACCGCTTCCCGATCCTGAGGCGCCGGAACAATCGCTCGGAGATTGTGTAATCTGTCTGGATGCTATCCTAATAGAGTCGCCTTTGTCACGGAAGAGAAGGTCGACTGATGAGAAGCATGATGACTGGGATACCCGGAGCACAGCAAGCAAACGGAAAATAGCGAAAGGCATTGATCCAAGCGGGATTCTAAACGCTGTCCAAGCTGGCGTTGGAAACGCTGTTGCGAGGAAAAACTACAGTCTTGCGCCATGCCATCATCTTTTCGTGAGGCTTATTTCTTTCCCCTTGCAGGATACTGATCATTGTCCCAATCTCACAGCACACTGAATGTCTTGAGAAGGTCAGTCATCCATCTCTATTTCTTTCCATCGGACACTGACGTTCCTGCCTCTTAGTGGCTTGCTATCAAGGTCAGTATTATATACAGGCTTTCAGTATCATTGACAAATATGCTGGCATAGAACATCTGTCCGCAATGTCGTCGACCTCTTCCACCTCTATAGTAGATCCTGGATATATTTATTTGATGTTGGAATTGGATTAACACACTGTATATCTATCGCATGTAACTAATCTGTATCTCAAATTTATTCCTTAGTCTGGAGAATAGAGATCGTGGAGAAGTACCCTTTTGCAGCGCCACTTGAAAGCCGTAGTTACCAATCCGGCTTCTTAACGCGACTTGCACGGCGTCGATATGGACTCTTCATCTATCTCGCGCGTTGCCTCCGATTCCACACAAACTCATGGATCTTCACGCCGCACACCAGCATCATCTGTCTTGTGGGCTCATTTGCTGAGAAAAGACACGTTGGCTGCTGCGCCAAGTTCAGACATCCCTCTTCCACCCATTGCGCCAACCGACAGAACAGGCACATCACTGCGAATTCTCCTTCATGATACCCAAGCGCATTTTGAAAAGTTTTCTGAACGAGTAGAAAAGCTTACGAAGGGTGTGGACGAGGCGAAGCAGGAGCTGGGGCTCACGAAGACGCTCTTTCAACGAGAGCACGAAGAGCTAACGAATGAGATGTATAATCTGGGTGAGTGTCTCTATACACCAGCATATATTTGCTTTTTGCCGACGCTTTTCTCCAGTCAACCGATGCCAGACCGAGATTCAGAAAACGGCTGGGCGTCCTGCACAGGCTGAAAGAATGGAAGAGTTTTGTAAGGGTGTACAGCTAAGGCTGGATGGTCTAGATAAGCGCATAGACGCTATGCAGCTGGTAAGTCGGTGATGCTTTGCATATGTTCATTGTTCTAAATGGCTAGTAAAGCTCTATCAAAGCAGCTCGCAGACGATACAGAGCCAATCCCAGGCCCTCCAGACGATTCAGGACCAACAAGGCACTATTCTCTCTGCTCTGATGCCTCTTCTTCCCCTTCTCCAGGCAGTTCCCCTGCACATCGAGACAGCCCGTAACTCCATCAAGGAAACGATAATACAATCGCGGCCGTCAGAATGGCCGTCAGAGAAGACCTCAGTAACTCGTTCGAGCTCGTCGGTCAGACAGGTCCCTTGCGAACAACCATCACCATTGTCCGGAAGGAAGCGACGTCGTATAGACGAGAACACATCCTGCATTCCCGAGGATCAAGAACACCAAATCTTTGTAGCTGCAACACATAGGTCCTCGACGACGCACAGCTCTTCACTCTCGAAACGGAAGTCGACGTTACTAGTACCTGCGCAACAACAATCTTCTTCAGCTATGGGCTCTTCGTCGACTGCTTTGTCTTCGCTGATAGGTATGGGTACGCGAACTCCCTATGTGAATGCGACTTTGGATCCAAAGACACCTCGTCGTCCCCTGGCTGAGATCGCGCAATACACTGATCAAAGGGTTTTGAGGTCACCTCTCAAAAACCAGGTTTCTTCTGCGTATACTCGTGACCGTACGTCCTCCCTCCGAGGGCGGCGGCCTTCTGTATTTGCTCCTGCACCCCGACCTTCTCGTCTGCCTCAGCTTCCTATTTCGGTGCCAACTCCGGTATCGAAATCCAGTGCACCTGACGCTACTATGACTGCAAGCCGCGTTCATCGACCTTCTCGTCTCTCAGAATCGCTCCTCCTCCCAGTGCACAATCTGCGGTGCAGAACAACACTCTTAGTTTACCTGCGAGTACAAACCCGAATCATCGACCTACATCGTCACTACAGCAGGCCGCTCGGACGACCGCACATACTAATATATTCCCTGCGCCTCCACCTACTTTACGACAAAGAAGATCTCCTTTTGTGAGTACCTTCCAAGCCTTGAACAATACCTGTGTCTAATCATCGTGTGGTTGCAGCGAGAAGGTCGGCGGTTTATACCTCTCGACGATTCTGATGATTCTGATGTTGATGCGGTCAATGGATAATGAATGTCTTTGTTTTTTTTGGTATTCTACGCTTCATTTACTTCAGCTTGTCGGACGAATGAACCTAGGTTGTTATGTGCTGCAGTAAATACAGCGGTGCCCTATCGTGGAATTGTTCTCTAAACTGGATCCATCGTTTTAAGTGTCTTTTAACGGCGTCTGGCTTTTGCACTTCGTAAAAGGTGTAGGGAAGTGATGCTGTCCAACCAATTTGTTGATAGCAAAGTAAGGATAAGTTCTCATCAACGACGACCTATCGGTAGAACCGTTCGACTTTCTTCTGGATATTACTATTCTCCCTCTCGACGCTTGTTCCTGGAACTTTGGCTTAGAACGGCTGGCTGGGAAATATATCGGATAGGACGAAGCAATGGCCTTCCACGGCCATACATGATTTGGGTTGGTCGCAAGGTTGATGGACACAACTCTCAAGAACAGGACTACGAGGACATGGCATAGTACGCGACGTGACGTGACATGAAGCGTCGCGGGTCATACGCTCGGGGGCGGGATCGTGGGCATTGGGAAATTGAACACGAATGTTATCCGAATTGGGTAAATCTCGCCAGAAGAACTGTCGATGCGTGTCATCGTCGCGCGAATGACGTCGACTGTGGCTGGGATCTGCGCTACCTGGGGTGGGCCCTCAGGGTATAAAAGGACGCGACGATTCGACAACCCATATCTCCCAACTCTTCCCTCTACTCCCATCATCTCTACTGCTTTTCAGCAACACCACGCTCGCTACCGTCCAACTCGATACCATCACTATGCTCTTCAACGTCGTCAACGCTGCTGCCGTCGCTGCGCTCGCCCTCACGATGTCCGTACACGCGGCGCCATCATCTCTCGTGAACAGAGGAAGCGGTGCAGCCGTACGTGACTAACTTGGTTCTGGTCTGTTCCACTCTGATGTCCATTGTTTAGGACATCGTCAACAACCTCAACCTCAACGCCTTCGGTGACTCCGGGGCTCTTAGCAGCGGTCCCGGTAAAGTTGTTGCTGATTTGTTAGGCGGCATTACTAGCGGTCCTGTCAGCAGTCTCGCCAACGACGTCAACGACAATGGCGCCAGCGCTGTTACCACCGTCCTCATCACTCATATCGCCACCCTCCTCAATGAACTCCACCTTTTCGTCAACCATGCCGACAACACTCCCACCAGACTTGGCGTCGATACCATCTTCCGCGCTCTCATCGCTGCTCTCGAGGCCATTCTGAACGGCACTCCCCACAACTTGGACGCCCTTTCCAAAGTTGACAGTCTTCTCGACCTTTTTGACCTCTTTGGCACCCTTGACGACAACGAAGCTTTCGTCCCGCTTGCCCTCCCAGTCATCCGGAACCTTATCGCCGCTTTATTCGAGTCCTTCGCTAGGGAACCTCGCGTCGCCAACGCTCCTGCCACCAACAACGCTCCTGCCACCAGCAACGCTCCTGCCACTAGCAATGACTCTCCCGCCAGCTCCGCCCCTCCCGCCAATAACGACAACTCCGCCAGCTCCTGCACTCCCGCCAGCACCGTAAACAACGGGAACAACGAGTCGCCCTCGTCTTTCGGAATCAGTGTCAACGGTATGTCTACATCTGCACGGTAAAGCATTCCTCTGACGAATATGGCCCCCCACAGATAATGCTCATGCTGTGAGTTGCATACCTTCGACCGTCTAATGTTGCTTTACTAACTCGCCCTGTTTTTCCAGTCTGGATCCGGAGCTTGAAGAGTTAATGAAGTTTAGGATGTGGCAGTTGATTAGTCCTTGGCGTGTTCGTTAGGGTTTATTCTGCGAGCTTTTTGATGTATATTAAGTAGTATGTGAGTTCGTCATACTGTAATGATTACGAATGCATATTATTTGTGATGATTATCGTGGTATCTTTTTGAGTTTTCAAAAAGTTCCTATCCTGTCAAACAGTTTGATTGTCCTCGACGAACAGTTTCATATTTGAGTATTACCGTCCAGCCTACCTGCTCTTTCTCATTCGCTCGCAGTCTCGGAATCTTGCTAGGTTTCTGTTCCGATACAGGCCGGCAGCCACTAAGTGCTGTAGTCGGTATTGTCGTTCCTTTGTCACTCAATCTCTTCAGTTGATCAGCTATTCCATGTAACAACTAAAATTCCCCCCACGTCGGCTTCTAGCTTTCGCAAAAAGAAAGAAAGAAAGCATTTTCTTCAAAGTACTGGGGCCCGTTAGGGCCCATGTGTACAATCTATGACTACGTGGCATGGCTGGTTGGTTGTGGTACGGTATTTCTGTATCTAGAAGAGCTTTCGTCTTTCTTGCGACGCTTGTATGGGTATCTACAACGCTGAGTACGGGTATTCTAGTTCTACGAGGGAAGGGATGTATCTAATCAGTAGTTTGCCTGTTCCAGGGGAGAATTTGGGAACTTGAAGGGGGGCCGCGCGGTTTTGAGGATTGTGGTTCGCAGGCGTCCATGGGGACTTTGTGATAGCAACGCTTTCAGGGGGTCCGTTAGTTCATTTTATTGAAATGTTTCATTCAACCACTTTCCTCTGAAGCGGAGGTGGCTGCGAACTGTTCCCCCCCTCGCATGCTCAAGGGGGGGCATCATTGTCCTGTTTAGGAGCGTACGTCTTGGACTTCCTTCTATGGGGGAGGGTGGTCTTCAGGGTGTTGAAGTATTCGGGGAGGCGTCTCGTGGCGTTTACAACACTGATAGTTGAGTGTATATGTTTTGAGGTAGTAGAGATTAGGTGACGAAGTTGAAGATTGGCGATCTTCGTTCGCCGGCGTAGCGTTTGTCGTTCGCCAGTGTATCGACGCTGGGCGGCAGGTAAGGAGGAAGTGGTCGGAGAACAGTTCGCCTCGAGTCAGATCGTCAAAGAGTACCGCTAGCGGTGACTTCTAATTTAATTATGTTATGTTCGAGAGAAAGTTCCTTCGATGGTATCTTGAAATACAATTCTGACTCGTATAGATTATCGCTTGTCCTCATCGAAGAGTTTCTCTCGCTGTGCATTCCACTTCACCTATCCAAACTTCTACCGGATTACCACCTGATCCTGCGATCTCGTCAACCTTTTTGAAGTGAATATCAATCTCCTTTGCCATGACCCAAATGGTGCGTTCTGCTTCATCGCGTTCTTTGTATCCTAAGAGGACTAAGGGACGTTTTGCACTCATCGTCGTAAGACTTGCGAGTGTGCGAAGGAGACCCGGAAAAGAAGATGTATTATATGTGACGTCGGCCATGCTGCATTGGTGAAAGAGTCGGTACTTGGCGATCATACAGGCGGAGGTATACGTACATTACAGCGTCAAAGCCGTCGTCCAACGATTTGATATAATCGGGCAGGTCTTCATCCCAGTTCAACACACTGGCTTTCGGACGGGCCGAGCCGGAGGGAAGCAAGTGCCCGTTAGATGCGATATTGTGCTCCAAAAGAGGGATCGCTGACTCTGACGTCAAGATAGTTTACCGGGTTTCTACAAAATAATGAGAATCGATCGAACTTTTTTTCACCTGCCCAATATAGTAATTCACAGGTACCGGTTTTCTTTTAACAGCGACTCGACACCAAGAGCAACGGTAATGATAGAATAAACGGTTTAGAATTGATTCCCGAAGCAGTATACAATGTTTTGGTGTCATCAAGTCATGCAATGGAGCCTGCAGTCGTGAAGAAAATACCGCTGATTTGGGATTTGACAGACCAGATTAGTGGATTCATGAGGATCACAAACCAAAGGCCCGGGTGGTGATATCAGAGACTTTGATGGATAATTCGGAGAAATATAGCCCAGTTGTACGTCAGGAAGGTATAATTCGCAGTGCTTATGCATTTGGTGGAATCCAAGATGGGGAATTACTATACTGGGCAGCCGAAAAAAAGTTCGATCGATTCTCATTATTTTGTAGAAACCCGGTAATCATTCGAAACGTTATATGTCTAGATGTGTACGAACCCAGATCGGTAGTCATGATACAAGACTTGCTGTCGTCCCGTTCATCGCGCAAGGCTGCCAGAGTCAAGGACAAAACGCCTGTTCCCGCACCTGAAAGACCATGAAACGCAGACAAGGATCAAGGATATGCACACCAACCCAGTTCAATGATAGTTCTATTCTCTTTAGAGAATAGTGCCGTCTGCAGCGTTTCAGGCAGTTGTGCCAATCTTGATTTAGTGACCAACCAAGAACTGAGACCGATACCACTGTCCCATATTTTCTATATCTAACCGAGATAAGACGAGTTTTCAATGAGAAATATTTGAAACACCTTATCCAAGTCGAATGAAGTCTGCTCTGTTATCTTCATCGTGCCGCGATGCAAAGCATAAATTCTTTCAATCCTTGCCTGTTTTTTCTCTGTTGCAGTGGACCGTCCAAATTGCACTGGCATAGATAAGACCCCAAAGGGTAGTCTTCCCAGGACGTCGCTGTCTTGAAGGTTAACAATGGCATCTGAAGCCGTCGAAGAGGCGGTCAAGATAAGCGTCCATTCCTGGCCGTCTCGGACTAAAGGTGGCAAGGGAACAATAATCTCCTTGTATGCATTCTCTTGTCGCCAAGTGGTCAATTTATTTGGTCTGGTCTGGGTTCCTAGTGGTGACGACCAGATGTAGAAGATGTCTTGCGTGCTGTGATTAAATTCGGTACGAAGGTCATTGGTGATCTGTGGTGTAATGCAAAGCTTTCCGGACAAGCTGACATATGATGGAGGAGGTCGTAGGAATGAGATGTAGTAGAACATGCCGACCAGTTAATGAATCTCGATCCGCAATTTTTTTGAGAGGTCATGCGCGGGCCTATCTTGCTTCCTAATCGGGTCAAGACTCAATTAAAATTACATATTTTCCTTTTATTTTCCTTTTCTTCTTGCTCTTCTTTCCCTCGCTGTTGCGATAGCCTCGGATGGTCTACCATGAAATGCCAAGTACGCATTGGACAATACCGACTACAGCACTTTGGAGTGGCTGCCGGCCTGTATCGGAACAGAAACCTAGCAAGATTCCGAGACTGCGAGCGAATGAGAAAGAGCAGGTAGGCTGGACGGTAATACTCAAATATGAAACTGTTCGTCGAGGACAATCAAACTGTTTGACAGGATAGGAACTTTTTGAAAACTCAAAAAGATACCACGATAATCATCACAAATAATATGCATTCGTAATCATTACAGTATGACGAACTCACATACTACTTAATATACATCAAAAAGCTCGCAGAATAAACCCTAACGAACACGCCAAGGACTAATCAACTGCCACATCCTAAACTTCATTAACTCTTCAAGCTCCGGATCCAGACTGGAAAAACAGGGCGAGTTAGTAAAGCAACATTAGACGGTCGAAGGTATGCAACTCACAGCATGAGCATTATCTGTGGGGGGCCATATTCGTCAGAGGAATGCTTTACCGTGCAGATGTAGACATACCGTTGACACTGATTCCGAAAGACGAGGGCGACTCGTTGTTCCCGTTGTTTACGGTGCTGGCGGGAGTGCAGGAGCTGGCGGAGTTGTCGTTATTGGCGGGAGGGGCGGAGCTGGCGGGAGAGTCATTGCTAGTGGCAGGAGCGTTGCTGGTGGCAGGAGCGTTGTTGGTGGCAGGAGCGTTGGCGACGCGAGGTTCCCTAGCGAAGGACTCGAATAAAGCGGCGATAAGGTTCCGGATGACTGGGAGGGCAAGCGGGACGAAAGCTTCGTTGTCGTCAAGGGTGCCAAAGAGGTCAAAAAGGTCGAGAAGACTGTCAACTTTGGAAAGGGCGTCCAAGTTGTGGGGAGTGCCGTTCAGAATGGCCTCGAGAGCAGCGATGAGAGCGCGGAAGATGGTATCGACGCCAAGTCTGGTGGGAGTGTTGTCGGCATGGTTGACGAAAAGGTGGAGTTCATTGAGGAGGGTGGCGATATGAGTGATGAGGACGGTGGTAACAGCGCTGGCGCCATTGTCGTTGACGTCGTTGGCGAGACTGCTGACAGGACCGCTAGTAATGCCGCCTAACAAATCAGCAACAACTTTACCGGGACCGCTGCTAAGAGCCCCGGAGTCACCGAAGGCGTTGAGGTTGAGGTTGTTGACGATGTCCTAAACAATGGACATCAGAGTGGAACAGACCAGAACCAAGTTAGTCACGTACGGCTGCACCGCTTCCTCTGTTCACGAGAGATGATGGCGCCGCGTGTACGGACATCGTGAGGGCGAGCGCAGCGACGGCAGCAGCGTTGACGACGTTGAAGAGCATAGTGATGGTATCGAGTTGGACGGTAGCGAGCGTGGTGTTGCTGAAAAGCAGTAGAGATGATGGGAGTAGAGGGAAGAGTTGGGAGATATGGGTTGTCGAATCGTCGCGTCCTTTTATACCCTGAGGGCCCACCCCAGGTAGCGCAGATCCCAGCCACAGTCGACGTCATTCGCGCGACGATGACACGCATCGACAGTTCTTCTGGCGAGATTTACCCAATTCGGATAACATTCGTGTTCAATTTCCCAATGCCCACGATCCCGCCCCCGAGCGTATGACCCGCGACGCTTCATGTCACGTCACGTCGCGTACTATGCCATGTCCTCGTAGTCCTGTTCTTGAGAGTTGTGTCCATCAACCTTGCGACCAACCCAAATCATGTATGGCCGTGGAAGGCCATTGCTTCGTCCTATCCGATATATTTCCCAGCCAGCCCTTCCAAGCCAAAGTTCCAGAAATAGGCGCACTGCATCTTCGTCTCGTAGCTCAATAACCACCATCACGGTTGTCCGTCCAGGCGTCGATACATAATCAATTGTGTCCACCAAAGCAGGCATTAGAGACGGGTGATATATGCAGTCAACTACGAATACAAGATCCACAGCTGGAAACTGAAATGCTCGCGATCGCTGCTTCGATGGAGTCGCATGAAGTGAAAGCCAGTCAAGCTCGGCGATTGATATATTAGTCGTATCAGGAGAGCCAGCGCAGTTGAGTGATACGTTCTTTTCAAGTAGCGGCAAGATTTCACTAGTATCGGTAACAGTATAATTTCGAACCCAAGGACTCAGTGCCATACTCAACAGACCGGTACCCGCCCTGTTGCAGCAGCTCAACGAAAGAACGAGAAATAACGTTTTAAGAAAGGCTAACCCGAGTTCTAGTATTGCCATGTCTCTCAACGTAGTCTTGTCAAAGAGAGAATCCGTCGGTGCAGCAAAGTGGAGCTGTTCAAGTACCAGACGCGCAAAATCAATGCTGTACGAAAGGATTAGTCTCGCCATACTGCGGTATAAGCTTCAATAGTGACAACCTAGCTTTCCACACCACGCTTCCCGTGTCCCCATTCCGACTTCGCAAGGCGGTAACGTCCTGGGCGACGCTGATTTCAATTGTTCTCCCGGCCGGTCTCGACAACTTGGTTGGACGTTTCGAGGAGTGCCTTGAGGACTTTGCTCGAGGTAGAGGTACCGGAGGAGCGCCCATTGGTGGGCAGAGGTCTAGCTGAACCGTGAGGACATCATGATGCGAATCTTGCTGTCCAAGTCCACGAAATTCTCCCGAGTATGGCGAAATGCCGCCCTGAAGATCCGAGTATATCAAAAACACCTGTGATAAGAGTAAAAAATTTAATACGGGTTGAAAGAGATTCAGTAGTAAGATAGCACCTCTTCGTCTGCATCAACAACTAACTGTGAATCTTCTGGTAACCGAACGGCACCACAATTACGATTACCGCCGTCGTTCATTGAAGCAAAAAGCTCTCGTAAGGTTAAGCCGTCCGGCGTCGTAATGGTCGGCACTAGCCCAAACTTTGTTGTCGGTTGTTGTCAATGGCCTGTCGATGCTCTCTTCGTCGGTCCACCGTCATTTAGCACGGTCGCTACCTCCTTTGCACACCACTCGTCGATTATTCACCTCTGGAAGATGCCTGAGATACACTGAAGCTACTCAGAAGATTCATGAGCCACCTTTCGAACGGCCTAAATTTGCGGAAAGGCTAGGCCGACCTCAAATAAGGAATCAAGTCCTGGTATGCTAGATTGCGCTTTTGGATGCTAAATAGCTGACTGGAGGCAAGTTCTTCGTATTTGGGTCGTCGCTTGCGTTTTCTTATGCCGCATGGAGAACCAATTTTGAGACAGAGGTGTGGGCGAACAGGCTGGCTGCAAGCACGAAATGGACCGACATCACCAGTGCGGACTTGCGTAGACTTCAACAGATCGAATTAGTCAAGGTATGTATTCTGTTTTCTGTGCCTAATCATCTTTAACCCAAACCGACACACGACAGAATCTTCGAGGACTCTATGCTCTTATTCAAGACCAAGCTTCGCAGATCCCTCAGTTGCTCCGACCGTGGATCAGCGGATTATATCTTGCCTTCGCACAACCCTATGCAGATGCCTCAGATGGGCGACGCCTCTGCTGGAAACTCTGTTTGCTTAACGCTGGCGTATGGGTGGCTTGGAATGTATCACGTTTGCAACCTGTGATGATTCGTAGTTTCATGCACCACCCGCTTTCCGGCTTATCGTACACCATGCTTTCAAGCACCTTTAGGTACGTATCTTCAGGGTATTCATTTCACAGATTGTTTACTGGCTTGTAAATACAGTCATAGGTCAATCATCCATCTCTTGGCCAATTGTCTAGCGTTGGAAAGCTTTGGTAGCCGTTGTTAAGGTGCTATTTTGGCTCTAGGCTGATTCTTTGTTCACAGGATCGTCCGCGTCGGTGTATCTCTCTCAGTCCCAGTCCTCTGCATCCCCGGATCAACTTGAATCAACATCGGCATACCATTTCCTAGCCTTCTACCTTTCAGGTGCGCTATCTCAAGCAGCCATTGGCCAAATGGCTCTGATCCTTTTCTAACTTGATCTAGCTGGTGTGTTTGCATCCCTCGTTTCGCACACTGTGGCCGCTAAATTCAAGTACCCCCGTCTCATATCGCGCTTATCTTCTCCTGCCAATGCACCCAAAGCCATTGACACATGGCAAGCGGCAGTTTCTTCTGCAGCATCCACCACGGCAGCTAGTGCAACCACAAAAGCTGCCACCTCGTCAATAATGCCTTCATTAGGCGCCTCTGGTGCCATATATGCCTGCGTAACAATGACAGCTTTGGCATTTCCAAACGGGCAGATTGCTCTAACCATTCCTCCTTCATATCCCATCGATATACAATTAGGTGTTGGCGCCTTGCTGGCACTAGATGTTCTGGGTGTAATTCGAGGATGGCGGTTCTTCGACCACTTTGCCCACCTCGGCGGTGCAGCTTTCGGTGTCGCATACTACACTTTTGGCCCGACGTTTTGGACCTACATGAGGGGTGCTGGCGGCGGCAAAAAGTCCGATCAGGAAGAGGAGTAAAGGAAGTGTCGGTTTCCGAGGCCTCTCGGCTCCGGACCCATATAAAATTTATTCAAGACAGTTTCTGTATTCTCACTCGTTCACACTCTGTAGATGCTATAGAACCCAAGATATACAGTGTCGTGAAGAAGCCAAAACGGGTTTGACTTCCGCGAGTTCTTCCAAGATTGAGAATATTCCATGCATGCATCTTCTAAGAAATTCGTGCAGATCCGACGAAGATAGCGCTTCACTTACCTTCTATATACCGTCTTTGCACTTCCGTCGTAACGAGCGGACTTCCTAGGCTTCTGTGAACATTCTTCCACAAACTTGGTTCAGAAAATGGTTACTATAAACACACCCCATATTTCAGGCGTTGTCCGTCTTCATAACTGAGCCCCAGTCCACACCAATGGCTCGCACTAAAAATTGTGCAATCAAGAGTACGGGAGGGAAGAGTGCGTCATATCTGCTGTTTTTCTACTCCTTTCTAACCAACCTTCATAGCCACTAAAAAGCCGGTCTTTACTAACAACAATCCTCTTCCTCTTCCCCCCAGGCAGCTTGCCGTCAAGACCCCCCAGATGCCTGCTCACAAAAGGTTGCGGCGTCATCGCTTCCGCCCTGGAACTGTGGTCCTTCGGGACATCAGGAAGTACCAAAATTCGACGAACCTGCTTATCCGAAAGCTGCCTTTTCAACGTCTTGTCCGCGAAATCGCACAAGGCATTCAGGCAAGTCATCTTGATATTCTCAAGCTGTTGCAGTACTTATATGCTTGGCAGCTTTTCCCTCTTCTTCGCTTCCAGACGTCTGCTGTCCTCGCCCTGCAAGAAGCTGCAGAAGAGTATTTGGTTTCGATCTTGAAGGACGCAAACGCCGCATGTCTCCATGCGAAAAGGGTCACTCTGATGGCTCGGGATGTTGCTCTCGTTCGAAAGGTCAGAGGTGGCCGTGAAGCATATTGAATCTGAGACTAGGATAAGGGGGGATAGAAGTTACGAACGTATAAATTTTAAGCCTGGATAATCAACTGTGATTTTTGCTTTCATTTCAGTGAATGCCTCAACATGATGCCATGTTGTTTAATCGAGGGTAAATAATGTGGCGTGCGATCACCTTATGACTACTAGCCTCATGTGGATGAGGGTATTACAAACACAGTCGTACGTCTGATTACGCTCAACTGGCTTGGCCATTCCGCTACTGCGGACTAGCCTCGGGATCCCCACGCAGCAAGACGCACAGCACAGGGGAGGGATCAATTAAGGCTCCAAGTGCGCTTAGTGGTCAAGCAAAATCAACAAAATCACGTTATTCCAAGAGACTCGGAATCGTTGTCTACAAACCCTCAACGTTAACATCCGCATTCCTTGTCAGCAGAGGGAGCATATGTACAGCAATATGCGATGACCGATCACCGGGAAGTAATAATATCATTCGATCACGTGGCGGAATTTTGCCTCGAAACGACATAATAAGGACCGCAGCTACCTTGGCCTCCCCTCCGTTTTGCCTAGTTCCCCTTCTCGCTGGGCGAGCACAGCAATCTTCTATCCGATTTATACCTCTACCACCACGTTCCTTCACACATCTCTTCCTATCCTTTTATCCCTCTCCAATGCTGTCGTTGTTACCTTTTTGTTTTGCCCTCTTGCTATGCGCCTCGTCAGATGTTTTCGCTGCTCCTCAACCAAAGCCTGCAGGTAACGGGCTTTCGATGAATCTACATAGACGGCGTCCCGCGTACAAGTCGAGGGAAGAGTGGGGTCAGTGGGCGAGGAGCCACAGGGAGATGTTGATGACGAAGTATGGTGCTTCAATACCCCAAAAGCGCAGTTCGGGTGCCAATTTGTGAGTCGTTGGCTGTTGCCGATGGGTCAAGTTTTTCATCCCGTATGATATGTAGGTTGGTCAACCAAAACACCGACTCGAGGTATGCTTAGCTTGACGACGAGTGCCAACATTCTCTGATATCATCTTGTTAGTTTCTACGGATCGTTGGCCATTGGTACTCCTGCTGTTTCTTACAACGTGATATTGGACACAGGTTCTGCGTGCGTTTGTCCGTGGCCTTAGACTTACAGTTTGCTCTAACTACAGTTATAGTGACCTGTGGGTAGCCGACAGCGACTGTGTCACAGGATGCAGTAGCATACCCACGTTCAACACCGCCGGCTCCAGTACCTTCGTCAATAAGAGCACCGATTTCTCTATATCGTATGGTAGCGGTGGCGCTGCTGGCTTCTTAGGCTCTGATACTGTCCAAATGGCCGGTTTCTCCGTATCAGATCAGATCTTCGCTGTGTGCGACACAATAACATCGGGACTGCTGTCAGACCCTGTTTCTGGACTTTTGGGCCTGGCTTGGGAGTCAATATCAACAGCCCAAACCACTCCCTTCTGGCAAGCGTTGGCTTCGGGAGGCGCTTGGGATGAGCCTTTGATGTCATTCCAGCTGACACGGTACGCACTTCTTCCATTTTGATGATCTTGTTGTCTGATGAAAGCCGCAGTTACCTTGGAGTCAGTAGAGCTAGTAGCCTCGAACCTGGAGGAACCTTCACCATGGGTATGTTCGCGTAGAACCGATTATTGCTAGACGCTAATAATCGCTTTACTATAGGCTTCGTCAACTCCTCGCTGTATACTGGGGAAATCGAATACATGGATCTAGTAGACTCCGGAAGTTACTGGTTGTTGTCCCTGAGCTGTGAGACCTCTGTCTATTCATTCCATCGTGGCTTAACGACCAATATCCGCAGCTCTGACCGCTCAGGGAAGTTCCGTGACCATAGGCGCCGGTTCAGATGCCTATGCTGCGATTGATACCGGTACCACCTTAGTTGGAGGTCCTTCCGCTTACATCGCTAATCTCTATTCGAAAATACCTGATGCGACTGCGGGTACAGGCGACTACGACGGATACTATATATATCGTGAGTAATTTTTAAATGTGCTACTTTTAGCGTTCTCAAACAATTCTTTAGCTTGTGATACCACTGTCAACGTTACAATGTCTTTTGGCGGACAAAGCTGGTCCATCAGCAACGAGGATTTCCAGCTTACCCAAATATCACAATCGGAGTGTATAGGCGCCTTCTTTGAGTTAACGACGGGAAGTAGCGCACCCGCGTGGATTGTTGGTGATACTTTCTTGGTACGGTTATAGTTTCAAGATTAATGTTGCAACACTGATTTGAGAATCACTTGTTAGAAAAATGTCTACTCTGTCTTCCGATACAATCCCGCAGCAGTAGGGTTTGCTGCGCTGAGCGAATACGCCTTGTCTATGAATGGTGACACTAGTGCCGGAGTACCAACCGCGACCATCGGCTCTATTGCAGCGGCTGTGTCAGCAACGGGCAGTTCCACGGGAGGACGAAGTAATTATGCAAGCCGGACGTCGCTGGGTGCCGGAACATGGCTAACAACATTAGTCTTGATCGCTGCGGTTTACCTATCATGACGGCGTACTAGATCATTTTTATCTTTATTTTCGCTGTTGGACGTAAGACAACCTATCTACGCCCTCCATCCCCAGCCAAGTTATGTATACTGTATCGATATTAACACATGTTACTTTCTGTTAAAATTAGTTTTGGACTACAGATATTGCTGGCTTTCAATGATGCGGGGGTCTGCCAGTGATAACATATCTAAGCCATGGCATCGAAGCAGTTCCACAATAAGGACAGCGACAAGCCAAAGCAGCGACTTAGAAGATTTGACAATGCGCGAAATTCATGCTACGACAATGAAATTCCACCAAGCATGCTGAGGAGACTGTCCCAGACAATACAATCCTACTAACTCACGTAGAGAAGGCAACGGACCACGAAATACAGAGCGAAAAAGATAAATATGGGGCGATACACTAGGAGTACAATAAAGATATGCGAATGAAACATGATTCTATGAGCGCTCTCCCCTCAACCTACGAGCCAAAGCCAAATCTTTAGGCTGAATAGTAACACGCTTCGCATGAATCGCAGCAAGATTAGTGTCCTCAAACAGAGACACAAGGTATGCTTCAGCTGCTTCTTGAAGCGCCATCACAGCAGACGATTGGAATCGCAGATCAGTCTGGACATCATCGCATCAACAATCACACCCCGTACAAATCCACCATATACACACCTTGAAATCCTGAGCAATCTCACGAACCAATCGTTGGAAAGGCAACTTCCGAATAAGCAACTCCGTAGACTTTTGATACCTCCGGATCTCACGAAGAGCAACAGTCCCAGGACGGAATCGATGAGGCTTCTTCACACCACCAGCAGCCGCCTAAAACAACGTCAGACCCGACGCGACAAAGAACGCCCAAAAACTCACAGCAGTTTTACGCGCTGATGACTTGGCAGCCAATTGTTTACGAGGAGCCTTTCCTGTTCAAAGATCAACACAGAAAGACTACCGCCACCAATAAGCCACCAACCTCCAGTAGATTTGCGAGCTGTTTGCTTGGTACGAGCCATGGCAATTAATAAAGGCAAGTCGAGTCAAGTAGTAGTGGTAGTGGTGATGAGTGGTGCTGGCGGTAGCGGATTGAAGTAAGGTTCTCCTCAGTTTGGCCACCGCGTTATATACAAACACGACGCGTCTGGCCACGTGATGGGCCGCGGTGTCCTAAATCAACAAAACAAGGAATGAGCACAGCCACCTGTCGGAGCTACATAAGGACAGCCGCCTTTGAGAGGCTCCCTCAATCGGTTACTCTCACCTTTACCACCACCATCAACACCACCTTTCATCAACACCCACCAAGCCTCTAAGCGGCTATACTTTGATAACTTTATCCACTACACAACTCTATCGACATGTCTGGACGTGGCAAAGGTGGAAAGGTGAGCATTGGGTTTTGTTGAAGGTCTCTGATCTTGCTTGCTGATGGGGATGCGATGTAGGGACTCGGAAAGGGTGGAGCCAAGCGTCATCGCAAGATTCTTCGTGACAACATTCAGGGTGAGTGTCGCTGTGGATGTTTTAGTTTGCTGTTGGTTGCTGATGAATGGATTGCCACTTGGGATTAGGTATTACGAAGCCTGCTATTCGTCGACTTGCTCGTCGTGGGGGTGTGAAGCGTATTTCTGGTCTTATCTATGAGGAGACCCGTGGTGTTTTGAAAATTTTCCTGGAGAATGTGAGTTCTAGGTTTATGCCACTGTGCCTGTTCTTTTCTGATTTGTTTGATGCAGGTTATCCGGGATTCGGTGACGTATACTGAGCATGCGAAGCGGAAGACGGTGACTGCGCTTGATGTTGTGTATGCACTTAAGCGGTCAGGTCGTACTCTTTACGGCTTTGGCGCATAGGCGCTTTTCAGTTGCATTCGTGTCTGTATTTCTACATGTACCGCTACTATTTACTATTTATTATCGATTTCCTATTGCATCAGTGATTTGTCGTCTTGAGGTCAATTCTATGAGTGTTTACTTCCGTTAGTGGGACTTACGTGTACTGTGTATTGCAGATTCATTCAATCATGGTGTGTGAATTCCTCGTTTTGTTCGACGTATGGCTTACTCCTTCGATTCCCCGTGAATTGCATTTGTATAGATTTTCCGATCTTTTTCCGGTGACATCAAAAGGTTCTTAAATGTTTCTCAGCCCGGGGTTGTACGTCTCTGCTACCCTTATTGTCCCAGGTCTTGGCCTCACGGTTCTTGTTCCCTATCTTTGTCTAGGGATGCAATGTCGGATGCTTTACCGAACATTGAACATATCCTTCCTAACGAAACACTTTCCGCCATCTTCGAGATTCTTCCCCTTCCCTTCCTTGCTGACATTTCACGCGTTTCTCGCCACTTCAACGCAGTGGCCGAACGCGTCTTATACTCTACCATCTATGTTCGAGACATTATCTCCGCCGCGGACTCCCACCCTTGGCGTACAATGAGATGTTGTGATTCTCTCCTTCAGCGTCCTCATCTTCTCGAATCGATACGGATATTTCATATCCGTTGGCATACCACAGAAAGAACGCCGTTATCTACCCTGGACCTCGAAACAGCTTCAATCAAATTGTCGGTCACTCTTCGAACCCTCCATTTTCTTGATTCTCTCGAATTATCTCTCGGTCCTGCGAACATGGCCGCAGCAGACTACGCCCATCTTCACCCAATTGAGCGGATAATCCGCGGATGCTACTTCCCACACCTCCGGAGCTGTTCCTTCGGTGCAGATTGGGCTAAGGGGGTCCAATCATATTCCACAATCTTAGACTCGTTTCTATCGTCCGTACCCTTACTACGGCATCTGAAACTCTCAGATCACCACGGGGCCTTAAATTTACGGTCTGACGCCCTTCCCAACTTATCATCTTTCCGCGGTTCCACCGACACTGCAGCTTACATCCTGCCGGGTAGACCTATCCAGAGTCTTTCACTCGTAGGTCAGGATTCTGATGTCACTCGGGACAATCTCCCGCGATTCACGCTCGCTACCACACCATTGCGGTTTCTGGATTTATCGGCCATGTCCGTGAGACCCATTCTTCTCCGTAACATAGCTACCTACCTCCCTATGGTAGAGGTTATACGGATAAGACTCACTCTGCGTCACACACTCCATTATGCGCTCTCCGGTATCGTGAGTACCCACATCTGCTTGTTTGTGTCCTTTCCCTGATGCCTTCTCCCGGAAGCGATAGAGGCTCTTAACCGGATTATCGCCCGTCTTGCATGCGTTTAGTCATTTGACTTTGCTAGACCTGTCGCCCACCGTGGTGGCCGGGTTACCCCAATCCAACGGCGACGAAGAATTAGCGCTGTGCAGGGAGTGGAGGCGTGCTTGCCCTACCTTGCGGCGCATCGTCTTTCCCTCCCAGATGGAATGGGACATTGGGCATGATGGCGTCTGGAGACCCGCCAGCTAGACTTAAAAGACTATGCTGCCATGATTAGCAGGCTTCTTCGATTGCGCTTTCGGCACCCTTTCACTGTACCATCATTTCGAAATTTCGGGGAAATATTATCATCGACGTGTACTTGTATGTGTATGACAATCAATATAGCACTTGCGTACCAAGGCGGCTTGTATTAGAACCCGCAACACACATCACACAACATGATAAGTCAGAATTGTCCCAGTGGGCCATAAATAAACTTCCAATAATTCATCAGCGATGATAGAGACGATACATGATATGACGAATACAAGTGTGATGTAAATTAGAGAAAACACGAATGAAGGCAAGATAGTAACGGTAACAACGTCCTGCGCAGGGGGTATACACCTTTTATTCCGAATCGTCTACAAATATGTCGTTGTAATGTTTGAGTATCGTTTCGATGGCCTAAGTGGATATCAGTACCACAAATTGACTGTAGACTGTATGCTTACTAAGTTGGACAGGTCTATTATGGACGCGCCCGCGTCATTCATCCCGCCGTTCACACTGACGCCGGGAAGAATTTGTCCAAACAGAGTCGGCCCGAAGATAATTGACATGTTCTGGGCAGTCATCATATTCGCTGGCTCATGAATTATCCTGTCCCATGGTCTAAGCATTAGGGCGTGGACTATCCGACAATGATACGTACCGATGCAGGTGACCAAGGAAATACTTCAGCGTTGCGTAGTTCGCATCAGGAAGATCGTTCACTCTCTCGTGCAATCGGATGTGTCTTAGTCGGTCATTATCGATCTCTGTTGGAGGATATGGCAATAATCAGTAATCTGTACTGAAAGGACAGCAATAGATGAACTGACTGGCAGCTTCGATGAAACCATGTTGCAAACTAATAGTCATGAGTGGATCCGGAAGTTCGCGCAACCACAATTTCAGTACGCCCGTTACGTTGTTAATGTCCGCAGACCATTCCGGCGCGTCAAGATCCACAGAATCAAGGTCTTCATAAGGTTCCAGTCAGGCGATGCCGTTTAATAGCAGATTCACGTACCTTTGTCAAGCTGATGTTTGAGATTTTGCACTTTACTTGTTGTTCCGCTTAGACGGTATATCCCCGTTATATCCATACCATATTTCTCAATCGCTTCACAGCACTTCCGCATGATAGGTGGAACTTCGACGTCATCCCTCGCCATCTGTTCAGCAAGGTCGACACCAAAGGTTGGTCGACCTTTGTCTGACGTATGATGTCCGTTCGAAGACGTGTCGGGCGTGTGCCTCTCTCTGTTGTAAGCAGGTATAGGTGGTAAGAATCCTTCATCAGACGGTCCGTCGCGTCGCGGTCCTCTAGAGGTAGAAGTCCCTCGTGCGTAAGCATAATTCTGCATGAATGTTTTGAAGTCCCCTCTGTTATCGATGGCTTCAATGGAGGCTTTCAATCCTTTTGAAAGCGTGTTGCCTGACAAGAATTCTCAGATACCAGATCCAACTGACGCAAGATAGACTAACCCTCTTCCTTGGGAGGTACCAACGTCGATCCGTCACTAAGAACGATGCTTTCAAAGAGGAAGGCATATCTTGTGAGATGGTATTGTGTCCCAAGGTCGATTTCATCAGCACATTCCTTCAAGGCCTAGCAAAGAGTAAGCGATTGATCACAAACCATACCATTTACGCACCCTAAGAATCCGCGGTAGCTGAAAGTTGTAGTACTCTTGTCTCATTGCCTGTGTATCGGTAACGGCTTTGCGGAACGCATCAGATGCTGTCGACATTCGAGCTCTGATGTCGTCTTCTTGTCTTTGGATCTACAGGAGATGAGGGGAGACTTCAGGAGATGTGAGATTGACCTACATTGCCTGGGTTCTTTCCCTTCAATAGCAGACCCCCCTTTGCTACGGCCTTGCCAATTACTCGTTTCCCTCCCGCACCACCAGGTCTCGCCTGAACAGAATTATCCTTGAAAGATTCCCCTTCCTTTTGCAGGAGTACGCGTTCCAGCTCTTCAGATGTTATGTCAAGCCGATTCTTGCTTTTCTCGGTTATTCCTTGAGACTCAATCAATGCTCGCTCATACCGGCTAGCAAGATCTTTAGTCTACAAAAGCATGGGAATGGTTTCTTCGCGTCTTAGATCCTATAACACTCACTTGTTTTCGGTTTTTGTCCACCTCTTTTGACAGCGTAACCAGTTCTTCACTCATCTCGTTGAGTCGCTGAGCAAATCGTAGCCTATTTTCGGACATTTGTTCATGAATACGCATCGAAGATTGCCAAGCTGTTACGAATGTCCTACGTTATAGTCAGAGTGTGAACAGTGAAAATTCAGGCTAATCCATACCCTGCTTTACCGTCATTCAGAGAATACATTTCAGCGGTTGACCTCGACAACTTCTGCATTCCTTTCCCATACTCTTCCTCAATTGCAGCTCGCTTCTTCAGGAACACCGCAGCCTCCTATAAAACATGAGGATAAAGATGACATGAAGGCGCAAATGACTCGCCCTGCACGACACCATGCTTTGCTTTATACGATCAAGCAGTAACGGGACCCCACACTAAACGCATCAAAGTTCTGTCGTATGTAAGAACGGGATTAATAAAGGACAACGTACATCCATGTCGCACAGCGCCCTCAACACGTTCTCGTCAAAACCCTGTTCCACCAGACTTGCCGTGTCTCCTGGTACCGTCTCATGAGACTCGCTAATAGCTGTTGGTGTGTCCCGCCATTTCGACGTCGATGACGGACCAAGAGAATCTGAGCTTGGCCGAGACTGTGGTGATATAGAAAGCGGATGTGAAGAAGACGCTGATTCCTGGACATCGAGTGAACGCATTGGAGGCCGAGTATAGGAAGTAGCGGCAGTGGATTGGAAATCAGATTGGTCGGCACTGTCCCAGGTAGAGGAATAGCCGTCTTCAGGCATATTGTCGGGGTGGTGGCTGTAATATTTGCGTTGGCACTCGTCCTCGAACACGATTTGCCACACCGGTACCTGCAATTACTATACCAACTTGAGCTAAGCGAAGAGCCTTGCGTCGGCAGCGGATTCAGAACCCACGTGGCTCAGACTAGATTATGTAAGCGCATTCCCCTCACCGCCAGAGACCTTGGGCTCCAGCATACTTATTAGCGAAGACAGTACGCAGCTTCCAACTGAAAGCATGTAAACACTTCTCACTCTTACAGTTAGAGAAAAAGCAGCGTTGATACACCGTCAATAGACACGACTCTACGCATAGTACTACCTCATGCGGAAAAACAGAGTTCCTTATCACCTCTGAAACAACGCTCTATTTGGAAAATTCCCCCCAGTCCGTGGGTCGAATTTTGATAAGAAACATGTTTGTAGAGTGAGTGAAGGCGAAATGCAAGGTCATGTTTGCATAGATTGAAGATGAACGTTGAAATGTTAACATTTGAATCGAAATCCAGTCAGGTCGTTTCATCCTTATGAATGGAGCTTCGCCCTCTCAGGCAACATGTGCTTCACCGCAGGTGTGTGGACGCAGCCACCGTATAGCATTCTATATTTGAGGGTACCCTAATATTTTTGGCCACACATTAAAGCCGCACACCTTTCGCGCAGTGCACCAGAGTACGCTTCCGTTGGGGTTGTGGCCTGGATATTAAGAAGAGGCACACCGGTGACTTAAATGGAGTGAGAAGATTGGCAGATCAAACACAACCTTGGTCATTCGAAGTTTCCCTTAAAAAGCAAATGTATACCCGAGCACAGCGCGTGCAATTTTTTCCCTGACATCGTCCGTCCCGATCCTTCCATCATCATGCCGGCGGATATCGACAATTATCGCAGGGTCGGGAGACCGAATTCATAACCACGGTCTGTTCGGCGTTCATGCTACGTACGAGTATTGAAGTTAGCATTGTGCATCTAATCTCGGTGCATGAACATACGTTTGGGCGCATGTAGCGATACAATTGTGCTGGTCGTATAGATGCATACTGCTATACCGACAGAAGCGGTTATTACAATCCACCTATACGTGAATATGGCATCAGACGGAGCCGCTCTACGAGGATGACAAGGGAACATACTCTTTGACGTTTGGTGACGACTTGGTGCATGCATGCGTAAACATCTGCCACATGGAGGGTGAAGCACATTGGGCCTTCGGCTTGCGTGTTCGTAGGACTGGTATTGCAAGGGCGGAAATGACTGTACATGGCCTAAGCTGAACAGCATTTATAGAGTGTACTGGGCAAGTCCCCGTCCTCATGGCCAGGAGAGATATCAGACTGTTCCTAGTGTCGCCATTTTGTTGTTCACATCTATTTTCATTAGGGGCTTCTGGAAATAGTCCATGAAAAAGAAATGAGAAGAAATGGAACGCAGGGACGGCATTTGAGATCTCCGGAAGGTGATGAAAAGGGCTTCGCGGGAGGCTGTCCAAGGCCTGTCTTCGCATCAAGAGGTGTACGCATTGGGCGATTACCTTCATGTGATCGTGTTCTGTTTGAAACTGTTGTCATTAGTAATTCAGGCGCATGCCGGAGAGAGTGACCTACATAGGCAATGAGTGGTGAAAGTTTGGTGCAAATAAAATAGACCCCCACGTTGACTCAGGCCCGAGGAGGCGGAGAATATATATACAGATCTGCGTAATAGGGACGACAACTGATATTAAAGACGTCCACATACAACAAATCGAGTGTCATCACTTGCGTCTTCCGAACTACAGCCAATAAGCGTTATCATAGCTGACGAATCGACTGAGTACTACACCGAGATGCGTTCACAAATTCGGTACCCCGTCCCCTTCGAATCCAGCTATAGCACATCGGGCGAAATACTTGGCCAGGGCCAGCCGCACTGTCTTCATGTGCTCTAGAGCTTCTTTCTCCCCTCCCCCCTTCATTCGTCTCAGCAAGACACCTAGATAGTCCTGACCCGATCCTTGACTCGTTCGAATGGAAATTTCTTCCAACCTTTTCAATAACTCAGCTGCACTTGAAGGAGAAAATAGCAGGGTAGGACCTGGATAGAAATTTCATTGTATTAGTTGAGCAGACGAAGCAGAAAGATTTCGAGGTACCATGCTGTAGCAATTCCACCGAATCACAGAGTAATATCGCCCACCATGATTTCGGTGCAACGTCATCACGGAAAAGGACGACAAGATCCGAGGCGGCATCTCGAAATTCATGCTGTAGGCGTAACTGATGAAATTGAGAATATCTCACGACGAACATGAGCCGATGTATGAACACGCCTTGCAATCCAGTACGTGCTCCAATCCCATGCAAGGAAGGGGCAATTTCCGAAGCAAATCGAGCAAAAACCTGTGGACCTATACAGTTGGGTTAGCTTATCGATAGTTCGGGACAGGGAGCCACAATACCGCTGAGAATATATTCTTCGAGCAGACGATCAATAATACGTCCTAACCCAAACCAATCTTCTGCAGATATCGAATAAGAGATCGCAAGAGCGTAATCCTTTCCGCTGGCGAAGCTTTGAGCAGCGATCTAACATCGCTCAAAACCATCTTTCGAAGCGTGATATATTGGCACTCACCCGGCAAATGGCCCTCCGGGCCGCCTCCCTCTGGAACTCGAAACAAACTTGATTCAAGTCTCGTAATGTGCCTACAATGCCTTCCATTTCCCCTCGATTCTCAGCGGCCTTCTGCTCTTGTAAGCGTAACGGAACCCTCATCAAGACCTCGTCTCCGCGCTCCTTTCCTACGTTTCCACAGGAATACATATAGGCAAGTGTGATTCGCCATAAAGTGGGGTCGGAAAGGAGGTATTCGGCGTAAGCCAAGACGTGTTGGTCACGCTTGGACAACTCAGATCTTTATGAGTTGCTCAGCCTATGCTCCGAGTTAACGCCGGTGATAAGGGTGGACTCACTCTTCCTCTACATCAGTTTCGATAAGTGAAATTGGGGCCATTAGATCTGCTAAGTGTGCTGCTAGCCATCGATCAAGCTGCGACGCATACGACAGTGCCTGATCCATCTGCGCTGAAAACAGGGCTGAATGAACCATGTCTTCCAAAACGGTAGGGTCAGGAGGCATCGACTCGAGAACTTCTGCAACAATATCACTGTAACTAAGTGAGAAGACACTCATGATGAATTTGTAGCGTAGACCTACGGGAGATCCTGCCTTCGTAAACGGGTATCCACAAAAATACCCCAAGCAGCGCACACTTCTTTCCAGTCACTGCCTAGTTCTTCACATACTCGTTTGAGAACGTCCACGCGACCCTCGAGAATGCCCACGATATCGCTGAGGCGATCCCACCAGTTATCGAAGTCATCCTCACGGTCCTCTTCAGGAACACGGTCCATTTCGACCCTCAGAGAGTGGACTTTCTCTCTCCATCGTCGCGATGCAAAGGCGAAATCACGCTCAGCACTAAAATTCAGCAGCCGAGGTTGTCCGTCGATCAAGGGTATGAGCACTTGAGTTAGATCATGCAAATATTCAGAGGGATGATCGGAAAGTGATTTCAAGAAAAACACGGAGGCCTTTGTGAGGCCGCGGATGGTAGCTCTATGCCAGCTTCAGCGAGGAAAGAACCTTTTGATACCGGGAAGCCTACCTTGTTAGATATGACCAGAAATTGTCATCCTCCCAAGGACGATCGAGACTACTCAAGTGGTCTCCTTCTTCGGTTGACGGTTCAATGAAATGGATGTTCAACCACTCCATGAGCTCTTCTCCCACCGGGGCATCTTCATAATCGGGCTCAGGAAGGAAGATGATGACAAATAATGAAAAGCACGAGAACAAGGATCTATAATGATCAACGGTGAATTGCAAGGGTGATGCAACTGCTGTGCGATCCTGAGAAAAACATGAGGACTGGCGGAAAGAATTTATCACTGAAATTTACGGATAAGCGTGTCCAGTATTCTCGAATGAAATTAACATAATCGATTGAGAGTTTGCGAACGACTGAGAGTGTCTCGGTATCTTGCATCCTAGCAAAATAATGAGCTCCGGAGACCACGGACATGTTATGGAGCACCATTGGGGATTGCCAGCGATTCGATCTTGGTACAAGGACTGGAAGGCCGAAAAAATTACAATGGTGTCGGTAATGAACTACACGCGGCTTGAACATGAACAGACAATAACAACAAATTAGGCACGCACCAAACGTCTCTCAGACGTTGGAGCCGCATCTGTGCTGGCGAAGTAAAGTGGAATTTCTTCGTCAGTGTTTTCTTTTCTGGGCCCTTGGGCATCTGTCTGTTTTGAAGAAATGTATTATATGTAAAACAGGGTAAATGCAAAGATACAGTGCTCACCGATGTCGTCAGAAACACGGCCAACGAGTTTCCAACTGGTGAATACGACGCCGAAATGGTTTCTCCTGCCTTTATCAAGTCTTCAACGTGACCTGCCTCCACCACCGGGGGTACGAGATTGAGATGCATTGAAGACATTGAATGTAGAAGTGGAGGGTGAGCTCACGCGACAGCACCGCGTCAGATGACCACCTTGCCAATGTGTGTCCTTCACGCTGAGAAGCGTCGCGTCTAGTTCGGTGGCGTCGTGTGGTTGGGAGGAAAAGAAGTATGCTTACGTAATATCGGCGTTCTGCTTGTGACTGCTTGCGGACGGCTGAGCTAAATCGAGCTGGATTTCATTCTTACTAGCACTTTCTAGTATTTTTCTCGGTCTTTCGGAGGAGTAATGCTTAATGTCCGACTGTAAGTCCTCGTATCAATGGGGTTTGTCGAATGTACCCCCACGTTGACTGGGATCAGATTGACGACTCCTGGCGAGTCACCTCACCTAAGCAACCCATTTCCTCGCACATCTAGATCTAGTGGGTTCTCTCGCTGCTTTCCGTAATAGATCACTGAGAGCATCCAACTTTTCACCATACGGGCGTTCACGAATTTGGATCATCTTCATACTATCCATCGGGGCATGTACGGAGGTATACTACACGTACGCTTCCTCCCGTGAGGATTCAGACGCGACCGTCGGAACTACAGTTATTTACCGGTCAATGAAACAGCAAAACTGGATATTTACTGTAGGTTCCAATTGGTTGGGAATTTTGACTAGGTTTGAATGTAAGAATGTGTAATACTATACAACAATAAGATACAGTAAAAAAAAGATGCTCAAAGGTGCGAGTACAAGTCCGTTTTCACAGCATTATCGTGGCGTGGGTATTCTAGGCTATTTTGAGTCATTGAAACAGTCCGGCCCATGTACCCAAACCTCATTAGTCAGCTACTCGGAATCGCTCGAGTGCTATAGAAAAGTGAGATCTCCTTTCCAGTCTCTCTCTGATATACAGCCTCAAAATCTTTGCAGATTTTTCTTGCACCTTTTCGAGGAGCACCAGGTAGTTTGACAAGCTCATTCTTGTATGCAATCATTTGCAATGACTGCCTTTTCCATTAGCTGGTCATGGCATTTGTGAGCAATCTGGCACTTTTTCGAGTTTGATTTGGCATGTCCAGGCATAGTAAAAAATTGAGCAAGAGGAGAAATAAAGTTCGGAGGCAGCAGGGCAATAATGGACACATTGGACTGTCAGACTGTCCATCAAAGGTGATGGCTTGGCAGAACCGCACTTTTATTTATGCCCTAGACTCCTCAGATAATGGCCGCTTGGTCTCAAACCTGTCACACAGGTTCTTCAGAAGGTCATTAACATTATTGAGGCCTTTGTGGGTGATTACATTCAGATGGAGGACACACATTTCCAGGTCAGATTTTGAGTTCATGAGAAAATAGATATTTTTAGAACAGAAGCCTTAATTTCTCGGGAATATTATTCATGTCACATATGAAGAATCACTGCAGAACATGAAGATACAATACACATCAGCAATGTAATACAAGTTGATGATGAAGGATGAAGGGAGGGAGAGCAAGAGGCTAAGTGTTTCATTGAACCATGGTGTTGCAATGACCGGTAAATAACTGTATTTGACCTATGGGAATATTAACACTTCGAAACTAAGGTCAAACACTGTATCCGAGATGAATTCATTGCCTCGGGGTCTCATGGGGCACTAAAAACCTAGCATATTTTTTCCTCCAAACTGATCCAAAGACCGATACGTGCGCGTGAACTTCCAGCCTTTGTGAGTATTATCGATGATATCCTTGGCGAATCCACGACACTCATTTTTGATCTAACGTACTGTCACTCGCACGATATAAGAAGACCTTCTGTGGGCAAGTCTCAGGCTCATGCCATTCTGAGACTGCATCTCCCGCGACGCTTCACCCAGCCAATGGCGAATCCTTCTATCGGTGATAACAAACCTATCTACATCCCTGCTTCAATACTGCAGACGCGCTTTCCACGTGAAAGAAGACCACGACAAATCAAAACTTGACATACTGGTATACACGAACCAATATCAGGAGATGTGACCCGGGAGAAGGCTTCTGATATAGGTACCGACGACGACGGGAGCTGAGATCCACACTTTGCTCAGGCCTCTTTTTGCACCCTCTTCCATTGGCCTTGTTCAAGTTGAAACGTTGAAAGCCTATTCGGTGCCTCGGAGTGAAATATCATCTCTTTAGCTCCGATACATCTCACAACTTTCCCCCATTTCACCTCGATTATACCTACCCAGTCCATTCATGCGAATAGTGTGATAGGAAGCACTCGGAGGGCTCTGAGCTAGTCTTTCTTGAAGGCCTGAAACTTTCGCTGGCTAGCTTTATTGTCGTACAAGGGCGACCGGCCCTTGCCGGAGCCCAAAATTCTAGGTATAGGACGAGCTCAAACATGTCATTGAATGGGTATCAATGACCATCCGAAGAAAGACACATATGATCTGCGGGAGAAAAGTGAAGTCTTCATCGAGCTCGCCAATGATCCTTCCTTCGGAGAAGTCTTGCAGTACCTTCAATGTCACTCTGGACTAATCTGGGGTACGTTACATTAAAGACGCCGTTCATTGCGGCCTTTTTCGAGGGCAATCAGTCCTGATGGTTGAAATACCTGGCCTCATCACATTGTCGTTCTGTGGAGTTCACTCGTGAGTGGCCGCCGGTTCCATAGTCATGGCTATTGGTGCTTCCTCGATGCTCCAGCTTCTCGTTCCATGTTTGCTAAATCCATAGTGTTTCCACATCTTGCTCGCCACCACTGGCAGGGGTCCCGGCAGCTTTTGATCGGCCAGTGGCTCCATGAAATTGCGGTTGGCGACTGGATACAACCTCAGGCTTCCCTGCGACGACTGACTCAACATGGCTGTGTTTTTACTCCGTTTCTCACCAACTCTTTCGAGATGGGTCAATACATATTTCCTTCAATGAGTTCTTGGACAAGTGATCATTAATATTATCGCCGGCAATGGATCCCTTGACTTGATGGACTCAGAACATGTGCTCTATGCCTCGCCTTCAATGTTCCTGTAACCAGACCCAACAGGACACAACTCGTGTCGTAGGTCTGGAATCGGGAGCCATTGACATCGGTCTTATGCGTTACATTAAATGACCAGTCAGAGCCTAAACGTCGGATCCAGGAAAATACTGGCTGTCATCCATTCAAGGAGATTTTGAATAAAGACGATCCTCGTTTTCTGTCTTCGTAGATTCTGTTTTTTCTGATGTCCATGCGTTTACTGATCAATACCTCAGCGTTCAGGCTCCATGAGGTCACTGCAACTGAATACTTTCCGAACAGCCCGTGTTGGGCAACACGCTAGGTGTCATGATCAAGATGTGTCTTTTCGGGATGACGTTGACACGAGAGAGAGAGTCAAGACGAAGTAAGCCTCTTTGCGTGATTCTACCCCTCTCTTTCCTTCACATTGACCCTGCCAGAGAGCATACTTGCCTTACGGTTCAATGCGGCGAAGCATCGTTATTATCCACGCTTGTTGACGGAAATTAGATAAAAACACCAACATAGTACTAGGCTTAGTACTCGTGCAACCAGTATTAATTACAATGTTAACATCGCACCGCAACCCTGACGTCCGGTTGATCAGTAATTCGTCAATAACTTTGCTGATTTAAAGTTTAGGAGAGGGAGGGCCCAGCGAGCTTTAATTGGCAGATGGTCCGGGTTAATGCCAATGGACCCAACACGTTACACGATCCGATCATCCTGCCAGAGATGACTGGCCCCAATGCCCCAAAGGACTGATAGGTTGTTAACGATCCAAGTTGAACCGTCTATAGTGGCTTTGACGCGCGATATCTTACATGGTATCAGGAAAACTTAGTGGCCTCTGGAACGCCATCTTCCGGTAACGGCCGTCTAACGCCACACATGGACGTCTGGGTCTCCGGATTGGTCAACTTGGTCAAATGTGAGGACTTCTTGTCACCGCATTTCGGTGTGAGCAAAAGACGTGCAAAAGGCGTAGATGACTTCCATGTAAGTCAACTGAGAAACAAGTGCAAGGGATATTCACCCTTTCAGGACCCTAGGCATTAATTAGACAGCAGAGTCACAACGGCCTGGCAGCATGCATTCGCAGGTCCGGGGGAGTCGATACCAATGCTCGAGGCACCAACTCTCTCACGGCGGGAGAGATGTATGTACTAGTTGCTAACCAACCGTCTCCGCTTTTCTTTCTTATATTGTATTACAGTGCCAATATCTGCCGATATCTATTGTCATCTACGACCTTAGTGAGGGGTCTGTATATTCGGAGCGCAGTGTCCACGCATGAAATAACGAGGATATAGCAGAAAGAATTCTCCGCTAGTTATAGCCAGTACGCATAACATTTTAGTGAATGTTCACTGATCCGTATATTCTAACGGTGGCGTTGCTATCGGGAAGGGAAGAGTAAAGACAGCGAACATAGAGGCGGGATAAAGCTGGAATCAGCTGCGAGCCTGTCATCGTCGGGCCGAGACCATGTGACAAGCATACGAATGGCAGATATTCAAATTGGACACATCCCGATACTAGTTCCACAGGTATCGTTAGTGATTCTCATAATCTACCAAGTTTCGTACATTCCCTGAGCAACCAACTGTAGTACAGACGTCCGTTACGTTTCTTTTGAGCACCGAGGACTAAAAAACTTCCTGCCTTCATAGAGCGGCCCGCTGCCGAACAAGTCTTCATACGGAGTAGCGGTAGAAGGATCTACCCGAGCATGAGACCCCAACGCAGAGTGACACTTGTGTACAAAGAACATCAGTGACCTACCAAATCCAGTTGGCGAAGGAATAGTACACAAATAAGTAAAAGCGAGAGAAATAGATTTAATAAGTATACATATACAATAGCCGGAAAAAATACAACACTGAATGCAACTGAAAAGCGCCTATGCGCCAAAGCCGTAAAGAGTACGACCTGACCGCTTAAGTGCATACACAACATCAAGCGCAGTCACCGTCTTCCGCTTCGCATGCTCAGTATACGTCACCGAATCCCGGATAACCTGCATCAAACAAATCAGAAAAGAACAGGCACAGTGGCATAAACCTAGAACTCACATTCTCCAGGAAAATTTTCAAAACACCACGGGTCTCCTCATAGATAAGACCAGAAATACGCTTCACACCCCCACGACGAGCAAGTCGACGAATAGCAGGCTTCGTAATACCTAATCCCAAGTGGCAATCCATTCATCAGCAACCAACAGCAAACTAAAACATCCACAGCGACACTCACCCTGAATGTTGTCACGAAGAATCTTGCGATGACGCTTGGCTCCACCCTTTCCGAGTCCCTACATCGCATCCCCATCAGCAAGCAAGATCAGAGACCTTCAACAAAACCCAATGCTCACCTTTCCACCTTTGCCACGTCCAGACATGTCGATAGAGTTGTGTAGTGGATAAAGTTATCAAAGTATAGCCGCTTAGAGGCTTGGTGGGTGTTGATGAAAGGTGGTGTTGATGGTGGTGGTAAAGGTGAGAGTAACCGATTGAGGGAGCCTCTCAAAGGCGGCTGTCCTTATGTAGCTCCGACAGGTGGCTGTGCTCATTCCTTGTTTTGTTGATTTAGGACACCGCGGCCCATCACGTGGCCAGACGCGTCGTGTTTGTATATAACGCGGTGGCCAAACTGAGGAGAACCTTACTTCAATCCGCTACCGCCAGCACCACTCATCACCACTACCACTACTACTTGACTCGACTTGCCTTTATTAATTGCCATGGCTCGTACCAAGCAAACAGCTCGCAAATCTACTGGAGGTTGGTGGCTTATTGGTGGCGGTAGTCTTTCTGTGTTGATCTTTGAACAGGAAAGGCTCCTCGTAAACAATTGGCTGCCAAGTCATCAGCGCGTAAAACTGCTGTGAGTTTTTGGGCGTTCTTTGTCGCGTCGGGTCTGACGTTGTTTTAGGCGGCTGCTGGTGGTGTGAAGAAGCCTCATCGATTCCGTCCTGGGACTGTTGCTCTTCGTGAGATCCGGAGGTATCAAAAGTCTACGGAGTTGCTTATTCGGAAGTTGCCTTTCCAACGATTGGTTCGTGAGATTGCTCAGGATTTCAAGGTGTGTATATGGTGGATTTGTACGGGGTGTGATTGTTGATGCGATGATGTCCAGACTGATCTGCGATTCCAATCGTCTGCTGTGATGGCGCTTCAAGAAGCAGCTGAAGCATACCTTGTGTCTCTGTTTGAGGACACTAATCTTGCTGCGATTCATGCGAAGCGTGTTACTATTCAGCCTAAAGATTTGGCTTTGGCTCGTAGGTTGAGGGGAGAGCGCTCGTAGATACTTGGCATTGACGTTTTTTTCTTTTTCGTTTTGTTTATTATCATTGTATCTGTACTTGTATCCCTTTACTATATTCCTTTGCCTACGTCGTTTTCAATGAGACAACTGGCAACGCTATTGTATCATGGTGACTGGTGTCCGAATGTTCCTTCAAATTGAGTATGCGCATTCCTATCCTCGCCTTGTTCTTCTATGATTGACATCAAGTCTGTCGTCATAGGCTCTCTAAACTAGCGCCGAATATATTGTTACCTTCACACCATAGCGATCCTGATTGTTGTCTCTCCGATCAATGGTAGTGCTGAGATGATCTCTTTCAGCCCTTGTACTACGCCAGGGTGTTTCCAATATTCTTGATTCATTAATGGTGAGAGCTTATTTCCGAGCTTTTGGGTCAGTTCGCCTGCATCCCCGGTCGAATTCGGATACACAACTTGATTTAGCAGCGTAAGACCGACAGAGGGAGTCCAAGTATGCAGGATATCAGTGGCATTGCCTCCGTCCCGAGCATGGACGGATCTATGCAGGCGCCAATCAGTCTTCTATGCCTGCCGTAGGATCACACTCACTCCGACTGTACTGGAACTGCCGAAGCAGAAATAGAACCGACGACTATAGCTAGTACGAAGGCCGTACCTACACCGGCGACCATACAATTCTCGGGTAGTGATGTTGTCACGGCTCGTCAAGGAAATTTGTCAATTCCAACCCCAGTAGTGACCAGCACCTGGAGGGAAGTGTGTGTGTGTGTGTGTGTGTGTGTGATGATGGACGGCAGCTTGGGAATCGATTGCGTGAATAGTGGGCGAATTCAATATAAACCACTTTGGTGCCATGGTAACGCATAGCATCTGCAGTTGCTCTAGTTCTGGAGTAGCAAAAAGCTATCGCGGGCGATGCACCACGATCAAGCCAACGGTGATATGCGTGTACCGACTGGATTTATGGTTGACTAGGACACGGACGCAGATCGGAAGTCCCAGCCATCGTTGCCCTCTGAACATTTCCTCCAGCGATGGAACGGCCTGAGACGAGCTTTCCTAAACTCAAATCAGATTAGATCCACGATAAGGATGCTTGTGGTAGATCCGGACTCAGTTGGTCCAGATAAGAGTCTCAGAGAAGAGAAGCTATGATTGACGCAAGTACAGCAAAACTGTTCTAGAGTCGGAAAAATGGATGTTCATTGACCTTCAAGTGTTTCTGAACCTTTGAGACAGCTTGAAGTTGAACAGGGACTTTATATCTACACCAACGCGTGGACATAACCTCTGCTGTTCGATGAGGAGAACCGACATAAGAATGTCATCGAGAAATGCTTGCCCTGCAGGCGAAATTTGCAGCGTGGAGAGTTCGGGAGGCGTGTTGGCCTTGCGGAGCTTGTTGCTTGGTTTAAATCTAGCGTATACGACGTTGTGATTATTCACAGCATGACACTGTATTTGTTCAATACACGTAATTTTATGATTGTGTGATGAACCGCTCACGATGCGGGGTGTGACTTCGCAATTCCACGCAAGCTTATGCTTTAAGTCTGGACCAGTCCAGCTCCACCTGCCCTAATGCAAAGGCTGAGTACGTGTCGAGGACTTGCCAGTAAGGAACTCACGGCTTGAGCGCTGCCCCGTTTGGATAATCTCGTTGAAAGGGGTGTTTCAACACCCCCCATGTAAACCGTCGCATCGTTGGAAGAGATCCCTGTTCTAGAACACATGTCAGGCAAGAGCTTGCTTTACACTCGGGATAATACGACTGACTCAAACTCGCCTACATACGGATCATCCTCAGTTGGACCGCGATGGATGATGGTTATATGTGACATGGGGTTGAAAACGTTGATGTTTACGGAGATGTGATACAGCGGACGCGAGTCGGGAGATTCTGGCGGAGGAATGAGGATCAAAGAGTTGAAAGACAATCTTGAAAATGAGTATGTGACCGGTTTAGTGGGCAGTCTGACTGTGTTATACCTGCGATAGTTTTCATATAAAGCGAAAGAGATTACGTTCAACTACATACGCTGGTGGTGCGCCAAATGGTATGGGGTTTGTGAGAAGCGGTGATAGTTCCTCTTCGCTCGGCTCTGTCGAGGGAGGATCCAAAGAAAGGACGACATTACTTCCTTGTGCTATATCCATTCTACTTCGCGGAAGTGGTTAGCCTATACAAGAAACGCTCCGTGAGTTGTGTGTCGGTGATAACGATCAAGAGAAGAAGCATTCACTTACTGCCGCCTTCACCTGATATAAGCTCGGGTAACCTTGCGGCACTTCCACGAGAGATGGCAATGTATCATGTCACAAGCCAGCAGTGCCGTCAATTGAGACCCACATATCTCCAAGTGATTGGATTGCCGGGATGATGAGTTGTGGGATGAAAAAAGTCACCCTTGGACCGGCCCGCTCATCAATGCATCAGGGACCACATCGGACCTCACATCCGGTCACGCCAATGTCACGTCACAGCGGTCGAGTTCCAATTTCTCCCCCTTCCTTCTGCTCCCCCGTGTACTACGCCCAGCAAGTCTGAGATCCGTTGACCCTACCCCCCAAGATCACTAAAATGAGCCTGGCCTACCAACATCATCCGCACAACGCCATAGCAGGACCGTCCAGAAGTCATGGTGAGCTATTAGACCACTGGACCAAGCTAACGTACGCTTATCAAGATGTGGCATTATAGGAACGACCATGGATGAAGTCAAGCGGGAAAAGAAGAGGAAGGAAATTTCAGGGAAACTTAACAGGGAGATGAACGACAGAAGAGACGAGTAAGTTTTTCGGTCCCCCTCTATTCACGCCGCTCATCATCTTAGTGGGAGACATTACAGCGAAACAATATCCATACTACACCAGGCATCTGTGACGCTCGCTACCAGGCCGGACACTTTGCCTCTTTACAATCTGAAGCTCCTGCCATTCACATTTGAGCGCTCAGCCAAGCTGGTTCAGCTTGAGTACGAAGAACGATATGCCTTAGAGTGTGCGCAGACCGCTTACGATGAAGAACGTGAAAAAGTAGAGATTGAATGGAAGAAAGGGCATGATAGAGTCAGAGAGAGGTTAATGGAGAGCATAGAAGAGCGAAGACGCCGAGCTCGAGAAGACAAGGAAGGAGAGGGTGCTGTTGCAGGTAAGACGGTCAAAAAGCGCGTTTCCGGAGTAGCTGACGCCTTCTAGATGGCACCCTCGATTCTCAATCTCGTCCCCATATAACTCGGAAATTGCGGAACAAAATGGGCACGTCCCCGCCACCTACTCCCTTGGGAGCTCCTGCTTCCGCGCCCAATGGTGCCGGTACTATCAGTGGATTGCCCATTACAACTGGACCACTACTCAACCCACACTCGCTCAATGTCGACGAGTTACCGTCGCCATTCCCGCTACCATTGACCTCTACCACCATACCTACTGGGCCCAACGGAGCCAATGCCGGAACAGGTACTGGTGCAGGCGGAGGAGGTCGACGTAGGCCCAAAGGCAGCGGAACGCATCAGAGTCAAGCCATCGGGGGGCTGGGAAAGAGCCTCGCCATGCTCTCTGGGTGTAAGGAACAGGAAATCGAGAGTGATTTGGGTGAAATTCGGAGAGGAAACAAGCGGCGGCGCGTCACCACTGGTGCAGGGTTGGGAAAGACCACCCTGTAACGGTATGTATCTATAGTTGTTATGTTGGTTAGGTGCGTGCCTTCACTTTTCGATATTCTGTCACTCCGTTGATTCGTCGAGACAGATGTTATATGTATATAGCCGTGTTATTGAGTCATTACAGTATCATTACTTGGATTTCACATCATCGATTTTTCAAAGATGGGTTGAGGATAACATACAGCCGACATACATCGGCCTTTTACATCGTTGACTTACATGTCGCGCATTCTCTCGGCATCTTGATCAAACGACGCCGATCGCACTCGTATGTACCAACCGTTCTTCCGACCATCAGAATCACTCAAATCATTGTGTGCGACGCGCATCGGCCCTTTATATGATTTTTACAACGTGATAACTGTTGTTGTACTGTTTGACTGACCAGCGTACTCTCTTTATAGCTATCAAAGACATCATTCTACGCGACCAAAGGGGCCTGACGACGATAGACGCGCTGACCTTGAAGGTCAAATGCAGGGGTTATTTGGCTTACTTGCGCTAAATTTAGCACCGTGGATGATATAAAAGCTGTTCCAAGCGCAGCCTTCTACCAACCTTCTACCCCATCATTCTCAGCTATGCAACATTGCGACGATTGCTTTGCCGGTACAGTCTGCTCTGGAGTTCTTTAAAAATAGGACTGATGCTAGTTGCCCAGGCGTCACTCACGAAGGAACTCCAACAGGTACATTATAACACTTTGGACCCGAGGGCTGATTGACAAAATCATGCTTCCTAGGTACGTTGGAACAGATCGGAGGTGTCGACCGCTATGTTGCTACTCCTGCGGGAGATTATCCGAAAAACAAAGTCATCCTCCTCTTGACGGACGTGTTTGGTATCCCGCTCGTTAACAACAAGGTACTTGATTCGAACAAGGGCCCTGATTCGCGCTGCTAACAAGATCCCAGCTGTTGGCTGATGATTTCGCACGGACCGGACTGAAGGCATGTGGTGCGGGTTGTGACATCTGCGGAGTGTGCTGATTCCACTGACCCAGACGATCATACCTGACCTCTTCTTTGGTGATCCTATACCAGCCCACGCCATGGAACCTGCAGTACGTGTGCGTAGATCTTGTCTCCCTCCATTCCCAGCTTAACTCAGTCATCTTTGTAGCATCTGTTTGACAGGGATGGGTGGGTAGCTGCGCATGGTCCCGCTCAAACTCGTCCTCCTCTAGACAAGGTCACCGCCGCGTTGAAAGAAACTGGTGTTACTGACTTCGGTGCAAGTGGATACTGTTTTGGAGGTGCGGTTTTTCTTCTGGCACATTTCCTGTTTGTTGATATTCACGGACCACAGCGCGTTATGTTTTTGATCTTGCTTTCGATGGCATCATCTCCGTTTCCGTGATATCCCACCCATCCCGGCTTGCGTTCCCTGAAGATTTCGAGGTTTGTCATCTACGTGCTTCCATTTATTGCGTGACCTGACATCCCCAACTCGTAGAAATACGCCAACGATGTTAAGGCGCCACTTCTTATCAACAGCTGTGAGATCGATCAAGGATTACCATTGGAAATCCACGATAAAGTAGACCAAGTCTTCTCCAAGTTCGAATCAGGATATAAGCGAGAGTACTTCGAGGGGTGCAAGCACGGATTCGCAGTTAGAGGCGATTTGAGTGACCCGAAGGTTAAGGCTGGGAAAGAAGGATCATTCAGGGCGGCTGCCAAATGGTTTTTGGAGTATTTGTAAACGGAAACTGGGCATGACGTCGATGGTGAGAGGCTCATACGATATCGTTCTCTTCACAACCATTTTCAAGGGAGTCTCATAATGTACTACTTAGACCCTGAACATCTTTTATGTGCATCCTCCATTCGTTTTACTCGTTTGCTCGTATCTTGACGGCAAGAACCTACTCAATCTTTGTGAAGCTGACACCCAACAATGCTTTCACCCTCTTAGGAAGTGAAGTCCCGATGCATAACCTGAGGTTGATGACATTGGGAGGGATTTCTTTTTCAGCTTGTTGGGATTTGGCAATCCGGCATCATGCCGAAGATTATTAAGGTAGAAGTCTTAGGAAAAGCGTGGAACATTCTAGTAAAAGTACATTTAGTATAAAAGTAGGTACTTTGGGGTAGATCCTCATGCGTTTGCAGAGCTCAGCCAAGCGCAATACTATTGGCTTGCTACCGTGCATGTGACACTGGGAACGAACCGATACCCCGTTTTCCAACACAGCTCAAAGTTCACGATCAAGAAAAAACAGGTCAGGCTCACATGTTCTATTGGTTCCTTTGGGCTAAGTGTTTTCATTGTAAGTAATCTCTTCAGTCCATTTTTACTTCCTGACATAATGAATGGATGATGGAAGGGTGTGCCGCCGGTAATCTTATAGTACATGTTATGTATAAGGAGATATTGGAGCACGCAATAATGATGCACAGGCGCATATCCCCATTGCTCGCCAATTCGGGTAGGTCCTTCACCATTCCCGGTTCGCTGACCTATCTACGAGCCAATGACAACAACAGCTCTCACCCACTGTGGTTACATACAGCCAAAACGCGTAGCCACCCGTCTTCCGGGGTTCCGTCCGAGATCGTTGAATGACGTTTTCGGCCGGGCACTCAAGGTATATTTAGCCGGGCCATGGGTACGATGATCGAGTCTGTTATAAAGCGCTGGTCGTATCCATCTTATCTTCCACATCACCGTTCCCAGCCATGAGTTTCTGCAAGGATTGTGTCTCAGGTCTGCGCTGTTATCACAGCTACTTGTCTGGTGAAGCTGATTTTCAAGCTTTTAGGCGTCACCCACGAGGGTATTCCTACAGGTACGTAGCACCATATTTTGTCGGAAGATAAGGACATGATTACGAGCATCCTTCCCGCAGGCAAAATTGAACAAATTGGTGGTGTGGAATGCTACGTCGCAACACCCACCGTGGAGTATCCTAAGGACAAGGTCATTCTCTTCTTGCCGGATATCTTCGGAATCATTCTTCCAAATGCACAGGTGAGATTTTCGTGTTTTCCATTGTGTGCTCACAGGCTCACGCGGTGTAAATAAGCTCCTTGCCGATGATTTCGCTAAAAACGGTATGAAGGTAATTGTCATACCAACAGACGCGTTGTGCGACTCACTGTTGTCCAGACTGTCATTCCCGACTACCTGAACGGGGATGCTGTCTCTGCTGATGCTATGGGCCCTGGCGTATGTTTCATCGGCATTCGTTTATAACATTTTGTCTTACACCCGGAGATAGAAATCATTTGATCTTCCCAGTTGGTTTGTTAACCATACTCCTGCCCATACTCGCCCTCCTTTGGATAAGGTCGTCGCTGCGTTGAAGGAGTCTGGAGTAACAGACTTTGGCGCTACTGGATACTGCTTCGGAGGTACGCGAATAACTACCGTCGCCTTCTTCTCAGTTGTGAACGCACGGCACAGCTCGTTATGTATTTGACCTCGCCTTCGACGGCGTTCTCAAGGCTGCCGTCGTATCTCATCCATCTTTACTTAAGTTCCCTGATGATTTCGAGGTCTGTGCATACTTTCAGGCTTCGCTTGGACATTGATCCGATCCATCTACACAGAAATATGCTGCGACTACTAAAGCGCCCCTGCTGATCAACAGCTGCACGTTCGATCAGATGTTCCCACAGGAAATTCACGAGAAAACTGATGAGTTATTTGCTAAGTTCTCCCCGGGGTACAAGCGTGAATACTGGGAGGGCTGTACACATGGATTTGCTGTGCGTGGCGATTTGAGCAATCCTCAGGTCAAGGCTGGGAAGGAGGGTGCCTTTAAGGCCGCGGCCCAGTGGCTCCTTAACTACTTATGAATTTATTCTATATGTAAGTTGCAAAGATGAGGTGGCCGGTCACGTATGTACATGTACGTATATAGTTGGGGGATTTAAGAATATCTTGTAAAGCATTACCCCCAGCCATTGCATTCAGCAAAGACTGTATCTGAGGTACTTAAAGTGTACCTTATGAGGCGTCACGTACGTTATACCTTCGGACTTACAGGAGCCATCGCTGACGAAACTGCGATAGGTCATAAATACCACATTTAACCGGTCTTCAGAGAACATCATTACAGGTGACTTCTTAGAGACAAACTCAAGTAGTAGGTGACCGGTCATCGTTGGCCTACATTTTCAACGAATGGAGGAAAATACGCAATCCACTGTAAACGCAGACTTTCTCATAATGTTTTGAAACCATGGGAAGACTAGTGAGCCAGCCATCAAAATCTCCCGGGAATACATGCGTTAGCAACGAAGGGCTATTGGGCACTATTAACCATTAGTAAGAGTGGCTGACAACAGGAAGCAGACTTACAAAGCCGACTTATAAAGTGAGCCCCATTCAATGATTCATTCGGTTCCCTCTCGTCTTAGCTTCCATGAGTCTCTGCAAGGACTGTATCTCAGGTCGGTACTGTCTTCATTGACCAAGTATGCGGTGCATTGCTGATTCTTGACTTACCAGGTGTCACTCACGAGGGTACTCCGACCGGTAATACTACAATCTGTAGCCCAAACATGGGGGAGTTATGAATGACATTCCTATAGGTAAAATTGAGCAGATCGGCGGAGTAGAATGCTATGTTGCTACTCCTGCGGGGGAGTACCCCAACAACAAAGTTATTCTGTTCTTGCCAGACGCTTTCGGGATAACTCTCCCGAATAATCAGGTGCGTCCATATCCGGCGTATCATTCATTGTGCATGTTAAACTAATGGTGAACCAAACCAGCTGCTTGCAGATGATTTCGCTAAGAATGGGTATAAGGTATTTCCAGCGCAACAGTATACACATCGAGGAGCTCACCGTCATTCTAAGACCATCATACCCGACTATTTTAACGGCGACCCTGTACCTGCTGATGCTTTGGAACCTGGTGTATGAACCACGGACTTTTCATACAAATACAAACCTAACGCCAGCACAGAGGACATTCGACTTCGCAAAATGGTTGCCTAACCATTCACCCGCACATACTCGCCCTCCTTTGGATAAGGTCGTCGCTGCTTTGAAAGACTCTGGAGTAATAGAATTCGGCGCTACTGGTTACTGCTTCGGAGGTACGCGAACGGCTATGGTTGCTTTCTCCAAGTACTGAGTTGTGGCAAGGTCGCTACGTCTTCGATCTGGCCTTTGAAGATGTTCTCAAAGTAGCCGTCGTATCTCACCCATCCCTTCTCAAATTCCCTGATGATTTCGAGGTGAGTGTGCCCTCTTGTCCATAAATTAACTTACTCACCTATTTTCGTTGACAGAAATATGCCACTACCGTCAAAGCGCCCCTTCTCATTGATAGCTGCACGATCGATCAGATGTTCCCAAAGGAAATTCACGAGAAAACCGATGAGTTGTTTGCCAAGTTCTCTCCGGGGTACAAGCGTGAATACTGGGAGGGCTGTACGCATGGATTCGCTGTTCGTGGCGATATAAGCGATCCTAAGGTCAAGGCCGGGAAGGAGGGGGCTTTTAAGGCAGCTGCCCAATGGTTCCGAAGCTATCTGTAGCTTTATACGATGTAATAGTAGTCCAGTGCATGAGTTGCGTATGATATATGAGGAAGGAAGGATTCGGGGTGTTGGTGTTGCGGGGAATGCCGGAATTTGTGCCCACCACCAATAAGCCCCTATCTTCTTATTTCCTACTGTCATGTTTCGAGCTCTCAGAGCTAAATGGATCTCATATCAATACGAAACACCTTTTCCTCCAGGGACCGAGGATCCAGTATTTCAGTGTCTCTACGAGTATACGAATGGCAAATGGCTCCCTTGTAGCCCAAACGAAGGCAACGCGTCCGAGGCGCGACATCCACCGTCTTTGCGTATCGTGTCGTGCAACGTGGATTCTAATTCTCCCCATCCATCTCAGCGACTTACAGCTCTTCTCGCTTCCCTCACAGAATCTAGTATGGAACCCGAAATTCTTCTCCTTCAAGAAGTATCCCATCATGCCTTGTCTGCGCTCACCAACAATCCATGGGTCCGATTGAATTACTATCTGACTGACGTCGACACTAGTTGCTGGAGAACGCACAGTGACAGCACCTCATTTGGGAGCATCACCTTGTTGCGTAAAGGACACGCGTCTTTCACGCCTATTACTGTCTATCGTATCCCCTACCGCTCGCACATGAATCGTGACGCCTTGTGCTGCGACATCCACCTACATTCGCCATCACGCACATCAAAGCTTTTTCGTGTCATCAATGTCCACCTTGATTCGTTGGTCATCAATCCCCCTTTCCGACCCACCCAACTTGCCATTTCTGCTGACTACCTTCGTGCAGCAGGCTCGGGTATCATTATGGGCGACTTCAATGCCATCACACCGGCAGATCAGAGTCTGATCGGCGAGCTAGGTTTATTGGATGCATGGAAAGTTGCTGTTAGCAATTCTATTGCCCATGGTCTAACGGCCGCAGGACATCGAGATGATGATGGGAGAAGAAATATACTTGAAGACGAAGGCGAAAGAGGGGAAACATGGGGCGTACAGATCGAAGAACCCTTTCCCCCAGGGCGGCTTGATCGTGCAGCACTTCTTCGCAATTCCGCTTTGGACGGAGAGAATAATACTACCGTCACGGCCGAAGGAATGTCCCTTGTACAGATGCGAGTGCTTCCGTGCCAGACATTGAATTTAGATGACGAAGCACTTTACTGGAGTGATCACTGCGGAATCCTGGTGGACATCCATGAGGCGTAATAGTATTCCTTGCTTCAAGCATATGTACAGTGACGAGTCTAAAAACAAAACGAATTAGATTCCTGTCAGACTTTGTTATGTAGACAAAACAACGATTGCTTGCATTCAGTAGAGTACCACCATCTATATTATTAAACCACCTTTTTGTAGTACCATAGCTTGGTCGTAACTTCAAGTTGAGCATACCGATATATTCCCCTGAGCACTGCCACCACATGACATCGGAAATTAGTGGGTCACTTTACCATCAACTCCCACTATTCTGCCGCCTGGGGAGAGGCATCCACCGTGTATATTTGTGGATCCCTACTAACGAATCGGAATGACGCGGCCAATTGGGTTCGTGGATGCTATAAAAGCCATCCAATCCGACAACGACATCCAACAAATTTAAACTGGCCCATCATTCAAAAAGCCTTCTCCACCGCCTCTTCCGGACATCTCATTCTCCCGTCAAATCAACATCCGTTATCGCCAAATCAGCACTCAGCACAATGGCCCCTTCCTCTACCTTCACTACCTCGCTCTCTGGTAGGTCCTCATGACGATGTGTATGTGCAATATTCTGACCTTGACATCGTGCAGGCAAAGTCGCGCTCGTTACGGGATCGTCCCGTGGTATCGGTGCAGCTATCGCCAAGCGTCTTGCAGACGAAGGTGCTAGCGTCGTCATTAACTGTGCGTCTTTATCGGCTATGCATCGCAAGCAGTGTACCTTACGATCCATCTAGATGTCAACAGCGCAAAGCCCGCTCAGGAGCTCGTATCTGAAATCAAGTCCAAGGGCAAAGGCAACGCCGCTGCAATTAAAGCTGATGCATCAACCATCGCCGGTGGAAAGCATCTACTGGACGAGACCATCAAGGCATTTGGAAAGCTTGATATCCTCGTCCTGAATGCCGGAATCATGGGCAGCAAGCCTCTCGCTGACATCGACGAGACGTTCTTCGATAACCATATCAACGCCAACGTCAAAGGGCCCTTGTTTTTGGCAAAGGCAGCCTCCCAAGTCCTCCCTTCTCGTACGTTCTCATTATGACATTCCCAGCCATCAATTTTTGATTGATTTCACAGCCGGTGGACGCATCATCTTCTTTTCCTCCTCCTTGACCGCCGCCTCTGGTAAGCCTTGTCATCCCCTAAAATATGCTACAGCTAACCGACCCTTATAGCCGTTCTTCCTAACGCCCTGTGCTACGTTATCTCAAAGGGCGCCGTGGAACAGGCATCGCGTGTCCTCGCAAAAGATCTCGGTGCTCGGGGCATGACTGTCAACACTATCTCACCAGGACCTGTCGACACCGACCTGTTCCGTGCTGGCAAGCCCCAGAAGGTGATCGACATGATCGCCTCCCAAAACCCTAGCAACAAGCTGGGTCAGCCGGAAGAGAATTGCTCCTGTTGTTTCGTTCCTTGCCAGCCCGGCGGCTCAGTGGGTAAATGGCCAAAACATTCGTGTCAACGGGGTATGTATCTGTTTCGCATCGCTTCTCCTCCATCTCATTGTTCTTATAGGCCTTCGTTGTGTAACATGTCAGCGCATTGCTTTGGTCACTGTTAGGGCACCCCGAAACCTGTATCATTACCACCGAATGTTATATTTGATTAATCAGACCATATGGCTGAATCATACCAAAGACGATCGTCGTCTGTATAAGGCAGACAAGGCAGTGAACACTGAAAACTATCAAGTACAGTACGTGATTTTTGATGGTTTGTAGCCGAAATTTTGATATCTCATTTTTGATCCCGGGTGAGGAAATGATGCATTGATGTCCTTTATATTTTGATATCGGTCTCGATTGAGGTCATTCATTGCAATTTCGAGATGCCCGCATGGCCTGAAGTGACACCAGCGCGACACTGGACTGAGAATCTCACCATCAAATAGTGACCATGGCGGTCCCGAGACTTCCATAAATCAGTTATAAGACTCAATGTTCCTGCACTCCAATATTGTCCCCACATCCCCACAAGCCTGCTACGATTTAAACTCTTCCATCAAAATAACTCAAAGTAAGCATTACAATCACTGTCGAACTGTGTTTCTAAAGCTTATTCTGTACTAGCAGTAATATGGCGCATAACGTCGGTTCTCAATTACCTGCCGGATGGCCAAGTACTACCGCCACATCCACTAGTCCATCCGACATTTTATCGAGCCCGCCGACACTGAACTTGATTTCCGCCATGCTAACGACTTTCGAGTTGGATGAGGTGCCTACTATTGACGAGGGGAGGGCAATCTCGCAATATATTCTGCGCCACGGGATGATAAATCCTGATACGCGGAGATTGCAATCCGGTGTTATGTTCTGGGTGTATCCCGAAGGTGGTGAGGGTCCATATGAGGAAATGAGGACAGATGATGGACGGCGAAAGACGGGAAGACCTCTATTGCATGGACTGTTGGTCACGATTGAGAATGGTGCGAAGATGGAGGGAATGGTGGGAAGCATATTGAAACATTTACCCCGGAATGGGATTAGCCATCTGCATTTTCCGGGGCGACGGGTATGATGTATAGTTTACTTATTCCTTTGGGAGGGTGAGATGGGCATACGGCTTCTTATGATGCATAAAACAGTAGTGAGTTCATGAAACAAGCCAGAGAAATTTGATCTCTACGCATACATATCTTCTATTTCTAATGTATATTATAATGATTAGACGAAGTCTGCAGGTATACTAGTAAATGCAAGGCTAATAGCAATCAGTGCCATGAAAAGTACCACGAAAAGAATGAACATTATCCACATATGCGAAACGGCGCAAATTGCGGATCCAGGTCCGGAATCTGGTGAATCATATAACCAGTCTGTCCCGCGGCTAAACATGTCACGAGAAGGAAACACCTCTAAAATCTCCGCCTCGAAGCCCTCCACAGACAGACGATATCTTCTCCATAGCTGCTCCTCTTCGACATCATCATCATACCCTTCTTTATCCGTGGATTTTGGTGGTCTACCAAATTCAACGCCCAAGAGTTCAAAAGCGGGTTGTTGGCCCAACATGCGGAACGTCTGTCCAATCGGGTACTTGTCTACGAGAACGAGATTGGCAGCTCGCGGGGATGTCATGCGAATAGTGGAGGTCGCGGTGCATACAGTCTTTCCGGCGCATTGTAGGAAGACCTTCCGCGTTTGTGTTATGGGAGATTCGGGAGAAGCGGAGTCTATGACTTTGGAATTTGGGAGCTCGAGCGTGACCTTTGGAAGGTCGGAAGATAGGGCGAGTTGGGTATGGGAATATACAGGGTCGATTTGTATGGGACGCGCGAAGAAGGCACTAGGGACATGTGTTAGCGAAAAGATACGACGTGGAAAGGAAATTATGCCAAAGGTGAAGAGAGAATTGTGAATAGCAGACATTGGTTACCGAAAAATATGTCAGAACAATTCTATCTGCTCTCCAATAATTATAATCTGATTTACTAGTCGCGGAATGGGGATCGGGAAATGCCGGAAGAGAGTTCACCTGAGTACGCGTTGAAGGTCGCCTTGGGAAGCTAGAGCAATTCGCTCAATTCCTGTGAGGCCCTCAGGCCATGCATACTACATCGTCCATAATGAGGAAAATACTCTAAATCGGACAATGATGTGGCCTACGTTGATACTAGTTCCAGAAGAGTTGAATGTATAAAATGGGGTCGCCATGAGATTGCTAAATATCCGTCTTCTTGTATGTGTGCCGCTTAGACGAAGCGGGATTATTATAAAGGAGAGAAAGCCAAGACGGACGTTGCAACGGATGCGGGGACCTCTTTTCTAGAATGGGTTGATACGAACAGTTGAACAGAACTGTAAGAGGCCGGCGAAGATCAAGCAAGGCGCGCGGGCGGAAACTTTTAGTAGCAAATGCAGGATCGCAGCATTGGTCTTTTATAGCAAGCTAAGCCGTCCAGAGAACGTTCTGTCCGCCATGGTTGACGCCGGCCGCATACAAAGCATTCAACGGAACTTGGTTGCTTATAATTGAAAACTTATTTGCAAGCTACTCGCTTGCCAAACAAATGCAGCAAACGCACCTTGTCCTCTTTCCACCATCTCCGAAGACCCTGGAACATATTCTTGCGCATGAATTATTCCTTCGAGCCCGCCGTTAACCATGCTACCTCATCAGCGGTCCCCGCATTAGATTATCATCCGGACCGACCCTCGCTGGTGTCAGGAATTGCCTCTTCGACAACGCTCGACGCGTCTCCAGTGGATTTATGTGTTCTCCAGCTCAAGGCTTTCCTCGAGGCTGCTGAAGACATCGACATTGAGTCCGATACCTTGATGGAATTACTCCAACTTCTACAAGAACGTCTCGAAGGACAAGACGAATCAAGTGCCGGGGCCCATATACAGGGTGCGAATGACCTGTCAACGCTAGATATCGATGCTCTCTATGAACTCGATATTTCTGCCCTCTATTCTATGGATGAAGGTAATTACACCTCATATATCATGTATTGATGTATGGCGCACTTTGTCTTGACCACATTATATCCAGGTCGTCAGATTTGGAGTCAAAAAGAGAGACGAGAATTCCTCGTTCTTTTGAAGGAACGCGGTGAGTGATTTTATTTCAGTGCCATCTTAATTAACCTTGTCCCGGACCGTCCCGCTGAACTTGGCGTCGGCGTATAATGGTCCGGACGACCGTCTTCTATCAATCCTCGGAATTTGCTCAAATCTTAACTCGTTCTCTCTCAGGAATGGCTATTTTCATTGACAGGCTTGTCAATACGCAGTGCATACCTATTCCGAAGCTTCTACTTGCTTTTGGAATCGATCTTGTATGGATTTATTCTGAATGATGGATTGCACCTAGCTCATCTCGCTTGTAGGTCCCGGAACTAAGAAATGTCAGTCAGAGAACACTCTTGTACTTCCTCCGTGTGGCAATGTCACGAGAGTAGGTCTTGGTTTACTTTGACCCGAAAGTGATGGGTGTCATGTCATTCACGTACAGGCTCCGTAATCGGGATAAGCTGCCGGAGTATAACACCATCAAAGATGCTGTTAATCTTATACGCAACAGCAAGAGAATACTCATCTTGACCGGAGCAGGAATAAGTAATTCACCTTCTGCTCAACTCTGGTCCATGAGGCTCATCTCGGTTTCATAGGTGTTTCGTGTGGCATCCCAGATTTCCGATCGCGGAATGGGTTGTACGCGTCCCTGGGAGAATACAAGCTTGACGATCCGCAACAGATGTACGTAGACGGTACACCCGCCCGACTAAACGAGCACGCTCTCATATCGTTCCAGGTTCGATATCAAATACTTTCGAGAGTTTCCGAATGGTGTGGACATCCGTGTCTTATTCCTGCGTACGCAAGTTGTACTAAACGTTTTCAAGTTTTTTAGTGTGTCGCTTTCTATGTTTCTTTTGTCGCCTCCAAGGTCCTGAACCACGGTGTATAGTTCTTTTGCTAGGTTCATCTGTCGTTCTCGTTTATGAAGACATCTTAACACGCACGTTTCATAGTCAGATATACCCAGCCAATTTCATGCCCTCGCCATGTCATCGCTTCATCAAGCTCATAGAAGACAAAGGCAAAGTGAGTAGTTTCCCTGCAGCTGTGTTTGTCTCGGCTCTTAATTTTACACAACAGCTTCTTCGTGTAAAAACAGCTTTACATTTATTTGTATTTGGCTAATTTCTCTTCAGAACTATACCCAAAACATTGACACCCTAGAAACAAAAGCAGGCGTGCAAAACGTCCTGCAATGTCATGGCTCTTTCGCCACGGCTAGCTGCCTTGAATGTCGAAGGAAGGTACCCGGAACAGCAATTGAGGCCGAGATTATGAAGAAAAAAGTTCCTCTGTGCCCAGAGTGCAACCCTTCAACATCGCTTCCCAAGAAGAAGAAGAGGACCAGCAAGAAGAAGGCCAAGGGGCAGTGGGACAGCGATGTTTCGGATGAGAGTGATGGTCCAGAATATCCCCCGGGCATTATGAAGGTTCGCAACTTTGTGTCTCCGTTGGTCCTACATATTGAGTCCGCATATTAGCCTGACATCACATTCTTTGGGGAGAAGTTGTCTGACCAGTTCGACCGCGCAGTCGACGCCGATCGGACACAACTAGATTTATTGCTCGTCATTGGAACCTCTTTGAAAGTGTCACCAGTTGCCGATCTATTATGTGTGTCCTATCCGTCATCCATCTCGGTAACTGATACTAATCCTCTTATAGCACATATCCCTCATTCTATTCCACAAGTACGTGATGCCGAAAAGGTTTGAAGACAAGAGATGACGAAATGAAACGAACAGATCCTCATCAACAAGACTCCTATCAAACATATAAATCCAGATGTATGTGTTGCCTCCTGTTGCACCGGCGAACTTACAATGAGCGCTGCATGTAGATTGTGCTTCTGGGTAACGCCGATACGATCATCAATCACCTATGTTCCGAGCTGGATTGGGAGCTTCCTCCGTTGCCGGTAACACTGACGCCGCGAAACATGAAGAAGCGACCGTCAATGGGACCGCCAGATATAGAAGAGCCTGAGAGAGTCGGCGACAGGTATTTTTGGCTCTTCCCATGTTACATCGTTTCGATAGCTGATGGTGTGTGGCCATAGCCATGTGTGGTTATTTGAAGGCGCTGAGGGAGGAAAGTGGCTTCGTGATCTTGAGCTAGAGATAGATCATGCAGAGGGACGAGGTGTGCTCGAGGCGAGAAATGCGAAGAAGATGAAGATATGATATGTATTCATTTAGAGGTAGACGATCTCGGACGATATTGTGCGCTGTATGGTGTATAGGATGTAGTCTTTTTATGTTTTTATCCATACCACGAGGCACAGGGTGCGGAAGCTAATCCCGACAGCCAATGTGAGGGCCAAGATTATTCACAAAAATTTCTGACTGGAGAAAGTCGTGAAACTAAAGGTTGTTTAGCTGCGAGTATACCACAGAATATCTTTAGAAGTATCCAAAGAAATTATCAAGGCGAGGTGGGAATAAGGTACATGGGACGCGTGCCAGCGCGTCACCGTGACCTCCCGAGTTTTTCAACCGAAAACGTCACTTGGTCGCGGACCATCATGTCCCGCTAGTACTTTTCCCGAGTACTGCTACCAACGACCGACCGCGACCGGTCCCCACAATGCCCTGTTCATGACGCCGGGCCTCTACAAAAATTTCTTTGACGCTGCCCTGATTTCTCATGCGCCTTCTGGGTCGTCTTTTTCCCCCTGCAACAACCATTCCAGAGACGACACTTCAGCTCGACTTCGCTTCTTCTTTCAAACTTATCACGGCCTCGCTTCCCTTTCGGTGGGGCCCTTTTGTTGTCTTGTCACCTGTGAACCGAACTGAGATGGGTATTTTGTTGCAGCCATCCGGAAGAACGTTTGGCACCCGGATCCTGTCCTGGAAGAAGGAAAGGCGTTCGCATTCAAGGATCTTACGTGGTTTTTGCGACACGGTGCGAGACACCACGGAGTGCGCATTGAGCCGGATGGTTATGTGGCAGTTTCGGATATTGTGGGTTACGTTTCCTATGGACTTTGGCTTGCTCTCGCTGAACAATGCTTGAATAGCTGTCCAACCCAAGATATGACCGATTTACACTGGAAGGGCATTCGAGAGCTGGCAGAGACGGATACTAGAGAGCGCATTCAAATCAAGGAGGAATATAATACCCACAGAACGAAGGTTTGGGTCAGAGTTAGTGGACACCATTCCATTCCGGTGAGTGACATTGCCTCTATGTCTGTCGCTATTATTCAGAATTTCTAGTGGGTGCATCCCGGTGCCAAAAAGCTTGCTTCCGCTGCAAAGACCGCGTGGGACTCGATGGCATTGCCGTTTTCCCAGCTTTTTTATCTCACTACGAGGGAAGATTGGCGGACCATCCGTAAGCCTAGGATCTTCGTTACTTGCGCTCACGATTCTATTCTCTGTGTTCACAGGTACGGAAGGCATCAAGGCGGGGCATTCGTTTATCCATCTCAAGCAAGATATTCCTGACCACTACGGACTACGTTCAGGGACGTATGTGTCACGCCACCTACGCGTCGTCGGCTATCTGACGCTTTTCACAGACTCTTTCTCGCCAGTTGTGGTTGTCATCAACGCGCCTGTGGCCACAAGGTTCGGCGTGTCGTTCTACGCTCATCCTACTGGCGAGATCTTGACTACCGGCGACTCCAGTGGTTACATCGATCCACAGACATTTCGCTGCTGCTTTTGCCATTCAGTGGGAGCACGAAACTCTCAGTTGGTCACCATGAGCCCTGGCTGCGCCCTCGTGATCCTCGAAAACGAAAAGAATCGCGACATCTGATTCCAGACTAAAAACAAGCAACGCTTTAGAAAACGTCCAACTCTTCATTACCCTCCGATTCAGGTGCCGACCCGCACTAAAGTCGACGTCGTACTTCCCAGCAACAAAGACAAAGCTCCTGCCGAATCTCCTCCAACTCCTTCCGCCAACATCGTGGCGCAGCCCCAGTATCAGATAGATATTCACAGATCGCGGGCTGCTCCACCTCACATGCAAGGCTCTGCAATTACCATGAAGGGCTAATCCTCATTGGTAGCACTGTCTCATTCCGCTTCATCCAGGGCTTGTCGCTCTACTGAAGGCCGCCGTCCATTCGCCATGTCCTGTTATTAGGATGGCCAGCATACGGCTCCGCACCTTCCAGAGGCCACAGCTCTTGCACGCCACGTTCCTTGAACGCGTCTAACTTGTTTTACTGTTATAGACGTCAGACTCGTCACTTGGAACAATTCTATCGTATTCGACGTAGAATTATGACGCAGCAAAACAATCAAAAGTAGAGAATTGTAGGATTTCGAGAAGGTTCTGCAGTCCATTAATCTACACACGGCTACCGTACACATCTTCGGGCGCGACGCCAGCTTGTCCCTTCCTCAAGTTAGCTTGGGCCCATCTAATAGACGGATTAGCATTTAATGATTAGAGTGTATAGACAGGACGTACTTTTTGATTCGGATCGACTCGATCTGAATGAAACCGGTAGTGTCCGTTGGCTCAAAGCCACCCATCTCATCCATGGATGACTGCTGCTCATCGTAAAGGCCCTGTATGTTTTTCAGATCGGAGTTCCGTTTGCAATTCGGTTGCCTTACCTCAGGACTCTCCCGGCCTTCAATGACCACGCCACCCTTGTACAACTTGAGCCTAACAAGGCCGTTGACGGTCCTCTGACTCGCAGGAATAGCGCTGGTGATAAACTCCCTCTCTGGGGTGAAGAAGTGACCGTTGTACAAGATACGACTGAACTCAATCGTCACAAATTGGTCCCTCAAGGCACGGACATTCCTGTCGAGGGTAAGACCCTCGAGGTCGACGTGGGCAGCCCGAAGGATGGTAGCCCCGGGAGACTCGTAGCATCCACGAGATTTGACGCCAATGAACCTGTTCTCGACAATGTCGATCCTTCCTATACCGTGCTTCCTTCCGAGCGCGTTGAGGGCAAGGAAAATGTCCACGGGATCCGTGTACGTCTTGCCACCGGCGACATCGACTTTTACCGGAAGACCGGCCTTGAACTCGATGGTTAGGCGCTCAGGGTTCTCTGGTGCATTTTCGGGGGCCGTCGTGAGCTTCCACATGTCAGCGGGGGGTGTCGTGTTGGGGTCTTCAAGGATACCGGCCTCGTAGGAAATGTGGAACAGATTCTCATCCGTCGACCATGGTTTGGCAGTAGTTTGTGTGACGGGGATGGACATCTCAGCAGCATACGCTAGAAGGGCTTGGCGGCCTGCGAATCGGTTGTAGAATTCTATCAGAAAGCGGGGGTGTATCAGCTCCGTCGCAATTGCTTAGTTCAGGAGATCGTACCAGGAATTCGCCAGGGTGCGATGACTTTGATGTCAGGTTTGAGGCCATAGAATGCCAGCTCGAAACGCACTTGGTCGTTTCCTTTTCCGGTGCATCCATGAGAAACAAAACTGAAGAGATCATACGGTGAGACGAAATAGGAATACACAATTTGGGTTCCTACTTACTCGCAACCTTCTCGCTCAGCGACTGCGATCATTCCACGAGCAATGACAGGACGAGCGAGTGAGGTACCGAGGAGGTACACATTCTACAATCCGTCTGTTTAACATCTTCGATGATATCAGACAACCAGTGCCTACCTCGTAGATACAGTTGGCTTGAACTGCAGGATAAATCAGTTCAGTAACGAATTCACGTTTCATGTTCTACACGAAATGGAATCATCAAAATCATCAGATATTCTCTAAGGCTCACACCTCCAAAAAGAACTTTTTCGCCCCGACTTTGAGGGCCTTTTTCTCCGCCGCGGCGAAATCCTGTTTCCAGCATTGCAGGATCAGCATCAGCGATGAACAAAAAAGAAAAGCGGACCTCTTCTTGGCCAACATCAGCCATGAAAGCATAGACTTCATAGCCCTGCTCAATCAACCAAGCAAGAATGCATGAAGTATCTGTTCGGAGGCATCATTACAATCACTGAAAAGGAGGATGGCACCCATCGCTACATACCAAGACCTCCAGAGTACGCAAGCAAGACTCGGCCAGACTTTGCAGACATTGTGAAGTTTCAGATGAAAAGATGATGAGGGTTCGAGTCAAGATGTCGAATGAAAATTGCAATCAAGATTCAAGATTCAATTTAAATTCAAACGTCGGCCGAAAATACCACGTGAAGAAAGCAATGACATCACGCGTCTATCGAACTTAGGAAGGTCAAGAAGAATTATCATGCTGTTCTATGTAATAAGTACACGAAAAGTAGAGTGATGGGCTTTGTATACAATGCTACTGTAGATCAAAAGGTGAAAAGTTACTACTACTCATTCCGACTCCGTGGAATGATTAACGTTTACTGGCTCTTCCTCTACCGCATCTTGATCATGATTCCGCAAACGCATCTCTACCAAAAACTCTTTATCTCGTATACTTTGGGACCAAGACGATAACAGATCCATAGAGAGCAACGCCGACCTGGAAGAGGCCGCAACAATGAAGATCGCGGGATAGATGTGGATGACTAAAGCATAATATCAGCGACAGGTCCTAAAAGCAATGAAATAAACTTACAAATGAATTTGTCGTTCACCGGAAGGAAAGGCAAGAAGTGGCGCAGTATTGTAAACAACAGTCCAGGCAAGACAATCATGCCAAGAAGGCCTACAGTGACGGGGACGATGACTTCCTTTGTCGCACTGACAGGATCTGGATGGGTCCAACCGTTATGTGAAATCTACGAATGATATTGATCAGTAATGGAATCCAAACGACGTCACATCACATACAAGATCAATTCCCCTGGCTATGCGACCTCGAGGTTGCATCCTATGCACATACAGCCCAATCTTAACATAAAGCAGCCCGAGCGCCCATTCATCCACAATTCGAATTGTGGGCGAAAGAGAAGGATCGAGACCTAAGCGAATAGGTAGAATCACGTATAGGTCGACGGCAAGCGCAACGAGGGTAGGAATCACTATGCCTAGGAACAATGTCATGTAGGATATCTTCGCAGACCAAAGCAATCCGCGTTTGATAACCAGCATCCACAAATCGGCACGAGGACCATCACCGCCTCTTCGTTGGCGACGTTTATCCAAGCGGTCGATCGCCTTTCCAACAAGGTAACAGCCCCAGAGCAAATAGAACCCAATGATAAGAGAATAACCATCATGAACATCCTCCGCAACAAAAAGCCTGAAGAAGCGCCGCCCAAGCGCTATTGGAAGGGCAACCAGGACTCCAAGTGATAAGGCCCCTATGACCCATAGCACCGCAACAAATGCAAAGATCCGTCTACGGAAATTGGGGGGAATATACACCACCATATAATCATCTCTGATCTGGTGCTTGGCCTTCAAAGCTTCCGAGTTTTGTATCACGATCAATCTCTCTGCCCGTTCATCGATGGGATTGCCACGCTCATCAACAGCAGCAGTAGCACCAACATCTTTTGGAAGGGCAATGCTATCGGTGGCCGGGACTCGGCGAAACGAGCCATCAGCCTTGGCCGCGGGGTCGACGAACAACGATTGCGAGGAAAACAATGATTTCAGTGACCATTTGGCAGGTGTCACTTCTTCAAGGGGATATCGACCACCGAAAAAGTAAGAAGTCAAACGGAGTTGGCGCGCCAGGAACTGCCAAACCACAGTCACCAGCTTCTTGATACCTTTTCGGGGACGGAAGTAGTGCATAGTATACGGCAAGACCAAGTGAAGGAACAATAGGTCGATGGGTACCTTGGATAACGGTTGTCTAGACGTAACACAACAATCAGGCCAGAAAAACTAGATAGCCGCACAAAAACAAACCTATTCTTCCACCGGAAAGGTAAAATGGTTTTACTACCAATGGCAAACAGTGCAGAAGCACTAGCCACGGTACAAAGAACCACAACAGAATACATGATTGCACTGACGAAAATCTTCCGCAGTTGTGTGATTGTTGATCGGTCAAGAATATCCCGTATCGGATGTGAGTTTTGGTCCTGGGGATCTTTAACGAACCACATCGCGCCGGATCGCATAACACTTCTGCATCCGGACAGCAAAACAGCAAAGGAATACCTAGAAAACACCAGATCTTGAATGCAAAAATTAAAGGAAGGCATGAAAACACTTACATGAACATCGTCCCGGCGACCCAGTGATAGAACATGGCAGTCATCGGAGCTTGATAGAGGAACAAAGTGCGACTGGCGAGGTTTGATCCAGAAAAGAACCAGATAGCACAGAGGTCAAGAACGGCACCACACCCGAGCGGGAAAAGCGCCAATTCGATGAATATGAAAGCCGCAACCTAGAATAAATGAGACAAAGTTTATAACCGTGCACAACACTACCCACCTTGACGACAAGGAGATGTTGTCTGAAAGCACTTTTTACGGACCGACCTGCTTCTTTGTTTCCCATAGCAAGTAGATGAACGTAGACAGCAACAATCAGAGCGACTACTGCATACCCCAAGATGATAGCGGAGGCCCTTTCAGTTGAGCCGTGACCAAGAGCGATATCTGTCCACCAATCGCAGAACCGGACAGCCGAAAGTCTAACTTCTTTACCGAGGGCAGCAAAGGAAGGCTCAAACTGTTCTATCGCAGCAGCCTTCAACTGCTCAAGAGCAGGTAATGTAGACGTTGACTCCGGAGAGGATGTGTTGGAGGATGTAGATATCCAGGGGACAATCATGTCAGAGGCATTGACAGCACGATGATACTGAAAATTAGAGTCAGAATAAGAAGCCAATGCTTTTCAATGCGACTTACAAATGCTACAGCAGCCTTGCTCGTCTGGTCGACTTTGTCGCGACCGAAAATTGCCTTGGCAAAAAGCAGAATGCCAAGCAAAACCAAATCAGATAACCCGCGTCCGACGATCAGGTACTGTGGGAAGATAATTTCGGTGATGACATAGACAACTGTGTCGACAACAGGGTCAGTCAACAGTCGAATAGCACGAATAGGAAGGTGGAGTATTTGAAGGAAACGACGGGGATCCTAACTGTGTTTGGGGATAATCAATCTATACAGTCCAACAACTTGAAAACCCAGCATACCGATAACAACAAAGTAGATTTCCCAACCGTAAAGGGGGTTAAAATACCCACAACGATTGCGGCATCAAGAACAAACATCATAAGAGTGGCCTAGAGGTTGATGAATAACGTTCACATTGAAGAGCCCGAAAAGACGCACATTTTGGAGGACAGTGTGGAAAGGACCTCTCATGCCAATGGCTGGATAGTGGTACATATGAGCGAAAGATGTTATTGCAAGTAAAAACCACCCACCTTCCAAAGCTCCTTCCATATCGTCATCGGCGTTTCCTTCTAAATCATCACCGAGTCCAGCTGCCATCGCAGCGTCTTGCGGGATATCCGGTGGTTGATTAGCGGCATCGAGAACCGGCGCAGCAGGGGCAACAACCTCGAGCACCTGCCCATCGTCAGGGACGTCTTGATCTTCATCCTCGACGCCGTATTCATCCCCCTCAACTTCTTCCTCCTCTTCCTCTTCTTCATCGGGCTCTTCAACTTGTTGCGGTACGCGCTCTTCGCTAGCGAAGTACCTCGCCATCTCAGCCCTTGCCTCAGCTTGAAAAGCGCGATCCTGCTCCGAACCATCAAAGTATCCTGGAGGTGGATCTTCGTCGACACTAAAATCTTCGGGAGCCCGATAGGTGGCCAGACCCGGGGACGCAAGAGGCGACGAATGCGGCGGAGAAGATGGACCAGAGCTCGGCAGAACCGTGTTAGGTAAAGGGGGTCGTCGGAATGAAGTTGAAGGTGCGTCCGAAGTTCCGGGGGAGGATGGCAAATTAAGTGAGAATGGTATGGGCTCCGCCGGAGGCTGCAGGACGACCGGAGGGAAAGGAGAGGATGTTGACGAAGATGAAGTACCCGGCCGCGAAGGACGTGGCCGCTGACTGGAACCAGGAGAAGCGGTGAACGTGAATTCTGGCAGCCACAGAGGGTCATTTGAAGATTCTGGGGAATACGCGAGTGTATCATCCTCGCTATTTTGCTCCGCCTCCCTTCGAGACAAACGAGCTGTTTGTAGCCGTCGAGAAAAAGCACGGTGCTGTTTTCGTCGCTTTGCATGTTCACGTTCGCGGTTTTTCTCTTCGTCTTCCATGTTCCGTCGCCTCCTCGTTTCACCAGAAGATTCGGCCCCTTCATCATCTTGTGGTCTCTCCCGGCGTGGAGAAAGTTCCAAAGGCGTTCTTCCGTGATTTCTTCCCTCTCCTACAACGTGACCATTTGCGCCTTGCATAGCCCGCATCGCCTCGTAAGCCCTTACCGCATCGGCTTGCCGCTGCGCAAGAGCCAATCGATTACGCTGTTGCTCTATCAAAGGAACAATAGGGGGCTGGGGTGGTTGCGGCAGGTTAGCTGGTAGTTCCTCTGGTGGTCTTTCCTCTGGCACAGGTAACTCTTCCTCGTCGAACACACCAGGCCTTGCATTTTGGGATATCCACTCTCGCAACAGGAATATAGCCACGAATGTCACAACGATCATCGAAGCAATTATCTGGCCGGTAAATATATCTGCGGAAAGAGCCAACCAGACTGGATGAGTTGATATTTCTCCAAGCAGAGTCTGGGATGGCGGTCTGCTTGCATCAGGTTGAATATTGTAGTAGAAGGGATTAATAGTTGCACCACTCTCAGGCGGGGGTTCTCTGTCACTGATGTACCAAGCACTACGAGAATATGAGTTGACATTTGCGCTGGAGGCATAAAATACGCACGTGAGCTCTCCGATAGTGAAGCAGATCCTCCAAGTCCAGACTGTTGCCCATGGGAGTACAGCGAGCCATACCAGAGCAACCACAACCGCTCTCACAGCAAATAATAATACAAACAGGGCTTGCTGTGCTAATCGTCGTAGAAGAAGAGCTGGCGGCAACCTTGGCGGCATGTCCGCTGCGTACACTACATGAAAGGTCAGATAGGCAAGAAGCCCGCAGAATAGAACAGTCACCTTTCGTAAAAGAGTAGGCGTGCTTGCAGACATCGCAAGTCTTTTTCTTGCTATGGGACAGCCATGTTGTAAGGCTACGCCTCTAGTCAGCACTAATCCTTTTGATTTTTTCACAGAATACACACCAGTCCTGGTGAATATACCGTATAGTTCCCGAGCATTTGCAAGGATGGAAAAGCGGTTGATCAGGTTCAGCGGGAGCGCTGCATATACGGCAGGTATCTTCATTCAAAAAAGAATTATTACTTGGCATTCGTACTGGACCTGAGACGTCATACCTTGCTCTTCCGCCTCTTGCATTGAGAGAAGATAAGTTCAATTAAGAACTATCGGTGCGTTGAGAATGCAGATTGGTAAAGTAGAGTTGAGGAGTAAAAGCGAAAGTGGTATGTACGCGGTGTAAGGCGGCAAGCTGTTGTGTGATACTGTGTGACGGTGCATGTGACGGATGCTGACTGCCAGTCACGGGCGGGCCATCAGCGAATCGAACAAAAATATATATGGCCGTATAAGCCCGTGGCAAGGCTCGAAATGCGTGGCAACCTCCGAAATAATTGCACCAGCGTTATATGCCCATATGAAGCGTGGAAAAATGACAATTCTACACATATCCTTATGAGCATTTCCGATATCAGTAATGCATGCCAGGCTTCGAAAGGTATTAGTACAATTACTTGATGCCATAGGCAAATATAACACGAGCACCATTGTAAAGCGGGCCCGTAGCAGCTAGTGGTTTTTGGGTGGCTGGGAGCATATATAATTTGTATAGTTTCACTCTTGAAGACTTGGAGAGGCTTAGAACAGTGTATTTATTATTACGGTGAACATAATACAAGTACAGCGGTTTACACAAGTGACCTCAAATTTATACTGTATGTTCTCGCTCCTGCTCCTCCCTCTTTGCCACCAATCACTTTCCATAGTTACTCTTAGGAGGGGACCTAGATATTTCAGTCTTTTCAGCCTTGAAAAGACCTCTAGGAAAAGGAATGTCACCTCAATTTGGCGCCTGACCTGCTCATCCACGATGCTCCGGAGTCCGGACACTATTAAAGAGTGACATCGCATGGGGAAGGGCACAACCCATCGGCCTGAACAATTCCCTAAGATGCTATGGAGTGAATCCCAAGGAGAGAGCCATTATCAAACTCACCGATGCTTGACTTGAGTGCCCTTCAACACGACCACTTCCTCCTCCAACTCTGCAATACGTCACTTCAAAAGACCACTAGTTGAACTTGATGCATTGATAGACGAGAGGATCTGGGCAGGCTGGAAATTTGCGATTCTTGGAGAGGTGAGGGTACGTTGCTTGAGACATTAGCGCTTTGGCCGCGACTTCAGACAGTATTTATATTGAAAGAAATTACGTTGGAGTTCCGAGCTCGGAAGAAGGAGTCCGCATCGGAGAAGAATAGGCCTAGAGGTTTGAAATAGGTCTTCTAGATCTGAGTCTGGCCTAATAGGTCTCCACGACGAGAAGGAAAATGAGTAAGTAATGGTGAGTATAAACTCGGAACGAACCACGAGCTATCACGTGGTACATCACACAACACGATCGCAACTAATCGGGCCACTAAGTAGTCCAATTGCATACTCGTTTTTCATGCCATGCACCCGTCTCACTTCTCGTAATTTTCTTAGTGTCCGATCTTTTTCCTTTCTCCCATCTCCCGCCAATTTAGCAGGGTGTGGCTGAACAGTGAAAATTCAGTAGAGCATCCGAAGGACCGTGAGTCGTGACTTTCAAGAACAATATTCGACTACAGGGTTAAATAAAGCTAGGCAACCCTCCACACACAAAACGGGAACGGCGACGGACCAGGCGATGAAGCTAGCATGGGCAAAGATACAGAGGAAGGTGATGAAGACCGTGATAGCGAGAGCCTTTCCATAGAGGGTGCCGATTCTGCAGTGGATCTGTAGAGTCAAACAACCTCGAGCTCGACATCAATGATATGAGGTTTGCTGACCTGTAATACATTTATGTCATCATTTTAGACACCTAGTAAGAATCAAATTCAATTCTTACTACCATTTTTCAATCAGTCTTAAACCAGTCTGTGCAAGCCAGGCCATATTTTATTGTGCTTACAGTATTGATACATGAGCTGAAAATAATTCTATGCAATCTCAAAGGGCAAGTAATTATTACGTGGGTTTATAATAGCCTATGAAAAGGGCGCAACATCACGCCTTGGTTATATGGACTTGTGAGGCCTTGACGAGGCGGATAAGAATTCCGCCGGACCGTGGTCGCCGCAATCCCCGGCAATTTTTTTCCCAATCTGCTGATGCCACACTGCTTTGCACTTCTCAAACTTTAACTGTCCTGAAAGCATATCTTAAAGTACTTCGGCAGGCTCGCATTCTGATGCTTGATAGCTCTATAGTAGCTGAAATTATTGCTCCTCTTCTTGACTTCTTCTGGAACGGCCCCAGTTTACCCCCTTTACCTGGTACTAATTGCGCAATTTCCCTGGTCGATCAACTCGGTGGTCTCGCCATTTCGGTAAGCCGCAAATGGTGCTAAAGGATTACCGATAGAATTGTTTCGACCCGCTACCGAAGAATCTTTCGAGCTGAACGACAGATAAGTACTAGAAGAACGCGCTGCTCTTGATAGTGTTTGAACACTGTTATTATACACGGCCGGCAAATTCCATCGGTGACGTATAAAACTCATGTATGATCTGTAGTGAGCACATTGCACCTGGAGGTGTTACTTATGCTCTTCCGAACTCATTTATTTTCTCGTTCTACAGAAGCTTCTATCGAGGCAGGCTAGATTTTCGCACACCGGCATCAGTGTCCCTTTCTCTTTCACCATGAAACCTACCGCACAGCAAGATCCAACACTTTGACAGGGAGCATTCTCTTCTTTACTTAGGACCGTACTCCCTACGCTGGCAAGCCGGTCCTTATCAGTCGAGAAGCTACAACAGCACCAGTTATTTTCCCATCAATTAAGAATTTGCGTACAGGAGCCGTACAGGGCGGCCTCAAGACCAAAGATGGCGTAGTACTCCTGTGCTAGAGTACACTAGAAGTCAAAAGAAGTCATCAAGATTAGATGGAACACAGCTGAAACTACTTAGCCGATAGCGTTATTATCACACATTGAATTTGCAGTCAGGGATACCGTTGTCAAATTTGTAAGTTTCCAGATTCTTTTAGAAGAGAAGAAGCTTTTATTGTAAAGTGAATAGGAGCGCTTTCATCAAAGACTAGCCGTGATGATGATGGCATACCAAGCCCCAAGATGGCGCTTATCAGAAAGCGGGCTGTTGAGTAGACCATTGAGCCTGTGATGTCTAGGGAACAATCTTATGGATTTGATTTCGCTTCACGCTTCTGCAGTCGACAACAATGTGCTTTCTCCGACTGTCTCGCCAGAATCTGAAATCTTTGACGTGGAGGATAAGCGGATGATGGTTGTTACAACGTGCTCGGACGATGTCATGAGGTCAATCACTTCTATTCTTCTTTGAAGCCATGCGTTCTCCAATTACGGCTAGATGATACCGCACATATTCCATGCTGCGGCTGTCGGGAACGCTTTAAATAGCTGAACAATGAAGATGAATGAAGCCGCCGGACTTTGGTAGCTTTGAGCCATGTTCTGGTCTTCCGCTGTCGTTTTGGGCCTTACTCAGCTCTGTCTTTCGACACCGCTGGTTTCTAAGCGTTGGGATACCAACGACTTGCTGGAGAAGCACTCTTGGGCTGAAGTTCCCCGAGGTTGGGAATGGGTCAGCAAACCTGATCCCGGCAGTGTCATAGAACTACGCATCGGTCTCAAGAAAGACAGGGTGGACGAGCTGATTTCGTCCTTGTACGAAGTAAGCACACCAAATCACAATCGGTAAGCATCTTTTCTTAGAACTTTGATGTCATATTCATATTCGCGATTCGCGAACCAATAGTTATGGCAAGCATCTGTCCAAAGAAGAAGTTGATGCCCTCGTCGCTCCTCATCCTGATTCAGTTGAAGCGGTCGGGTCTTGGCTCCTTTACCATGGCGTCAACCCTGCCGATGTGACTTTCCGTTCCAGCAGTGGTTCATGGATTACTATCCCGGTTTCTGTTTCGAAAGCCGAGCAAATGCTCGGAACGGAGTACGGTCTTTACCATCATCCTCAATCGTCGTCGTATGTTGTGCGAACTTTGAGCTACTCTCTTCCTCGAGAACTCCATCAGGCGATCGACGTCGTGTCTCCAACGACCTATTTCGGCACACTCCGTAGCATGAGGGTTACTAGTTTTGTGGAAGCCGATATCAGCGACGAAGTAGCTGACATTTCTGCGACGGTGCCCAGCAGCTGTGCCTCTAGGATCACTATTGCATGTCTACAGGCGTTGTATAACAGTACGTTACATGCTTTGTTATATGTGTACGATTGACTAATCTACTCTCGTCATGAATCAGCCTCCGGTTATGTCCCTTCTGCCACCGATAGCAACGTTCTTGGTGTTGCTGGATATCTTGACGAATACGCGAATCGGAACGATCTTCAAGTTTGTTGCACCATTTCATCATTTCATTTCCTGACTGATTTTGTCCAGACATTCCTTAAAACATACCGAACCGACGCAGTGGGGACGACGTTCGAGACGGTCACGGTCAACAACGGTGGAGATGATCAAAGTGACCCCGGTGTCGAAGCAAGTAATATTACTTTGTATAAGGAACTGTCTCTTGCTCACTTTGGCATATTAGGCCAACTTGGACATTCAATATACAGTAGGACTGTCATATCCTACGCCTAACATCTACTACAGGTTCGTTCTCTTCTAATCGGTTCTTCGTATCTTATCCCTTCCGAAGCACGGGCGGTTCCCCTCCCTTTAATCCTGATAGCCAAACCACCACCGACACTAACGAGCCCTATCTGGACTGGCTCAACTATATCCTTGCCGAAGAAACAGTCCCACAGACTTTTACCACTTCGTACGGCGATGATGAGCAGACTGTCTGTCTTCCCAAGAGATCATTCTTTGTCCGGAGCTCATGGTTACCATAATAGGTGCCTTACGATTACGCTGTCAGTGTCTGCAATCTTTTCGCTGAACTCGGCGCCCGTGGAAGTACGGTCTTCTTTTCTAGCAGCGACTCCGGGTACGTTGCACCAATTATGTAATGAGTGCCGCCGGTAACTTAAAACTATGCAGTGTCGGTGGTGGCGACTGTCTTACCAACGATGGAACCAAGCAAGTTCTGTTCCAACCCGCCTTTCCAGCTAGGTATATTTACTATCTTTCGGCAATCTTTCTGAGTGCTAATGTTTGTATGATGCAGCTGCCCCTAGTCTGTTCCTCTTTTTCCTTCTCAAGTGTTCACTTTTGAGCAGGTGATTTTAGCGTAACTGCTGTAGGCGGCACCACTGGCGTCTCACCTGAAGTTGGAGTCAGCTTTTCTGGCGGAGGCTTCTCCCGCTACTTTGGCATTCCATCTTATCAAGCTGATGTTGTCGCTGAATATGTGTCAGACCTTGGGAGCAGATATAGCGGACTGTATAAGTATGCGCCCTTGCCTGCACCGTCCTACTTGTGTTAATCTCTGCCTTCTCTAGTACCTCTGGACGTGCATACCCTGATTTGGCTGCACAAGGAACCAGGTTTTCAGTCATTCTCTCAGGCTCTACAATTTCTGTCGGGGGGACTAGCGCTAGTTCTCCTGTATGCGTGTTCAAGCTTCATCTCTCGTGCCGTGCTGTGCATTAACCATCATTCCTAGACTGTAGCTGGTATCTTCGCCCTCCTGAATGACTATCGTCTTTCCAATAACCAGTCTTCTCTCGGATTCGTCAACCCCCTTATATACGCCAACTCTGGCGGTTTCAACGATATCACCTCCGGTTCCAATCCTGGTTGTAACACCACTGGTGGGCTTTTGTCGTTGTTAGTGATCATCTATTAACAAACTATTACCTCGTCAGGATTTACTGCGGTTGCCGGTTGGGATCCTGTAATTTTTTCTCTTTACCTCTTGCCATTATACTTATTGTCACCTTCATTAGGTCACTGGCTTGGGAACTCCGGATTTCGGAAAGCTTCAGGCAATTGTGGGGGCTTGAGCTTAGTACTTTTACCAGTACAGATACGTTCGGCGAATTTATGTTCAGTTGCTTCCATAAAATGATGTTGTAAGAGCATTTGGATGTCGAACCAATACAAGAACGAATCGGAACTGTTAGAATGCAGTCTACATGCTACGTGGTCGGCGGTGCCGAGTCGCCGACCGCGGCAACACTAAACCACGCGGTTACCGGTCCGCTGCTTGCGAATGCTTGGCAAATTCCTCGGAATGAAGACAATGAGTTTGACGCCTTGTTCCTTGTCTTCTGCCCGCAACGTTAAACTCGCCACATCAAAGCACTAGCACCTTAGACACGCTCTTCTCGCTATACTACTCCATAACACAGTACATACTGTGCTCTTACAAGCATCTTCGGTGACAAGCTTAGTCTTGGGACTGGACAGCTGGAAGAAGCAGATAGAAGATAATGAATCGTTTGAGTCGGGATGTCTCAGGGCGTGTCAAGCGCTTTAGAGTTGATGTTACGAAGCGCAAAGCATCCGATACCGAGTCATCTATCCCTCCTACAAGCGTCCGTCGCAAGAAATCTCGTTCACCTTCGAGGAGTAGGACGAGAGCAGATCCTTTCGTGCTGTCGTCTTCAGGATCCGTCAAAAAGAAGAAATCTGCGAACACTACTGCTTTTAACGAAACCCCCATCGTGGCAGAGGACGCACCTGACCATGGCCATCGAATGAAAGCCGGCCAATCAAAGCCTTCCGGCATACATTCACGCTCTTCCAGTGTTGCACCGACCTCGACGAGTCACCGAAGTAGGAAAGAGAAGGAGGGAGAATGTGATGGAGACCGTTCGCGCTATTCTTCTTCCGAGAAGGATGGTGACAAGAAGGTCGTCATGTATTCAGGACCGTTGGCGATGGCTGAGTTCGAGCGAATGAAGAGAGAAATCGAACAACTGAAGAAGACTGTTCACGACAATAAGAAGACTATCAAGAAGCAAAATGAGGTGAGTCCTCATTGGTCTCGACACCTGTGACACCCCCAACCATCATGATTCCAGACTATAAAGAATCTGAGGACTGAACTGGATTCTGAAAAACTTGTGCGTCCATCCGTTGTCAATATTCTAAACTGCTATTTTAACTTTTGGTAGGCTATAAAGAACCAAGAGACTCAGTTGGAGACGCTGAAGACAAGGTCACGACAGAAGGAAGAAGTAATGTATCTAACTCCAATATCTCGCCGTGATCTAATACCCTTGCTCCTCAGGTTCTTGAGACCATTGAGGCCAACCTTCAGTGCCAGATATGTATGGAACTGCTCTTCAAACCTTATGCGTGCGTATCACTCATGTCAATCCATTTTGTTCTAACATACTGGTAGTTTGTCACCTTGTGGTCATGTCCTTTGCCTCTCATGTCTACAAGAGTGGTTTCGGAAAGCTCCACCGTCAGCTGACGATATGGAGATTGATGAGGACATCAATGATCCAGAATATATCATTCATCGTCAGAAATCGTGCCCTTGTTGCCGTGCTGTGATTTATGACCGACCCGTCCCTGTGTTCCTCGTCAAGTCAGTTGCATCCACGTTGATAAAGGCCAGAGGACCTGGGCATACTGCGGCAAGTCCACTTTCGCACATGGCCGGCTCATCCTCCGCGACTACGGATGATGTCTGGAAGGGACTTTTTCCCGACGACACCTGCGAAGAGGAGGAGCAGGAGGAATATGACTATGATGATGAAGTGATTCGGTGGTTCACAGCCCCATATGATGATTCTGATGAGTACGAAAGCTATAGTAGCGATGAGGACGGGTCGATGGGCGAATTAGAGGACGATGTCGACAGCACTCAGTACGTCCAACCCGTCTGGGAGCCACCCACAGTCTACTATCGCGCGCGGTCAAGACACAGTTTGCAATTTACTCAGATGATGCGCCGAGGATGCACACGCGAGATGATTAATACATATGGGATGACTTACACTCACGAAGACGGCCTGGTTGCCTACGTCTATACCTTGGATTCCGACACCCATGTCAGGCCGTACCGACCGGCTGATAGACAGCACATGATTAGCCTCTTTTTGGGGTGGAACGTTGTACTGGAGCCCCGCGATCACGACGGACACGGTTTCATGAACCAGCTTCTAATTGACTACCGCGAACATCCAGAAAGATTCTCCACACATCGCCTAGGTGCCTCGTTGGAAATCAAGAAGCTGGTGAGGGAAGATGATGTACAAGCAGTTTCAGATGATGAGCCGACAGACTCGGAGTATTGGCATGATAATCGTCTAGACTCGGACTTTTAAGACTTAGAATAAAGATATCCGTGTACATGTTCTGTAAACTATTCTGTACTTTTTATGCGCGTCGATACCGGGATCAGTTGAGATTTTTTACTGCCTCTGGTCGTTCTGGCTCGCTCTGTCCATTATACCACAAGGTCGTAATCCCATCTTATTCTTTGTCACTTTTTTCGATAATGTATATCTCTTTTTCAGGTGGACACTACCCAATCACCTCATATCCATAGTTATATTTCTGCTACAGGTCGCAGTAGCAAATTGAACTCAACAAGTGATACTAAAATACTACCTGTCTATTAAGTTCGGGCATCAAGGAGCCAGCGCCAGCGCTCAGGCCTTGAGTGAGGTAACCTCCGAGGCACAGTCCACTCTTTCAAGCGGCAGTCCCACCTTTTTCATGATGGAAACGAGACAATAGATTTTGCGATACCGTGGTCGTTACGGTTGTCAAGTAACTGCCATCATCAAGCGAACAACTGGCAAACAGTTTCATTAAGAACCTTCACGCAAAGGAAGTCTTCATCGATCGAGAGGTTAAGCATGCAAAGGATTGATTTATTCCAACAGTGGCGTCCTTACTGCTCAGCATCAACTTAGCCAATTGCGCCGCCGCCAATGCGAGGACTGATGTTATACCGCCAATGCAGGGTGCGGAAGGCTTCTAGCTCGTCCCAGTTGCCATCGCGTGCAGCTTTGCTATGGTCCCTTACTTTTCCTCTCTTGTAACGAGTCTCAACGAACGGACTGATCGTCTCCTTGACAATTCGGGCCGTCTCGAAGCAAACGCGTACCAAGGGTAACGGACTAACGGCGCGTTCTATAGGCTCAGAGGTGGATGTCAACGCTTTACAGTGTTACTCTGTATCAACCCACGGTACCTGTTCAAGGGTCCGAACTTCTAGGACTTGAACTCGACTGAGCTCCGCATTAGGTGGTCAGCGTATCTCCTTTTGTGACGGGAAGGACTACTATTTCGCCCCAACTTGAGGATTTGAATCATCGATGAATTCGACCTAGTGTCTTGAATAGATAACTAACCTTTCAGTCCGCCGGTCTATGCTTCAACAATTATTGGCAATCCCGCATGGGGAACGAGCTCTGATGGTAGACCATTGCATTAGAGACCTAGGAACAAGGAAATTCCTGCAAAGGTTTTAGCTCGTTATCGCGGGTTGGGGAAACCGTCTGCGGGTCAATGAATTTAGGAGACAGTGTATGGAAGGATTTCAATGCTGTTTTTGGGGATCGCGGAAAATGGCCGATAAAATTATACAGAGCGCATCTAACCTAAAGGATAACACGATAAGACAACGGTGATAGCTACAGACACACAAAAAAATACTCTGACGATACAGACGGTAGATACAAACACGAGGATCCGACAGTATAGGACCTAGCAACATTTCAAGCCTAAAAACAAGACGTAAATCGGGAAGGGGCAAGAATGGCCGTGAAACATTACTATTGCCAGCCATCAACATCGGCGACGAAGAAAACCAATATAGCGCTGTTGAACGGCAACATGGAGGAATAGAATAAAGCCATTGTTTGTTATGATGCTCCAGCACGTCTTCCCCGAATGATTAGTCCGGCGTCCCAGGAGCTGACGGACCATCCATCTTCTGTAAGGGCCATTCGAATAGCGGGCTTTAACACACTGACTTGATTGACAGAGTGACTACCACGCCCCGTGATAACTTTCAGAGGCTTGGCTGTAACAGCAATATCAACCTACGCCTTGCGGAGAATGATGCACAAACATACCAGACAGGTCTATCGTCTCCAAAGTCTCTTTCACAATGTGGATGGCTTCGGCGGCAGTCGTTCCGTGCAGATCCACAGTATTCGGTTCATTTGATGCAACTCTGCACGAATGGTGAGTTGGTGAAGGTTCCGCTCCAAAGGTGATAACCTTACCTCTTGGCGTCCGCCATCATGTATGCAACATGCAGCGCGTCATTCTTGGCCATTTCCTGGAGTTCGCGCGCCTGAAAGGGTAAAGGTGTTCACACCAGATCGCAAAGGTGATAGATCGACGCACCCTTTCAGCATAATACATGGCTACCTCCCCACCTCTGCTTTTGCTGTTTCCGCGCTGCCACATTAACGCTGCTTCCTTGAGCATCTCATCCCTCTTCCGCATACTCTCATTCATCCGCCTTCTGTATTTGTCGAGTTCCCCCACGTCGCCTTTACCACCTTTGCCGATTCCATTGCCGCTTCCTTTGACTTTCATCCCATTAACGTCCCTCGTGTAAGCTGGGATGTGAATGGGTAGTGACTGTGGAGTACGTTCTGGTCTCTTCTGCCGCTTGACAGATTGCCATTGATACAGACTCGGTTTATGAACTGTTGCCGGGGGTACAGATGCAGCTCGTGTTTTCAGAGGTAACGGCGAGGATGGAGGTTCTAGTGAGTTCAGAGGGCCCGATATATTCTGAGACGAAGGTGTCGGCTGAGGAACGTGATACACGCCCATCTCCAGACAGCCGGAAGAGGAATCGGTATCGAGCTCTCGTAGGAGTTTGACAAGTTCAAGGGCGTCATCACCTCTTCCTTGGGTGGCATTAACACAAAGTTCGGCGTCCGATTTAAGTTGTAATTGCTCTTCTGAATTTAAATGCTCGTACATTGAGAGCAACAGGTCAAGCAGGGTATCAAGAACGGGTATATCGTCGATATCGGATTGATGCAACTTGTTGATCATGGAAAGAGCAGAACGAAGTGCTGCATATGGGGAAGAGTAGCTTGGGGAATGGAAATAGGAGAGGAAGAAGGAAGGTTCGTACGGTGGTAGGAACGTCGACACATGAGTCGATAGAGATGATAGTTGAGTCCACCTGTCTGATACTGGTATCGGTCCACAACGGGGAGAGCCTAAGACTATTCGATCGAACGGGTGCGTATCGGTGTTGCTGGCGAATATCTGTAAGGGCGGTTGATTTGTTCCTCCTTTTCTTCTTCACAGTAGCCTTAGCCTTGTACTCTCTGAGAGGAACAGCGTTCTTCTTTGAATAAACTGTGGTCCACGAAGACTCATTCTCCATGTCGTCTGCGCCCTCCAATCCATCAAGACCCCGCTCTTCCATCTCCCGTATCTGCTCCTCGGACAGTATTCCGGCCACAATATCCCACATGTCCAACTCGCCTATCACCGGGTTGAGTATTAGATAGTGCTCGGTTTAAGCAGTCGTATTTGATGTGCGGGAGAGCGGCTTGCAGAAAACCTAGAGGGGAGCTAAATGAAGACTGCGACGACATTGAACCAGAAGCGCTCGATGATGCAGTTTCTCCTATATATGCACTGGGCGTACTGGTTGTATCGTCGGAACAACCTGATCCCAAGTTGAGGTTCGCATATTGCTCGGACAGTTGAGAGGTCTCGGCTTCAGCAGCAAGTTCAGTCAGCGAGATTCGAAGGCTGGCAATGGCTGTCGATGATGGTTCAACAAAGCTACCATTGTCGTCGCTTTCTATGTCAGCTATTAACGCTGCCAAAAGTGATGTATCCAGTGGAGGACAAAATTCGGTCTATGGGTCTAGAATAAAATCAAGATTCAGAATGATTAATAATGATAAAGCACCTGTAGCCGTTCGAATAAGGTAGATTGCAACCCCATATTAAAACGTAATTATACTTTTCGAGTGAAGTATAGTTTGTGAAGTAGAAAAACAAGAAGAGATACAGAAGATACACTTTACAGATGAGGTTGAGATTAGTCAAAAAGGTGTCAAAAAGAGAGGCAGGCAGCTTGGTGACGTGACATTGTCACGTGATGCGACTGATGTGCGTGCAGTTAATATTATTCATCCGAATCATCGCCTCGGCCGTTCGGCAACATCCATCTGTTGTGCTGCGCCCACCACCAACGACCGCCTTGGTCACCTTCTCCGACGCAGGCTTGGTTATCTAACTTTTTATCTTTACAAACCATGCTGTTCATGCTATCTGTGTTGGCCTTCTTTGCCCTTGTGGCTTTGCGTGCGTTCATATATGCTTACAATGAACTGCGGAGACTAATTCCATTCTTTTGCAGTGACCTTTCGATATCGCGTTTCTCTTGCCGCCCACGTTCCTGAGCGAGTGAAGACTTTCTTTCCCAAACTCAGACACTACACTCCTCTTTCGACCTTTACCGAACAAGCGAATGCCGGTCTTACATCCTCTGACTTCGACATTGAGGCGAATTTGCGAAACGGTGATTCAAGAACGGGTCTCGATGAGCAGGGCACGCAAGAGGTCATGGAAATCATGCGGAGGGAGCGTGTCAAGTGCGTCAATCAATTCAACGCCATTGAAGAGAGACTTACATGAAAACCCCTAGTTTTGATCAGGCTCGGCTAATTCGCCACAACCGCATTCTCGCTCGAAATGGAATTGATGCATCAGGTTCGTTGAGTGTCTCATCTTGAGTCCAGGTTGACTCATCACAAATCTTCAAGGGATGCCGCTGGATTCTAAGGCAGTAACGCACTTGTAATCCTGATTCCTTAAACCTCTTTCTGTGTCCTTCTTTTGTTTAAACACCTCTTTGATATCCGCCACGGAATCCTACCACGTTTTCAAACTGCTGCTAATTAATGCGCATTCCTATGCTTTTGTATCGAGGATCTGCTGTAATCTACACCTTTCCACCGTCTGCCTTACTATGATCCGTATATCTGTCTTCAAGTTCGTCCTGGCTGTCTCTCGCGCCTCCCAAACATATGGGTCCGAGTGAGTGCTGGACTGCTGTGTTGTGATCCCGTTAACAAGAATCGATAGACCAATCTTGAGTAGTCGCACAAAGGATAATCGATAATGTCCCACGAGTACAAGAGAGTACAAGCCCCCGCAATTTGGAAAATGAGCGATCCACCAAGATGCAGTACCGTCGGCTACGTTCAGTCGAAATGAATGCACGTCTTATCTACTCCTAGAAGGTGATTCGATTAACGGGATCTTTGCAAAGGGTCGAAACAGGTCGAAACTCTTGGCGAGAATCGTAGAGAACCATGCGCCCACAATCGGCCATAGTCTGCCGCACACACCGCCACGTAAAGAACCTATCGTCCGATCGATAACTTTGGTGGACCCAAGTATATTCTGAACTGACGCTCGACCATCTTCTCGGGTGGTGCGTTCGGGCTCCGAAGTCTCACGTTTGTGAAATCTCGCCAGAGAAGTGGGACCTTCGTGATACTCCCACCATCCGACACAGCTTTTTTATCATCATTGTCTCTCGTACCTGTGCTGGTATGTTGAGATGCTGATTGTGGTGATGTAGTCGAGGCGCTACGGTCTAAGGCCCTTCCTCCGCCGCTGGACACGCCGATCTATATCAAACAAGATAGATACCGCAGCATGGTACAGCGACTGGTCGAAGAAACGCGTGTGTGTAACGTCTGTGGCATATGCGATAATTACCTGGCGCCTCTGATCCTGAACCTGAATATGAAGGGACGTCCATCTAGAGAAGATCGAAGGAGGTAGAAGATATGGTGGGACGGGATCTAAAAGTGCTAATATTTCACTCGAACGCCGGTCCCGGTGAACTGACTGTGCCTTTGCATGAAACAGAAGAACGCGCCACTGACGCATTTCAATTTCTTTTAGGCGTCCAAGTATCTACCGTTCATACAGTCCAACTATCACGGAACGTCGACCGGGTAAGTCACTCCTTAAACAGCATGTTTATGGTGCAACTTACCTGAGGTAGAATGATATCTAGGACAGATGCAAGTGATTACACCCCATTTGCTTTCACCGTTGTGAAAGCAGTCTTACATCAACCGGGCTTTTTTTACACAAATTTCAATGTTACATCGCTCAACAACCTAATGGCCACGTCCTGTGTCAAAATGGTTCCGATAGGGTTCAAGGTACAATGACATCGTCTATTTGACTCCCAGACATTCGAGGACACCGGTGTCAATGTCATTGTCTAATCTCTATGCTCCTGCACCCCCTCGGTCTCACATACTAGGCCGCGACATTCCATCATTCCATCACAATTTTACTCTCCTAGTATGAAAGGCGGAGAAGTCAGCTCCATCCCATGCCCAGTCTTTCGCTCCTAATTTGCAAACTTGCCACATTTATTTCTCCCAAAAAAAACAAGCAAGCTGCTGCCTTAACAGGTTTCTGGTTCCCGTCTCTAGCTCGCCCTGGATCATCATCAGAGTCGAGTCGGTCGTCAAAGGCGCCCAATACAGCTTTGCCCGAACACAACTGAGTCATGGACCAAAGCGACCTCTCGGATCGCATTGATTACGATTCACCGCCAGCTCTTCTTTCCCATCGAAGGGAAGCAACAGGGTCGACTGATCGCGCATCGAAGTCCATGCTCATAATGCAGGGCGCTTCAACGGCTCATCCCAGCCACGGGAGATCGCCCACGAAACACACGATCGACTCGGAAACGCCCTTTAATTTTGGGTCGGTTCATTCGTCGTTTTTCAACGGAACCAGATCCACTGAGCGGAAGCAAATTTCCATCCTCCATTTATCATAATCTTCATTGCCAACCCCCATATCACAGAGCGCCTTACTCCCCGAGACGCACGGGTAGTCGTTCATAAGGGTAGTCACGTCACGACAAATGGAAAAGGCGGGACCTTCACCGGACCTTCGGCAGGACCCCAGGAGTACCCTCCCCGAGGTAAAAATAACGGGCTTAACCACAACCTGAATTCACTCATTTACAATGGCTGCATCGGCCGGGGGGACCGACCATGCCGACCAACGAATAAGGTTTCACCGCCCTCCATATACTCACGATTGAATAGTCCTCGAAGCGGTACCCTACCCAAATCCTGCTTTTTTTATCCCAGTACCGGCCATCTATTCTCATACGGTTTGATTCCCGTTCTCCCCAAACTTTCCAGGAATTTTAATGCAAGGAAGAAGCTCGTGAGAAGCCTTTATTTTCTTTCCAATGTAGCGGGAAGGAGAAAGAAACATTTTGGTTTGGGATCATATGTCTGTGTCTGTGTCTGGTCCGTCCATTGTACCCGCCTATCTGGATTCTCAGCATATTGCCGTTCTCACCAACACCACCACCACCACCACCACCTTCGGCTTCGACGCCCCCTCCACGTTTTGATACCCGCCCTCGAAATGAATTCTCCCTAAATCTTTCCATCACGTCAAGGCAAAAACAAAACGCGGATGTCATAAATAACCCAATTGCAAGTACAGAACAATGCATCCTCAAGTTTTCTGATTAAACCTCGAGGCGCACACCGCACTAGCGCGTTTATTTCAAAAGGGATCGAATACGCATCTAGGTATTTCATGTGCTGCGATATTGATAGCGCACAGCCTACGCATAACCGGAACCCCTAGCAACAACAATGGACGAGGACCCGCCACCGCCGCCTCATTACTCCTCAGCCATGTCCAATGTCCAATTTACTTAACAGAATCGTTCAAACCCAAAACTCGATCATGAACTGCCAGAGTCCCTGACGGGTAGTCGCGATCGTGAAAATCCGGGTCCCGGCTCGCGTTTGGGGGTTCCATCGTGGCATTGGTTTTATTTCATACTTGCCTGTACATGTTGCGTGTTGTCCTGTCAAATCATAATTTTTTAATAAAGGCGCATACACCACGACGCCACCTCCACCATGCTTCCCTGTAGAAGTCGGTACCGCACTGTCAGGTACTGAACAATTGGTGGAGTTGCTTAAAGTCCGCTGGGCCCCTCACTACGACTGAGGGGGGGGCGATAAAAAAACGCAAAACGTAAACTGTAACTGTAATTGTGTCCCTGGAGAAAATCCGTCTTCCCTGTCAGGCACGAAGATCATTATTGTGGTCTGTAAGAAAAAGAGGAGCGCAGTTAAAGTAATGCGTACTCTAGAGGCCCAGGCAATTAGTATTGACGAGTGGCGGCGATTCGACGTGCGAAGTCATTATTCCAAGTCAGTCTTCTTCGGCAAGTGGGCTGTACCTGAAGAGTTAAGACGGACTCGGGAGAAGTAAAAGTGTGCCGCCACTGCCACTGACAAGAAGGACGACGGAATGGTATGTATAGAATTGAAGGTTCGCGGCAAGGGACCTCCGCGAGTCGATATAGTATGCGTGTTTGAATAGCGTGAGTAGGAGATAGGAAGGTTGTTGTTATTTACCTTATTCCGCATCCCAGTAGATAAGGAAGCTATTGTTCATCAATGAAGAGATAGATACATCCCACTGAGCAATCATTCTCTCCCGTGCGACTCAGAACCAAGAAACAGGTACACTTCATGATGATCGTCTCCAGCCGAACGGTACTTAATCGTAATCAATTCAAGTTGGAAATATGTATACTTAATCAAGAGCCGCGAACCTTGGACGTATTACATGTACAGCCAGCGAGAAAACATCTCCCGCGAGCCGAGAAACAGAGGTGACAACAAGTCTCATGACCGCAAAATAACATATCATTGGTGGATTTCAAACAAATGTCAGGTACCCACTGGAGGATCTCTGCGGGAAGCATGTCCTACCTAAGCGATACCGCACCAGTAAACGGGAGAGTATTGTACCTCCCCTCCAAGGTCCAGAAGCGAAGCCAGTTCAATTTCGTTTCCCAGCTACAAATCAAACAATTATTCGAACCAGAAAAAAGGGTTTCAATTGGTAGACCCGGGGGATTCGGAGTTCGTGGATCATGTGAAGGGGATATTGTGAGAACTTCGAAGAGCAGATAATTAAGTATCTTAGACTTACTAGGACTACTACCTCTCATGATCTCCAATAAGGGCTGAACACGAACCGCTCTGGAAACAATTGAATTCGAGTTCGTTTCCGTCCCAAGGTCAAGAATCACCGAGAGTCGAGTCTTAGGATCACACATATACAGTCAAATTCCAAGGTGCCGACTCCGTGTATAATGGGTTAATGTCAAGTGCCAAGTTTCGATTTCTTCCTCTCGTAGAGGCGAAAAAAAAACTGCCCCGGTTGCAAGCCTGTCCAAAAAAAAGAAGTCGAGCACAAAACCCTCCTCGTACTTACCGCAACGTGTGAAGATTGATTATTGTCGTTATACCCAGACCGGTGTATGTGAGAGCTTGGTGCCCTCTCTGGTATATAGGCATCACTCCAAGGATAAGTATCGTTCACGCTCAAATGCCCTTAAAAGGTCGATCGTGCGACATAAATCTGATCACCAAAGAATAACACGGCATGACGACAGATAATAGGTTGTGCCAGGGGTGCTCGATGGCTGGTTATTATTAGTAGTAGTACGTTCTGCGTTCAAAATTTCCCGTGCACGTCGTGTTGCTCCTTCTAATCCGAGGTGGTACTCCCAAGTCCGAGGAGACTCCGAAAGACGTGCCCAGAAAATCGTCACCGCTCGGGAAATTCGAGAGTCAGTGATCAGAACAAAATCTCCTTCCTTTCTCCAAATAGTGGCTGACTCAGAGAAAGTGCAGTGACGTTGAAATCAGAGCACCGTTGCAGTAACGAAGAGAACATGTGCAAGTGATGGTTATTCCCCAAGAAGCGATTGGTGGTAGAGACGACGACGGAGGAACACTGGGTTCCCTCGAGGAAGATAGTATCGACCAGACATAGGCGTGGCTGCAATCCGAACAGGAAACCATAGTACATACCAGTGTCACATCCTTGGTCGATAATGATATGACATGTTGTGTAATTTGAACGCTTGAAAGATAGACACACGCGTCGCAAGAGTTGGTGATGACGCCTGATATACCTTGAATTTGGACATGGGCAAACGGGGTGCGAGTAGTAGGGAGCGCGCGCGTCCTAAGGACGACTGGATGGATTATCCTGTCATGGCAATTCTAATCGAATCAGCGTTAGAGAAGCACTTACACTGTTGAATTGTTAGCACTTGCGTCGGTTGCCAGGCCAATACGTGACATCGATGAGAGGAGAAAAGCACAGTGGCTGTACCATGCATCAAAAACGATGTTAAGTTGTTGTACTGCAAACTACTGAAATCATCTTAGTCTTACTATAGAGGACTACCCCCTCCCACCTCTCATGGTACGAGTACTAAAACCGATTTAAGAGTTGAACGCGAACCGCTCCGGGAACAACCGAATCCGGATCCGTTTCCCTCCCAAGGCCAACTTGCCGACCCATAAACACAAGTCACTCGAGTCTTGATACGAACACGTACAGTCAAATTCCAAGGTCGATGTTTCCCGATTTCCTTCTCTCGTACGTAGGTGAAAATCTCTGCTCCGGTACCAAGCCCGTCCGAAGAAAAAATACACCTCCCCGCACCGCAATGTGGGAAGATGAATTATTGTCGTTGGAGGAAACCAATCCGATATCCTTATTCCCAAACCGGCGCATGTGAGAGTCCAGTAACCAGTGTTTTCACAGCCAAATGCCCTCCGACTCGCTCTCACAAAAACAAAAAGGTCCATCGTGCCAAAGACAAAATGGTTGGTGTCCTGCGTTTTCCCGGTTAATCGGCGAACCTCCTGGCATGTCGTTTCGATAATCGGTGGGGGCCCCAGATGATGCTGACTTAGTGGAAATGGCATACGGAAAGAGCTCCCTTGTGTGATTGCCTGGAAATAGACTGTATACTTACTTGGTTTGTACGTGTCATACAGGATATCCAACCAGCAAATCGGTAGGGCGCGACAGCCGTGGAACTGTAGGCTTCCTTTTCTCTCTGATACTGGAGGAGGAAACAAAACATGGGCAGTCGGGCGCAGTTCCCAAGAAGTCGAGTCCACGATAGTTTTCCTCGAGGATGATATGTCTGGTCTTCGATCGGCGAGGCTGGAGAGGAGTGCGGTCCGAACAGGGTGGTGACACACGCGTCGTGGTGCATGACAGCTGGATTTGAGCATGAGCAAACAGTGCGAGCAAGATTGGAAGGAGGTGAGATGCAGGGAGCGCGTTCGGAGGACAACCGGGCAGATCGTCCTAAATATGACTTTTCTGAGAGTCAACAACAGAAATACACTTACCCCGTCGGAGCAAGCAAATCCTTCCTAGTACATTAGTGACACAGGAGAAAAGCCCAGTGGCTATGCCAAACATCAAAACGATGCCATTTACTGTAACTGACTGTAACTAAAGAAGCGAACCGAGAGACTACTAATACTACACGATAATATGGACTATGAAAGGAATCATAATGGATGTATATAAACCCAATAACTAAAAAAGACTACAACTCTCCAGGATCCCGCTTGTCCCCCTTTACACGCCTAACTTCTTCCTCTGTCATCTCACCCACCAGAGGTTCACCCACAGGTAGGATCGTGACTTGTTCTTTCTTGGCCTTTGGGATCTGGGGTGCTACGGGCATACCGTGTTTCCTGCCTGCGACGTTTCTCTTCGAAGGGGAAGGGGAAGGGGAAGAAGACTTGGGGGAGGCGTCCTTTGCCTGTTCCGCCTGTTCAAACGCCTGCTCGACCTGCTCCTTGGACTTTCCCATCAACAACGCATCAAGGTTAGGCTTAAGCTTATCCATATCCTCCCGAACCCTCGCCACACGGGACACGAACCCAGTAATGGCATCCTGCATATCATGTTGCTTCGCCTCGAGTGCAATGAGGACAGTATCACCTAGAGGTCTAACATGGGTGTTATTCTGTATTTGGCGGATCTGGGTATCAAACTCGTTGTAGACTGCACTTAGTTAGTTAGTAAAAAAAACAAGAGAAGAAGGAAGAAATGGGAACGCACCCCGCATCAAGTCATGATACCGCTGCCAATCCTCATACGTGACATCCTCCAACCAGGCATAGTCCAAGCCCAAGTCCGACTGAGCCTTTTCCGCGAGCGCCTTGACTTCCCGACTAGCAACAACACACTCCCTAACCTCGTCCTCCCTCACACGCGTAGCCCACTTCTCGACTCTCTCGCCCATCTCCCGAACGAGAGCCTCGAGCTTCTCCTCGACCCTCCCAACGACCTTCTCGCCCCTCTCCCGCCTATCCTCATCCTTCGGCTCCTTCTTCCACCACCCCTCGAGCCCACCCACGAGTTTCTCCGCCTCGTCGACGAACCCGTCCAGGAGCTTACTAACATGCACGCCATCAACGAAATCTGTCTCCTCTTCTTCGACGGCCTGGCCAAAGAGGACTGCAGCAGCGCGACTCCGGATACGGGAGAGGTTGGTGCGTACTGTGGCGGCGCGGGCGACTGCGAGGGCGTCGAGCTGGGCAGCCCAGGAGGCGTGGCGCGCGGTTATGTTGGCGCGCTTGGAGGCGATGGCTGAGGGGTCGCGGGAGGATTCTGTGGGGGGTACGAAGGATGTGGAGGTGGCGGTGGTAGAGGCGGATGAGGAGGCGGCATCAAAGTCGATGCCGAGGTCTGCTAGAAAGTCGTCGTACTCGTCGGCGACAATTGGTGTCGATGGTGGGTCTTCTATCGCAGGCTCTGCAGACGATGTCGGTACGGGTTCTTTGGCTGTCGTCGATGCTGACTCCTCGGTGGGCTCTGCAGTCGAGGTTGGCGCAGGATCTTCGGCTATCGTTGGTACTGGATCCTCGGTTTGCTCTGCAGTCCCGGTTGGTACGTATTGTTCTATTACCGTCGATGCCACTTCCTCGGTTTGTTCAGATTCAGTTGACGCTGGTTCTGGATCAGAAGACGTCACCGGGTCTGATTGTTCAGTAGTCGGTATCGGGTCTGGCATCGCCTCCGTCGGTGTCGGCGCTATCGATGACGTCGGTACCGGAACCTCAAACAGCGTCGGCGCCTGACTCGGTGGCGGAACAGCGGTCTCTCCTCGTCCTCGACTAAGCTCGACGACCTTGACCCAGAGCAAAACCACATGGGGATCCACAAACTCCCTCCTCAGCTCTCCCAACCTCCGCACACAAACCCTATACCCCGCCACAACCCGGGGCCGGCCAACCTCGTACGCCCTCCGCACATACGGCGAGATCGTCGTGTACGCCTTCCTCACATACGGCGAGACCGTCGTGTAGGCTCTGCGAACATACGGCGTGACTCTACCCGCGTACGCCTCCACCGCCTCCGCGTACCTGCTTATCGGATCCACATACGGCTTCACATACGCCCGATACCTCGGCTCCACAAACGCACCCGCCTCCTCCACTCCCCGCGCTGCCCTCCTCCCCACAGGCTTCAACACCACCGCGCTCTTCTCCACCACCACCTTCACCACCGGGTGCTCCAGAACCCGCTTAACAGGTGGCGCCATATACACATCCACCACTCCCGCTCGGTATTTTGCCAGACCCCAACATACCGGGTCCTGCAGTCCATAATCAGTAGGGCACACCCGCAGGGCGTACACCACAAATAGTCCAAGAAAGAGGAGGAGCACGCGGTCGGAGAACCACCCGCTGGGCTTCTTCACCACCTTCTGTGACTGTTTTTTCGATTTAGCCTTCTTCGCCGAAGGTTTAGGGATAGGTTCAAGAGGAGGAGGAGGCGAAGGTGGTCTCGCGGCGGGGGTGGCAAGCGGAGACGCAGACACTTTTTTACGCGGAAGAGGCTGCGACGAATTCGTACGTGACGCCATCGCAGGCCCTACTTGCGGTTTCTTGTTCACCACCATCCTGGGTGGGGGGGACGCGCAAGGGCTAATTTCAGACGGTGGATGTCAATGGTTAAAAAAGTCAAAGAGACGTATGACGTGTAGGTATTTGTCTTCGGCCCGTCGGGCCGGTGTCACGTCGGGGAAAGTGGACACGTAGGCTTTTCTTGGCTTTAGGTTTTCGCCACAAATATTAACTGGTGAGCTGGTTTGTACACTCGAACGTTTGAACGCCTCAGCATCTGTTTCCCAAAAATTGCCTGTTGTACTGCTCAAGCCCGTGTCCTATCGTCATTTCGTGCAGGTACCAACACTAGCACCAACGTCTTTACTTTCAAGTGCTACGTTTCCCCGTCATTTCTCCATCGTGATTCCGAACTAACTTTGATTTGCGTTTCCTCTTCTGAGCTTACTCGCACAATTTCGCTCTTCCATGATATTTTCCATACTCCGTCTCCGTCGCCTGGAATTTGACTTTATGCCTAAGCAAGCGTTTGGCGTGTAAAATGTCGGAGCTCAAGAGCCTACACGTCGCTGATCGACACACTGTGATTTTAAATTGTCTTATTCACTTTCCATGCCGGATAGGCTAGCCATGGGTTGACGGATGCCGCCACCAGAGAACAACTTGGTGTAAGAATGTCCCACTCTAAAGTGCTCTAACTTCCGGTGAAGAAATATATTCAGTTCAATGATGCCTATCGCCATAAAACCTGGTCTTTTTTCTTCCTTCTGGGCCCTGGAGTACTGGCAACCAAAAACTCTCACAACGACCCGCCAAAAATCAACCATTTTATCTTCAAAACATACACGAAGCAAACCGAGTATACTAAAGACATTCCCGTTGGCCATGAGAAGTTGGCGAATCCCACCACCAGAGAATAACTTGGTGTAAGGATATCTTCCAGTAGAGGTGAAACATGAAATTTATCCAGTTCAATCGTCATAAACCCTGGGCTTTTTTCTTTCCTTCTGGGCGCTGGAGTATACGTACTGACATAGGTATTTCGAGTAAAATCGCAAAAACCTCGTACAATGATACGCCGAAAATCAATCATACATTCAAACGAGAAATACAGTGACGAAGCAAGCCGAGTACATTCCCATCCTAGCCCAGCGCATCGACACCAAAAAGCAACAATCCAGGTTCTCAAGAACACAACAATCAACCATTTCTTCCAAAACATGACACTTAAGCGCGAGAATTTAAGAGCCAAGGAGCACAGCGTTCCAGTGCAAAAGAGCAACAATCCACCAAGAAACCAACCAACACACTCGCCAATTCTGATAGCATGTCAACGAAACCCTGGTCTAGTCTCTACACGAACAAACGAGCAATCAGCCACTCTGGGATGAGTATTCTCTTTTCTGTGTTTATGGGGTTAACATACCGGTGAGGGATACTAGCCACCTAGACTGGGGCGATACCGAAGACCTGGGAGCCTAGTTTCCATCTACGTCGGGTCCGAGAGCGACGAGGAGGCCGGGAAACTCTGCTCCGAGGATCGTACTAGGCGCGAGTGGGTACTTGTCTTCTGTTCATGCTGTTTTGGCCGAAAGCTTTGATCTGGGGGCGCTTAGGTTGTAATGGTTGAACGTACCTTGACGAGAACCTGCCGTGGCCCGGGAGTGGGTGTATCCACAGCTCCGATGTAAGACTCGGAGGTCCTTTGGAATCTTTGATTAGGACGGCTCGTATCGTGAAGAATCAGGATAAGAGGCCTTGAAGCCCGGTGGGCCTGAGCGCTGAGGTTGCGACGAATCCATCACATGGATTCGGAGTTGTGTAACGACAGATACGGAAGAGTGGGAGGAATCCAAGTCAATGTTGAAGCTGAAGACTATCAGAATTTGAAATGCGCCTCCTCAACGTAACGGAGGATCGAAAGCACCAAAGGCAGGAATAAAATTGGTCGAACAGCGGTCCCTAGAAAAGGAGACTCTGCCATCGCAGACCTGCCTGTGACCAGGAAACATTTCACGGGTTCGGAAGGACTAGAGAGTGAGAGTGAAGAAAAGGTTCGATACATAGGGTACAGGAACAGGCATGTCGGCGAAGAACGTAGCGGGTAAATTTCCCAGCAATCGAAACTCGTGGAAAGGTGGGTAGGATGGCGCGAAAACAGCAGTATAACAGGACTGCCCTCTAAAAGCAGGCACATTTCCGGGGACAAGCTTTACATCCCACCGGCAGGTCCCAGGCACCTCAAATCCTGAGAATGTGAGAAGCTGAACGATGGGCAAGGATGAACAAATCCACCCTGATAGGATTTGAAGATAAGAAGGGGGTGGGGGAAGTCCGAAAATAAGATAATTGATATCAGAGGGTGCTAGCCTGGATAACCAAGCCCTCTAACGAAGAAGTAGACTGGTTCTGTGTAAGAATCATGAGTTGATCCAAGGATCGGGTAACCGACACGAACATTCACTGGCTTTTTCAGCCCAAGCGAAAAGCTTTTAAGGTTTTCCGGCCCCGAACCGATATGTATGTTACCCTTTCATAATACGAAAGATGGTACCAAGCTTCGTGTACATGTTGTGAGCACATGACGAGTAGAAGGTGCAAAAAAAAAAAGAGAAAACAAGAAGTCGATGTTGAATGGGCCGCGGCAAAAGGCAGAAATACATGATCGCACAGTGCATGAATGCATGACGTCACGTCATTCCTCCTTGTCTTCATACCATCATCACCTCTTCGTCTTCCTCTCTTCCTCTCTCTCTCTCATTCCCGACCCAGCCTAGCCATGAAACGCACCGGCACCAACCCCGCCGGCCCAGCCCCCACCACCAAAAAATCCCGACCCCTCTACGAAACCATAACACCCTTCCCGAATCCGTCCAGCGATAGCCTAGCATACAAGCTCCCTTCGAGCGTCCCGAGACCTGGGGACACTGGGAAGTTCTCGCCTGTTCCAGTCCCTTCGGTTTTCAGGACAAGCTCGAGGAACTTGAAGGAGAACAGGGTGGGGAGTAAGCCCAAGTCGAGGTCCAAGTCCAAGTCGAGGTCGAGGAAGGGCGTGCTGGAGAGCCCGTTCCCTGTCTTTGATGCAGCAGATGAAATAGATATCCCGACTCGCTTCCCAAAGCGCACCTTGTCGGACAAGTTCCAGCCGAATATACCCATCCCGCAACAGTCTCACTCAACGACGACTTCTCCCCAGTCGGGTCTGCCTCAATCAGAGAGGAGACGCCGTCCCTCTGCACCTACGCCTCCACGTACACATATCTCGTTCCTCGATCCCGATATCAAGCATCATGCAGGGTTAGGAGACGTCGAATTCAGCATTGCATCCCCCGAGGTGGACTTCAACCGGCCTCCGTCGCAGTTATCGTTCTACGACGGGGCTGATGGGATGTTCGCGGATGTCCAGTTCGTGTCGACTCCCTTCCGGTTTGCTAGGACCAGGAAAGGGAACGGTGAGGGAACGATCGACCCGCGGTTGTTGTCCAAGCGGGATAACCCAGTGAGCGACACGGACACGGATGAGGAGGGGGTTATTACGAGTCCGTATAAGCTTTTGAAGAGATCATTGCGGAAGAAACGGCAGATGTCTGCGGGTTATATGACGCCTGACGAAGAAGAGGAAGAGACTGGATGGATCAGTGATTCGTTGATCTCGCCGCCTACGAGGGGAGATGTGGAGATGGCTGAACCCGACTTGGCTGAGGAGTTGTCTTTGGATAGCTTGGTTCTGACTTGTGGTAACGCATATATGCACTTTGAAATCTTTCTGGAAGGCTTACTGTTTTTGTTCTGTTGTAGAAGCCAGGCCGGGGCCTGTACGCACGCGCTCGCTTGATTCGTCTGCTTCGTCCCTAGCACCCGCCCTGCCGATCAAGACTGCGACTAGGAGGACTCGGAGCGGGACTGTCCTCCAAAGCCATAGCACAACAAATGAAGTAGCTGTTGGGAGGACGCGGAGCGGGACGATCACTCAGCGAACGAGGAGTGGGACTGTCACGAAGAGAGCTAGGAGTGGGAGTATCTTGGCTTCACCGCCGCCGCCTGTTGTTAGTGGAGGGAGGACGAGGAGCGGGAGCATCCTCAATAATCGTGTTCCGCCGCCGCCTCTTGTTGGAAGGAAGCCTGGGAGACTCGTGAGCACGCTGGGAGGAGATGGAGACGACGAGTACTCAGAGGACGAGGTGCTGTGCTGTTGATTGCCTGATTTTTTGCGTTTCTTACTGCCTATCAAATTCTTAGCTCGAGGCGCTGACGTTCAGTACTCCGGAGGATGAATTACCGCTCCTGCGTCCGAGGGTCCGCCGAGCGAGGGTAAGAGATGGGCAGATGAAGATGTATCGGCACCCGCCTGTGGAGGGTGAGGAGGACGGGATGGACGAGGACGACGAGTTGGACTTTTTGGTGAGTGCCTTCTGGAGGACTGTGTGGTGCTGATTGTTGGTTCGTAGTCAAAGTGAATAGGTAAGAGAACCTAGACTGGTTTTTTGTTGACAGGTACTCGAATGTTTTGCATGCTATCGGAATGGTGAGTGGGCAAGTTTTTTTTCGGTCGTCCTAATAGAGACTTTCTGCAAAGATTTGGATCGGACTCTTTGTGAACTGGCTCTGGCTTGGATTGTTGCTCTTTTGTCTCGCTGCGCTTTACTGGAAACTGGATCGCTAATGGAACTGGAACTGGATCGCTTTTTGTATTGATTATGCTCTCCTTGGACTCGGATCGCCTTGGAATTGTAATTCGTATGTTTTAAAAGGCACGTTTGTTTTTGACGCATTATTGCATGAGCGAAATTAGATTTTTACTCAACAAAATGGAGGTGTCGTTGAGGTACTCCAGGGCTGGTATCCGTCTCGGTCTCAATACCTTTGCTTGCTGGCGCAGCTTTGACTATATCAGAATTGATTGCCTCTATGGCTGGCTGTTTTTGATCTTTTTTTTGTCTGTATTAATAGAGTGTTTCAAAGATTTGGACCCCTTGAACTGGCTATTGCTTTTCGATCTCGATGCAATGGAACAACTTTTTGCATTGGCTACGCTCTCGTCGGACTCAGTTCAATTTGGAACTCTCACCTGAATGTATCTTTTAGGGGAAATAATTGAGTTTTGGCGCATCATTGGGCGGGTTCTGTTTTTACTCGAAACACACTTGACTCGTAATTCTCGCGTTTGAATGTGTGTTTTGAGAGGGATGGTTGATTGTTGTGTCGTTTTTTCTTGAGATCCTTAAGCTGCAGGTCCTAGTTTACTTGTTTGCGGACAAGTGAGCAGGTAAAACAGATTATGTTTTTCTTTGCACCTCGGACTCTTGAAAATTAGCTCTCGTGCTTTTTGGTCTCGATGCACTGCACTAGAACGGTAACGTCTTTGTATTGACTAATGGCTTCGTCACTGTAACTCTCGCTTGAATGTATGATTGACTTTGGCGCATCATTACACGAGTTTTAATTTTACTTGAAACACGAGGGTATTCCAGGACTTGTCACCGCCCTGATTTCAACGCCTCGACCAGCCAAAAGTCATTTTGAGAATATGTCTCGGTAATTTGATGGAATGATAGTTTGCAGAAGAGTGGGAGTTGCTGCGTAATGGTGCCTGCGCCCATGAAAGGTAAACTTTTGCTACTTCAATCCTGGCCGACAGTGGAAAGGAATAAAAAAACTCCTTATTTATGCGATAGAGAAAAGTGCTGCCCATCTCTTATATACTAACCGATTTCGTCAGAGGTTTTACAACCGAGACCTTAGGAGAGAAAACGCGAGTATGTAGCCCGGAGAAGAATTTGAGCATGGGAATACTTAGCCGCCGGTACCGCGAGAAGGATTGAGTCCAAGTGGTTCTGTTGTATACGTAACGAGTCTTCGAACTTGGGTTTTGATAAACGCTTCATCAAGTCATAGCTCTACGTAGAAAAAAAGCACCTTGCTCTTCAAGTTGAGGAGAGAACACTGAAAGTCGCTCTCAAATGGAAAAACAGAGACTGACGCGAGGATTGATCTCTCCAAGTTACGCACTCATACCTACCCTCCTCGCAATAGTATGTCAAGATACTTACTACAAGACAACAACTGAACGGACTATACTCGGACACGCCACCCTGAATATCAACTGATCGCGCTGTCAAGTCGAGTCGGACTCGGACAATCCACGTGTAGTGATGATGATCTTCAATGGAAACCCACTGTAACGGTTGTGTACCTATCAAGCCCCCCCCTTCAAGTTCCCTCGACTTATGGTTTTAACCATTGCGAAGCTGAAGACGGCAATCCAGGACCCGGGACCATTCGATCGTGACTCCAGCTGAGTGTGATCTTCAATAGAAACAACGCGTACCTATCAAAATCCCCTTCGCGCGTATACTGACTCCCGATGATTTTAACCTTTGCAAGGCCTAAGACCACTTATGTATCGAGCCCGACCCCATCTCGACCAGGGGGGATCGCGGGCGACGCCCCGTATAGAGCAATTCACCTGTCAAGAAGCATGCGGTTCAGACGTGAGATGCGTCTGAATGAATCATCGTCTCCTCAATTCCCACCTTGGCGTAATTGGTTTCTTTTTTCAATATGGAACGTGTAAGAAAACTTACTGGCCTTTCGCAGTTATTTTTGTAGGTCTGCAGTGATTGATTAAGTCTTCCCGTTGAATAAGTTTGGTGATTGTTCTCCATCTTGCTGAAACAGTACGTTCGCGTCATTTAGTCGTGTGGTCTCAATCTGACACGGGACCGTGAGATCAAGGCGCCCTTTGAGCCCGAACTGGTCAGAGAAAATACGCCGTACTGCGGAGTACTTGATCGTCACGTCTAATCATCTCATGGACCTGCTTCAATGACCATGCTCCCTCATGTGCTACCATCTGAGTTGCGGGACGGCGCGCGGTTAATTAGCTCGTAAGTCTTACGTCTGAACTGGATCAACGAACTGTCATCAGACACTCGCCTGCCTAAATATCACTTTTCAGAAATAGATACCAACGGATATTCGACGTTGTCGCGACCCTTTAGAGCTTGCATATTCGGCGGTTAGTCTGAGAATATGGAATTTCGGCCCGGTCTACCTCGAACTCGTGCTTGTGCTTTTCTTTCCCCCGTTTATATGTTGTTACGTCTTTCAGTTCAATGACGGACATCCACCCTGGAAAAAAATCTCTCCGAGCCCGACATCATGATGCGGGCGGAGTTGTTTGCCGCCGGGTAGGGCAAAATGAATTGCACAGCAAGTTGCTAGCGCCCTTGTCGCGTCAAACCGTGAGACTCTGAGACTTAGGCTCAGCGAGCACTAGTAGATTCTCGAGTCGAGATACCTATCAACTCAATGGCTGGGTATTATCCCACACATAGGCGAACCATAACTCTGGTCGTGGGATTTTACAACCAACCGACAAGCCTGGCCATTCTAACAATGTATTGCGAACGGCGGGGAAGTTACCAATCCCCTCCCAGGCCTGTAAGATTGAGATTCATTTATAAGTATATCCCCATGCACACACAAAACTTAAAGGCTCTAGACCTTTTCGCCAGGATAATTGTCGGTCGTGAGATAGTATCTTTCACTGGTGACTGGCAGTTCCCCAACAATCATCCTACTTTACTTGTAAATCATTCGGAGAAAATAAAGACAAAAACCCCCGTGTCTGACTCCGGGTTCATAAAGAATCCGAATTTTGCGATCTTGTGACATTTGACAGGCCAGTCATAGTTGAGAAGGAAAAAAAATGGGAATGGAGAGACGTGGACTAGGTCAAATGTACGCCACGTTACGACCACGTGGGAAACTTTGACAATGACGAATTCGTCCGTTCGTTTCGTACATGATCGGGACCGACCACTCAAAACTTTAAACTCGTCAAGTGATATTTGAGTAGGAGGGGGCATGGGGTAGGGGCGATATACCGCTCCATCTACATACTAGATCCCGGATCTTTCGGGGTGTATCCTGGTCGCGGCCGCCCAAAATATCTTGGCGTCTTTGCAGTTCGAAAAGTTCTGCGTATCCTTAGTGTATTTTCGTTCTCTTCCATGAGGTTCAATGTCAAGCGGTTACGTTAGGTGCAGTGCCTTCCCATCACAATAGGTTCTGTCAAAAACCCTATGGGTTCTGCGGTTTTTGGTACAGCCGTGCCGCTCATTGTTACGGCTTCTCAGGAATTAGGTTCTACAGCGTAAAATTGGTGTAGTTCAAAGTCCGAGTCGCCATCGCCATTGTTTTCCATCAGGTCGTCGTCATTCCTGACTATTTCCTTGAGCCATTACAACAGCCACAACCTTTCTCCCTTGTTACGTCGTAATGTCATATCTACCATCAGGTTCAAGATGAACACAGCAAACCATCTGTTTTGCTTACGTGATCTCTCTCCCAACCGACGGCTCTTTTCTGTTTCGTCTTCTTTCATCACCACTGTGAAGCTTTGTTGCTTCCGCACTCGGTCCTCCCAGCAACCTACAACTATCACTTTCCATCAGATAAGCTTCGGCGCGCAGCTAGGTGCTCCTCATGCGCGTTAGGTTCTGGATTGCATGTGGCTCGTGGACGTGTACACATCCTCTCCATTCAATACCCCCCCCCCCCCCCGGATCGTGGATTTTATGAGGGCCGTTCTTCTTCGCTTTACCTGGACCACCAAAGACACAACCCGTGATCGCGCCAGTACGCCAGAAGCGACAAGTATCTGCCGCCGGGACTTTTTTTTGGTGCCTATGCGCGTGATGAGGAGGAAGTTCATCGGACATCTATATCTATTATCCACGAACACAGAATCGTTCCTTCTTCTCTGAAATCATGTCTAGACCTCTTCATTATCTGGACCTGGAGAATGCTTGTAACTCAATGTTGGCTTTGGGAAATTCTGTCACAACGAACGAACAAGGCCGAACAAATCCCACCGCCTCTGAACGAAAAAAAAAAAACTCAGCGTCCATTCCTCGTTTCCCCATGCCTCAAAAACTGGGCACGCTTGAACGAAGCATTGATCTCAGGAACCGCTTCCGTCGCAGAATAGGCAGGAATGAGTTGGGCTGTGTTTCCAGGAACATGCATGCAAGCGGGTTTGTTGACCGCGCTCGTTCATGACCAAACAACTCTCTACTCTTTTCCTTCATCCGAAAAATCCGGATGCAGATGCCTAAATGTTCTGTTTGCAATGGTACACATTATTCGGCATCTTATCTTGGCAAGAAGTGCAAGGGGAAGTCAAGAAGCCACTCACTAAATCATGATGGACGATAAACGGGGATCATGTATCACAACTATGACGAATTTCTTCTCCAGGTACTTTTTGGATGCATATGACGTGCGATATGGATCGGCAGGCCTAAGATTCCTGGTTCGCAAGAGCATGCGCGACTGGGCGGGGATCACAAATCGGGCGGGGTGAATGGGCTGACCGGAGCGTTTCCAGGAACTGCTTTGGTTTTTTTTCAGATGCTGCGGTAATTCCGTTCCTTGTTGCGATCTCCCTCTCTCACGGCTCCGATGCGTGGGGGGAGGGTGGGGGTCACTCAACGATTGTTTCAACTTCAACACCCCCTTCACGACCCGTTACGATCGGCACCATCAAAACTCGGATATTCAACGTTACACAAGAACTGAACACGAACGTCACTTCGGCTGTTTTTCTGTTCTTATGCACAGCTGTGCCCTTCCGTCTGCGAGTCCATAAGAGGTGGCGCTTTCGAATTCGAACAGGAGGGGAGTCTCGATCATGTCACCTTGGGGAGTTTCGTACCTCGTACTTCTATTCTCAGCGGAACAAAACTCTACAACTGTAGCATTTTTGCTCCGATATGAGGCTTTGGGAAGGAGAGACCCCTACGGATGGCTCGGAGCCGATGGCCAAGTGCCCTTGAATCTCCATACCTTCCTTCTCCCGCCTCTCCCGACGAGTAGTCGACTCGGAACTCGGATTCCATCGAACGTTAACGTTTTTCTCTGGAGCCGATGGGAAAAGGACGTAACACACCGGCCTCCGTAGAGGGTGGCAGGGGGAGGGGAGGAAGTAGGTGCTCGCACTCTACCAGTATCATCCATGAATGATGATGGGGACTCAAGTCGTTACATTGAATGGGCTTGCGGGAACTTCCGGAATCCCGCTAGGGTCAAACCATCGAGGAGGATCGGCATCCATTTATTTACAGCAACAGCCTGTAACAACCTGAGAGCCTGGACCGCCCACCCCTCCCGATACAATGAGACTTAATTAACTCCTTCCCACATCCTACTCAGTCCTCGCGACTTGGATATCGTTTCCGAATTTGACAGGCAAGAATCATTCATATAACCTGCCTACACTGGACAGCAGTGGCTGACGGCTCGAAATCGGGGTTGTTTTAGGATATGGTTCTCAGGAAGGTTTATTTCCGAGTGTTCACGCAGAGGACCGAGTTGGGAGGAGACGCGCTAAACTCTTTATGGTCACCTTACCGCGAATCCGCTTCGTGACCGATCGCAATATTCGGCGTTTTCCTTGTAGGGGGATGGAAGGGGTGCTGTTGTGCTTGCCGTCCTCGTACGCGTGTTTCCGGTTTATCCCTGCCGTCGGGTGCATTTCAGTAAGGCAGGCGTAAGTGGATTCCGTACATTGCCTCTTTCAGTCGGTTTTGCATTCGCGTCGGGCCAGCGCGAGTCGGAGTGAAGACACCGAGCTTCTCGTCAAGCTCATACGATACGGCCTATCTAGTCCGGCCAACTAAGATGTCTCCGTTTGAAAGTATGGGTCCCTTCCATTCATTTGTGAGAGGCACAATCAATGCCACACTTTTGATATCCTTATCCTTCACCTCACTCTTTGTTCAACGTGCGTGTTATGCCGTGGTCGACCATGATGATTAACCTCCCTGCATGTGCTGCATGCATCTGGACCAGCGTACTAGGCACTCAGGCTGTAACAACTGGTTCGAATATACCAATCATATAATATCTGGGACTTTCCCACAGAACGATTGTAGACTGGTTAATTATAGCTCAGTGCTTGTTAAATTGAGTTTTTGGTGGTACGAGAACACTTACATATAGTCTAAGGAAGACCGGTCCGGGTAACACTTGGAATCAATCGTTCAGGGAAGCAGGCATTCTAATCTCCTCCGATAGCTGTGCTACAAATCATGACACTGATAGATGCCCAACCACGCTTCTAAATGTGCCCACCTTTTTCCAATCTTTCGAGTCAAAAATCAACGCGCGCTTGGTGCTAGGTAAGACTGATTATCAAGGGAGGGACGCTTCACCATCAAGTCGGATGAAATTGACCAAGAAGGTAAGTAAGAACCTGTAAATAGCTTCTTTCCATACGCCTGTCCAAGTTCTCACAGATGCGCGACCTTGGGTCGCTATTATGCATTCGAAATTTATTACCATCCCAGGAACTGATACGGTAGTATGAATCCATGTGCCCGCTCTTTCAACTCGTAATTGACGGCATACACCTTCGCAGTGCCGCTGTCTTCCAACGTCAGGCCTTGCCAATGTTAATTCTGCATCCCTCTTATGTATTCGAGCAGGGACGCCTCAAGCTGAAGTCAAAACTCTGATAACAACAACTGTGTAGCCCACTACATACCCCGGAAGTCCAGGTCTGACGAGATTTTTAATTGTTTCCTAATCTCCGACTTTCAATGGGAGGCGGATCATTGTCTTTCTCTCCGACGGTCTGATTACTATGTGAGGGGAAGAGAGAGCCTGCCGTTGCTAGTACGCCAAGTATTTAAAACGAGTGGGAAGAAAAAATGATAATAAAAAAGATCCAGAGCAACCCCTTCTAGCTAGTACGAATTATTGGACGTGGTGTGTAGTTTGAGTGAGGGACGAGGGGGTCCCAGAAAACTTGCTATGTTCAAGCTGCAAAATAACTAGAAGCCAGGTGACGGCAGGCTCTTAGCTTGCCTTGCCGCGAAGGAATGATCGTGACAACTCGCCAAGTCCACTGTTCCTCGACCTGCCCACCCTCCGCTCTATTGGACCTATCCCGAGATAGGCGGACATGTTACGTGGCCTACATATCTTTTACGTACGTATCTTCAAACAACCCAAACCGCCACTGGCGCCGAGATTCCACTCAACACGATCGAGAGCGCGTTTTTACCCCGTTGTTAATACCAATACTATATCCTTAACGTTCAACAGTACGCAGTCCGATGTTGGTACCTGCAGGGGGCCTTTGTTGAAGCGAGATCCTATCTGTTCAAAGGGAGGAGGTGGCGGGGGGCAGCTTGCGTTATACACCACCTGCATCCCGCCATTGGAAAAGACATCAGCTAGATCATGAACATCATCATCCCATCATCAAAATTATCTGCTTATTCAGGGACTGCCTTGCATTCACATTGAGACAATGGACAAATAAATTGGTCGCAGACTGTATACACACACTATCAAGAAAGAAAGATAAAGCAGTCCGGACGGAAATCGGAGATTACAAGATGAAAAAGAATGATGGGTAGCGGGGATGGCAGAAAAATGGAGTATAACGTCACTGGTCTAGTTCGTGTCTGCCTCTGCCTCAGTCCACTTGAGATGCTGCTCATAGAAATCTAGGAGCTATATAGATTGTGTCAACGACATTGACGCCCCGGACCGAGACGGCGAGTACATACCTTCTGAGGAAATTTCTCTCGGCAAGCTGTAGACTGAGCCCTCACGCGTCTCTCCGCTAGATCGCCTATGCACAACCATCAATGAACACTAACTTGGGAAAAAGCAAGATAAAACAAAACTCACAAAGAAAAGTATACCCATAACAGCTTATCAGTCTGATCCTGCTCAACTGTCGTGACCGTATCCACAAGATGCTCCCAGCTGTCCAGGTTTTCATACTGGGACATATCGCCAATAGGCGATCCCTCTTCCATGACAATATCTTCGTTATCTGGAGGAGGCTGAGAGTGCTTTTTGCCTCCACCCGACTTGCGCGACTTTTTTGTCGTCCTTACATCCTCCTCGTCCTCAACAGTCGCGCCGCGCTCAGACTGAGGTTTCCTGCCGCGTTTCTTTGGCGGCGCAGAGGCACTCTCTTCCTCGGGAACCTCAGTCGATTTTCGAGGCTTACGCCCAGATGTCTTAGACGCGCTCTTTTTCTCAGTTCTTCTTCCAGAAGGCATCGATTAGGTCTTGCGCATTTCTGTGTGAAAAAGAATTAGAACGAGGGCATGAGGCAAAGGGTGGAACACGAACGCGGCATCAGTTTCGTCAACCCACGAGTTGTGCTCGTCAGCATAACCTCTCCATTTGACCAAATAACCCCCATTCGGCCCTTGATTTTCAGATAAGTATGATGTACGATGTATCATTTTATCGCGATGCTTACATCTGGAAACACCCCGCGCTTGGCCTGGACAATTTTTTCAATCTCATATTCTTCCTCTTCTCCGTCTTCTTCTTCTCCTTCACCATCCTCTTCAGGTTCATCTTTTCTTTTCTTGGATGATGCACCACGCTCGTCGTCTTGGCTATCGGAAGCAGAGGGAGAGACAGCTCTAGCCATAATGTCTCTGTCTGTGATGAAGTTTGTTGAAGAGGCACCGTGGGAAATAACTGCCGGCCGTGTCAAGCTGAGCGAATAGTAATGTCACGACGGGTCGCATCACTGACAGTGATAGGCTACAGACAGAAAACGTTCCGAAATGTAGCAGTTGAGTAACAAGTAATATATTGGTGTACAAGGCGAGGAAATATAAGATGCTACAAAGATACGTGGTCATCGCCTTCTGTTTGGACTTGCGCTGCGTCCACGAGGGCCTCTGCCTTTTTTCGGACCGGACGGTGGTGGTCGAACGAATGCGAAGTCACACTGTATTGTCTGCTCCAGCAGGGTGGTACCAGATGCACCATCGATAGCCGCCTGCGCCTCAGCCATCGTCTCGTATTCCACCAATGCATACCCCTGCAGAAACAAGCAATTATTACGATCTGAAGAGCACTGCAAAACTCGGATATCTCACCTTGACATACCCTGTCCGCCTATCTAGGTTAAGGTGCAGGTTTTTAATCTCTCCGAATTCTGCGAACTTGTCGGTGACGTCCTCTTCAGTCGCTTCCTCGTGAACATTTGTCACTAGAACAATCCAGCCTTCAACCGCTATATAATTGCGTCCGGGGAGAGAACGGGGGAAATTCATCAACACGTTTCGAAGATATAAAATCCAAGTGAAGACTCACAACGCGCGGCCCTGGTATCGGAATCTTTGGATTCGACCCGGTCATATGTGGGTTCAGCAGTCACCGTGCCCTCGTTGCCGCCTGCAAGCGAAGAAATAGAAGGGAAACGAACAATGAGTAAACCAATGCAATCGGTAGTATTCAAACCACACACCCGTGTTTTGGAAGCCACGACCTCTCCTCCTAACGGCTCCCCCCGCAGCGACTGAAAAAACAAAAGTTAGGATGTCATATAGACTGGCGAAAAAATAACAGACGGACATACCCTCGTCAATGTTCATTTCATCGTCGGACATGGTGGTGTAAAAGACGCGGCGAGCTGTCACACTTAGTCACATCAGGACAGGGCTCTCGGCAGACTTCCGAGACCGGGCGGCGACAAGTTCCGGGGTCCTGGTTATGTCAGGTAGACCACGTTGCTCTTGCTCAAAACGGGCACAGATTCCGAGATCTGGACAAATTCAGTTCTGATAGAACCAGTTCGCAGTGATCTTTCTAGCTACTTGAATTCCACGGCGATCTCAAAGCTTGAAAGCTTGTTCCCCTTTTCTTTCTTGCACTCTTGCTTAGAATCCAAAAATGTTTAGTTTGCCACGAGTCAATCCCACGACGTTTCCGTTTTCGAATAGCCGGCCACAATAGCGATGGGTGAGATGGCTGGCGGCTGGGATTCCTCCACGGCGGCTGCATCCAGATTACGGCTCATTACAAACTGATGCAGGGCACAGTTCGTTCATTTTTGATCTGAATCGTGGACGGGCAGTAAGCGTTTCCTCCGTTATTATGACGTGCCTGACCTATTTTATTTGGGAAACATCGCCTCTTTGATCAAGATTTGGCAGCAAAAGGGCGTGACCGAAAACATCCTTGTAGCCTTTTCTTCAAATTCTTGTCACAAGGTTTTTATCAATCCCTTTAAGCGGACATACCCGCTGCGAAACTGTTTAAATACTCCTCCTCTACAACTGACCGTCCATCGTCCTCTCCCTTCGTATTCCGTCTTACTTCTCGTACTATAATTCCCAATGCACGCTGTGCCACTGATCAACCACCCGTGCACCCTATGCTGCCGGCCCACTTCTATGTGGTGCAGCCGTTGCCAAAGTGCCTGGTATTGCACACCCGAACATCTCAATAGTGTGCGCCCACACATTCAACCCATCCTTCGTCTCTCCTTACGCGTCTTCACAGGACTGGCCCCGACATCGGAAAGAATGCATGCCGGCCCAGAACGCATCCGGCGGTTACAGCTTGAACATGATCGCGACACCACCTCCAGCAGAGCCACAGTATATAACTGTCTCTGCGATTCTATTTGACCCGGTGGAGGGTGAGCCCTGCCTTCTATTAATATGTGTATGATGCCCGACTAATCAGCCCCCAAAGAGCGTCCACGAATAATCTCTGTGACTTGCCGGCCGTCACATAAGCCTACGGAGGGCATCTGCCCGGTCCCTATGGTACACAATCACTTCCCTGATGGCCTCTCAGAAGGCATCGTTCTCACCCAGGGTTTAAATGGCGAACCGTTGAGATTCCCTTTGCATCTCTGGTACTCCCCTACTGCCCTCCAAAAATCATCTCCTGTAAATCGCGCCATCTACCATATAACATCTGGTGCTGCTCCCAAGGCGTGGTGCGGAGCAGTCATCGTCTTAAAATTCAATGGATCTCGGAGGCAGGGCTACGCTGATGCAGGTTCTAATGACCTTCCAGCACTGTCGGCTTATTTTCTCGCTTACAAGTAAAAAAGTGTGAGTGCCGTCTACATCTATTACAGGACTGTATGTTGATCAAACATGCAGTGTCACGATTTATTCGAGTAGATATCGCGGCATCACCTTCAATCTTCCTTCTTGTACATATCTTTTTCTGTAGCATACTTATTGTTATCGATCTCTCCCGCTATCCTCGCATCACGTTTATCTATCCGCCTGTTTCATAAGTAGAAAATAGACGAAACACTAATGCACATCGTAACCTGTCAGAACGCGTGAACTTACGACTAGAACCATGCGACCAGTGTTGTCTAATGTATGTGGGAAAGGGGAAAGAAAATCACAGTTATTGAGTGAGTGCCTACCATACGCGTCTGTGATCGGTGATCTCCTTCTCTGGTCGAGAATGGTAAGTGGCATCAGGCTGAGAAGGGAGGTTTAATTGAATACGTAGGGCGAGAAACGAGCTAGACAGAAGGAAGGCAGCAATTGCCACGGTTCAAACCGACATTGCCGCTCTGCCGTCAACACGTGGTTTTGACTTTTTCGCCTCCTGCCTCTCATCACCAAATCCCAAGTTTACTAACGGTACCACCGTAGCAAGCGTAGTCAACCAACATTCGTCAAGACAACCCGCTAACACATCCCCGCTTATCCTCTGTACCCACGCCGCTCGCACGTCCACCGGGTCCCCCATCACGCTTCGACTTTTTTCTCAAAAGACAATATGATTTTATTCAGTTCTTTTCCCCTGCAACCTGATTTCGTAGGAGGCGGGAGCCGTTCTGATGATACGGATATGGATATAGATCTCGATGGTGACGAGGACTTTGATTCAGGCGGATCAAAGCTGACATGTCCTGGAGAGCCACTAACGTCTGCACAAGACTACATGCGGTGAGATCCATTCCCACCCGCCTATGACTTTTGACGTCCAACGTCTACAGCTAGGGGTCATGGGACATATGTGGAGAACGAAGAGGTCATTGCGTCCGTCGCAGGCACTATTGAACGTGTCAATAAATTGGTCACGGTTCGAGCCGTCCGGACAAGGTTTGGGCCACTCACTACCTTGAGAGAAAAAGTATATGAGTGCTGATGGTAACTTTTTTGGAACAGATACAATGCCGAAGTTGGTGATCTTGTCGTGGGGAGAATCACCTGAGGTCGGTCTTGACTCTGTTCTGTCCATCATTGTTCGGACTAGAGAATGTTCTATAGGTGCAACCTAGACGCTGGAAGGTGGATGCCAATTCCCGACAGGATGCGGTCCTTATGCTATCGTCTGTGAACTTGCCCGGAGGCGTACAGGTAAGTACAGTCATCTCCCAGGCAGCGGTGAAAACCTAACACCTTTCGGTCTTTAGCGGCGGAAGCTGGAAAGTGACGAGTTGCAGATGCGTACTTTCTTCGAGGAAGGCGATCTCTTGGTAGCAGAAGTGCAAGCGTTCTTCGGCGATGGATCCATGTCGCTACACACAAGGTCTCTAAGCTATGGCAAGGTGACCATTATTTTTTTCTGATTTTATTATCAAGCTGCTGACAACCGCTTTGACGAGATCAGTTACGCAATGGACAGCTTGTGGTCGTGCCTCCAATTTTAGTTCGTCGGCTGAAATCGCATTTCATCACGCTGCCGTGCGGCGTAGACCTCATCCTGGGCCTCAATGGATATATCTGGGTAAGCAAACATGTGAAGCAGAGTGATCGTGAGGGAGAGGAAGGATTTCGATGCAGAGGCCGTGTATTCAAACCAAAACGATGTAAGCTTATTGTCTCGAACGAAAAATTCACCTGACGTGAACTGACCCAGGTTATTGATGACTTTACGCGAATTGCCATATCCCGTGTTACTAACATCATTCGCGTACTAGCAACACGATTTATTCCCTTGTCTGATATCATCTTGTTGAAGGCGTATGAATGGGTCGTGGAGCAGGAGAGTGGCGTAAAAGACCTTTTGCAAGAGGACATCGGTGACGCTCTCGTAGCGAGTGTCACCGCTGGAGGCTGATTACATAGGCAATGTAATATTCAAGTGTACACGCGAAATGATGATGATTATTCTTCGTCCTCGTCACTTTCTTCCTCATTCCTCCTCGTCTTCCTCGTCTTCTTCTTCCTCGTCCTCGTCTTCTTCTTCCTCCTCATCCTCCTCATCTTCGTCCTCCTCCTCCTCTGGAGGACCAGCAGCGATTATCATTGGAGTTTGTTCGTATTGAGGTGGTGGATTGTTAGCTGAGGCTCCGCTTCGCCATTTTCCTAGCTTCTGAGGCTTGTTCAGCCTCTTCTTTTGCCGCATCAACTGGCAGCAATTCAGACAGCGCCAGCTCTTTCCACTTCAACGCATCTAGTCCTCCACCAGCAGAGCTCATGCCAAGGAGAACGGAGCGTGCCGTGGCATCGTGTATGACTCTTTGTTGGGCAGCAGGATGATTGAGTCTCGTAGGGTTTCCGTATGGATAGGACGGATGGGTATGCGACGGGAGTTCTAGGGATACGTCGGTCACAAAGGTTGCCCGAGAAGAAATACCTAACGAGGATAACACTAACTATCATGTTCATCGGGATTTGGAGGGAGCATATGATCCGGAATATCAACTTCTGCATCCAAAGTTTTTAACCACACGATTCCATTACTACAAGTGTAAAAAATAGGCGCACCACGACTCTCGAGCTCCAAGAGATCAGTCGAAATGTACTCTTTGGACTCTATTGTATCGAGGACCCTCAGTTCATATTCGGTCATGTGCAGATAACAAAAAGTCAAGTCCTGACGCGTAGACAAGGATCAGTTTCAGGTTCATTAAAAGGTAGATCATGTCCTGACTGTCATCGCGCGTTCAAGTACGTGTAATCATGAGATGAAGGATAGCCGTGTGCCTTTCTACGCGTGATACGCGCTCGACGGCAGAATTCGAGGGTGCCTTTGCCTTCAAGATGGTGGTCGTGGCGACTGTGAGATACAAAGTCCGTCATCGGAGTCTGAACTAAAATAGACCACCTACTGCATAAATTATTTTCGTCGATCTTTGCGTGCCAATAAACAGGCAAAAGGTTGGATTTTGCGGCTGCATGAGGGGAACAAAAGGTACGCCCATTACTTACTCCATTATGAACGTACCACTCACTCCCTATTTCCCCAGGCGAGGGTTCGGAAACTCGTTGGAAATTACGAAAACAGATCGGCTCCGTTTTGATTCCGTAAATCTGATATCATAATATCGGGTAGGATGGCTAACCCGCTACTCCTCTCGTCTCTCCGCCTCCCATCTGTGAAATCAAGGCCGTCGTCGACGTGTCTCCAGTGGTCCGCTGATGGCCAAGTTTTCTTCGTATCAAACTCCATTGTGCACATCTTGGTTAGTATATACTTATTATTACCTGCTCCTTCCTGTTTTATCTCCATTTCCTCTTAGACTCCTCATCACGCTGGTATTCACCCCGGCTGTAACATTCGATGTGACAAAGAAGCGGCAGGCACCTTACGATGGTCCCGGACGATTATAAGTCTTCAGAAGACAGATCTCCGCGACTGGTCCGCCGGCTCCCAAGGTATTAACTTATTATCATTTGACAACATGAAATGGAACTGCAACTTCAATTCAGAATGGGCCGCTCTCTCTCTTGGATCTTTCGATTTTCACGTCAAGGACGTTGCATGCTCCCCCAGTTATGTCACAGAAGACGGAGGGTGCGCCCGCTGGATCGGTTCAATTTAATTTTTACGTTGACCTGCGCCCTCAGGAGTGTGGCCGCCGTGCTTAGCTCCAACATGGATCTGTCTTTATGGTCAGCATCAAAGAATTCCATCCAGGGAGAATGGATCAAGGCGGGTGTCGTGAGATTTCACCGCCCTCCGATGAATTTGACACAAACTTCAGGTCTTTGACACTACGCCATTTCTGGTCGATCTGGTTTCCAATGGGGTGCCCGCGACAGGGCTGCCCCAACTCCTTCAGGCACAAATAACCAGTGAGTAGGTTTACGGAGAAATGGAAAATAGTTTGACAAGCTCATTGCACCCCGCATTAGGTATTGCTTGGTCAAGTCAAGCGGACTTCGCCATAACCCCAGCTCCTTGTATAGATGCTTCTCTTCTCGCTGCTGGGTCACGCTCAGGCACTGTGTGTTTGTTGAGGTAAGAGTGTGTTACCGGAGGGTTATGTCCTTGACATGTTTCGTAGATTTGATGGGAAATTAGCATCGTTGCGTCATATTGGGACTCTCAGAGTGTCCGAAAAATGGGTGACTCATCTTGCCTTCAGCTCGTGGGTGTATGAAGGCGATTCTCAATGTAGGTACTTTGACTAAACCATAAAATAGACACCGAGAGGTCTGACGGCTCGTAGGCGGCGGCCTACTCGCGTATAGCACGTCTGATGGCTCGGTCGGACTTATCAAAATACATTTGATGGCACAGCTTGCCGCCAAAGATTGCGGGACCTTTGAGCCCGAATACGTCGTAGACACTGCTTTCGAAGCCGCCCAAGGAATATTCTCGGCGGATCAAGGCGGTACGACAGCGCTGGAATGGATCACATCCCAAGAAAAAGTCGGCGTTTTCTTGTTGAATGAATTGACGTGGATGTTCATGGCCGATTAGATGATACTTGTCAGGTGTAGACCTGGGGCAATTGACTTATGGTGTAAACTGTCAATGTGTTCATGGTCGGGCACGCGTACCCTGATGATATGCCCGCATGTCTTGTCCGTGGGTTCATCGGAGCTTCATCCCGTTACGGGCATCGTGTACATCCCGCAAAACGATGTTCTCCTGGTTAGTCTCTTCGATGGAACGATGCGAGTAATACACAAGTTTTTTGTCGACCCGGAGTGGGCTCCCGAGTCACCATCGCTTGTCAGCAGTCAATGTATGTCGGAAGCTGTTCGTCGTATATTCGTTGGAACAGTCGAAGGAATTGAGCAGGAGGAAGTAACGAATAGTGACGTAAACTTGACTAGCGGCTTGATATCTTTCGACGGGGCCACGACTTTGCTTTGGACTCAACAGTATGTCTCGCAGGTTGAGACCATCACTACTCGGACACGTTTTTGATTGCTTGTTCTATCCTAGGTCCTTCCGACCCGCGGATTTGAGTTGGAAGATTGAAGCGCGACGCGATGCTGTCTTGATCGCCGCTCGTCTCACCAGGCACATGGACAGGACTGCAGATGCATTTTTCCATGAGCTCAAGGAAATACTTACTACCTCCAAAAGCGGTGCGTGCTTGCTGTTCGGTATAAACACCGTCCGTGCGTTGAATGACGTTTGGAATTCTATCTAGCTTACGGCGTAACACCGTCCCATCTCCTTCGACCCGTGTTTCTATGGCTAAGTGAACTCCCCGACCTACACGCTAATATTCTCAACTTCCTGCGGTCCCTGCCTGTCTCGTGTCCATCTCAGCGTCACTTTCCTCTTTGGTCGGAAGGATTAAGTGAGAAACTGAGAGGTAAATTCCGGAATAGCCTTGCGAGAAGCCTCTTTGGGTGTGATAAACTGCTATCGCTTAGATTGCGCCTCTACGTTACGGAAGCATTGTCGGTTAGTCCATTCATTTACCATGTCCGATTAACTTGTCTCCGTTCTCATCGTTGCCAGAGATGCATTGGGACCCCCTCCGGAAGGACGGAATGTATCAAAGTTGGAGAATTAATTTGCAAAATGATATCCCACATGACGATGTGGGGTTTGCTTCGACACTTACACGCTGTGGTTCCCGTCCTGATTGGTACGCGTGTTCGTTGACTGCCGTGGAGCCATGTCATGACGCAAAAACTTTGTAGCCAATGATATGCCTTTCGTCCGGAGGGTTATCTATCTATCATCATTGGCTGATTCTCCTCCGTCCGTTCAATGCGCTGCACGGGACTTGATGAATGCGATCGGTGCTATACAACCACCTATTATCGACCGTGCGTGTTTACAGGGAGAAGTAGCGATGACGGAACCATGTCCTGCCTGTGGTGAAGAACTCGACACGACATCAACAGCACACCCAGCCTGTCCGAACGGCCACCTATGGGGTAAATTGCTGCGATATATGCTTTAATGTTTTGCGTTGACAATATTTCGCTTCACCAGATTGCTGTACTATTACATCTTTCATTATGGCAACACCCATGGTTCGGTCCTGTATCGGCTGCAAACGTAAGAGCTTTCTTCCCCTTTCTCGTCAGAGTAGATCAGCCAAGCTAAATTGGCTACCGCCGATGGCGCAAAGTTGGGTGGTTGAAGAGCTCCTCGAGGCCTGCAAACGATGTTTGTATTGTGGTAATAATTTTGTCTCTATAGTTTGAAGCTTCATTGAGTTATTGTTTGGGATACTATGTTCTTATTGTTTGGTGATTATCATTCCTTGTCGATCTTGTTTCTACTTAGATGTTGTGTCAAGCGTTGTAACAACCCTATGAACTCTATATTATATATCAGTGATGGTAGTAGCTATCGCCACTTTATCGCTATACACTCTACTTACACGGTTGAACCTTAGTGAGTTGGATTGACTCTTACTACTGCGGTACATGATCATGGCAGTGGCGACACCACTCCACCATTACAACTATAGACTCTTTTAACTCAGCCATCAGCGTCAAGGTACGCATGAAGCTAGGTCGTATCTTCTCCTTCGGGAGACGTGCGAACCGTCTATCAGTCTCCGGATGTTCTTACGATGAATATCATTCAGTTATGGCCGCTCCGGGTATCCTGGGGCCGTAAGGACTGCAACCAGGGCGCGCATGTAATACAACATACATCCGTGGCGTGTAAAAATGATGTGGCTGCGACTGCCATTAGCCAACGGGTGCTGTTTTGCGGAAGCTTAAGAAAAAGGCCCGGACGGCGGCTAGGTACCTCCGCGTCGGTTTCAGTGCGTAACAAATGGACTAGTACAGACCGTTCGGAAGATCCGGAGACCGTGTATATCACTGGAAGGAGTCTGGAGATGATGCCCGAACCAGAAAAAAATGATACTTGGTTCAAGCACTTCCCTGAGCGTAGTAAGTTGGATTCAAAGCCCTGAGACGGGATCGACGTCTTGAGTCAATAGCAATATTAAAACTTCGCGTTCGCGCGCGACAATCACCTGACCCTGCCCCTCCAGTCTCGGCTATACTTTGATTGCCGATTTTCTTTCTCCTCTTCCATCCTCAAATTCGGGTTCTGTCATTTCGAAACCACTGACGCTTTAAAAATGTCCCCGTCCGATGAATCTTATGACTCAGACGAAACATTCAATCCTACCAACCGACGTCAGCGGGTGAAAATTTTTTGCTGATGTGGTATGTGGCCGTTCGATTCGACTCACCGTATTTTTCAGACTTCTACTATGGCCAAACGGAAAAAGCTCAACAGAGGAAGACAGCGATCGGATCTTGAATCAACAAGCGAGTCAAATATGCCATTGGAGTCATTTTTCCGGCAAACACCTTCTCTTGATTCTCCACAAGCGTTTGAAGATATTATTGAGCCTTTAGTTCCTGCCTATGCTGAAGTAAGAAATGATCTACATGACAAAGAGGGCGGAAAGGATGACTATGTCTGTATTACATATCGCCGATACCCTCAAATCCTTGCTGACTTCTGTCTTTTAGGGCGTCCAACTGCGGACGCTTAACGCGTTTTGAAACCTCATGCATCCTGGAGTCGTTTTCACAAGGAGACGTTCCTTATGCTACACATGTATTGGCTTCGAAAGCTCAAGCTTGACAGGGTATGACCTAGACGTGCAGCACCTTATCACGAGTTTCTCACTTGAGCTCGGACACAGGAGCAGCGCAGAGCGAATACCGGCCCTGCCGATCCGCTGTTAATTGAAAGTATAACCGGAGACACGCTACCATCTGTACCAGAACAGAAAGATTTTCCAAGTCCGAAGGTTCTGGAAGCCTTGCAGGATATACAAACGACAGCATACGAGGTCTCGTTTGCGTCTCGCCTGCAAGGAACAATGCCGTCTAGAACTCCCGGACTGCTGGCTCTGGACTGGGAGACAGAAACGCCGTGGATGGCGCTTATGAATGATGTTCGGCAACATTATCGCTTGGCGCAGTCAGTCTCCATTTCCTCTTGCGAACACGTACTGAGTGATGTTGTTCTAGCCCGGAGCAAACTCATGCCATTGAAACGTCCGCTCCAATCGAATATTGCTCTCTCCGGGCTTGCCATCTTGATCAAGTCCACGAGCTCCTTGCACGGGCTTTCTGGGAGGGAATCGACGGTCCTTTTTTTCCCTTGTCTTCGTGAATTTGAGTTGATGAAGCCTTAGTGAGCGATTCCCTTGACTACTGGCCCGAAAGATGCACTGTTGTCGCAACCTATAAGCGACTTGTCGTTGGGATAGCTATCATCAGTTCCCCTCGAGAGACATATATTACTTTTCTCGCGGTCAAACCGGGTTGGGACAACGCACAGATTGCTACGTATGTACCTTTTCTCGATTACAATCATCTGATATCATGTTATTCCAGGTCGATGCTGTATCATCTTATCCAACTAAACCCTCACAAAGACATTACGCTACACGTCTCGGCTAACAATCCCGCCTTGGTATGTCGCCTTTCCCACGCTTTGCATACAGCACATACTAACGTTGCAAAAGTTGTTGTATAATCGTTTTGGCTTCAAGGCTGAAGAGTTTGTTGTTGGTTTCTACGAGGCCTACCTGGACCCTCAGTCGCGCTCTTCGATGAATGCCTTTCGATTGCGGCTCCGTCACTGATTGTGATGCGACTGATGGTCACGTTACGTTATGTCGTTCTAGCTTATTGAGCATCTCCTGGTGTCGCATGAACCAGTGTGCGACCATCTGGTGCCCAACTCGAGCCCATGGTATAGCTCGACTTGCTAAAAATGCCGTCGAAGACGAGCGCGTGGGATTGGTCTCTCTTTCTCTCCTTCGGGTTAGTCCCTTCGGTCCTCGGACACTGCTATTATGTACGGAATGTTCAACGGCCTCTGAAACGGCGGCCGCTCAATCATCGTCTACTGGTGTTATACATGATGTTCACAGTCGCGTCACTACCGCAGCGCTTTCCAAGCAAAAGCATCCCGATCCTCTCCCGAATTCTGTTCGACATGTTTTCGAGCAATTGTGGCTGTCTCCATTCCATCACTGCGCCGTATATCCGACGTCATGCGCCAACGGCCTTGAACTCCACTATATCTTGATCCTCGATTAAAGCATTTGTCCGTTTGGCTAGCCGGAAGCTGCTCTTCTGATGTAAATATCCAACAATATGGTTGTAAAGGTACAAGGATCTGAAACGATTCCACGCATCATACTTTGACGCCAACCTTCCCACTGCTCGCATCATGCTCCTACATAGATCATGCAGATTCCCGACTCAACGGCGTTCTGCGAGGAGCGATATTAATAATTTCACACATTCTTGAATCTCAAGATTGTCCAGTGTGTATATTATTTGTATCATGTTAATTGTAAGCCCCTAATAGACCGCTTGATAGGAAAAGAACGTAACCGATGTGAGAACTCATCAAAACGCTACAAGAAAATATACAGTGGGCTTATAGCCAAAGCCCCAAAAAAGAAAAATTGTATCACTGGGGAATGTCCCTCCATCAGGCAGCCAAAGGGACAGTCTTTCCTCCGTCAAAAATACCCCTAGGGCTAGTGACATGAGCGATGCTCATTGCCCGTCTCTTCCTCCCCGCAGATGCTCCCTCCCCAGCTCCTACATACATCGAAGCAGCTCGCCTTCTAGTACCGGGTGTTTTTGCTGACCCCGCATCCTGCAGATCCTTGTCCTCCGGGATAGGGGTGATGGATTCGACGGACCGCCTACGCTCGTTAACTTCAAAAGAGGACACCGCGGCATCATAGACCCAGTGTCGTTTTCTGACGCTACTTTCGTCCGTAAGTGCCTCACTCGGCTGTCTCCTACCAACACATCGTTTCTTGATGATCCGTACATCGTCTGGTGTCTCCCTGTCCTTCTCCTTACTCTTTTCCGGCTTCTCTCTCATCGTAACCAGATCTTTCGGCCGTCCGATAGCTCCGACTGTATGGCTTCTTGGGCGCGTAGTTGTCGTGGTCGTGGTCGTCGCAACACTCCCCCGGCGAAGCCGGCCTACAACAGCATCCTTTTCGAATCGCACACGAGGTTCTGGCGACACAATCGGTAGTGCCACCTTCCTCTCCTTGTCCTTCAGTTTCTCCGGAGTCTCCGATAAGGGTTTGAACTCGTTCTGCGACCGCTCCAGAACGTCCTTGACCTTCTTCCCCCAGTCCTCTAACTCGTACAACTTGTGTAGCATCATCTTGAAGGTGAATGGGTATCGCGCCCCAAGTGGGAACTTGCCTTCGGAACCAGTAGTCACGGTGTTCCTTCGGCTTCGACCTTGAACTTGGGGGTGGGTATCAACAAGAGACGCGAGGTTCCGCACGATGGACTCGAGGTCTTTTGGAATAGCGTCGGCCAAGACTTGCCTGTCGTCGTCGTCGTCGTCGTCGTCTGTCATGCGGGACCGACGTGTAGCAATGTCCTCGAAGAGAGCGAAGAGGCTGGCGAATTCGGCGGTCTTGCTGTCCATCGTGATGTCGGGACTAGTACGCAGTGTAGAGGTACAGGTGAAGAGCAAAGATAAGTCACGAGAAGCAGAACGGTCTCAGGGCGACGGTGCGTTCGTTGAATGTTGGAGAGAAACCCAAGTTTGTCTTTGATATAAAAACAGTTAAGGCGGCCATGACGGGTCACGGTAGTGTTTGGAACATTGCGTGGCATTGCATAATTGCTTCTTTAGTACTCTTATGCCATTGTTAGTTTAACGCCCTAGTAAAACCGTGGCACAAGGGTCACATCGAACATCCTTGTTCAATCTTACTATCAGTTCACCTGAAAAACCTTCTGTTGTAGTGGCAATACAGTCCGAACATCGTACATACAATACTTATCATCGAAAGTAAAGGAAATCAAGCAGCAAGTATAGTAACAGCGTCTAGAATCGCACACAATGCCATGAAAAGAACGCTCGGTAAAATCGTAAAGGTGCCGTTCGGGGTTAGCGCTCAGCTCTCACCACGGCAATCGTCGCACTCGCACCCGGCCATTCTTTCTCAGAATCCAGACCTTTGTCTTGAAGTCGTTTCCAACAATATCTGAACTGGTGTCCTCGACTTCTCCTTCTCCATCATTGTCGGAGCCATTGCCATCGGCCTTCTCGCCATTGCTATCCCAATCACTACCACCGTATCCAAAGAAAGAACTCCAGCCTATTGTTTGAAGGGCTCGTACTTTTTGCGCTATGATTAGACTGGCTGCCAATTCGTCCATGCGAACTTCTTTCGCATGATCGGCACAGATATCGCATTCATTGGATGCAGAGACGATTTCAGGATGTCCAAGATAGCGAGGTGCATGCTGCATGTGAGAGTAGACGAGGTCTTCGTGAGAGAGGAACACTCCTAGATGTAGGTGCGTGAGATTCTTCAGGGGTTTCAGTGCATTGGCAAATGCGGTCTAGACGATAGAGAAGGTCAGCATGCCTTGTCTCTGCATACGTTTCAAAAGCTTACAGCTAGATCCTGAACTTCCAGATATCTCTCAGGAACAGGTGAATGCATAGTACACGTGAGACTGTCCTCCAGGCAGTACCAGCAATGAGAGAAGTTGAGTCTTTCAGTGCAACTGAGATAGAGGTTGACGATAGAAGGAAAGGACTGAGCGATCCGTTGAAGCAAGTTGGTTTCGATACGCGGTAGAGCAGTTAGAGTCAGCGTAGTCAGGGACATGATGGGGGAGTAAGACGTCAGATTGGCGCAGATAAGCTTAAAGCGCTGTTGATAGGTACTGAAGCCTTCGTGGTTGCAGTTGATAGAAAGTTCGTTTATATTGGTGAGAAAACGTAGTTGTGAGGCATATGGTTGAGCCGATAGAATTCCTGAAGGTGCATACACGGTCCTAGAGTTAAGAATACGTGCGATCTTAGCTCACTGTAGTCTCTATAGATAAGAAATCACGTACCTGACCCACGAAAAAGCACCTGTGACAGGCACCTTCTCCAGCGATAGAAGCAGCCTGAAGGTACTATCCAACTGCGATAGAGTATTGAGAGTTAAAGTGCTAAGGTAGTGCCGAAAGGCTATTTTCCGGAAACAAGAAGAAGCGAGGGTAAAAGATCTGATGAAAGCGAATCCAGGATAGTCCAGGTCATTCGAGGCAAACACAAGAGCAAACTGAATGATTTCATCCAGCATTTCTGTCGGAAGTCGAGGACTAGCGAGAGGAACAGATTGCTTGGACAGCGGCAGAGATAGTGTGCGTGCATTGAGCCTTCTTCGTTCGGTTATATGAGATAAACTGCGTCTGTATAAGACCATTAGCGGTAAGCAACGAGGGAAGGGAAGGAAAGCGAAGCAAAAGCGTTACAGGTCACATATCGAACTTGAATTCTCACGGTACCCCGCGTCGCGACGCGTATCTGTCACGTGCTGAAACTGCCCGCGGTGCAAGTTTCGTGAATAATTATATTATATTCCTAGGGTTATCTCTCATGGTCTCGAAAATAGAAGAAACCGAGATAGACCGTCGGAATCCCTTGCCAAGCCCGAACTGTATGTTGATTGCTTGCATTCTAGTTACCCATGAATGACAATTGATTGTTAAGTCGCCTCCAAGTAGATAAACCAGCCCACTGGGAATACGAACCAAGGGTAAATCTCCAATGGGTCAATAAAGTGCTATATTTGCATCCCCGTTAGTATTTAAGCTTAAGCACCATGCGTGGGACCAAGTTGTATCGGTTTAAATTTCGTAAGGTCTGTAAAGAGGGTGCCCTGTTCGTTAGTCTGAGAATTCGAGAAAATTAGTTGACATTAGGACATATATTATGGTTCTTTGACATACAGTTAAGTAATACGAAGCGCATGCAAATGTGATGCTCGCTAGCGCGGTGCGGTCTTCCAGTCGCATAAACGTCTACCTGATTCCCATCAGAGCGGATATTGTAACGGCAAGGTCGTAGGATAGATCTTCATCCCGGACCTCTGGGTTTGAAAGGAGATATTTTGCTATACAATTGATCTCCCCTAATGATACAAGTCACGTTCAGCCATGAGAGAACCACCATTCTAAACCTTTGCAAGACGTGACGTTCTTTTGGAAGATGATGAACAAGGAGCAACAGGCACCGTAGCTCCTCGAACGCGATAAATTGGGACCCGGACATCTTCCAATATCAATCCTAAGCCCTTTCTGTTGGCTTGTCGCCACCTAGGAGTTCCGATATACCAAAAAAGCAAGACCCGAGTCAACAAGACATAAATGTCCAAATTGAAGCACCGGAGAAAGGTAGTGGAGTTGAAAAGCTGTAGTCATTGGAAATATGGGCAGTCTTCTTTTTGTGAGTTCGGAGGATATCCGAGCTCAGTGTATAGCGTATACGGGGACCGAACAAAATCAGTACAGACTGATGTTGTCGGCTGCTACAACATGTCAGGCTAGCGTTTAGGAGCGCCGATATCTATTACCCCATACATAGAGAAACTTTTAGATGGGAGCTGACTGTTGTCCGCAGTCAGTCAAGACTCTTAGCCTCACTAGGCTGTTTTCCTCTGTAAACAATGCTTATGCACGTTCGGTCAGCCGTACAGTCAGGTGAACGAAATAGATGATCCACAGGAGACTAACCCAAAATAACGCCAATCAGTGGGATAGACATGTGAGCGCCTACGACAAGGACACTTCATCGGCACCAGTGCGACGCCTTTGCGGGTGCTTTTGCTCTCGAGCTCTTCTTACACCAGAATAAAGTATATGCCGTGAACCCAGACGGGATGATGTGCACAACTGAGAACGCACGCTTTTGTAGGAGGTAGTATTCGTTCCGGATCCTGAGCGCTTGAGCAGAGGCACGAGTAAATTTTATTATCTCAGAGAGCCTGATCAAGAAGTAAAGACATCGGCGTGACAGGTATGAAGCTTTAAGGACGAGTTCGAAGCAGGCGCCCCTTTCATTCAAGTTGCAGTAATAGTTGGACCGTTGCACAGAGGTGGTGATGCTCAACGCTTGCGATCATGATGATGGCGTGTTTATCATAGAGTATCGGTTTCATGCCACGATATGCGGGCGTTTTCCGAGCGATGACGCGGTGTGGCGCGTCGCGGCTATCAACTTCTTATCTTTTGTACCTGCTGAGTGCCAACGGAAAAGAACAATGCAAGGCATGCCATGTGCGAAGGTGTGTCTAGACCGGTGCCGCCATGGAGGAAGAGGCATCCTCACAAATTCTAGAGGTTCGGGCTCGTAACGATATTCATACGTTCCAGTCCTCACCAGACCTCGACCGCTAGGAGCAGTGCATTTCGAGGCGGCGTGATACTTGCGTGATCTTGTACACGTACGAGTCAAAGATAGAGATAGCTTAGAAGGTAGTTCCTTCGAGTTTGAGTATAAACCAAGGAAATTGCCTCAAGAGCCGGTCAGATTCTGGAAGAAATGAGGAGGGCGAAAGAATCGGCCCTGTCGAAAAAAGGCAGCCGGCAGAGGCGGCCCGGTTGCACCCGATGTTGTTAAAACGCAACAGGGCTCAACAGCACCTGCTTCGACCTTATTCTGACCTCCCATTTTCCACGCGTTCCCGGAATTCGCCTGAAGCCGTGACGCGTGAAGTTGCCAATGGCCTAGCCACATTGAAATACAAGTTCAACTTGTGTTTAGTCTAGTCTTTGTTTTGTCGACATACAGTGACACTCTGAAAATCGTTTAAATGAAGCCTACTTGAACGCGATCATCGTAGTCCCACTCTACTCCCGTTCCAGCTGGTATTCAAGCTCTGCGCTCTCAAATTCATTGCCCCGTAAGACCTGCTTTTCATTGTAGCCCCATTAAAACACCGCTCATACCCCGCCCAGCATTTAGCATACCCATATTTGTCGGCGACGGTGCAGCTATCGGTGTGGCGTTTGAAAGCCAATTATAAGAACCACGCCAAGTTCACGTGTTGAAGACATCGTATTTCTTCAAGTTGAACTACATCCAACAGCTCAGGCTACTAGACGACGCACAACATCGAATCCCAGAATACTCGCGCTTTTGATCCGAATGTCGACGGCTTACTCCTATCCGATAAGTATGTCATGACCCACCGTACCCTCCTCTTCTTCTGAAAGCATCAACCCAGATCTATCCGAATCCAGCTGGCCCACAATGTCGGTCGGTTTGCCGCCGCTACCTCAAGAATTGATTGACAATATCATCGACCATCTCCACAACGATAATATTTCGCTGCTTAACTGCGCTCTCGTGTGCCGCGCCTGGTTATCAACAAGTCGCCTTGCACTTGTTCGCTAAGATACACCTTCATGTTCCCTTGCCTCTTCTCGATAACCTCCCTCGCGTCCCGCAAATTCAGCCGCCTCCTTAGACTCCTCTATAAACATACAGAACTGATACCTCACATCCACGAACTTCAAGTACATTTCGAATGTGGAGGACCCAATCCTGAGTCCGGGATCTTTCCAGCAGGTGCCGACGACACGCTTCTTCCTTCTCTTCTGACGGCATTCACACATGTTCGCCATATTGAACTATCATCCAATTCCAGCGCATCATGGGACTCGCTCTCGCCGCGTGTCCTACATGCTATCGAAACAGTCGTCTGCCAGCCCTCAATAACCTATGTTCGCCTTTCCTCATGGGTCTTCGATAGCTGGAAGACTATTGCGTCGCTCTTCCGGCATAGTCAAAATCTACGAGGACTTGCACTTCGTTCGACGGAGTTAGGTACCGTCAGTGAGGAACAGGAACAGGAATTTCGGTCAGGATCCTCGGGGCCACGTCTCGAGTTCCTCACCCTGGATTATGTAGATTGTCCAGATCTGGGAAGCTGGCTCTCCAATGAGCACCCAATTATGATGGACTTGACAAACATCCGCGAGTTCCGCTTAGCTCATTCGGACGACAATTGCGTCGACCGGCTGCTCCGCACTTTTGGAGACTCACTCGAACGATTCCATCTCAAACCTGGGAGGATAGGTCGTAAGTTGATCAGTTTATCGTCAGTTGGATCGTTGTCACTCACGATGGATATCATATCAGTACAGCCCATGACCTTGGAGCGATGTGCACGATTAAGATCCTTGAGACTGACTTTGGACGAGTACCCCGCTTCCCTTGTGTGGGTTTCGAATGTCCTAAATAGTATCCCAGTACCCGGGATTCTCGAGCACGTCGCTATCGAGGTGTACATTGATCCTAAGAAGTTGATGGGCTGGAGAGCGATTGACAACATCCTTACCCGGTCGGTAGCGTCGTTCGACTCCCTAAAGGAGGTCGCGATAGGAGTATTCGCCCTTCCTGCGAACGCCGAATTCTTGAAAGTTCAGGAAGGACTCGCGGGTTTGAAGGAACGGGGTCTCTTGCGTGTTTATCAGTTGGCGACTAAGAGCCAGAAACTTTGTTCCGAGTTGACGCCGATGATAAGTAGCTTTGAGTAATGTTGAGCAGTTTTCTTGTTTGTCAGTTGATACATATTGTTGATATAGGTAGTATGACATGAAGCGTAGCAACACTTGCTATTACATTAGTCCTATTTTCGAGATATGCTGCCTAATGATAGCTTCCCCAACTAGAGAACATGTCAGCTGTAGATGTAACAACGTAAATCGTACCACTCACCATTGACGATAATCCTTTGCGTGGCTGCAATATCCTGAGGCCTAAATGTTAGCACTGAGGGTTACGGAGACGTAACAAAAACCGACCAGCATAGAGGTGAAATGCTACAGATCATGAGACTCGTTAGTTACTTGTGCTTCAAGCCAGGAAGAAGAGCGTACGCAATAAAGATGACGATTTGCGATGTCCTTGCGTCGATGTACCTGTATGAAATGGGCCCGGAAGTATTCTGATACGTCTTCGTAACTGTTGGGTCTGTTCCCATAGCTGACAATGCTGTTTCAACCATCAGCCAACTGCCAATCATAGACAACCGGAAGAACTTTTACTATTTCTGAACCTGACTGCCTGCCTCCAGCTTCTTCCTCAACAGATCAGTCTAAAAGCCATAAGGATGAACACTATGCGCTTGTCAAACTGCTAAAGAAAGCGATCGTTACCTTGTTGAGAAGGAGAACAAGGTGGGTGTTTCTCAGAAGTTTATTCGAGCATACGGCAGTGAACAACTTCAGAGAATCATCAATTCGGTTTGTACGTGGGTCTTCTTCCAGGAACTATGATTGCGTGAGCGGAAAAGGACTGAATGATATGGCGTAAAGCCTACTTGGTCGAACGCCGATATGGGGGCTAAGAAGATGATGGCAGTTGCTGCGCGGAGACTTGAGCTTATTCAGTTGGCGCCGCTGGATCTAAATGCACTGACCGTCTTCAAAATAAGGCACCCATGCGTGTCTCTTCCAACGTATGATAAGGCTTTATTGGCCAGCGATTCCTACGGGTAGCACTCACCTGACCACGCTAAAATTACTCGGCTCAGAAGATTTGCCTGATGTAAAGTAACGGATACTCACGGCACCACCAACATCATACAGCTTCCAGTCATACATTGTTCCGCCTATGTTGATTGGGAACGAGTGCTCGATAACTCCGAGCGTCTGTACGCGAACATTGAGAATATCATCTGAAACGCGAAGGGGTGAGAACTAAGAAGCGGCAGATGATCCAGGAATCACGAGGTACCCATTATCGGCATGTAATCAGGTTCTGTGATGCGCATGAGGTTGTCCAGGAAGCTGGCAAAGATCAGACGTGATGGATTATGGTATAGGTAATCTCTCACAATGACCCTGCTTCGTCGAGTTTTAGGTGACGAAGAGCTAGAAGACGTCCAACAGCGGGATGGTGCCATAGGGTATTGATCTCGTTTCGGAGGTCGTGTAGTATTTTTGCCGCCATGTTTGCCGCCACCTGGGTCTTTGAGGCAGTTCTCATATCGCTAAGCGGCCAATTACGACCGGTGGTAACGAGAGCCTGCCAGCCGGCTCGCACAAAAACACCTGCCCGCCCCCCTCCGACAGAGATACCTCCGCTAAGTTCGGAGGCTAAGGCATCCTCCATAGCGACAAGAGGAAGTAATTGGGAGCGAAGCTGGTTTATTTCTTCCTGGGCTCTTTGTGGGTCAGGCAGCGGCATGTCGTCGGGGGTGTCGATGATGGGTCGTGAGAGATCATAATCGAGTTCCTCGAGAATTAACCGTATGGCTTTGATAGTATTGAAGTGAACAATTGGTTTCCAGGATGGTCGTTCGTGCTCAATCGAAGTAGATGCGTAGTAAAGTTGAAATTGCTTTTGGAGGGTGGATTTTCCTGAAACACTATTATCTGATGGAGGTTCAAAGAATAAGGGACGAGATCTTACCCGACTCTGCCTGCCCGAGCAGCATGACTACATGCGATTGAACACATTAGCATACCAAGATAGTCAACTGAATAGTTCCATACCCTTCACTTCTTTCCGACTGGCATCTCGTCGCCGTTGCGACTCTTTCTGGAGAAGAGAGGTATTTTGAGATAATCATCACGGAAGAGGAAACTGTTATGACACACTTTGAGCTCCTCGTCGATACCGTTGCTAACTGTCTGAGCTTGTACATCGAAGAATGCACTCTCTGGCTTCATGATGGGAATATCATCCCACTCGGCAGGAGTTGGGGCGGGCATTTGTCGAACATGACCAGTGGTGGTGGTCATAATTCAAAGAGAAGCAGTAGATGGTGGGGGTTGCTGACGTAGAGTGGCAAATATAGTTCGAGAACATGATAGTTGAATAAAGGGATTCTGCCGTTCCAGTGGATCCGTGATGGCAGTGCAGGGCCTTACTACCCTTTTAGCATCATGATTCCCCTCCGCACTCTCGTTGACCTCGCATTGTGGCACACTAACCTGCCATCACATCACATTTCAATCAAAATGATTTGCTGATATTACCTACTCACACTGGATTAATCAATCTGAAACGTCTTGTCAACGCGACGGTATATCTGAAGTAGCTGATAGATGATAGAGCAGCGGTCCGCTATTCACAGGATGAAAGGGCCCAAGCCAAGGCTGGCCAACGATACGTGAACGATGTTTCCTCACTCTAGGCGCCTAGGTCGTACTAGACAGATCATCAGTTAGTACGGCGGAAGGAAAGAACCGAATAGGGCACTCACGAATGGATACATGCTACCTCAAACTATGATGCATATGCATACCTGATTGAATGCCGACTGCACTCCGCACACTTTTCTCAGCAGGATACGGAAAAATGTGTGAATAGTTCCGATCTTTTGCTGACAATAGCACATTTGGATCAGCTTGTGGTTTGCCGTTCGCTGCATTTAACATTGCAGTGCGGTCAAATAAGCTATGAGAGCACCAGGTAAAAATGTCATATCATCCGCGTACTGATTTGACCGCAGCCGAGCGAAAATTGACTTTCAAGGATCAAACCCATTTCGAACCCGAAGGATGGTACACGAAGAAAAGAAGAGAAGATCTCGGAGGTGAAAGGGTCGCGACGATAGACGACTCTCGGACCCGATATATGTGCGGGTGTCGGTGGCTCAATAAGGGACATCCTGTGAGGCAAGGATCGCGGCTGCGCACCATACCCAAAGAGACAAGCCGAGTTCCACTGGAAGTAGATTTCGACGTCGACGTACCAAAACGGTCCTTTGGAAGAAGACAGCTGTTAGTGAAGGTCTAGGGCTGATAATATACGTGAATTTTGCGCACGAGAAGTTTGACAAGCTCTGTTGCGAGCTGCTGACAGTGCTGTCTACACAACCAGAACCATGAGAACATTGTTAAGATGCAACACTTGACTGTGTTCGAAGGAATTTGTGTATGAATAAAATGCATGCAGCTCGTGGCCTTTTCCCCCATTGCTATGAGTAGAATTAAATAAGGGTGATCAAGGACCGTGCGCACGGCCCCGGCCATTCAACTCGATCATATTGGGGGGTGGAAAGAATATGCCAATTATTTAGGTTACAGTACTTCAGTATTAGCTAGAAACTCTAATAAAAAAGTCTAAGCGTATTCATAAAGGCATAAGTCATGTTATGCAGATCAAATAGATAGAACCACCAAATCCGCAGCGGTAAACGTCTCTGCAAAATCCAACAGCTGCCACTCAAAATGCTCCCTCTGCTCGTACAGATACTCCGCATCTATCTCAAGATCATCCCATCCAAGGCATCTTCTTTGTACTTGACGCTTCGCCCAGGGGTCTCCATCCGAAACGCGCCTCAGCACATTTTTGCTGTCAAATTGGACTTCCTTTAGCATCCTGCATTCTCTGTTCCATGGCTGTACCAAACCAACGGGATTCTGAACGACCTCGGGCGGTGGAGCGGCAGGAACTCTGGACCGCGGTGGCGGAGAGGGCATGAGAAGGCGCCGGTTGTACCATTTATACCTCCGAGTAAGTGGCTGGGGCCACCACTGAATCCTATATACATGGACTGTCGAAAGATTGGCAAATCTGCCGAAGAAATGTGATGCGAGGCCCACAAGGGTATTCTGAATGAGACCCTTTGAGATTTGCCAAGTGCGTCAACTAACGCTACTTACCTCAGTGGGTCCTCCGCGCTGATATTTGATTCTCAAATCACGAAGGTCATGGAAGAGATGCTTGATCGCATGCATAATCTCTAGATCCCATGTTGAAACAAAGAGATCAAGGGTTTGAAGATCTGGCTTGTCTTTGGCGACTGCGGTTAGAAGGGGAATGAGCGCGGAATTTGAAGACTGCTGATCGATATCGCAGATATGGAGGTGCTTGATAGGTCTTGAACTGTTCAGAAAGGCTACAGTGGCCCATGGGTTTCCTCCGAATTCTTCCAGTTTAGGCAACGCATCGCCAGAAACTTTGAAACGAACATCCAACTGGCCTATCACTTTCATTGTCTTGATGTGGTGCCCGCTTTGGCGGAGAAAAGCATGAAGGAGAGAGATGTTGGGCGATGCGGCGGGTGGGGAAGAGGTACCACTTTTGATGCAAAGCTCGACAGTTTCAAGAACTTCAGGTATGTCGAATGGCTCTCCATCGTATCCCAAAGTCTTTTTAGCAAGGAACACGGACGACTCCACGTCCCAGTCAATGTGTAAAACACGGAGGGTCTTTGCTGTTGCCAGATGAAGGAAATGGTATCGGGTTCTTTCATGACGACGGGGCCCGACAGCGACATTTCCGAGGAGGGTAAGGTAGGTTAAAGGTAGCGCAGAAAGCTGGGCAAGGATGGCTTCGCCATCTGGCGAGGACATAGATAGAACGTCGAATATGTTATCAACAAGGGATAGGCGTGTCAAACGTGGGAGTTGCAGAATGGTAGAGTAGAATGTGTTGGGACTGAGAGACGAAGCGCATATTTCGACCTTCTGTAGCGACGGGTAGCCAGTAATACGATTGAGGACATCGTAAGACACACGCCCGTAACAAGGTGGAGAGAACGGGTCAATCTTGCCACGTTTCAACGCGCAGAGTACTAGCGCCCTCGGCACCTCGATCATGTTATCCGCCCGTCCCTCCCAAAATGAAGCATTCTGCTGGAAGTAGCCGAAATCCATGAAGAGAAGGTTACGATAGAGGGCCCTGAGGGCTAGACGGTAGAACTTGCGGCATGTACAGATTACATTGAAAAGATCGTGGGTATCGAGCTGTTCAAAGATGAGCATCCAATACTCGTTTGATAGTTTCGTAGACATGTGGGCAATCATCTCTGTCTTGGACATAGGCATCTTGGATGCCTTGGTGATGGTCGATAGCATGGATGTAAGGAACGGCGGAATACAATGGTCGTCGTGGTCGTTCAGTTCATATGAATGAACGCTGTCAAGCTCGGAGCCGACTAAGAAGTCATGACATATGAGTATATGGGCCGACAGCTGGTCACCAGACCCGTAGCAATAGAACTTACCCCTCGAGCCACAACTAGGGGTGGCGGTGGAACCAAGTGAACAAACGAAATGGAAAGAGAAGAGTGAAAGGCAGTGATGGCTGCTTTAGGCCAAAAGTACGATCAAACTCCAAATATGCGCCAATTCCTTTTCCACACAATTGCTTCCGAATGTGTTTACAAACTGATGAAAATATTTTTAGGTGACAAGGATACGACACTGGACGGGACCTTTCAACCTACGCAAAAAAGGCATGCACTCCCACTTTCGATAGATTTCAGCTCTTTACAGCGTGTCAAAAACGACGGCTCCCGTCCTCAAATTCTCAGACCTAGACCGAAAAAGTACAAAGTATTCGAGGATCGGAGACGTATATATATCACTTTCTCTCATCCGCCACCGCCCTGGTATTCGTAAACGCTACGTTGATACATATCCCCATTATAAACACATATCTCTAATTCTACGTTCCTTTCCCCATTCACTCTGTATCCTGGGGATGTGCGACCAGCTTTACAGCACTGACCTGATTGTTCTTCAGCCTGTCCAATCCGGCTACGATACCCAAGAGACCATTAGGCAATACCTCTAAGCGATTCGGCTAACAAAGAAGTAAAATTAAAAACCATCATAATTGTCAAAAAATCGGCAACTCGCCCTGATAACCCCCTTGTCTATGAATTTACCCAAACTTCGGAACATTCGTTTTCCGAAGTCAGACTGTGCAGGTAGATGAACCGTGGCCAGAACATCCCTGAATATCTTTCCATCAATTTCTGATTTCTGGGGTCTTTGGTCGTTGTTAATGGTCATGACCTGACCTCCTTCTGCCAACATGTCGTAGCCAGCTTGCTGGGCTTCTGGAAACCCAAGTGCATCGAAGACCACGAACAACGGATCGGAAGTGAGTTTTTTCACCGCCAGGGGAAGTTGGTTCAGAGGTGTCGTTCCCCGGTCGATGATGTCCGTTATCCCGAGGGTAGCTAAGTAGTCGAAATGACGCGCAGAAGCATACGTTATGATCTTGGAGAAGCCCACGAATTTGAGCAATTGGATGGCTACGCAAGGCAACGGAAAGATAATCAGTATCGCGCACCAACAATGGCAAAAATTACCCTACGAACCATACTGTCCAACGGATGTGCTTCCACCGATGACAACGGTAGTTTTCCCCGTGAACTTGGGCTCCCACGAAAAATGAGGATTGAGCCCAAGACCAATCGGTGCCTCAGCAAAAAGGCCCATACATGCCGCCGCAAATGCCACGCTTATTGTTGCCGCCTCATCAGTGGACATTTTCTCCGGAATCTACAGCAAATTCAGGTCGCAATCAAAGATAAGCAATGTAAACACACTTTGGCGACAAAATCTGCGGCGATTAAAGAGTATTGCTGGAACCCAGCTCCGTCGTTTTCGAAATATGACCCTTGATAAACACTAGAAGCGATGAGAAGGCGTCACGAAAGAAGATCGACGACATACACTCTGTCGCCCTTCGACCACCCGATGACATCCTCGCCAATGTCTACGATCTCTCCAGCGATATCGGTACCAAGAACGGCCGGGTAGTTATTCACAAACGCGCCATAAGTCTGTATCTTCCAATCGACGGGATTCAATCCAGCGGCGAGAACCTTAACCAGGAGCTGTCCCCTGCCGACAGTCGGGATCGGGCGCGCCTCGAGTGTGAACTGCGCTTGCCTGGACTGAAGAACAAGAGCTCTTTGCTGGGGCATGATTGTAATGAAAAGAGATTGTAGATGACGCCATTATATGTAGATCCCCTTGTCAACAGGTTCTGATCCGCTAGAGTATCATTTAGGCATGCGATAATAGGTTTTCGAGGGTCGTGGAAAGACAAATCGATGAGCCACCAATGAAAAAACGTGCACCGCACGAGTCGAAGCGTGGGTGATAGCCGGAGACAAATTGGGAATCTTTGGTTCGCCATCTCGGACGACAATTCAGAGCTCTGCAACGTCAATGCAATATTACCGCTTAAAATTTTTCATTCCGGTGATTAAAAAATTTCTTCCTACGACAAGTAAATTCAACACGCGCGCCAGAAAGTACCGTGAGAGTTAATACCACTCAATGGGACATCGGGTCATGCAGTAACCGGCCAACCCTTCAAAGGCACCCCGTTGGCATCCTCCACTTTTGAGAAGAACCGCACTGGTAAGAATCCCCGTTCATCGCCCTCGGTGAGGACAACCCCGTTATCCGAAAGGAAGAACTTGATATCCGCATCGAGTGCCTTTTGGACGTCAATATATATAATAACCTTGGAGGTCTTGCGCATGCCTGAGATGGGCAGAATGTTCAATCGAGGCAGAGGCCCTAAGTGATAACATCACTCACCACTGACAGCATCACGGCCTTGGGCGAGATGTATATGATTACGCTTCATTTTGGACAGGCCCTCAGTGGCTAAGATAGCGGTTAACCAAAAACGGTTTGGCACAAGTAAAGCGAAAAGTGCGAACAAATAATTTCCCAAGCTTTGATATCCGTTCCATGGACAGCAACCCCGGAGGGAATATTTGACACCGATAACACTGGCTTCAGCTCCAGCTTTACATCCTGAGCACCGAGTAAATACACCTGGAGATACGCAGAGATATTACACAGACCTTCATGGTATGACCCTGGTTGGCCTTGATCCACCAAACGCTTTCATCTGATATCTGATTCAGTTCACAGATCAAGTCATACCGCTGCTTAGCATCTGCTTTGACAATACCCTGCAGTAGTAGCCAGATCTATGGGCTGACTTTTCAGTCTTGGGTTTTCCATCTACTATCGCCGTCGTATTACTTCATGGAACGAGTGAAAAAAAAAATGGAACACGTACGAGATCAGTGACCTTGACATAGCCATCTTCCCGCATGGGAATCCCTTCCTTCTGCGCTCCGTGCCGCAGAATATACGATAACGTCTTCGAAATCCGCACTTCAGGGGAATCCTGAGGAAATCCTCGTAATTTGGAAGAGACCTGTCCGCCGCTCCCTTTACGCCCTTGGTTGTTCTTCGGAGATCCAGACTTTTTGTTCTTCTGGGGCGCTTTCGATGGTTGCGATGACGACTCCATGTATTGACTGTGGCTTGAATGTGAGGTGATTGCAAGAAGTTAACCCAGTGCGAGGAACGAGCAGAAAGATCCTTTTTGAGTCAAGTATGGCGTTGCTTGGCAAGAACCTCTCAGTGGCGGCCGCACCAAATTCTTTGGACAAGCCACAATAGCAACGTACCACCTCAATCCACATCCGAAACTGTGTTGTGAGTCGATAGGGAGCGTAAAATCATTCACCCGGACACACAAAAGACTTGGTCGCAATTTTCAGTCTCGGCGTGTTAGGTAATGCCCAAGCGGTCACGTGAGATCGTGAAGCGAATTTCAATTCGTGAACGTCTTCACCGACTTCCACTTCGTCTGCCTGCCGTCGTATTTCTAATGCCCGTTTCCCGTTTCCTCTGATTACCTCTTGTACGGAGACGCTGTCCGCCATGGAGAACCGTTACCGTGACGTAAACCAAGCTGTCTATACTGACAAAACCTATCGTCTTGACAAGCGACCACAGAATCCACCGACGGAGCAGGGGCTTGTCGACATGTCTACCCATTACATCAAGGGAGGACAAACACGCGGGAAGGGCAGAAAAGTATCGCGTCGCTCGAGTAGTGAAACAGACTCCGAGCCGGACTCGCCGGACCAGTTGGATCTGCTCTCTTCACCCAGTCGAGGAGACGATGACGATTCATTATGTCGCAGCAGACTGGCACGAAGCATCCTTACGACCCAAATTTCCTACCAGGCAAAGATAAAATGTTGAAGCAATTGCGGTTCAAGAAGACGAAGTCTCAGGGGAGTGAGGATGGCCCCTCGAAGGAGAACCGTTCGTCTATTGCCGAAGACGTGTTTGGTGCAGAAATGCCACAGAAGAAGACCTACAGTCGTGCAGGTGGCAGAGCGAAAGCGTCATCCTCTCAGTCTACTCGTCGTGGTGCCCCTATGCACCGCGTTACATCTCCAACAATCGAAATTCCTTCGGATAGCGACAACAAGGAACCTCCCACGCGTCCCACGCGTCCACCACGGCCATTTCCCGGTCCTTCCAGAACTGAAAGGTCTCATAGCCGCGAGGCCAGGTCTTCGCAGGAAAGCGGCGCGTCGCCTGTCTCTAAACCGAAAGCAAAGAGGATGAAACCGCAGCCACAGAGTTATCCTGCACTTTCCCCTCTCCATACTCCTAAGAAGATTCAGCCTAAGTCTCCATCTCCAAAGTCGAAGACTATTCAGCGCCAACCATTTCCAAGTGTTCCTCCTCTCTCCTCTCCTGTGACTTCAAAGAGTACCTTGAACCTTCCCTCGCCATTGAGTACGCCTACCAACAAGAAGCCGACCAGGCTAAGACAATTATCGGCGCTACCTCTACCGTCCCCCTTGAACTCTCAACAATCGACTATCACCGTCAAGGGGAAGGGAAGGGTTGCCAGTCAACCGACCAAAGGGAAGAGCCAAGGAAAAGATGTTATCAAGTCGAAGAGCTGGAGGGTCGTCTCTTCTGAAGAAGAAGGAGAAAATTGTGTTGATGAAACAAAGCCCACTCGACGACCGCAACCGTTTCCTGTCGCTTTCAGCCCCCAATTGACACCACGGGCACCTAAGCGCTCTTCCGATGGCCTGGAGAGTGGCGAAGATAAATCACGGAAGAAACGAAGAGAGCATATGTATGATTTCATTCAACTCTAACACGGAGATATGAATTGACCGTGACGAACAGCCTAAAAACACCTCCTGACGCTGACTCAGATGAAGAAGACGACTCCGCGGCTGATAACGCCAGTGAGTTGTTTTTGCAAAAACTACTACCAACCCGGCTTATTCGCGTGCAGTCTTTCTGGATCCTTCCATCGACCCTAAGACGCTCTGTCCTTATTGCGATACGCGTCTTCCTGATCGCCCGACACCCCTTTTGAGCCGACTTCTCGCTAATATAGCGAAAAAGTCCCGGCCTAGCCCTCGTCCAACGAATCCCTTGGGCCGAAAAGCGCCATTAGAGGCCTTTATCGCCCTATGCCAGCGTCACCGCTTTGAAAGCGTCACTCTGCCAGAGGCAGAACGCAACGGATGGCCAAAGGAAATCGCTTGGGAGAAATTAGAGGGCCGAGTACACAAGATGAAGCGTGAATTGAATACATTGATTTCGGATCCAATCGCCCGCAGTAGCAGTGTTTTTTGGACGGAGATCATGGAAGAAGTCAAGGCGAAAGGTTCGCGCGCTGTTGGCGGGGTGAAAAATCAGTTCGCTACCTTTGAGAAAACTCAGCCTGGATAGTGAGTCATTCGCCGCATTCAATGTGTCTGTGTAATCTAATTTTCCGCGCGGCCTAGTTATGGGGAACAGGGATCCGTTATTATACATCAAACCTTGTTCAACCTATTCCCGCCTGCATCCATTCACCCCGACCAGGTAACACCCTTGACGCCCAACGAGTTTACACAGCGAATCCTCGTTCCTGAGGTTGCGGTGCGATTAATCCGCCAGGACATGGATGTTTCACCATCGAAAGCCCTGAAAATCCTCCGTGAGAGTTCCAGTTACGGCGTGGCTATGTTCCCTGAAGATGACAGTGGTTGGGGAGAAAAGAAGGACGATGATGTTATGGGCGTCGCAGATCTGATGGTGATGGCGCGTGCAAGAAAGAGGCGGATTGAGCTGGAGCAGGAAGAAAGAGAGGAGGAGGAAATGTTGAAGAGGAAGCAGGAAGCAGAAATCGTAGACGTGGATCCTGCCCCGCCGTCCAGACCGAAACCCAAGCCCATTCGTAAACACAAACCCCAAACCTCGACGGACTCTACCAGCGAAAGCGGGGTCGTCTCTGAATCGGAAGAATTGGAGATTGGGGATTTTGTTCTGGGATCAGATGACCCCGAGCCCGAACCGCAAATAACTCCTCCGCCTACAACGCTTTCGGACACCGACGACGACGGCGGTATTATAACTGTCGACGAGGATATCAGGCCCTCGTCTCACGTTGACATCGACCTTACTCGGGATTCACGTTCCCGCAGCCGTTCTACTTCGGACGTTGAGAGTTCTACCTCTAGGAGCAGCACTGGGACGCGTAGATCAAGGGCCCATCGGCGTCTACGCGGCGGTGATCCCCCCTCGGATGCAGAATCAACGGCGTCGAAGCAGCTGGCCAAGTACAAATCCGGGAAACGGGATATTAGCGAGGAAGCACAGCCGCCTCGGGCCCCCGTAAGGGTAGATGATGCTGAGACACTACGCCCTGTTTCTCCCACGTACCCTCTTCTGGTCGCACGCGAATTGAAACGGCGAGCAGGGAAGTAAGCGACTGTGCTTCTTCATTCTGCCCGTGTCTGACCTGAACACCTCATGGACAGCGCTAAGCCCGCGAGAGAAGGTTTTGAATGGCTGCTAAACTGAATTCTCCTAGCTCTCTAAGTTAATCATTCTGTATATTGCTGTATTGATGATGCTAATGTTACATCACACTTTTAGAGTATTACTGCTTGTTTGTTGCTTAACGACGTGTCTTAAATCAAATTTGACGAGATTCCTCCATCTTGGACCTGCTACGAGTTTGAAATGATTACCCTGTGGTTTGTCTGACTGCCGGCTTTTTCGTGAAACAGATGCGCACGATGAATGGCTGGAAATGAGTACTAGTCCGACACAATCAAGAGCGTTCACGTCAGCTTTTTTCACCGTCGCGATGAGTATCATTCAGTCACCCGTGCTCTCCGACACGTTGTTCGAAGTTCTCTGTCTTGTCTTACGTCCTTTGGTGCTGTTCCCTTGTTGGCGACCTTCTTCAGTGTCCGTATCCTACTTCTCATCCTCTCTCACCCACCGAACCCTCAAACTTCTTCGTGGCTGGATCGATCGAACGCCATCCTGAAACTTTCTACGTTCTTATTCTTACCAGGTTGCACCCGTCTGTTTGAGGACCTTCTTGCTCGGCGCTTGGTCTAGATAACAGTGCTATTTGTCAGAAAGCATAAGATATCGAGCTAGCCGTTCCGAACGTCAAAACCCTCGGGTTTGAAATCTTATCTTCCCTTCCACTCCGCCTCGAGCGCTTCGATTCCCTTTGCGAAACACAGTTCAAGGTCTTCGAAGTCCACGCGCCGGTACTGGTGGTCGTCATGCATTCTAGACGCCGAACCCTTGACTATAGGAAAAAATTGCAGTTTACAACGTGTGAGGTAATACATAATAGTGCTCTTCTATCATAATCCGCGGATGTCAATCACAAGGACGGAAACTTGAAACTAAATAAATACATGCCCGAATCCGAGAAACTCATCGATATCCCAATCCAATTGTCATAGCTTGACAGGAGTTCTCGTACCTCCAGTCAGCTTTATTGACTCTCCATTAACGTAGCCACACTCCAGCACCCATTTCACGGTATGCGCAAACTCTGATGGATGCCCAAATCTCTTAGGAAAGACCACAGCCTTCTCCAACAACGCCTGCTTCGTGTTGGAGCCGAAATTATCCGTCATTGGTGTCGTGAACGATGACGGAGCGATCGTGACTACACGAACCGCGTACTTGGCCAGTTCACGAGCCATCGGTAGCGTCATTGATCGTATAGCACCTTTCGATCCAGCGTAAGCGACTTGTCCCACAAGTCCTTCATACTAGATCGGTGCATTAGCGAAGTTCGGCCAAGAAAATAAGAGATAATATACTGACAGCAACCGAGCTGGATACCATAATGATTACCCCGCGTTCTCCATCCTCCGACAGAGGTACACCCACCAGATATTTCATTGCCAACTGGGTAAGATGGAATGTACCTGATAGGTTAACCGAAACGGTTGCATCCCATACTTGACTGGCGTTGACGTTAATCATCTATATGGATTTTCGGGGTTAAAATCAAGGGAGTAACGACGTAATACGTGGCTGCCTTAAGCGCTCACTTACTAGTCCTGGAACACCGATGCCTGCGCAATGAATGACACCACCCAACGGTGCTCCGGTCTTTTGCGTCCATGTCACGATTCGTTCAAGAGCGATAGAAATCTCATCATTTTTCGTGATGTCCGTCTTGAGCGCGAGTAGTCGTGGCGATGGCTTGACATTTGTGATATCCTTGTCAAGGATGGATACGAAAGCGTTGGAGTGTACAAGTTCGTTGACTGCAGCGAGACCAAGCCCAGATGCCCTGCGAACAGATTAGAAAAAAAAGGTCAGAAGACGATAAGTACATCAGAGCTAGCTTACCCTCCGGAGACGATGAAGGTACGATTTTCGATCTTCATCGAAGGGGTATCGCGGACGCGTCGAAAAGCATGCCCACTGTATAAGTAGTATACGCCAGATTAGGAGGAGCTTGCCATGATCCATCATGCTTTCCGTCAGATGTGCTATGATTGGATCGGTATTCCACGGTCAGTGTTGCGGTCGGTTGCAAAACTCCTCCGATGATGCAAATTTTCCCAAAGGGACGCATTACTTCCGGATATGGGACGATTTTGGCTATGTAGCAATCATTTACAGCCATGTGTAATAATACAAAATCAGCATTTAAATGCATGCTGCAGGATGCAACTAGTAAGTGAACAGTGAGAGGATGTATTTAAAATGGTCTTACCCTTTACAGTTTCCCTGGCAAACGGCCTGCACCACTCAATCTGACGGTTTCTCCATTCACATATGCACACTCTAGTACCCATCGGACCGTCTTAGCAAACTCGTCCGCAAGCCCAAACCGTCGGGGGAATACCAAGCCGCTATCTTTCAAGCTTTTACGCGTCCGTTCCGGCATGCTTTTGGTCATGCTGCTCTCGAACACACCGGGCGCGATGGTAACGACGCGGATACCGTGCCTCGCCAAGTCACGCGCCATGGGTAAAGCCATGGAGCGAACTGCGCCTTTTGTGGCAGCATAAGCCGTCTGGCCCGGCTGCCCTTCAAACTGATCCGAACAAAACAACATAGTATCATCGTGATATCTGCACGGAACGACTGGTATCACTCACGGCAGCTGCACTGGCGACCATTACGATCACTCCGCGTTCGCCATCACCGCCTTCCGGTTTGACATCCACCAGATGTTTCAAAGCCAACCGAGTGAGGTTGAACGTGCCAGTGAGATTTACAGCAATCGTTAAATCCCACAGATCCAGAGCATGAGGCTCGTTATTCGCATCGAGAATTTTGGCCGCCGTGGCGACGCCAGCGCAATTAATCACCCCACCTAATGGGGCCCCAGTTTCCTTGGTCCATGACACGGTTTGCTCCACCGCACGTTCAATTTCTGCAAGCTCGGTGATGTCTGTTTGGAAGTACGCGACAGTTGTGTTGGCAGCCACGTCAAAGGGGGGAGGTGTACGGTCAACTATCGAGACATATGCCTTGGAGCTGAGTAAATCTTGCACTGTCGCGAGACCAAGTCCAGATGAACTGTTGAGATGATCATCCGTTGATGAAACAATCTTAGAGAAGTGATTTGTATGCTACTAACCCACCGGAAACAATGAATGTCCTGTTTTCAATCTTCATCTTGTGCTTCAGAAGGGAAGAGACACACCGAACAGATAGGACAGATGGGGGATGTGGTCAACTTGTGGGGTACGGCAGTACACAGAACGTGATTGTTGTTAACCGGCACGCGGCCCAATGAGGAAATCACCTCCGCCCAAAACAAGTGTTCAGTCATGGGCCGCTTCTCAGTTCATCCATGTGCACATAAATGAATCTAGACTGGCTTAATGCTAACCCTCCTTGTGTCGGTTGGTCTTGCTTGTTTGGGAGAGGGGCCCTCGAAAAGGGAGCATTAAAATGAATGTTTGCAATTCCGAAAATTTCTTTTCATAGGATACATCAATTTACTGTTTTCCGGCGTGATTCGAGCCATTGTCATCTCCATTCGTTCTGACTTGTGCTCATGTATAAGCGCCAGCATTTGTCCTGCTTCTTATCGAAGAAACGTCAATGTAAGAAGACCTGGTAATCATCGGCGGCTTCAACTTGAACCCTGTATCTACTTAAATGCTAATCGAGAAAGGTCTAGCATCCCCCAGGTGGGCACTGTGAGTACACGCGATGCCGTCGCACATATGTGTTGACTTTGCTTCTGCGCATGCCAATGTGCGAAAGGCCTGGCCTCGTCCATGATAGAGTCCATACCATACTACGCGAATCGGAAGAGGATAACACAAATGAGTGCTCCAGTACCTCAGGCGCTTTGTTGAAGGAGCTTGTGGCCACTAAACAAAGTTTCCCCGGGACCGCCTGTGTCGAGACTCAAGGACCTGGGTACTGTAGCGCTGGAACGGCCCAAGAAATCTACCGACACAATGTTACTAACGTACAGTCGTATGACCAGATTTTTGCGAGATACAGGATACCACGTCGTCTTTTTCTGACCGACGACGCCGCGGACGGCGACTCAGAATCACCTTGGGCGGAGCACATGCCACGGAACCTAGAACGATGCTCACAATTGAAAAAAAGATCCCGAAGCGAAACAATTCACTCACCGACAGCTTGGCGTTTGTGGCCGCTTATCAGAGGGTAAAATATAATCAATGACATTGTCAGGTGGAAAAAAATTGCAGACCAATTTTCTAACCCGAAGAAAGGTGTGAGTCATCAGAAGCCTCCATTCAATTTCGATTTGCATATACTTTTTAAGCGACGCATTTACGGTGCGGCCAATATCGGTGCACTAAGCGGTGGTGGAAAAGACCCATATGAACAGTGAGCAAGAGAGAGTCATCGACCGGCGACGGCGGTCATGTCTGAGTAAGAGCGCTCAGATACAGATATCGCAGTTTCAGCCAAGATGAGGTCCGAAGGAAGAATCAATAGCAATTGTGAAGATTTCTCCCAACTTGGTTAGAACGTTACCTAATTCCTGGATAATAAAAGACACCTTTGTCCGTGTCATGGTGTTGGTGTTGGTACCGGCACAAGGTCCCAATAAGGAATGGCCAAGGTAGGGGAAACTAAGAAGCTCATATTAGTCAGCAGTATGCGGCCCGGAGCCGGTGCCTCGCGTCAGCGGACTTTCTCGCTCAGTTTGCCTTTTCTCAGCCACTGTCGATTACTACTATGCTACCGTCTAGGCTGTTTCGAAATACAGGAATACCGCCTCCCCTTCGAAGTCTCCTCGTCCCTCATGCTTCTCTCCCAGCGACCGTCAAAGTTATGTTTCGCCTACGGCTGGGCGGATCTCGACTGCAAATGGCGTCTCCGTTCCTAAACTCACGACACTATTCTACACCTATAACATCGTCTACAGAGACGGTTACTTCACAGAAGCTTCCTGAAGCCATGGAGCCGCGGCTATCGATGACTTTTACATGCACGGTGAAGGATTGCGGCACACGCTCCTCGCATGAATTTTCGAAGCGTGCATACACGAAGGGGATCGTCATTGTCCAGTGCCCAGGCTGTCAGAATCGGTATGTGATAGTTCAAAAAACCACGATTGCTGCTGCTCTAACGGGGCTCTTTCTAGGCATCTCATTGCTGATCATCTCGGTTGGTTCAAAGAGGGCACCGAAGATGGGAAACTACGGACTATCGAAGACTTGGTGAAAGCCCGCGGAGAGAAAGTGAAATACGGTCGGGTGGGAATGGATGGTGATATTGAGTATGTTGATGAGTGAGGTGCATGAGGTGAGTACGACTTATATTAGAAGCTGTGAGGGACAACTAATTCCTTCATTTACAGTGACATGTATAGACGAAGGAGACAACGAATTCTGAATCTATGCAGAAACAGGCTCTTCCACCTTGGGAATGACCTCCTTCTCTGCCAAAAGTTTTTCTAATTCACCCGATTGGTGCACTACGGAAAAGTATATACATTAGAGATAATATTAACTTCAGCTGTATCATTACTCACTGGATAGAAGGATGTCGCATCCACCAACAAATTCCCCCTTTACATACAACTGTGGTATCGTTGGCCATTCACTGTGAACCTTGTGATCAGCACTCTGAGTAACGTCAAAGCGGCACGGTAACGCACGAAAACTCCTTTATCGCATTCCTCAGCTCCTGATCCTCCAGGACATCGAACGTCTTCATTTTCTCGGCCGGAACGTTATGAAGATCCAGCACTTGAATCGCTGCTCGCGAGAAACCACATTGGGGATAATCCGGAGTGCCTTTCATGAAAAGAACGACTGGAGTTTCGGTAATGGCAGCTTGGATCTTCGACCGTACTTCTTGGGATAGGAAACGTCGACAGCCGACAGTTCGACTTGAGGTCAAGGCAGCCGTCACTGAGGACCGAAGCAAGCCCGTCTGCAAACATAAGGAATGAGATATCGTCACGGGTAATCAGGACACACCGAAGACCTAATTGCAGCTCCAAACATCTTTTTACAATAGAGACTCGAAAGGTAACGAGGGAAGGAAACGTGGAATGTACCGGCAAGGTCGAGTCGAAGTCCGAGGTCGCTGAGTGAGAAAACCGATCACATGACCGGGAGAAGAATATTTTCTGAAATGACATCATTTCAGCCCTTCCGAATCCGCAACTCGCGATTGGTCGCGTTGGAAAGCACTGTGCAAGAACTGAACAGTATGCAAGACTTTTCAGCATTTCGTCAACGCCTGCTATGTCATGTACATCACTGGCCTCATAGCAGTTGATAGCCTCAGTTTATTCATGTTGCCATAGGGTGCCGTCTCGTGTCATCTAGTTGTGCCATCAAGCTCGTACGCCCTGATCACTTCTCTCCCTGTCTCTTATAGTTATCAGAGATCGGTAAATCGCGAGATGAGCCACAGGATGTCTTATTATATCCTTATTACTACGCCGATTAGGTATGCCGATAGTTGATTTACTTCTTCGCAGATCCCCCTCATTTTCAACCCACGGCTAGCCTTCGTCTTCTTTTACTGTCTCTTCGTCTCGACCATCCTCCCTTTTTTCTACACTAGTGGTGGCTGGAATTTCACTGTTCTCTTTGGTTCTGATTTAGTTGGTCTGAACGTCGTCCTTCAATTGCCTAGGACTGCCACGTATATAATTGGCGACATGGCAATGTCGACTGAGGTCCGTTTGGTTTTACCTGGTATTTACAACTATCCAGTCTAATGGTTGACTAGGAAATGGAAGCGATGAAGCGCTATGAAAAGCTCGAGAGGGAATTGGCGATTGAGTTTGGTCTGGCTGGGGATGGCACTATCGACGAGACCGAAGTAATGGCTGCAGCCAAGCTACGCCTTATTCAAATGGAGGAGGATCTCCAACGCTTCCGCGCAAAAGTTCAAAATCTGCATGAGCTCCAATGTCTCCGCTCAAAATTCGCGGCCCTAGATAAGGTAGAGCAAATAGTTGTATGCTTTAGCCGACTAACAAGCTCCTTAAGTTGACGGTAGATGATTCTGGGCCTTCCTGATTGGCATAGATGGCTATACTGGTGGTACCGCGTTATGGGGTTGTGTGTGGGATACAGTCTCAATATGTAACTAGTATTTCAACGAGACGCTCCAAATTCCACCTGAGCGCATGCAGCTGCTTCTCGACCCCTCAGACGGCAACACAACTACTACGGACGGTCTCGAATTTCAAGACCCCGCGCGGAAAAATACCATCGACACTTTAGCAAAACTAGCTGCCAGCCCTTACGTGACAAAGAATGAAGGGATAATTCTGTATTATTCCGGTCACGGAGCTGCCTATACTGTCAGCGCCAACACTTACAACATCAATGCCGTCGAAGTCTCTGTCTCACATCTGGACTCTGTCGAAGCCATTTGTCCTCTCGACCGGAGCGCTGGCGGCGACACATCTCTACCCATCGTCCCTGACATCAGCAGTCGGGAGTTGCATATCCTCCTCAGGAAAATCTCGCTTGACAAGGGCTCAGATGTGACGGTTATAGCAGATTGCTGTTGGCATTCGGGCAGAATAACCAGGCAGAGGCTGGCTCGCAAACAAGTGCTTCTGTACGCTATACCCCTCCCCTCATCGCATCACCAGAGCTCCTCAGCAAAATGCTGACAGCTGCAGATGCCTTGATGAAGGCCTATCCTGACCCTGATAAGCACGAGAAGTACTCTGTGTGGACAGAGAAATGGACTGCCGATACGGCATCACACGTCTTGTTGGCCGCCTGCAGGTCATTTCAACTGGCAACAGCGATCCGTCTTGATTCTGGCGACTATTGTGGCCTATTTACGGACGCTTTGCTCCGCGCCCTCAAGTCGAACGAGGTTACGGCGGATTGTACATTCTCTGACCTTCTCAGGGCTATGCCCTCGTGGACCGACCGGACACCAGTTGTTAGGGGGGACCGCAAGCATGAACCCCTTTGGTACCGTCGTTCCCTGCCAGTGCCGCCACGGCCTATCGAAGAGCAAGAACATAAGACGGGGGGACCAGAGGACCCGAAGAAGGGGGAAGAGCCCAAAACAGGTAGTACCCTTTCTTGATTGTGACTTCAGCTGTACTCATGCTGATATCAATGTCAACGACAGAAGATCTGCATCGCCTGTTGCACTGCAGAACCTCGTGAACTCGTTTTGAATCTGAATCGCACCTTCATGTTTAGATGTGGTGCAGGTTAAGGTTCGGGCAAGGTCAGATGAGCATACCTGGACCTGAAACTCGAAGCGCGATGTAATTTCCGTGACGATTAAGACTTTCGAACATACTCTTTATACCGTTTATCATTTACGTCGAGTTATGGTGCATCGCTTCTAATTTGCATGTGTTTGTGGTTATGGTTGGTGACGTCATAGTACCCGGAAGTACATTCAGTCTGGTTCGTTCAAGGTTCTGATGTGCCTTCAAGCCAATAATAAAGCCGCAGTACTTGCCAGGCTACAAACTGCCCGACGGCCCTCAGGAACCCACACCGAAGTGACCAAACCGAACTTCGGCTGCAAGTAATGGAACTCAAGAAAAATCAAAAGCTCTCCAAAGTCGTGAGCCCATGATCAGTATTTTTATAAAGGTCATCATGAACTTGGGTTCAATGATGCATTTGCAGAGACGCAAAGCCAGTTCCTTGAACAAATGCCGGGGGGGTACTAAGTTGAATCGGAGGCAGCGCCATCGCTTACTGGTTCGAGGAGAAAACTTCCTGTTCGAACACCGGTAATCTCATGGATCAGCCATTTGACTTTCATATGCAAAATTCTATACACATTTCGCCTCGATTGTGTCATGCTGTGTATGGTTCACCGGCACAACCACGTCACGCTTCGCCCAAGCAGAGAAATTGGTTCTATCCCCATTGACCCAAGTAACGTCGACATATACTACGCCACATCATACCTCAGTACTCTCAGTGCTTGTCTCTGATTCATAAAATGGTAGCTCCAATCTTTGTCTCTACTGAGAAAACTAATCCCTCATCGGAATAGATGGATAATGATTTAATTTCGGGTTCTTGTTAAGTTGTCGTGAGTAGGGACCTTTTTCAGGATCTAGATAGTCATACGACAATGAGATATAGCACCTCCCTCACGACAAGTATATGTTCCTTCACCATACCTAGTCTCTCGTACCAGGAGCCCGAGCAGATGATATAACCTGAGGGATGTACGAATGATCTCCATTTATCTTGAAACACAAATGCGCCGGACGAGCATTTTGTCTACACTAATATTTCAATATTCAGCAGGCTAATGTTCTCTTGCATTTATTTCGTCGAACTAGGCTGAAGAGAGACAGTGCTAAATGCCGACGATTCAATTATCCTGGGTTTTTGATTGATGGGAGGAGGCGGTCTGTAATTGGGAACTGCTTGAGCCTTTTTGAGCGAGATTAAGTGCAATAATCATTAGCGACACCTCCCAGTACAACAGAGCTGTCCAGGACGACTAACAATGGTGACGATAGGAGCAAGAGGAGATACTCAAGATAAGAGATACAGATAATTACACACATTCCAGTCCGAGCAAGGCTGACGATTGAATACACATTGGTACGTCATTTTTGATACCAGAGAGGTGCATTTTTATGTTCCCCAGAGACAACGGCTGTCTGCATAGTACGTGGAAGACAGGAAATGAGATCACGGAAGGTTGGTCTTTTTCTCAGCTCGTCTGATTTGAGCATGAGAACCAATGAGCGCGTGAAAATGCCATGGAATCCGGTATCTCCATACTGTCTTTCATGAGTATAATGACCGGTTTCAGTCGCCGCCAAGACTACGTGAGATGCGCTATCTTCGTTCCAGTCCAGCTCCCATATGGATGGTTTTTCACGAAAGGCTGGGAGCCTCCGAGCGGTGTCATCGGCTGCTTCAAGCATGCGAACGAAGTCGACGGGGTGCAATGCTTGGACGTTGCGCATTTCTGAAGTTTGGTATTCGATTGTTAGACCGTTACCGGCATCCTGGATGAAGGTGATGTGGTGGCCCTTTTCAAGGCTTAATTGATTGAGAATGGCGTCAATCTCTCGGTTGCTGATGTCGGGTTCTTTGCAGACGGAACTGCCCCAAGCCTCACGATCGATGGGGCAAAGCGATCTAATCATTCTCAGATTTCCAAAAGAAATTTCCGAGTTCCCATACTTGTAACTCCTGGGATATGAGCAGTCAGGATAATCATAGCATGAACCGTGCCCGGCAAAGTAGATAACGATGTTATCGTCTTTCTCGATTTTAGGATTGGTAATGAGTTCGCAAAGTGTATTGATGATGTTCGAGCGACTAGGGTTGGAATATTCGACAGGAAGACAGTGGTCGCAGTGTTTGCCAGAGGGACCGAGAAGTAGCTGGATGTGCTCTTTGGGGACACCGAGATCATTGAGTAAGTAGTCATTCATCTCTAGCGCGTCCGACACGCAACCACGCAGTGGGTTAGTTCTGTATCCGTCAATGCCAATAAGGACTGCCCAGAAACGGGAACCGTCAATGGCGCGGGGAGGCTGCAATAAATGTTCAGAGATGAGGCCAAGATAGAAGTGATACATACTTACCCTCGCGAAAGCTGTCAGCTCTGAGCGGAGAGTACCGTTTTCGATCCTTGCAATTTTTGAGCGCAAGACCTTCGCATCCTCTTCCATCTGCAAGGCTTGTGATCTGGCTGTGTCCAAGACTTCCACAGAGTCGATACCTCCAGTCATACCGCATTCTTTCGCGAGTGCATCCACTTCGTTCGCTTCAAGCTGCTTCAGCAGAATCTGTAAGGGATTTTCCTGGTCAATCGTTAGAATTACTCAAGATGCCCAGAAAGGTCACTCTTTACCGTCGACGCAGGATCCATTGAAACCATTTGGATGTGTCGTTGAAAAGGCGGTAAGACAACATTGTGGCTGAATCGTCATGGTGGTATCATTGGCCGCTGTGTGTTCTAATTTAGTCAGCAGACTGCCCTTTCACTTCAACCGCCATGTCGCCATCGTCAAGCAGGTGGTCCTGTAATTCTTGCTTTCCTTGTATAAAAATTTCTCGACGCAAACGATAGGCTCAAAAAGGCGAACAATTGTCCGGTGGCCACTGGCCAAAGCATTTTATCAAATTGTCTTGCTTGTCAAGAGGCAACGCAAAGCTTATAAAATGACTTTACTTTGCCACTTCTCATCGACATCTTCCGTCTTCCGTTCTCCCTTTCACTACCAGGTGAACTACTGTATACCTCGTACCAATGTCTCAACTAGAATCTCCCTCAAATCCTGCACAAGACCATCACCGACCGTCGATTTGCTCAGAACACCATCGCATTTTCCCTTTATGCGCGGAACTCAGCAAGGCCGCCTCTTGTCTTCCATATGACACCCCAGATTCCATCAAGCGGTTTTGTGAAATCGTCCTACAGAATTTACCAAAGGACGCCAGTGGCATCAAAAGTTTTCAAATAGAGTTGTTCAATAGCTTGCTAGCCGATCTGTGCGTTACGATTCTTTTTCCCCTTCCTTGATATAATCTGATGCTCGGGTGTCGCAGGATGCCCGTGACTCTTGAATACAAGATTGATCTTAGTTCTGTCGAGCCGCCTATGGCTCAAATACGACGCGTCGATGACGAACGACACGCGAAACCGTCAACTGACATCGACTTCTCACGCATTCCTCTCTTGGAAGATCTCTTTGACTCCCCAAAGACCTCTGCCGCACCGTTTGATCTCACTCTTAACGCCGTTAACACGAATTCTCCAAGCCGGGACCAACCACCATTCAGTTGTTGCTTCATCCCGGATGATAAGGTCCTTGGAGGAAGCGGGAAGACCATCGAGGTTGAACGCAACGGCAAATTCAACACTCGTGTATCGGACGAACCAATACATGGTAGAAGTCTTCTTTCGCGTAGCGCAGAGCAACATTCATTAACAATTTTCTTAGACAAAGGTGGCATTCACACTGGAGCCTTCATTAGGGACATCCGTACAGATCAAATCAAGTCTGAAGACTCTGAAACCGACAACTTTCCTACAATTTCCACTACTTGCTCCGCCCATGATGAATCTGCCACGTCTGCTCCTGTGGTCAGAGCAATTAATGTCGTACCGCGTACTCGTCCTCGCTCCAATACATTCGTCTTGGCTGCACCTCCTCAGATCCCACGAACTCCGGTTTCCTCTCGCTATGCTGGCCCTCCTATACCCTCTTCCTCTGCGGCCTCGTCAAGTACCTTATCTGTTAGCGCCAGTCTATGCTCTGGGGCTCCCTCAGATGTTACAATCAATAACGATAGTGCAGGCTCCAAGGAAGAGAAAAAGCAGATGATGTCCGCCTTCGATACAGATTCCCAGGTCCACCCATCGAAAGTTCGTGAGACTTTCTCAGACGCAATCTCAGCCCCGAAGCAAGCCGCAAATATTGTTATAGGCGAACAAAGCAACAAGCGGAGTCGAGACGAGAGTCCCGACTCGGTAGACCAAGAGCTCTCGCACCGACCGTATAAAATCAGACGCATGTCAAATGACGGGTGCGGGAGCTAAGCGCTAGAGTTCCAAGCCTGTTGCATACACTTGTAAATTTACAGATGCGCGGTCATACAGCCTGAATAGAGAATAATTGCTTGTATTGAAACCTGAAGGAATATATCTTAGCAACCAAACTGTGTCCGATTCTCGCAATTTCCTTGCGCGATCTTCAAATGCTGAGATCTAAGAGCAATCTGAGTCTTCCTCCAAAGGAAAACTTTACCCCGCGGTAACACGGACCGAAACCCGGAACGACTGCTTTGTGGAGGCCGCTCCCAGGTCGGAGGGCCGATCTTCTCTTATACTTAAGATACGCAGTATGATCTCGTTATCGCTTCTTCCTTCTCTTCTTCTGCCACCATGAAAAACTTTGTCTATAATGCACTTCCGTCCCGTGTCATTTTCGGTAATGGTACTCTTGACCAAGTCGTCCAAGAGATAACAAGCCTTGGATGCAGCAAGGCTTTGATATTGACTACGCCTCATCAGGTAGCAGTGGGGGAGAAGGTGAAAGAGCTCGTGGGCGACAAAGCGGTCGGCAGATACGCGAATGCGACGATGCACACACCAACGGATGTTACGGACGACGCTATTGGCGTAGTTCAAAAACTGGGCGTTGATGTAGTCATTGCCGTGGGGGGCGGCTCTACCATAGGTCTGGCGAAGGCAATCGCGCTGAGGACCGATTTACCACAAATTGTTATTCCAACAACATACGCTGGTTCGGAGGTGAGTCGGTAGATTTGCTTAATGATGAACAATCTAATACTGAATGAATACTCTTGTAGGCGACACCCATCATTGGTCAGACTGAAAATGGACTGAAAACGACTCAGAAGACCCTTAAAGTTCTTCCGGAAGTGATCATCTATGATGTTTCTCTGACCGTGACCTTGCCACCGCGGATGACCATCACATCCGGATTGAATGCCATCGCGCACGCTGTTGAGGCCCTCTACTCAAAAGAGGCCAGTCCCATCACCGACACTCTTGCCGTACAGGGAATTTCGAGTATTGCTAAAGCGCTTCCTGTCATCATGAACGATTCTGAGAACCTTGACGCACGGAGCGAAGCTTTGTATGGCGCCTGGGCATGTGGGACATGTCTAGGTGCAGTAGGAATGGGGCTGCATCACAAGCTATGCCACACTCTTGGTAGGTGTCATTCGGTCGATTAGAAGGTGAATACTCAAGCGAGTGAAGGTGGTACCTTCAACATGCCTCATGCCGAAACTCATACCGTCATTCTTCCTCATTCAATGGCTTATAATGCGCCTTACGCTCAGGAAGCGATGGAAAAGGTCGCAAAGAGTCTCGGCGTATCCAATGCGGCGCAGGGCATTTTTGATCTTTCCAAGAGTCTTGGGGCACCGTCTACATTGAAGGAACTAGGTATGAAGGAGGAGGACCTGGGGAAGGCAGCAGACATCGCTTCGAAGAGTCCGTATCCTAACCCTGCGCCTCTGGAGAGGGCAAAGCTCTTTCAACTGCTGAAAAACGCATATGAGGGAGTGCGACCAACCTGAGAACGAGAAGATGTTTACTCGAGGTATAATGTATGTAGTAAAAATCCTTTGTACAACATTGAATGCTACGGAATGACGTCTCCCTACCACCCAAAGTTTACATGAATTCGTAAACATTCCAAAATCAGTGGTCCTTTCTACTTGTCTACACTCAACAAAAACAGGTCCCCTGCTCTGTTACCCAATATAATGCGTCCCGTGGCCTCTCCCAACGCACAATGCGTAAAGTCCTCTGCGTGATCGCTTAGCCTATTTTCTGAAGCCAGATAAAGACGCCAAACCTCGTAAATCGTATGAACTCTCATCATGCACAATACGCGCATCAATACTCATGACCTCTTCTAGATCCTGGACTTCAGATGGGCATTGCAACCGGGCTGCCACGATCTCTCTGACCATGCTACCACGACTCCGCTCCATCCAGACCGCTCTCATCGCTTGAGGTCCCATACAGTAGGCACTAATGAATCCGCCAGCGTTATCTTCACGAGTGGCCCAGACATCAGGTGGAGCTTCCGGGGAGCTCTCGAAAACACTGGATTCTTGCACGTAGAGTGGCGTGTGTCTGGGATCTGCATATGCATCTTGAAGCACGAACGGTTTTATGGGTGACTGTCTGTAGATGAGGTTCGAGAGGGAGTTCAGGCCAGTCAGGTTCACTTGGAGACTCGGCACAGAAATGGTGACTTGTATAGTGTAGTGGAAAAGGCCGTGAATAACATCTAAAGCAAGGAAGTCCAGTGTAAGAATGTCTGAGGGTTCGTTGGTGGTGAACTCTGAAATAACAAAGCTACGGAACGTCTTGGAGAACTTGTGCTTCAGTATAGGGAGATTATGTTGGAGTGCCGATAGTCCGCGTCGTAGATCGCTTGGCAAAGGATGCAGTTCGATTGAACGTGTCTTGAACACGATCATATATGGTCCAAAGAGATGGACATCCTGGATAGCGGTGTACTATGATAGAAAATAGGCGCGATTAAATTCCGAGTTTAATACGTGTCGTCTTTGAGGCTTACCATCTCTTCTAGATTCTCTCCTCTGGTTGTAATCATAACGGGAGGCGAATCCTCCTTCGTCCAATCCAGTAGTTCTACAGAACATGCATGTGAAGACAATACAACGTTATGTACCGGATCGATATGACGCGGCGAATACAGAGGGTTAGATCCGATGTTACACACAAGATGAAAGTGGGGCGACACCAAGGGTATCTCGTACAAGAGCGTTACAAAAGGGCTTATAGACCTGGGGTATTGCGTAAGTTTATACTCTGTTTCTATCTTTTTTTTCGGTAGAGGTAACTTACGAATGTTTCTTGAGCACGATTAGTATCCTGGCATTAGAGTCATCCAACGCTGCTGTATACGACGCAAATCCTGATTTACTTAGTGCCAAACTCGCACATCGGAATCCCGGGAATTCACTGCAGAGGTTCAGGTCTAGGTCCCATAGGTGCATGCCTTCACCGTATACGGCGAGAAGCCACTTGTCCAGGAACACGTTCAGTCCTATGAGCTGGACGTTTCCGCTAGGATACAATTTGATGGGAGGACGGCGTCTGTTTGCTAGCCATAGCCGGTCGGTGCGACGGGCAGTAAGCACCTCAGATTGGAGGACAGATGCATCAAGGCCAAGGACATAGGGCGAATGGGGTTCGCGGAGGGACGCAACAAAGGGGATTTGGTACTTCTGCTGCTTTAGAAGAGAAGTCCAAACAGATTTGTCTTGGATGGCTGCATGCATTAGATGGCATGTCTGGATAAGTTGTTGATACCAGAGCTTGATCTGAACGAAGGGTACGGTCGTACCTGTCTAAGAGATAGTATGTCTGATATATCGAGAAAATAGATGAGAATCAACAGTATCTCGTTCGGCAAGTCGTATATATTGGCCATCTTGACTAAAATCTTGCAGAAGGGTTCAAGAGAATGTGGTGGTGGGAAGCGGAAAGGCCGGCCCGGATCCCCGACGAACAGTGTCGTGCCGAAAATACAGTTCAACATACTTCTCGGCGACAACGCATATCTTTGCTGAGCGCTGGTGGATGTCGAAACTCAGAGCAACGTATCGTAATAGATTTCATTCTGTAGTACTTATACATTGATACCTGATACAATCCATGATCCATAAGTTATGTAAAGTAAAGCAAGTGCCATCCTGCCTTCATCGTCCTGGGTTCGCTGGAGGCTTCATCTGCATCATCATTTGTTGAGCTTGCTGTTGCTGTTGTTGCTGCTGCTGCTGATTCGGTTGCATCCCGTGTATCTGTCCATTAACCACCATTCCAGGCCTCATCCAGTACGCAGCATTCATCGGCATGCCGCGGTAGCTCATCTGCATCTGTGGGTATCCGTACATCTGCGGATAATGAATCTGGGTTTGCTGCGGCTGCTGGGCGCTCGCATCGGTATTTGATTGAGGAGCGCGACTGGAGACGTTCGTAGGCTGGGGGCGGGGTGATGATGTATTCGCGTGAGCCAAACCGCGATACCCGGCTGCAGCAGCGGTATTATACTGTTGGAAGTTTATCTGAGGCTGTTGGGGATGAGCCATCTGTGGAGTGGCCTGTTGAGCCTGCACTTGGGGTTGTGGCGGCATGGGTGAGCGAGATGCAATACGCTGGTTTGTGCCCATGGGGGTGGCTCGAGCAGGTACAGGAGTCCCATGCATCGCGTTGCCCTGAGTAGTGGGTGCCGTGGATGCACGGCCACTCTGTTGCTGTTGCTGTTGCTGGAGTAAACGCTGCTGGAGTAAATGTTGTTGTAGTATGTGCTGCTGCTGCTGTGGCGTTAGATGAGCTGCTGCCATATTATGCTGCTGTTGCTGTTGCTGTTGTGCAGGCGTTGCAGAGCGTACGGCAGCGGCAGCGGCAGCAAGGGAGACTGTGTTTTGATTGTGCGCGGCTGCTGCTTTGGCTTGAGTGACGCGAGTATTGGCTGCAGGGTTTTGGTGGATAAACTGAGTTTGGTTTTGTATCGGTGGTTGATATGTGACGGGATGCGGCGTTTGCGCCTTAGCCGGCTGTATAGCCTGAGGCACTTGCTGCTGCACGCGGGGAGACTGGTTGTGTGAGGGCTGTTGTTGTTTGGAAGGTGTAGATATTCTGGGCACGCTTTCTTGTGCAGGAAAGGATTGAGGTGTTCGGGTCCTGGGAGATGGCGTATTGGATGCTTTGGTGGTTTGATTTTGGGCGTGGAACTGATGAGTGGCAGGCGGAGGGTGTGGAACGGCAGGCTTGGCAAAAGTTATTTGGGAGGGAGGGGGTTCTGTCTTTGGTTTTGGTTTTGACTTTGCAGGATCCTCCTGTTCCGCTGCAGGAGGGTTGTGCTGAGGTGCTGGGGTCTCAGTAGCAGAGGGCGCCGGAGACTGAGTAGCCGAAGGGGTGACGGTTACGGGGGGCTGCTGGGGTTGGGGAGTGTCGGTGCCTTTGGATTCTTTGGCCTGTTTTGACCTTTGAATGGCATCCAATATGCGATAGCTGAAAGCGTAAGGTCAAATAGGCACATGATTAGAGAAGTAAATAGCATACTTTGCGCTGGGAACACGAGTAGCTCTGGAATTCATGAATTGCATGATCTTGGCTCTGCGTGCTTTGTCTGTTTCGTCTTCTTCCTGATCCACAGCAGATGCTTTGCGCTTCAGAGAGGTGGGTACAGTAGGAGTGGATACTCGGACGATGTGATTCACCATACGAGTAAGATGAGGATCTGGATCAAGACATAAAGGTGGGGCAGTGGCAAGCTGTTTCAAGGGTCCAATGACGAGGAAAAGCATAAATGCAAGACAGCAACTCACTAGAATTCGGGACTCTATCTCTAAGGCGTCCCTGTCAGTCATAGCGAGGCCCTCCTGCTGCTTCTTCGCCGCTGCGATCTTACAGACATCTGCCCATAACGACTCCGGTGTAGGGTGTAGAACAGTACGCGTTCGTGGCGGTTTTTCCAGTGGCGGGTCGTTAGCCTTCTGAGGGCGATAGTCCACGAGCTCTGCAATCAAACACCCTGTGGAAAGCTTTTTAAGAGTCAATCAGTATTTATACTATGCAGCCTACCATCATAGAAATGGATGTTGGGGGAGGCATCGAAGAGATCCAGAAAATCTACTGGCAATTGGTGAGCTCGAATATCATCGAGTAAAGACTGAATGATATAGAGTAAGCTTAAAATCTCTTCAATTTAGAAATTAACAAACCGCGGCGTAATTGTTGTAAAGAAACTTGGATCCATTATTGAGTACCCAATGCTCCGCATGTAGGTGTATAGTGAATGACGCCGGCTCCGATTCTGTTTTCGCCAGTAGCTCCTACGATCCTTTGGTATCAAATGACATTGTGAACACGAAAAGAGCCCACCTCAACCTGGCGTGTCTGATTGTACCAAGTCATGGCTAATTTAAATATCAACCCAGTCGGAGTGACGTTCCGTGGAAAGGTGTAGATGCTGACAAAGGACGATCCACGTGGTTTTTGTCAGCACAAATCCGGTCATCAAGATTTTTGGCTTCGTTCCCCGACCATGGAAGAACAACTGAGAGAGGTGAGTCTCGTCCTTTTCGCTGGAAGCGCCATTGATTTTTAGGCTTAGATTGTTCCGTTTCTGCGAGATAAGAATCCTCAAGTACGGCACCTCGCGCTCTCAACTCTGCTACCGCAAACTGCGAAGGATGCACCGCACAGAAATATATTTCTCTCTGGTGTACAGTCAGGCGGCCTCCAAAAGCCTAAGGAGGCAGACATAATCAAGGATTTGAAGTTGCTTTGTCGTGACCAGCTGGTGAGTTTGTCTGTTCCAGTCGTCCGACTAGATCTCTGATATGATCAGTGAGGCTGTAGCGCATGATGCGTTCAAAGCGCTCGTGAATTTGACCGACTCGCCTTTGGTTGCTCAAATGCTGTCAGATGCCAACTTTTTAAACTTCATAGTGTCCTATATCATAGTGAGTCGGTTCCCGATGCCCTTTACCGCGCCGTTGATGCAAGATCATAGAATCCAGATGCTATTCTGGCAGATCTGGCATCAATGTTACTCTCAAATCTAACGGCGTCCTCGGGGGCATGTTCTATGATTATATCTATGAACGTGAACGTAATTTCGGATCCAAAAGTCAAAAATTCGTTCTATCCCACTCAGTCACGGAGTGGATCGTGTCCTGCACCAGTTCCATATCCCTCGGGAAAAACGAGCGATGCTCTCGCATTACCACTACTGCTAGATGCTTTCGTTCAAGGTGCTCAGTTTAAACAAACCGATGATCCCTCAAAGCATTTGCGCAAGAGCGAACTCCATTTCTTGGCCAGCGTTTTCGCTAATGTTGCGTCGGTGAGTGCCTAACCATGTGAAACGTCCTATTCTCACACTGCTTTTAAGTCATCCGGTGGACGTAGTTTCTTCTTGACCCCAAGACCAGCTAACTTCCTAAAACCGAACGACTCAATTGAATATCCTTTAGCCAAATTGGTAACATTTACTGAGCATAAGGACACTATTCGAAGAGGTGGTGTCGCAAATACAATAAAGTAATGACCCAGCGCTGTTTGGTCGACTTTTTTCTGACCATGATTATCAGGAATTGTTCATTTCACTCAGCAGGTCATCGCGCTATGCTCACTCCCGAAGATACACTCGTAGCGGTTCCACCATCAACTGTCGAAGCGCCAGGAATTGACGTTCTGCCATACTTGCTCCTGCCTTTAGCCGGTCCTGAAGAGTTTGACTTGGAGGTCTGTCATCCTCTTCTTTCCTAAAATATCATCTGATTTTGACTTTGTCAGGATCAAGAAAAGCTGCCGGAAGCTCTTCAGTTCTTACCTTCAGACAAAACCAGGGAGCCCGATCCGGTGATCAGGCTAGCGCACGTCGAGACGTTGCTTCTTTGTTGCCATATACGTTGGGGACGCGACTACCTGCGCGCACATGGTGTCTATGAGATCATAAGAGCTACACACGAAAATGAGACTGTCGACAAGGTGATTGGCCTCTGCTCGTCCATACTTTGCGTTCTCACTGTAAAATGGGCAGATTTCGGAACATATCGAGAGACTCGTCAATCTCCTCCAACGTGATGAGCCTTCAGAGCAAGTGGAGAAAGTGTCGGAAGATCTTGTCAATGCGCACATTGAAGAGGATGACGATGAGGATAGTAAAATCGAAGAAGTCTAATCGTGTGAGCCTTTCTTTATAGCTAACGTATATTATGACGCTCAAGTCTCCATCAGAGAAAGGTGGTCTGGCCTCCACTCATGTTGTACTACTAGTACCCATTGTCATCTTAATCCCCATTTTTTTGGCACTTCTGTTTCCCTGAGCTCTTCGATTTGCAATGTAGGAAGCGACGGCATAATAATCTGCAGTAATTCAATTGCAGACAAGTATTACTTATGAAGGGCCTAGTCCTCATTCAATCCCGTGCAATAATAGATCTTCATCTCGTGAGAAACGCTAATTCTTTCCTATTTTTAGTACGATGGTTACCTGCACTACACTGCAAGCACCCTCGATACACTTTAATACAAACACGTTCGGCTAGATAGCGACCAGCGAACACCGAGCATCCCGCATGAGCCAAAATCTCTCTTGTCTATATCGTATTCAAGGTCAGGGGCCATATTCCGATGTCGATCACGAGCCGAAAATATGTGTAGTCGGGAGTTGTCACTCCAACCAGGTACGTTACGATGTAGTGTCTGGAAATAGACGCTAATGTGTAGAAGACACTGAACTACACTGAACCATCTTCACCGAGACCATCTCTCCTCGAATGCCTAGTGGCTTGATTTACTCCAAGACCCGATGATAGATGTATGGATTTGTCAACACTTGGAGTCTTTCGATCAACAGCTGATGCTCCAGTAACTCCAGTGTTGCGAAGGGAATGCAAACCCGTTGTAAAGGAGAAATCATCAGAGCATCATCACCCCGTTCCATAAACCCGCCGGACAAGTATCCGATGAGAAAACTCTCTACTAATTTCAATATAGTTTTCTTTCGGAAAGAGGCCTGGCTCCACTGTGCCGAAGCAATATAAAGGGCTGGGAACCGTTCATAGGTACCCAGCTTCCTTGTTTCCTACCTGCTACGTTCTTCTTGTCGATCTGTGATCGACTTTTTTTTTCCACTTTCTTTCATCTTCGACTCTCCTTCTGCGCCCACTTCATTTCCCTTTCGCAGATTTTCTCAAGTGCAGAGCACATATTCGTCGCAGCGCGCACCTTCTTGACATCGTCCCTCTTGTTCTGTCTGACCTTTTTCGACTTCGGTCTCAAAATGCAGTTCATATTTGCCCTTCTTGCCTTTTTTGCCTGCTTGGCCACGTCTGCTAGTGCCGCTCCGCATGGAATGCAGTCTGCAGGGTTTCTTATGGTGCGTCGCGGTGTTGTAACAGAGTAGCAATACACATTGGCTGAACACGCTTCCAGGTTCGAGATGGCGACCAGGGTATTACTGAGAAGGAACACGTCGATAAGAAAACCAGCAAGAATAATGCTGGGACTAATGCTACAGACACCGTAAGGCATTCCTTTTTGTTCATGCCTTTCCAGTTACTTAAGTATCTATCCCCAAGGCTGCTGCTACCGATACTGCCACTAACGCCACTGCGACAGCGGTAAGTCGTCACATCCATGCCATTAACGTCGTATCTGATGAGTCTCAGGTCACCTCCAGCAATTCTACAGCTGATGCAGCGGCGGCAGCCAATAATGCTACTTCTACTGTCACTGTTGTTCGTGCATCTCTAGTGTTTATAACATAGGTTGTTGACTTGTTACTTCCAGACCGTGACTGCTAGCAACTGTGCTGCTACCGATGCGACTGGTGTAAACGCAACTGCTGCCACAGATGCTAACGCTGCTGCTAATGCTACCGATGTCAGTGCTGCCACTAATGCTACGGATGCTGCAGCCGCCGATGCCAGTGCAACTGCCACGGAAGCAGCAGCGACGTCTACAACATCTACTTCGTCGAAGAAGAATGACGCTGGAAAGGTAAGTCATCTTGTTCGAGTTTGGTTTATGTTTCTGACGTTCTTCCCTCGTGTAGAAGAACAAGAGTGATGCTAAAACTGTGGTTACAGATTTGTTTGGGGGTCTGAAGAAGAGGTTCGTTAACCTTCTGGCTTGTCTGCATATTTTCGTTGACGATGAATCGTTTTCTCAGAGAATATGGTCGCCGTGGACTCGTCAACCGTCTGATACTCGACGGTGTTCTTGATCTCTGAATGTGATTGGGAGAGATTGGATCTATTTGAGCTACTCAGTGATATGGTTTTTACTATCATTGATCGCAAGTACGGACTATTTCTCATAGTAGACAGACTTTTCCCTATTATCGACATACGAACAATGTAGTATGTAGTTTGACAAGGAACGCTTAAACCGAATCTGTGTCTGGTACCCGGTCCCCCAAGGCATTTTAAATAAACCCGCGGAAAAGAGCCAGGTAACAAGTAACAGCTAGAATTACCCGGGCAAGATGTGGAGTCGACTTGATCAACTTGAAGCAAGTACGTACTTCTGCGATCGAATTTTCTATTTAGGAGCCCAGTATGTCTTCTTCCTGTGCAACAACAATGTCTTCATCAACACGCGTATTCCCGCCTCTCTATACTTCATCCGGTGATGATTCCGCCGACAGATTAGCTTTCTTTCACATTCTAGAGCGACTGAAGGTACGACTTACTTACAATGTTACAAAGAAACCTTTCCTTACCGATGTCGCAGACGCAAAAGCGAACGGGATGGATTGATCACGGAGTACGACTTTCTCTATCCTCGCAGCTGGAGAATAAACTAAATTTTTGCGATAGATTGGCAGGCCAGAGAGGTAGAGCCCCGGTTCTTCTCAACACAGTGATACCGATGCTCATCTTTCGCCTGGACCCCTTCTCTAGTATCTCCGACCACATGTACAGAATGGCAGTTCTTGCTATGTGCACCTCGGATGAAAAACTAGACATACCCAAGTACGCATTCATACTGTCGCAGGCCCGGATCTTGGCTGATGGGAGAGGAACAGATGTGTGATGATGTGTATCGTTCATGACCTTGCGGAGGCACAGGGTAAGTCTCCTGTGCCAACGAGACCACTTGCGACTGAGCTCTGTGATCTTAGTCGGCGATATCACTCCTCGGGAAGGGATCAGTAGAGCAGAGAAACAGCGGCTTGAGGAGGTACGGGTATTCATGATTGTTACATTGGTTCCGGGCTTATTCGGGGTACCTATGTCGCAGGAAGCAATGCATAATTTCATACATGAAATGCTTCACAACAGTCCAGCAGCTCAAAGGATAGAAGCGTTGTGGAAGGTTTGTCTCATGCACTCTTATGCTTCCTTGTTTACCAAATTGATGTTGCAAGGAATACGAAGACGGGAAAACGCCGGAGGCGCGATTCGTCAAAGGTGCGCCTACCCTCGGATATGTGACCTTCTCTTACTCGTTTCTCAGATCTAGACCGTTTTGAGCTAGCCTCTCAAGGTAAAAGAAAATACTGGCTTCCTTCACTTTTACGCGGCTTATTCGTTTCGCAGCATTTGAATACGAACGAACATACACTGCAAGAAATCTACAAACATTCTTTGATACAAGTCTTCCCAAAGTACGACACACCGAGGTCCGTGAGTGGGGTGAGGATCTAATGAAAGAGCGAAAGGAACTATGGAAAGCCATCGAATCAGAGCAACCAACTTTTAACAGCCTACTATGATGCCATAGATACTCATTTAACTACGAATACACTTGTATTAACTACTAGCACTCCTCCCCGTCTCATCAATGCCTATTTTTAATGGTGGAACAACCTCAACGACGTATGAGCAAAGACTAGACCATGCTCATCTGCTGCCTTGATACATTCCTCATCCATGACACTTCCACTAGGCGCTGCAAGGTATCTGACTCCACTCTTCTTGGCCCGATGAACATTATCGGGGAAAGGGAAGAATGCATCACTCGAACAGGCCACCCCATCCAGCTTGGCGGCCCATTCCTTCTTCTCAGCATCAGTAAGGGCCTCCACCTTCCCTTCGAACAGACTCTCCCACTGTTCCTTCTCTCCGCCTTCAAGAACTTCACCAGCGACGAAGAGGTCGATAGCGTTGGCCTTCTCGGCGCGTTTGACACCCTTCTTGAACGGGAGAGAGAGGACTCGGGGGTGGTGCCGGAGCCACCACAGATCGGCTTTCCCACCAGCCAAACGAGTGCAGTGGATACGGGACTGCTGGCCGGCTCCCAGGCCGACAATGGCACCGTGAAGAGCGTACGCGACACTGTTCGATTGGGTGTATTTGAGCGCGAGAGTCGCGACAATCAGGTCGGTAACGGCTGACGAAGGAAGCTATCGCGAGATTATTACGCGAACGAGAGGAGGTAAAGGGCTGACGAACCTCCTTGGTCTTAGTGATAATATTTTCGAACAATTTGGAGTCTATTTTGCAGGTGTTGCGTTTCTGCTGGAGGCTAATACCGAATACTTGCTTGGTCTCTACTTCAGGTGGTTCGTAGTTGGGATCGATCTGTGTCGGATTTGATTTAGACACAAATTTTTGGAGGGAAGGGTCAGCGGAAACATACCTCGAGGACACAGTATTTGCCGCCCTTCTTTTTGGAGAGGATGTCCAAGGCTTCGGGAGTATAACCCGGAGCTATGATACCGTCGGAAACTTCGCGTGAAATGATCTTGGCTGTCGCGAGATCACAGGGAGCAGAGAGCGCGATAAAGTCTCCGAATGATGACATCCTATCAGCACCTATACAATGATCAGCGACGATGGGTTCCCAGGTATCAAATCATCTCACCTCTAGCCCGGGCGTAAGCAGCGGCAAGCGGAGTAAGAGGAACTTTCAGATCGTCGACACCGTAAACACTCTTTTCAGTCTCGTTCAGTTCAATCCCTACAGCAGCGCCGGCAGGAGAGACATGTTTGAAGGACGCAGCCGCGGGGAGGTTCAGGGCTTCCTGGAGTTCCTTCACCAGCGCGTAAGAATTCAAGGCGTCGAGAAGGTTGATGTAACCCGGAGATCCGCATAGCGCTATAGCCCTGGTGTATCAGCGAAGAACAGGATACCAAGAAAAAACTGAAGTGACCTTTGAAAGGCAACGCTCCCTCGGTCACGAAGGCTTGAGCAGGCTTTTGGTGGGGATTCGCACCATAACGAAGGGGGATCCTCTGAACGGCACCAGCGAGCTTCTCTTTGGGTAGATCGCCAGAAGCGTATTGCTCACGGAAATACCCACTAATCGCTTCGTCGTACCTGGCGGTCATCTCAAAAGCCTTCAACGCCAGCTTGCTCCGGAAAGCCTGTCCCACATCGCCCTGTCCAGCCTTCCACGCCTGCAAAAACTCGGTGTAGTCTTTAGGGTCAGAGAGCACCGAAACACGCTCGTGGTTCTTGGCAGCTGCACGGAGAAGGGTGACGCCGCCGATGTCGATCTCCTCTACGGCGTTTGCGAGGGTGCAGTCTGGCTGGGCGATGGTCGAAGAGAAGGGGTAAAGATTGCAGACGACGATGGAGATGGGCGAGATGCCCTGGGCTGCAAGATCCTTTTCATCGGAGGGAATGTTTCGTGCGAGGATACCTGCAGATTGACTTTAGTGTGCTGGTAAGGCGTGAGATCGCCGTAGATACCTCCATGGACGGCCGGGTGAAGTGTCTTGACCCTTCCGCCTAGCATTTCAGGTGCTTTTGTAATATCAGAAACATCTCTGCGGTTTCTTAGTTTTCCCTTAGCCGTCACGGATAGTAAGAATACGCACTCGATAGAAATCCCTGAATCCCTAATCTTCTTCGCTGTTCCTCCAGAACCGAGCAGACGGACCCCGGCAGCATTGAGCCCTCGAGCGAGCTCGGGCAGATCCGTTTTATCGTAGACGGATAGAAGAGCTAAAGAAATGAGAGCATTCAGCGATACAGAGGAGCTGGGATACCGGGAAATCAGGACCAATAGGCTGCGACATCGTGGTGGTAGTCAGTAGAGAATGTGCAAGATGTAAATTTGATGTAAATGTCAAAAAAATCGCGATCGGGATTGATTCCGTTATCCGATATATTGGTCCTTGGAATCGCGAGGCTCGGGACAGCGAAATGAGCGAGAGGAAAGGGAGTATATATCCATTGCATACTACGTGAGTACAGTCCTTTTATACGACAATTCTAACTAAAAGCCGCGGGTATAAGCAACGAATACGTACGACCAATGAAAGAATAATAACACGACGTTAACAAGCGGCGACTGGAAAGATGAACACCTTGACAGTTAATGATCAGCGCCGTCGCTTGGTGACAATGTGAGCTCGAATATCGAACACGATAAGATTGTTTTTCTCTGGACAATGAAAAGCAGCAAAATAAAACTAGTAAAGAAGGGTATGTCATAACTATAGAGCCTTGAGTTTCAGGTGTGTTTTTATACTCCCCGAGAACCTTTTATCCTCCTTCGACACCCAGATACAGGACTCAGATCCCTCTGTAACCATGAACAATTCCACCGACACTTCTTTACCAACTGTCCGGACTTCTCGTACTTGCTCGATGCCCAACCAATTGTACGCGTTGCTATACTCTGCATGAAGGACAACGAGATCAAGTTCCACGAATTCTAGACGTGTCGACCGCCTAGTCGCGAGGTTCACGAAGCTCAAGATTTTCTGCGCAGCACTATCAGAAGAAAAGTAACCCGTTACCCGTAAGGATCGCAGATTCAGCTTCTCTATGCTGTCAGGAATCTCATCCCATTGACCATCTGAAACGTGTTAGTTAATCTAACTCTTAAACGAACACCGGCAAGCAACACACCTGCATTACCAAACGAGTTGACACTCCCTTTCGCCGTTTGCTCGTACTCCAAACGCTCAAGAGAGAACCTAACAACGTCGAAGAGTGACCCCAAATCTCTGATACGCGGCCCCGTTGCATCACGAAGCCGTAACACCTTCAACCGATCCAAGGAAACACTCCCACCCGGGCGCACAACCCAACTCTGAAACGCATCAAGGGACTTGCTACTCAATTGAATATCCAAACTCTGGAGATACGACGGATGCGGAAATCTCTGCGACTTCGGGACGTCGTTCTCCAAGAACTCCGTACGGGTGAGCTTGAGATGTTTCAATGACGATGAATTCCGGAACAACGCCTCCGCATCCACAGGACTCAACACAGAATCACAAATATGGACGGAGGAGATTGTCGGAAGGTGGAAGAGGTCGGGGATGCCACCGTAGGATGAGGGCAGGTGGTCCATGCTCACTGAACCTATGTCAATGTGCGCCACTCGCGCAAGGTGGGTGATGACCCTTTGGAGGAGCGGCAGAGACGAGAGGCATCCGTAGGACGTCCCAAGGATTCTGAATGTTCGGATGTAGCGGAGGATATTAGGGTAGGGTATCATGGATTCGAAGGTAGGGGGCTCAGATGCGCCTAGGAGACACGATCCGAAACTCTTTTCGGAGCGATAGGTGTAGTGTCGGTGAATACACTGCTGAGCGATGGGACGCCATGCGTGGCAGACGAGGGAACATGACTTCCAGGTATCGATGTCCTTGGGATATTCAAAGCTTTCGATAATGGAGCATATGATTTCTTGAGGTATCTCGGGTATCATGACTGCGGTCACGGTTAGTTGTTGAAGTGAAGGGTAAAGATGAAACTGCTCACCGGCGCGCTCACTTCTCGCAAGGGCGTCAGGGTTTCCTTGTAAGTCTTGAATAGAGTTGGCGAACATTTATATAAAGTGGCCTGAGCCTTATATATAACGGTCACGAATGATCGAATGACCAACGTCCATCATTCCGAGTCGGTACTGACGTTATTTTTCAAAATGCTTTAGGCTCTGGGCAATGACAATTAAGAGTTCCAAGCAAGTAAGCGTAGAAGTTCAGAAGAGATCAATATTGTGGCGCCTTGTTGGAGGAAGAAAAATACACCTTCCACTATCACAATATCTGGATCCGAGTTCCAGTTAGCATTCCTTCTCTTCGACTAGTCATGATCTGCGTACCCGGGGTCCCTGACACAGTTTCCGTCAAACTTTTTGATTAACAAACTCGATTGCTCCATGGACAGTGGCATGTCGAATCGAAGTTGATGCTGCCATCTGAATCATCTCCGTTGCCCATAAGAAAATGCTTGGTAAAGCTGGACATATTTCTTTATTCGAGAACGCTCCATAAGTGATAATACTCGTGTTTGCTTGGTGCGATTCGGAAGAAGACATGTGGTCCAGGGCAAAAACGCCCGAGAGGGGACTGAGGAAAAACAATCAATCCAGAAGGCAGCGGTCACGGAAAAAGAGGATTTCCATCCATTTCGCGGGGCGTCGCATACTCCAAACGAGAGCCGATACTTATGCATCCTCATCATCTCCCACTAACTCCATGCCTGCGAAGAGCTCAATCCAATCATCCAGACGCTCCCGAATGAACGTGTCCAGGTCCCAACAGTCCGTCGAAACCGCGTCAGGCTCGCCGTTCCACAAGTAAATGTCCGCGTCCACCATCTGACCCTCGACAGACACCTGGACTGGCGTCACTATATATGCCTCGCCTTCGAAATCGTCCAGCTTTCTCCGCTGGGACTTGTCCTGAGGGCGGAGCAGCAACCGTCGACGACCGATGTTTCGTTGTGCTTTATTAAGGCGGGATAATCTTTACCAAACAGAGAGAAGCGGGCATAGCCTTTGAGTTCTGCAGGCTTGACGAGAGGTGTCACGACGTCGGTTTTCCGAGAGTCTCCTGTTAGTGCCCAGGCCAGTAGAGGTATTGCGCGTAGCGTCCCGTATAAGAAGAGTGGCCGAGGCGTCTAGCACACGTTTGAATGCCGGCCTGCATGGAGAAAGGCGTCAGAGCTTACCAGTGGGGAGTTCTGGCGTGTAATTGTCATGGTTAAGACTGGTGGCTGTGCAAAGACGCGCCTTTCGCTTCCCAGCCATGACATCGGATGACGGGTTCAGTATCTCGGCACCACAAAGGATATCGCAAAACAAAGGCATCATTCTTCTTTGTGTAACTAAATAATATGCTAATGTGTCGACATAGCGACCCTCTAATGTCTCTTACTGTCCACCACTACACCACCACCACCAGCATTGATCCAGAATCTCTGTTATGTACCGCTAGGCAACTCGCTCTCGATGGAAAATGGCTCACCCCTGCCTTTCGCCGGACTTTGCAGTTGAACTTTGATGCCCAATGGGAATATGCCATCCCCCCGCCAGTGTTCGATGTTGGGAACCGTACTAATCGGCCGCTCAGAGACTGGGGGGACTTGGAGGAAGACGGGGATGAAGGGAAAGGACTGGAAGAACTTGAGGAATGGGTACCGTGGTCGCGGGAAGACCTTCACTCCCCGGTACAAAAATACGGGGACATAGAGATGGACGAAGCCGACGGAGAGTCTCACAGCCCTTCCACCCGACTCATCCTAAACGCTGGCTCCAACGGGAAATCGAAACATCGTCCTACCTCACAGTCGAACTCCACAAAAACGCGTTTAGAGAACAATGTGGACTTGGACTTCATTCGGGGCGCTGATTATGAAGGATTTGATGAAGCCGACACCGGATTTCACATTGACGAGGATGAGATGGAAGAAGATATGAGCTTCGGTTTCGTCCTTTCCGGTCGAAGTGGTGTCTCCTATGACTGGGGTGACGACAAGCAGGTGGATGAAGACGAAATAAACACGGCTTTCATTGAAGACGAAGGCCCGGACGAAGAGGAAGACGAGGCGGGCGTGGAATCAGGCCTTCTTTCATCGTCTCAGGACAGCAAGACAAAGGATTTCCACTTGTCGCGTAGGGTTTCGGATGCCTTGCGAGATATGGAAGACAATGCTGTCTTTGAGCGTGGATGGTCGAAGCGATGCTGACACGGGATTTCATGTTGAGGACGAGGAAGATGATTACATGGACAGCCAATTTTTCCTTCCATCCATCGACCGCAGTCGTTCTGACGGCGAGGCGAACGCAGCTCCCTTAGAGGGCGACAGAAATCCTCAATCTGTCAACGTATCCCTTCCTGATGTACCAATCGAGCCGCCAGATGAAAGCCCAGACATTGCAATGTTGGACGAAGACGAAAACGAGGACGCAAACACAGGGTTCATCGACTTCAAAGCCGCCCTGGACACAGACGAAGAAGACGAGGAAGAAGACATCGATTCTCGGTTCATTCTCTCGGATGGCGACATACAATACCATCATGGCTCTATCAGCGAGATCCTGGATGCTGATGACTTTACTGTGCAGGATGTGAAAGAAGAGGAGGAAGGAGAAACGGAGAAACACATTGAGGGAGAGTACGAAGAAGACAAGATCTCAGAATGGGTCGATGAAGACGATTCACAAGTCCACGGTTCAGAAAATGCCAGTGGTGACTACGAGTTTAAAGGACATCCTTCTAGGCTCATACCTATCGTACGTTCTCTCTCCGCTCCCCTTTGCCTTCCCACTTACCATATCCCCTATCCCAGCCCCAAACTATCACATCGAGACTGCTCACATCGTCCGTCCACACTCCACAGCGCTTCTTGGCAAAGTACCGATCCCTCTCTACGCGCGTCGAGTCCCTAGGCTCCGGCTTGGGGTGGATAATCCCCGTCACCACACCTGGCGGGGTAGTCCTCGTCGACGGACACGAATCCCCCGGGAGCTGGACGCCTCGCTCCCTAGCGGCCTTTTGGGGTTTCCTCGGGACGTTGCATGAGGAAAACGGGGATGGGAGTGGCGTATGATTTTTTTGGAGGCAGGGGGTATTTTTTCAAGTTGTATCATTGTGCGGGGCTTAGTGTGTTGTTGAGGGGACGGTTGGATGAGTGGGTTTGGAGGGATGGGGGTGGAGAAGGGGAGGGTGAGGGAGGGGTGAGGATGTTTAAGGGTTTGAGGTTGTTGTTACGCGATTCGGTCAATAAGGAGGTTGGATTTTGGTGAACGTTGTCTATGTATTCTATTTTTTTTGATTTATTTCTTGTAAGTTCTTGTATCACGCCTATATATCTAGCTATTCACTCTGCGCATCGGTAGATACTTCCTTCAATACATTCCAAGGTCTTGAAATCATCCCAGCTGATGTGTTATCACTTTCATAAAAGTAAGCTATCACAGTAATGAACACTGGCCAGTGGAATGTGCATCTAGTCACCGACTTTAGCTTCGAAAAGTCAGGCGGCATCCACTTTGCGGCAACTGCCGGCGGCTCGTTTCCTCCGTGCTTCAATGAATCGCTGCTGGTTGCTTATAGCTCTCGTCCCAGCCTTTTGTCCGGTTAATCGGTGATGGTCTACGAGAAGGCTACAGTACCATCGATGGAGATACTCACCATTCGATGCCCTGGTATTTGGGTCCTGGGTGATTATCGGGTACTTTTTTCAGACTTTACCAAATCTGGACCTCAACCTTTACGATGTCTCAAGATTTCACCTCTGGAGTACGATGAATAATAGGCAGAAAGTGAGTTACATTTTTGTAGCAAACGGTGACAGACTAACGAGCTATAACTCAGACTAACCCATACTTGGCCGCAAACGGATCATCCCCCTCCCCGTTTACCATCATCTCCAAGAACCCTGCAGCAGCATCCGCGGGTCCTTTGCCAGTGAGATACTCCAGAAACGCGTACGCCAGATCCATTCCTGTTGCGACATCATTCAGGATTGCAATACTGCCGATTTGATCAAAACGATGCTTACCAGCGGTGATACCTGAACTCGACCAGATTTTTCTTGTCTTCTGTGGCGACCCATCGAGCTTTGGGGATCCAGGTTATGGGAAGGTCCTTGGTATCCTCCTATAAATCCGGCTGGATTAGAGATGTATGGCAGGTGTTGCATGCACCCAAGAGTCACCTCGATCACATTGAACATTTCTTTGTTCGACGTGGCGCGTTTCCCATCCAGGAGCCCCGTGCTAGACAGGATCCACGACCCAGTGCAAACCGTCAGAATGTACTTCGCATTCGGCCCTTGTCTCTTCAAAAAGTTCATCAGGCTGTGCTCCGTCTTGCCATTACCAATTATTCCTGTCACTTAAATTGTAGGTCCCGCGTCTTTTCTAGTAGCTCAATACGCACCTCCGGGAATGAGGATGATGTCAAACTGCTCTTTGGCATCGTCGTAGGTCTGGTCTGGGAGTAGCTTTGGACCGGCAAGAGGGACGATGGGGTCAAGGGTGTTCCCGAGGAACGTCGCGTCGATGGCACAGTTGGTTTCGTTCGCGCCGAGCATGTTTGGGAACATCTTGCGAATCGCGGTGCTTCGAAGGGACAGTAACTCGACGGGACCTTGGTAGTCGAGCGATGTAGCGCCGTTATACAAGCATACGGCCATGCGATAAACAGTAAATGGAGTTGAAGTCATTGCGACGGTGAATATGAATTTGTATACTGAAGTTGTTGTCTACTTTATACTCAACAGAACTAGGTGGGCGCCAAGACTTGGTGGGAAAGTACTTGGGTAGTACGTGTCGCGCCGGCACGATGTAAAGGAGATCAATGTTACTCGGGGTCTGTCACTCACATGACCGTTGCGATCGTTTCAGGCCTAAGGCTACAGGACCGAGGTACATATGGACCCACTCTAATATAGTCATGCAGCTAATTTCGAGTGCAGTACATTTATCACACTAGGCCATGAGGCCTTCTTCTTGAACGCGACCATTCAAGTTGTTGTGAACTATCTGACCAGGTAATTTAGAACCATTGGACAGAGAATACGTTGATTGAGGGTGTCCGCTGTGATCGGTAAGAAGTCTATTGCTTACATGGTGAATGGAGGTGGGTGATGCTTAATGGGGAAAATTGTGTATTAACGCGCAGCCCAACGCTTACCACGTCTGACACGGACGATGTAAGCTTACTGCGATACATGACTTTACTCCCGTGGCCGAAGTGTTTGAAGCACTGTAAGGCTAGTTTCATGTACACGCGTGAACTGTTTGTCCTTTGCACTCTATTCCGTCCTGTATTTCCTGATATCCCTCCTTCATCCGTCATCGGCCGATACCTTTGGCAGAAAGGACTTCCAAATCACCACTTTCTAACAAGCGTGAGGGGCCAAGGCATCCCTGTCTCGAGCGACTCGCTTACCAATCTGTCCTTGGATGCCTTTGTATAGACGCACGTTGTCGGTGAGCACCCCGCATGTTTTTACTCATCCAGCCCAACCCTGGCTGTCACCTCGCAGACAAAACGGCTACTGCAATCTGTGAGCCACTCCATGTCCATCATTTGAGTGGCTTTGGATGCTGCTCCGACGCGTTCAAGTGAGGTTACTAGTCTACAAGGTGTAGAGATCACCTTTGATATTGGTCCTGCGAGTAATACGGAGGGCCTCGCACGCGACCTGGACAATCCCTACGGCATGTGTAACTTACTACATAGATATATTCTAACAAATTGCAAAGCTCGTTCAATGGTCATCATAACTGGTACTTTGACCACGTCTTACAAGCAACCCGTTACTCTGGTACACAGCTCAATCTGGACAACAGTGTTCAATTTCGAGGCTACTACAGTCGGAAACATAAAGAAGGTAACAAACATCTTCAAAGGGTCATGGTAAGGATACTAAGACTAAAAGGGGGCGCGGAATAGGTGAAGGTTTTACCGGTTACAATGGTGCTGTTCACCGGAACGACAAGCTGTGGCGCAATGGAGTATTACTGTCATTGGCGCTTCCTGTCAAAACTTGCGCTAGCACCGTAGATGAAACCGAGTCGAAGAGAAGACTGAATGTCACAGCGGAAGCGGTATCCACTATATTAGCGACCTATCAAACAGTTTAGAACGTACTGACTTGACGTAGAAAATCATTCGAAGGATGCGTACTTTGATAATGAGCTCGTTGGGTACTGTCGATGTCTGTCGGATTACGCTCCAAAACAACGTGCCATCAGGGTCCGGTAAGGTGCTTGGTATGTATTCGTCCCCGCGGTTTTTGCTAAAGAGCTGTAAGACGGCAAAGTTAGAGGCAGTAAATATGAGGAAGCGACTGCTATGTGCGACCTTCTGAGCATAGTAGCTCGTTGAGAGATAAACCGATCCGGCGCTGACAGATATTCAATCGAGAGTACAAAGAAACAGGACGAAACATACTCAAAAGAGATCAAGTTAGGAGGACGAGAGCGTATCAGAAGATCAAAACGACGAGGAAGAAGACTTGCGATTTCTTATGAGTGATGATTTCGAGAGGGAGCTAAACGAGGAGGACGAGTATGAAGTACAGGAAAGCCCAGAGGATGAAGAGGAAGAGGAGGATGGGGAGGAAGCGGAAGAGGAAGATGACGAGGGTGGGGACGACGATCAGGATGAAGACATAGACTACAACGGCGATGGCTATGGCGACTATTGATGTTCTCACGTTGATATCCTGCTTGCAACATGTATTTAGAAAGTATATTAGAACAGGAATGCTTACACAAGTATAACAATGCACCAGAAATATTACCATACCCATATAACCCACCACAAGGCTCGCAGTGAAAACATGATCTGAAATAAGGATGACGGCCAAAATATAAGGCCTTGTCAGCCATTGCGAGGCGACGATATTACTATGACAAATTACAACTCCTGTAACGGAATAGTAGCTTTTCCCGGATTTAGCGGAGATAATTATCCTTGAAAGTTTGCGTATCATAGGCGGCTAGAGATGGTATCATCGCAATAACTTGTTTGCGAACGAGACTGTCTCGATGGGTTCGGAATCGGAGAATTTCCTCCGTATCCATAAAAGTTTCCTTCATAAACTAGATGACATTCGTGATTGAGAATGATGAACAGAGAAAATAAGTAGACGCACCATCCCAGCATGCAAAAGAAGTTCTCTGTACGTAAGTAGCGAGCCATGTATGATCTCTGGTTGTGGCATCTTCAATCCTGCCTGAGCCTCCGTTAAAATTCCGTTCAGATAGGTGTTCCGACTTTGACGCTCCCGCTGTACGACAATTTCTAAGCAAGCTGCCAGCAGTTCGGCAGCGCCCTCCCTGACAATAACGCGCTGATCTCGCAGAGCGACGACTATGTTTTCGAACACAAGGCTTATGTGAGAATGGAAATATCCGGGGCTGTTTCGAGCGAGCTCCTTCAGGATTAAGACGCCGGCGTATCGAGGTGATTCCTGTTTCTCCGGCTGCATCAGTTCGATTGCAGCGGGAACTTCATAATCCACAAACCGGCATCCAAAAGCAGAACTGCCAATATGTGCTATCTGTCCTAGGGTCTTGGACGCCACTAACATGAGGTTGACGTCTGAGTGGGGAAGGAGATGCTTGACATAGTTGTAGAATCGAAATAAGTTGCGCTTGGACTCAATGGTTTCCCCGCTAGTAATTTCAAGGAGGTGATCTAATAGCTGTTCTAGTTCGCGTGGCAGGTACGAGGTTGGCTAATGACGCGCCTATAGCCAAGATTCCACCAAAAATTTCCGTTGTATTCTGGCTATGCATGAGATCGAAAAGCCTTCAATTGATGTTGTCGTCTCATAGCTTGGCTGCAGCATCAGATGTCATTTCGGCAACAGTAGTGGCAACCTGGACATGGGCATGAGCTTCTAGTAAAGTTGGAATAATGGAGATATTCACATATCGACGCAAGTTGACAGAAGATTCCAGTCGTACTTCATGACTCTTACTCTTCAGTCCTTGGAAAATCTGCGACAAGACATCGGCCTGCGCTGACTGTACAGTGGATGTCATGGCCCGCCAGGATCCAGATTGTAAGAGAGGAGGAGATGTATTGGCGTGTTGATTCTTGGTATTCCTGCAGACAGTCTTCCTTTATATGGCATCTCTCGATCACATGCACAGGCTTGATGGTCTAGTAGTATGATTCCTTGTTAGGGTTGGTACCGATAGAGAGCGAGGCTTCGTTCCAGCTGGCGCTAAAGGTGTTGGGAACGGACAAGGTCGTGGCATATGTTACGGCATTTCTCCGCGAGTACCCGTGCAAGTAGATCACATGATTAAGGAACAATAATTGTATCATATGTTTTGCAAACAGTATCATACTGCAAGTTTATATGGTTTATCACATTTTTGTAGTTCATTCTCGCTTACTCTTGTGTCTCGCCTCTGGCTCGTGCTCTCGCCTATGCTCGAGGGTCCCATTTCTGCGAAACGGGAATTGAACCCTGTGGGGAGGTTGAGGTCCCGGGTTCAATTCCCGGTCAAGCCCGTGGATTCTTCAGAAGAAGTGATCCTCCCTTCGTTTTGACTTGAGGCCTGTCAGACTTAGACGCACGACTACGCACAAAATCTCCATGAGGTGTACGTTACGGTTTTCTACCAATGGTCCAACCCCTCCCGGAGTGTTTTGATACTACACGGTGACAGTGAAGATGTTCTCCGTAGACACAGGACTCGTAGTTGGTGATAATGTGGTGGTCACTTGAGTCCAAGACGTTTGGGAACCCGACACGCAGATTGAGGCATTAGCGAGAATCTGGCCGGATGTCGTCTGAAGTCCTACGTTGAAGTCTCCTTGAAAAGAACTTGCGGCGAGGAAACGGTAGAAGAACGAGGCGGTGTATACGCTTCCCGGGGTTACGTTGATACCTAACACTCGTAAGAATATTTGCATGATGGATCTCGAAGATGAACTCACCTAAGTAGCC